TCGGAGGATGAAGTCTGTACATTTGTTGCCAATCTTGTAACAAGATTCGTGAAGTTTTGTGAGGACAATTCCGAAAGAAGCGACAAATTTCTTGTGTTAGGCTTGTTTAATCGGCACATGCATAAGGGGAGTATATGCAAAACTTTGCTGATACTGTGATTAAGGTGTACAATCAGTGTCTCCGGGAATGTTGCAGTGCACGAAATATATCAGTCTTGATTCCTTCGGGTTTGTTTAAAGATGATAATCTTACAGAAGATGGTATTCATCTTAGGTATGCAGAGTACTCTTCTGTTGGATCGCCTCGTCGTGCATTTGCAACTGCTTTGCGTCATAAGTTGTTGTCTATTACTAAGCATGTTTGATTGTCTTCGTTCGCATAGAATAAATACCACGAGTTGTGAGTTAGAGATTCGTTACATATTTCAGATCATATACGATATATAATAGTATTACTCTACTATCATCGTCTGTCTTTCAGTGCTAGCGAACTCCGGTGCAGCTCCCTAGTAGTGTACTGTTATGTTGTTGGAGATAGACATATACTAGTTAATCGATGCTATATCTTGTAGATGTAATGCCATTGTAATACCTAATTGTGCGCAGCTTCTTCGCGGCAGGGTATTAGGTAGAATAAGTGGCATTCATGATTAGGTGCGTGTACAAACTTGGGTCTTTCAGTCTTAGGAAACCGGGCTGCACTTCCCTAGTACTGTACTATCAGCTTGTAGGAGATAGACTTATATTAGTAAATTAATGCTGCCTCTTGTAGACGTAATGCCAATGTAATAGCTAATTGTGCGCAGCTTCTTCGCGGCACGGTATTAGGTATAGTAGTTGGCATTTACGATTAGGTCCATGTGTTGACCTAGGTGTTTCAGTCTTAGCAAACTGCAGTGGGCTTGCGTAGTGCTGTACTATCAACTTGTAGGACATAGATATATAGTAGTAAATTGATAGACATATATTAGTAAATGAATGCTGTATCTTGTAGACGTAATGCCAATCTGATACCTAATTGTGCGCAGCTTCTTCGCGGCATGGTATTAGGTATAATGATTGGCATGTATTGCATTAGGTCTATGTACAGACTTAGGGCTTTCATTGCTTGTAAACTGCGGCCCACTTCCTTAATACTTACTGTACTATCATCTTGTAAGAGATTATAGAGATTTCAATCACTTTGCAGCGCAGGTTCTCCGCGGCACCATATTTTTATGCTAACGATGATCAAAGAAATATATTTTGGTGTAGACCTTTTCGTAGCGTGGCTCAACAAAACACTTAATTAGACGATGTTTCGGCAGACAACGTAAAAGTGAAGGAAGAAAACGTGTGGAAATAGTAGAATGCCGAACACTCGCAATAGTGCTTTTAAAGTCTCTTGCTACACGGCCGCCACCAAGTGTGCTAATTCGACGATCGACCTTCGAAAAATTTTTGGGAGGACGTATGGTAACCAGATTCCACAAAATGAAACAGATAATCAAATTATTAAAGTTAATCGTTAACAGGGAATATATTGCAATGGTATGCGAAGGCAGTAGGAGCACGCCTGAAATACTCTTCGCAGTGATGGCTTCCGCGTTCGCTGTTGTGCTTGACAAATGCAGCGCTGAGGTAGTATGAGGCATAATATTATATTAGTAGGCACACGTTATGTCCAAAAAATTCAGATTTGTGTTCTATGTTGTTTACATTTTGTGGTCATAAAATGAAATAAATACATAAATGTATAAATGGTTATACAAACATTTTTAACTGCAGAGTTTAGTAGACCGTAACAGAATACTCAAGCTGTTTCTGAGATTTCAGTTAATTGTGAATTAAACTAACCAAAATCACATATTTTATGTTCCTCGATGCAGGAAACTTTTTATGCGATGCAGTTTGAATTTTTTATGTTTGAAAAAATGGATCAATTATATTTGGAATAAGGGAGGAATAAAATACATTTTGAATAAATAGTTCCAATCTTTGTACTTTGTTGATTTTGACGTACGACGACTCTCTTTGAATTGGATAGAAAAAGCAGTGGCGTTGTAGGTGAGAATAATAATGTAATTTTTGTCAAGATACCATTTGGACTAAAGAAGACAAAGCTGAATTTAAGTCTGCTTGTGGTCGGGCCGAATGGGTGCGGAAAAACAGGCCCAATGGAGATTCTTGATTGGGTTGACGAGGTCATGCGCGAAGACGAAAATTACGCAAGGTATATCGAAATGGGTATTTAACCCGTTATATAACATAACGCAATAAACGCCTCGCATAATGCATAAGTGTGTAATATGGTGCTAATCATGCCGAGATGATTTCTTCAGGATACGGGCACCAACAAAAGCCGGTCTGCAAAATTTGTTTTTGGTTCAGATACCACAGGGGAAAGTCGAAAAAACATATTGCTCTACTGTGATGACTTTGAGCAGGCCGCGCACAAACTATTCAGCAATAAAGAGAGTGGCATAAAAGATTTTATGCTACAGATGCATAACGGATGTAAATGGTCGTCTTTAGATGGCAAAAATGGTTTTCTAGTACGTTAAATTTGGAAATACGCGTCTTACCAAGCGAGCGCTATTTAACCTTTTTTCTGTAATAGGAAACTGATGACATATACTTTAACAGCCTCTTAGTGCTGCATCCGGATGGGTTTTTGAAATTGCTTAATTCGAAACTGGGGGTTATGGACGGGCTTGTGAGTAGACAGTTGGTTGTTGGTGGCGCTAAGTCTCAAGTTCCTGCAAAACTCGTTACCAGTTCTGCAAAGCAATTGAAAAATGGAAATATTGATATGGAAATTATAATGAAGTCGGCTTTAAGAATGGCCAAGAGCGTGTTTAATGGGAAGAAATTTCGGATGTCCAAAGAAGCGGAAGCATTTTTGATCAAATTGAATGATCAATACATGTATGTGTTCAGATAAATTATTGGTTACACTATCGTGAAAAATATTTTTACAGTTTAGAATCAGAAGAACGTGAGCGCTTGGCGCCGACTTTGACGACCGCCGCTAACATTTTCTGCACTCGCGGCAGTAAACACGGCATAAAAATGTCAAGGCTGGCGTTCGTGGCCCATGTTATGGTTGAATGTTTCGTAACGACATATCAGATTGCATTTGAGAACAGAGGGATTGAAATCTTGGAAATGACAAACGGTTTGTACAAGATCCTTCGGTATTATATGATTGATACATTTGGATTAGCATTGCGTTTTCCAGAAGTACTCATACAACTTGGTATCTGCGAATCTGTGGCCCCGTTCTACGACCTTACAGAAAAAGCTAAGGGAGCTTACCTAACGGTAATGTTCGTTTATTTCATTTTATTGCTTAAAATTGGTTATTTTATTGCTTATTCATTTGTTATTTTTTTATCTTGACAAATCCACAGCAGATAAGTTAACGTTGTCTCGGAAAGTTGGCATGCTCAACGTATAGATAATATATGTTGGTAAACATATATAGTGGTAATGTACGCGTTATTAATAGGAACTTTCTTATCCGAGTGACGAAGCGGCTTTGGTAAGGATGACTACGTGTCCGTGGGTTAAGATTCTGCGCTTACCTGGAACAGCCTACCCTGCCGCATTTTTTAAAAAACGAAAATACGGAGTTGGCGCTGAAAATTTCGATACGGAATTTGTGAAAAAATGCAAACGAAAGGACGGGTTAGGAAAGTGGAAGACGTTCCAAAACAGGGGGCAACCAAGTGATATTTTTTTTAGAAACGTGCCAAATCAGATCGGTAATGAGCTACTCGAATACGCTTGTCTCACAAGACATGAGTACGAATTGAACTTTAAGATGAAAGAATGCAATTTGAAACCGTATGTTAAGAATATGCAACAGTTTTTAGCTAACAAGCAAAACTCGCCTTACTTGGCGAAAAAGAAATAAACCATGCAGTGGAATATGACATTAATAAAGTTTAAATTATTGGTTTTAATCGTTTTGCAAATTTTAAGCATAAAGTCCTTTTCCATGATATATCATATCGGGCACTAAGGACCTTACGGCCGGCCTGGATACCTAGTGAGGTACGGTGCCCGCGTACAAAGGTATCCAGGTTTGGGTACACTGCCTGCCACGTCCCCGCCGTGTACCTGGTAACAAAAGAACGTGTTCTTTTGGCTAAGCGCAGGTATTATTGGTAGTAAATACACATCTGCTGCCTCCATAATTTACCAGCTTTGCCACTCCTGTAACAGGGCAGCGCAGCTTAAAAGAGGTTTCTTGGGGAATTCGGCACTTCCCTTGGGCGGTAAATGCAGCCGTACTGGATGAAGTAACATTTGTGCCTTTTTTAAACTTATGTGGCTTTCAAAGAAAACAACGACGGTACGCTCGTTTTGAAACATTTCATGCATCTGCTTATATATACGCCGTCATGTAATTGTTAAGGTCGTTCTAAGACTTAACTGCATTGCAGCACTGGATCTTGAACACTATCTTCCATTGTAGTGAGATATGATATGCACAAAAGAGATGAGGAAGTAAGAACAAATCGTGTACGAATTTTTTCTAATTTTCAGAACAGCTGAAATACCACTGTGCTGCTAATACAATGTTTAAAACTCAATTTTTACCGATAGTGTAGTTCTTAGTTTTTTCGTAAACTCTGAGTTGTTGGAAATCGTAGTTTGTATTTTTCGTAATGAATCTTATGTTTCACTAGGCTAGAATGTTAAACGTGCATTCACAAAATTGAAAATATCAGGTTATTAACAAGTAACCAATAAATTTTGATTTTTAGCGGCGAATTTGTTATTTATGTCGACTAGTCAAATGCATCAAGCAAATTAGTCATATAAAAACTTTTAACTGCATGGTGCTGGCCGCTAAAAAGATTATTTTATTGTGTTGAAGCAGCAAGAGCAAGTCTACGACCGGATAATTCAACCGACAGATAAGATGAAAAGTGACGAATCACCATGCTATAAAGCCACATCCTCAAGAATTATAAATCACAATACTGTTTTTAAATCAAATCTTCGGAATGAGGAAGAAACTAGAAAAGCGTAAAATGCACATCACTGGAATACAAACACAAAAATTTTAATGACAAGCGCAGTAGATGTAGCTGCAGCACAAATGAACAGGTAATGTGAACAATCCAAAAAGAAGAGACAACAAGTCGTCAGCAAAATATGGCGATATACATCGGTATGGTCGTCAGTTTATGACAAAGCGGGGCTATGAAAGCGATAATAGCGACTAATCCGCATTGATGAATGCCAGCGCGTCCATCTCATCGTAGTTCGCCCTATCCATATTGTCGTCGTCTTCCGTGACTACAGGCTTTCATTTAGCCGGCTGGATGACAACATTGTTGTCGTCATCGTCTTCCACAATTACAAGCTTTTCCCGTTTGGTTAGACACATCATCGTCATCGACTTGAAAGAACCCAGTCTTTGGCTTGCCCGCCGGAATGGCGATATCGATCTGTGCTTCGGCGGCCACAAGTTTCGACTGGCTGACGGCATCGTCGTCGCTGTCTTCACTGAATACATCCTTTCGTATGCCCGCCGGGATGGCATCAGCGTCGTCGTTGGTGTGGACACGATTCGGGCGGCTAACAACATCGTCGTCTTCGTTGATCATAATCCTTTGTTTTTCTGGCTGAGCGGCTTTACCACCTTTGTCCACTCGCATCAAGAGCTTTCCTGACTCACTCCCAATATCGTCGTCATCTTCCTGCATCATGAACTTCCGTTTTGCCGGTTGGCCAGCAGTTTGATGCATTCCAGACGAAAAAGCTGGAAAACTGTTGATAGTTCACCTGTCTGACACCCGTAATCTTTCTTTATATTAAAAAACTAAATGACTGCAAAAGATGTTTCAATTTTGCACATCTTTTTACCATGTTACGAAATGTTTTCCATGGCATTGAGCTCCTGATCAAAATCATCATCCTCCAGAAAATTATCCATTATGGAGATCTTAATGGTTTCTTCTTTTCTCTGAAACCATGACTGAGCTTTCACTCGGGTATACTTTTCAAGTGAAATTATATACCATTCTACCATGTAGTTATAGTTAGTTAGTTATGTAGTTATACCATTGTACTCACCCTAGTTTGATCAAAGAAGAAGAGGCGCTTTTTTCCGAACCGTAATTGTTGTTCTGCTTATTCAAAGCAGGCTGACCTTTCAATTCTGGATTGGAATTCGAGTAGTGATTCACAACGACAGGCGACAAACTATTAACAACACCGCATCAAGAGGAACATTACGTAGTATATGCTGCCTGAGGTCACTGTTCTGACAAGACAACGTGAAGCGCATACGCTATTACACATCCGTTCAGCTTACGGAAGCAGAAAAATGCGTCAATATTAAAGAAGGATCTCACAATTACCAACCTGCGCGAACGATCACGAGTGGTAGCGCTAACGATCACGAGTGGTAGCGAGGAAAGCATCTGTGCTTGCGCCAGTGCGTCAGAATCCGCCATCATTTGTTCAAACCAAGCGAAATCCTCGTCTTTAGCATTATTAGAAATCCTAGGGTTAGCCGCAACGTTTCCCGTATTTTTACTAGGAGTGTCCGTTTCGATTAAGTCAGCCCCCACGCAATCCTCGGGAAGCACCGGAAGTCCCGAACCAGCCTTTTGACGCACGTCTGTAAGATTGTTTAATGCAAGCGGAACTCATGCAGATCCTTCGCTCGACAGAAGACTGTCGGCTGATCGTACCCGTCGTGATGTTATTATCAAAGACCGATAGCAGCAAACAGACCAATTTTCGTCGCTTGCATTTTATTGACAGAGAGCAAGGACTGCACGGTCATTTTGATTTTTTATCGCCTGCTGCACTACTAGCGGGTTTTCCTACTTTTACCTGAAGACGTGAACATTGCACAGCTGCCTGACCTTAACTTTGGCTTTGCTTCCAATATGTTTGATCTTTTCCAGCGTGTCATCAAAGCGAGCCTTGGGATACATGCTGTGCGCCCACGCTTCCATTTTCCTCATCAAAATTTGTAGATTTTCTTTCTACAAAATAGACAGAAAGGTAAATTGTTAATACTTACCTAAACCGGTAGACGAAACTGTCTTATATTGCCGTAACCAAAGATTTAGTAGTAATGCACAACCAGTAGCGTTGATCAAATCTTAATCCAAATTAATACCATTTTGTTGATCAACCGTGCAATTTTATGATTCGTGATAATGATGCTGCTAGAGTAATCAAGCAATGCGCTAAAAATGCCGTAAAGTACATATTACGTATTCTGTTGGTTATCCAACTTTTCGTCTGTTCACTGGTTCATTCCTGGTACGCTCGCACGTCGCATCCGTTGGGACGCCACTTGATGTTCTCGAAATCCTTCACCAGCGCCGGCAGTCCCGGCGGTCCACACAGGGTCCAACTTAACAGGCGGCCCCATGACTCGTTTAGGCTTCTTCTCCGCAGCTTCCTCTGTCTTTCCATCTTTCCGATCGACGGTCTTCGCAGCAGCATCTTTGGCTGTCGAAGCCTCGCCATCTCGCTCGCGTTCCAGTTCGTCCATCTCATCAGCGAAACGATCGTTGTCATAATTGGCAAACGCATAGTCTTCTTCCCCGGATTCCAAGTCGTAATCGGCCAGCGAAATGGAATCGTGTTTAGGCATGGCGGTGAGTAACGTCAGTAAGGTTTGACGACGATTTAAAACGATGAGAATCCACGAGAGAAACACTGACTTAGCACGTCTGATAACAAACAGGTGGAATTAACAAATGATCGATCTCTTCAGCAGACAACTGTTACTGATAAATATGCGGTATAATAAGCGGTGTATTGTATTTCAAACCATAAACAAATTTCGATATATCAAAAAGATGTATACAGATAGACTTGATGGATCTTTACTTTCTTCGGACTGCAGAAAACGAAAACAGATTTCCAGTTGGTACTTACTTTCTTCTGCAGCCCGGTCTCCTGCAACAGTTCTTGCATGTGGCTGCCGCCTCGTGGTAGGTTGAAAATACCGTCCGCCTGATGTTGATTTCCGTTTCCGCTTCAGTTTGGTAACTTCGGTTTGCTGATTTTAAAGATAAAAAGGAAGGATTTCCCTTTCCCGTTATTGTTGTGCATAATTTATTTCTGATCTGCAGCACTTGCTATTGTAATAGGAACTATTAAGTAATAGTAAATTTCCAGTCAATAACATCAGGGAGTAATTGTAACTCGGTGGATAATGTCGCAGGAGATGCTACTCACTTTCCTCAGTTTGCTGATTAGTTAGAAGACAAATGTTGTTACTTAGTTAGAAGACAAATGTTGTTACGTTGCATCGTAGTGAAAAAAAGAATACTATTCGGTAACAATGGCAATTAATTTTTACTTGTTCATAGAGTATATAGTGTGGAAAATATCCACTCACAAGGTTTTGCAAATCGTGCAGGTTACTGAACCATGTCTCTGCTGAATTTAGAGACCGCTTACAATCAAGTTTTACCTTATCGACTTCGATTTGACCGGCTATGACAGCTCCGAAAACGTCCTGCAGAAATTGCTGGTCCACATTTGGTCCAACCCAGAGCAACATGCCGATACGGTTTTCTAACACGTACCAGCGGGTGTCTTGCATCTTTGCTTGTGTGCAGGGGAGCTGTGTGAAATAGTCGGGATTCTCAACGGTCACTTCGTTGAGTACGTACAGCCGAGGATACAAGAAAGCTGTCGAGTGTTCTACGGGGGTTTGCGAACTGCAGTGTTACCCTGCACAGTTGATTTAAGTAACGTTAAAATTCTGTTGATTAATTTTCAACACACTGGCATAAATCGCATACAGTAATAGTATACAAACATTTTGGAAAAAACGCGATCTGTTTTTATCGAAATTTGCAAAGCGAGATTATTGTTTAATTATTTTCTTTCTATGGAAGCAACATACCAATATCTATCAAAGACAACTGGTTAAAAAATTTTAAAAATTGTTAACTCTAAGTGGTCACGACTGACCTCATAATTCTGTGCTACGTACATACCAGCATACAAGCCTAAAGAAAACATTATCTGCAAAAGGATGTACATTTATGTGCAGATTTATTTCTGTAAATTTATGTGCCAAACAGAAAACGTACTATCAGTAATAACTTTTTAAGAAGCACAAAACATGCGCTACCCAGAACGCCACTTTGTGTTACAAATGTGGTGCTTTATAGAAACTGAAATCCTAATGATCTGTTGTACTTGAAACCAACAAATATAATCACCCAGTAACATTATTTTAATGCATTTGTTTGAATATTTGTTGTTGGATCTGGCACGCTTGTATTATGTGCGCAAATCGCATGGCCGGGAAAGTTTATTGTGGTTTCACGATATTTTTGGAAAGATTATCGATACCATTCTGGTCGCGTATCATTAAAAGTCTCATTAATCAGTCGTGCTGGATAGTTTAGCTTGTTTAATGTATCCGGAGAGTCCGGCGCGGTATACGTTGAGAAACACTATTTCCTGTGACAGATGCCGCTAATATGTCTGTAATTCTGAGGGTAGCCACTGGCCACACAATATTAATACGTGCAGGACGATTTGTGCTGATTTGTTTCTCTATGGCGCGAGACCGATTAAGTAGAAGAAACCGATTTTATAAAGCAGCCGCTAATGCGTCATTACCAACTCCCAGAATCAAATTGTCAGATTAATTAAGGGACATTTTGAATTGGTCACTCTCTCTCTCTCTCTGTCTCTCTCTGTGAGAACAGTTGCTACGTGGGTGGAATAAAGCTGGGTCGCATGTGTTTGATCATAAAGATGGCTATTACATATCATTCTTAAGATGGTTTATCGTAACCTTTCAGATGTTTACGGTAGTTTTTAGCACCGGAATCGAATAATATTGCAGGTATTTTATTACTAGCACAGCTGTTGCTCTTTCATTGCTTTCCATGGTGGTGGCTCAATGTCACTTTTCCGGTCACTTTATTGACCGTTCCTGTTACTAATACTATACCATTTAAGTTAAACAGACTGGATTAACGTGATCTCTATGACTGGAGTTTTGCCGCTTTTCGTAAATCAACTTGGCACAGAACAGCATAACCATGAGAGAAAATAAGATGTTGTTTAATTAGTAATAATGTTCGATGAGATGTTCTTTAATTAGTAATAAAAGGATGGGAATGCCAGTATCTTTCAGGGTGGCAGACGTTATACGTCAGGTTGGTAGTGCATACGAGGACATTATTTATTTTCTTGCTATGGAAGCAACATACCGATATCTATAAAAGACAAATGGTTAAAAAATTTTAAAAATTGTTGACTCTAAGTGGTCACGACTGACCTCATAATTCTGTGCTACGTACATACTGACTTCATAATTCTGTGATACGTACATACCAGCATACAGGCCTAAAGAAACATTATCTACAAAAGGATGTACATTTCTGTGCAGATTTATTTCTGTAAATTTATATGCCAAACAGAAAACGTACTATCAGTAATAAAGTTTTAAGAAGCACAATACATGCGCTACCCAGAACGCCACTTTGTGTTACAAATGTGGTGGTTTATAGACTAGTTTTATGAAGGGTTTTCAGTGAGGTGGAAGCTAAAATCTTAATGATCTGTTGTGCTTGAAAGTTGAAACCAACAAATATAATCACCCAGTAACATTATTAATTTAATACATTTCTCTGAATATTTGTTGTTGGATCTGGCACGCTGGTATTATGTGCGCATATCGCATGGCTGGGAAAGTTTATTGTGGTTTCACGATATTTTTGGAAAGATTATCGATACCATTCTGGTCGCGTCTCATTAAAAGTCTCATTAATCAGTCGCGCTGGATAATTTAGCCTGTTTAATGTATTCGGAGAGTCCGGCGCGGTATACGTTGAGAAACACTATCTCCTGTGACAGATGCCGCTAATATGTCTGTAATTCTGAGGGTGGCGACTGGCCACACAATATTAATACGTGCAGGACGATTTATGCTGATTTGTTTCTCTGTGGCGCGAGACCGATTAAGTAGAAGAAACCGATTTTATAAAGCAGCCGCTAATGTGTCATTCCCAAATTCCGGGATGGAATTGTCAGATTAATTAAGGGACATTCTGAATTAGTCTCTCTCTCTCTCTGTTTCTCTCTGTTGCTACGTGGATGGAATAAAGCTGGTTCGCATGTGTTTGATCATAAAGATGGTTATTACATATCATTCTTAAGATGGTTTATCGTGACCTTTCACATGCGTGATCTTTGACGGCTGACGTTTACGGTAGTTTTAGCACCGGAGTCGAATAATATTGTAGGTGAGAACATGTGCTGTGGGAACTCCAAAATGGTTTCGGAGTTGGTCCTTTTCCTTTATTTGAAAACGAAAACGTTTACTGTTAAGGAACAATTGTGCTACACAACAAAACGGTTAAAAGAATATCCAGTATTAATTTCTATATTTTTCGTAGGTGCATTTCGGTTTGATTCGTTCCTAAGTTTTCAAATAAATGAATTCTAACAAGTTAACATGGTGACGGCTAACAAGTTTTCAAATAAGTAATTCCTAACAAGTTAGCTGGGAAAGGTATTTTATTACTAGCACAGCTGTTGCTCATTGATTGCTTTCCATGCTGGTGGCTCAATGTCACTTTTCCGGTCACTTTATTGACCGTTCATGTTACTAATACTATACCATTTAAGTTAAACCGACTGGATTAATGTGATCTCTATGACTGGAATTTTGCCGCTTTTCGGTTTATTGCAAAGAGCACTCGGGAGACACTGTCGCGAAGCTGGTTTGCTTGCAAGTAAATCAACTTGGCACAGAACAGAATAACCATGAGAGAAATAGATGTTCTTTAATTAGTAATAAAAGGATGGGGATGCCAGTATCTTTCAGGGTGGCAGGCGTCATACGTCAGGTTGGTAGTGCACACGAGGACATTATGCTTTTGGACCAATTCTGCGGCCTATGATGGTTGCTAAAATGTGCTTGTGAAATCACTTCCTTCACGTTGGAAACTGCAGCAGAGTGTTGCCTATTGATACGGTTTTGTCATTTAACGTGGTAAACTTTTATTGCTTTGTTCCTGTCTTTGCATTTGTTAATGCTTTTGAAAAGTGCAGACATGTCTAAATTTACTTTTCTTTTCCGCGCAATATGCTTCGTGGTTTTGCCATTTCAGTTTAAATGGAAGTTGACGGTATCTGACAACATCTTTGGAGAGCCAATTCTGATTCACGATCGCTGCTACTGCCGCCGGTTGGATCGACGCAAATACCCCACCTACATGGAGATAACCATGTCCACACCACCAACTCCACGATCGCGAGAGCTTCTGAAAGTGGGTATTGGAATTCGCCGACAGCCTTGCCCATGCGCTTTTGAATAAGGTATGCAGTCAGTGATGATGCGTATACTTGATACAGATTATCTGCAAATGTAACTATGGTTGACAACTTGATAGCGTATGTAAGAAAGAATAATTTTATCGCTAGCCTTTTTTGAAAATATCCAGACAATTTATTGAAGCATATATGTGGTTGACGGGCGCAAATGTTTCAGATTCCTAACTCGATTCGTAACTCGATGCTCGTTTTAAAAGGCGTTCACTTCTTGGCTACGGATTTACCGCAAGGACATTTTCGAGAGAGTTCATATTTTTGGTTTCGGAGAATGCAAGCATGTTAATGGCGGTAAAGGTCACGGGATGAATTCAATTTTTTTACGGCGAATATTTCAAAATGTCTGTTAGACATCCGTTGTATATTTCTGTTTTGATAATGTTTTTTAAGGGGCTCATTTGTTTTGGATTACATTTGGTTTTTTAAATCTCCATTATTTCCCAAAATAAAAAGTGTGCGTTGCAAATGCAAGCGATCTGGTGCACTTCGGTCAAGTTACGGCACGGAATTAATTTTTGTTCACACCTTGCGGTGGATTTTATATATAGACTCTTCGAATTTAATTATGCATTTGCTGATCGGATATCAGAATCTGCTGACATATTTATGAAAAAAAGTACGTAAGAAAGTTTCGAAAAATAAAAAGTGACGCGTCACAAGAAAATCAGATATCCGCTGGCGGTCCCGTCACGCAGTTGGATAACGTACACTTAGTACCAACAATACTGCGCCGGCTTACAATAAACAAAGCCGTTTGGTACTGGTCAGTGCAGAGCTAATCTTTAAACTGAGATCACCATCCACAGATAAGATAAACCCAATGCGTGGATTTCATTTCCTTGTCCTGGTCTTTTTTACTTGAGTATCGGCTGCAGATGAAAATTTAGAGGCACTTTTTTATTATTTTTCCCATATGGCAATATTTAATGTCTGCCTATCTCTACGTTTTGTCACGTAAGACAGATAATAACGTATCTTTTGTTGAATTTGTCAAAAGTATTTTTTACGTTGGGAAAGCATCTGCCAGACGTAGGTCATACAATCGACCACAATATCATTTCCGGGAAGCTCGTGGGAAGAAGGTAGTGCTTAAATATTATTCCTTTAATAGTGCGGTGTACTGTGATTTTGCTAAAGCTCTCCAGCTTTCCATGGTTTGTTTACTATTTGAAGACAAGTCCAAAATCTTTGGTTATCCGTGGAATATGGCGAAGAGGAGGTCGTGTAGCAGTTATTACAGGCTTCACCAACACCATGGATACTGTCGCCTTTACCGCAGAAGCGATAACGATTAAGACGATTGGATTACGAAATCTTACAAACCTGATTAACGGAACTATGAAATATTCCCCGGCTGCTGTAAAACAGGATTTAAAATTACAGCATTGGATTGGTCTGCTTCTGTTATATCGTTTTTATGAAAAATTTTGTTCAGGAATATATGTATGTTATTGAGGAAACAGGTTGTGTGTTTTTTCTCAAACGATATTGATCGTTTGGATGAACTTTTTATATTTCAAAGGGAAATTCCGTTGTGGCATGTGCCGGTGTACAATTATGGAACTGAAATGAACCTATATTTTTGTTGTGCACATTTTGCTCTTTGATAATGGGACATCAGTTATTTACGGCCTATTTCACTGTCTCTGAGCTGGAACGAGCTATAGGAAAACCGAATTTATTGCGTCATATCGGCCAGCAGAAAATCTAAGCAACTTATAATGATGTTGTTTTCGAATGTAGCGGCGACTAATAATTAATTTTTTGTAAACTGGAGATGAAAATTTTATTTTTTCCACAAACCAAGTTAGCAAATACCGTTTCCGCTAACCATTTTGTATTCATGCAAACAACGAAATAAAGCGCTCACTGTCTAAGTAAAGCAGGTGATTAAGAGCGGTTTTCCATTCAACCAATAGGTAAGAGTGTAATTGGGCAAAACACAACTTGTTTACAGAAAATAATCCAATGTCGTTTAGTGATACTGAGAGTCAAATGCGTCCCAACAAGTTCTTATTTCCAGCACATGCAGACAATAATAAGACCAAGCATTCATGGGATACGTTATAATGCGAAAATATGGAGGGTAATTCCGACATCCGCAGAATGGACCAATCCGTCTTGATGTAAGTTCGGTCCGTATCTACACAAATATTAAACGTTAGGTTCTATTATAAATTTATGTGTTTTTGTTTTCATAATTCGGAATAAACGCAAGATGGTGATAAAAATAAAGCACAGCAACACTTATAATGTTATTTCAATGTTTTTGTACCTTCTCAATTGTTGCAGCCTCCCTTGCGATTGTCTCGACCACTGTTATTCTTCTGATCCGCATTCCCATGTTTTTCTTGCTGTTTTCCGGTTCCAGGTCCACCGCTCTTTGATTTGGTTACCTCTAAAACAAATATGCATAATGCTCTGCTAAATGCGAAAAAGTATACAACACAAATATTATAGAATCGAATGACGACTTTTTGTTTGCCATTTATTAGACTGTTATCAATACCTTACCGTTCTTCATATCAATCCAATGCCAGCGGTTAACTGGTCCATCCTACCAATACCATATAAACGGTTTGATATGGTAATCATTTATATGACCAAGTAATCAAACACGTACAGACGGACTAAAATCATATAAATTTACCGCTGTGTTCGTCCACTGGCGTTTCAAGATATTGGTTGTTTTTGATGTCCAATCATAATCAGCCGTTGGCAATGCCGTTGCTTTCCCGAAAAATTTCGACAGAATGGAATCTCCAGCTACCACATCCAGTTGACCGCTTTGATCTACTAAAGTAACCTATGGCGAAAAACCAATGTCTTTACCAACTTGCCTCAATCCTTCTGGCTGAGGTCATTACTTAAACATAACACGTCATAAATAACAAAGGACTTGCCTGCGTTGGCTTGTAATAAGTCTTGGCATTGCCTTCTGGCTCTTTTTGACATCCAGAACAAAACGAGTTTCCGGTATGAGGTTCATCCAACAACTTGCAGTCACAGAACCCACACTGACTTTCGGTTTCAACTGTCCCCAGATCCACTGGTCTAGCACTGCAGGTAGCAATGACGTACGCAGATGGCTGACGGAAGCTCACAGTAACCTTGCCATGCTCAGCCAGCGTTCCCGCTTTCAGTAATCCATCTACAAAAAGGAAGTGCTCGTGGCTTTAACTTTGAAGTTTCTCGTACAACAATTCACTGATTTATACGTAAAATAAACTATTTTAAAATATTTTATTCATGCTTGTCATTCATACCTTCAAAAATGATGCATTTTTTCTACTGAACGGTTAATTTATAATACTGGCGAGATTCGAAATGGCAAACGGCTTTCAAAATGATGCAACATTATCTGTACCAATACCTTGGTCTTCCAGTTTGATGATTTCCAATCCGTATCCAGGATTCACGCTTGGAATGAAGTAGCAACTTCCGTCCACACTCGATTTTCCTGGTTGAATTGTTCCTTTCTCAAACCGCAAATTATAACTGGTTCCAACGATCAGTTGTTCTCCATACGTGACGAGGAACTGTTCATTAATCCACATGGGCAAGATGCCGGTGGCATCCACAAGAGTGACAGATTGGAACTTTCCAGTATTACCATAGCCTTTTTTCGAACGCACTGCGCTTTTTTCCGCAACAGTTACTGTCAGCGAGAACCTTCAAAAAATCATATTAAAACAGTAACAAAAATTATGATAAAGTATCCTACCGATCGGGTTTTTTTCCAATGGCGTCGGCAATTGTAAATGGCGGCGCTGGACCTTCGAACTTTTTGGCGATGTCATTTCTGTAATTCTTTGATTTATATTTGAGCGTTTTTGTTCAACTGTAGCTCTTATAACGAAATAGCAACTGAACTTCAAAATTTCGTGTGCTTCACAAAATTATTTTATCTAAGTCGTTGACTGAATTCCATATGCTTCTAACCGTTGAATTTCAGTTAATGCTGATTTTGAAAACGCAAAAGATTCAGGAGTGTAATCCAATAATACAAACGCCGATGCGCTAGGAAAGCGCGATAAAGCGACATAAAACCCACCCTGCGGCCTACACTTGCCGAAATTTAAATCTATTGACCCAGTCAAAATTGTTGCGCCTTGAGATTTATGAATAGTCATAGCGTAAGACAAAATTACCGGAAACTGCGTTCTCCGCATCGCAACCTTATTTAAATCAAAAAAATATGAAGTGACTGGTAGAATAATGGATGGTTCTGTATTTCCGTCAAATAGAATTTTCATTCTACTGGGCATTTTGACTCGAACTGTATCTGGTCTGCAACAGTCAGGATACAAACAGTCATGTATTTCAGGAGTGGTTTCGTCGGTTCCCGTTTCTTCTCGAAACCACAACATTTCGAGCAAAGTACCTCTTGCTCCATTTACCAAACCGCTGTTGACATCAATATTTTGCGTCAACATAACCCTGCAACCCTTTGCAACATGCAGGTGCTCATTTAGTCCACCCGTACTTTTAGCATCTTTTGACGGTTTCAAAGCTTTCTTTACACTCTTTCTTTTAATGTGGTCCAAATCTTCGGTATCCGTTGCTTTTATTTCGAAAACAGGCGTGCTAGCACTCTTTGCTAATTGCACTAGCGAGGTAAAATTAAATTTTTGAGTACATTTGACGCGGTAAAAAAGATGAATAGTGTCCTTAAACCTCTCTTCATATTCTCTTTTCACGTCAACGTACCCATCAGGATTTACTGATGGGTTCAGGCACCTACTCCTTAAAAGTTTATCGAACTCAACTGTTAGCAAGCCCTTTCGCAAGGATTCAAGCCCTTCTCTAAAGCCGTCATCCGATAGCTGCCTCATATTGATTTTAAAGAAAACCGGCGAGAAAAGCTTCCACAAATCTACTAGTTCCCCGCAATTTTCAAAAATAAATTTTGCCTGGACAGGCCGCAGCTGGAATAAATCACCGAAAAGAATTACCGGTAGGTTTCCAAAAAATGAGCCTTTTTTTTGAACGGTATCTTTGACTTCGTTCAACCGCTGACTGACTTGATAAAACAACTTCCTTCCTACCATTGATATCTCATCAACAATTAACATTATCGCACCGTTTAGTTTACCACGCAGATTGTTTAACTTCTGACCAGTCGAAACCCGATACCCTTGAAAGGCACCGTCTTGCACGTCCAATCCGAACAAATCATGTAGCGTTGAACCACCGATATTATGGGCTGCACAGCCGGTGGGCGCAGCAACTAAGCAACCACCATGGTATCGTGCTGTCGATACTATTCCTTTTTCCGCAATGCAAAAATTTCTGACCAATTTTATTATTGATTTTATAAGGTAAGTTTTTCCGCAGCCAGCCGATCCTTGCACAAAGATGCGAAACGGCTCTAAATCGTCACATTTCTCTCCATTTGCAACTTTTCTTCGATGTTGCAACCATCGATGTAGGTATGACTCAACAGTTTCGTACACTGCAAGCTGTTCAGCTGTAAAACAAGTTTTATCAACATTCTCTACGATAAAACTACATCCTGTTTCATTATTTTCTGAATTATTAATACCCGCTGCTATCGCACAACCGTCTTTTCCTTTGTACAAAGTATTCTGAACTCTCATGTTTCGTAAGTATTCTTTACTGCCAGCCAACTCAACTTCGGCTCTAATCATGCTCTTGTAAGTTTCCGGCAACCATTCAGCACTGGATAATACTTCTGGAATTACAGCTTCGAATGCCTTTAAAAATTCATCATCAGTTCCTTTTAAGTTATACAATTCATTGATCTCTGTTGTTGAAAACGGTAACGTCAGCATGCAGATCCCGTATAATTTATCCCGAGAATTTTTACTGCTAAGCGCAAAAGCAACATTTTTCGGGGTTTTCCGCACTCGCATTTGCGTACCATTAGTAGTGAATAAACGCGCACACCGTCTTTTTGTTACACAAGCAAACGGTTCTACATTTTTTGTTTTTTCCAAAGGGGATTTACAACAAGTTTTTCAACATCGACGCAGTCTGCAGCTTCCATATCGTCACCATCAACATTTTCTTCTATGCAACTTTTTTTGGTGGAATCAACGACAAACCACTGCAAAAAATCGAAGAGGTGCATCTTTTCCAAAAACTTTGAAACTTCCGACGAATGCTGATCTGATAACCGATTTTTATAGTTAATGAGCATTGTTGGTACAAAATCCGAATTTGTGAAATTTCCATGAAAAATTATATTTCTTTTTAATAACTCTGACCGTTGCTCAGCATTTTTTAGGTCAACGTATACAGAAGATGTAGTGGAATAGTATAACGGGCACTTTAAAACGATCATGGCGGCTTCTACTTTTCCGACTTGACGGTTAGACAAAACTGCGTTGGCTGCTTTGAAAAGCATACTCCTGACAGAATTGTATTTCTCTAAGTTGTCCGGATCATCAAAAGTTTTTCAATATTTCCCTATCTTTCTGTTCGGGTTTCGCGACATAACTAAAAAGGTACTCCATAGCAGCCCATACGTCACAAACTACCTGAACGTCCATATTACATTTAAATAGCCTTATCCAATCCATATTATATGGGACAATGTCCACGGAGTCTTCAGTTAATCGCTTCAAAGTAACTTCTTTGTCTCCTTTAACTCTATTTTTCCATTCTTTAGAAGTTAGAAAGCGCGTAGTTTCAGATCTTCGGTGGGGATAACCGAATCTACATAACATGCGTTCCTGTTTAAACTTTCGTTCGGGCACGTCTCCTGTCTCGCTATCGTTAGACTCACATTCGGACGGTGAATTTTCAGTAACATTGCATTTACCGTCTGTCCGTTCACCTACGACGTGTTTCTCTGTCTCAGCAACATTACTTTCAGCATCTTTGCGAAACAATTTTCGACCTTTACGGCAAGTGAAAGTGTGAACGTGTTTCTGGCATTTTAAAACAAGTTGTCTGTCTGCCTCGTTTTCAGGTATTTGCGTAGTAAGAAAATTATCTAAAAATTCAATAATTTCCTTTTTTCCAGTTTCCGTTTCGTAATTAAAACCCACATTAAGCCAAACGAGACAGTGCAAATGGGGGTAACCTGCTCTTTGAAATTCGATTTTAGTAAAAACATCTTTAGCATAAATTCCTTCTGGAAACGCCCTAGATGTCTTTGAACGCAAGAATGTAACAAAACTTTCCGCTCTTTTTTTGAAACATTTTGCAGCAACCCCACAATTTTCGTTTATGATTTTCAGTATTTCTTCCTCAGTTGCAAGCTCAGTTCTTCCCAAGTCTTGATGACTTTCAATATCACCGTAAATTTCTGGATGAGCAAAACATAATAACTCCGGGCAATTCCGCAAATTTATGCTCACAAAAAGCTGAGGCGGACCTTTGCATCTAAACATGTTTTTCATTTGCCACTTTGCTTTGTTATAATACGCTTCTGTACCTCATAAAACAGCTCCCACTTTTGGATACAAACATTTAGACAGTTCTACCGTATCCCGTTGGCCATTAGTAAATTGTTGGGCATCCCGTAATACATAATTGACCTCTTTGCACATTAACTCCCTTTGATAAACATTAAGACACCGAAATACGTACGACGGATCCTTCTGAAACCGGTTATCTTTGCTTAACAATCGAATTTCAAAATACTTTCCGTAATCTATGCGACACTCCCGGTCATCTTCCACACCCCCTTTACCAAAAGGAAACAAATTTGGATAGCATTTTTCTTCCAAACCAAAGTTTCCTTTCAAATTAAAGACTGCCGTATTTTGATAAGGCAGTGTCCTTTCCGGACCTGTAGAAAATTCTTCAGGAATTACACCTCCAAAATTAATGAGTGCAAGGCTGTCGTGTACATCAATTTTTACTAAAACATCGGCGCACTGATATTGTTCCAAAACGTCTTCTCGACCCCTCAGTATAATATTTTCATAAAACCTGTTGTTTTCTCTTAAAAATTCCAGAGCGGTATACACCGTGTCAAAATCTACAGAATAATGCGAAGTTACAGCGTTTTCGCCTTTTCTTTGATTTACTGCCAACAGACATTCATTAGATGGTCTCGGTAAAAGTGCAGAAGTGCACTCATTAATGTCAGAAACAATATGAAGAAACTGCCCAGCTGCATGCAGTAATCGTTTAGCTCGAAACAAAATCGTGGAAAACGGAAATATCAACCGCACGCACTGTAATTCCATATACCCAAGCTGCAGTTCTGGCACTAATTCACCAGGATCTAAATTATTTAAAGTAAAGCTTCTTGGACAAAACGGTGTAACTTCGTTTGCCTCAAATCTTCCACAATCATGGCATAAAACACAATCAATGGGTAGTTCAGGATGCCCTACTCCATCGTTCCTATCACACCTGTCACTCCTTTCAACTACTGAACAGCAATCGCAACCTACATATGATACGTTAACGGAACCCTTGTATGACTTCCCAAAGATCTCACAAATCCGTATTCCTTTCGGCGAATATTTCGATTTTCTACCTTTCATTTTGAAGTTTTCCGTACCCAACACATGTTTTTCTCTCCTCCGCTTATGTATTCCAACTGCATCTTTTATTCCTTTAACACCCCTTTGTTTGCGTCGATACTCTCTCATATAGACTTTTGCTTCTCTCTTTTTTTCACTTTTAACAGCTGATGCTTCTCTATGCAAAGCTTTTCCTTTCATCACCACCGCAAATTTTCGCATTTTCACCATCTATAGTTTTTCTTCGTAATCTCCGATCGCAGTAACTATTGACGGTGAAACGTGATCAAATTCATCTTTCCGCCGATTTTTTTACGTTTACGATACTCCCTCATATAATTCCTCCGCTTTTCTCTTTCTTTTGCTTTACAAACATCCTGATTTTCGAACTCGTCTGCACAAAATTCCTGCGCTTCGTTCATGGAACCATCTGTTGATCTACTAGCCGATACCTTGTTACTGCAACGTGTTCGGTATTTCCGATTTTTTGGCTGTTCACCGTGCTCAACTTCAACTGTTTTACCGTTATTATTACCCCTCCTTCGGTACTCTCGCATATAAACTTTCCGCTTTTCTCTTTTTGCGACCTTTAAAGCATCCTCATTTTCGTATTTATCTGCGGGCAATTCCTTCTCTTCGTTCAGAGACATTTTTGATCCGCTAGCCGCTACAGTTTTAATTTCACGTTTTTTATTTTTTTAACTTTTGACAGTCCACTGCACTCCGTATCTGCTCCATCATCGTTATTTTTACGTTTGCCATGATAGTCTCCCATATACTCACACATATAAGCCATTCTTTTTTTCTTTGCTCTTAAATCGGTCACTGCGTCAACGCTGCACTCTATCGGCTCTTCTTCATTGCTCACGCAAACTTTTGCAAAACTCATTTTACTCGCAAAAAAAGCTGGTACCAATTTTACCTAGTTCCGAGAACACTCCTCGCATCAAGGATTCACTATCTTACCTCACCAGAGATAATCCAGTCCGATATGTGACCTTATAATCCAAAACAGGTATGCCGAGCCTCAACAGTAAAACCCAACTTCACAACTCCCGAGGAAACAAAATTAAACTGACATCTAATGCAACGCTTCCCACGAACTTTTCTCTTTTATACTACCACAACCGCACGAACAAAACCTCCACTGCCAATGTAGATTATAATTGCAAATCTCAGTAGCCGCTGGGCGTCCACTTTATTTACTAACACCAATCACCACTTTCAACTTTTCACAAGACTGCCTTAAAGCCTTTAGCTACGGAAACAGAGGCAGAGGTTGTACGTACGTCGGACATTTTCCTCTCATTCCTTGATCGAGTGGATCTCTGTCCACTTATACGCAGTCACTTGTAGTTTTGGCTATATTATACAGTTACAGGCACATCCCCTTTGCCTGCCTTAGGTTTGCTTACATGTAACTCTATCCGGTTTTTCCCTATCCTGTGTTACAAACTTACAAGTTACAATAGGATTCGACATGGATCCATACCTACAGGTATATATATACATATATATATATATACCCGTGGACGTATGCAGCGCTACGTCCTTCGGAAAAAACTACCAATCCCAGAGAAATGTCAACCCCTTGCATTTAAAAACTTCCAATCCAAAATCAATCCGTCAGCGAACTTCAAAAGCGGCCTCATTTATATCGAAATACCCAAGTCGAAAATTGTCCTTGACAGGACACATATGGGCAAACTATAGCTTCTACAAAAAAGACTACCCTTACAAATTCTACACAACAGAGCCCATATGGTCTCGGGTGCTAAACACCCCGTGTCGCGATGGCGACCGCCACCGCCTGCCGGAAAATCAGGGACTTGGTAACAGTACTAAAATCGAAAGTGCATGCTGTACAGTTCATCTCGGGTACCGCAATCAAAATTGATTACAAAAAACCAGCGGTAATGTTATCACCTTTAACTACAGCAAATGCAAAAAAATGCGCTTCTGATCCTGGTGGCAGGTATACGGCAACGCCTTATTTAAGCTAGAATGCACATATGCAAATTGCAAATCAAATGACTTGCGCTACTTGTACTATTTAAAGTCATTCGCATTGGAATCCACAAAAATCGGTAAATCATAAAACTTCCGGCTCAGAACCTTAAAATCAAGCGCATACAGTTTCTTTGCATTTTAACCATGTGTTGGTGGAGGAAGGAGTGCTTGAATGAAAAGGATATTTCTTCGTAACCTAAAATTATAGTACATAGAAATTAAACGAGCAGATAAGCAATGAATCGAAAGCAATAATAACAATTGCGTTCGCGGTACTTGTAATTCTGCCAAAAGATATGTTCATACAAAATAGGAAAACTGATTTTGTTTTTGCAGTACATGGTCACTTGCTCAACGGGAGTAACTTGCTTGAATTTACAACAATATAGCGCATCTCACCCTCAAATCTGGAAGCTGCAATTGATAAAGCAATCCTTTCCGATAAATAAAGCTGTGACAGAACACGAAACAATGTTAAATTTCTGGTTACGAATGTTAGCGGCATTTCACTTTGACTAAACCATACGCAAGCAGCTTGACCAATTAACTTTATTTTATGGCTAGCTATATTGTACTTGTACATTAAAATAATCCTAACTTTACCTTTCATTTAAATCTGTCGTGAATGCAGCATCAATCCGTTCAGGTGCACCCGGTATGTCGGATAATGGTCTAAATCTTGGTATTCCCATTGTAATGGTCGAATTTTTGGGATGGTATGTTATAAACGATTTATCTGCAAGTTTAAAAAAACGGTTACACCAGATTTGTTGACAGGATTTGTATGCTATCTTACTTTAAAAAGGTAGTGGGTTTACGGATTATGATAGTGGGTACTCATATTTGCATTAAAGCCCGAATATAGTATATAATCAAGTATTGGTTATCCTGCAGGATTCACTACATAGTACATAATTATGTAAATACAGTGTAAACTTATTAATGGCGATAATATTATACCTTGACATAATTAACGGTTGTTTAAAAAAGGGGTCTTGCTACAAGAAATGGCTTACCAGAAAAAAATACAGCACTGTCATCGTAGGTTTTCATTACTCCTTTTATTGGCAGTTTGGCTTCTCGAAACATTCGGGCGGCGCTAGCAATAATGCTGTCTTCGGCGGAACTATTCCCGTGGATTTTTAAGAAAACCGGGTTCATTGTCGTGTACTTATAGCCCTGAAAACCAGTACTATTAGTTGCTGAGTTGTTTTGATTGTACTGCAGAACAGTTGTCGTTACAAACCTACAAAAAACATATACAAGTTCGTTGAGGTGACGAGCGAAGCAGAGGGAATTTTCTTGTCGAAGCCAAATCGCCCGGTTGCCAGGCCTAGGGATTCTTCGTCCAACGGTGTGCCGTTGTAGGCGATACGATACACTGTATCGCGGTCCACCGCGAGAAGATATTCGGGAAAAGACAGCAAAGTCACCACCGTAATCTACAGCAAAACCACATTAGTGTAGTGCAGTGTGCACAAGTAGTACAGCACTTGCACTTACCGGCTGCACTGAAAACGTAATATAACAGCATAACGAAGGAAGATTTGATTGCAGAATATCTTACTTGCTTTTGGCAGATGCTGGATTCTATTGCGTCCAAGACGCAGTTCGTCCCGGCAGGATCATCTCCTCGGCTATCACCGCCTCCGTAAATACCGGATCTGCCGCCCTCTCCGCTGTGATAGCCATACAGTGAAGGCCGCGTTTGACTGTTGAGTACTGAAAAAGTTCGTGTAAGTACTTGTATACTAGAAAACTCTTAAACACGACCCTTCATACAGTATGAACCTGTATGATAAAAAAAGAGCATAAACCGTGGTACGAAAAAATATAAACACTGATTTACTTTGCAAATACAATGGCAGTAGATTGGGTCCGGATGCCGATGAGGGCGCCGGACCAGATGGAACAGGCGGTAGTGGCGGCGCTGGACCGATGCGTTCATGCGGTAGCGGAATATTCGCCATACGGGACATTTGTTGTAGTTCCAGTCCGGCTAACACCGACGCTCCCAGATAATCATTGAGCATCATTATGTCGTACAAGTTGAACACATCGTTCTCCAAGCGCGGATCGAGGGTGGCGTCCAAAAGGGGATCTTCGGTTGTAGTCGGACCACGCGGTCGTCGGGCTCGGATATTCTCCTCTGTTGTTAGTCAGCACAATGGAAAAGCGAAGTTATTTGTTTAATAAGAAATCCAACAATGTTTACATAATTTACCGATATGGATGTTTGCAATAAAAACTTATTTTGATATCAGTATATCGAGGTATTCTAGCATATAAATAGCAACCGCGGTATTATAAAAAATATTACTTAACACGCATTCTAAAGCTATATTATTCAGGCACGCATTAGGTGCTTAAGAAGTGCATTATTTTGCAATTATAATATTGGTTATATACTCAAAAAGACATAGTTTCGAGCAGATATTATATTATCTACAATTTTAAAAGTATTATTACTGCAAAGCTCAATGTATAGCCGGTAATTAACTACTCAGGTAGACGTAGATGCTGTAGTTATTATGCCGTGACCTTAATTGAATCTAGTTGTCTAAATTCTGTAAACAGCATATGACTGCCCGGGAGCACGAGCATTGTTCACTTCAGTAAAATTATCTGCTTTCCTACAAGTTAGACGTTTGTCTTTAGAGTTTATCTACTTGCTTACCATCAAGATTTTCCGTCGAATTGCTGCGCGATCCGTTATCGATGTTAGTAGAAGGCCTTTCCGATCCATCGAAATCAATCTGGTCAGCGCTGGCAGAATCAAGATTCTGCATGGCTGTGTGTTTTGCGGCTAGTAGAATCATGACCAAAATAACCGAAACCCCAAACCAACAATCCATTTTATTTCCGATAATAATGTTGTTTTTAAAAGAATACAAGAACTATCATAATCCTGGTTTTCTACACCAAATCTCTTCCGCGCGCGCCAGCGGCAAACCTGCTGTATACAGCAAGGTACCGCTGTGATGTCCCTCACAAAGTTCATGATATGGGCCAGAGTAAAATGCTGACATTATGTTCTTTTATTAGGTAAATTTTTGCTTTGCTGACAAGCTGATTTGCGGCTGTACTGAAAAATATCGCCTGACTTTAGTGTTCTTCTGAATGCCTTGCTTTGTACACCTGTACATAGTTTTTTCGTGATTCCAGGGATTTGCAGAACAATTATTATCAATCACAATCTACCAAATCAGACCTTAGGCAACAAATAGCTAAAATATTTTTGTCATAACGGTCATGTACAAGTATTATTCAAGCCGCAAATTTGAATGTCATCCGGTAGTTTGATTTTTGTTCAATCTCTTATTAAACTAAGTAAGTACTATAATAATTTTAATATAAGAATGTCATAAATTCAATAATTACTGATATTGCATACCGAGAATTTCCATTTGGTGTGTACGTACAATAATGGTACTGTATCAACTCATTGTCAGCTAATGTTCGGAATATCAGCATGATAGCGTTTCGTTAACATTTTTTTGTTAACCATGGCCAGTCATATAAGTTCGTGCCTTTTCTGATAATCAAGCGTTTTTCTTTCTGACACTCACAATTATGCAAATCTCAGCGTTATTTCGCGGGCGGACGTCGGGATTTGTCAAGAATGAATGCGCAATTATGCGGGCAATAGGCCTAAAGGTTGACCGCTCCTATACGATACTTTTTTTATGTTAAACCGAAGTCAACATCCCGACTTCGGTACTTCAGAACATCTGTGTATTCCGAGTCTGGATTAAAAATGGCCCCGCGTTCCAGTGCGCCGGCCGTAATAAGGACGGCAGCCGTAATAATGGTAATAGTTTGTCTGATAAACCATGCCACTGTGGATGCAGCTTTCAGGGATGCCATCGCTTTCCGCATGGTACGTGTTACCGCTTTTTCCTTCTTCTAGTCTTTTCTACTATCTTGCAGTAAGGTAAGATTCTTACGTTTAATGCCAAAGAACGGTCTTAATTATATCTTATATTCTATGGAAATCATGCTGTTTTGTCTGTTGTGGCCAAGGTTATAAATTAGATCTTGCTCACTGTCAGCATAGACACGAACCATGCACGTCAGTGCATAATCATAAAAAATTAATCGAGAACTACAGTAGTTGCTGTTGAGTATCTGTCTCGTATCGCGTTCTAGAATTAAGAATATCGTTCTCCGGAGAATATTATTTTTATTATAATGTTGATGTTTTGTCATAAACGTAGGTGCGACAAGCTGATGGTTTAAATATGACTGCTGGATCCCTGGATGTCAACCCAAATGACTTTCTGCGTAAGCTTCCTTTGTGTAGTAGGGTAGTGTATAAATTGTAGGTATTATGAGCACAATGACATAGAACTTGGGAATTTATCGGTGTGCAGAAAACGAAACGTATATATCTTTCACAATCATACAATCCGTAAAAATAATTCTGTTTGTGTTTTAGCTGTAAAAAAGGGTCAGCATAGATCTGGAGGAATAAGTCCGCCGGAAGGCGGGGCCAGTCCACCCGAACCACCTAGTGGGGAAGCGGCTTCCGCTGGTGCCTCCGCTGCGCAGCTCCAGCAGGTATAAAACGTTCCAAAGGGCACAACAAACTTTTTCCCATCCCACACTTATGGGAATTATAATGATTGGCTTAACTGGTCTGTTATTGTGCAGCTACTTAGCCTGTTGGTGCCATTGTTAAGCGCCGGAAATGCTCCTGCGGGCGGAGGGGGCGCAGATCCACCCATGGAAATGGGCTGATCGAACCCAGGGAGACTGTGGATTTTAGCTTCACCATACGAATTACTGATAAATTGCTTATACGATTTACATACGGTGTGACGAGGAAAGCGGTGACCGCAATACACGGATAATTAGTACTAGTATATCTATAATGATCTGTGTGATATGCATACTGACATATAAATTCAATGGTGGATTCCTGTCGTTAACAACTGCTTTATTGTTTGTAATGGAGCTGGCTTGGTTTATGCTTATTTAAGGTATACTTCTATTTATTCTTTATTGCAAGTTGTGATTGTTATTGTAGTAAAGGGGCTTTATACGGAACGTTATGCCTTATGCCATAAAGAGGTATTTGCTACCATGCGTTTCTACCAGTGCTAACATAAGTTCACTGTATTTCTGTACGTTTACCGCTCCGTTACTGAACCTTGCCGCTTTTGAAGGCTTAGTTGTTGAGGAATGCAACGCTTTGATTTTATCTATTTGTTATTCCCCGTATATCACAGAAATTTTTGAAAACGTCCAATGCGATTAAGAAGCAACGTATCTAACTTTTGAATTACAGTAACGCATAAAAATCTGAGCTTTGCTAACAACCAGAAACGTATTAATTTAAATCCTTTTTGAGTATGCTTTTCAGCAGTGATCTTTGAAGTAATCATCCTCTAATATGTCATCAACAGGGTGGTTGTTGGGTGCAGTTGATGAATCCAGATTTACTTCTTCCGGTTTTCCGTAAGGGGTATTTGTCGACCACCTTAACAATATTATGATCTTTGGTTAACATGTTCTCTTCCATAGTTTACAATACTCTGTACGTGAAATCTCTATAAGTGCTCTACGATACTAGCTGTACCTGCATTTCCTCTTGTGCTATTTCGTATAGCCATCCCGTGCGGTAAAGGTATCTAAAAGTAAATTATTATTAATTTTTCCAAAGTGCTATGGAATATGCCCGATAGCCCGTTACGGCAGGGATCAATTACAGCACTTTTTATTGTTTATTTCCATTGCACCGTCAATTTCATTCGGTCCGCCTGGAACAACGTAAATCGGCTGAGGACTAAATCTGGGATCAACAGGCGGGTTGGCTAACGGCTGATAAAATATAAAATGCCGGTCTGAAAAATAGGTGAATAATGTGATAATGCGGCAAAGTTAAACAATATACTACTGCGGGAGTAGACAAATAATAAACGCTACCTGCGTGCAGGCTTCTTTCGCACTTAGTGCATAGTACCTGATATTAACGCTACTTACCCAGAAATAATGTCAAGGTGTGATCGTTAAATCGAAAAGCCCCGCGGATTGCTTCTTTTACTTTAAAAAAGATGTTCTCGATGCCAGTATGTTGTGCTAATACGACAGATTCGTTGCTTAATAGCGATACATTTCTTCCCTGGAATAGAACGCAACCATTAATATTTACTCGTTAGTATGTACTGGTGACAAAGGACAACTGTGCGCAATAAACGACAACTTTCATATAGCCCAGGCAATGAAATTTATTGTAAACGTGATGTCAACACATTTTTCTTATAACAAAAAAATTAGGTTGTATAGTATATATGAGCAGATCACATTCCTGATAGGTATGCCTGTATTCACTGCGATCTCTAAACTTCTTGTAATATAAACTTTACTATATTAATAAGGTCCTAATATTAATGGTAGGTCAGCTATAGTACCACGTATGTTATAGCACGAGGTTTATTGATTAATGCTTCAAACTGATCAAGGTAATTTGAATTTGAACCGAATTAGAAATATGCAAAAAAAGCCATGCATCTACATAGTTAAGGTCCGGTACTTACATAAAAAATATAATGCAGATCGCCTAATCGCAGCGATGCGGTGGGGATTTCCTTGAAATTTTTGTATGTTTGATCTTTGGAAATACCGTCATGATCAATAACGTCGCCATTGAAATCGATTCGGAATGTTTTCGTTTTACTCAATGCTAGCACATGATCCGGAAATGGAACCAAATTCAGAATCTTTGTCTGTAATCGCAACCTTATCGTTACTTTCGTATCTTCGCAAAACTCATTCATGTTGAAGATGATGTCTTTGTATTATGCATCGTCTTACGAAAAGAGCGAAACTTGTATTTGTTATTAATTTCGAAAGAAATTGCCCGGTACGTGGTGTCAGAACTGCGTTAACACTGTCGCAATTGCTGTACAAGTTTTGCACTTTTGTATTGCGTTTTTGTAGCCAGTTTGTTAACTCGCGGTCATCCGCGAAAACATTTTGTTTGCCACCATGGGTTGTTGAAATATTTTAATGAAATAGACAAAAAGTTTAGACAAGGTTTGGTACGGATGCCAAAATTCAAGTTATTATCGGATATTCTTAAACGTTGTTCCAAAATGCAATTAACAATAAAAAGAATTTTGAACCCAAACAAAATCTAGCAAATATTATTAACTTTATAATGAATTTTTGAATTTTAATTTATACCTTTTGTTGACTTAAATTATCTATATCTTAGTTGGTGGATGTTGTGCACGTTTTAAAACTGAAATAATTTAACGATGCAAAAACTAAAACTTGTTCGCCGAAAGTGAAAGTTTAGTAGATGTGCAAGTCGGGTACAATGTACCGAACTACGTAATTCCCAGTAGATGTATTTTGCATAAATCATTATATCTGTATTTATATATCAAACTTTGATTTACTCGTACCTCGGGGTGACATAAGGTCTCTTGCCCAGCACAATTAATGAATTTTTGAACGCGACTGTATCCAGTTGCTAATTCGTTAGCATCATCACTGTAACGTCCTCCTCCACCAAACCCACCCGTCACTAAAACCAGAAAAACCTACTATTAAGAGTTAATATGACTACAGTCGCCAAAGTTGTCATTTTGTTAAATGTCAGCAAACCTGTAGTATAACTGAGTTTACTATCTTGTAAAAGTTTTGAAGGCACGGATTTGGAGGAGAGAACCAGTATTACTACGTGCAGGTTCCAGGATAGAATTTTATTAGGTATTACTCGAAAGAATAGTAATGCCAGTAAAAAAACCGTAAGTGCACTATCATCTGATCCGAATGCATCTTGTGACCTTATCACGAATCACGATTATATAATTACAGCGTAACGAAACCACTCACGCGCGAGAATTTGCGCAAGCAATAATGGGTCCAGTCCGCCGCCGGAAGCGGGCGCTGTAGTCGGAGGTGTCGGTGAAGGAGTTTCTCCCTCCGGGAGCGGTTCGGTGGGAGATGCGGCTGTAGTTGCTTGTTGTGACTGTAACGCCGCCAACAGGGATATTAACAAGTTAACCAATCCATACAAACGACCAGCCTCGTAACTCCCAACATCACGTTTTTGGCGCGGCTGAGCATCGTTTACGAGATTACCTTGAAAGGCAAAAAATTGGTAAGACTTACCGTAGATTAAGGTATATAGTATAAGATACGGGATACAGTAATTGTACGGTATAATTCTTACTGCTACGGCAACACATGTACTTGTACAGCTGTAGTCGCAGTTACGGCAGATGGTGGCAACCGTACAAATAATGTGCTGTTAAGGCAAATCAGCAAAACTATTCAAATGAATACTCACGAATATGTTGCAATTTCACCGCTACATCGTCGTTGCGAAATGGTGGTGGAGCAATCACCTGGGGCTGCTGCATTGCTGGTACTCCTAATATTCCAGGAAGCAGGCAAAAGGTCATCAAGATGGTATTTTCCCATTCCGAAATCGCCATCTTTAATTGTCGTGACCCAGTATTCCGATACATCAGCTATTACAATCTGCATATTCTGGAACCCTAACATGATAATTTCCGAAGTGGCACTTGAGAATGCCACCAACGGCGAGTTAATGCTACGTATTCGATGATTGCACTTTTACGGGCTTAACGTACGTAGAGTACGACACGTTGTGGGTTTTGGCTAATAATTTTGTAAGAAAGCTAAACGAACTGCAATATCGTCCTCGGCGATTCGATTGAGAAAAGTGTGGCGCATTTTAAACAATCGGTAAACTGCTACCAAAGCAAAACTGTTTTTGACCACTTGAAACGAACTGCACATACGGGCAAAAGTTTACGACAGTACAGATAGGTGGTAGTTTCGGTAAACTGTAGTTTCACTACACGTACGGTTTCCTGTAAGCCATTTGGGTATAACTTTGCAAAGTAGTTGTAGGGATCGTAAAAGCATCCATTACTTGTCGCTTACTATGTCACATTCTTTTATTACCCCATTACAAACATTTTACTAATCTTTGTTTTATCATAGTATATCTAACTAGTACTTTCATATATCACAAAAATTTACAGGTAGAAACTGCTTGAATTAAGCAGTCGGAATTGCAGTTTGTCAGGGTATTTCTGTGGCGCCGGCGTGCGCCTCATGTCGCCCAGCACCGCCGCATTCTGGCGGAAACAGATCGGGACATTTAAGCCAACCTTGTTTCGTAGAACTGTATACAGGAAACTCACGTTCCACCTGTAATACGTAAGCAAATAAAAGAAACACGATTACGTGTACAAAACAATCAGCCAGCAATTTTGCGATGCCAATTATAAATTATTAAAAAGTACGAACCTTCATCTGATCTGAGGCCATCTCGAAAATTGTACCTCGTCTGTGTAAAAATCTGAAAGCACGTAGGAATACTGATCATGTATCTGTACAGCCTTATCAAATATTATGCAATATTATATTTTATTATATAAATTTTATTGCAACATTATATATCATTGTAATATGGCTGTGTTTTGAAAAACTCGTTTTTACACAACTCCGTCGCTTCATTAGAGGATATCTTTCATCCTCCAGTTTAACGTCTTATGGTACGAAATAATTATATTTTGGCAAATCAGCTGCAAAAGTGCAAATTACGTGCCAGATCGCGGTTAGCATTTGCAGGCTACAATGGTGCAGGCTGGTGCTACATTTGCAGGCTTGTAGGTATCGATTAGAGGCTTGACCTATCTTACCGTTTGTTTTTTATTGTAAAAACGCTGTCCACAGTGGGTGGTGCACCTGGCACATTGTCCAGATATTGTGGGCTGTAGCGGGGGTCAACGTTCGGGTTGGCTTGAGGTTGAAAATAAACATATTTGGTACCTGCCAGCGTATAACATCTTTTATGGTTACAGTGCATGTAAAATAATTTTAAGCGTTAGGGAAAAAAATATGCACGTACCAGAAATGAAAACATATGTGTGGTTATTGAGCTGGAATGCGCCGTTGACAGGAATTGGAACTCCCGGAAATCCCTCGGAAACCAATCGCGGATATTTTCCGGAGGAAGGATTAAAATCTTTATCGTACTTTGAATATTTTCCTCCCTAAAAATGAAACGGTTATACCACACATGCACTGATTTTAATAATTAAATTTCAAATTAATTTTGTGACAACTACAGTGCTATTTACTTGGAAGACAAAATGTTTTCCTTCAATGGTTACACTGGCTGTAATATCGTCCATTCTTTTATCCAGAGGGATAGGAGTCATATCTATTGGATGTCCATTTGCTTTAACCCGGTACACGTTGCGATCTTTCACGATTACCAGGAAGTTCTTCAGCGAAAGAATTCTTGTAATTGGTAACTATAACAGAAATATACCGAAGTATATTCTAAATTCCTCTAAACCTTTCAGGTCATTTGGAGTAATCCATAGATCACAATGTTTTTAAAAGCTCGATCTATGCATTATGCGCATCCACATACATCATTACAAACAGCACTTCTGTTGCGCGGAACCGTGCAGTTAATTTCGGGATCAAAATTCTGCTTCCATTCAATGCGCAGGCTGGGGTTACGCAAACTGGTCGATACCACATTTGGATCTATTCTGGCTTCATCGATAGCCACCATGTTAGCAGTAGCTGGTGCTGTTAATCCCGGTGCAGGATTTGCTGCCGGGAGTGCCACAATACCGGCTGGACCTCGTCGCGTTTCTACACTTTCTAGGCTCTCAGTACTAGGCAGGCTTTGGCCACTGATGCCACTAACGCTTCCTCTTCCAGGTGTGAGCCCACTCACTAAAATAATAGTACACTTTCAAATGTTACGTGTCGTTTAAAAATTAAAAAAATTTCACACCCTATAATTTCCGCATCACACGAACTACATACACTTTTCTAGCATTTTAAGAGAGCTAAAGGTCAAAGTGAAACACTATGTTTGCTACCCGATACAGAAAACATACAGCAGCGAATACTGCGTAAAATCTGCTGACCGCTGTTGGATTGAAAACTTACACAAGAGTGGTAGCAGTGCTGTCAAAGGTGATTGTGTGGTGGCCTGATCAGCACCTTCCTGTCGGCTAGGATCCGGAGGTACGGCCGGCAAAGCCGCCGCTAGCTGTAGCACGGTCTGCAGCAGGGGTACCATGTGGCCGAATTCGTATGAACCGGAAATGGAGCGGGCCTCCCGCTGTACCGTTGCTGCAATAGAGGATACCTTTCATCCTCGAGTTTTACATCTTATGGTACGAAAGAATATGTTGGTTGGCAGATCAGCTGCAAAAGTGCAACGTACGTGCCAGATCGCGGTTAGCATTTGTAGGCGGTATAACAGATTCCGTGGATACAAACAGATGGGAAATGTCCACCGCTATTTCGGCATCAGCGTTTGCATCCGCCGTTGTAACATCGCGGATAATTGTTGTAGTGTGTGTAGTTGCAGGAAAAGATGTAACAAATGTCGTGCATAACAAAAAAATAGTAAGTATCGCGGTGCACAATTTTGTACCCATGGCCATTGTAGTCACCTTTAACTGCGACGCAGTGTTACTACTGCCGACATTGCTGTTGCGTTGTAGGAGCTGTAGGACTCGAGGCGTAATGCTAGAGCACGCCGAGTCTTTCGCACTTTTAAAACAAGGTTATCCAGGAAGCGAACGATCTGGTTTGTTTGTGAGTAACTGTGATAAGCGTATAACCCAGCTTATTAGTGTGAGGAAAATACCAGTCGTCCAGTGTCCACGAACTATACGGTGCAATATAATGCCGGTATTCGGCACGACAATGTTTACGGGTTAACAATCATAATCGGGCAGTTTCTAGCAGATGCTCCGGCAACGTCGAAACAATTCATAGAAATACTACTCAATCGCTTAACATACGAAATATTGCGTAGACAATAAAGCCAAGGGCATATTGGTACAGGTGTATATTGTGCCTTTCAGTAATTGGAAACAACGCATACAATTAAGTAACCAGTATTTGTACCATCAAAAAGTTAAAGACTGCAGAACAAAGACCTGCGCTAACATTTGCATATCAAGTTATTCATTCTAAAAACTTTTGGTTTGTGTATGTGAAATGATTTACTGAACCACATCAAAGACAACTTGAAAATGTCAAGGGGTTATAGACGTATAATTTTAGATTCTGTGGTTTAGGAGCGTTGAAAGATACGATTGAGTGCGCCAATTCCAAAAACATAAGCTGGATGATTGCAATATGGGTGGTTATCGTGTCTGAAAGCAAAAAAACTCACTAGAGGTTCACAATCAGAATCAGAAGCAATCAGACGATCTAGCGCACAGCTAAAACTGACAAGAAAGTCAAGCTGAGACAACTGCAGAAATACTTAAACGTACCCTTTATTGTAAGGTTACACAAGCGGTGGAGTGATATTTCATTTCTTCAGATATGCATCGATTTTCGGGTCGTGCTTTACGGTGTCCACCACTTTCTTGACGTTGGGAAACTGCTCCGCGCAGTCCGCACCAGTCAGCTGTATGGTAATCAGCTGATCGACCACTGTAAAAATGTACTTCATTAGCAATAAATGAAAAACCTTTTTCCAGACTTGTTCCATCTTGTGTTTACAGGCAGACAATGCTCAGATGCTGCCTGTGTTTACACTGCTGAATTTGTAAGCAGAATTAAAAAGTGTACAACATTACAATACATACCGTTGAAAAGCGCCAGGTCAGCCAGCGACAACTGTAAAAAAGAGCGCAGACTCATAGTATGTACTATACAACAGCAGTATTTTACCATACTAATAATGTTCCAGTACTTACTAGTACTCGCACTTGTTTTGATAGGAACAACAAATACAGTAATATTATTGTGGCGATTATCATCTTGATAAGTTACCTTATTTCCAACCACATGTCCATCCTTCCCGTGTTCTTGGATGTATTTATCAAAGATTTTGAAAAATCCCGGAACGGTTTCGTCCTTGAACTTCTTTCCTTCAGCAGCCTAACAAGCAAATTTTGTATTCGTAAAAGAACAAGAAATTTCATTTAATGCAGCCGCTAAGCTAGTTGTGCTTATCGAAAACTGAAATAATCACGATATGACCTACATTAATGAGAAAATGGTAATTAGCAGAATTACTGGCGGCGAAATTTTTTTGTAATTGGAGCATTTGGGAACTGCATCGTTCTCTCACTTACTAGTACTACATCGCAGATAATCTGACCTTTCAAGATCACTGCGTTTACCATGCACGATCTTCTTATTTTCGATTTACTATAGAGGAATATTGTATACCCTACACATTTATTATATACTTGTCCTTTAACTTTTAAATCATATAAATACATGACCGTCAACAATACCTTTTGAGATTCCTCGGTTCCGTATATGACCTTCATAGCGGCTTGGAAGACGTCCATTGCCGCATCGTTGAACGAATCGATAAGAGCCTCTTCCCATGCTCCCGATCCCATCAGGCCTGTATAACACACAAAACAACCAAGTCATGGTGTGACGCGCTAATCAATCAATACCGGTGCCACATACACGACCTTGAAATACCCCAACATGCACAGCTATCTAGCACACATCTGGGAATACACGAAAATTCTGTACAAAATAGGTACAGTATGCCTTTGCAGGCGAAGATGCAACACATACAGGTAGCTATAACAATTTCCGTCACGCACGAAAAGGGCGAGCTGATTTTCCCGTTAGGGACGTCTAATAACGCGATAACAGTATCAATGAAAACAATTTTCACTTTGAAAACATTAAAAACATTGCAAACACAGTGGGTCGCGAGCTGGTGCAGTCATGAGATTTTTGCTAACAGAACGTTGCCGTTGCAATATATACAGCTGTGCATAACAGTACAGTAATTTAAAAAATTAAGTATGCTTTTTGAATTTCCTACCGTGCTGCCTGGCCACATAACGAACCATGGCGCCGCTCTGTCCCAACATTTTTCCGTCCACTTCCAACACCGGCAGTTGTCCATAAGGAGTGCCTTAGAAACAAGTATATTAGTGCTTATAGTTATAACAGAAACAGCAAAAATAAAATATGCATGTTGAGAAAACAATAACCACAGTCTGGCCACGCTCTCGCGAAGCTTTTTAATTTATTGCCAATTATACCAGGTTTCATTGTGCCCCAGTCGCCTTTTGCCAAACGGTTATCTTCAAACTTCTGTCCGGCCGCAGCCAGAACCAGGCGGGCGAGTTCACCGCGACCTTTCATATCGAAGTAGCTAACTTTGTAAGAAGGCATTGTTGCAAACGTAAAATTTCGCTACCAGCTAGATTAATGATTTCGTCGGCACAAATCTCACTCGGATTCCGTCAACCGCAAATACAGAAACGAATGCAGACGCCACGCTCAGAATTCTGGCAGTATGTTTATATACACGCTTAGACAGGTAGCTGCAAATACATAAAAACGAATCGATATCTAAACCATTTTCCTATATAAACTACATGTGCAATTACATTACATGTAGGTGTGGGCGCAGAAAATCTGGACGAATTGGAGACCTTTCCTGTGACGTGGAGAGCCATGTTACACTTGTACGGTATTCCAGTAAGTTTTCGATATATTGGCCATTTGTGTTATCGATTTAATGATCTACCGCTGTGCGATTTATGTCACGGCCACCGTTATTTCGCTGCAACTATAATACCGATGTCTTGGTGCTATTAATTTGGATTAGAATCCGTCAGCCTGCGGCTGCAGCAAAGGAATAAGCTTCTTCTCTGCGCCTTTAATTGTCACGCTCACGAAAACAGCAATCTTTTAATGATCGTCACGTGCACAGGAGACTTCTATTTTCCAGAAATAACATATCTCATGTGATCGTATCCGACAGGATGGCAAAGCTATAAGAAAAGCTTTGACATAGAGCATTCAAGCTTCTGCACAGCCATTCAGCTACCTGGACTATTTAATTTCCGCTGCAAATATTTTCTTCTCTAAAATGATACTCAGAAAATTCAGTTAGACCACGACAAGATGTGCACAGTCACGGTAAAGTTGATCTCTGACGAGGTTTCCGTTTCAGAGCGTTAGGCTGTTCACTGGTGGGGACTCTAACGGTAATGCAGTCTTGCCTCTGATCCGCGGTGCACTTCAGCCAGCCTCGCCCATCCGCGGTTTTCAGTGGTATTTTGCGTTTGATCTATCCATGGAATAAAACATTGTAAAAGTCCATCCAATTGATAAAAATGAAAAAATGCAAAAGGGACTCCATAAAGAAGGATGTAAAGAAAAATCCATAAAATGTACTGTACTTATTTAACAATTATGCCCAACGATGCGTATAAGCAAGTATGCATTTAAACACGAAAAACCAACTGGAAAAACCAACTTGAACTACCGTATGTATCACTTAGATCAGACAAAAACGTAACCTAAGAACAATAGCGCCGTTAACCAACTACACTACTTACTTTCATTCGACCGGGATCCAATTCATACAGCATTCCCTGGCGATAAAGAACCCTAAACAACGAAAGAAGTTTTACAACCCGCAAAACCACAACTTCCGGCAAATCAGCACTCATAAATATATCAAAGCGAGCGAAAACATTACCCAGTAGGTTTCGATTAAGTATTCGCGTTTACTGCACTTTTACTTGATACCATTCGGCAAATCAAACAAGCGAAACAATTTGCAAAACTATGTAACGTACGGTCGACGATTCAGCATAAAAACGCTGTCCACCGATGACGGAGCCCCCGGAATGGACTGCAACATCTGTGGACTGAAATCCGGATCAACCGGAGGATTAACATGCGGCTGATAATAATACAGCTTATTCCCTGCAACATACAGACAACACGTTACATACTGACCTGAGCATTATGCGGCGCAACCTAACGGACGCTTAACATAATTTTTAAAATTTCCGACTGCTGTTGATCTAACCGATTATAAAGACGTAGGTGTCGTTGGTCAAAGCAAAGACTCCATCAATAGGTCCATGTATGCCGGGAAACCCACCGGCGATGGGGCGGCTGACCATTCCACTCTGGACATTGTCTCCCGCATTATCGAGATATTTGTAATATTGATCCCCCTAACACCGTGTGGTAAACGGCATTGTGAACAAATCAGACAAAGCCAATCAAGGTGCGTTTCTTACGTGGAAGATGTACTGCGAACCAGCCAGGCTGACAGCCGCGCTCATGCCCTCCAAGGCTGGATCCAATCCCACAGGCTCTGGATCCGACGGCGTTCCATCAGGTAAGATGTTGTAAACCCGATTGTCTTTGATTCCCATGATATTTTCACCAACAGAAATAATTCTGTCAAAAGGCGCCTGTAAATAAATTCACCATAACAGGATTATATTGATAAGATCAGTTTCATAACCAGCACAGTAAAATCATACTCTATATCTAAAGCAAAACCAAACTAAACATAATACAAAAGAAGATCGAATATTACCAGCATAATAAAAACCAGCACAACAAAACACAAAGCATTTCATATAAGGCAAACCAAACTACAGCATAATGCAGACACACTATCACTGATTTAATCATAAATATTTAGCTAAGTACGCGTGTCCATAATAATAATACTGGTACTAGTATTTCGCATTTATAACGCTAAGCGCAATCGGACCAGTCCTGAGAATGAAAATCAAAATTTCAAGAAATTTAGCTGCATCAATTTATGGATCCCGAAGCTCTTACGTCTTCGCAAACAGGAGATCGTACACCATTGCACCGGATCTGCACTATTCCGTCATGGTCAACCGCTGGACCGGTAGTCGGGCTAACCAGACTACCACTGACTGTCGGTGGAATACGCAATACGGGGAAGCCATTCGGTCGAGTGAGCATCGTAGTTAACAAGGATGGGAGATATCGCGCGTTTTCCCATGATCCACTGCCAAGCAGTCCACCTAACGGCCCATCTCCCAAGGACAAACCACCTACCGTCTTCGCCACGGCTATAGTGCACAGACAAATGATTATTTGAGACAAAAATATTATTACCGTAGTTGTGAATGATCAATTGATCGTACTTAGAATGGGCAGCAAGGCCTGCAAAACCTCTGCAGCCGAAGGTGGACTAGGCAGCACGGGACTCGCTGTTGAGACAGTGGGCGGAGGCGGCGTGGGAATCTGACGATCCGCAGCGCTAGGAGGTACGGGAGGACCGTCATTAAACAGCTGATCGGCAGAAAACAGGTTTTGTTCGTTTAAGAACAATTGGGGAAATCTTCCTTCAGGAGCGGATAGCGAAGGATTTTGCTTTCGCAGTTCTAAAAGTGTAGTAAAAAAATTTGAAAAATATGGTTCGGTTTTTTAGAGCGATGGTTTATAATAGGCTGTTCCATGCGTTCAAGAAACTATGCTAAAGAGTGGTGAATATGTAAACACACTTCGTAAATAATACTAATATTCACCAAAAGCGATGCATCTTTTCTAGAAGGTCAGAATTAAACTCTGCATTTAGTTAAACGACATAAACATACGAGACGAAAGTTTTAGAAAAACACAAACTGACCTGCCAAAGCCGGAACTGGTGATGCCACCTAAATAATCCACAAAACTAATACAATTCAATGCAATCACTAAGCAGTCAGGAATACAATTTAGGCATACCTGACTGTCTTGACCATCCTGGGCGTAAGCCATCAGGAAGTCGGTTGAAAAAAGCAACATAGCAATCACACTTGCCATGGTAGCAAAATTGTCGTTTGTGAAACGCGAGGGTATAATTCAAAAAATGCTGTTTTGAATCTTTTTGTACTGATCTTTTATCATTCAGCTTGAAAGTCTCAACGGCCACAGAGAGTTATGATGCCATTGTCCAGCCGATTAGCCGACTCAAAAGTCGTGCATGGTACATTTACAACACCTGTTTTACAAGCTACGTCATGGTCTTTAAGGATTACAACGCATCGACAGGTATTTATGATGCACTTCACACAAAATTAAAAGGCCAGAAAAACGTTTACGAATAAAATAATTTTGCAAAAAGTTTATCGTGTGCGCTTTGAATAACTTCCAAAACTGGATTGCAGATACATGGCTCCGGAACTGCCAGATATCTGTGATAATTAAGAAACACAGCTTTATAGCATTTAAGAAATCTGCATAACGAACTCCATAGTGCATACTTTTCTGATAAAGGAACCAGATCTCGTTGAAAACGGTTTTGTATTTCTTGGCCCTGTATAAAACAGCAGTTTTAGTTCCGGATTAACATGTTTTCTACTGTAGCCATCGTATACTGTATACAGTTATTTCATATGCAAATTACTCATTTTTCTGGCAGCTAGCTATAGAGTTAGTTAGCAGCGGAGCATACTTTTAATGGTCCAATTATGCCCATCCGCACGGCGCTCCCTAAAACAGTCCTTAACTGTCCAAATAGATAATATCGTGCTGTTTGTTCCAGAGTGGCTCCAAGAAATCGACACATGCATGCAAAAACAACAGGAAAATGTCCTGCCATTTGATGGGACGAGATGGCAGAGTTAATATCATGCATGTTGAGGGAATAACGATGCTTGATAAAAACCTGAGCACTGGTGGAAGCCAAAGATTTGCCCTGTGAGATAAAAAAATTTCTAATTCAAAATCTGCAGTAAAGTTTACATATTTCACTAACGATTTACATATTTCACTATAAAGTTTATATGTTTCATTTATTTGAAGTATCAAATACTACTAAGTAGTAAGCAAATACGTAAGCACACTATTATGGATTCAATAAAATTGAAGAGCAACAACATTAAACTGCAAATGGATGCCTTTCCGCCATCATTCTGCGCAAATTTGCATTTAACCTGATTTAGGTAGGTAAACTGTTTAGTCTATGCGACCAGCCATCTAGTGTGTGTGACGCGTGGAAATTCTGATATTTTGTGCGGAAATTGTTTTGTTCCTCTCTCTTTGGTGTTTGGTTGATTTGCAAATGTTACACGCTGTCTGTCTTGTCATTACAACGTATTAAATTGTCATTTATATTAGTCTAGTATTGCTGCATTAAAAACTAAAACCTTATAAAACGTTTTATAAAACAATGCTAAATTACGCTTTTCCGGATGACCATTAACAAAATTTTGGCTATTTTATTAAAATTACGAGTATCTGGTCGTAGTCCAACACATGCTTTACGTGTCCCGTTATCCGTTATCCTTATGTTTCGTCGATTTTAACATCTGGTGCATCCCTACCTGTTGCAAGCTGGCTCGTTTTGCAACATGGTTGCTCATCATTATGTGCAATCTTGCATCGATCTCCGCAATTATTTTTATGGTATCGGCATTCAGGAAGGCATCCCGAAGAAAGGGAATATGCAGTGACCCTGCATTAACAAGTAACTGTGACTCTGTGAGTACAGAAAAAAACAAAATTAATGCTAAAGTAAGAGTAAGACGCACAGTACCAGTATTGTCCAAAATCGACAATATTAGTCTATCCAAAGTGGAAAATGCTTCGGGTGACGAAAGATTCAAATTAGTTCTGTTTGGAAATCCAGTATCCGTCAACTTGCACAATGCTTCAAAACCGCCAGAATGAGCATAAGATCCAATAGGAAAAGCTAGCAAGCAAAGCAAACTGCAAACAGCTGATCCAAAAACCTGCAATTTGCAAAGAAACCACCTGGAACTGTCATTTGCATCTTCGTACCGGAATCAAGAAGTTGCAGTAAGTCCAGCTCATCCATCTTTCTTTTTCGGATAATCAATGCTGCACAAATTCAAAAATTTAGATCGAAAGAAATTAACAACAATACTTTAAATAATACTAAACGTAAACTACATGTACAGTATACTCGTATAATATAGATATCAGTGTGTCGCGTGGCTAAATTTCGCAAATTTTTTCCGCTTGTTTTGGTTTCGCGTCACTGCACAGTTCTGTTATGTTATTACTATAAGTAAGTATACGGATTGACGGTATTGTTATGTCAAATTATGCGGCTCTACTGCCGATACTGCCACCACCCTAGGCGACGATTTGCGTGTATTCATTCTCACACACAACGAACACGCTCGTCAGTCTAACAAGTCACACAACTTATTATACTGTTAAAAATGTAATTAAAGAGTCTTAAAATGATTAAAACGTATTTAAAAAAGGTTTAACATTTTAGAACACAACAACAGTACTTCAAATTTTAAAATACGGGAAACGAAATGTCGTGGAGCACAGGCACAGGCGTGGAAGCCTTCAAGGAAGTTCCCTTGGCGAAAAGGATCGGCACGCTAGGCGGTGTCTTGCATATGGAACGAATGGATCATTGTTGGTGCAGACAGCACTTGAAATTTCGAAATCCACGTACGCTGCGGCAGCATCGTCAGTTGGAAATTGGAAGTGAATTGTTCTGGGCCGTCTGGATTGTTCTGGGCCTTCTCAGGCTTCTTGTAATCTTGTTTGTTTGTTCTTTGTCTCTGTATTCCGTTGTTTAGTTTACAATCTAAATTCTGTCATTGGTTCCATATCAATAATATCATTAGCTTACTGTCGTACAGGCTTTTAAATTAGCGGAACCGTTCTGGATTTGGCTGACAGTTGAGTACCCATTCCTTTGTTTTTGTAATCGTTCGGACAATGGCAGAACCCGCAGTTTCCCCGCTTCCCGCCACCACACCCGCTCCAGTCCCAACCCTAGCTCCTACGCCCCCGCCATCCACACAGGAATCTAAATGCATCGTGCTGGATTCAAAAGCTGTCCTGCGCGAAAAGCACATTAAACGGCCTATGAACGCGTTCATGGTGTGGGCGCATGAGCGGCGTCGTCAGATGTCAGCCGACAGTCCCAAAATGCACCACTCCAACATTAGTAAGATATTGGGCGCTGAATGGAAACTCCTTAGTCCAGCCGAAAAACAACCGTTTGTTGAGGAGGCCAAGAAGATCCATACTCAACACATGCTGGCAAGCATAATCTTGATTCTTACTAGTAGTACTTCCTACCAGATACCTAGGCAGCGTAATTTGCATCCATATAATTATGTGAGCTACCACGTTTTTACTTTTTGATGCCTTGTCATCTGGTTCTTTAGGATAAATCAGCCACTGCTACTACATTATGTAGTAAATTTACCATTATTGCATAGCGGTGGTAGTTTTGCTACTTTCGCACCACATATTTTCGATTAATACGAATGTCACTTTTGTGACACGGTAATATGGTACTTCAAATTTACAAGTTAACTGTTAACAAATAAATTTTATATTTCATGATGCGATCCTGCGGATCATCCACTTCGTTGACTGAAGTTACTGTTGATACTTAAGGTCTAAGGAAATTAATTTTCAGGATCACCCAGATTACAAATACCGTCCTCAACGTAAATTGAAGCCTCTCATGAAAAAAGTGCGCGCTCATTCCGCGCCGAAACAGCTGCTTCCTGGCCCAGTATCGTATTCTATAATCAGCACACCGGATGATCTGCCATTCGAAATGCCGATTGTCGGCGTGTCATCCGTGCGGGCTTTTGCCGTTGAGGATTTTCCCAGTACTCCGCGCCGTTCACTGTCGGCCGCATCTTCGCCTTGCCCGTCCAGTGCCCGTTCACCGGCGTTTGGCCGCTCCTTAGGTCGTTATCCGCCAGCCGCCCCGGTGCCGGCGAAGTCCTGGCCACTTATAGCTGGTCCTGGTCGGTCACCTGGCTCGTTTTGTCCGACTAAGCCAGTCGGTGTTTACCGTGGTCCTCTGCCGAAGTCGCCGCTAACAAAATCGACGGGGACGCCGAAGCGTCCCAGAACGTTTGCCAAATTGGAGGATTATTCGGCATATTTGTTGGGCGATGATGCATTGAGTATCCCGCCACCTCTGGTTGTTAAGAAAGTGTCAGAATTTGACTCCATCATTCATAAGCACAACACGAGAAAAGCGACAGTGGACATAAAATCCAGGTCAAAATAGCGGTCAACATTGTTGAAGTTGTGATTGTGTGTTGTTAATTTAAATTGCAGTGGTTGTTGTAATATTTTGTAGCGCATAAATACAGTACGTTGTCGTTGTGTTTTTTCTGTAGTGGCATGATTCTATGAGTTGTTATCGCATGGTGTAATTCTAATCTTCTATACCGTACGTTTGTGTGAGCGGGGATGAAAGTGCCCATTTTCTATAAAGCTTTCTTTTGTGTTTTAAATCAGTAATAGCCGATTCCAGTTTGAACTTTGCAGTCTTAATGGTAAGCCTTAAGGGCTGCAAAAATTAAAATGGGAAAAATAGTACGTACTTCGGAATTCGAATTAGTAATTACCATTCATAAACCATCGACTTCGATATTTAAGTTCGATAGTAGTGTTCCAGAATTAAAATTGCCAATTTGCTTGTAGTTGTGGAGCTTGGTGATTTGCTGCTTATAAGAAAGTAGTAAGTTCTCTTCAACCTTTGATGAGTATCATAATGCGAGTACAAACTATGTACCAAACAAAACGGCGTTTACAAAAGAAAAACTTCCTCTATGCTATCCTGAGCGGGGGATCGTGCCCATTACACAAATCGCGTTTCCCCGTTGTATTTGCATAGATACTCACTGCTTAAAAAACTCTTTCGCCCGCTTCTGGCCAGTGGAAATCGCTATACCGTTTCCAACCTTATCCACTAGCTTTTAGTTCCGTCTCTCCAAGGTCCGTAAATTTCGAAGGCGGCTGCAGCAACGAAATCGTATCTTGGTTGCAGCCAGGCGTGTTTCGCTAGTTTCTGCCTTTCCGCGAGTTCGGCTGCTGCGCCGGCGTTCACGGAGGTGCGGTCGATGTACGAGGCCGCCAGCGTGTCCACGCAGGTAACACTAACATCCACGGCCAGCGGTTTTCCGCGCGCCCACGGTATAAGTATGATCACTGACAGACAGATCACATCCGGCCTTTTCTTATCCTTCAGAGACAGACTTTTTAGTTCCATTCTAGAATGGAAGCCGGCTGACTTCAGGCCTCTGGTAAATTCCGCACTGATTCCGTCGTGTCGTGGTAGTCTTCCGGCAGACCGCTTACAGCGAAGCGCCGAAGTCCATGCCGGCCCAACTCGTCGACCAACCCTCCACAAAGTTGTAAGTAGTAACTGCGTATTTAGGTAATAATGCCAGCAGCAAAAGATAACTGTTTATGCCATTAGCCCAACAAACTGCATGTATCTGTATTGTACGAAGTAGAGTAGTTAGTAATAAACTGAGTAAGTAGTAATAAAATTTTGCTACCTGTGCTTCCTCTGTCTCTTATTTTTTCGCACCGCCGCTGCGAACTCTGAAAAGAAAGCACCCGCCACGGATGACAGCCAGCAGTGCTATCAGTTCAGTGTCAGCTGCAGATTTCGAGTAGAGATTTTATTAAAAATCGTAAGTACTTACAAGTTTTACCTAATTGTAAGTGATTTCGAGTTTTAAAATTTACAGTTTCGTTATTACGTACTTAAAACGTTTAGAATTTCAGCCGTTTGACGAATTTATCCTTCTACACTTTCTAAAGTTTTTGGTTTCTAAACCGCTAAAGGTTTCCTGAGAGGCCTTGTACAAGATAAGTTTGAAGGCCTGGTTCGCCATCTGGCTCCATCTGATTAATTTACCGACGTTCGCAGGATTTGTGAAGTGTTGTTTATGGTTTATAAAATGACGGACCGAAATCATAACGCCAAACTCCAAGCGATTGCCACAACTGGATTTGATGCCATTGCTAATAATTCATCGGAATCTGTGCATCAGTTAACCGAGGAGCACCCCCCAGTCCTTTCGGACGCTCATTCACCCCAAGCCAAACAACCCGAACCGCCCCCCACATGTCTCCTCGACCATCCCAAACTGTTGTCCAACAATTTCCATTTCCTTAAAGGTGTTGATCTCCACCATCCGATTCTGTCGCATGAAATGGCGTTCGCGGAGGCGGTCGCCACCAGGAACAACCCGACCACCATGGACAACATTCGCACTAAACTCACATCACTGCCCCCCAATTTCGCGTCGTTCAGCAAAGAACAACAGACCGCCTATCTCCGTCTGGTCGACTGTGCCGAAATGAAGCAGACCCTCAAATATGAACTGAAGAATAAAGAAAAATTGGTTCGGGATCTGGAGATGCGGTATTTGTCAGCAGACTTTGGTCTTGGGAATGTGGTGCACGGATGGGATTTGACGGGAAATTATGGGGTGGCTGATCGGCAGGTCGGTACCCCGCGGGTGGTTAGTCGAAGGAAAATTAAAGACGGTGATCGGATTTTCTCGTCATCGTCGGTGATGTCTTTCACCAATCCTGTCAAAACTTCCGAAACACATCTGCCGGAGATTAAGAAGAAAAAGGAGAAAATGCAGAAGAAAAAGCAGATAAGTACACTAAATCGTATGCAGAGCAGTCAGATGGAGATGCTGGAGACCGAAGATGAACCAGTGGAAAGGACTTACACAGTAACGGAGAAAAAGCAGAAGGCTCGTGCAGATAACGATGATATTTTGAATGTAAAACAGAAGCTTTCTAAGAAGAAAAATATGGTGACCAAGAAACCGAAGAACTCCACTGGCTATCGGGATATTCCTGCTGGCGGCAAGCATTCACTGACGACAAGTGTTACGACAAAGACGCCTAAAACACCCACTGTTTCCAAACCACCGGAGAAACCACCAATGGAAACGGGACACCGTTTAAGAACACTACTGACGAACAAAGCTCCGCATGCCGCGTCGTCCTCATTTACAAAGGTAAACTGTTAGTACGTCATTTTAGGTAATTTGCTGAGAGTTTTAAGCTATTAAACAGTCTTGAATAGAAAACAGCTGTTTTAGATTTGGTTTAAGTGTTCTGGAAATGAGAGTTTTAATAGTAAACTACTAAACTGAATTGTCTTTATTATTTATAGTATGTGACCTTTCAGATTTTTTCTGTTACTAGTTATTTATTGTAGCACCCGGGAAACTGACGAAGTTATTTAAAATATTGGTTTGTTAGCGTTAGCAACGTTTTTAGTTCACTTAATTTTTAAGGGAACAAGTTGCTTTTCACAAGGATTTTGCGTTAATATCGGTTTCTCACATTATTTAAGAAATTATTTTGGTGTAGACTCCGGTGGACAGTTTTGGTTCTGGCCGGGATCAAGGAGGAAGCATCAAGTTAAAAATCTTTAAAACACGTGCCGGCATCCAGTCGGAAAGCAGCGAAGTTCCTCCCAGTCCGGCAGCCTCCATCACACCAGTGGACAGTAATCCCGAAACACCGAGCACGCCGAATCCGCTGAACACACTCTCCAAACGCCAGCGTGGTCGTCCGCCACGACGGCTAGCCGAGTGAGAACACACTGGGTATCTGATTATGCTGTATGTTCGGCAAGCAGTGCTGTAATCAATTGTCTTTATTTTGGCTTTGTCGTGTCGATGCGCCATAATCCCGTGTGTGACGTCGACTGTTATGTTTTAAATCCCTGCGTTGTTGCAGGATCAGTTATCCATGTTGTTCGTTAGCGTTAAAGCACATATTTTTTGTTGTACAGGAATCTGCGGTTGTGTTTCGCAGTTCGCCGCTTACTCATAACGGAATGATCGGTTTTTTGTTCTTTGACATCCGTTCGTGGGCGCGTCTTGTGCAGCTGTTGTAAATCATGAAGGTGAAATAAACTTTTTGCCTACACTTTCATTTCTGACGATTGAACCGTCGTTTACAGCGGGACTTTTTTGCGATATCAAGTTATTCACACGATGTCTGTTAATTGTTTGTGATGTGTCAGATTTTTGGAAGAGGTTTAGATAGCATATCAACGTTGTAGTTCGTTTAAAAGAAGCTCAAATTTTGAAAATGTCCTTGGTGAAATTCACAACAATCTTTCAATTTATTCCGAGGTCGTTTGTGCTGTTCATATTTTTCAAACTATCTGCATGTGCAGTTTTAGTTAAAGTCGACGATAACACGATATCTGATTCTGCCGTTAAGAATGGATCACAGCGCCAAATTTCGGAAGTGCGGTCTACTTTGAATCGCGATACAAAATTTGGACGATGGTCATCGGTAAGTTTATTAATAAGTCGGCTCTAAATCATTTACACTTGCCTGAAAATATGCATATCTCACATCTGTGTTAAAAACATCCATACACAAATACAGTACGTATAATGTACTTCCCGTAAAAACTTGTTAGCTGTTTTGTGTTCACGTACGCAAGTAAAACTACATATTTTCAAATTTAAGAAAAATCAAGATAAACGGTATACTTTTAATATTATCTTTATTCTTTGTGCTTTAAACTGTATACAAGAGTTATATGTCGTGCAAACAGATCTGATCATGAAGTGCCGACATTGTAAATTCCAGTTAAACCCGAGTTTACAGTACTTACATGAATTCTTTTCAGAGCAGGATTCCTTACCGGCTGGATTCCTCTTACAGTGAGTGGAGCTTTTTATATGAAAAAAGACAGATTTTCGTCATATGTTTCGCATAACATAAGCACTGTTTTCCCCTCCGGTGTTGTACAGCTCCTTTTCAAAGAACGGCGATTCGGGAAGCTATGAGCCAGATTTCATCAGATGTCAATAACTGTGTCAGATTTGCGGAATTCGACTCGCGCACCGATATGGGAGAGGATTTCTTGCTAATCACACCGACCGACGACGGGTGTGGCAAGAGTTCATAGTTTTAAAGATAATAAAAGCTAACAGCTTTTCTGTTGTTGGTGTTTGTTTCAGAACATTACAGCAAACTTGCTTTACATCGCCTGGACGCGATACAACGCGAGGTGGGCTGGGCCAACCACTTGTTATGTTTCCCGGAACCGGCGGTAATCAACGCTAATATATATAACTGATATTCGAATCGTTATTTTTGAATACTGTACATCTTTTTTAGGATGCATGGATTCTAAGCGAGACATTATGAAGCTTCTTAGCAATGCTTTGGGTTTGCGTAATGAATTTTCCCGACCAGATAGAGACAATTTTATTTTGGTGCAACCACAAAATGTAAAATCAGGTATTGGCAAAGCGTCCATTAAGTATTTATGCTATAATATTGTACATACCTGTAAAAGGTCACACTGTCATCAGCGTATTATGCCTTTGTATATCAGAAAGCAAAAGACTGTTACGAGTACTAGCTGCTTTATTATCGCTCTACTTTATTAAGAGTTCCGTACGCTGGATCTGTTCCGGAAGTATCAACCGTCAGAAGTGGAATACCAGAATTTTCCCTTCGATTACCTCTCCATCACAATGTATTCGCAAGATCGATTCGCCATTGAAGGCACCGTCGCCTACAATCTCATCAATCCCGGTGCATTTGTGGGGAATCTGCCGCGACTTAGCAAAGGTGACTGTCAAGGCCTGACAGCGCATTATGGATGCAGCTCTCTCTTCTGCTTAGATCGTAAGTCTATATGGTCAACCCCGTTGTAATAAAATGGAACCCGTGTGAACTTCTGGGATTTGTAGCCTATGCGGATGCAAAGGATAAGAGCATCACAGCCGACGCTGCATCCTGGAATCTGGATGACTTGAACAATTTCAGTATTGCCAAAGATCTCTTTCACAAACCGAGTAAACCTAAAGCTTCCAGTCGACGGCCATTTTTGATTCGACCTATCGCTATTTTATAATCATGGACAACCGGCAACAGTTTCATCAATTTACTGCTTTTTTGATCCTTTTAACAGCAACTCAAGTCACAAAATGTACTATTTCACCATTTGCCAGCAATCCAGTACATGGCCCAACAGCATAAAAATCAAATAAATGCCTGCAAATATGTTATAAAAGCTACAGTTTACAAAAAATCCAACTGTAATGTCTAGCTGACGTTGACAAAAACAAAATCCATCACAATATAAGGCAACCTTTTCAAAATTTTAAATGTTATATCACAACATAGTCGTATTAATCAATTTCACCAAGTGAAGAAGAAAACCAGAATAATTTCCGTGCAGTCCGATTAATAAAGGTAGATCATATAAAAACAACGGTTCCTTTCGGTCTGTGTCACACGGGCCAATCATAATCCGTTTTCTTCAAATACTGGGCTAGCAACACTCTGGCTTTACTCATCAACTCTTCCCTAGTCGCATTCGTAACAGAAACAGGGGCTTTGCGTCTGACCTTTACTTCCGACGACTCAATTGATTCCGCAGGCGGCCGCGTAAACAATGGCGCAATAAACATAGGAACTTCGAAGGTTTCGTGCATCATAGCCCGTCGCTGATAGCGCTCCGCTCGCGACAATTTCTTTACTGGACTGTCACCGTCCACGGCTTCATCGGCCTTCATTGGAGATTTAGGGCGCTTTCGCTGTGCCAGCACCTCCTGCCGCTCCTGGCGGGCTTTTTCTCGCGCTAGCTGCGCCGCGGCAGACCGACGCCGGCGTAAAGTCATGCGTCGCTCGAGGTCATGGTTGCGCTGATTTTCGAAATGCTCATGGAGGCCAGGGAGAATTTTGTTTTCCAGATGACTGACCAGTGATCGGTTGCGGGTGCTATTGCCCAGTTTTCGGAGGTTAGCTACAATCTGGGTAAACTGTTCGGGTTCCGACGCTATTAGCTCCCAATCGTATGTGCCCTTTCCTCCAAGGGAATCGTAGTCGGCGTTGCTTTCTTTGTACAGCCTCGTTCCTGAATGCATTAAAAATTACTGATCACAAAGCAAATTCATCTAGGGAGCCATACTCCAGGAATTCACACAAATCTATTCTATTTTTGTTGACTCCTGTACTAATAATTTATGATTTACGAGTACGTACCCTTTCTTTGCGGAACAGTAGTAACAGCACAGACTGTCCAGTAACAGAAAGAAAATTTGCAAATTCTCGTTTACCGACTGAGCCAGAATTAAAAATTTCAGTTTGACTTCTTTCAGCATCGGTGGGCGTTTAGCCTGTAGGTATTTTGTTCGAATTACATTTCTCTTTTAAATTTTAACCAACAAAATAGCGGCAGTTCATTATGGTCATAATAGGAAAGAAAACCAATACCCAATGAAACAGCCTGAAATTTAGAAGCCCGTTTATTGGAAGTAATTATTATCCGGGATTTCTCAGTGTGCACCAGTGCGGTATTGTTTTCACCCTGCAGTGATCCCTGTGGCTGTGGGAAAACGAAATAATAAAATACAAAAAGATTACCCGTTCCAAAACGATAAAGATAAACTGAAGGCGCTGATGCCGAATGTACGAAGAAACAATTAATTTCACTTCTCGAGAGACGATGACAGCCCTGCACTTACCGCAGAGATAATAGTACGTATTGCCCCGCTGGTCCGTTCCAATGGGCGAAATTCTCAAAACATCATCCTCCACCGATTCGATGTAATTCGTCCTAATCAGATAGTTCATCATCCAGCAGTTCAACAGGACCACCATCACCTCTGCCTTCATGACCGGGGCCAGAGAGTGAAAATCCAGCAGGGCCATGCGCGGCGTCTCCACTTTCACTTCTGGCACGGCCTCCGTTGACGACGCGGTGACGGCGTTCTCCGCACACTCACCGGTCACCGCGGTGAAGGGGCACGGCAGATCGGTTGGGCAGTACGCCTGCCATTTGCGGATGGCCAGACTGCGCAGAATATCGAAACAACTGTCCTCCCGCACGTACGCTTGACCACAACCCTTCAGAAGGCGGATGATAATGTTAGGCAGAACCAGCGGATCGAACTCGTCCTCTGTTTTCGCATCCGGAGGAAGGAGACTGTGTTCGTACTCGGAGATGCCCAATTCAGGGAGATTCAGGTAGCCCTTGATGACATTATTAAACGTGTGAACAAAGTTAGGGACGGCAGAGGATCGGCGCAGGATGGTCAGTGGCTCGTCCATTGCGCTGACTGAGCAGATAATGCGGATTGGCACCGCACTACACTCCACCGTAGCAACACGCTCTCAGCCAACCCACCACACAGATGTCCAACTAAAAGTTTTGCCAGTCTCAGTAAATGAATATAGGCACAGAGAAAAAGAGAAAATTAATACCAAAATAACTTCTCGTAGAAGAAATACTGACAAAAATTACGAGGGTTTTCCTGCTCAAAAGGTGAGAACGGATTCGAAACGAAAAACCTGCATGCCCAATTCATGAATTTTTTCTGCTAGATAGGCGTCTGCAATCTCGATCCCTGGGAAACGAAACCAAGCCAGTCAGCAAGCACAGCACATCAAATCCACTCTTTAGTCTTTACTCTTTATAGCACGTAAGTACTAACTTTTTTATACTGCGCACTCGTATACTGTAATAGCAAAACGTCTTGTTAGTGCATTTCGAACGCTCCAATAATACGAGTACTTAAGTAATTCTGACATCAGTTAATTTTAATTTATCATTACTGCACTATAAGTTTCTGTGCCTTTTTCTGAGCTTCTGCGAATTTTTAAAAAGAACTTTTGTGTTGATCAAGTAGAACAGAATTCTTTTTACAAATCCCAGTATTATACACTGTGGAATTTCAAGCCCTGTGGAATTTTGAATACTGTATTATAAGCATAATATGGATGTACTTGTACTTGTATTTTATCTTGCACTAACTGTGCTAATAATAATTTACTATAACTTATTATATGAATATTGAATACTAATTAATTATCTGGTTCTGTGCCAGAATTTCGACCATAACGCAAGATCTCAGCTTCTGCTCGTCCAGTTCTGCTGCTCCAAGATATAACATAATCTTTTCTGCGCGGCGAGTGTTTGTAAACTGTGGGCCGTTTGCCATCTTGATTATTAATTTTAGGCCCAGTGGTCACTCCAAAGCTTGTTACCATGGATGCCATTGGGATTACATGTGTCTGCTTTAATTTGCTACCATGCACGGCATTACTTGTCAATGTTCAGTTCAAGTTTATTTTTCATTGAAAGCAGCAATAAAAAACACCAAGCAGCTAAATTAAGTACACATTAGAAAGTAATCGGATACGATTAGTGGATCCGATCTGTGACGTTTCAAAATGCAATAGTCATAAGCCAGTTTTCATCCGTGCTTAGCTAGTTTTTATGCTAATTGAGCTACGTGGTCGTTTCGGCAGCTTTGAGCTGCCGGAAGGACCACATAAACATCGTTGATCACTGCAAGGTCACTGCTATATGGATTGCACTTCGGTCGTAAATCCTTTAGATCTCGAATTGAGGTATGGAGTCGTACATAGGACGTTGTGAAAATGTCGTGCAATGAACTGGGATTGCACTGGGCGGCATAGCTCGGCAAAAGAGTACTTACTCGGCAGGCTAATCAACTACCGAGTACTTTAATGCAAAAAAAACTAAACAGATAAAAGCAAAGATATGCTTCTAGGTTATGGTTACGGCGTGAAATGGCACAATAATAAGTACAAACAAAGAAAATTTTGAAATGCATCTACTACTTGCTGACGCCAAACTAATGTACCACTGCAGTAGGACATCCGGGGGTAGCCGAACATTCTTTACATGCTCCAAGGCACCTTACACCAAGTTCTGAAATATCGAAAAACACAATACCATTACGTTTACGCACATGCGCTTAATCAAACATAATAAAATCGTAAATTATGAAACCGGCTTGCATAAAACTGGATAACAATTCAAAATTAACAGCAAATATGCGTCAGCTAGAGAAATACATATAACACAGTTCGGATCATATTATCATCACACTGAAACAGCTAAGCACTCGTAATGTGGCGCTATACATAGTCATTAATCATCTGTATTATTATAAATTTCGAAAACATTTTACAATTTTATCTTCTTCTTTATGAGGTTTATAAATTGCTATAATGCCAATCGAGTTATTAGCAACAGCATCCTGACGCTTTCCATTGCCTCATCAGAAAGGTAAAGTGTGGTAAAAGTATACATACTAGATTTAGCGGGACTGCTCCTTATTTTGCAAATGGCTTCCTTCATGGTCACCTCGGTTTTGTCGGTTAAGCAGACCTTTGTGAAAGGAGAGGGATAGCTTTTACCTTGCCATGTTTGGAATGCGTCTCCTAAAATGTGACATAAACTCAAGGTAGTAGTTTTTAACTTCAGCTTGCTCTCGTCCACCACGGGAAAAATAAAAGTAAGTATATAATAGACGAAGCCGTAGACACACAATTTTACCATCATAAAGTTTAATACGTTTAATATATTTATTTCGACAACAGCCATTATACATAACAAAATGCCTGCGCTGATTTATACTAATAAAAATGATCGAATTAAAAATGATTCTCAAAATATCTTAGTAACTGCGTTAACTTAGTATTAAACTATGGGTTCGGTTGTTTTCGGAATTTGTAACCGTAGTATAAGTAACCGTTGGTGCTGAACACGAAGAAACCAGTAAACTGTGAATATGTGACGCGGTATATATATGAATTATGTTGCTCGATACCGTTGCTGCTGAACACGAAGAAACCAGTAAACTGTGAATATGTGACGCGGTATATATATGAATTATGTTGCTCGATAAATAGGGCATAGGTGCTCACCGGCTACCAAGTTCGAGGCACTTCCGCTGGCCGAGAAGGCGTTAATTCCTGCAGGCTGACTGCCTTGTCCTGTGCCACTTGCTGACGGGTTTCCTGATCCCGATCCCGAAATATTAGAAGGCCGTTGCATGGCGGAATTGAAGCATCGTTTCAAGTGCTCTTCACCGTAACCTAAAACAAAATAATCTAGTTTTTTCGTCCAAGATACCGGGTTTTACGGTTGCCATATACGTATTCACTAAAGCGCAAAAGTGATATCGGAGTCTTGGTGCATACACGAAGCGTGCTGTTAACCACAATCCGCAAACATGGCCAAAGATTTTTTGCTGATTACCGGCATGTTCTATTCCAAGGAGTTCCACCAGCTCTTGTGGGGATGAGATACCGTGAAAATCGTCTGCTGTGAATGATTTTGATGCTTCGAGGGAGCGAGTGTTGCAGAATTCTGCAACAGTAGCCAAGTCTTCAGTGGAACTGCATCTCCTTGCAAGTGTACCAATTTCTCTGACCCGAGTAAAACAGCTTGTAGGAAAAACGTTAGTTTAACATTTAAGTACCGCTGGTTAACGGATGTGTGTCAATTTTAGCCGTTTCCTAACGTTAAGTTAACGTTTTTTTTGCAAGTTGTTTTACTCGGGTGAATGACTTAACTGGCTCTAAGGTATCTTTTTCTTATCTTGTTGCCTCGTACTTTGTATAAAATTTTATCGATACTTACTATTTTTTACTGTTGCTGTTCTATTTTTTAAAGTTTGCACTTATTATAGGAACGCCCCGGTTGTCAGCAATGACTTACTTGGTACATAATTACAGTGTGTGCCACTGCAAGGCCCGGCACAGCGTCGTCCAAGCCCTGTTAAAGTTAATATACATATATAATCAGTGTAAATCTTTTATTAAAAGTCCCGGCCTTTTTATCCACACTTTGTTAGGAAAATAGTGCACGATAACCCACGTACCTGGATCTGTTTTTTGGGCTTCCTTCAGGCTGCAGATATTATGATATTCAAAACCATCGGTTGCGCATACAGGAATGCTGGCTAGCTTTCCAGAGCAATCACAGATGCTGCTTGCAGCATTTGAAGCATGACCAACTGCTAGAACTGAAAAAATTAATAAGATGCATTATCTTGTGCATACTGTACAAATTCGTTAATTTCCACTAAAAATTTACCTAGAGAAATCAGCAAGGCAATGCCAAAGCAGTACATTGTTTCTAACTAATACTGCAAAGGTCACAAATTCTCTGACTGGAGAGTATCTGAACGGTAGAACGTGATCAGTGTTTACCGTGGTCAATATCTCAAAATATTGTTAGACAGCAAAAGAATTTATATAGAATTGCTTAGGCAGCGTCTTTAAACTATGTGCATCGTAACGGCAAAAAACCTCTTCAAATCTGATGATTTCAGGAATGTTTAATAATATGATAAAGTCATGACCTGGCATACCTCTGGTTCTCGTGCACGTATACAGCATCCGTAAACATAAACTTTAAAGAAAAATGTCGTCCCATTTTATAATCTGCTTTGTCGATTTCCTTTTATTGCACGTGAACGCTAGTGTAATGTACAGCGTAAATCACTATAACAGAGCAGAGCTTACAATCATTAATTTCTGCGTTTTGGCAGTTTCTACGAGTACAATTCTGGAGTCACCACCTAATACCTGTTAACGTTAATGTTGATATGAAGCCTGCTTACACATTAATTGATTTATATAGTTTCCTGCGTGGTATAGCCGCTGCCAAACACCCTAACATGGATATACCCTGCATTTATATTTACCCTTGTACTATTTGTATGAATAAAACTTGTTTTAAAGAATCGAACACAGCTCAAAAAGGAAAATATCCCCTTGGTAATTATTTTGCGAGCCGACATCACACATTATCAGCGCGTGGTGCCTTCATTAGGAAGTGCTGAAGCAGGAAACTGCGTCACAAAACGCCCATTCTGCGAATCACTTTTGCTCATGAATAAAGCTCATATTTTTAAATATTTTTTGCTGATGCTTCGCAGTACTGCATGCACCTGCACACTGGGGACAAGGTTTTGCTCATGCTACAATCCATAGGTACTCTTTATTACAAGCGAACGATATGCGTTGAGCATGACATCTGCCTATTCGTATTTGCCAAGAACATTGCCGGGAAGTTTTAAAGTACTAGTTGCTCATTTTTTTCCAGTGAATAGTGATTTAACCAGTAGAAGAAGAAAAAGAAGACGGAAGAGAAACAGAATAAGCCTATTAACAGTAATGCCCGAATTTCTAGTTTATGGTGTCACCTTTATGAAAACACCAACCACTACAAAGCGATGTATCACAGATATAAATACAGTAGGAGAAGTCCAAATGGTCAGCTCCACTTCTTGTTAAAACGTTACTAAGTCTCGACAATGTTGTCATCCTCGGAGTTTCTTATGACCATCGTCTTTATTACGGGGTCCAGATTCTCCATAGTCCGCACGGTAACGGCCACCTCCAGAATACCCGGCTTATCAGACGGAATGACCAACAGAGTGCTGTTGACACTGTTAGCATATACGACAAAGTCCATGGACGGTCTTATATAGTCCTCCAGTGTCCGGTTGTTGAGAGCAAACCGGTACTCCAATACGGCATGCTCGTTGGTGCTAGCGTGATTGTAGACAAACACTTTGAAGTTAGCTCGCTTCCCAACCTCCAGAGAGTGTGGGAGGTCAAAATCGACATATAAATTTTGGCGCGACGACAACTACGATAGAGAAAAACAGGTACAGTACGTGCAGTTAGAAAACAATTTATAACGAGCCATGAGTTATGACAATCTTGACAAAGTGCACGCAAAACCCAGGGGTATACAACAACAAAATGAGCAAAGGTTATATTGTAGCAAATCCCCTTGTTAAATCGAAAAAGCTGCGACCAAGATACAAAATTTTTAAAAGTACAGCAGGTACCTCTGTTGCTTTCTTCATGAAGCCTATCCCTTCAGGGCTAATACTGAAAGCCGTAAATACCCATGTTGTCAGTGTGTCAGGGATAACAGTATCCAGCTGTACATCTCCGTCACGGCTGTTTAAAGGACAGGCGAAAATTAATCATTTAACAAAACAGTGAGGGAAAGCCAAATGAATACAGCACTGTAAAAGTATGCATTGCTTTACCATATATGTATATCCTTGCACTTTCTCCTAAGTTTTTATTTATCCAACACAATTCGATAGCATGCACGATTTTGTACTTACTTCGCACGTCCCGTTATAAAAAGGAATGAATCCCGGAAATCCATACGGGCTAACACAGCATTCGGCGAAGGTGGTGGAGCACAAAGATCATCAGTGCAAGAGAGATAACTCGTTACCGGCTCTTCCACTAAATATATTAAAGTTTTTGTGCATATGACTCCGTTTTCTTGGGTAAAAAATTAAGATTTTGACTATTTGTGCCCTTAAATCTTAATATAGCACCAAAATCACATTCGGATTGGAGTGGTTTTAAAATTGCCAACAAAAATCGATTTAACGTACTCAGAAAAGCAGAAAGATGAAAATAATCTAAGTCAGCGTGTTCGGCATTCCCACTTACAGTGACTATTGGGGCGAGCAAAGTTGAATTCGTGTGCTACACATCCAGAAACCTATACAATTTACAATATTAGATGTGCGAAAAACATTTCATAAAGCAACGAGGACAAGACGAAAACGATGTCTATTTAAACTGCAGCCGAGACCAACCAAAAAATTTAGATTTCAGTATTCAGTATTAAGTATTTCAGGTTTGCAACCGAAATAGTATTCTCTATCCAGTAAAGAGGCGAACAATTTTACCTTCAAGAACTTGTGCAAATTGCGTCCACCAATCCGCTTTAGGTGCATGTTGGTAAATCCAAGATGTCTTGCTTCCAGGATTTTATTTATAACCTGAAAATGTAATTTATATCTGTTGTTAGTGCTCTCAATTTATTTGTGGTGTGTTAATAGTTATTACGAATTACAAAGAAACGACTTCTTTGCTACGCAGATGAAAGACGATCTCGATTTGCTGACCTTATCTTCTGTTATATTGTGAACATGGTCAACCGTAGCCAGACGACTGTCGACTGCCAGGAATGCCACAAGAGAATTCGGTAATGCCGCCGCATGAATGCTGATCGTCTTGTCCAGATCGCTGTACCGGTGTTGGTTATCCCGGGTTTTTGATTTCCATGTTGCATTTAGCACAACCTGAGGAAAAGGCAAAAAAGTTTGCTTACAGAGCATAAGTTCAAGTAACTGTTCAACACGTTGGTAGGTACAGCTTGGTAATTTTCAGCAACTCACTTCTTCGGACAACCCAGTTCGAGTAACATGGAAATCGCTGTACGCCATTACGGGATTCTGCGAGTGACTGTAGTAATATGCTATCAAAGTCGACTTTGGAGCCATTGCATCAGTTGTTTCGAAAGAAAATCTTCTTTCTTCCATATCGTGAGTTCCGGCCAGAATTATATTTCCGTGAGAAATCACCTGTTGAGAATCAGCTATGCTCAGAAAAACATCGCACTGGTTTTCAGAACGTTACTCTTTTATGTCAGCAACAAATACTAAACCGGCACTGATTTTGCTAAAATTGCCCTCACCACATAATCGAACGCTGAGCAGTTGCACATTATTGAAAACTCCTGTAGTCTGGGATTGTGTCTGTCTGGTTTCAGCACAGTGATATCAATAAAATCCTCAGTATCCGACCGGTCAGCTGCTAGCAGTGTGACATTATCCCGCAAATCGCCGATCTGATAGAAGACATCAATGCGCTGGGTGGTTGATTTTGGTTTAAGATCGATGGTGAAATTTTCCAGCACTTTGTCGCCCTTGGATGTTGTTTTCTTCACGACACTGCGCCCAATAGCTGCCTTTTTTGGGCTCATAAAGATTTCTAATTCCTTATACGCATCCAGAGTGCGGTCAAAATGAAGTGGTTTTCCATTATGTTGGGTCACTTGAATTTGCAGACTGTACGTGTAAGTTGGGCGGAAGAAGTCAGCCGGTTTGATAAAATTAATTTTGTATGGTGTCACATGCAGCGGTATCGTGCCGGATACGTCGCGTTTGTAACGGTAAATGTTGTCGATAACGGTAGCGGAGATTTCGATGTAGTAAGTGGAGGTGACGATTAATTCAGTGTTTGACAGAAGGTTAGGCAGTGGAATGGAAACGGATCCTTTACCGTTAACCAGCTATAAAAATACAGCGCAGAATCTTAGGTTATGAGTATTTATTATTATCATTTTTCCTACAGTAGCCAACTTATTCAGCGTAAGCTGATGAAGATATCTACCAGGCTAATGGAAAATTTTTTTGGTACATTTAAAAATTTTGTACTTTTTTTGGTTTGATTTTATGAGATAAAAGTTACCCAACCTGGGAATCGCACCCAGGACATACAATCTAAATTGGTTTGCATTTAAAGTAACGGCTTCTTTATTTTCAAATTTTGCGATAAGAAGTTTATCGCCGTTATCGGTACACGTAATTAACCAAATCAGCAAGGTATATATCTGTAGCGAGTACAGGTAATATCTGGCCATATTACGTTCGAAACTTCATTAGATATATTTAAAAATTAAAATCATACCTGCGAATTATATTTAAACGACCGGCCGTTAGGTCCAGTGACAGAGAACTCAGCTTCTCCGGAGGAAGGCTTTCCACTGCTGTAGTATCTGTAATAAGACTTACGGAAACTATTTATAAAATGCGTCCCATGAATGGGAAATCTTACTTCGCTAACACGGCCAGCGGGAAATGAGATGCATCAGCCAAGATATACTGTGGCATTTGCAAGGACACATCAAATTGTCGTGGCTCTGTATTGAAATATTAGCTGCAGGCTGTAATAAATACGATAAACCGTAACAGAAGAAGAAACTGGTGTTACCGTATTGTCGGACCCAGATCAATTTTTCTTCCACTGTATCGTGCACGGTTACTCGAATTGTCCAGTTCCCTGGGGCAGCCGCAATGGGCAGGACAAAGGAATCCTCGAAGTAACCGGGATCTACGGTACATGTACGTTTATTTTTGGTTGAATAACTTTGATAGACTGGTACCGTAACTAACAAAATTCAAAACACGTAATGATAAATCACGTGCCTGACGCAAGAGTTAAGGAGTGATAAAAGATGACCGGATATTCGATTAATTACATATGTACTCGTATGTAAAGTACATGACGCTTTTTCGATATAACATATTTTACTACATAATTTAAATAAGTATCGTACTCGTACATAATTATAGTGGTTAGATGTAACTTATTCTAGTCACCAAGTCAGCGCTTACATTTCGAGAATTTTTTGCTGATTCGTTTGTGGATTTGGACGTTTTTCCTATTAGAATCCTGAAAAAGCAGTAGTGCGCGTCAAACTTAATCCTAATATATAGCCGACACTATAATAATTATTACAGAAACGAAAGCATGGCAACACAATCCTAAACTGGATCTGCACATCGTACCTCTATGGACACAGTCGCTGCAACGTCTTTTGGGATAAGATTTTCATCAACGGTTACCACGCGGAAGGACACTTTATCGCCTTGTCTGTAGATGGACTTATCCGGTTGGATCAAAATAAACACTTCCTTGTCATGATAATCGATGTGCCAGCTCTTGGACAGACTAGAGTTTGACACCGGATCGTCGACTTCTACTTCCAGTTCGTGCTCGTATGTGTCCTTTAGGAAACTGGACTGCATGCAATAAACCGAGCACTGCATGATTACTATGTGCTGTGTATTGTGTACCAAACAAATTTACTGACAGAAGAACAGCAACATGCCACATTCGCATTAACGGTAATTCGTTACTTTAAAGTGGAAACTCATGTCAGCTTAAAATAACGCTTGCAATATTTTTTTATAAACGCAAAAGAATCAAAAATGGATTTTTACAATCCAGCTTCGTTCAAATTCTGATTTTAATAATGTCTAAATTGTACAACTTACCGGCATTGTTAAGTCAATTTCCGTCAGTCCGCCGCTCTTTGACAAAGCACCCCCATTTTCCTTGACGATAATAGCTTTTCCAGTACTATTGCTTTTAGCGATAATCTTGGCAAAAATTGACAGATCATCCGATCCATAAAATTGTCGCGCTATAACTTTATACGCAGCATCCGTTTTCAGCATTTGCGGCGCATAAACCAAAACTCGAGCATTTCCCAAGAGATTTATCGTTCCTCGGACTCCACCTCTGCCAACAATGTTAAAGGATCAAATAATGGTTTCACCAATTTACTGCCGTAAATATGTAAAATTACTAACCTTTCCATTAGTACACCGTTTACAGCAGTATTTGCCAACCATGTTAGTACGATAAAACAAAAACAGAAAAATCTTCCAGAATCCATTTCCGGTAGACAACCAAGATTATTTCGATAATTAGCGATATGTAATCAGACTTAACCACAAAAACACCGATCAAGTTTTAGCACACGTACATCCTCACCGCGTGTCAATGACTGCAGTCTGCAGTAGTATTTTTGTAACAGATAAAATGGCGGTCGCATACATCAAAACACTATAGAAAACCGGCCTGAACGCTAATGTTTAATGCGAACCATAACGATACGTCCACAGTTCTACACAATCAATATGACGTTTTTACGCGGAACTGCTTGATCCGTAGTAAAGGGCATGACTGATTTTTCTTGCAAATGTTATCGATAAGCGATGGAGTTTGAGTTCGATGGTATCTGGGCAGTGAACAAGTTTTGGTTTTAGCAAGCGTGATGCCGATTAGGAAATCACTTGTGCCACATTCACGAATCTTTTGAAAAACATTACCATACCTTTAATGTATACCAATGCCTGACTTCTGCGATCGCCTTAGAAATAGTAACGTAGACATACTTTTCAAGGAAACTAAATCGATTACTTCTGAGTGCATTAAAACAACGTTTTAATCGTGCACGTAACAATATTCTCGGCAGTATTGACTGCGCTCAATGAGAGACTGTCAAAAGTTACCGAATAATGAATGAGCAGTTCATGTGTTTTTGACTACGTAACAAATTCCAATAATAAAGAACATCACAATAAAGCTTATCCCGGCTACTGTAATAATCATTCTCCATGGTCGCCTGACTCGAGGTTGAACAAACAGTTTTGTGGTGGCCACCAGGCGTCCGTCATAGTAACAACTAAAAATTAAATCAGCAGGTTAAACAGGAAGCGAACAATTTTTTTAACAACCTCAACACTCACCTAAATATACCGGCATCCCAGAATTTTAATTTTTTGATAAGCAGAGCGTTCAAAATGGTTATTCGCACTCGCCCTTGCGACGATTTCTCCACTCCAAACGGATCGACGGGACGGCAACGCAGTCCTTTGTCCGTAGTGGAGCAGTTCTGCCATCGAACCGACTTTTTTGCGCCCCTAAACCAACCCACTGAATTAAATTATCCGCTGATTCTAATTGTTCCTATGGATGCACTTTCGACCTCGGGCAAGAAATCCGCACTCTACTTTCTTCCTTTTCGTGGACGGTTTCCCGCTGGACTAAAGGCGGAAGTTTCGGTGGAGCATCTAGAATCTGCACCTTCCCTTCGCTCTGTTCATACTGATCCACGATTCTTCCAGATTCATCAGTTACGAACACCTGAAAGTCTGGTCTTTACTAGAGTGTGGTTGTACCATTTTGCGGTTTGATTCTAGTTTAAAGCTTGTGCACGTGACCAACCAGTCAGGGCCTCAGAGTCTCAGACGTACAGATACAGTACAAGGATGTAAGGATGTAATCAAGCATGTTAATCGCTTGCCAATACAGTGGAACCTCCCGATCTTGAACACCCTCGGTACGTAATTTTTTGTTCAGGGTTCAGAGGTGTTCACGTCTCTAGAGGTTACCTCCAGTGTTATGCATTACGAGGGTACGAAAAAATATTGTTCAAGATTCAGAGGTGTTTATCGCTTAGAGGTGTTCAAACTCGGAGGTTCCACTGCAGACGGCAAGTTTGAAATAGAAATTGCCATAACCACAAGTCAAAACTCACCACGGGCGGGAGCGTCGGACACGGTTCGTGGCAGTGTCCAATCAGCACTTCGCTTGGGCGTTGTAGGTGCTGTCTAAATTCAGCAGTAAAATTGGCAGGCAACAACAACGATCGGCACGGCACACCCAGTGCGAACATGCCAAAGATGGGATAGTCAACGGGGAGTGTTGGGTCATTGTAACGTTGCTTCTACAAGAGAATACCAAGTTGCGAAGTCCAAATCAGTAAGCACTCACTGCTGTATATATTTGATGCCTGCTTCTTTAAGAAAACTTGTTCCCAACTTCCCACATATCACATACTTATGCTTCTCCTACTCGTGTATTTCGTGAATAAAGAAACAAGCACTGTCCCTTAAAAATGAACAGCCAGCTATAAAAAGCATGAGAATTACTGTATAACTGACTGTAAAGTGTAAACCCATTGTACACAGTGCGAGATTAAACTAGCAAATTAAATTCAGTCAAAAACTTTTGCCTACTAGACTAGAAACAAAGATTTGTTGCACGATAGCTGCCCCTGTAAGTCGTTTTCGTAACCTTAAAATCTGGTACATACTTCGGCATGTGCGAAATACCAGGTTGCCGAAATGAGCAGCTGCCGAAGTGATCGTGTTTAACTGGGCGAATTTTACGGCGGTCGGAGTGATCGGACGCTTTTTTCCTATGTCATCCTAGATTGATCATCAATCTTACAGTTAATGAAAGCACTATTTGTAAAACTTAAATACTGATAAGGTGCGCCCTGCGCATTTTATCACCTGAACAGTGCAGATTCCAACCCGGCGTCGTGTAGAACCTTTCCCGCATTCATTGCAGCCAGCCCAAGTGTCCCAATGGGTGTATATCCTGATATTCGATACGTTTAACTCTTCGCTGGGTGTGTTCAGTGGTCCGTCTGCACTGTTTTCAAAGACCTGCTAACATAAAATAGTAAAGTTAGAATTCCTTTGATTTTCTGCCATTAAAAATCGCCGACTCGAAATTGCGTAATGTACTGTTGCTTCCCGTTGTAGTCGGCTCGTTTTCCACGACTTGTATATCGTAGACCCGAACAGTTGTCCGATCGGATACGCAGAAATATCTTCCAGAATCGTGATCATTAAGATCGGTTATGGTCAAGTCAAATGTAGCTTCATTAAAAAGATATTTCTCAGTGTCGTACATGATTTCGATGTCATGTGGTTCATCGTAGGGAACGAAACGCCACTTAATAATGTGTCGCTGTTTACCTTTAGCGTTCTCTTTGCCCGGATAACGACTATACGAGTAGCACAAAACAAACGAAATGTAAGAAATAAAAATTATTAAAGAAAAATTTAATTATTATGTCACTGAGGGTTTTAGTTTATGGCAACACCTTACCAATCGCCACATTTGATTGTAACGTCTTGACCCATCAGCTTCATGTTGGCTTCGCTCGTTATTCGATCAACTTTCTCGTACAGCAGTGCATTCTCGGTAACGCAGTTCAAGTATTCTTCGACAATTGGGCCTCCGTGCCGTGCTCTTCTGTAATATTCCAGACTTTGGCGGTAATGCACCTGAACATCTTCGGACGAAGAATGGTTGTATCTAGCCACATTTGGCTCATCCCCTTTTGCGTCAGATTCGCGATCGTCATCAAAGTAGTTAATTTCAGCACGGCCAGTGCGAGCTTTGGGCGATAACTTGGTATTCTTTAATAGGTGTGTCTGGCTCCTGCTGATTTTCTCTTCATGTGGCCAAATTCCTTTGACAGCCCCTGGATCCAAAGCTCGTTGTTCTGTTATCAGTAAATTGGAGAATATGAAGCCTACAACCATGACTATTATAAATGGTACTGGTATAACAGCACCATAAAAATTTAAATTGCTCATTGTTGTTACAGGAGCAGCCGCATGTGCAACCGGTTTAAAGCAGTAAAACGATAAAAAAGCACGTAATCCGGACATCAAAATGGAAAGGTCATCAGTACTGTACAGTACTAATCTGTAGCACTCGTGCCAAACGGCGCTACGGCTGGCCGCTGGCGTTATATAATATTCGGTGATTAATACCGACGTAAACAGCGTCATTTTTGAAAAAAGCAGCACTACGAACTTCGCAACCTTACTGGTTAGTCCTTAGCCTCTAGGTACTGTACTTAACTGCATATCAGTGGATCACAAGATCAACATTAACTTTCGCATCACAAATCGAAATAAAAAAATAAATGCTAAAATAAAATGGTACATCTGTACAGGTGCAAGTACAAGTATATTTTTTTATACTTCAAGTAGTCATCTGTTGCTATGGCAACTGCATCGCACGGCGCAAGGAAGTTCAAGATGCTTGTGTAATTGTACCATGTATTTGACTACAGATTCCGCACAGCAATAATTATCACTGATCACAGTACTGTACTGTAAGTGCATCAGATTTTGCCACCGGCGTGATGCGCTTTTACAGTTTTACTGGGCCAGGTGCTTATGGCGGGCACCCGCCTTAGCAAGTGCGATAAGGCGGGTGTCAACCATCAGGCGGGCATCGATGGCGGGCATTGCAGAAATGCATTTGCACAGCGCACTTTCCCACTAGCAGCGCATCCTTGCCGCAAGTCATATGCACTATACTTGCTCACGCTGCTGCACGATTTATGATTTTAAAACTTTCAAAAATCACCCCTTGCACTATTGTTTACAAAAAATACGCAGATTTTTCTAAATTGTTTTGTTGAGCTGCTTGGTTGTAATTTAAATAAACATGAAATGCAGAATAAATGTCATGCCCCAGTGACCTGTTACTGTGATAAAGCACTTATTCTAATGGCTTCAAAAAACTCACTCAAGTCGCCGGAAAATTTTTTACGCCTCTAATTTAAAAATTTTCTTTTATGCAAAGGTTACCGTAAAAGGCATAGTCGCAAAATATTTAAATACGTACATTTTATCTATACAGATCACAAACACGTATGTGAAAGCGATTAAAGCTGTAACATTAGAAAAAGCAGTACAATATTACTAAATAAACTGACCGTCCGCATTTCAAAAAAGAAGGTAACTTCAGCTAATTTGATTCCGCATTTCAAAAAAGAAGGCAACTTCAGCTGACTTGGTCACACGAACCAACATTTACAATTATTGTTTGCAGCCACGTCAGGTTATTTTTGCCCTCTATTATGGTAGTCCAATGTGTTGTCAATTTTTAGCATTTACGCACTGAGGAAAATACTTACCATATAGGGAACATAATATGCATAAATGTTTGCAGTTTTGTCTTATAATTTAGTGTCTAACGCTGAGCCTACTAAGGAGCAAACTTTATTTTTTTGTAAGTTTCAATAAGACGCAAAATGAAAAAAAAACAAGCAAATGAATAATTTTTTTAGCATGTGTTAGCATGTGTTTTTATCATGCAGCATCCATCGCTCAAAAACCACAAAATTAGTGTGCTGATATTTGGTAGAAAAAAGGAAGCGACACAAACAATATCTAGCTGCAACAGTTTTCGTTAAAGCCGAAGAAAGGGAATTTCTGACTTACAAAGAGTATCTTACTTCAGACTAAATGCATTCTTACCCTTAAAAATTTTACATGCAGAAGAAAATAAATCACAGCTTTTCTTGACACCAAAAAAGGTGAGCATGTAGCAGACCTGGGCAGTTATGGAAAAGGCACCCACCGTTAGAGTTATGAGTTACAGGTAGCGTGCGAGTTACGCTACGAGTTACGCTATTTATGCAAGTAAAACCGAGTTTCGAGTTATACCTCGAGTTACGCTACCATAGACAATGTATACAAATTTCAGGCGAGTTACGTTAGAGTTAAGTTTTTTGGGTAGCGAGCTACGCTACAGAGTTACGTTAAAACTCGATAACTCGCAAATAACTCGCGTTAAGTTATAGAGTTAAGTTATAACTGCCCAGGTCTGGCATGTAGCATACCGCAATAAAATAGGCTGCAACCTAATTGCAAAAGATTATTTTGGGAAACGATAAAACAGCGACTTAGGCTACAGCCTAAATCGATAATTATATTTTAATATCAAAACATGCATACCAAACAATTCTTTTTTATTTCAAAGAATGCATGCCAAGTGATTCTTTCTTATTTCGCTCGTACTATGAGATCGAATTAGTTGGGAGAAAAGTTCTGTGGATGGAATGAACGGAAGTCAAAAAACTTAGGTTGTAGCCTTATTTAATAAAACAAATCGGGACGTTACAGCGACAAATCGCGCTTTACTCATCTTTTCTATGTGACCCAGGTTGGAACCCTCTTCTGTTTGTGTTTGAAAACCGTTGTGCGAGCAAAACCTAGTTGTATGGGGACTATCGGGTGTAGCAAAAACTACATATTTATATGTAAACTGTTAATAGATCGATTTGTGCTTTTGGTTTGCTAACTTTGCTTATCACTGACTGGTTGATCGACTTTCCCGAAAATTTTTACGGCATGGTTATAAAACTTTTCGAGGCTCTTCCATCAGCAAATTAAAACTTTAGATTATTAGAGATATAACTGCTTAAGCTTCCGCATTACGATATGCACGAAATTCAAAGAGAATGCGGTCAATTATTTTCTGAACAGTTAAATACATTGTGCATGTAAATTGCTAACATCAATAATATCGTTCTGTACGTATTGCGACTATTTACGGTGTTCAAATGTTTAAATGTAGTCACTTTTTCTGATCTGCGTGACTTACTATTTCTAATTTACCGTTAATTTGATTTACAAAAGTTCTTTTATTTTGTTTGGTGCTTTGGAGTAGATAACTTTGGGAGGCCTGCTTGGAAAAATATGAGATGCTGTCAGGATACAGTGTTTTTCACTTTTTTGTGTTTAACAATTTTAAATTTTGTTTAAAAATCTGAAAGTGTGAAGCGATCTAGGTCAAATCGCTTCACATCAATTTCTGCTTTCAATTGGTCTTACTGTATCAAAGTAAAACATGTATGAACCTGCTCCCTATATGCATGAGTGTAAAAACGACAGAACGTTCGTTTTTATGACTTAAAAATTGCAGATAAAATTCAGCCACGAAAAACACTAAGGCAAATACACAAAAGCTGCAAATCGAAAAGGCGAAATCGAAAAGGCTCGTAACACAGTAGAAGACTAGAAGTGCACTAGCGATTAGGCAGGTGCAGTGCAACTGATGCCTCAGTGCAATGTGCAATTCGGCTGTGCCCGCCACTGATATTAATACCCGCCTTAACACACCCGCCAAGGCGGGTGCCCGCCATAAGCACCTGGCCTTTTACTGACTTACTGCAACAGCACGTAGTCGTAAACTGCGAAAGCAATTCTGCAATTATTTTTCAGGCGAAACGCTGATTCCCAGAGACTACGGATTCCGTATCCGCAAAATCTGTAATCATATCTAGGAACCTGAAAAAGCGGAACCTAGGAATCTAGAAAAGAAAAGTTTTGTACTATATAATTACTGTACCCTTAGTAGGACATTTACACATATAAATATTTATTATGGCTGAATCACGCACAAATGACTCCTACTTCCGGGTGGATACTAAAAAATTGGAGAAGGAAATGGATGAGGCATTGCGCCAAGAGAATGATTACCGCCTACGCAATGAAGCAAAATTTCGTGCCGCTGCACAAAAAACCGCTACGTATGAGGAATTCAAGTAAGTCACTGTCAACTGTCAAATTCGAAAATATAGTGTTGCTGGAATCCTGACACCACGAACTCGCAAGCTTATTAATAGTTTATTAAACCGCTATCTAGCTATTAATTAGCTAGCTATTAATTAGCTTATAGTTAATTAATAGCTTACACCACGAATAGCTTATTAGACATACTCCTATTTATTAGTTAATGGCTTAAATAGTTTGGTTTATCGAACTGAATTTGTATTAAAATACACGTAGAGGGATCGTGGATCTAGCACATCTACAGCCTCTAACGAAAAAGGACTATAAAAAGATCGACACAGCAGTGCAGAAGAAGGAAGTTGACCCATGGACACCACTGAACAGCTAAGCGACCGGCACACGCAATGATAATATTGTTAAATTAGTTTTGGAACAATTTCTGAGTATACTAGTAACCAAAATTTGTTGTGATGTTCAGGAAGCGAGTCCTAAAAAAGACGTCTACATAAAAATGTGTATCTGTGCATTTCATAACATCATCGACCAGATTGACCCTGCTACAGGAATCCTCGTAATTTAATTTGTGCCGGTTTTTTAATTGTACTTCTGATTTAATCGTAAGCTGCTTGCATTTAATACGAGTACCGTTGATCAACAAGCGTGCTTGGCAAAGTAGAATTTCGTAGAACTGAGAAGGTATATCATGTTTGATCACGGAACAGTTGCTATACGTTGTTGCGAATTTTGGTACGTTCTTACCATTAATGACTATGTAATTATTAGTACTTATTACTTAACGCGATTAAATTTGTCGACATATGCTCTCTATTCTCTAATTGTGCTCCACTGTATAACTCATTGTCCTCACTTCGTTGCCGGCCGCACCAACCTTCTCAAACACCAACCTTTTCATACAACCTTTTCAAGTAAAAATCCACTAGACCAACATAACTTTTCAATCCCAGTTTGCGATGGCTAATCCATAGTTACAAGTTACCACAAATAACCATCGCTGATAACACGATCACGAAGCACAAACAAAAATTCAGCTGCTGCAATAAGCTAGGTCTTACGTAAAATAACATTCAGCAGGAACGCAGGTCCAAAGATTACGAAGGACACTAACGATTTTGGTTGTTTTTTCAATATGTTGAAATGTGTGCAATCATTTTAATGTAATGTTGTGCAATCATTTTAAGTAGTAATTTGCGCTGGTGTATTGATATGTGTACATGTATAATTGTATTGGCTGATGCCGAATAAAATGGTTTTTCAGCAAGAAAGCAGGTTCATTTCAGCAAGAAAGCAGGTGTTGAGGAAGCAGGTTCAGGTCCTTTAATCACTTTCGTTCATTAAAATGTTAAGCAGTCAAGCAGACTCAAGCGACTCAAGCTCCCTAAATGGACACCAACGGGCATATCTCCAAACGCCTTCGGTCGAGAGTTACTTACTCAAATGCTTTAACAACGTAGTTCGTTCCGCTAAAATTTATCTGCATTTTAATTTTTTTATTTTGGTGAGTCTGCAACATTTTTTGAAAAATTGGCAGAATCGTATTCTTGATTAGAACCTGTTGATGTTCAGTGACCAATCATTTCTGTGAACACGATTTTAGTTACTACCATAACATCGAAGTCTTCCCCATTCAGTAGATACCCTTTGATTTTGGTTTGATTGTGACGACATATTTGTTTGGCAACATCTTCCCGACACAATGGCGGAACCCACTCGCCCCCGATTCTACGTCGCCTCTTCTGAGCCGGCGGGAGCGGTTACATCCTGCGCCTGTGGCAATTTTTTTCGACCAACAGAGCGAAATCTGGCCGTGGCTAAGAAAGATCAGCTGGATATCATGGGATTCGCGAGTGAAGGAGTGAAGATCATCGCGACTACACGTACATCCTCCGCAATTTCTCGCATCCTGACAATCCATCCGTCCTGGGCCAAGAACGATCTGCTGTTCGTTCTCATGATTAACTACGATGTGTTGATGTTGGAATTGGGCACGGATGGCACCCATCGTCCTTATATCCGCACGGTAGCCGCCGGATCGGTGCAGGATAAAGTCGGCAGAGTGACGGAGCAGAGCAACCAGGTCGCTGTAGATCCCGAGAACCGCTGTATCGCGCTGCATATTTACGATAGTTTGGTGCGCATCATACCTTTGAAAGACACTGCTGAGCCGAAGGAAATTGAGAGTTTCAATATGCGCGTTGAGGAATGCAACATCGGTAAGTACTTCTCCTAATTTCAGTTGCTGTACAGTGTACTACTTAGTACTTTCTTTCAAGCTTTCAAGCTAGAAATAAATTTATTTACGATTAATAATTTTTAGTAGTTTGAACTGGGCCTGTATGAACTTCGGTATTGGGATTTAAAATGAATTTCAGTCGTTGTAAAATCGGATTTGCGTTGTTTAGGTTCGATAGTGTTTCTTCACAATGCTGCGCGACCAACTTTGGCTCTCCTCCATAAGGATTTGTACGGAACTCACATCTCCAGCTATGAGGTTGATTTCCAGGAGAAAGAGCTCAAACCACCCAAGAACAAGCACGTGGAGCTGAAGAATTTGGAGAACGATACCATTTCCTTATGCAGTGTTCCCGGAACGAATCAGGGCGTCATTGCGTGTGGTTTTAATACGCTGACCTTCGCCGATGTGGACGGTGTGGGCATTACCGCTGGAGTCAAGAAGGAAAATCGCGGTTTAGGTATCGCCTACGCGCTGCTGCATGATTCGCCCACCGGAACCAAATTCTTGGTGGGAGACCTGTCAGGAGCACTGCATGTGATTTTTTTAAAGAAGACCCCTTCCGAGAAGTCTGGACACGCTCAGGTGGTCGAGTGCGGTGTCATTTCGTTGGGAGTATTGACTATCACCTCCTGTGTAAGTCGGTGAAAAATTATATGGGTAGCAATACGTAATTCGTGAAATGGACGTCAACACCAAAAAATGCGTTTTCAGGTTTTTACGCAAATTCCTCACGGAGTGTGTTTGATTTTTTTACGTTTTATTGATACTTCTGTTGACTTGATTAGCTTGAGCAGTATTGTTGGTTCCGATGCCATGTTGGTATTGTTGGTTGTTATTGTTGCCACCGGCGAGGTGCTGTGTTGCGTTTTTTCTACCCTGGTGATTGATATTGTATCGATAAATTTCAAATGTGCTTATGAAGTATTAATTTTTTTAGTTAGCGTATCTGGATAATCGGGTGGTTTTCGTTGGTTCCCGATTGTCGGACTCCATGATAATACGGCTGCGAGACGATCCGAATCCGGAAACAGGCAACCTATTCGATGTGGCAGAAACTATTTCCAACATCGGTTCTATTACGGATTTCTCACTAGTGCGGTCTGATAATCAGGGCACGCAGCCGCAGATGATTGTGTGCTCGGGTATGGGGCCGGGATCTCATGCTCGCATTGTGCGCAGTGGGATCGGGATGCAGGAGACAACATCCCTGGACGCTCCAACCGGGCGGCAGATCTTTGCTCTGAACTCGCAAAGTGCTGCTTTTGGACCACATGATTGGCTGGTGGCCAGCTTTCTGAGTGAAACCAAAGTACTGAGAATGGAGAATGAAGTGGGAGAATTTGAGGACCTTATTGACGTGGGTGCATTCGTCCTGAACGATTCCACTCAACTGGCGGCAAAAGTGAACGGGTTGATTGTACAAGTGACTAAAAAAAGTATTCGAATCATCGTGCCTGGTGAACTCACTTTAAAGGAAGAATGGTTTCCATCGGATCGCTCTCATCAGATCACTAGTGCAGCGTTTCATAATAATCAGGTCGTTGCTGCTGCTTTTGACACATTGCTCATTGTGGATTTGGCAAGCAACTCTACAGGTGGAGTAATAATTTGTATTCTGTTATTGAGTTTGTGCGAGTTTGATTTACTGTTATCAGGAAATTATTTTGCCGTTCTCATCGGTGTTCTGTTTTGTAGGTTCCCGCTTTAAGGAAATCAAGTTGGATGATCAAATTTCCGCCGTAGATATTCATTCATTCACTCCAGGTGAAGCAGCAGAATACATTGTGGTTGCCACGTGGAAAATGGATTTAGTCTTGCTGTCAGCACCGGAATGGAAACGTTCTGCCACAGTTGATTTGAACACGGATGTTTTCGCTCGCAGCGTCATGTTGCAGGAACTAGATGGCGTTGACTATGTCATTGCTGGATTGGGTGATGGTAGTTTGCAATACTTCGTTTTGGACAAGATTAAAGGAAAAGTAAATCAGCCGAAACGTGTTAGTGTAGGCACCCAGCCGACTTATCTGCAGTCGTTTGTCGCCAGAGGTACCACCAACATTTTTGTATGTAATGATCGTCCCAGTGTGATCCATAGTTCAGGCCGAAAGCTCGTCTTCTCCAATGTCAATATGAAACATGTATATGCGGTGTGCCAGTTGAATTCTTCTGTTTATCCCAATAATTTGGCCATCATAACGGAGACTGGTTTAGTTGTGGGGAAAATGGATGAAATTCAGAAACTGCACATCCGGTCGATTTCGCTGCCGGGAACGCCGAGGCGGGTGGCTTGTCAGCCGGAAACCGGCACATGTGGATTTATTGTGATGCAGAACCCCATGGAATTCGATGTCGATGCGGCGGGAGACAGCGAGATGATAGAGGAACCGGAGGAGCCACCGGCGAAATTCGGGCAGATGCCAGCGCAGAAGTTTCTGGTCACCGATCAGACGAATTATCAGATTCTGGCCACGTTTCCACTTCTGCCTGATGAGACCAGTATGGCTTTAGCTAGTGGAAATCTTGGCAACGATCCAAGAACGTTTTACATTGTGGGAACGGGAATTAGCAAAAAGGACGAAAAGGAATGCACTAATGGGAGGATTTTAGTCTTTCAGTACGTCGACAAGACACTGAGTATAGTGTGCGACGCGAAGACCAGAGGCTTGCCGACTCATATGGAAATTTTTAAGGGCAAATTGTTGGTATCAATAGGATCATCTTTAAAGTTGATGAACTGGAATGAGGAAAGCCAGGAGCTGGTGACGGAAACTGCCATGACTCAGTTCATTATGCCTGTCTTTTTCAAGACGAAAGGCGATTTTATCCTCGTTGGCGATCTGATGCGCTCGATCTCGGTGTGGTTGTATCGCAGCGCTGAGAACAAATTCGATATGATTGCATCCGATCCGTTTGCGCGGTGGCCCACTAGCGCAGAATTCATTGATGACGATGTTTATGCACTGATGGACGATTATGGGAATCTCTTGTTCTTCCGCCGGGAGACTGATCCTGCCAGTGGGGACCGCTCTGATTTGACTGAAGTGGCTGCCATTAATTTTTCGGATACCGTTAATCTTATCCGGAAAGGAACGCTATTGCCCGATACCGCCGTTACAGAGCGCCCGTTTGCTGATGGAGCGCTGATTTTGGGAACGCAAGCTGGAGCCATCATGCACATTTTGAGTATTGATGAAAATACGTGAGTAACTCTTTTATTGTGTTAGAATGAAACGCTGCTTAGATGCACAATATGATTCCACTGTATGATTTTTCAGTTATCAGCTGTTAAAGCAGTTGTGTGACAAATTAATCCGAAATATCATCCCATTCGGACGGGTCAACCCCGAGAAATACAACACAGTGCAGCGTCATGCGGGATCAGTTGTGCCAGCCTACGGAGTTATAAATGGGGATCTCATCGAGATGATTACCACAATGAGCAGCGAAGAAGTTCACGAATTGATTGTCGATATGAAGGATGCCTCTAACAACCCGGTTACGGTTGAACAAGTTACGCGAATTGTGGAAGACCTTGCACGGTCCCATTAGATGTGGATATCGGGAATGTGTTGTCGTGAAATCCAGTTTTCTGCCTTTGGCAGTAAAAGATGTTAATGTCCGCCGTTTTTGGCCGGAATTTCGGATATGCTGTTAAATTACTGTTTCGCTTTATAATGATTGATGTTTGTTTTATTGTAACTACGACTTTCAGTACTCGTAGGCATACGTACAGAAACATTTTGTTTACTGCGTATTTGCAGATATGGATTCTATAATTTTTTTAAGTGCGTTCCTGTGCTGTATTATAAATGTTCCCTCAAACTGATGAAGAAGTAATCCATCTGACGATAGGTAGCCGGTTTTGTGAATGCATAAGTAGTTGCTCCAGATGCGAGTACTGTATGAATAAAATCTACTGCTTGTGCCCGCTGTTCTCGTGCATTGTCCATGCGGAGCCGTTGTTGCGTCTGTTGTAGAGTGAAAAACAGTTCTATAGATGGTTTTTTAAAAAGGTTTTATGCAGTTCACTATTTGCAAAAATTCAAGAAGCGAACCATGTGGTACAAGTACCAACATAAGAAAACATGATACCGGTAAATTATTGTTTTTACTCTAGGTAACTTACACTTTCCACGTACGGGTTTATCGTGACTTAACGGTCAGAATTTAGGAACAGTTTCCTCCGGCATGAATGAAGCAACGTTAATAACGTGAAATATATCAAAACGATGAGCAGTGAGCACCAATCAGCACAAACAAAGTATAGTTTCCGGACCAAACATACGAACCACAAGTAAATAACAATACAAAGGTTCCTTAGAACGCTTGTAACTGTAACTCGTAGTTACCGTAGTACATACAGGTGCAAAGATGTGTGCTTTTTTTAAGCGTAATTCGCATAATGGAGCATGTACAATGCCAGTTTGGTAAACTGCTCTGGCTGTAGCTGTTCAAGATCAGCATTTTGGAGATCCTTGCAGGCTTTGACATGGGGCAGTCGAAACGTATTCCACCTGAAACAAAATAATTTAAGTTAAACCTCGCAACAAAGGGTCTGCTAAGTGCGGAAGAGAGAAATTATTACCGGTCCGCACCGGCAGATTTTGGCATCTAGGAAGGTGTCTTCATGTAATGGACTTATAGGGAATAAATTTAACGGCGCACAAATTCTAGTTCCAGCAGCCATGATGTAGTTACTTACTGTAGTTATACTTTGTATTACCGCATCTTGCTATTGGGGTTAACAGAGCTCACCGTAACTTCGCGATGAATGCATAAACCCAGTGCAAAAAATGCGTTAACCACAACAAAGATTAACGTACTGTTATGATATGAAATTTAACTACACTTACGGGAATAATAATTCTCTTAATCCACTCCAGTCCGAATCAGTAGTCGCACTATCCACCCAACTATAATACATTTTCAGGCTATTAACGTGAATCCACGATGGTACTTGCGGACAGCCAGCTTCCGATGCTCGAAGAAAAGCGCGAAAGCATTCTTCACGGGACATCGCAGCATAATTCAAACGGAGACGTCGGATCCGTAATGATCTAGCATCGGGTTTCAACTGGGTTTTCTTGAAATTTCTTAACCAATTCGGTATCGAACCAGAGGATAGTGTAAACTCAGCCAGTACACCCGTTATCGTATAATTGGTCAAAATAACATGCCGACTCACAGCGAGTAGTTTATCCAAATGAAGAAGCTTTTCTTCACAAGACTTGCACGGCCTGCTAACCTCATAAGCAACTTTACAGTTCTCCAGACGAATGGCTAGGAAGCGCACTCCTCTGAAGGATGATAAATCACAAAACAAATTGAGAGCTTTCCAGTTTAGCGACCAGTGTTCAAGCAATAACGTTCTGGTTTGCCGGGTGAATGCGTGATCTAGAAGGCTTGCAAGATAATAACCTTTATCATTATCCCACGGATCTCTTTCAGGCAGGTAACTGCTCAAGTTTATGATCCGGTGGTCCGTCTTGATGCCACTGATCACCTCCTTCCATAACCAGCAAACCCTAATGCACCGTTGTTTTTCAAGCACTTGGTTCACCAGTGCATCATCTGGTTAAGCACAAACTCAGCGCATACCTTTTCGCCAAAGCTTGACTATAAAGATCTAAGTGGATAAAAATTTCCACGAGCAATTCCGAAAGCATAAAAACAGCAAGGCGTGCTTTTTCCAGCCCATCTGAAAGCACGAACTCTATTAGACGGATACGTACTCTAATCGCGAATCCATCATACACAATGCATTATTTGTGAGGCATTTCCATAAACCGTTCCCGATGTCTTCCTCGCACAGGTTTCACTACATACCTTCAATAAACGCTTCTCTCGGTAACAAAATTTGACGAGGAAGTTCTAGGGAAAATCTGAATGTCCCATCGAGGGAGCAGTTGCATACAACGGCGTGGAGCGCTTCATCCGTCCAGACTTTAGAAGTGGACAACTGTTCTAGGCAGACGAACACTGCCGTATCTCTCTCGACATGAAAATGAAATCTCTCTTCATATCCAAACTGCTTGGTTATATTATCGCGCAACCTATCTTGCCGAGCATATTTGACCGCACGCTGCAGCCGCGCAGTGTTGACACTGACCATCAATGAGGCATCCGCAAAGGGAATTTCATGCCGGACATACTGACCACAATGGTTTACCGAGGAGGACAGTAGTGCCGTATATGAGCTCAACTGGCAACGGTGGACGACTCTTCGCTCAAGCGTCTCGTTGACCCCCAAGTCCACATAGCACAGGTAATTGTCTGAATAGGAACATTTCGAAAGCAGAACACCGTGCTGTAGTTTCAGCGGATGGTCTCTTGTTGAGCGAACAGCCACATTAACGTTCATTTTGCGGACGGATTTCCCGGGCGGACCAATAGGCCGCTGAAATGTTGGCGGAATCACCGTCAAACGGGAAGAAATCCACGAAGGTTTTTTAATGCAGCTTTGAAAGTCAACAAGAACACTGTCCTTTTTCACTTCCCGCACATATCCCATGCACCACACTCCCTCGGCTTCCGGGACCAAGATCGTGTTGAGGATGTTTATGGAAAACTTTTGACTGCTGATGTCATCCAGTGGATCTGCACTCTGCTCTGCAGACGCTTTTCGGGTTACTGCGTTACCCGAAAACAGTTCGCTTTTTGACTCCATTCTGTAAACGGATTATGGCAACATCTCCGTTACGAACCTAAACAGAAAAAGTCTGATAATAGTGATAAGCCTTGACTTGATCTCAATGCAGCAATAATGCAATATCATATTTTATCAGAGTGCTTATCTGAACATGAACGCACTGATCGTATCTGAACACACTTACTGAGCGCTTCAAAAGAGGTCAATGTTAAAAACTTCGAACAGAACCCGCAACTTACGGAGACCATTGACTAGCAGAAGTTCTGCAGTTTCGTTGGTGACAAATATATTTTCAGTGGTAAACTGGTAATTCACTTACCGGAAGTTCTGAAATCGTGCGCGAACTCCAGAATATCCATGGATCATACTCCGATTACTCTCCACTTGAAAAATGTCAACATTTTCAAATAGAACCAGATGAAGATGAAACAGAAGTCTGAAATACTTATACTGTTGCAGGACCACGGAAAAACGGGTCCCAACGATCAAAAGCCAAAGCTAAAAATAGCCGCGACAAAGTCATATTAAAGCGAAAACAAATCTATTCGGGGCCGATGGAGTATTGAACCTACTGGCTGGTAAAAGTAAAGGGAGAGCAATTTATTTTTTTAAATATAGCGCAGCAGCTCGGGCGGACACCCCCACAATTAAGCTCGTTTAGCGCGTCCTCCTCCCGGTGCGGTGTTACGGAGAAGTCGCACATGCACACTGCACAGACTGGCAAAGAAAAAGCACTTATGGTTTTTCATTTTCCGTTTTGAGCTTTGAGTTTTAACTGTTCAGTTTTCGAACCACAAAATGACAGCCGACATTACTCTGATAAATTGGGAAAGCGGTTTTTGAGGATTTGTTAAATATGGTACTAAACAATGCAGATTTTTCGAAACGGATGCAAGTTACTGAGCGGATCTTCCGTACAAATGACATGATAGCAAAATACTCTGACAGCGTTGGTCACTTTCGTTTCAGCCGCGGAAGTCAGTGGATTGTTCTGTGGCCATTCTCCTCTCAACTCTTCACCAGACTGGTTGCTCGCGTATTTTTCTACGGGCGTAAAGTTCTCTGTGTACCGTTCATGAACTGCTGGACTAATGAGAAAGAAAAAGAAGCGAATGACTTTGGCAATGATCTGGTCGGAGTGTCTGGAATAATCTGCTGGAATTGCAGAGCTCCCGAGGAACCACCTGAGAGCGGAACGGGGCAAACTTACCTGGCCCGGATGGAGAGACTGTTCGTTTGTTCGATGTTTTCAGATACGCCTGAATGCAATGAATCGATTGTCTCGTATTTGCGGATACCTCGGGATATCTTGCAAATTTACCGCGATAAAGATCCCGACTGTCTGCGAAAACTAGAGCTGAACCACTCAGTACGGATTTTTTGGGGGCGGGACTTTGAAAGGTTTCGCGATCGGGATAAAGCGTCCGCGCCTCGCGGCTTGACGCGAATGTGCTTTTGTGGACAGCGTACAGACGTGTCGGATGCGCGTTTGGAAGTTTTCAAATGGATTCACTCACAGGTTCTTTTTCTCACAGGGTTTTTGATACGGGAGTTTTTGATAGATTTCCTGAATATGGTGTATTTCTGATAAATATCACATATTGATTGGAAATTTATTCTTAATTCATGTAAGTAAATGAATTAATTTTAACCGTTCTTTAGAGTAACTGTATAAATGCTTTTTTCTAGGGTGATTTTTGCGAAGAAGAAATTTTGGTTCCGGAATTTGCTGCAGGCAACGTCATTGGCCGGCAGGGCACACGCGTAGCCCAAATGCAGCTGGAATCACGGGCCAAAATCGACGTAATGAGCCGGGATGCCAAGGGCAGTGATGTGGTGAAGATCTTTGTCTCAGGTCGGCGCCCGGCTCGTAATCACGCCAAACGCCTGATTCAGAACTGTGTGGAACACAGTGAAAGAATGCGGCAGGATGATGAGATTCGTGCTAACATTCGCGATGTTCGTCGACGTATTTTGTATCCGGACAGCGACGAAGAGGACGACGCGGAACCGCGATTTCCCCTCGTTTCGTATGAGCCGTTTAAACAGGAATCATTCAACGAGGAAGATCAGTGGGAGCAGAATGGAAGTAATGAATCAGATCAGAATTATAAGGATCAGGAGTACCAGCAGCCGACCCACTCAACTGTCGGTGAAGTGTGCACGGAAGCTTGGGACTAGAGATGAGTTTGACCTTTATAAACCGGTACGATATTGACGTAAATCTCGATGCTGTGCCTTGTGTTTGTATATGTATAGGACAGACAGCCTTTCATATTTTCGTTTTGTATTTGTATAAATACTTGTTGTGAAAGGCCTTTCAGTTTCTGTTGCAGTATTTGACTATTCCTTTGGTTTGTTTCAATTTGGTACCGTTTTATGGTTGACCTGAATTGTATAATAATAAAATGTTAAAGGATTGGTAGCTGCTTACTTTAAATGGAATTGAACATTGGTTCATATTAAATTAGTATTTAGGGTACGAACTTTCCCACAATTACTACAGTAGGTTTTAGTGTTTTACTATCCAGAATGGCCATAAGTATTGACTGTTACTTTCCTGCTTGTACTGATTGCGAGCATAACGAGTGCAGTCGCATAACACTGACTTTTATACGCATCAAGTCGGCTCGTTAAAGGAATGAAAAGTTACAGCTTAGGACAAAATGGTCGCATACCCAACATCTCCACATTCAGTACGAATGCAGCGCAGTGCACTGTACGACTGAGTTCAAAATATCCGTTTCGTACAAGTTCACTGCACCGCTTGCGTACAGAATGCTGGGTATGGGGCTATGCGACCATTTAGTCCTACATTGTACAGGATGCTGGGTGATCAGTTTAAAAAAAGCACATGTGTTTTCTGTAAGTAACCTACTCGCACTGCAGCAAGACGACTCTGGCCGGAGGTGGCCCAAATGATTGCCGCCAATTGCTAAAATTTAACGTTATGCCTGAAATTTTTGCATAAGTACAGCGGCGCCGACCTTCTAAAAGGGAGTACAAAGGTGTGTTTGTCGGTACGCAATGACAGCGCAACTGTGTGGCACCTTATTGATTAATTTTATACCGTACGTACCTGCTATCCTCTTTACGGTTCGCTTGGAAAACGAATACTTCAAGTATCGATCAAACATTTGCATTTTGCATTCCATTGGGATAACCCTGTGCTACTGTGTATGGTGATGCATTTGTGGATATTATGAATTCGTAAAATTTACCAAAATATCATTGTAATGTAAGTAATCGAAGGCCAATTTTAGCGAGAAAAGGAGACGATTGGATCAGAAGCAATCATGCTTCATACTCGGGTTCGGGAAGGAGATTACACTTCTTTCATCTATGACTCGGTGAGCGTATTTTATTGTTCTTTGATGCAACGGTAATGCGAACAACGTCGATTAATGTGGTTGGTTATTCAGATTGCTGCGGGAAAATATGCGGAAGTGGTTGAGTTCTTGCGTCCGAAGGCTGAACTGGCGCCAATGGTATTGTCGAAACATCACCTGCTCTTTTGGCTTTGGTTTTGTTTGGAATCGTGTTACTGATTAAAATTCTCCTGTTTCATCGTAATTTTTAGTCACAAGCGATCCATTCCGTTCTCGGTTGGTGCTACGTGGCGCTGCAAGATTTTGTCAATGCTGCCGATGCTTACGAGCGTTTAACGACCATCATGCCGGAAAATACTTCCTACTGGATTTGTTACGTTCAGTGTCTGGGTAAAGCTGGATTTCCCAGTGAAGCTATGAAGATCTTGAATTCAATTTCATCACGGATTGAGCCTGTTGTATTACTGACACTTCGAGCTGCTATTCGGTTTCAAGAAGATGAAACCCGAGAGTGTAAAGTGCGTATAAATCTGTGCCCGTTATTTGCCGGGTAAAAATAAGTTTCTTTTGCAATTATCGTCATATTAGAGAAAGTACCATGACACGATAGCAGTGCGTATTTAAGAACAAACAACTGCGTTGGGCGGAAGTCAGATTATACTTGCCGTCTTAAAGCAGATTGGAACATGGAAACATAAAGAGATCTAAATGTTTTATGCAAATGATGATGCACGAATGTTTTCAGAATCTCTTGGAGAAAATATCCAACAGCACGCCAACTGTGCATCATAATCAGGGTTGTGCTTTCTTTCAAGACAAAGAATACAGTGATGCTGCTGCTAAGTTTTCGCATGCCCTCGCTCTGGGTGGATTTCGCGCAAGTACGTGTTGTTCTGAAAATTAATAGTTTTCTTGATGATTACCCGATGATTACCCGTTTTCCTACCCGTTTGTAGGAAAACGTTTGTTAAACGTTTAACTACCGCTAGGTGAATGGATGTGTCTCAAATTTGACCGTTAGCTAACGTTTAACTAACTGTTTTTCCAAGTTGTTAAAATTGGATTATTAATCGCGCAGAGTGAAGTATGTGATATTAAATTTGCTAATTTTTGGTTGTATCGCGACAGAAACCGCATATGCACTGGCTGTGTGCTACTATGAAATGAATGATATACGGCAAGCAGTGAAATACTGCAACGATGTCATCGGGAAAGCCTTGTCCAATAACCCAGAACTGGCACCGCAACCACGAGTTGATGGGGAAGCAATGAAATTCATCCGAAATTCTCCAGCTTTGCAAAGCTCCTTTCTGATTGAAGCCTACAACTTACGGGCAGCGATAGAGCATCGTTCGGGAAATCGTAAGAATATCTCGTGCAGTTGTATTCAACTGTGTCTAATCTAACAGAGAATTCTGGTTATGCTTCGCTGCCACAGTGTGTGAACTTACTTGTATCTTGTTATTCGACTTGAGAAATGTTATTATGCAACTTTCGAGTTTTGCAAAACCCAGATTTGCAATTTCTGATATAAATAGTTTTGTTCTGTGTTTTTATTTTACAGTTCTGTTGGCCAAGGATGAACTGAAGAACATCCCGAACCGTTACGACGAAGACGTGGATCTGGTGACCTTACATAATAAGGCCATTTTGGATAGCGAGGCTGACCCAGAGGAAAGCATTCAGATGCTTTCTCACGTTGTGTCCCAGCCAATTTTTCCGAAGGAAGCGCTGCTAAATTTGATAACACTGTATCTCAAGGAGCAGCACTACGAGGTTGCAGCCGATTTCATGGCGGAAAATATAGAGATTTGCTATACTCAGCTGTCAGAGGTACGTATCCATCCCCCGTGGAAATGTGGATCATATATTATAGCTTAGTGTCAAGCTTACTACTGTATGTGGAGTCTGTGACTCTGTGGACACCGTTTGTAATTTTTATAGGATGCGTACAGTTTTTTCGAAGCGTGTATTATTCTGCAAACGTCACCAGAAGAAGCTTACCTGCGTTTCGAACAATTAATTTCACGCTACCAAGATCAGTTACGGAAACTATCTAACCAAGAGAAGCTGCGCCGGAAGGAAAATGCACTGGATAAAGTAAAAGCAGTCGAGAGTGAATTCGACCAAGTGATTTTGAAGTACGTTCACATTGGCGGTTGGTAAAAAATGCGCGTATTGTAAAAGGTTAATTATGGCTGTGCGACTTATGCCACAAGTTCAGTTTTATTAAAGGGGTCTCGCTTGCCGGGGTGTTGTGGGGATTGTATTTGTAATTTTTAAGGTGTTCGTTTGCTCCGTGGTTTCTACGGCCTATGTAGCATCGTTTCGGTTTTGTAGGTTGCAAGCAGCGGTCATGTCGCAGGCATTGATGTACTGGGAGCGGAAAAATTTCGTACAGGTCGAAAAGCAACTGAAGCGCTGCCATGAATTTCTATCCGACCAAGCGACATGGCGCACTAATATGGCTCACGCTCTTTTTATGATGGAGAACTACCAGGAAGCGGCGAAATTTTATGAAACCATCACCAGGAACCAGTTAACGGATCTGCTTAAGGTGGATACTTCTACGTGTAGTGCTAAAGTGGCATTTGGTTATGGTGCGCTTTCTTTTCATAGGTTAGTCCTATTCTTTTGGCCAACCTTTGTGTCTCATACATCATGATCTCCCGCAACGAGGAAGCGGAAGATATACTACGGCGCGTGGAAGAAGCCGAAGAGCGGAATAAACGCAGTCCAGTGCCGGATGGTGCTTCCGCCGTGGAAAGCAGTTCCTCGTTGTGCTTAATTAATCTGGTTGTTGGGTGAGTTGCAAATTATGTATAACGATTTATTTGCAAATTATGGGATATAATAACCATACTCGTATCGTTGGTTAATGACATCTATCATTAGTAGTTAGTAGTTACGACTGCTGTAGCACTTAAGTGATAAACTGACGATGAATAAATACTGTCACTGCTTATAAAAGCCCGAACATACAACTTGGACATTATTACCTGTTTTTAGCCCTTGTATTGTTTTTTTTTTACACGGCAAAAACGTGAAAATTGAAATTATTAGAACATTTTAAGTGGCTAAATGGTTCGCTGAGACAGATTCTGATTCCAGTTTTTCTTTTAGAACACTATACTGCAGCAAAGGAAATTATCAGTTTGGTATCAGCCGCATATTGCGCAGCTTTGAGCCATCGGTAGCACAAAAACTAGATAAAGAAAGCTGGTCGTATGCGAAACCCGTCATTCTAGCGGCACTTCATAAAATCTCCCAACATGAATTCAACATTGAGCCGGGTGTCATCCAGGAGTGCATCGAATTCCTCAGGCAGTGCGAAGGTAATTTACATATAGTTTGCGGTTTTATTGCTCAGAATATTTGAAAAACTAGTGACCTTGTAGAAATGAGTGTGATAAAACATCTCATGCAATCATGAATTCCATCCCGTTTTCTTTTTCTAGACGTTGGAAAAATGATGCCGCTCGACAATGTGTTAGGCTTAGCAAAACCGACCACAGTTGGAGCAGAAGCCAGAATCTTAAGGAAGCTGTTCCTAAACTATGCTGTGAAATAATCACTGTAGAAACGGTTACCGATGCTGATTGTGGAAACATTACTTAAATAGAACCCGGCGAGCTGTTAATCAGGGAATTTTTTATTGCTAGTCATTTAATATTGCGCACACAGTAATAATGAGTCTGATGCAATTGCCACAAATTATTTAAGGCTTCCAGATGGTTTTGAGCGTCATTAGGAATTCTGAATAAAAGAGCACAGTATTAAACTAATGACTAAAACAAATAAAGATCTTGTGCAGGTTGCTCCAGCATGACTGATTTATAACGAACCTTGATAGGTCACCACCAGTTTATCTGCGAGTCTTTATATATTGCGCAACTCTCGGATTTTTTGCAACTTCGTTGTACACCGCTTTAGTTTTCGGATAAGGGTTGAGAAAAGTCACGGGGACTTTGACGAATTTCCACTCTTTCAGTAAATCGATAGCTGCAGTGTTTTATTGAGTTATGGTTAGGTATATGTGCGCAACTAATTATTCGTTTATCCGGATGTGAAAGTGAAATTAACGATAACTGTTGGTATAGACACTTGAATTCTCATCCTAATAATACTTACGGGTCCACATAATTACTTGAAACTACAGATATGCAGTAGGTTGTGCAAACTGCAAACGTTCTACCATATCGGAACAATTTTACTTATTACAAGAATGAACTTCTGTGATATGGTTTCGTTTGCTGTATTGTAAGACTGCTATCCGTAATACAGTCTTTAAAATTTGAGTTATCGTAATTGACCAACTTACCGCAAAATAATGACAGGTCTGCAATTGTCAGCTGTAAACAGAAAGAGCTTAATCAAAAAATTAATACTTGTATTTTTCAGGGTAGAATTTGTAATTGCTAAAATCATAATAAGAATGAATATTCTAATTGCTAATTGTAGAATTTGTAATCAGTAAACGATTATGCGCACAATCACATCAAATGCGTTCAGTCCAAAGATTTCGCCATAAATAAACCTTATAATGGGTTTAACATAAATTATTTAAAGATTTTTCTCGCGGCTCTACCTGGTTATTATGTTAGCTGTGTGGAAGAGCTTGTAGCAGGGCGAACACGACCGCAGTTTAATACAGTGGCAAAAACATGTAAGTACAAGTACACAGCCTGTACTACGAGTACATACATGTAAGTCAGGATACAGTACCTTATTTCCAACGTTAACAACATGTCCGTTTGATCCATACTGGGTAATAAATTTCTCCATGTTTCGGAAAATTGTCGGTAATGTATCGGTCATGAATATATTGGTAGCATTTTTCTACAAAATTAAAGAAAACAGTGTTCAACAATTTTTTACAACTTGAGATGAATGTTATTAAGAGTTCGTAATCGCTGCCTAGTGTAGGTGCAGTTGCATATGGCTGCAACTCAGCCTGCAAGTGTCATTTGTTGATAACTCTTTTACAATGTTTACGGGGGTTCAATCAACATCATACCGACATAATTAAATAGCTTGAATTAAGAATCGGACGACACACCTTATCGCTTTCGGGGGTATGGAATAAAATCGTTACTGTTCCATCATAAATCTCCAAGGCCTTTTCCACAATTGAGCCGGCCAAAGCTTGTTCCCAGTCTCCACCAGGCAAAAACCCTATATGGATAATTGTTCGCGTCATGTTGCCAGTAAGAGTGGGATGTATTGTACATAAGTACAGATACAATATTTGTTTTAATACTGCACTTAATGTCTTTTTTTAAATGCTGCAATGTGACTAAATGGTATTTGCAATTTCAAATGGATTACAGTACGTTGATATACACGCAAATTTTTCTAAATTTAATGCTTAAAATCTATGAATGAATAACAGAATTTACTGCTAGAACAAACTTTGTTGGAAAAAACGCGTTTAAAATAACAGAGTTCCGTATTTACACTTGCAAGTGCATCTATATATTTGCGTACGGCGCACATAATAATATATTTACGTACCGAAACGTTGTCCCAAAAACCTGATAATTGGTTTGGCCTCTCCTAAAACTTTTCCATCGACCTCTGGAGAAGTCAAATTTTTAAATTAGCAGCACTACGAGTAGCATGGCTTAATAACACTCGCTAGTATTATGGTGCCATGGCATTAGTGCACTACAATCCTGTAATATTAATAAGTTTTTCGGGCATAACAAGATCTGCTGTTTCCTCTCTCGCAGCAAAGTAAACTGGAAAATAAGAAATCCGTGGACACCAATCAAAATTCAAAGTCGTAAGTGGAGTCAGTTTAGCGCAATAGGTATGTTCTTACTTCTTACCAAGATATGGCAGTGTTCCCCAAGGAGTTTCTAAAAGGATCCGCATTACAGTAAATAGTGTAATAAACAAACAAATTAAAGGCGTTTGGAATGCAGGAGTTATTGTGAACATACTCGCTTTGAAAGTTCCCGGCCATTGCGACTCAGTTATTCGAAAGTCAGTAAATTTTTGTCCAGCAGCGGCAAATGTAATCCGCATAAATTCACCGCGACCACGAGAATCAAAATAAACCAGCTTGTAATTATTTGTATGCGCAGGAGTGCCAGCTGAAATTACGGATTTACATAGCAATAAAGTGTAAAAATAGAGAATATTTATTAAACTAGACATTTTCCTTAAGACCGGACAAATGTAACGAAAGCCAAATGAGAAATTGTAAAAACAACACTTTTATGAATTCAGTTTTTAAATGACTTTCGTCGAAGTGTTAATGGTTTTTATAAGTTACGGGGAGGAGAGCGCGGCATAAGATACAGCAACATTCAGTGCATGCAGTTTAGTTTTTCGTTACCCGAAGAGCGAAAGTTAAGGTTGTACACTTTAGGGCTTCGTGGTTTCAGGCGCTTTTTGTGTGTTTTACATTAGTATGAGTACTAGTTAAAATTCACAGTAATCGAAACGCATTGTTGCGGTCGAGATTTAAAATTCTACGTGGTTGCTGGTTAATTACGATACCTCAATCACCTTGTACCGGTATGGACCTATCGGTACCGGTTTGTAGGCGTCCGCCGTGATGGTCTTTATTTACGAGTATTATGTACTTCGAAATTTAATGCCTTTAATGTACTGTACATTGTACGTCTGCGTATACTATATAAATATACGTATGTTCCATACGGTTGATGCGTCTTACAAGTCGGCTTGCTCACCATCAATAAAGTATCCCGTGTATTTAATAAACCATTACAGCCCCAAAGCATTGTCTGACGGCCGCAACTTTTTATGTTTATGCGCGCTGTTTACCGCCGCGCTTTAGACATAACATGGATCATCATTTATGATATAGAATAACGATATCTGATCATGAGTTATTTTAAAGATCAAAGCATGGCGATGGAAAGTGCAAAGAAAAGAAGCTGATTTTGAGTACGAAAATGTAATTAGATACCTTTTCGGCCCGGATGCAAAAGTAGATCGCATGCGTTTATTGTGAGTTGCATTCATTCTGAAATATTTCCTTACGGAAATCAACCATGTTGTATACGTTCTAATAGTACTTATTAATAATTAATGACAGTAAATCAAGTTTAATTAGTAACTAAGTTTTGTGCAGGTCCAGTTCGCCGTTGTTACTTTGCTATTTGCGTGTCTGGAGGTAGTGGGCCACCTTTTCATTGTGGGCAGTCTTATCCAAAACAGCCTTGAGTTTAGGATACGGCGTCAAGAATGCAGCTGGATCTTTGACGAACTTCCATTCTTTTAAAAGGTCAATTGCTAAAAAAACATCGATTTACCTGCGATTCTAATAAGTGTGGTGCACCTACTTCTTCATATTTCTGACGACAGCAAAATTTGGGAAACCGGCAGCCTCTCTACACTTTTGGTAAATTAAAAACAAGTTACCTGCTGCAAATACTACAAAAGATGTAACTCAGAAATTCTTGGAAAAACAGTTTTTGTGGCAAATATATGCTTTGATTCAGTCTATTTGTGTTACATTATGTACATATTTCATTAAAAGCCTAAAATGCTTTTCTGAGAGGCGGACAATAAGGAAGACTTACCACAAAACATGGACAGATCCGCAGTTGTCAGCTAAAATAGAAAAACAACGTAGGATTTAAGTTCGACATACCGTATGATGCAGTGCGAAGTTTTTTTGTTGTGACTACCTTGCTTCCGTAACAATGGCCGTGAGTGCCATGTTGGGTGACGAATTTTTCTACGTCTTTGAGGATTGTAGGGACACTGACTTCCATGTACTCTTTGGTTGCATTAGCCTAATTGTACGCAAAAAATTTCACAACGCTTAACAGGGATGCTCGCGCGCTCCTCACATACGAGTACAACTATTACAATGCGCTAATTGTACGTGAATATTAAGTTACTGATTTTCAAAATGCTTTAATTATGCACAATTCGAGTTGTAATAATACTAGCACCAAACGGTGAATAACCTTTTCGCCATCTGGAGTCTTAAAAAGAATCTTGACCATGCCGTCGTAGATGTCCATAGCCTTTTCCACAATAGAGCTTGCCAAGGCTTGATCCCAGTCTCCACTTGGAAGCAGACCTTTGACAGAGAATGTGGTTTTTAGCATAAGGTCGAAATGAAATATTCGCATGCAGCGATGTTTTTTTTAAAAATGCAACCGGTAAGAAACCGGAAGAAAAACAAGTGCTCGAATACAGCAAGTATTCGCATGCATTGCCTAAGCACCCACGATTACGAAACGAAACCGTCAATAAACTTACATTTTACCGGCAGAAAAGCACGTGCACAAGTACCGATTCAAAGCTCCTTACCGAAACGCTGCCCTAAAAGGCGGATAATAACTTTCGTCTCTCCGAGTGGCTTGCCGTCCACCTCTGGTAACAAAAGATATTATTATTGCGTATAAAGATCGATAAAAAATACGTGAAAAATGTAATGCTGAGCATTCCATAAAAAAAATAGCATTACCTAAGTAAGGCACAGTTCCCCATGGAGTCTCTGTAACGATATGCGTTGATAACCCAACACTTTACTCCTTGTAAATCTGGACGTCGACTTCAGCATTTCAGGACAATACACTTAAATTGCTGCAGTTTCACCAAGCGCCAAAATTCTCAGTTCTTAAAACGGAAATACAGATAGATTTGTTAAAAATTACTCGGTTTGAAAGCCGGCCAGTCTGGGGTTGCTACGCGGTAATCTTCGAATTTCTGTCCAGCGGTGGCAAAAAGTAGTCGAACAAATTCCCCGCGACCGCGTCCATCGAAATATACTAGTTTATAAGTATGCATTTCGGTAGGTGAATCCGATCTGTAGAAACGTAATACGTAAGTACATTACCATTTACCAGATGTTGAAATAAATTTGGTTTAAAGTGGATTGTTAAACTGTACTTACAATTACGTATTTTTTACCTACTTATGCAGGCAAGAAGATGGATTCTATGTCCTATAGGTAGAGACTTTACGGCATCAGTAGAACAATACACAGTATGGTTTCGGGCATTAACGTCTGAACATCAACCACTATTTACAGTAAAACCAGAGCTAAAACAAAGCGGATGTAAATAATCAGTGCACTACCAAAGCCGTTAGCTGCTGGGTTTTCGTTTTACTGAAATATTCAAATCGTAATGCGCAACTGTCAGTCGCTAGTATTGTCATTTTTGATAATCTAAAGTTTGTCACTGCTGTCAGACATTTTAGAAAGCACGAGGTTAGATTTTAAATAAATCTTAAATCTTCCTTACCCGTAAAATGTCTCAAGATTTCGGAGGTTCTGAATTTGGTTCTTCTGGGATTTATCTGTACTATCTATTAACTATACTTCCAGTTCTATCAATGAAAACGTGCAAGACTACTGAACCACATTTAGTATTCCAACCGCCACAAACTGCTGCACAACGGTTTATTCTTGCGACCGTTCTTATGCTTTGGAACTAACACATGTTCAGCTTGCACACAGTTTTTGAGTTTAACGTGCCTGGAACAATATTGGGAATCTGCTTTCACAGCCGGCGGAACCGGTACAGCACAATACGGTTGCTGCATGGTCCTAGCGAAGCCGTCATTACTCGGCGATTCTGCACAATCGTGGTTGTTTATGTACCAGCTGAGCTGTTTGCTCGCCGAATGCTGTACGGCGTTTTGTACGGTGTTCCCAGCCGGTTGCACGTTGCAGCAGAGTAAACATTATCAATTAAAAAAACTATGGCTGCTACATGCGAAGCAGCAAAAAATACCGATAAGTACGGTACTACTTGTACAAAGAAAATATAATAATTATCATCTATACTTGAAGGACCAAATAATTGTCTAACTACAGTGTATTTACATATATCACAGTCTGTTGGTTAGTGCGAAACAGCACTTGTATCTTGCGAAGTTAGCACAAAACGAATTCGAGAAGCTACGTTATTAAACAGGACTTACGTGGCATTAGTAGATTCTGGAGATGAAGCCTCACCAAAACTTATTCCACAAAAAAGCAAAGACTGCAGGGCAATTAAACCAAAATTCCGTAGGGGTCCCATCCTGCAAGGTCACGTTTTTAGCTGCTGTTTCAGTTTATTTGCAAAGGACTTGCTGCACCTACATGCACCTTTTAAAATCAGGTGAACCTGCTTTTTATGTCAAACTGCAACCGGAAAAATGTATCCCAACCCGGACAGACTTGGACCGATCAAATCAGACGTCGATTTCAATCAGTAATCAAAACCGATGCTTGCTTTACGTTTCTGTGTACGCTAAACTGATTAATAATTAGGTGAGTGAAATAGAATTACTGTTATGTGTGGATTACTGCTATATGTCAAGAAATTTATTTTGTTGATCGTCGCAGCTGATGTGTGAAAGTGCATCTCATAATTAAAAACTAAAAAATTTGGCGCAATAAAAAGGAAGAATCCCACAGTTTTGAGTCTAAATTTTCAAGTTATAAGGAGAAATTGCAGGACTTGAGTAGCAGATTTCCCTTTTACTGATAACCAGTTGTCCAGGGATCAGAACTATAAAATTATAATTTATACCGATGTGTGGATATGTGTACGTAGACCCCCGACCGTCTCTAAATTTTGTAAAACTCTTTACGCTTTCGACGTGCAGTAAGCGTCCTGGTTGATTAAAATCGTAATTTAATCGCATCGATAGGTGACTGACAGATCTAACCCTTAAAATATGATAGCATCAGGCGGAAATTCTATGCGTACAGTACAACATTTGATTCTCGATACCGCAGTAATCATTTTTAACTAACAACAGCACGTGAATAATGTCACGTTACTGGCTTAATGCTTTTTAGCGTATCCTGAGAGTTTGTCGTGACTGCGGACTTTGTTCACAACCTCCTTCACTTTGGGGAAGCCATCAATGAAATCCTTCGTAGTTAGATTGAGGAGAAGTGTGGAGTCCAGCACTGGCAAAAGTCCGAAGTTAGATTTAAGAACAAAATTACCAATTATTGCAAATCGTAACTTTCTTCCTCGACAGACAGAAGTAGCTGTTCAATAGCTTTGCTTTTGCCGTAATTAATTGTTAACGGAGATTACATTCCCGTCCTGTAACCGTACCGTTGTAGATTGCAATATCCGCTGCGGTAATCTGTCAGCACAAAACGTAAAGGTCATAGTGGCATTTTAGAAAATAGCAAAGGTAACGTCAAGGTGGATAGGTAATGTAAAAGCTTATGCAAATGCCGTTGGTAAATAAGTTTTTATTCAGAAAAGGTGACTTATTTTACCCGTGTGAAGATCACTGAACATTGTCGCGCCGGGAAAACTGTACTCGTACCTTGTTTCCCACGGTATACCCGTTTGTCCCGTGTTCGGAAATAAATTTCTCCCAATACTTTAGGGCTGGATTGAAAATTTCTTGTTGATATTTTTGACCTTCAGTCGCCTTTATCAAATCAAATGTGCAGGAAATTAAGACAGATGTATCGCATGAAGGTATTTGGGCACCATGGCCACCTTTTGTCCTTCTGGCGACATAACAACTTTTCCCATCGCCGTAAAAATATCGGATGTTGCCGCTACTACGGATTCGACCAGTGCTTGTTCCCATTCGTTTTCTCCAGCGAGACCTGACATTTAAGCAGGAAAGTGTGTACGTTGCATATGCAACGCAATGTGTAAAGTTGTGTTTGCTGACCGTATCGCCGTGCTAAAAAGTTGACAATAGCACTGGTTTGCGCCAGTTTTTGTCCGTCCACTTCCAAAACTAAAAAAAATAGGTTCTGCATTACATATCAACCGCTAAAAGCCTATAACAAGTGTAATTTATTTGCAAAAGCCGTATCAGTTACTTTAAATTGTGGGTTAGATGCATGTTAAAATACTTATTCATGGAATGAGCGATAAATGCGAAAGACGATATTAAGAAATCCATGCATACTTGGCAGCTGTCCAAACGGTGTGTCTAAAAAAACAAAGAAAAAACTGGGATGTACAGTATAATTATTTGTATTATATGAGTACGCGTACCACCACTACGTTAAAACTGAAATATTTGTACATACCAAGACGGCACTTAACAACTGTGTTCTTGATGTATAAGAGACATTATAGAAATGCAAAATACACGTGGCAGGCGTAATTCACAGTTAATGCTAGTTTTGAGAAATAAAGTTAAGTACCTCTCTAGGCCTACGCAGCTTCTTTAGAACCAAACAATTTTTTTTCCTGCGCAGTTTAAGTAACCATATTGTTGTGCAGGAAGGAATCCGCTTCGACTACCGCTTTCTAACTTAATTTGTGTTTGAAATATGCACTACCCCTTGCACTTAAATTAACTAATTATTGTGCTTAAATTAACTAATTTTTGTAATTAGGTGTTGAGTTGGAAGATATTTTTTCCGCTTACTGGATTTCAAGGAGGGCCAGTCTTGGAAAGCCACGGGCACTTCCTCCCATTTTTGACCGATGGCTGTTAGCAGCAGACGTACGTATTCTCCACGGCCTCGAGCACCCTCCCAGTACATCAGTTTATAATTAGGCATTGTGCCGGTATCTGAGCTGAAAGGGTTAACGAATTATTTTTAATTCCACAGATATAATCCGAACAGATTTTAAAAAACTACAAGGTCACCTTTTTTTAGCTAACTTGACAGTTTGATACAGATTTTGCATTACTTGTAGTTATTTTTTTCTTGCATGCCCAAAATTATAATAATTTTAAATTATGATGATAATCATAACCGACTGAAAATCTGACCACCAGATTAATAAAACGAATTTGAAAAAAGCAGTATTTATAAATTATAATTAATAAACAAACCTTTCCCAGCAGAAATACCTGAGTAGCCTGGCTAATGTAGAGGCTGTAGAGAACCGGGAACTTCCAATACTGGCACGAATCGCAAAGTGGATAGCAAAATGCTCGAGCAAACATCATCGCTTACATCGATAACTCTTGGTTTATATATGAAACCTGTAAACCCTAACGACCTTGGTATTCACAAGTAATTTGTGGATAATACCATCTTAATAAAGCTGATTAACCATTGAAACTGTTGGTTTTCAACTTTAAACGATCAGAAACCCCACATTATGCATTAGCTTGTTTTTCTGTTGGTACTGTAATAATTTAATTCAACCTTTCGATACTCCATTGTTCGTATTCGTACGTTATCCGCGGGGCAATGGTGTAGTACCGTAAATATCACTAACAGGCTTAACAAATAAAGTTCGTTAGCTGACGATGGAAAGCTGTTACTGCACGTATATTATGGCGGCTATAGAAATGATTTGCAGTTAATTTTGATTTTGGTATGATTTTGGGCACCATTGGCGCTTCTAAGTGCACTTAACTTTAAAAAATTATTGTTTTTTTCGAAAACGGATGTATAAAAATGCACCAACGTCGTCACCCCATTACGAAAATTACTACTGTTTATAAAGGAACTGCAAATATCAGGTGTAGCCATTCAACATTTCTGTAATTGCTCGGTCTTGCTAAATGTCAAAGAATGACCGTCTTGTTTCCATTGTTTAATATAACAGTGGAAATGATATAGGAAACCGTTATAGGCACCCCCTAAAACGCCCGTTTATTATAGGCACCCCTTTTCACACCCCGTTTATTATAGGCACCCTTTTTAAATTAATATGATATATGTAACAGATTCAGTATTCTCAGATAGTAATGCAGTTTTATTCGGATAATAGTACAATAACTTCTTCTGGCGTCGAGTTAAGTACATCGACAAGCTTAACTCGACGTAATAGGACGATTAGGCAAATCAGCCAGCATAGAGCGAATCAGTTATGCGTCTTCTACTGTGACCAGAAAGTCATCTTTCGCGGTAGTTAGCTCATTCAATGGCTTCCTTCCAAGCCCTTTAAGACACCGTGTGATTTTCTCAGCCTGTAACACTTCTGCCAACCATTCCCTTTGAGCTGAGGCTTTATGAATACAAGTGTTTGCGGGCGATGCTCCAGAGATCAGTTCAGCAATGTAGGAACACACCATAGGGCCGCACTGATAGGACCCCAGCAACTGAAGCTGGACAATTGGAAACTACGGTGACCGGATTCTGTTCGCCACCGTACAGCATGGACAGCTGCAGTTGGACGTGCGGCGACAGCGGAGCATTCATGCTGTTATACAAGCGAACTGTATTCTCGGATGGCCTTTTGTTGCGACATTACAAAATGGTTTGAGCCATACAGGGTCTGGATATATTCCATTCCAGCCGCCAGATCATTCTGTATGCGCTTTACCTCCTGCCCGTCGGGATTGCAGATGGCAAGGTCGCCTGGATCTGCGAGACCGGTAAACCGTCCTGTATTTCCTTTTTGGCATAGATATGAGAAGATGCCGATGACTCTGGCATAGAGCATCCGCCCAACCGCCAGGACATCAGCCAAGTCGCTATCGTAAAGGTTCAGCGGCGCTCCTATGCCGTTTTCACCCTATTTCACGTTCTAATATTCGTAGGACGTGGCCTCGAATGCTGGCTGCAAGCCTAACGCGAGCCGGGCACTTGTTTTGTCGGCTATGAGTGAATGTCCGAGCGCCAAAGCCTTTCTTTCTGTATTCTCTGTGGTGCACGCATTCGTGGAAAATCTTTCTGTACTTAAGGGACGGCTCCAGAGCTTCTCCGGTCTTGAACTTTTCGGACCGTCGTATTGTGAATGTTTGGAAAGTCGCTTCCTGGTATGTCTTAAAGTCTTTCTCGAATTCTTCAAAAGAAGGGTATTCGTCCGTCAGGTCAGCGACATTTTCGAGGGATGGGAATACCGAATCTTTGATCATGGCTTCCGATGGCCCCGGCGCCAGAGGGCTGCTTGAACCCGCCATGATATGATATTTGCAAATTGCCGGTATTGGGAACAAAGTTATTGATACATTTATGTAATATATGAACGTATAACCCTGTTATCTTGACCTCTTGTCCATAGGAAGCTTTTACGGTCATAGTAACAATAATAAACAGTAATAAAAATTTAAAACAGTAATAACAATTTTTTGGAAAATGTAAGTAATATTCCGTTCACATAATTATTTACCATATATTAATTCAAAATGGGTGCCTATAATAAACGGGGTGCGAAAAGGGGTGCCTATAATATACGGGGGTTTTAAGGGGTGCCTATAAGGGTACCCAATGATATATAACAGCAAAATAAGTCCCAAACATACTCAGGTATACGTAATGCTCTCTAATTAAAAGAACAGAAAATCAGGGAAATGACAAAAACCGCAGCAGTCAAAAGAAAGTACAGCCCAATAGAAATGCTTCAAAGAACAAATAATATGTCATGAATCTGTTGTGTAAGTATTGCACGTTAAAGATAATTGACAGAATTTATGATGCACTTCGGCATTTGTATCATCCAGATGTTATTAATTTGAAATTTCGCCCGCGTGCAGATTTATAGTTCGATTTTCGCCCCATCATTCCACCAGCTCATTTTCGAATCTTCAGGTAAGCTGCTACCTTTTCGTTGTGGAGAGCTTTATCCAAAACACCTTTGACTTTTGGATACGGATCAAAAAAGGATGGGTTGGTGATGAATTTGTACTCCTTCAGCAAGTCAAAAGCTATTAAAAAGAACAATTATTATAAATCGCGAAGGTGCAAATAATAACACTTGCGCAGCCGCAGCGTGCGTCCCTACACCGGTGGGGATTTTTCCGTAAGGCCTGGAATGCTTTATTGGTACACAATTTATTGCAGTATAAACCACAAATGCTAAAAGTTAACTGATTCAATAGATATTTCGCTACTTTGTTATTTTACCTGACCTACCCTGATTGCTTATACCTAAGATTTCAGACTTGTAACAAAAAGGCTTTTAGCAAAACTTTCTGAGCTTTATTTAAAATAACAAATACAGAGCACTCCCCATCGTAGTCATACTACCTGACATGTACTCTGTAGATACAAAGACTATCCTTTTTTGATTGATCGATTCTAAGCTTGTATTTGTTTGTATTAAAACTGCATATATATAGTACTGCCGGCCCTACGGAAAATCCGATTTCCCATCACACTTTAATGACACATAAAGGGCAGTGCTAACTTTACACACGCATATCTTAGAAAACAAAAAACCTGATGTAAGGTTTTAATAATTAATAAACAATCCATAAGTTATATTTAAAATTTTACCTTACCGCAAAATAGACAAACATCCGCCGTGGTCAGCTGCAATTAGAAATATCAAATAACCAGATTATACCGAAATTATTTTGACATCATGTTATAGATTGTTAACATTTTGTATCCAGAAGGTCTCCTTTAATGTTCGCTTCAATTTCTAATAATTGCTTGTGATATAGTGAACGCTAGCTCCAAGGACAATAAAAGGTGTACAAATTGCTCATTTGCATTGTACTGTGGCGCTATGTACCGACCTTGCTGCCGACGCAGTGGCCGTGGCTGCCATGCTGCGCAATGAATTTTTCCAGATTCTTCAGGATATTTACCAACTGGACCTCCATGTACTGTTTAGTGCCAGCAGGCTGTAAAAGCGAACAAGGTTCTAAACCATATTTTACCATCATCCACAAGTGTGCAGCTAACGTAACAATCGTTATTGACCTTTTCCTCGTCCGACATATGATAAGCGATTTTTTCCATTCCGTTGAAGATATCCATGGACACTTCGACTACAGAGTCCACTAGACCTTCCTCCCAGTCACCACTTGGAACCAGCCCTTAATATGGGTGGCATAATTAATTGCAATTTGCCGCGAGCTTTAACCGGCACATCTAATTCGGAAACACTTCCGACCTACCATAGCGGTGCCCCACAAATCTGATCACGGATGTTGTTTGTGCCAGTTGCTTTCCATCAACCTCTGTAGTAAATGGGCATCTTATTTTTTTTTATGCGTGCACAAACAATTTTTTTGTGTAGCTCTGTTCTGTACTTGAGTGTTGAGCTAACAGAACTATGTACTTACAATATATTTACAGTAACAAAACAAGGCACTGCTCCGAATTTTGTTATCGGTAAAAATTATTACGCTTCGTAGTAAACCGCAAATTATAGCAAGTTAAATTATGTCCATTAATTAGCTGTAATTATCTTATTTGAACGAGCGCGAATTATGCAGTTTTCCTCTACAAGTACCTAAAACTGGGCATGTTCCCCAAGGTGTGTCTGTAAAAAAATTATAATAAGTAAACTGCAGAACATTTGAAACCAGATCTCTGGTTTTCCAATTTGCGATACCTACTAGGTTTAACTTGCGGCCAGTCACCAAATGCAATCCGGTTGTCTTCAAATTTTTGTCCAGCCGCGCCCAGAATCATGCGCACAAACTCTCCCCGGCCACGCACATCGAAATACGTAACTTTGTAATGAGGCATTATAAGTATATCGGCTTACAACGTTTAAGCGAACAGAGAAAAACTGTTTTTCAATCTTCGCTTCAAACAATGCGGTTTAGCGCTTCTTAATTTATTATACTGCTGCAATACTGAGCAAAATTATTAGATTATACAACTCTAATATGGCAAATAGTCGTGTGGAAACGGGCAAAGAAGAAGCGAAGCTATGTGTAATTGAATATGGATAACTGCTAATCCGTATATGTCGCTTCCGCTTTATGCATTGGGTTCCATACGCGCATGCGCATTTGCCCTAGAATTTCGATACCTCCTATTTGTTATCCTTTCCACTTTCTCACTGTGCCTATAATAAATGGAATCAAGTTCCAGGCCAGTCATCACGTTTTTATTTGGTAAATGGGATTTAACACCGTTGTGAAAATTGTCGAATCATGCACCTGTGTGTTTGTTCAGTGTGCAGAACCGTTATGTAATGCACTTCACAATGTAAATGCGCGGTGTCCCATTTGCCGGCATAAGGTTCCTGACGGTATCCAGTGACTTAAGCGTGAGATGCCGGCTACAATTTAAGTGCGAGTGTAACGTTCTAAAATAATATCAGACGGAGAACATTTGCCGAGACACCTTCCTGAATTGAACACCCATGGAATTTCTAAGGAAGAAACTGGCTTTGAAAATAGTATGCACATTGTCTCACAAACACAGATTTTTCTCAAATTAATTTACAGAATTTGTACCTACAACAGCGAGAAATACGTATATTTATAGTGTATTAGGGTATTGTGATATTTTGGCGCGCCAAGCAGTTAGCTGTTCATGTATGGTTAAAAACATTTAAAAAGATGCATTAGGTCTTTCATTCAAATAAGCAGCAATTCTTGGTTGAGTTTTGACACTTTTAAACGCTGCTTTGACGCCTGGATAATGTTCCAGCGACTGGCTATCGAGAATGCCATGATGAAATAGATTGTCCAACACTAAAAAGTTAGTGCCGTTAATTACAGAGTCTGAAAACTATGTATTATAACATGACGTTATTCAAGAATAATTGCGAAATTTACCACTGAATATGGCGATATCCGCAATGGTCATCTAAAAATAGTAATACTTGATATTTACAAGGGCTGCAAGAGTCTTTTGAAATTAATATAACGCACATGATTTCCCACGGTGAAACCATTGTTGCCGTGCTGTGATATGAAGCGGTCAAAGTTAGAAAGTACGGAAGGGACTGTCACTTCTTTGAATTTGTGCACTGCGTCTGCCTGGAAATAAACTCGAACTTTTGTTAAGTTGTCTTTGTGGACTTTCTTTTGTTATATACTTCTGAAGTACCACAAGCGGACAGTTTCGACATGAAATTAACAATTACAGACAAAACTCTATTGTATGGTATGTGTAAATATTCAAGTCCAATCTGGCCACTGGAAGTGTTGGACGGTTATACTTCTACATATGTACTGTATTACCGCTGTTTAAACAAATTTTTAAAATTTTGTTAATATATAATCTCATAAATAAGATAAAATAAGTGCGACTCGTAATAATAATAAACGATTGAGATCCACTGGTATCGAATACCGAACCACGAAGTGATGCAATATTATTTGCGAACAGAATTTTACACTTACCTTTTCAAGGTCATTTCCTTTGAATTCTCCTATATGTAAAATTTTTGCCAAAAAATCAGATGCAGCCTCTATTACTGAGTCCACGAGAACTTCCTGCCATTTGTCCTGGCCCGCTAATACTGGAAAAAATAAGTTAATATTTGCTACAGTGCATGGCGTTCGACCTGAAAGGTTAGAAGTGCTAAATTAAAACTGATTATTATCCAAGTGTTTGTAGCCGGCTTGTCAGACTAGGTATTACGATGTACATGTACGAATACATACATACATTGTAAATTAAACCATTCCATTCAAGTAGATTGTTATTAGAAAATTGTCCATACCTCAAAATCATATTGTCCCTATATCAATATGTACTGCGAAACTTACAAAAAGATCGCGCCAGGTATCTCGCGATAGCATTTGACTGAGCGACAGTGCGGCCGTCAACTTCCAGCAAAGGCAAGGTTCCCCAAGGTGTTGCTGAATTAACACAACTGGCTTATATAACGCCTATACTCGTATCTAGTTATTATTTTGAAATGTTATTTACAGATAAAAACTTATGGTGCTTGACAATAGAAATGGTAATTGTTAACGTTGTTCGACGTACTTGTCCTAAGTGATGGCCATCCCATAACGTCGACTCGGACATCTTCAAACTTCCTATTAGCAGCAACAAATGTTAACCTCAAAAGCTCGGCCCTACCGCGGCCATCGAAGTAGACTAATTTGAATGACTGCGGCATAATTCGCTCACAAGACTTACTAAAATTATAATGTTTTTATCAGTACTAGTTTAAGTAAAGTAAAGTTTTTGTGTAAGTTTATAACAAGAATTCAGCACGCTGTACACTCATGCAGACATTGTACAACAACGAGGCATACACGTTCAAACCCTAAATCAAAACTTCCGGATAGCCTGCACCTTTCTTGCTGTTCGTTTGTACGAGTATCATAGTTGCAGCAATGCAACTTTATAAGTTTCCGTAACCGCCGATCTTTTGAAAATACCGCTCTAACACTGTTGCTATTATCCTCCTTAGCCGGTAAACGTTTCAGGGGGACCATCTTTTGAGTGACAAACACAGTACTTTGCCTCTTATTGTTAGAGGTAGAAGTACTGACGAGTACAGATCTGTACAAACGCCGTAATGGTTTTTGAGATTTTCATACCATACTTACGAGTATATACAATACATGCATCCAGCAATAAGTGTCCCAGCGTTCAGTGGATGCACTAGTCAATACAAAACGTGCGCGCTCCATGCCGAATTTAGAAAGCCACATTTCTTCAAGGGTACAAAAAATGCAAATACCGGATAGGAAGATGCATTTTTCAAATTTGTTTGCCCAAGTTTAGAATGGAAACCGTTCTTCTTTATTCACGTTCTTCTTTATGTTATACGTGATCAGAAGGGCGGAGCTAAAGCAGAATATTATTTTTCTGTTGGCAAACTTGCAAAATTTCATCTTAATGCGATGCTCTAAAATAACCCTCTTGTCACGAAATCCATCCAGATCTTTTGAAACCGATGACCCGAGCGGCTATAAATTCTATAATTTCCTTATGAGTATTTGCCGGCGGATTTGACGCTGGTCCAATTGACAGGGCATTGGCTAAAGTTGATATATAAGTTGGCAGATCTTCTGGAGTTCGTCGTGCTAGAGAAGATAAAAGATAAATTTTCATGTATTGTACCTTTTTCATCTTTATGCCATCAACCATGGTAATAAAATTTGGTAATAAATGTTTCACAGTATGCATATCGTTTTACATTGATTTTAGTGTTGTGAACATGCGCCTTGTTGTACCTAATGGTCAGTCTTACTGGTAGGCCTACGGTAGGTAATACAAATACAACCTTCAAGTGTTTGCTTATAATTATGGGAAGGAGGTACGGTACTATAATAATAACTGTTCTCATGATCAGTAACACATTAAACTCATATTTCATGCAAGGCAAAAGCATTTCGACTTAAATCATCACCTTCAGTGTATATCTGGTTAATTTTTTCCTTTTCCGCCGCGAACTCTTTTTCAAAGTTAAAAAATTCCAACTGTGGAGAAGATACATCCTCAAACACTGGCGCATATACAGCTGGCTGGAGTAGAGGCAACGTTCCTTCAAATTTCGGAGCAATTAATGTTAAAGGCTGATTCGGAACACTTAATTTGCCGTAAGCTTGCAGCACTTCTATAACCCGCGTTAAGTCTGACAGCTCAAACAGCGTATCAAAAACACTGGATAACTTCATTGAAGAATTTTCCGTGGCTTCTAGAACCGGAAATACCGACCGCGAGTTCTCTCCTATATCTAATACGGGCTCCGCTTCTGGTAAATCCGATTCGTCAGGCAAGAAACGCGGCAACTTCTCGGCCGTCAACAGAGAAAAAAGTCGATCCAAGAGGAGCAGATTGTTCTCCTTATCTATGTAGTTATCCGTGAACGTCAATCCCGAACTAAGAACCATGACCTTTCCTCCTTTTGGAACCGATGCAAATGCACAAATTGGTTGATGCATTGGAAAACATGCGGAACCGGTTGTTAATAGTGGTACAGCCGGGGATTTCACTTTCAGTGTTGTCCCATAGGGAAATAAAAAGGACTGCTGGTTCTTTGTATCAGTAGACTGGCTGGCGGACATCTTCTGCAGATATCCGTCGCTGATCAAAGCTTCCTTGGGAATGAAGTATTTTTGGAAAACCCCTCGAATAACGCTTTCCATACCAAGCGCCATGCCATATTCCTCCAGTAAATAATTGATGTTTGTGCGGATAGGCTCTTCGCTATCCTCTCCCAGCCAAAAGAACATACTGCCACCGGCATCTAGAAAGGATTTTAGTAAATTAAATTCAGCAGTGGAAAATTTCCTTTGCGGCGATGCGAAGATCACATAGCGGCAACGTGACAGGAATCCTTCGCGAAAAATATCTTTGGATGTTTCAATGCTCCATTTTTGTCGCAGTCGTTTGGTGAGAACCTTCAGTCCATTTTCAGGGGACACTCTTTCGTTCTTGGCAATGGAAAAAACTATTTCTAACTGCTGAGAGCCCATTTCAAAGATCCCGGATCGTCAGTACTAGTTCCAGGAGGCACCAATTCTTTGCTGATTAGTCATTAGTGAATATAAGGGAGTTTCGTTAGAAAAGACAACTGGCAACACATATGTAACATACAGATCAACGGGAAGCAATTTAGCACAGAAATATAAGCTGAAGTTCAATCAATAACTCACCTGGTTTGCAGTGAATGCTTCTTGCCATCATCGTGTGGCTTGCGCAGATGCTGTACTGTACTACGTAGAGTACAAAATTAAAGCAGTTGTATATATGCAAATGCCGGCATCAGAAAGCCGTCGAACAATCATCAGATGTTCCGTCGAAAGCCGTCGAACATGTCAGATGTAACTCCATTGCATGCATAATGTTACGATATACAATAAAGTATTATGTGAATATTGCTGCAGTTTTGTTTTGCTTTAGTTTTAGAAATTAGGCGTGCAGCATATGTGCAGTTACACATAAATCGCAAAATAAGCTGTTAAGGTTATCAAAAGAAATGTACATTGTTTTTTTAAACTATTAAATTTACACAAGTGTTTCTGGCTGCTCTAACCGTAAGTTAACTGACTGACTAGGTAACGTTAAGTGGCTGCAGTATAATGTCTGGTTGACCGAATGTGCGTCGTTAGGTAGATAAACTGTTAACTATTATCAAGTACTTACTATAGTGTGAGACCTATGGTAAGTTCTTGCTATAAATATTATTAACCAATGACAGATAAGCCGAGCTGATAAGTACTGTAGTTTTTTGACAGAAAATCTAATCAGAAGTGATAAACTAGAACAGGCAATCCACTTATCAATGACAGTTAATTATGTTTGATCATAGTACTGCTATCAGGATAGCGCGCTAACGTATGTTATGTTTGTATGCATTTGCTAAAACAGGTGTTGTGCGGACTCTCGATAATAAGATAATTTCGTTTAAAAACAATATTTTTCCGTTAGGAGTTCGTATGGATGAGTGAAATAAATTAATCTGAACCTCTGCTGTAAGCATCTGAATATCCACCAGTTTGAATCTACAATATTTTGTTTCTAACGATAAAATCTGTGGATTGCGATCAGGTTTTAAAAAGACTCAAAAATTCTGAATATTTTTCTTACATCAACGGTGTTCCTTTTCAGGCAGTGTGTCTGTCTATTTGTTTAGCCAACGTTTTGATAAACGATAAATCCTAACATCAGTAAAATTATTTTGTCGATTGCAGAATATGGTGCTGGGGCTTCCCTCATTACTGAAAATCGTCCTCACGGGTTTGTTGCGTTGCATAACTTTAGTTTATTTTTCTGTTTTCAGTTTAGTGTACCAGTGCATTGCACTTTCGATGCCAAAGCTTAAAAAAGTCAAAATAATTGTGTAATTAAACACTATATCACTTTACTGTTGCAGTTACAACATCCGGAAAAATCAATGGAGAGCATATTGCCGAAAGACCGACCTTTGAACACAGTTTTGTTAATGATACCAGCGGCATTGTTATGACAAACGGTGGATGCTACCCAGGATGGAAAGAATATGGTAGGTATGTGACAAAAGCAGCCTGAATATTCAGCTTAAATTAAATTGGGCTTTTTTTGGTATTGGAAGCGAGTAAATATTTTCTAAACTATACCAAGCTCAGTAAAGGTTCAGCTGCTTTACGGAAGAATCCACGGAACCAAAAAAACTTTGAAGTGTTTTACTTCACTCAGGAGACTACTGCTACTTCTTTTCCGGCAACACTACAAACAACTTCGAGGGAGCTTATAACAGTTGTCGTACTGCATTGGAAGCCAAACCGGGAGCGCCCGTACCAGATCTGGTGTCCGTAAAAAACTCCGTGGAGAATGACTTATTGGTAACTATGCTGAAAAATTTTGGACCGGCATTTTGGATTGGTCTTCGTCAAAATCAGTCCTCAGGATTTCTTTGGGCTGATGGTCGACCGTACGTTTTTTCCCACTGGGGAGTACAGGAGGACCAAGCGACCAATCTGGTGAGTTGATTACGCGCTGTTATCATCTGCTGGTCAAGCGGTCTCTTCTGCGATTTTCCGTACAACGGTAACTGCTATAGACAGATATTTCTATGGTTTAATAAGTTCAAACATCTTCGAATTGTTTCAGAAACAATCTGTTACGTGTATTGTTATAAATAAGAGTATTTAAAGTTGTAGTCAACTTGTGCAGCGCTGATGAACGAAGACGCTCAAACCGGATTCTGGAGGAATCGGGACTGCAGCGAAAGCAACGGCTATATTTGCAAAGCTGCAAAAGGTATAAATGTATTACACATCTGGTTTATTTGTGTTTTTCTCCGGTTACTCAGATTAAAATTTCAAATTAACCAGATTCGCGATTGCCGTCCACGGTGCCAGATGTTGATTTGCGCTGCCCAAAGGGCTTCCGCTACAAGAATGACATTTGCTTCCTGGTTAAAAAATTTAGAGAACCGGTCAGTTGGGATGAAGCCGACACAAAGTGTCGGCTCTTTGGTGGCGTTTTGGCTACTATCCGGGATATATATGAAAATGCCCAGTTTCGCGTAGCATTAAACTATCTGGACTCTTCTGACACCGCTAAAGCATGGATGTCTACGGGAGCTGAAAATTTCCGCCCGGCCAACACCAGCCGCCAGCAGTCTTTTCCCGGTTTGCTGGAGTCATCAAAGAATGTTGAATCCTTTCATGACCGAACGCCGTGTGCGTATATGCACAGCGGTGGCAAATGGTTTATAACATCGTGTTCCAACAGTTTCTTATACGCTTTGTGTGAGAAACGTTTTGGTGCGTACTGGCTACAGCCACATTTTGCAGCTACCTGTGTTAGAACAAATATTTTTCACTTGTTTTCAGACGAAGAAATTATTGAAGATTTTAATTTAACAACAATTACACTATATCCTGCGACAAGTGACGGATTTGTGAATACGGATAACTTCGTTTCCGGTCCCATTATTAGAACAACGGAGGTGGCGCCCATCGATGATCCGTATCCCGGACTGACAGCCGCAACCATTTCATGGATTGTTTTCGGCTTACTGCTTTCGGTGGGCTTCGTCAGTTTTCTGATTTATGTGGTCTACACAGGAAGGAGTATTTTTGTTACCCGATACCTTAATCGAGTATCAGGAAGGATCAAACGAAGCTTTTTAAATAATATGCGTCGACATCGCAGCACTGACCGCAATGAACTAACTCTACAAGATATTGTGATTGTGTAATTTAATACTTCTACTCGTAATTAATAACCTTCAACTGTTTCGTTCTTTTACGATTAAATCCGTATTGGTAACGATACATTTATATCTATATCGCAGTTTTGTTAACAGCAGTAGTCAAACGAAACTAATGCAGGAAACCGAAAAAGTAAACAAGAAGGGGAACAGATTTAGCGACTGATCGAGGGAAGAATTTTTTTATTTTGCGTTGTAATACATAAATGTTGCTCGTTGGCAAAGTATTACAAAAAAATGATGAGAGCTTAGTTTTATTCAGAAAAGATTTTTAAAATTCGCTTGATCAAGTCAAACTAATGTAAGAGGAAAAGATCAAAATGTGCCCTTTGAAATTAACTATACTGCATTGGTACCTGACTATCCACAGCAAAATCCCTGAATAAAAATTAATATACACTGCAAATTATCTTTCCTTTACAGATTGAAAATGATTGAAAATAATCGTTTTGCTGACTTCGTTAATATTATGATTACAAGAAACAGCTTCGGCTTTGCCTCCGTGTTTCTTGTGATCCACGGCCGGTTTGAATGGAGAATTCGTTAAGTTCATTAAATGTATTAACAGCCTTAGCAGTTATTGTACAGCGTCTTGAGGAAAGACTCTAGAATCTAGATTGGATTGTTGATGGGTCCCACCAAAAAATTATAAGTTTAACCACGCATAGACTGGACTGTGATAGAAAGAAGCTCGGTCACTCTTGCATCTAAAGATTCTCATTGGAAAGGGGTGGTAGTTCGGTACTCACTCGTTTGGTGATTTTTCGGGTAGGTTCGGTCACTAACTCGTCCAGTGATTCTCGCAATGGTGGTAGCTCGGTCACTCACTCATCTCTCACTGGGTAGTGATAGTAGTTTGGTCGCTCACTCGTTTAGAGATTTTTCTTACTGGTCAGTGGTGGTAACTCAGCCATTCACTCATCCAGAGATTTTGCTCCCTGGGCAATGATGGAAGTTCGGTCACTAACCTGGCTTCCGATTTTTCTAACTGGACAGGGGTGGTAATTCCGTCACTCAAGCGTTTGGTGTAAATTTGCGCTGTTGATTAACAGAGACTTATTTCGAGTTCAGCTTGTTTAGAACGCTTTAAGAAATTCGAAAACTTTTTCTTTTTTGCGTATTTAGTTCCGAATAGAAGTTAAACATTATGGAGAACTAGTGAGTAGCCACATATTAGTAAATGCAGCTGTAGTGAATGTTTGAATCTAGCAATATCAAACTACCCGATAAACTTCCAGCACTTGTAAGTACGATGAGAACCTTTAAATAGCGTATAAAAGTGCCGACAACTAAAGCCGGAAGGCTAAATTCTTAATAATTATGCGTTTGGTGCCGCACGAAAATAAGTACAATTTATTTATTTTTCAGTTTAATTAGTGTAATATGTCAATTTATGTTATGTAATGTATCCAGGCATTATTTTTATGTCCCAAGGTCACCTTGAAAGTGGATTGGATCGTGTGCGGCGTCGTGCCGACACGATTCTGGTCGAACGAATTTAAAAACGAAAATCATATGAGCCAGTTGTGGACCGAGGTCGATCTATTGGCGTGGTCAGTTTTTAAAAAAATCGTTTTGATTATTGAGATCTGAAAACTATGGGGCGCCGCGCGTAGTATAGATGTTGTACGTAATTAAATGTAATTACTGCGAATCTAATGGATTTGGATAAATTATTTCCGTTCTTAAATGGTTTTAAATACAAGTTCTACATATTATTTGGTTTTCTTGGCGTTCACAGCACATCTTTCTGTATGAGTTGTGAAGAGCGACTTAAAAGAAAACCGTTACTGTATTTATATCGCTTTGTAATAATTGGGCAGCATGTTGTTGGGGTCCAATACAAACGCCATAGAAGTATACAAACCGCTGAATATTTGACGATACTTCTATAGATACAATACTATGAACAAGTATAGGAAAACATGTGCGGTAATTGTGTATTTGTGTTTAAGTTTACAGTTGCTCACAGTTATATTAGCTACTTCTAAAGAATGTTCCAGCTACTAATAAACTTTTGTCCGCAGGAATTTCGACGCTGGAAATGGGGTTAGGATTTTCCAGAACAACAAGTTAATTATGAAAGAATTATGATAAACTTATGACCGCTAAAGCAAACAGTTGCATTCCAGCGATATTAAATACCGCCTAAAGTATGGACTTTTCTGTTCAGTATGGTCGCTATGGTGTGGTTTAAACTTTCTAAATCTGTTGTCACCATTATACGAGTAGTGCAGAAGAAGGATGTGGATTTTGGTTGCATGATCACCCCATATTCACAAGCAGTAGATGCGTGTAAATTATTCTATTATTTTTAATATTTGCAAGATATTTTAATAAGCATCATCAATGCACTAGTTTATCGAGCACCACGAGAAGAACAGTATTGTCTAAACGGTAACGCTGCACAGTCGCTAAAATTCAAACGGTAGAAGCATAATGGAAAAACTAAAATTCATATCTGAGCCAGCTTGCAGACTTGAACGACTGTATCTTGTACATTTTCATTGTAATATGTACCTGGTTCCGATAAAGATTTCTCAGAAATGTATTATCGCATGAATGTAGCAAGAACGGTATGTACAGGCGTACGAAGGCACGTTATCATATTTTGGCTGGATTTTCGGCTTCTTTTGTGCCGCTTCTGTTATACATTGTACGAGACATTGATACTGGTTTCTTGTCAAAAATTTTAGTTTTAATAATGTTTTCACATCACCGTTAAGTCAGCGTTCCCGATTTATGGCAGCCGACATTGTCTGAAGCGACCTTTCGTATGCCGAAGTTGAACCACAGTATTGTTGTCGTTAATTACCGCAGATAGCAAATCAAAAGACTATCAAAATGTTTATACTGCAGTTAGGAAGAGAAAACAATTACGAACTATTAGAACTATGCCTAAGTTTTTATAACAGCTATAAACGTTTACTTAGATTAAATTTGTCTGATAATATATTGTTCCCATTATGGTATACAAAATTTTACGTCTGCATTCAGCTTACTGAGAGTCTGGACACACTAAAAGCGTTGCAGCCCACTCATTTGCAAGAGTTTTCTGCTGCGTTTCTGTCACCTTTCATTTAATCAGATCCGTGCCACCGCATGTTATGTTCCAGCTGTGAACTCCATTTTACAGTCATCAAAGCATGATGTTTTAACGACATATTATACAGTAATTTCTCCCTGCCACATTATGACGTCGACGTTATTCTTAATATTGTCGAGCTGTATAATTCTTACCGGTAAAAGCGATAATTTCACGCAGCGGTACAAACCTTACACATGTCTATTCACCAATTAAATTCTACAGGATCATCCGTACTGGGATCGCAGTGTCCCGGACAGGACTGGTACAATCGAAAAGGCACCAAAGACTGTTATTATATTTTTAATCCTAAGACGTCGGGAGACGAGGCCTTTAACGGACCTAATGCCGTTAGGCTGTATTTTCGCGATGCAGTTCGGGAGTGTCAAATGCGAGGGGGTCAGCTCGCAACTTTTGACACGTATGACGAACTGGTACAGAGAAAGCCGTTTCGTGCAGTCTGAAATGATAATATTAATTATTGCCATCACTTACGGTTAGGTTTTACTAACACGCTTTGTATTCACCTTTCATGGTTAATATTTTTCCCTTCTTAATATTGTACAAACTTTAACGAACACGTTGTTCAGAGCAAATATACACGCGTTCTTGCACTAATTTGCTTAAAGAAATGGGTCGAAGCCAAGATCACCGACAAATACGCCTATTTTTGGATCGGATTGACCTTTGAAACGTTAACCTGGAGCTGGACAAATGGCAATATCACAAAGCCGTATTCCGATATCGGATTGTAAGCGTGTATTTATTTTAAAGTTTTTGTAAGTTCGTCACGCCAACTCGCCTGCTTTTCTATTGTGTAAGTTTTCTACAGTACTAGTAGTGGTGCATTGGTCGCTGAATTAATGGTCGGAACTAAAAAATTGCTTACTGCAAGTTATACAAAATATTAATATTATTGTGATCTTGTAAAACACCAGTGCGACGGTGCCGGTTACCGATTGCGATTCCTGTCGACATTGGCTTTCACGGGCACTGACTGATTTTACTGCCTGTTTGGCACTCTATAGAAAGCCTAGCCCGACGGATCCAGATACTGAGGATGTGGAGCGGAAAAAGCTATATCGTGGGACTATCACATATATCCCCAATTCAAAAGAAATCGAATTCCGATCCATGGTGGGTGACGGGACTTCTAACGGCTACATTTGCAAAGGAGCTTACAGTAAGCCTACTTCCAGGAGCATCTCTCTATCTGTAGACGTTAAGCTAGAAATAGGCAAAACGAACTGTCGCCGTCACGCAGGTTCCCGACCGTGGTGCAAAGTGGAAGAGGGCTGGATTTACTATGGCGGGAAATGTCATAACTTTTATCCGTTCGGTGAAACTTTTCGCGAAGCCAAAGCAACCTGCGAGTAAGGGTTTCATCAAATATGTGCTAAATATGCAGGAAATACTGTTACATTAGCAAAAACTTTCAGGGCGGAAAACGGAAATATAGCCGTCATAAGGAGTGATTTGGAAGATCAGCGCATGAGAGACTGGTTGCGAGATCATGTCGAAGAAGAAAAAGGCTGGATTGGTATCACGATCCCTTCCAAGACGGCCAGCACCACCGTGAATGATGTAAAATGGTTGGATGGCACACCGATTACGGGTACTCCGGTTAATCACTGGGCCGGGCCCAATCTCACCCACGTTATTGAGTAAGTAATTGTGGGAGTGCATGTGCAAGGTCCTGCAAAGCCGAACGTATTCTGTACGGGCCAACGGAATTATTATTTGATGTATCGTGTAATGTATTTCTATCTGACGATAAACAACTAACGCTTCACTGACATGCTTCAATAATGTTGAGGTATCAACTGACAGATCACAATATTAAATAATTTATAGTAGATTCAGTTGCGTACTTTAGATCGTTGCCCAATGGAAAATCGTACTGCGGTTTACTTCACACAAAAGACAGTGTCTGGCCATCGTACTATGATTATTGGTGGGGCATGGATGAGTATGAACCGGAAGTTCATGAATGGTCGTTTTCTCCTGACTGCGATCAAGAGCTCCCGTTCTTTTGTGAAGCACCACGCAGTAAGTGCCAATATGGTTAGTATCTAGTGCAATCTCCTGATAGATTAACATTTTCAGACTTATGTCCATATGGCTGGAATGAATACGAGAATGACTGTTACAAGTTTGTCCAGGACACACTCCAGACCTTCGAAAAGGCACGAGAAAACTGCCAGAAATTGAAGGGCGAGTTAGTAATGGTTAAAAGGTTAGCGGAGCTAAAAAAGAATCAACCAAGGAAAACTGTTCCCCAATGGTACTCGACTAAAAGACCTGAAAATCGATCATTTTATTGTTAGTGGTGTCGTGCAAGGCTTCATAGAAGCTGTCATCGGAAGCGAACATCTTAGAGAGGACTTGTGGATTGGATTACAAGGTCAGCATATAGCATTTTAATTGCGTATTGCATAATCGAGGGCCAGTACAGTAATTACATCATCTCAGATTCTTAGTACCAAAAATACTCGTATATTTTTATAATATGATAGTATTACAGTGGGAAACATAAGCACAAATAGTAGCAATAAAAATTCGGTGACAAGGTTTTTTTGGGACAGGTGTAAACGGACGTTACAACTGGATTGACGGATCTAGTGTGGAGTACCAAGCTTGGAATGGATCGATGGTAACGCCGGAGCAGGGCAGTAATACTAACGTCTGCGGCTACGCTCAGCGCGCTGGATTGAATGGTATGGAAACTGGGATTCTTGTTCAGATTTGCTTTACGAATTTCTTGTCCGTTTTTAGCTGCTGGGACCGGAAAGTGGGCAGTTTCGGTATGTTCACAACCGAAGGGTTATATCTGCAAGACGCCGGCATCCGCAGAAATTCCCGATGAAGCGATCATCCATCGTAGGTTTCAAATATTCCTTATTTTCTCGAAAAAATATTATTCTGATTCGGCACACACATGAAATTTGTTTTATTTTTTAAAGATACTTCTTTACTAATGACACTAAGCGAGGATTTGATTGGCATGGTTCATTTTCAGCTCCGGTCACTTGTGACGCACCGTTTACAAAGTATCACGAAGGGTGCTACTTGTTGGTCAATGAGCAAAAGAATCGAGATGATGCTCAGCGTTACTGCCAAGAGCGATCGTCCGTGTTGGCTTACACAACTACTTTCGGGGAAAACGTGTGGATGAAAAGTAAAGCAGCGCACAAAATACGGTAAAATGCTAAACTATAAAATAATGACTTTAGAACAAATTGCCAAGGATATTTGGCTGGGTATTCGGCGAGAAGGTCGAACGGGAAGCTTCCTGGAATTCCATTACAGTGATGGAGAATATGTAAGGAAACTTCGATAAACCTCTTAATACATCGCATTCTTTATTCTTGATTATGTCTGCTTAAGTGCGTGCCACTTTGATTTCTGTTTTTGTTTACTGTTTAGATGGGGCCAGGAGGATTTAAGAACTTCTACTATGCATCTTACACAAATGACAACACGCCGTGTGTTGTCATGGCCAGTGAAAATAACCAGTTTTCCACTGATTCCTTGTTTTCTACCGGTCCCGAGTTAGGAGAATGGTATTATGCTGCATGCACCGAACAGCGGGAGTTTATGTGTTATCACCCCGGAAGTAAGTTTGACAAATGCCGCGAGTTCCATCATCAGTATACTACCTAAGTCGGCGAATAATGCAGTGCTTAATACGCAGATGCGCTTTGAACGGTTCGTATACAAAATTAAAGAAGTGCTTTTCTTGTTATAAACAGCGCCCATTGAAAATCCCGATCTTGAACCAAATCATTCAGACCCTCTTTGTGGTGCCGGATGGTTCCGTAATGGTGACAACTGCTACCACCTTAACCCCAACCCTTTACGATGGCACCTGGCCAAACAGACATGTCAAAACCTGGCTATCAATGCTGACCTCCTGTACATCACCACCAAAGAAGAAGAGCAGTTTATCAGTGGTATGAGCATTATGTAACCGTAAATACTGTGGCCTGAACGCGAAGCCTGACCTTTTTCCAATTACTAATAATAAGCATCACTATTTTAATCTTCTTCCGGCTTTACGCATATACATAAGGACTCCATCTAAATTTTTTGGGGCTGCTTCGCTATATATACCCTGCAGCTGTCGAATAAACGGAAATAGAGATGTGTACAGTAATTTATGAAAATATTGGAATTCGTAGATTTTATGGCGGACCAATGGTTATTGTGGAGCCAAGAGTACTGGATTGGACTGTATTCAAACGAAAAGGATCAGTGGCACTGGCCGTTCAGAGATTCGAAAAATAAATGGCACATCCCATTGGCAGTGACTAATTGGGCCTACGGTAAGCCTTCTTTTACTTTGTGGCCCTAAACATCGTTAATCTAGATCTATCACTCTTTCCAGGTGAACCTCAGGAGCCCGAATATTCCTTTAGTTCCAGATGCGTTTACATGGATGCGAGCCGTAATCCCGAATGGTACGCGATTGCATGCGACGAAGAGAGGTTTCCGTTTATTTGCAAAAAGACGCTAAAGAATGATACACAAGTTACAACGCCTGTTCCCACCCCACTGCCAGGTACGGCAACCAGTCTTTTTTACTAGAAGCGGATGTTTAATATTTCGCTGCTAAACTCTACTTTGACGGCCGATAATTAATACTGGCTGCCTTTTTATGACGCGAATGCCTTAAATGTGTTTTCTTCCCGTAAAGGTCAGCACCTTGGCTGCCCAGCAGACTGGCACGATTACGACGGCCGGTGCGTCCGCTTTGTAATTAGCCAAAGAGACTGGCCAACTGCGGAGCAAGACTGTCGTGTCAGTGGAGGTCACTTGCTTACTCTTCGTGATCAGAACGAATTTGTTTCCGTCAGCCGCTTTGGAGCCGGTTCCTGGACTGGCTTGAATGCCATGGCTGATCCTGGCGTCCTGAGCACCACCGTTACGGAGCGTAAACCTAGAGTTTTCGTTTGGAGTAGCGGAGAGCCGGTTATTTACACACCTTGGGATGTTATTTCGGTATCCGGAGGAGTTGTAGGGAGCACAATCAACGATACCAACTGCGTTGCGCTAACCTCAACGGTAAAAACCAGTAACAAATAACGGTAGCAGTTTCTATTTCATTTGTCTCGTCCGATATTACGAAAAAAACAATGGCGAGTTGATATTATTATGTGCTTCTTGTCGGAAGAGGTGTCCAGAAATCCAACTGAAATGAATATTTTAATTTAAAGATGTCTTAAAGATACATAAACATATCTTTAAGATAAATATGTCTTAAAGATAGTCGTAGGCCCGACAGTATAGCTGACCTTTAGGACACAATGCCAGATCAGAAAAAGTTTGATTTATTTATATGGAATATTTAGGGTTTTACGGCGTATCCCTGTCACGAAAGGAGATCCTACATTTGCGAACGCCCCTTACAGTCTACCAGCCTGACTAATCCTGCTGTAGATTTTACACAGTATCAAGGGTGCAAGGTGAATGGTATTCGCCACCATGAAAGCTGCTTCTACTTCGGTATCGATCCGAATTCTCCCATCATGAACCAACCGCTGTTAAGCTTCACCAAAGCCAATGAATTTTGTCAAACCAATTACCCAGGAACGACACTAGCCAGTGTGGCGAACGCCAACGAGCAGAAATTCCTCAACGCCATAGTGGCTAGCCTAGGAACGGATTACTGGATCGGTCTAATGGAAGTGGAAGATACGTGGGAAGCGTACGCCTATTTCATAGACGGGACGCCGGTTGAGAGCAGCAACTGGGCGGCAGGACAACCTAAGCATTCACAAAGCTCGGATGGAGGATTTGAAGCTGGATGTGTGGCCCTGCACGGTGCATTCAGCGACCACAAATATCCGGGCGACTGGTACGTGGCTCCATGCCTGCAGACCAAACACGCTTTGTGCAAAGGACCGAGTGACTGGCACGAGCCACATCCGACCTTTGCTAGTACTCCTGTACCTACTGGCTGCCCATCGTCCTGGAAAACATCAAAGGATTTCAAGAATTGCTATAAAGTATTGCTAACCAAACAGTCGCATTTGTCTTGGCGGCAAAAAAACTGCTAAATACTTAACCATTTTAACGTTCTTTCAGGCATATTTGAGCACCAACGCAACCGATCCCATACAGAAGACCACATGGAGAGAGGCGGAAGACTTCTGCAGCCGCTTCCGAGGTGGCCATTTAGCTTCCATTTCCACGAAAGAGGAAAACGATTTTATAAAAACCGAAGTCCAGAAATCCGCATTCACTGGGCACTACCAGTACTGGATTGGTTTGTGGGATAGGCAGCCGCAAGGCAACCACTTTGCATGGGGCTGGACCGATGGGTCAAGATACTCATATTCTGGATTCCAAATGGAAAACCATGACGATGATACCGGCGCTAACTGCGCAGCTGTGGATGCTGAAAATGGAAACTGGATCTCCCAGAGCTGCAATAACGGCTGGGGATGGGTGTGTGAGATTCCGAAAGGAAACTATTACGAAGCGGAACTTGTTAACCAGTTTCCGGACCCAATATTGCCGAATGGTAAATTCATATTATAAACATTCTGGCTTGTACGTACAAAAGTTTTGCAATTTACCGGCACATTCGTAATGTAGCTAACTGCGGACCGGCGACAACGGAGGGAGCATGGTACCTCGAGCCAAATACACAAGAGTGCCTGTTCTTTTCCAACAAAGAAGACACTTGGGAAAACGCGCAGTCTTATTGCGAATCCCTTGGTCGCGGGGTCAACTTGGCTACGGTCACGAATGACTCTTACCAGCTTATCCAAATCAAAGCGGCGCAACTGTCGCCAGCTGCACGGAAATACTGGATTGGTTTGTATCAAGTGGACATTGCCGGTCGGGAATTCGCTTGGGTAGATGGCCATTTCTCAGCATTCCGCAAATGGGAGATAGGACAACCAGATCCCCGTGGTACCGAACGTTGTGTTTCTCATAACAGCCGCAGCGGACGATGGGCGGACGAAAATTGTGGTCATAATTACGTTTTCATCTGCGCCAAGAGTAACCGGGTGCGCCCAAGCAGAGAACCCACGAGAAATCCAAATGAAGGCGGTTGTTACGACGGATGGGCTGCGCATGGTTAGCGATAATCTGATTATGTCGGACTTGTACTTTTATGTCGTACTGTCTGGTTATTTGTTTGTTCTGTGTTGGTTATTTTTTGTTTTTGTGTATTTTACAGGAGGCAACTGCTATTACATCTCTCCTCCTGAAAACGTAACATGGGACGAGGCCCACGAAAAATGCACACGAGAATTATCTGTGAGCCTCGGCAGACCCGCGGCGGAGTTGATATCCATCCATGACGACATAGAAAACGATTTTATAATTACACATCTGTACCATCGACGAATATATCATGATTATTGGATTGGTCTGCATGAAGTGACCAGTGGTCAATGGGGATGGTCTGACAATTCCCGAATCCGGTATAACGGTTTTTATATTATATTTGTCACATAAGTGCGGTTAAGGGCCCCTTTCACCTGATAGGTATACAAACTGGCATCTCACCGAAACTCCTAACAATGCTGGTGTAAGTTATTTTTTGCCTGTACAATGTGAAATAGGTCAATAGATTTACATTTGCAAAGTATCTTGACTTAATGCTTCATAATTTAGCTCGAGTGCGTCGTAATGGGAAATGGTGTTGGACAGACTGGACGATGGTTCCCCCATCGCTGCACTAGAAAAACCGGCTTTATTTGCAAAGCACCCAAAGGTTATCGCAGTGCATCACGTTTGTGATTGCTCAAGGTTATTCTGTAGCCAACTTAATTTCAGATCCCCAGCTTCCCGCTCCGACACCTGTAACCGGGAAATGCGGTGACGGCTGGACGCAGCACACCGAAAATACATGTTTTGCCGCGTTCCGACTGGATGAGGGCAAAGGAGACTGGGATAGTGCACAGCAGAAATGCAAGAGTCAACTTGGTGGCATGGCGGATATCGCTATCGCGGAACATATTTACGAAGACGCGCATCTGCATCTTTTGTTGCATCAAATCTCTCGAGACGCTAACCTTAACCACAGCCGTGGTGCATCTGCTTGGATTGGCATGAGGGAACACTTGGGCAACTACAAATGGCACAACTCTTGCCCTGTACGATTCACAAATTTCCTAAATTTCGCGACTTCTCTACCGGATGCATGTGTGGAAATGGACCGTCACGGAAAATGGAGAGCCCGGTTGTGCAATGAATCACTGCATTATGTACTGTGTGAACGTCGATTTGGTGAGTTCCATTCCTACAGCGGCGCAATATGCAAGCGTAGAACAAATATTTTTCTCTAGAACCATGCCCGCCTGCACACAATGAAACTCATCCTGACCTTTACTGTCCTGAAAATTTTCCGCATGAATGCGGTAGAAAGTGTTTCCGCATTGAAGGACAGCAGCTACACCACAATAATCCCAGCACCTTCTCCAGAGCAAACGCCGCGCAGAGGTGTAGAGAGGTTCGAGGTTTATTAGCGTCCATCCGTTCCCAAGAAGAGCAGAAATGCTTGAACAATTATCTGGATCATGTGGCGGCTCCCATGTGGATTGGTCTGTATCAAGGTATAGATCCGACGACACAGCAGTGGGTGTGGAAATGGGAAGATGACTCATTCGGAGAAATCCCCACCACATTCGTTAACTGGGAAACTGGTAAATATTCAATAAATTGGTATTGTTAATTTATTTTTATCATACAGCTACTCGCTACAATCAGGATCGGAGGTTAACTAATAAATTTCTTATTGTTAATACTTTTTAGAGCCAAAACCTCCGGCTAACGAAAACTTGCGCCAAGCGTGTGTGGCTGTACTACCTAACGGGAAGTGGATAAACATGCCTTGTCTCACATGGGAAGCCAATCAGACCCGAGGTTACATATGCGAGGGCATGAAAATACGCCAAGAAGGCGCTACACAACGACCGCATCGTGGTTCTACCGCAGCTTTCGAATCTGTGGCAGGTACAGTAAAAATCTTAGTATGCCTTGAGCCGAATTTGATATATAGATATGCCAAACAGCAAAGGTTTACGTTAAAAAAAATGTTATCAATGATTTTCGCAGGAAGTGATGGGCTGACCGGTGGACAGATAGCTGGCATTGTGATCGGTGTCTTGTTGGCTGTTGCTGTTGTTGGTGCTATTGGATACGTGGTGATGACCGGAAAGACGGAGAGTGTTGTTAGCTCAGTGAAAAGCATTCGGACCAAAGCGGCTGACCGACTGGGTGTTGGCAGTACACCGTATGCTCGTCAAGATGATAAACAAAGGATTTCCGAGGATGCCGAGTATAACGGGGCCGATCAATAATATACATAGAGCGATATTGCGCAGTAATGTTTGCCGTTAGACAGTTGTACCGTTAAACCCAGAAGGCTGTGGCCTTAAGCACCGATGAAATGCAACAGAGCTGAATGCAAGTACCAAAGAAATTACACTGTACAAAATCGGCTTATACCTGAACTAATTCTGTAATCCTGGAGTTACATTTATTAGCCTTACACAAATGAGACGTCCTTGTTTGTTCAAATAATGTAATTATAATTTATGTATTCTTGTCAATTGTGTGCTATGTTGATGAATGTGTTGGGATTAATGTGTGAATGAATGTGTGAATGAAAAAAAATGATTCAGTTTCAGTGTGTATTTACGTTAATACCAAACCGTAAACTGATTTCCCTCGTAAAATCTGATAGACATATGCAGCAAAGAAATATCTGGACTGCCACAGGGATCGAGATTGTAAATGCAGCCTTATCGTGTTTATGTTTGCGGACGTTTCTTTTGCTGATACTCTTCCGTAATCCGTTTGTGCCGCCTACCTGTGTAAGTACTTGTATTGCTATTTTTGCACAACTAGGATATTCTGCCATTAGCCTGCTATCTTTCAAGGCGGCTACTGATATCTCCCAGTCGATGTCTTCTGTCTAGCAGGAAGACTTTATGGAGCAAATAGCCCCAACCCGCAAGCAACAAGCCCCGCCAAACCTTACGCTTAACGGCAAAAAATACTGAGCGCTAATGTTATTGTTTTATGTATACGACTGCTCTAAGCAGATGCCACGAACCACCTGTTGCGGATCAGTTGTTCAACAACAGGTTCGCTATCGAATCCATTAATTTATGTTCACTGTGGGCGAGTTTTCTATTAGTTGACCGAAACTGACCCATGGTCACCCACCCATACGGAAACAGCGAAAAAGCACTACAGAGAACTCACATAAAGTAATGCTAATATTCAGAGTACTGGCATCACTTTTGAACTGATCAAGAGCGCTGCTACTGGGATCTTCTAATACGACTTGAATAATAAAAAATTTGCGGATCTGCTAATGTGGCTTGCCGCTAAGCGAAGACATCAAGGTATCGTGAAGTTTCCAGATACTTTTATATTTGGCTCATTATGTTTTAGCATTTTTTATTCGCATTAGGATATAAGTACGTTTGCATTTCTTGTTCAAATTCTGATCCATGACCATGTGCACCAGTCTGACGCTGAACTGTTACAAACAAAATTACTATGCAGCTCCATACCAGAATAACGAACTTGCTGGGATTTATTATTTTATACAAAGTAGTGAAATAGAATACGGCTTGATTCAAAATAGTACCAGGGTCCAAATTCCAACACTGATGTGAATTTCTCGGTTTTACAAATGCAGTATAAATTTTCACGCACCGGAAAGCTGGTATTATTACAATATCTGGTATTATTAGCCATAAGGACATCTGTTTAAAAGTAGGTAACGTAACAGAACGATTTTTACAGTCGCTGATAAACAACTGCGCTTTCATAATGTTTGTACGGCATGTCAAACCGACTGTACATACGCCTAGTAAACGTCCCGCAAACAATACTCTGCTAATTGTATCGACCCTCGTAAAAGTCAGCCATAAATCTGTCGTGGAATACTTCGATAAGGTTGTAGGTTTTATTATTATCTCATGACAAAAGCATAAAGCATAACTATGCCGTGATTTGGTATACTCAGTGTAAACAATTACCGCAAGGCTTCCTAATCAGTCGCTCTTATCAAGTCTGGCCGTGATTTACCGCTTTTGAGGCTACTTAATTTCCGCAGTAGCATGCGTGCCACCCTCTTAGATCCATAAGATTTGCACAACAGTTATAATTTTTTACCAGTGAGCATATGATTTCAGTTTTCATGGTTTAAGTGACTGAAACGTCACGGTTAACTATGCGGGTTCAAATTGTTTTAGCTGCGCTTCTGTCGCTTGGTAGGTATACCGTGTCGCCATTAAAGGTCACAAAAACTGAATGCATTTGTTTGCAGGCGCCAGCTGCGCCAATGCGTATATCTGTCCGGGACCGGATTGGTTCTATCGTAAGGGAACACAATCATGTTACTTCGTGTCCATGGCTGCAATATCGGACGGATGGACCAATGAGGTGGCTGACCACATAAACTGGGACAGTGTGGCCCAGGAATGCCAGATAAGAGGAGGATCGATAGTGACTATTGAGAATGCCGAAGAACTTGTGGGTGCTTTTATAGATGAGTTTAATATAGAATCTACTGATTTTATATGCGTGTATTCATTTACAAATTTGGTAGGAATGGGTGAAAGCCAAAATGCCAACTGATACGTACTATTGGATAGGACTAACATTCGAAAACTTGAGATGGCAGTGGTATGACGGCAAGACATATCGAGATTATACGCCCATTCCTGGACTGTAAGTTTCGTTTAGTGATTGTTAGATTTATTCGCCATTTACATGCAGTAATTTTGTATGTCGCTATACGTACACAATATACAAGCGTACAGATATTTACGGGTACAATAGAATCAAAAACTTTTTTTTGGCTTACAAAATCAAATAAACTTATTTAGTCATTTTATACAGTAACAGTTTAACTGGCATACGACTACAGTTCCTTATGATCAATACAGCGCGCTGTTTCCGCTTTTTGAATTATTGAAAGCCATTACCGAGTCAGCATTCAAGTCCTGCAACCTACCGGTTAATGAGCGCGGTTAGCGTGAAGTTCCATCCTGTGCATACGCTTTTTAAAGCAAATTCTTTCAAGATAAAATATTTTAGTCGTCCATTGCTAGACATTCATTTTCCTATTTTCGATTTTCAGAACAGTTCCTACGCTATCGGCGACGGAAGGCAATAGGCAGAGAAGAGGCTCACTCAAGTACAACTACAATAGTCGGAAAATCGACTTCTTTCTGGAGCATAACACCGATACAAACAGGAATGGCTTCATCTGCAAAGGAGACTACAGTACGTATTGCGGACAAAATAACTAAAAATTTAAACGGGCTATCCTATAATGTGGTAACCAGGAAATCTTTGCAATCGTTGTAAAATTATGTATTTACGCTAGCACTCCATTATACTGGAGTACGTAGCAATAAAAATAATCTTAGGAAAGTCCCACATGTTAGCTCTTCCGGTTAGTGTCGGACATTAATTTTGGCTTTCAACTAACTTCTTATTCCGTGATACAGGTGGGCGACCCTGGTGTCCTGATGGATGGTATTATCATGATGGGCGTTGTCATCAGTTTAACCCGTACGGCTCTACGTTCGAGGGAGCCCGGAGCCAATGCACGTAAGTATAACTTCAAATACTTACTTAATAATACTTACATATACTTCAAATACTTACTTACTTCAAATACTTACATGGCAATGATGGCATACTGCGTACTTGCGTCGAATTCACAAAGTAGTTACAAATGATTGGATTGTCTCCAATCGTAAGCCTTTAAGCTACAGAAAGTAATTATTGTACAGTTAATGCAAACAATCTCCTCGCTGCTCAAGCAGTGTGGCCCAGTGCACATAAAAATTTCGAATGTCGGGTTTTAGGTACCGGGATGGCTACATTTTAACTGTCAATTCGCAAGTGGAAGACGAACGCATGAAAGTGTGGCTGCGCGAGAGGGCACATTATGAAAAAGGATGGCTCGGTGTCAGCATCGCTAACAAAAGTGCTTCGACGACTGCGGCCGATGTAAAGTGGCAAGATGGAACTCCGATCAAGGACACTGCAATTAAAAACTGGGTGAACTCTGACCTCGATGCTTACATTAGGTGCGATGACATTAAATTAATTAAGGATTTTCGCAGTTTTTCACGCAAAAACTTACGGTTATGACGATTAATGTTCAGAGAGCTTCCGAACGATAACAAATACTGCGGTGAGATCACCACAAGAGAAGGCTGGGATGACGATGTATGGGATTACGTCGATGACCACGACTGGCGTTTGGTTGCGGATTGTAACCAGTATTTACCTTATATTTGCGAAGCTCCCCTCAGTAAGGCGTATTCTGCTACAGAAACATTTTAAGTCCCACAGTTTAAGTCGCTTACAATTTTCAGACAAGTGTCCTTACGGCTGGCATCATCTGGACGACTACTGCTACCAGTTCAATCGGGGACAGAATGAGTTGATGTCGTGGCAAGCCGCAAGAGAAATTTGTCAGAGACAGGGAGGAGATTTAATCAACATTAAGACGTAAGGCCAAATTGCTCCAATTTCTACTGGATATATTTTTCGAAAAAAATTGGAGTGCATATGAATGCGAAAAGCCGCGTCAAGGTGGCCGTGTATACATTTGTGTAGTCTCCTTCATAAGCACTACGAATATACGTATACAGGCACGTTGAGAAGACCAGTCGCAAACGACAGCACAAAAAAGATCTAGAATGTTGTGCAGAGTGGTGTAACTACATGGTATCAGACTTATATACGGACTGTAAAAACCAGTAAAAATTATTGAATGAGTTACTAAAAAAGTGACGTTGATGTTTTAGTGGCAAGGTGCAGGATTATGTGAGCATCGCTTTGATCAACGAGTTCAGTTTCTTAGACACTGATCTTCAGCACTACTGGATCGGTTTGAGAAGTAAAAGAATCCTTAAAAATTTGTTTCCTAAATCTTTAATGAACAAGTACAATTATTAGTAAATTGTTGTGTCTTTCTAGGCTCTGGTGGAAGATACCTGTGGACGGATGGTTCAACGCTTGACTATAGCGCATGGTCCGGTGGGCTGCAACCTTCAACAACAAATGACCCATGTGTTTACATCGACGGCAACTACTGGAGTAATTATGTTTTTCTTTTGTTTGTTTACTGAAGCTAACTATTCATTCCAGTTCCTCACTAAGTTGTCTGGTTTTTTGTTCAGTTGGTCCTGGTGCGCATGGCGACTGGAACACATCCGTTTGCACCCAACCGTTCGGCTATATTTGCCAAGCGCACCATACGGCCGCCATTCCACCCGATGTGACCGTTAAACGTATGTGCGCATTGAAGTATTAGAGAAAATTGTCAGTTCTATGGGCATGGTTTTCATTATTAGCGGAGCATTCATGCAATGGCTCATTTGAGAAGTACCACGAGAAATGCTACTTGTTTGTCTCAACGCCTATGAACCGGGATGATGCGCAACGGTATTGCCGCGATCAAGGGTCCACTTTGGTGATGATACATTCGTTCGGCGAGAACACTTACATCAATGGTACAGTTGTGAATTGCCAAACTACTATATCGCATGAAAATTGATTTAAAACTGAAAATGAATTCCCTCTACTGAAATCAAAATATAATAACAAAAAAATTCTAGCTGGCTCATTTTACTGCAATTGCAGGCAAAATATCGGCGGATATCTGGATCGGTCTGAAACGCACAGGAAACACTGGAGCGTACGACGAATACACTTACAGTAACGACTTTCTGGTAGGTGTTTAGAAATTCTAAACTTTGAATAGTACCAGATAAATATTGTGATGCCTATTTGCTCTCTCCAGCTGGGACAAGGTGGATTCAAACATTTTGACTACAATGACGTCCATGATTTCAATAGTGGGCAATTTGACAAATTCTGTGTGAATATGGCTGGCCCAAATTCGGAACCTTTTCAAGCCGGTAGATGGTTCCACTCTAAATGTACCGAACAGCGAGGATTTGTGTGCTCGCACGACGGAAGTAAGTTCTCTCGTGCGATGAATGAAGATTTTGTTGAACCTAAAGAACGTGTTCCGTTACAGCACCATACCCCAAACCGTATCCGGACAACGACCACACCGATCCCTTGTGTGGCGGTGGGTGGTTTCGCAATGGTGACAACTGCTATCGCGTTCAGGAATTCGAATACGAAACCTGGCATTCCGCTAAGCAAATGTGCCACAACTTTAACGGAGGATCCGAGCTTCTTTACATTACATCAAAGGAAGAGAACCAGTTTATTCGAGGTAAGGCTCTGTTTTGTCAACAATGTGGTGTAGTTTGCGGAGCTCCTGCATGATCCTATTTGCTGGGTCACTAATAGCGCCTCTTAACTTTTGCAGATGTCCTCATAGCCAATTATTCTATGGGTTCAGACTGGGCTGATATGGGATTCGTCTATACTTACGAGTACTGGATTGACCTTTATGCGGAACGTCCTGGTGGCTGGTTCTGGCCTTATCTTGACTCCACTGATCGGTGGACAGTTCCATTTGCTGTATCACACTGGGCTCCAGGTTTGTAACTTACCACAATTAATTTTTACATAAGTTTGGCAAATAGTCACAAAGTGATTTTCATAGCGGTTTTTCGTTTTTCCTGTTTTTCCCCCCTTTTTTACAAACAGCCCATACAGTGCCACTTAACAGCTACAATGTCATTATCAAAGTCCCCTGATTGGGTTGTCTGCTCCAGAAGAGACAATAATACGAACAGTGGTTAAATCTGCTCCCGGATCGATTCTTATTAGGACATTTCTGCCTAACTACTGTAATTGTTTCTTCCAGATCAGCCATCTGAGGTCGAGTTCAGCCGAAATAATCCTCGTTGCGCCATAGTTGATGACCACTTTGAAAATCCGCAATGGTTTTCTTATCCATGCAACCAGAAAAAAGCTTTCATCTGTAAAAAGGTTCTACCCAGTACGACACTCGCACCGACAACCCCCCAGCCCACTGCTCAAGCAGGTATAATTCGAAGCACAAATTGTGCGTCTTCTTAAGAGCGATTGATATATCGTATAAGAATTTTTATTTTTAATAAGGTTTCCATCTTGGATGCGCTCACGGATGGTTCAATGAAAACGGTCGCTGTGTACGGTTTAACATTACCGGGGCGACATGGAGTCAGGCAAAGGATATCTGCCGCCAAAATAAGGCCGATCTTGTGTCTATCCAAAACGCCCAGGAGTTAGGCGACTTCCTTCGATTCGGAGGAGGTGCATGGATCGGTCTTAATGCTCTTAATGACGCATTCGCTCCACGAGTTTTCACCTGGAGCAACGGAGAGCGCGTGACCTATACCCCGTGGGACGTGGAATCGGGTTCGCCTAATGTGACCGGATCAAATTCTAATGATGCTAACTGTGGTGCACTGACCTATACGGTATAAATACTGACATACGGTAAACGTAGCCAGTTGAGCAGCGCAATCCGAAATTCACATTACTCCTTATCTATTAGGGAATGGCTGTCTATCCGTGCTCTGAAAAGAGAACTTTCATCTGTGAACGACCGTTGGAAAACTTACAAGGCGATGGTTCCGTGACGATCGAAATCCCCCACGTACCTGGGTGTCGTCCATGGGGAATCCCCTATCACAGTCATTGCTATTACTTTGGTGAAGACCCTAGTTCTCCATATGGAGAAAGAAAATTCCAATCTTTTGACGCCGCTCGCAGTTTTTGTCAGACGCAATACGGAGGAGAAATGGTTACAATCGCCAACGATGACGAGCAAGATTTCCTGAGTGGAATTGTGGCGCGGCATGCATCTGATTTCTGGATTGGCCTGAAGGAGGAGTCTAACCCGTGGACTGCCTTTAAAAAATGGATCGATGGAAGCAATGTGGCTGCTACTAACTGGGGATTCGGACAACCGCCATTGACCTCTGCCGGATCGACCGGGTGTGTTGCGATGTATGGACTGTATGGCGAAGGTATGATTCCGGGGCGCTGGTACGTCGATACCTGCACTGAAAGAAAATACGCACTGTGCAAAGCCCAAAATACGTTGAGACCAACTCATCAGACCTTGCCACCTCAGTTGTCCACCCCAAATCCAAACGGATGCCCAAGTTCCTGGCAAACGAACGCAGACATGCCTAGCTGCTACAAGGTACAATGAACTACTGTACTGTCTGGTAATCGCGATATCAACGTTACAATTACGCGCTTAAAAAGAATCTCGTGGTCCGTAATATTATTTGCTGTACTCGTATCGTACTTCAGCGCACAAATTAAAACAATATGTGTGGGTAAGATACGGTTTGCAGCCTGCTGTAAAGTGAAGTTCAGAACAAGAGGATGTTCTTAACAGCTTGCGTTATTTTAGGGATACGTAAGTCCATATAGTGCAACATCTGGGGCAAAAGTCAACTGGTACCAAGCCGAAGAATTTTGTCGGCGTTTCCGTGGAGGTCACCTTGTTTCCATTGATACGGAAGAAGAAAACAGATTTATTGAATATACTGTGTTGTCGTATGGTCAAGGATTCTCTAGTGCTCATCAGTACTGGATTGGAATGAAGGAAAATGAAAATAACGAATACAGATGGGAATGGTCTGACGGATCACCGATCACCGGAGAATACTGGCACCAGAGCGAGCAACATCACAGTGCCGATGTGGTAGACTGTGCTGCAATAAATTGGTCCAACGGTAAGCTTGTCACCACCACATGTTTCGATTTAACATCCTAGAAAGGTCGGATTATAATTATACTGCCTGATCCCAGGTCTAATGTAGCTGTAAATTTCTTTTAGGAAAATGGGTGAAACAAACTTGTCAAGTGGCTAATGGCTACGTGTGCGAAATCCCGAAAGACGCGTATTACGAAAACGAACTGATTAATGTGTTCCCTACGGCTGTGCCCCTGAACAGTAAGTAACCATTCATTCCACCAAGGCAAATGTTTATCGCAGCTTCCTGTGTGCAGCGGCAGATTTAAACCTGTTTTCCTACATCTACAGGAACATGTGGAAATGCTACGCTGGATGGCGAATGGTTCTACGATAACGTAAACATGGAATGCATATATTGGTCCAAAAAGCCGGACACCTGGGAGAACGCGCAAACCGCTTGTGAAAATATGGATGCCAATTTGGTGACGGTGACCAACCGTAGCCATGATTTTATTACTCTAAAAACGAGCCAAGTGACGACATCTACATACGCGGAAGATCAAACATACTGGATTGGTCTGCACATGATCGATATGGTAACGCGTGAGTGGGCTTGGGTTGACGGACACGTGTCTTTCTTCCGACCCTGGGCAGCTGGCCGGCCACGTAACGGAACAGAACGCTGTGTAGCACATGTTAGCCGAAGTGGGCGATGGGAAGATCATAACTGCAACAGGAATTTCCGGTACATCTGCTCCAAGACCGGTCGTACACGACCCACACGGCCACCGCGACCACCGGGTGGAAATTGTGCTGAAGGATGGTTTGCTCATGGTTTGTTGACTTACCTCAATACATCAATTTTTTTATTCACTGGAATAGTTGTTATATATATAATATATATATATATATATATAGTGCGACGCTCTTGTTAGAAATCTATATTTCAATTTACAGGTGAATTCTGTTACCGGCTTTCCACGCCTTCTCAGAATCTAACTTGGTTGGAAGCATCTAACGAATGCGCGACAGCAAGAGCCGGACTAGTTTCTGTTCATACTTCCATCGAGAATGACTTTTTAATAACGCTGATGAAGGATCGGAATGAAAATGATTTCTGGACTGGCTTACACGCCATTCAGGGAGACTACGACACATGGTACTGGAGTGATGAAACTCCATTCCGCTGGTACACGAACTGGCGACATGGCGAATACGATTATCCCAGCACGGTTAGTGGCTTGCAGTTATTAACACATCGTGATCTAAGCACAAAGAATAGGCACAGTTTTAAGAAAAAGACAGTGAACATTTGAAAATTGTTTACTACGACCACATCAGAGTTTTTTCAATAAAATGTCTGAAATTATTTTTTACCTACTGCATAGGATTACTGCGTAGCTATGGGAAGCAGACGCAACCAAGCCGGCAAATGGTACAAGATCAAATGCGATCAGCGACGTGGATTCATATGCAAGGCACTCAAAGGTGACAAAAGAAAAATTACAGGAAACCGTTAACCTTTTCAGTTATATGTAATTACAGACAGCAATTCCATCTTTCAGATCCTAATCTGCCGGTGCAACCACCGCCACAAAGTGCATGCCCTGCTGAATACACCCAGTTCGGGACGACCGCGTGTTATGCCGTTAGAAGGCTGGAAGATGGTCGTGCAACATGGCAAGATGCCCAACAAGCCTGCAAGAGTATCGGAGACGGTCATGGAGATCTTGCCACTGCCGAAGATATTTTCGATAACGCCAAATTCCGCATGATGCTGTGGGATTCGATGCAAGGGCGAAATCATTCGCACCACAATTTCACGGCATGGATCGGGATGAAGGAGCATCTGGGATCGTTCACTTGGTTCAACGGCTGTCCCGTTGTGTTTTCTAACTTAGACAGTGTGTTTTTGAGACCAAGAGGAGATGCCTGCGTGCTTATGGATCAACATGGCCGATGGTCCGCGCAAGAGTGTTCGGCACCGACGACGTATGCCGTCTGTGAACGTCGCTTAGGTAAGCAGTTCGTAAAATATTGCATGAATTGTAATAAGTTGTTTCCAAAATAACACAAGCCTAATTATCTGGTTCTATAAAAAATTGAAATAGTTTTAAAAAAGACGTAATGCTACTGCCGACCGATGACCAAATCAAATATATTATTAATTTGTTAATTGCATTTTTACAGCTGCATGCAAACCGGCCTTCAATCTGACTGACAACGGCTACTGCCCGAATGATTTCCCTCACGAGTGCTCCAATCGCTGTTTCCGTGTGGAAGTTATTCGCTCCCACAATAATCGTACAGAACACGTTGCTCGAAATTTGGCTCAACAACGCTGCCAACAGTTGAACGATGGCCACGGCCGACTGGCTTCCATCCGCACAGAAGAAGAACAGCGCTGCTTGGAAAGATACCTTGACCATGCAGTCGGCCCAATGTGGATTGGTTTGTACGAAGCACAACGAGAAAATGGCGACTACTACTGGAAATGGGAAGATGAAGGTCACACTTACCAAGCCTCATCCTTTGTAAACTGGGAAACAGGTATACTTTTGTAATGTTCTATCTCTACTTTAGATTTATGAAAACCTAAGCTATATATACGGGTTACACTAGCAAAGTGACGTTCTGCGTCCTCGTTTCCCTGGTTTCTATATTATAACAATTTTATGCATTTATTTCTTTATACACTTATATTCTGCAGTCGTTTTTGTACTGCTAGTTCCTTATTTCTATTGTTCATGAATTTTAGGGTATCCAACCGCATCCATAAGTGCGTTGTGGCGCGACGGTTGTGTTGAAATGAAGCCCGATGGTAAATGGGTGAACACCGAGTGCAACACCTACGATTCTCGTGGTTATGTATGCGAAAGCCGCAAAATCCATGACCCGACTGTGGAAAGGACAACCCGCAATACTCCACCGCCCACGATTGGGCCAAGTATCGGACCGATTGGGCAAGACGCCACTGATGGCATGTCCGGTGGAACGATTGCCGGAATCGTAATCGGAGTGCTGCTAGCTGTGGCTTTGGTAGGCGGTATTGGCTACGTTGTGGTCACCGGCCGCTCGGGCGCGGTGGTGAGTTCCGTACGGAGTGCCGGATCTCGAGTAGCCGATTCTGCGTCTAACCGGTGGAAAGGCTTTGGAAACAGCAATTATGAGCAACAGAGTGATAAACAACCTGTGGCAAATGATCCTGAATTTAATGGTCATTCTGATTCGTACTCTTAACATTAATTAGATAATTGGCTCTGTTAACTGTGATTTGTTGTTCCGGGGACTGGACAGTGATGCAATTATTACTTCCGCTTAGGTACTCGTTATACGTATGCCGCAAGAAGGACATTGGACTGGACTTTGTATTATGTTAAGAGCTTAGAAATTGCGCTAAACTTTGTACAGCTTTAAGATGCCTTTGATTTATACCGGATGCCATAAACTGACGTGGAAAGCAATGTTGTGGTATCTCTTCTTTATCAATGGTATCTCCTATTACAGCGCTAACCTAGTACACACGCTGTAATTCTATGGTATACAGGGTGTATACCGCTTAGTGCTCTGGTAATTCATAATAAAAGCGCAATTATGCGTGATAAGGAATTAAAGCGCAGCAGCTCTTGGACCCGGCGAACGGCTGGACTCAATGTTTGGTAGCCGTGGAACCTTATCAGTAACCGTGGAACCTTAGAACCTTAACCTTGTCTTCTACGTATTCGGGCTCTGTTGGCACTTTTTATCATGCACGGCGCTCGTGGCTATGATATTGCACAACTATCGTTAGACTTTTACAAACTTCAGTTCCTTTTGTTTATTTGTCACCCAACGCCAATAAATTACGATGGTTACGATATGTCTATTCAATAACTGACTTACAACTAGTACAATATTAACTAAAATACATCGTAAATTTACCGCAGCACAATGGGATGCGGCAGAAATTTACAGAAGAATGGCAATTAAAGCCAAACATGAAGATATAGAACGCATAGTGTATATCTACAATATCGGCTGTAAAGATAAAATACCAGGAAAATGATTTCTGATATTCAACTATTAGAAGTATTAGACAAAATTTTAAGATTTAGTGTTAAATTTTGGGCTTCTACGTATTCGCATTTCATTTTGGCCATGCAGCTGCTTCCGTAATACTGTAGCGGTAATGGCTTCGTTAATAGTGCTGATGCTTACACTGGCATGGCTGGGGCCAGGTTAGCAAGTTCACTTTGCTGTATTTTTAGTACTGTTATATTTTTTGATTATGCGGAAATTTTGTTTTTATCGGTAGAATTAAATTTTATAAATGTTTTCTCCGTTTAGGCAGTTTTTTCGTTTCGGGTCTGCGTTGCCCTGGCCAGGACTGGTATTACCGAAAGGGCACGGATAAGTGCTACTATGTTATGGGGAAATATAGCAGCTCTAATCCGGATGGTTTCGATGGAGGCTTATCTGGTAGCAAAAATTTTGACAATTCCGTTGCAGCATGCAGAGCATTAGGAGGAAAAATACTCGTTTTGGAAGATTCTGAAGAGCTGGTAAGCGTACTGCCTGACAGCTTTGCTAACGTTAACCAGTATTGTTTTTACTGCATAAGAGCATTACTAATCATAAAGTGTTTCAGCAATGGCTATTGGAAAGCGTTTTTGTTTGACATTCTAATCTCATCACGCCAAAAGGTCACTAGAATTCGCACCCATATTCCTTGTTTTCAACAACTAAAAGTTTATTTGTAATGCCAAAGCATGTGCAACTGACGTATGTTTGCACCGTGGTGGATTATATAATACAGAGGAACGTTAACGTTCTGCGAGTCAGGACATCGTGCAGGTCTAATGAGTGCAGTTTTACTGCACTCGTCTAATACAGTTTTCTTATTAGGCGTTGCATGCGAACTTTTGGGCATTCACCTACCATCAGTAACGCATTTTGTCTATGGGCGCTTTCCCGTTAATAAAATACTTAAATCGCGAAGAAATTATGAAGAAACTAGAAGCCTCCGACAAAAGCCCTTCAACCTTAAACGAGTCAATATCAAAATACAAAATATAAAATCAAGCAGAAAATAAACAGAAACGTGAAGAAACAACAAAAACTATCTACAGTAACGATGCGCTAGAGAAAAGGCTTTACAAATAAATATCTGTAATATCTGCATAAAGCAGCCACGAACTTGGGATAGAACTATTAGTGGACAGAAGGGTTCAAGTAATAACCAACCGGTTACTGGCGCAGCCATTTTTAAATGTACTGAAGAAAGCCACACATACATACCAAAAGTCAAAGCGGGAACAATACTGATGATCATGATTCGTTAATATTGTTCCGCATTGACGAATGATCACCGACAAACAAAGTCAATAAACTAAGGGCGGGGATGTAGATGCACACTTGCAACTAACAATTATTAGTAATCAGTTTGTTCTTGCACAAAATATTGTTTGACCCAACAACAATTTTGCAAACACTGTTTTGATTTTGTTTTTAGAGTTGGCTTACTGCCAGACTGTCAGGAGGTAAGTTGAACAGTTCAATCTAATACTCTGTACGGTACGACCATAATACCTACAGTAACTGCTTGAAAAATTACCTTTCATTCAAACCTAATCACGTGATATTAATCAAACTGGATGCATAAAAAACGCAGCAAAGTACATATATGAAAACCAATATGATGGGTCTAGGACTAACAGTGACAGTTTACATGTTTTGTTAATCTTTAACGAATTTGTTAGACTACAGCTGGTTTTGGATGGGGTTGACCTATCAGAATAATCAATGGGAGTGGACCGACGGCGAAACTTTCAAACCATATACTGCAATACCAGGCTTGTATGATAATTTCCGTTCATATTTTTTCAGTTACAAGTAAAGCGTTGCTTTTGGGTGTTACGTTATATGAATTTTTAATTTTGTAATACAGAAATGTTGAACGTCCAACAAGTACTACACCGACATCGCAACGTGGAACTGTAAGATACACTTCCAACAGCACTTTCCAGGGATTTGTCTTCGCCAGTGATAGCGCGACATTCTCTAATGGATACGTCTGCAAAGGAGACTGGAGTATGTAGCATAGCGAAAAAAAACCTTAGATAATCGGCAAAAAATTGAAAATTGATCGGCAAACCCCATTTTAGTACTTTATACAGAAAGCAGATTACATGTTCTGAGTATTTTTGTAGGCGGTCGTCCATGGTGCAAAACAGAAGAAGGCTACGTTTATCATGATGGTCGCTGTTTCCGCCCGGTATACGACCCTGCGGGATTTGTTGGTGCAGAAGCCCAGTGTTTGTATGTTCGGTTAATTACTAAAACAGTACAAAGTTTCACAAAACACTTGCTTTTGTTATTCAGCGCCGATGGAGGGTATCTCCCCGTTCCACGAACAGCGGAAATCAACAATCGAATGTCGTACTGGTTTCGTACTTACTTCAAAGCCAAACAAACGTGGCTGGGAATCCAGATCTGGAACAAAAACGCCTCAACGACAGCCGACAATCTGCACTGGATGGATGGCACTCCACTGAAAAATACATCAGCAAGTCTTTGGCCAACAAGCGTTGACTCATACGTTAGGTATACTTCTATATTTTGAATCGCTCGCATCGAACTTTTTAAATAAATTAATCTGTATTCCAAAACTGTAAGTTTAACTAGTTTACGAGAAAGCAGGTAGCACCAAGCAGCAAGATGAAACCTCTCTAAAAATTTAATACAAGTTTGTGAGCAGGGACCTACCAAACGGAAACAATTACTGCGGTGAATACAATACAAATTCTGGCTATTACGGCGGAGAGTTTGGGTGGACCTGGATTGAAGCCAAAGACGATTGGGCCTTTACTGCCAACTGTACCTCGCCTAGGCCATACGTATGCGAATCACCTTTAAGTAAGCAGGAGAAAGCAAATTCAAAATTTTGGGTTTAAATATTTGCAGACACCAGACAAACAAAAGCAACTGCTTGCTTAATAATACGTAAGAGCTACGGTGAAAGTTTGACTGGCTTGCAGATAAATGCCCCTACGGATGGCATCAGTCTGGGGACATGTGCTATCAAATCAATTTGGGAGATGAGGGCCTGAAAAATTGGGCGAATGCTCAGACCACCTGTCGGCAAAAAGGAGGCGAGCTAGTGACCATTAAAGAGTAAGTGGAACCGGCAATCACAAACGACCAAAGGTCATCCTTGTATTACAATCGAACCTTACGACTGTGTGGGCGATGTGTACAGTGTATTCAAAAGCATCTATATCGCGGATTTGATCTGGAAGTACGGCATCCACGATTGGGAAGACGGGACACAGCATGAAAACTACTGGATTGGCCTGAAAGGTAATAAAGTGCACTTGAAACCGGTGGCAGCGATGTACACAAATACAGTATGCATTCGCCGCTAAAAACTGCTGCATTCCAGGCAGTGATAACGGATACGTTTGGCCGGATGGATCAGTTACGAATTACACGAATTGGTATAATCAGGTTCAGCCTGCGAATAATCCAAACATGTGTGTTTACATTGCCTTTGATCGTCGCAGTAAGTAATCGCACTTTATTATGCTTAAAATCCATTCCTGTTTGTTTTAAGACATATTTTTAATTGGCATCTCACAATATATGTATAATCCCCTTTCAGCCAATGCAACGGGAACTTGGCAAGTGACGCAATGTACACAACCGCAAGGCTTCATTTGCGAAGCGCATCACACGGCAAATATCCAGCCAGACGAAGTCGTTATCAGTAAGAAAAACCTCATTCTCGCTTTGTTAATATTTTGTACGACATTTTCGGTCTTGATACAGGTGCACACACCTGCGAGGCACCTTTTGTATCCTTCCATGAAGGATGTTTCCTAGCCATGACAGAAGAGAAAACATACGAAGAAGCCAGTCAAGACTGCATCAGCAAACAATCCCGATTGGCCATAATTCGAAACCGCGGAGAAAACTCTTTTCTTTCCGGTAATCCGCCCATGTAATTGATTGGTTTTATTCGCTGCTGTAGTGTTGCCCTTCATCCAGATAAAGTAACCAAAGACTCCTGGATTGGTATGCGAGTCAGCGGCAGTACGGGCTCTTCCACATCCGCTTCCGGATTCCAGTATACGTACAGCAACGGCGACATTGTAAATAATAATATTGGCAATTTGGCGATACAGACTCTTGTAAACAATTGACTGCCCGCACCCTCGGCATTGCAAAATATGTTGTATCCATGCAATCATGTTTCTAAAAAAATTGACTGCCCAATAACAAACGATGCAATCATTACAACAACAAGGTACTTACTAAGAACTTTTTTGTCAGGCTGGCGCTGGATTTTACCAGGACTTCACGGACACGTACAGTATAACAGTGTCCGACAGTTTCGACCGATTCTGTGTAGCTATAGCGGGCCCCGGAAGCACATTCCAGTACGGATCATTTTCCAGTACACCGTATCGAGGGGAGTGGTATCATGCCAACTGCAACCTGAAGCGTGGCTATGTGTGTTGGCACGAAGGAAGTAAGCTCGCTTGAATTAATGTTTTTGGCGCAATACTACTGTATAACATCGGTGATTTTATTAATCGTGAATATCGGTGAATTAGATTACACTGCTTACATTTAATTTTTATGTCGATGCTCCTGCAGAGACTGTTTTGTCTACGCCTCAAGTTTCTGCGATTCAGTTTACATTTGCCACATTCATCTTTTCACACGCACAACCGGCTTGATGCATGTTTTATTCAACTTTATCCAGAAATCAAGCACTACGTTTTCGTACTGTATGTATTTATCTTATGATTAACGTTTTGTGCTAGCCCTTATCGAAGCTCCCGTAACGGAGGACGTATCCGATCCTCATTGTGGAGCGGGATGGTTTCGAAATGGACCGCAGTGTTACAAGGTCATGCCCACGGTGTCCACATGGCGCTCTGCAAAAGCCACTTGTCAAGGAATGAGCGATAATGCCGATCTCTTATGGTTTACTACCCAAGAAGAAGAGAATTTTGTCAGAAGTATGCCGGAGTTAATTTTATAAAAACTTTGCAGCTGGGAGATTTTCGTTTTTTTAGCACAACTTCAGCAATACTATTCGCATATACCACACGGTTTCTGGATCAATCTGTACGCCGAACAAGCCAATGCTTGGTACTCACCGTATAGAGATTACGCAAACAAAAACTATCTTCCGTTTGCGGTGAGCAACTGGGCGGAAGGTAAGCATGAGCTGACTAAATTCGCAAGTAAGCAGATACCATGATTTGCTCTTCTACAGGCCAACCAACTCCTGACGGTGGTACATACAGTTCTTCTTACACACAATGTGCACGAATTACATCAGTCTCTTCCGGTAAGTGGAACGCCTCCAGATGCCTACAACTACACGCGTCAATATGCAAAAAGACCATCGAAAGCCTGGTAACACCGGCGCCAACAACTGCTCTACCATCTCTTGCTCCAGGTTGGTACATGATAGCTTACTTTGGTCTCAGTGTATGATTATTTTAGAAAACGTGTGGCAGATAAATTCAGCGCTTTTACACATGCGTTTACTGTGCAGACCAACAACTTGGATGTCCTTCACACTGGCATGCCATTACCGGCCGCTGCGTTAGGATCAGCATAATTCCAGCCGACTGGGCCACTGCCCGTCAAGCATGTCGAAACGAAGGAGGATACCTGGCTGACTTCAAAGACGAAAACGAATTCATGTATTTCAAAGGATTTTCCGTTGGTAGTTGGATAGGCCTAAACAGTATCAACGCCCAAAGTAATCCTCGAGCGTTTACCTGGACTAGTGGTGCAGCAGTAACCTTCGTTCCATGGGATGTTCAGTCGCCTAACAGCCATGGTGCTGGAGCATGGACCAATGATACCAACTGCGCCGCTGTCAGTCCAGGAGTAAGAACCCTTATCATCGTTGATTCTCTTTCCATGACGTGCCCTTTGACTCATGTTTGATTAACTTTTGTTTTTTAGGGCGTTACAGTTTATCCATGCCATGAGAGAAAATCCTACGTTTGCGAGAAGGAGATGGTCCCCGTAACCGGAAGTGCTACGGTGGAAATCCCCCACTCTCGTGGCTGTCTACGATGGGGTGTCGGTTTCCACGAGTCGTGCTACTACTTTGGCCAGGATCCCAGTAACACACAGATCGGAAGCAAACCGCCGATGGATTTCGACAGCGCTCGTGCGTTTTGTCGTCAACACTTTGGTGCATCTGCTGACCTGGTCATCCTGAACGATGGTACGGAAGAAAGAGAATTTATTAACACCCATATTGCGCGCACAGGAGAGGAATACTGGATTGGCCTGAAAGAAGACCGTGAACCGTGGAACGCGTTTAAAAAATGGGTGGATGGGTCAAGTGTTGGCTCAACAAACTGGGCGTTCGGCCAACCTGCCGTGACGAATGAAGGGTTCAAAGGATGTGTGGCAATGCACGGTTCCATTGCTGAACACGGAACCATTATGCCAGGAGATTGGTATGTGGCTTCCTGCACCGAGCGAAAGATTGCCCTCTGCAAAGCGGACAGCACTTTCCATCCGTCTCACCCAACAGCCAACCCCTCGACACCTTCGCCCAACGGGTGCCCTCAGGGATGGAGCACCAAACCGGAAATCGAAACATGTTTTAAGGTGAGATCTACTTTAGCAATGTTAAGTTATACAGTTCTGGCTAGTAACCTCCTTAACACTGGGCTTATGTGGCTAGAGTTATCGTGGAGACCAAGGAAGTAACGGGATACACAAATTATCTTGGCAAGCAGCCGAAGATTTCTGCAGGCGATTCAAAGGGGGTCATCTGGCGTCGATAAACAGTGAAGCCGAGCAAAGCACAGTTTACATGCTTATATACGGGGACATGAACTGGATTGGTCTGCGACAAAACCCCAACGCTCAAAACCGTTGGGAGTGGTCAGATGGGAAAGGACTGACTACGTCTAACTGGCATTCGGAAATCAGTCACACTAACCCTTACACGTCCAACTGTGTTGGATTCCGCTCCAGTGGAGAATGGGTCCCACAAAGCTGTGAACTGGGCAACGGATGGGTGTGTGAAGTACCAAAGGATGTCTACTATCCTGGTCAAATAGTGGAAGAGTTTCCCACTGGCATTCCTATCAACCGTAAGTTCAGTGACATTCCAGATGTTTCGTTATTGCAAAACTCGAAGCACTGCAGCTGAATTACTATCTTTCGTGTTTTCTAGATACCTGCGGTACATCTTCTAGCGATGGCGCGTGGTACTTTGATTCGCAGTCCCAGGAATGTGTCTATATTTCTTTGAAAACCGATAGCTGGGAAAACGCGCAAGTCACCTGTGAAAGCATGAATACTAACTTGATAACGGTGACCACTACAAACTATCAGTTTCTGCTGCTGAAAATTGCCCAAACAATCACTTCAAATACATACAGCAGCGGACGAGACTATTGGATCGGCTTGAGAATGATTGATATCGCGAACAAGGAGTACGGATGGGTAGATGGACATCCTTCATTCTTCCGACCGTGGGATGTAAATGAGCCTAATGGCCGTGGCACGGAACGATGTATTTCCCAGAATTCCATCAGTGGCAAATGGCGCGATCACAACTGTGCTCGCACTCTTCATTTCATCTGTGCCAAGACGAACCGGATAAGACCCGTTACGACTCCGAGTCCCGTTGGAGGAAATTGCCGAACTGGCTGGACTGAGCATGGTAAACAGTGTGTTTGATAATCCATGCGTAAAGATCAATAAGGTTCCAATGGATATATTTCCTTACATTAGGACACAATTGCTATTACTTCTCCAAGAACGAGAGTAAAACTTGGGAACAAGCTCATCAAGCCTGTATACAGCTTCATCCTGGATCCAGTGACCTTGTTTCAATACACAGTTCAATCGAGAACGATTTCATAGTGACGAGAATGAAAGGTCAACACCATAGGGGCTACTGGATTGGTTTGCATGAGGTGCAGGTCGATACGTACTCCTATACCTTCGTGTGGTCCGATCAAAGCCAGATACGATACAATAACTGGCATTTCTCTGAGCCCCTTTACGATTATGGCACCAGGGTAAGTGAAATTCCTCAGTAAATAGATTTGTAGCCATAAAGATTGAAGCAAAGCTTTAAAAACTTTTCAGTTTGATTCCTTGCCGTAGTTCTAATACTGATGCTTTTGAGCGCTCTTATTATTTTAATTCGAACAGGACAGAGCTATTGAAATTCGCGGTGATCATAACCGTGCCGGAAGATGGCAAGTGCTCAAATCAGATCAAACGCGAGATTACATTTGTAAAGCAAAAAAAGGTACTGTCAAATTTACGGCAAACACGATAAAACACAGCAGATGCTTAGTTATCGAAAATTCAGTATGTGCTGACGAAGATTGTATGTTGGAGATCCCGGTGCGCCACCGCAGACCGTAACTAATAACTGTCGATCCGGTTACACCCAACTGGGAGAGAATGGAGCGTGCTTCTCGGTGATAGCATTACCCGATGGACGGGACAACTGGCAAAACGCCAAGGATGCCTGCACCACCGGTGATGGCTACGGCAAGCTGGCGACAGCGGTGGATGTTTACGACAACGCCCAATTCCGTGTATTGCTGCACCAGGCTTATCGCATTAACAATCACAGCGGCCACGCCTGGATCGGCATGCAGAGTCACGTGCACAATTTCGCTTGGTACAATGGATGTCCAGTAGTGTATTCCAACTTCCTGACGATGCTGCCGCCTGGTAATAACTCGGATCACTGTGTGTCCATGAACCATGACGGCAAATGGATCGTCCAGAACTGCACTGATAGCGTTCATTATGCTGTTTGTGAGCATAGAACAGGTGCGTCCTCCCTCTCTTGAAGATGGTGTAAACACTTGTGTACTATTTGTGCATCCCACTAAACAGCAATGTGTTCAATATTGGATAATCCCTTTTAGAGCCATGTCCGGCGGTTTTCAATATCACCGACAATAACATGTACTGTCCAGTCGATTTTCCAACCGAATGCAACACCATGTGCTACCGTGTTCAGACTAAATCCCATCAGAACAACCAGTCCATCCATGTGGATACCTTCCAAAGAGCGAAACAGCAGTGCGAAAAGTTGGGTGGACGACTCGCATCCATCCGTAACGAAGAAGAACAGAAATGCTTAGAGAAATATATTCATCACTCCACCGATGGTATGTGGATTGGTTTGTATGAGGCGTTAGATCCATCGGGTGAATATGTCTGGAAATGGGAAGATGAAGGAGCCGGATTCGGATTTTCATCGTACACTAACTGGGAGAGCGGTATTTACAAAAATTGCAAAAAATTTGTTGCACAGTGGATAATGGTCCTGAGGTATAATTTTTCATTTCTCCATTGCGCTAGGCAAACCTACAAACAATAGCGGTTTGATGTATACAGCGAAACGCTGTGCGGAAATTTTTCCCAATGGGACATGGAACAATCTGGCATGCGACAATTATGATTCCAGAGGCATGATATGCGAAATCCGCAAAGTGCGTTCTGAAATTGGCCGCTTAACAACTAGTAGACCGTTTGGAGTGACCGATCCGCCCAGCTCCTCCGGCATGTTGGGCGGGTCAATTGCTGGCATCGTAATCGGTGTGCTGTTGGGTGTGGCTGTGGTCGGAGGCGTTGCGTATGTTGTTGTCACCGGCAAGACTGGAGCGGTGGTTGGATCCGTTCGGAGCGCTGGAAGCCGTATTAAGTCGACGGCTTCGGAGAAATGGTCCGGATTCGGGAATCGCAACTATAGCCAGTACGATAATGATCAGAATCCGGTGGTGAACAAGGACGATTACATCGGTGGTGACTCGTATACTTGATTCCGTGGCGCTTTTAATTCTCTTGGACTTTTTGCAAATTTTTGTTATAATGAGAAACGTTTTTCCAACTGAGCAACTACAATGTTAAACTTCTGTTTCATTGAAACATTGTCAGAAGGTTCGAAGTGTACAGTGTGAAGATGGCTGGAAAAATGTGAGTTATGTATTTAACTGAATGAAATTTTAATTCAATTTTATCGCTCTAAGTGGTTTAAAGAAAACTTTTCGTTATATTTTCAAGGATCCATCGTCCCAAAAATAACTGCGGTAAATAAAAGTATGTACATGAATACATGCAGACATCGTGCCTAATACCGTAACCTGCCAAATGCCTTAACGCTTATCGGTTACGAAGATAAGGTGCGCTTTCGACTTTATTTTCCGCTGTTTCACGGTCAAGATCTGTCAGTTACAACCGTTCATGGCTAACTTGCCCCTTATCAGAACTTTCTGCTAACTAATTAAACCTCGGCAGCATTTTATCTGGGCACCCGAATAAGCATTGCACAACTGTCGGTATACTTCCGTTCGCAAATTGCATTCTCTTTCTTTGCATGCCATCTAAAACCAATAAATTATCCTGATTTCTAATCCCGTCCATTCGGTGTCCCACACACTAACGACTCTGCCTTAAAACAAATACATCATAAATTTTGCACCGTCAGTTTTGTACATCAAAAGGACAATTCTCGCGGTTGAAATTTGCAGACAATAAGATAAAAAGTGGCAGAAATTAGTAATAAAGTTGTTTGAGTATCGGTTGGCAGCCGATAACGGCACGGACTACAAAATTTTAAATCCTACTAATAAATATGCCAGCACAATAAATAGTCTACATTTTTAAACTTAATTTTGCTGTGGGATAAAGTGTTAACGAGAATTTAGTTCCACTATTCTAACACTTCATTTTCGCACGTAATGGACCTCTCCATAACATTTTTACATATTGTAACAGTAATATTTGGATTAGGTTAGCGAAAAATGTTTTTCATGGCATGTTAAAATTGCCAAAAGTAGCATTACAGCATTGTTCCTTCTTTGTTATGTTTAATTTAGGAATTGCTACCGTACATTCATGGCGCTGTCCCGGTCCGGATTGGTATTATAGAAAGGGCACTCAAAAATGTTATCATGTTATGGGATCAACGAATACCGGTACGAATATCGGTTTTGACGGGGGATTATCTGGCAGCCAGTCATTTGACGGTGCAATTCAAACATGCAAGCTTCGTGGTGGAAAATTACTACAACTTGAAGATTCTGAGGAACTGGTAAGGGTAATAAAGGCTGGGTATACCAGTTGGGTGAGTGTGTAAAAGGTCACTTGTTATATGTACGGTACGCAAATAACCCCCAGCCGCCACTCCAAATTTTGCGGCGGTACACTGCAGAAAACTTTTCTACGGAACATGTTTCAGCAGGAAACATTTTGATTTGTGAATAATGTATGTAATTAAAAACATAAAATTTTATTTGTACGATTACTTCGCTCGTTAGGTGTAAGCGCATGTAGCAGAGTGTACTAACTGGGGTAAACCACTACACGCATTTCTTGATATCAAACAAACTTATTACGACTTCATAGAAATCCAGCGGATCCTAATACTATACCAAAATCAATATTAGTTATTTCTTGTAAACCCATCACCGATCACGATGCACAATGCATCTGATTCTTACAGGACTGGATAACAGCAAAGCTACCATCAAGTGAGCAAAAACTTCTTGTTATTCTACTTTTAGCCGAGGAATATTTCCTATAGTTATCCTTTGCATGTATCAGGTACTACTTGGTTTTGGATTGGGTTGACCTATGAAAATCGCACTTGGGAATGGTATGACGGTGAAACATACAAACCGTATACTCCGATACCAGGCTTGTAAGGGAATTTTTGAATTGTGGCCTGCACTTGAATTTTTGAATTATGGTCTGCACTGGTGTTGTATTGAACTTGAAGCGATATTAATGCATTGCTTTTGCATAAAGAAACGTGAAACCTCCGAGTACAAGTTATTCACCCGAAAGACAGCGCGGAACACTAAGACATGTATACAACACGACATTTCAAGGGTTCATATTTGACACGGATACCGTCAGCTATTCCAACGGTTATGTGTGCAAAGGCGACTGGAGTAAGAAATTAAATAAATTAACTAAATTTATTAAGAAAAGAAATTAACTGAATAAGAAAGAAATTAAAATTAACTAAATTAAGAAAGAAAGAAAAAAAAAGAAGTAAGAAAAATTTTAGCACTTAGTGGTAATTGTTACTTCAACATAAATTATGAATAAATACGATCCGCTTAAAAATGTTGCTCATAGATGGCCGCCCGTGGTGCAAAACAGAAGAAGGATACGTCTATCATGACAACAAGTGCTTCAAAGCATTCCCTGATCCTTCCGGCTTTATTGGAGCTGAAGCCCAATGTTTGTAAGTCATGATCAAGACCATTGTTGCTTACGCGAATTTACAAGAGTACAATGGCATTACTATTCAGGAAGCATGAGTACTCATAAAATGAACGAACTTTCAATGTTTGTTTGCCCTTACAGCGCAGAAGGCGGATACCTACCAGTTCCAAAGACTGCAGAAACTCGTTCGCGATTGCAATATTGGTTCCGAACATATTTTAAATCACCGCTTACCTGGCTTGGCATTCAGATTTTAAACAAAACTTCGTCGACCGCAGTCACCGACCTGTACTGGATGGATGGAACTCCAATGAAAAACACTACATCCAATCTGTGGCCAACGTATTCTGTTGAGAATTACGTCAGGTGCGTAGCAGGACGCTTAAACTGGTTCTGCCGTTCTGAGAAGCATTAGACTCACAACTTATTCTCTAACAATTAAGAAGACAACGCCTGGTTAAACTATATACTCACGTAATTTAGCGTGTTTTAATTAATGCATTTATCATGCCGAAATAGGGATCTCCCGGATGGAGCTGATTACTGCGGTGAATACACCACCTACGACAGTCACAGTGGGGATTTTGGGGGTTGGCAGTGGGTTGCAGCCAAGGACGAGTGGTCATTCACCACAAACTGCAGCTTACCACGACCTTTCGTGTGCGAAACTCCATTGAGTAAGACAAAAAGCTTTATTATTACATTATTTGTCTTGGTATTTTGTTGAGTAGCTGCCTTTTTGGACAATACGACACAATACCTTCATTTAATAAATTCGAATTCAAAACAAATCGTTTGATAATTACAGACAAGTGTCCGTTTGGGTGGCACCAATCTGGAGACATGTGTTATCAAATCAACCTGGATGATGAAAGTTTAAAAAACTGGGCAAACGCACAGACTACGTGCCGACAAAAGGGAGCGGAACTAGTAAAGATCACCGAGTACGAGGTTGCGCTATATATCCCATAAAAAAGCTGATTTTTGCACCAAACTTTTATGTAGCGTTTTTAAAAATCTGTACATTGCGGATTTAATTTGGAAATATGGCGTGCATGACTGGTACGACGGAACGCAGTATGAGCATTATTGGATCGGCTTAAAAGGTACGGAGCATCTTCCAGTGCCCACGCCTCCTAGTAAACTAGTAGCACTGAAAAGTGGAATTCTTTTCTAGGCACCAGCAATGGCTACGTTTGGCCAGACGGCACCGCCCCGAACTATACACTCTGGCACAACAACCAAGCCGACCCGGCGAACGATCCCAATATGTGCGCTTATGTGTCGTTTGACCGTCACTGTACGTAACCAGGCAAGGTCACAAACACTGCTACTGCCTGCAGCGAAGTGGCCATTCTTTATGTAGCGAACGAAACCGGAAGCTGGAAAGTAACGCAGTGCTCGCAACCGCAAGGCTTCATCTGCGAAGCGCACTACACGGCTGCCATTCAGCCAGATGATGTTGTCATCAGTGAGCCGCGACACGCCCTTAAACGCTTTTATCAAGCCTGAAACTTTTCCCATATTCACAGGTGCACATATTTGCGAGCCGCCATTTGTTTCGTACCATGAAGGCTGCTTTTTAACCGTATCAGATGAGAAAACCTATGACGAGGCTGTACAAGATTGTGCTGATAAAAAATCTCGACTAGCAGTGATCAGGAATCGTGGGGAAAATGCCTGGGTTTCCGGTAAAACCCCACTGCTGCTTTGTAGTTTTCATTTTATCAACCGTTTCTTTACATATTCCAGCGCAAACTTCAAAAGATTCGTGGATCGGCTTGCGCGTTACCGGCAGTACAGGCAGCACATCTTCGGTTTCCAGTTTCCGGTATTCATATAGCACCGGTGACCTTGTACGTGTTTACAGTTACAGTATAATGAGTAGGGCGTACAGTACTGTATGTGAACCACTTACTGCAAAATTAGCTAGCATGTGGACGGAATATCCGAGAACGTAGCTCGATGTGAATACTCAGATTTGGCGTCGTTTTTTTTCTGCCAATAAAAATTAATTTTGTTATTCTGTGGTAACTCCAGGCGGGCGACGGGTTCTATTCCGATTTTGCGGACAGATATGATTTAACTGTAAACGACAGTTTTGACCGGTTCTGCGTGGCCATGGCCGGCGCTGAAAGCACTTTTCAATACGGATCCACCTCAAGCACTCGTCCAGGTCGTGGCAGATGGTACCACGCTAACTGTAATCTGAAGCGCGAATATGTCTGCTGGCACGAAGGAAGTAAGCATAATGATTAGAAAATTTGTACCTATACAGCTATACTGTACAGAGTACATAATTTACTGAGCGGCAAAAACTAAAATAAATTAAATAAAAATTCTCACTCGCAGCCTTGAGATTGCAATAGTGTTGATATTTGTAGCTGCTGTTGCTGTTGCGCAAAAAAAGGCCTTAATGACTTAAGGTTTTTATTGCATTTAAGCGCCCATCGAAGCTCCGGTAGTGGAGGACGTCTCTGATCCTCAATGTGGAGCAGGATGGTTCCGAAATGGTCCACATTGCTACCGGGTAGTTTCGAATGTCGCAGCATGGCGAAGTTCGAAATCGACATGTCAGTCAATGGGTGATAATGCCGACCTGCTATGGTTTACGACTAAGGAGGAACATTCTTTCGTAACAAGTAAGCACCCAAACGATGATATCGTAATTTTCTGGATCACAGCTTTTGCTTGTTTAGAGATATAAAACATTCTACGAGTACGGGTCGAGTAGCAGCTTAATTAATCAGCATCACTGACTGCATATTTTAGCGCGTTACCTTTAGCATAATTTGAAAGAAAGTTTTACTACAGGGCAGCTCCAGGAATATTATTCCCATGTCCCGCATAGTTTCTGGATAAATTATTATACGGAGGCAGCCAATGCTTGGCATTTACCTTATCGCGATAATCTGAATAAGCACTACTTACCGTTCGCGGTGAGCAACTGGGCCGAAGGTATGTTGAGAAACGCTGGCACTGATGAGCCATGATTACTATTAGTAGTGGGCATCCACAAATCTAGACTTTCTCCTGCAGGCCAACCAGCGATTGACGGCAGCTCCTTCAGTTCCTCGTCGCCACACTGTGCGCGAATCACATCAGTCTCTTCTGGCAAATGGACTTCTTCGAGATGTGGACAGTGGCACGCTTCAATCTGCAAGAAAACCATCGAAAGTTTGGTAACACCTGCTCCAACTTTCGCTGTTCCATCTGTAACTCCAGGTATAATAATACATATTGAAGGTCACAAAATTGTTAAGCCGTTGTTGCCTGTTCCTTTGCTTTTTGTCGCAGATCAACAGCTGGGATGTCCCGCTCATTATCACTCAGTAGCCGGCCGCTGCATTAAATTTAATATTATGCCGGCCGAGTGGGCTACCGCCCGTCAAGCGTGCCGCAACGAACAAGGATATTTAGCGGACTTCAAAGATGAGAATGAATATCTTCTCTTCAAGGGATTCTCAGTTGGGAGCTGGATTGGTCTTAACAGTATTGTGGATCCGTCTGATCCACGTGTGTTTACTTGGGCAAGCGGTGCACCAGTCACATACATTCCGTGGGATGTCCAGTCTCCAAACAGCCACGGTGTTGGAGCGTCTGTTAATGATACGAACTGTGCCGCAGTTAGCTCACAGGTCAGTATGCTGTCTGCGTTAATTAAACTGCACCGGTAACTCACGTTAGATTCACCTCTGCAGCGCCAAAGTGCTGTAAAAAAATCATTCAAATTTCGACAGGGTGTTACCATTTATCCGTGTCACGAAAGGAAGACTTTCGTGTGTGAAAAGGAAATGGTCGCAGTTACCGGCAGCGCCACAGTTGAAATTCCCCATTCTCGCGGTTGCTTGCGATGGGGAGTGAATTTCCACGACTCCTGCTACTATTTTGGACAAGATCCAACTAGTGAGCAGTTAGGATACAAGCCATCATTGGATTTCGATAGTGCGCGAGCTTTTTGTCGCCGACACTTCGGTATAACAGCTGACCTTGTAACCCTGAACGATGGTTCCGAAGAAAGGGAGTTTATCAACAGCCATCTGGCTCGAACTGCCGAAGAGTACTGGATTGGTTTGAAAGAAGATCGCGAACCGTGGAATGCCTTCAAAAAGTGGGTGGACGGATCGGACGTGGAAGAAACAAACTGGGCTTACAACCAGCCCAGTGTGACGAGCGATGGCTTCAAAGGATGTGTAGCCATGCACGGCGCTATTGCCGAACATGGAAGCATTTTGATTGGTGACTGGTATGTCACATCGTGCACGGAGCGAAAAGTCCCATTATGTAAAGCGGATAGCGCTTATCATCCATCACATCCGACCGTTAATCCTTCCACGCCTTCGCCTGACGGATGCCCGGCGGGATGGAAAACCGTACCCGAAATCGCCACTTGCTTCAAGGTAAAATGAATTAAACGAATTAACAACCTTGCGCCGCTAGATGGGCTACCTCTTACAATGGTTATAAGTATCCATATTGGTTCGGTTATTACTCTAGAGCTATCGCGGAGATCAAGATCATAGTAACATTCGGAAACTCTCGTGGCAAGCAGCCGAAAATTTCTGCAAGCGATTCAAAGGCGGTCATCTGGCTTCCATAAATAATGAAGCCGAGCAGAATGTCGTTTACCGAGCAGTATTCGGTGACATGCAGTGGATTGGTTTACGACAAAACTCCAATGCTCAGAATCGATGGGAGTGGTCGGATGGGAAAGCTCTGACCACTTCCAACTGGCACCCGGGTGTCAGCCATACGAACACGTATTCGCCTAACTGTGCTTCATTTCGTAGCAGCGGTGACTGGATTCCGCAAAGCTGCCACTTGGGTAATGGATGGGTGTGCGAAGTACCAAAAGACGTCTACTATCCGGGACAGATAATCGAAGAGTACCCGACGGCTATCCCCGTTAACCGTAAGCCTAAGCGACACGGTGGTTTCTGAGCTGACACTTAAACTTTTGTAGACACGTGCGGCTCATCCACGATTGATGGTGAATGGTTTTTCGACGCCCAGTCGGAAGAGTGCGTGTACATCGCCAAAAGAACCGATGACTGGGCCAATGCGCAAACTACCTGCGAAAGTCTCGGCGCTAATCTTATAACAGTAACCACCACAAACTATCCTTTTCTAATGCTGAAGGTTGCCCAGAGTATCACCGAAATATCGTCATCTGCCGGTCGAGACTATTGGATTGGACTAAAAATGACGGATTATGTGAACAAGGAGTACGGATGGGTTGATGGATATGCGTCGTTTTTGCGACCATGGGATGCAAACGAACCGAGCGGACGAGGCACGGAACGATGTGTGTCACAGAATTCTGTGAGTGGTAAATGGCGCGATCATAACTGCGCGCGCACTCTTCGATTTCTTTGTGCAAAGACGAACCATGCCCAACCTGTCACAACGCCTAGTCCTGTCGGAGGCAATTGTCATACTGGATGGCTCGAACATGGTACACAAAGTACCTAGTTCGGTAACGCTCGGATATTGTATGAACCGTTCTTTTATTTCTTGTAGACCGCAACTGCTATTATTTCTCCAAAAACGAAAATAAAACTTGGGAGCAAGCTCATGAAGCCTGCGTTCAGCTTCTGCCAGGATTGAGCGATCTCGTTTCAATTCATAGCTCAATCGAAAATGATTTCCTCGTCACAAAAATCAAAGGTCACCATCGGGGCCACTGGATTGGTTTGCATGAAGTAGCCGTGGATACTTATACCCATTCGTTCGTTTGGTCTGACCAGAGCCCCGTTCGCTATAACAACTGGCATTTTTCTGAACCGCTGTACACGTATGGAGATAGGGTATGTACCAGTAACTACGACTGTGTATTCGGACTTGCCGAGTTCACCGCGATAGGTGTACGATTGTGCGATTGTGCGCAAAGTTGTACGAAAATGGGCATTTTTAAAGCAACAAGCAGAATGGTTATTGTATTAATACTTTACGAAATTATGCCAGGATCGAGCCGTTGAATTCCGCGGTGACCATAATCGTGCTGGAAGATGGCAAGGTTCAGAAACACAAGAATTAAGAAATTACATTTGCAAAGCTAGAAAAGGTATATACCTATTCTACGTGTGAAAAACTCGAAGTGGAACAAATACGATCTAGATCTTATGAAATGGATCTTCTTTGTAGACCCCAGTGCGCCGCCGCAGCAAGCTGTGGCTAGCAACTGTCGATCCGGTTATACCCAACTGGGAGAGAATGGAGCGTGCTTCTCGGTGATAGCACTGCCCGATGGACGGGACAACTGGCAAAACGCCAAAGATGCTTGCGCCACCGGTGATGGCTACGGCAAGCTGGCGACAGCGGTTGATGTTTACGACAACGCCCAAGTCCGTGTATTGCTGCACCAGGCTTATCGCATTAACAATCACAGCGGCCACGCCTGGATCGGCATGCAGAGTCACGTGCACAATTTCGCTTGGTACAATGGATGTCCAGTGGTGTATTCCAACTTCCTGACGATGCTGCCTCCCGGTAATAACTCGAATCACTGTGTGTCCATGAACCACGACGGCAAATGGATCGTCCAGAACTGCACTGACAGCGTCCATTATGCTGTTTGTGAGCATAGAACAGGTGCGTCCTCTGATTAAACTAGTAAAAGCTAAGGAGTATTTGTGCAACCCAGTGAACAGCAATGTGAACAATATCAGATAATCCTTTTAGAGCCATGTCCGGCGGTTTTCAATATCACCGACAATAACATGTACTGTCCAGTCGATTTTCCAACCGAATGCAACACCATGTGCTACCGTGTTCAAACTAAATCCCATCAAAACAACCAGTCCATCCATGTGGATACCTTCCAAAGAGCCAAACAGCAGTGCGAAAAGTTGGGTGGACGACTCGCATCCATCCGTAACGAAGAAGAACAGAAATGCTTGGAGAAATATATTCATCACTCCACCGATGGTATGTGGATTGGTTTGTATGAGGCGTTAGATCCATCAGGCGAGTATGTCTGGAAATGGGAAGATGAAGGTGCCGGATTCGGATTTTCATCGTACACTAACTGGGGGAACGGTAAATACATAAAATGCTTACATAACACTGCACAGTGCATAATGGTCCTTAGGTGTAATTTCTCATTCTTCCATTACTCTAGGCAAACCTTCGAACAATAGCGGTCTCATGTACACAGCAAAACGCTGTGCAGAAATTTTGCCTAATGGCACATGGAGCAATCTGGGATGCGACGATTATGATTCCAGAGGCATGATATGCGAAATCCACAAGGTGCGCTCGGAGGTCGGCCGCTTAACAACCAGCAGACCGGTTGGTGTGACGGATCCGCCCAGCGGGCCCGGCATGTCCGGCGGCTCAATTGCTGGCATCGTAATCGGTGTTTTGCTGGGAGCTGCCTTAATCGGCGCGATTGTATACGTCGTTCTGACTGGAAAAAGCCAAGCGGTTGTTAGCTCAGTTCGGACTGCTGGCAGCCATGTTAGAACATTCGCTGCGCAGAAGTGGGAAGCAACCCGGTTCGGAAACCGGAATTACAACCAGTACAACAATGATGCGACTCCGGTTGTGAAGGAAGATTACGTTAATGGAGACTCTTACAGCTGATAAAAATTTGTCTTTTAAGCTTTTTAGCGATATGTGCATAGTATTGCATCCAAAGCTAGTAATTTATATGTAAAAATTTTTTGTTGAGAAGCGTAAAAACCGTACTCCAAAAGTACGAAAATTCGTTGTGATGATGCAGGTGGTACGGTAACAACCTTAATAAAAATACATGCCAATGGTATTGGCCTATCGGGCGCGGACAAAGAAATATAGCTTCCTCCATGGCCAGAATATAATTCTATACCAGCGCATTATTGGTTCTAAGCCAATGCTCACGTGTATTTGCGGGTTAAAATTTATGAGTAATCTGTTACAAAACCCAATAATTTGAAAATTTGATATATAAAATCTTTTCAAATATTTAGCCCTAAAATAAATTTTTAGCTAATTAAGCTTTGGGTAACCACGTACTTAGTGTAGTACTGTAATTGCGAATTATTCTTATCGCTGTTCGCAAACATGCACTTAGGCTTTTAAAACAACCTGTGTTCCATTTATTCAAAAGATCCAGTTCGACAATGCTTCGCCGACCCTAGAACAAGCCATAATTCATCTCGTTGTCAGATATCAGACACGACGGCCTTATTATCGTCTTGTAATAACTCAGATAGCGAAATTAGTTTAAGATTTTACGGTTCTGCGCTTTGCAGTATTGTGAGCAAGTATGCGCAGACTGACATTTGTAAAAATATTTATGCAACTTATCTAATCTGTTTACTGAAGTCGCAATGGCAGCAAGCTAAACAAGCTTAACTACAATAACCTTTATAAACCTCAATACATTGTCTTTGCTTCTGTGTGAAAGGAAATTGGGGCATGGGCCTAGTTGTAACATTTTGCAGACTAGAATTTCCTTTGCGTTGAATTGCTGTTTAGTAAATATTTTTTATCGGAAACTTCCAGAATTTGGCAACGAAGCAGTACTGCGCTTGCCGGAAAGAACATGTCAGAAATTCGGCATGGATTACTTGCTGCAATAATACTGGGGATTTCCATAGGTAAGGTACTTCAGTACTGAAAGTTAAATTTAAGGTCCTTAATCACGAGTTATTCCAGACGTAGACAGGACACCAAATAAATGGTTTGGATTTGTTGTAAAAGTATTACTCGTATTCTAAATAGAAACAAATCTAAACAGCATTGGAAATGACCTACCCGTAACTGACTTTTAAAAATGCGCCGGTAACGCCCACTTACCTAGTGATGTTTACCAGCGTTGCGGAGTTCGGACAACGGTTACAGTATACGTAAAGGTAGAAACAACACAATCTCGATCCCATAAACGCTTCGCAGTATCGTAATTAAAGTCGACTGTAGCAAGTAACAAGTAGTAGTAAGTAATTTTGTAGATAAACTATTATAAATCCAAAAATGAAATAAGTGGTGTCAAAAACTTTTTACATGCGCATGGGTCATGCTTGTACTTTACGAGATGCCTAATTCTTTATTATGTTCCAGTTCCGCAGACTTCAGATTTTCTTACAAATTGTTAGGCAGTCGGCACAGCTACAGAGGCCTGAAAAGCTTAATACTCTGCTAGTTACTTAAATGAAACATTTGTTAAAATTATGCAGGTCAGTTTGAATTTAATTACGTTCATTCGCAGGGTCTTTCACGGGAGCATCAAGATGCCCAGGTACTTAACTAACTGATCCGGTTGTAAGGGGTGGTAAAAGGTTTTCTAAATTGTATGTCTAATATTTAGGCACGGAGTGGTTTTCACGACCAGGAACTTCCGACTGTTACTACGTATACGTACGGTCAGTTAACGGAGCGGCCACCGGACCGTTCGCGCGACCTGTGACGTTCGAAAATGCCTTTGAAGAATGTAAAATGCGCGGAGGAAAGCTATTCGTCCCCAGTGACCGAGCTGAAATGGTAGGAATTCTGGGGAATCCATACCCATGTCTCGGTCATCTTGTGCATTTCTTTTTTAATGTTGAAATCATATTTGGTTTACAGGATTTTGTTGGTAGCAAACTGCCTTCAGCTGCTGACTTCTACTGGATTGGGATGACCTATCAGAACGGTAGATGGCAATGGACAGACGATTCGGGAAATCCAACCATTGATTTCAACCCCAGCTTGTTTCCTAGTTTGTAAGTTTTTTGTCAGTCACTTTAGACATGCAATGCAGAGCAAAGTAAACATGACCTTTGGACACAACGTTTAATTTTCAGAGGCGTAGATCCGCCAACTATTTTCGGTGGTGTGCCAAATGAGTATCGCGGGACTGTCTCTCATTCGTTTGTGTCTGGAACTGCTGACTTTTTTTCGGAGCACAAGAATTCGTCACTTGGTTTCATTTGTTCGGGGACATTTAGTAAGTGTTAGATCAATAGACATCAATCACCGGCATTTGTTACTTGCGTTATTAGGTGTATTATACGCGCACATATTTATATTTCAGTTAATTTGTACTACAGCAATAGTCTCGTTTAGGTGGTCGTCCATGGTGTAAAATTGAGGATGGGTGGATTTACGATAGCAACAAGTGCTACCTTCATGTTGCCGAAACGAACACTTACGCTGGAGCGCAGGCCAATTGTCGGTAAGTGAAAAACTTAATTAGGAAAAAGGACTGTATAAACGTTTTGATCAGCACAATTAATCTAATGAGAAATTTGAGTGGACAGAAAGTGTTAAAAGTTTGGTGTACGTACAGTATATCACTGGCGCATTTTTATTTGAATCTCTGTGCAATGCTGTATTATTCGAAGCGCATTGTAAAAATGATTAGTACGATGCATATTGCATAATGCATAATATTACTCAGTATTTGCTACGCCTTATTTAGTTTACTGCACAATTTAATTTTTGTTTTCTGTTGAACTGTAACAATATTTATATCATTTACTTCTATATATAGTAGTAACTTGAATATTAACAAATTGCAGATCCAAAGGTGGCTTCGTTTCCGCTGTGAATACTGATCGCGAGGATGCAAGAATGCGCGAATGGATGCGCAATCGATTAGGAATGCGGCAAGCTTGGTTGGGTGTAACTATCCCAAGTATGAAAATTACTAAGCTCAGCCTTGCGCCGTTAGCGTTCTTCTCTAGTAATAATTAAGACTCAAGACCTAAATTAAATATTACGAAACTAGTTGGTTTCGTAATATTTCGTCAAGACTTACTAGTATAATTCTAAAACTTGAAGTACTGACAAAATGGAACAAACTAACGCAAGTCAAAAAACAGCAATTTTGCAGACAAAACCAGTGCAGTTACAATTGATACTTTGAAATTTGACGACGGAGAGTCAATCAACAACAACATGGTTAACCACTGGAACCTCGAAAACTCCAAAAGTCTTGCCGAATACATAACGTATGGCGCCTTGTGATTGCTTTAAGGAAACTTTATCGTAACTTCGTAAGTTAGCCGAATACCAATTTTATGTTTATTCCAGGAGCTTGCCCAATGACAAAACGTACTGCGGTGAAATCTATAGCTCTGAGGAGGAAGTAATTTTAATCTTTTTATTACCGGATCAACATGACTGGTCGCTGCGAGAAAACTGCGAAAGCCGATATCCGTACGCATGCGAAACTCCAAAAAGTAACCGGAATAGTGATTGTTTGTTTTTCTTGATGTTATAATTTTTATCCACACCCTTTACTGTCGCATTCAGATAAATGTCCTTATGGATGGGAGGAACTGGGCGAGGACTGTTACCAGTTCAACGATGGACCTGTTGACTGGTCGGAAGCTCGGAGGCGATGTACTGTCGAAAAAGCAGATCTCGTCTCCATCAGAAGGTCAGCTGTGTAATGTTAAGAAGTTCTATACGTAATCTATACTTTATTGCAAATATTATGATTGTACAGTTCCGAAATCCAAAACTTTCTACGACAAAACATATTGAGCCGGTTGTCAAATAACCCTAATCTCAACAACGCCGAAATGCCGTACTACTGGACTGGAGGATCAAGTGAGTTTATAATGTAACAAGTTACGAATTTTGGGTTCCAAACCCTGATATGTACCGTATTTATTATTTGTCCTCACATTTTCGATTTATTATTAATTAAAAAACTGTAGCCTCACCAGTCAGTACAACAGCAAAAGAACCTGAGCGCTACTACGTTTTTACACTTCTGTAAAAGAACTTTTATTACTGAAATTTGTGGACCATCTTAACTGTTATTCAGCAAACTGCGTATACTTCTAGAGAGGGGAAATGATCCAAATTTCAAGTGGACCGATGGAAGCTCTTTTGCGTACCAAAGCTGGTCACCGGGTCAACCGCTAACTGTTGCCATAACGGGAATGGAAATAGACCACTGTGCATACGTGGATGCCACATCCAATGGCAACTGGAACGCTAGCGTTTGTACTCAAAAGATGGGATATGTTTGCGCCGGTAATAATCAACAAATTGAGGATCACCCGGAAGTTATACATCGTAAGAAACGTTCCAGTTTTTATTGCAAATGCTTTATGATAGCGGCTTACAAAATATGAGTAACTCAAAAATTTTAGCGGAAATTACGTGTGAGGAGCCATTCAAAAAATACCACGATGGCTGTTATTATCATGTTACCCAAAAACGGAATCGAGATGCGGCTCAGGAGTTTTGCGCAAATCTACCGGAGAAGTCGAATTTGTTAACACCATTGACACCCAGTGAAAATTTCTACGCCGAAGGTACACAGAATAATCATAATACGTCACAATTATAATAATTCTGCCTAATCAGGGAAACACAATGAATGATAGAAATATTCAAAGGCATTTCGGTGTATGCGAATATCTATATTTTATAATTTACAGGCCAAGCGGAAGAGGGAATTTGGTTGGGCATTAAAGCTACATCTATAGGTGCATCTGGCGGTTGGATACACAGATATGGTGATGGTAGTATTGTAAGTGCAATCTTTAAAAGTACATAATTAGCAGTACATACCCGTAGTACTGTACAGTACTATGGGTATGTACTGCTAATAATTAATAATAATAATAAAAATGTACAGTACAAGTAATACAGTAATAAATTTAGTGTTGATCAACCAGGTTATGGCGGGCGCTTACCATAACTACGAGTGGGGCGGCTATATACCGTCAGCCAGTAGCGATAGGCTGTGTACAATTATGAAAATTCGAGACTCGGATTGTGATGGCTGCGACGAGGCTTACTCTGGCGATTGGATTTATGTCACGTGTACACAGGAAAGAAACTTCATTTGCTATCACGATGGAAGTATGTGCAACATAAATTTGTACTTTATTATGGTAAGTTTATTTTTAAGCGCTAAATCCTCATCGTAGAGCCAAAAGACGATTCCACGTCCCTTACACCGCTATATGACCCGGAATGCGGAGCCGGCTGGATTCGAAGAGGCGACCAGTGTTATAAGACAAACGCCGATCCGACAACCTGGAAAGCCGCAAAGTCCAACTGTCAGAATGCAGATCTTCATGGCGATTTGCTGTCTATTGTCAGCAAAGAGGAAGAGCTTTTTATTCGAGGTAATTAACCAATGTGCACGTGTACTGTTAAAATGTTCGTCTTAGAAAAATCCAAGTGTAGGCTGGTTACAGTGCCATTTCGTCATCGTAGATATGATCGTGGGTGCAGACTTTATCGGCCCTCTGCCGGCTGGGTTCGCCAGAGCATCATCTTACTGGATAAACTTTTATTCTAATCGCGAAAACTTTTGGTTCTGGCCTAAGCGTGATTCGAAGGATCAGTATGCCATTCCGGCTGTCGTTTTCAACTGGGGACCAGGTAATATGGGACCACTGCAACGCGTTAACATTCAGCCTCTTAAATCTACTTCGGGCTGTGTTTAACGGCTTTTGTTATTCCATTTGTAGGTCAACCGGATAACAGTCACGATAGCGCCTTCGCCGATCCCTTTTTCCTTCCGATATCAGATTCCAACCCACGATGCGCTTACGTCGAAGAGACACCGGATGCTTTGTGGGCCGATGGGAACTGCGCTGTTAACCGGGCGTACATTTGCAAGAAACCGACATTATCGGCGCGCCCACCAACCGGCCCGCCTCCTACTGCGCCGAGTAAGGAATGCCAAAAGGCATCAGAAAAGTGTCCGCAAATAAAACATGTTTATTGTTATTTTGAATGTTTATTTTTATTTTGAAACAGGTGGTTTTGGCTGTCTACCGGGACATCTTCCGTTTGGAACGAAATGCTTATACAGAACCCCGCAGCTGCTGACCTGGACCAAAGCGCGTGATTTGTGCCGCAACAATACCGGCGAACTGGTTTCTTTTGACAGCCAATCCGAATACCAAAGCATAGCACCATTTACTCAAAATGCTTGGATTGGGCTGAACAGCCTGGATAATCCGCGTGCGCCGCGCGTATTCAGCTGGAGCGATAATGCACCGGTGCAGTATGCCCCGTGGGATACCAATGTGGCACAGGGTCACATTCATGGAACGGTAACACGGGATGTGAATTGCGTGGCAGGCGGTGCAAATGTAAGCCATCGTGATGTACAAAATGACAAGTGGTATGCAAATAATACACCGTACAGGTTGTTTTATCTGACCTTTAGGGTATAAATGCGTACTCTTGCGAAGAAGCAAAAGTTGGGCTCTGCGAATCATTCCGGTATGAATCGTCAACACCGCCCAATTCGATCACCATTCCACAGGGTGATGGGTGTGAACCGTGGGGTGTGCGCTGGCCGATGTCGAACTCGTGTTTCTATTTTGGAAATGATCCTAACCATCTCACTGGGGCCCGCCCGTTTTTCAATTTCGATCAAGCCCGGCAGTTCTGCCAGACCAAGTTTAGGAATGGCGACTTAGCGACTATTCTCAATGAACAAGAGAAATCAATTATAAACGCTCTTGTCGCTGGTTACAGTGGCGATTATTGGATCGGTTTGAAGTAAAAAGTAAACTTTAATAACGACGGCGATTTTAAAATAACGTTTATTATCCTTGCAGGGAAGATGCAAACCCATGGAGTGCATTCAAGAAGTGGGTGGACGGAACTGCCGTGACCCATACCAACTGGGGTTACGGACAACCGCCGGTGTCCCCCGCTGGATCAACCGGTTGCGTGGCGATACAGGGAACCTATGCTAACAGTCACTATCCTGGAGACTGGTTTGTAGATCAGTGTACTACCCAACGTTACGCACTGTGCAAAGCTCCGGCTACCACACCGCATCCTACTCGACCGCCGACTTCTCCGCGTCCGAATGCCAACGGATGTCCTAGAAATTGGATAACTACGGACACCTCATCACGATGCTACAAGGTCAGTAATTATTTTGGAAAGCTAAAGGCTTGAACATTAGTAACTGCAAAATTTTGTGTTATACTGTACCATTGTGCACTTAATTGTGAGATGTCGCAAGCACCTGTGAATCTTTTGGTGTTGCCAACTTGCCATTAGGTGGAAAAATTGTACAAGTTTATACATGTCTCTGGTACTTACGCTGGATTTTACTTGCAGGCATATTACGCCTCAAACAGTGGTATAATGGTCATTGGAAGCTCTGGTACAATGAATAAAGCCCATTGGGACGACGCCGAAGCATTCTGTGGCGGGTTTCGAAACGGCCATCTAGCGTCTATCGACAGCCAAGCCGAACAAACAGCGGTGCAGCAGTCGCTTCCTTTAAAAATGTCAGATTACAGTTATTGGATCGGTTTGCGAGAACGCAGCGTCGGAATCACCGGGCCGCGCTGGGGATGGTCAGATGGAACACCCTATACACTGGACTTTTTCCACATGGAAATCAATCACGAAGCCGCCGATGTACAGGACTGTGCAGCCATGGACTCGGTATCTGGTAGATGGATACGGCAGAGTTGCTCCATGAGCTGGGGTTGGGTATGTGAAGTGCCTAAAGGAGCGTATATGCCGGATGAACCGATTCCCGCGTTGCCGACCGCCTTGCCCACTAATCGTAAGTGATGCTTGCAAAAATAAATTTGGTGACGAAATTGACCAAACGGTTTGCACGAAACAGAGACGTGTGGCCGGGATACGTCCGGTATGGGAGATTGGTACTATATCGAGAGTACAAACGAGTGTCTATTCGTGTCCGCACGAAGTGATTCGTGGGAAAACGCTCAAGCCACCTGCCGTCAACGTCGCTCGCATTTAACCATCCTCAATCCGACAAACAATCGGGAAGTTGTTGAAGTGGTTTCACACATGGCCGGTGCGTTGGCTACACGCTTCTACATTGGCTTACGGATAACTGACTTGACACTGCGGGAGTATTCTTGGTTGGACGGAAAGCCGTTGACATGGAACAATTGGGCAGCTGGTCAGCCGCTGGCCAATCATAGTGCCGATTCTTGCGTGTCTATTGATGCGCTCAGCGGAAAATGGTCATCCGGCCGCTGCGCAGCCGGCAATCGCTTCTTATGTTCGCGGGCCAACAGGGAACACCATGGACCTCCAGCGATACCCACTCGTGACCCACAAGGTCGACATGGCGGATGCGCTGATGGATGGGTTTCATTTGGTAAGAATTCAATTTAAATTTTTGTTTACAGTTGCTGATGCATTGGTACTTTTAATGTTGCAGGTCCTCACTGTTATTACATCTCGCCGCCCACTCATAACACCAGCAGCTGGGGACAGGCTCTTCAAGCTTGCGCTGGCAGCCACCAAATGAAGAACTCCAGCCTGGTATCAATTATGTACTCTGGAGAAAATGACTTTTTAATCAGCCAGTTAAAGAATTACAAATATAATATGTGGATTGGATTACACGAAACCGATGACCTGACATACGAATGGACCGATCGTCATCCGTTCTTTTACAACAACTGGCACTACCAGTACCCACGGCCACAAGCAAACACAGTAAGCTAAGCTTGCAGAATAGTGCAGTACGCGACTACTGTTGATAGCACAAACCCGTATCTGCTACTTCAAAAATGATCGAAAATTTTCTTTTAGTTCAAATGCATTGCTGTGCTGGTCGAAAACAACAAAGTTGGGAGATGGTTCGATGCAGCCTGTAATGGCTTAGGAGGGTACATTTGCAAAGCACCGAAAGGTAATAACGGACCCCAAAAAAACAAATCATTCTATTTAATTAGTATAATATCGAATTTCGGGTTCTGCACTTAGACTTCGATCTTCCGGAACACGCGGGCCCGGCAACAAACTGCACAACCGGCTTTTCTCAGTACGGTGACGCGTGCTTCAAAGTGATTCCACTGAAACATGATGTAGTTAATACATGGGGTCATGCCGAACAACTATGCCGCCCTTCACCACAAGAAAACATAGAGGGTGGTCTGGCAACGATTTTGGACGTGTACGAGAACGCTTTCGTACGCACGTTATTCAATGAAGCGTCTTTCCGCGAACATATGCCTGGACAACGTCCATTCGAGCAAGCGCACGCGAAAGCCTGGATCGGAATGAAGGAAGAACATGGGCATTATGAATGGTTCAACAAATGTCCAGCCCAGTTCGCTAATCTGGCCAACCTGGTGGGCACGGCAGATGATTCGGACTGTGTCGACATGAACTTTGAAGGGAAGTGGCACGCCCATAACTGTACCGCCAATGATGTGCGCTTTGCCGTCTGTGAACGCCGATTCAGTAAGACTTTAATTTCACAATAATCGACATTCTACTCATCCGGATCAAATTTTAATTGTAGAAAAATGCGAGCAAATTCCTGATCATCCGCAAGTCTGCCCCAAAAATTTTCCACGAGCCTGTGCCAACCACTGCTATGAAACCAAAAGCATCGTTCAGCATACGAACGAAACGGAAGCCGTGTCCTTTGAGGAGGCGCGGCGCCGTTGCGTGGCCTTGGGAGGAGACTTGGCATCTGTCCGCAATGAAGCGGAGCAGAAGTGCATCCACGGCTACGTCCAGTACGCCGAAATCGGCATGTGGATTGGTTTGCGCGATACGACAGCTGAAACTGATCGCATGACGTGGCAGTGGGTGGACAACAATGATAACCAAGAACCGGCAGTTTATGCAAACTGGCAAAAAGGTACATTTTCGGTAGTAATACTAGTTCAAACATTTCTGCTCATCTTTTATGCTCTATCAAGGAGAACCAAACATGTTCAACCCGAAAGAAACATGCGTGGAAATGTACCCGAATGGATTGTGGAATAACGCGCGCTGCGAACAGCACAAGGGATTTATTTGCCAAGCGCCAAGAAATCGAAGTGTCGATGTCACTGCACCGACAAGAGAACCGTTCTGTAGGTCCTTAGCTTCAAATTGCCTAAACAAAAAAGTGCATGCATTTTTATCATTTTACAGATCCAACAGATTACACTGGTGGACCAATTAATACAAGTAAAGATGACGGCTATAGCGGAGGGCAGATTGCCGGAATCGTTATCGGTGTCCTGCTTGCTGTGGCCGTGGTGGGCGCTATAGGTTACGTGGTTGTAACCGGAAGGTCATCCAGTGTGGTCAGCTCAGTCAGCAGTGCGGCATCCAGCTTCCGGGAGCGTTCGTCCAAATTCGTATCGCGGAATAAGGCTGGAGCGTCCGATCGGACCACATTACAAGAAGATTTTGACGGCGCCAATGCGTCGTACAGTTAACCAGTCACGTGATTGACAGATTTGCACATATTTTTTACATTTCGCATTAAAATTTAAAATTTAATAATAATGGTTGTACTGTACATTTAGCCGTTTTGTGACACCGCTGCTCTGTGATGCTGTAGCTTTCTTACTTTTGTACACTTCAGATTGCTGTGCAGACAGTTTGGCTGCTTTTAATTTAAGTAAGGACGTTAAATTATCGTTAACTAAAATTCTTTAAAATAAATGACCGCAATGCAAAAAGCGTTATGGCTGCATGGCCCTATGCGAAGATAAGCCAAACAACCAAGCAGTGCGACTGCAGTACGAATGCCTGTACTTTATTCTGTGTTCCACTAACACTAAAATTTTTACTAATAAATTTATCTGTGATCTACCGTATATAGAAGTTGCCTTGCAACCCTTTTGCAGTTTTTAAAACAATGTCCGTGTGCTACCAGTTTCTAAATTAATATTAAATTATTCAACAAGCCATCCTTGCGTCGATGAATAAGACTTTTAAAAGGAACACACCCGTCGTACGACCCAGGAAAGGAAGTGGTAATAAAGCCACAAAGCAAATCAAGCAAGGTCAGCCACAGCCACAATTTCCAAATCACTATTGTCGACAACCATACGACCATGAAGAACGGATTGTTATTATCTCTAGCAATATAGATATCTCACTAGCACGTACACAACTAGTTGCGCCTCATCCAGCAGATGAAGAACACCGTGTGACCTTTTACTCTACACTGTTTCCGGATGCCGTTGATTGCAACTGGATTCCGTATTTAAGAATTTGCCGCGAACGCTTTGCCTACCGTTTATTCCATCCAGTGTTTGGTAGCTACACCTCCGAACTCAAACTCAACGATAATCTTAAAATCATCGATAAAATAGTAAGCGCTACCAACTGGGAACAGTTTGTTGCATGGAATGGAAGAGATCAATGCCTGAACACCTTACGGCTGGCAAAAAAGAGAAGCGTCTCCAACAAATTTCGCACCAAAGCCTTGGTAAATGAGAAACACCTCCTATACTGTTGCGAATTTCCATTTATCGCAGATTTCGTTACGCATTTCCAAACTACCACAATGCTATTTATGCTTTTCGAGCATTATCCAGGCGGCGATCTGCAATCTCGTATCCTTAAACTGAAAAAAATGCCCTCGGATCACGCCCAGTTTTATGCCGCCCAAGTGGTCCTAGCGCTGGAATACCTGCATGCTCTAGGCATTGTATTACGGGAGTTACGCCCAAAAAATATTTGGATCTGCAAAGATGGCTATATTAAGATCGGGGACCTCGCTAATGCGGTACGGCTCACGAAGGACACTGCATTAACAGAATGGATCTATGAATATAAACCTGGGACAAAAACTAACCGCGCACTGGGTAGCCAACCGCCCGAGGTGTGGTTGGCGCAGCCATATGACGAAAATGTGGACTGGTGGATATTCGGTTTATTCCTGTACGAACTATATTCGGGAAGCGAGACGTTCCCCGAAGAATCGGTTTCAGCGCTGTATGAAGAACAGATGAAGCAGAAAATTTTCAGCTTACATTATGACACGCCACGTTGGTTTGGCAAACTTGATAAACAGATTCTCAAACAATTACTTGTTCTGAATGCCCAAGATCGGCTAGGAGCTGGTCCAGGTGGAATAACAGCACTCAAGCAGCATCCCTGGTTTCGAGGTAAAACACATTTATCAGGTAAACACTTTTTAGATGACTTCGATGATGCGACGCTTGTTGGTAGGTTTATCGTGGAACGGTTTATATGCCGGACTTGAAAAGGCACCATGGATTCCGAGCAATTCGTACGATGAAATGGACCCAGGCGGTAATTTTATCACATATTCCGACGATGGAGAATTGTCAACGAAGATCAATAACCCGCTACCATTTGGATACCAATTTCAATACTTCTGAAGAAAATCCGCAGCATGGAATGCCAGTTACTTTTACAGTGTATACAATCTGGGAAATCTGGTTCATCGTTTCTTCGCTTCATCATCTTTCGGCGGCCGAAGCAGGAGCGCAAAAATAAACGCACGGACAAATTGCTTGCCGAATGGAGTCTGCAAAAGTACAGCGTTGGATACGGAATATTTAGGATGTTGACTCCATCTTACCCCGCTACTTTTGGAGTCTTTTCCAACTTGCCACAAGAATTCCATTGCCGCACAGATCAGCGCCGTGCCGATACCTCCCAGCAATACAACAAAAACCCCACCCACGTTAGCCATTCCCAATTCCGAAGCGCCGGAATCGGAAGCGCCGGCATCCGCGCAGATCACCTGGCTTTTCCCTTTCCACCACTTATCCTTCAGCACCTCCAACTCGCTGTTCTCCTGTAGACGGAGAATTTCTTTAGATATCAGATCGCGGTATGGAGAATCTGGAACAGGATTCACTGCATTGGAAGTTTTAAGGTAAACTCATATTGTGCAAAATACTTTGCGGCGTGACGAGTCCGTAACCTTTAGAATCCAGCAACCCACCGATTTGGGTCATATCACAGTTCTGATTAACCGTGTATTCCAGTGATGGTGTTTCCATAAAAAAGGCATATTTGCCATTTTTCACTGCCTGAATGCCGTCTTGGCTACTTGTGTGGAAGTTCGTCGGATCGGATCGCATAAACTGCCACATTTTTTGATACACCGGATGTTTGGATTCTTTGAAAAAATTATAAGTTGCACCGCCTTTGTAACAACCGTAGCGGATAACTGTTTGTTGCGCTAAATCATCAGCGCTTCTGATTGGTTGGTCGGTCCTTTCCACCGCCAAAAAAGCAGCCAAATTTGCAGTGTAACTGGCAATCATTATCTACAAAACAGAAAAACTAACAGTCGTTACTGAAACAGTTGCACATTAAATCGTGACCTTACGAATTCTGCCGTATCTCACAATTTTACAAATACAGTATACATTTTCTCATACTAGAGTAAAAAACCACCAAGATCCGGCGACCGTTCGCGTGCTCATTGCACGTGGCGCAATATCCGATCCCTGCTGCATTAATGATCCCACGGTAAACCATAGTGAATTGCCAATTGTAAACTGATTTTCTACTACATTCGAAGACTCATCACAGGGATGCGGGTTATACCACTCGTACGGCGTAAACCGGCCCAACAGAAAAATCGTCCCCGAGACAACCAGAAAGGAAATTGTCATATATAGCCATACATCGGCGCCGAACGGATGCAGGAAGGAAAACAAATCGGGTGGTTTCTTTTCGGGTTTCTTGTACAGAATACTAATGCCCAGGTGCATAAAAGGTTTGGTAAAATCCACTACATTTTCCCGCTCGTGGTTGATGGTGATGCCACCCACCACCACATCGGCGCGGCGGTTAACTAGCTCGCCGATTAGACCGGTCCATGAATTGGTTGTGTTGTCGTAGACACCGTGTCCAAGTTTGCCTTTGTCCTCCAGAGTGTAATTTAGCTCTAAGCGCTGCATGATTATGTTCATTAAATCCACGGCATATCCTTCGTACTTGTCGTTGCCTATGCGAATATCGTGATCCGGTTTCAGCATAACGTATGGTTGCTCCAGTACAATGATCGCGCGGAGGTTCTTGCTTTTCAGCACATCGCCACCCGGTTTTAATTTTGGTCCAATTTGGATTGTGTCATTTGTCGTCCACTGGCCAATCTGTTAAAGGCTTGCAAAATTTACTGTGAGTCATAAAAAATTAGCTAAATTTGCCATTAGTGTAAGGGGTTCTTCCTGCTGCACAATTAACTTACCGTAGCCTGTCCGGTTTCCGTAACCTGGACAATGTCCAGTATGAACTCGGAACGCCGCCCATAAGCGTCAGACTTGATGACCCCGGTTAAGCCGTCGAATTCGGTATGGAACAACGCATTTAAAACTTCGCTGCCTTGCACCCAACTTTCACCTTTTTCGCAGTCGGCCCGAAAAGGACGGATTTCTGAGATGTCTTCCCCATCAAAGGTCTTTGATATCAGAGCCACCGTATCATAAAGTAAGGCTTGCTCGGTCTGCTCAAGACAGAAATATGAGTTTAAAAGCTGCTGTGCAATATTACTACGCTGTATAGACTATAAATAAATGCAAGCCGCAGTCTGTAAAAAAAATTCCAGACGGATATGTATCACAATTGTTGGCCAGTTTAAAGCGTTTAGAAAATTGGACTGGAAGCAGGCACAAATTATGCGCAGCGCCGTAAATAAAATACCGGTAAGGCAAATTATCTTTGAAGTTTTTTCGGTAACTGTGCAACTTATTTCTGTTCAGCGGAAATTATACTTATCATCTACGAATACGGAGCACCTTCCGAGTAATAAGTTACTGTATCTCTCTATGAGTACGGAGTGTATATACCTATACTGTACTCTGTACATATGCAGTATGGCTAATAATTTTAAAAAAAGTAGCGAAACAAAATGCGGTGGTAAGAGATTACCGACAAATTTGGCAAGATCGTAGCGGTGTTATGGATCCAACGTAAGTTATTATTAGCCGCGAAATCAATCAGCTGGAACGAAGTGATCTTAGCATGATCATATACAAATGATGACAGATTGATGGTGTGGATGTCCTAGATGAATCAAAACACAGACGGGTTACATGTCACAAATTCCTGCCATAATATACACAGTGGTTAACTGCCGGGGCCGGAAGGCGCAGTTTGTTTTTAATTAGACAGGAATCAGATATCCGCTTACCAGCGTCGTCAATAAATATTGATAGTCGCGGGTAAGAAGTTTTAATTGCTGAGCATGTCGCAGGATTCTCGCCAGTGATGATGTGGCGCAATCTAAAATAATCCGATTTTCCCCGCTATTACGGAGTTCGCGCAGGACACTGCGGTAGTCTGAACCAATTAGCTGGCGACTGGTTATGGTAAAGCGGAAGCTCACGTAATTCAACATATCCCGGAACTTCAGCAAGCCTGCAAGAGTTTGCAAAATTTATCAAATAAAATTTTAAAAATACGCTTTGCATTTTTATTTAGCTTCTGCAGCGAAATTCCATTATTAGTACTGTACTGAAAAACTAATAATTCAACTGTAACAACCTCCACCCAAACGCTGTTACGTACGTTCCGTTTAAAAAAAATGAAATTTGCAGTATTACTGTAAAACATCGCGCAAATGTAATACGAAATTTACCATCCGGGTGCTCATATAAAATGGTAAAGGATGACCATCCCCAAAATCTGATAATGTCCGTATATGGCTTGCTCAACGCCATTTCGTATGGATATGTATTAATGGCGACAGCATCCTTGTATGTGACTTCCGTGCGTCGAATACCAATAAATGGAATATCCAGTGTATCACAGATGGAGTGCGCGTATTCATGAGAGAAACTCCCGGGTGCACTAATGACCGCAACTACTCCGGTTTCGAAAATCTTACATACTGCAAATAAGTGCAAACTGTAAAGGAACAGGAATTAAGGACACTTTATACAGAATCTGATTTTTACAGCAACTGTTACTATCAATCTGATTTTTACAGCAACTGTTACTATTGCAACTGTACTCGTACCTTACAAAGCACAATATTAATACCAGTCAGTATCGTAGTTCTATAGTTAGAATTTATATAAATATATTTGTTAATTATTTGCTTCATCTGTTGAATTGCTTACATCTTTTAGAACGTTTAAGCACAGATTCAGAAAAGTTGGCGATGACCTTTACTGGGATGATCTGGACTTCACTGTTTTGATCATTAATGACAGTCACTGCGTCCTGGAATGTAGAGGTCAAGTGTGTCGAAGACGTATCGAATAGTCCGACTGCAAAAACCCTTTTTTAATTATAGAGCTATAGGTGCACACATATGGCGTAATTAATAATTGCTTTAATGTATTTTTAAACGTTAACTTTTGTTCGTGAGTGCATCGCTAGTTTGTGCACCTAAAGGCTTCTGAGGGAGAGAAAAAATTAGCCCACGCTAACTGCGAGAGCACTGCGAATAATTTTTTTATTGGGATAAATTTTTTAGTTTTCCCTTACCGACTTTAATTTTTGCCGAATTGCTGACACCGGAAGTGAATTGTAGGCCCAATAGTGCTGCAATGATAAGAACGAATCTATCGTAGGTGCACACTTGTTCCAGGAGATGCATTGTGCCTTGTACCACAGTATACGCATGTGCGCACAAAACACGCCATATAGCAACATTAAGAAAACCATGGGATAATTGAATCTGAAGTTTTGATAAACTCAAGACTGCGTTAAGGAGGAGATTACATTGGGTCCACAAATAATTTATGTTTGTCAGATTAATGCATTTCCTATCGACCAATCGGGCGCCGTGGGAAGGCTTATTTTCGGGGACAGCAAGAAAAAGCTTAATGCGAAACTAGACGTGCGAAACATCATACACGTACTGCAGCATCGCTCATTGCATTATAATTATGCGACCCAGTGGCGACGTAAACACAACCGAAAAGATGCAATCGAAATAGGAAAATAACTCATAGAGCAACGGTTACAGAGTAGTATAGTAATTTATTTGGTGCGCACACAGATCAAATCAACTCGCTCCACACAAACCAAAGGCACGCGTCAAGTCGCCAATTAAACTGAAGAAAAAAACAAGAATAAACTAATTTGTACAAAAACCCATACAAAATGTCGGCAACGTCTTAAACAACAGTAAAGTAACATAAAGATCCAAAAAATACAAATCTTTTTAAATTCTAAGGCTGAGTCTTTCATGATCAATTTGTTCCCGCGCCAGAACCACTCTGCTCAAATTCTTCCATCTGGGCGAACAAGAAGTTAGCAGCATGTTGCTCGTTTTTATCACAGGCAAAGTATGCCTCTACAACCTGCAAAATCAATTCAGTTTTAGCCACGCCCAACCAAGTAAAAAACCACTTATACATACCATTGCTTCCGGAAATCCCAACTGTTTCAACTAAAGGAAAACCGGAATATAATTTCACCATCTGTTTTAATTGTGGAAAACAGTACTACGTACTACAGTATGGTCTACTATTTTACCCTTTCGATCGCCTCTCTTTCTTCTTGATTCACGCGGACAGCGGATGCGACACCCGCAGTCGCTGCGCCAGTGCTACCTGCGGTGGCACCTGCACGACCACTGCTAGGATTGGCTGCTCCTATATTTTCTGCCAACGAGCCATCTCCAGGAAGTGGACTATTTATCATACTGAGAAACTCTTGCTGGTTATCCCGTATGGCCTACAAATCGTATTATCCAATACCGTCCTACTCAAGTTTAGCCATGCGGCAAAACTAGCATACCTGAAATAACGCAGGATTCGACTGGCCAATATCTTGCAAAAACCGCGGCAACAGTTGCGGATCCTGCTGCAACAGCGCTCGCATCTGCAGAAATTGTGGGCTATTGCGAAAGAAAGTCAAACGGTTACGACTGTCTTCACTGTTGTCTTCCGGTTCGTCTTCGGATTCCCGCATTACCGCCCGACTACTGCTACTACCGCCGGCGGATTCCGGTATTCCCGTCAACAGATACTCAATCGCACGTTCGGGATTATAGAAGGCAGCCCGCAGAGCCCGCTCCACCTCTGCGCGTGGGTAGCCCATCTGCAGAACTTGATTGACCAAGGCTTCGTATTGTTCTGGTGATAAACCAAAGGCCGCTTCGGGGCGGGGGCGCGGTTGCTGAGAAGCCGGAGAAGGAGCATGTGGACGCGATTCCGGTGTGTTGGTGGCCATTGGATTTTCGATCACAGAGACAGATGCAGACGATTCCACAGACTGTACACTGCAACAATTGAGCAGTAACTAGAGCCTGTAGTCCCTATACCACAAATATCCAGCAAATCTAAAGATTAACAACTACAATCATCTAAACCGGAAATCTCCATTTCCGTCCATATTTCAGTACATCACATAATCAACTTTTTTTAACGAACTAATTTTAATTTTGACTAATTACTGTAGTAAAAACACAAATCTGCATGAATGTGAGACACCTATACTCTGATTACCGCAATTTCTTATGATAGCGCTATAATAAAAATTATGGACATCTACGTAGTCCGCACAGATTGCAGTACTGTAACACGTACTGAAAATCAAACAGTATACTGAGTACAGACAAGATATTACTTATTTTACTCCAAAAAACACTAAATACGCCGAAAATACACCTACGATGCAGCGGGCGAAGGTACAGACTTCTCCACATCAACTGCCGCTTTCTGAGGCTTTGGCTTCGCTATCATAACCACAACAAATCCTGATGGAGAGTAATTCAGATCGCTCAGAGTAGCGCTGTTGTTATCCCAAACTTTTCCTGCAAAGAATAACAAAAACATCCACAACTGCATAACTGTAAAACAAAAACATCACTTATAAAATAATAATAAATTGGCTTCCAAAGTTTCGTCCAAAAAAACTGCAATTTCTCAACACTCAACGGGACTGCAAGAATTATAAATTTACGGTTCATCACGACTCACGATTCTAATTTTTCAAATTTAATCTTTCGCTATGTGTAAGCGAATAATAGTGGCTTAACAAAAAATATCGTAACTCATTGGGTACACACTACCTGCAGAAATCAGCTTCAGGGATTCAGCTTTAAAATCACTTCCTTTTTTCTCTTGGATTTTCTCTTTGATCTCTGCCACCTGTGCACAAGACTTCTAGGTTGCGTAGAACCGTAAGTACTTCCACTTGAGCAGATTCCCATCACACAAAAGTGTACTGACGATTTCTATTAACAGAGTTACAAGAATAAAAAGTAAAACGTACCGTACAAGACCCTTCGGCTTCTACCGTGAAGGTTTCTTGGTTGAGGAGCCTGCACGTAATTTGCATTTTGAAAGCGGAAAAAATAGAGCGCGCACTCAGCTCAGGATTGAATCAAAATTCAAAACTATCCCAAACGACGAAAACCGGACCTATTATTGAGTCCGAACCCACTCCACATTAAATATTATACACCCAACATTAATTACACTCGCATAAAGAAATGATTAAACTGAAAACGCGCAATAATTGTAATGATCAAGGATTCGAAAACAAATACACAGAACTGACAGACGTGCATTTGCAATAGAACGGATGACTCAGTTTATAATTTCATTACGCATCGACGCCATACAGCCATAGTCTTTATGGGTGCATCGTGGAAGCAATACCCATAAGCACTTCAAAGAATCAAGACCATTTTTTGGCTTCGAAAAAACGTATCCTGCATCTGACTACTAGTGGTCTAGTGCCATATTAATAATCCGACTGCTGTGAACATAGTGCTCCGCGATGACGTATGATTTAAGGCGTGAACAAGCTAAAAGTTGGTCAATATTCATGGATGCAAGATGTCAGCGGTACGGGTTCGAGCTGGACGACTAAACACCAGCACTAATCTTAAATTTTGAACTGCAGTTTATTCACTTTAATAACTTACTTACTACTTAATTAGTAATCTTAAGTATTTGTCTCCTGTGGTCAAATACTTAACTTTAGGTCTGGAGACTCTTCTATTTATGTTTGGAACAGCAAGCGCCTTTTTCAAACCGTTATATAGATATTACAAGTATCGGTCGCGCTAGCGCGCGACCAGTTGTGTTCGAGGTAAGAATGAAAGAAATACAAAATATACTTCGTACAGCAATAAAAAAAAATTTGAGAAATTTTTCAAATATAAAACCCAGCGAGGCCAACGAAAATATTTTAAACATGTAGAAATGCGGAATTTTTTCAAGCTTTCCGGTTAAATTCGACCATTTTCTGAAAACTGTGAAAGCCCGTAAGTTTTTCTTTTTTCATGGTTCTTTAACGCGTTTTTAATGTAACTTTATATTACCGATCTAACGAACTGAAAACTTGAATTTTTCGTACCACAGATAATATTTTAACGGTGATAAAATGGAATGAGTGGGGTCATATATCTGTACACGATGCCCATAAAATACCATTTTTTCAGCGCAGAATTAATGGAAACTTGCGGGGAACAGTTAACGGTCGCCCAAGGTGTCCTTGCAGGCTGCATCTTTAGATACTATCTGTAAGATTTTTTCAGCCATCAGTCAAACTGTTCAGTATTTATTAAAATAAAATTAATACATGTTTATTAGATTTCGATGTTAGTGAATGCCCAAGCTACCACCAGTATCACAGAGCCGCCATGTGAGTGAATACGGTAAACGGGCCGCGGGCCGGCTTTTAGATATTTAGAAATTACATATAAATTAGACAATTAAGGGATTTGGCCCGGCACATAGTACCAAATTCGGGTACATACACGGGAACTTTCGCTGTCGCGCAATCCTAAACACTTTTTTGCATGGCTAGGTATGTACCTAATATTCATAACGGCTCTCATACTCATACTCCTAATTCCGAATTCATACTCATAACGGCCATCATAATCATAATCATACTTTGGTCCTACCGGTCATCATATTAATTTATTCATAATTATAGCTCATATCTTAACCATTACTCATTCTGGCGTGTCGAAAATGTAATATTCAATTACAACCATGTGTTCAGGTAAGTCTACTCAACCGCCCGCTTTCGTCCTCTCGTAAAAATTATTTCATCTGAATTAGTAGCGCAAAAATATTTATCAGAAAATGGCTTCATTACAAAATGACTTCAGTAAACTTGAACTGAGTAACGAAAGCTAAGTAATTTAATCTGCATATAAAAACTGAGCTAAAAATCTACCATTGTCTACTTTCGTCCATTTTCTAAACTAGTGCTAATGATAAAAAAAACCTGAAATGTTAATGTGCTTACTACGTAGCTTCCACCAAACAAAAAGTGAACGGGCCGTTAACTTTTCATTCCCACAAAACTAAATTTCGACAAAAGCATCGTGTACACTGTACAGCAGTGTAACACAGGAACGGTAATAACGCAGTTTAATCATTGCTAGCCAGGACAAAAGCAGATATCAAAAAAAATTTTTTAAAAAAATTCAAGAACGGTGCACAATTTGCGCAACAGCTATTACTACTTAGTGTCAATAATACGGTTTTTATGATTAATAAATAATATAATGCTTTTACTAATAACATTAAGCGCAATAGCGCACTGGTAAGTAGCGGTAAAGGTTTGAGTTATGATTATGCACAAAAATAGTATTATGATAACCGGTAGGATCAAAGTATGATTATGATTATGAAAGCCGTTTTGAGTATGAATTCTGAATTAGGAATAGGGTTATGAGTATGAGGACCGTTATGAGAATTACCCGTAAAGACACTTAAGTGGGCCACTATGATAAGTGAATGGACGACATACACTTAAGTGGGCCAGCTTCAATTATTTTATTCCCAAGCCGTATGGCTGTCGCCTTTTTGTTTTAGCAGATTCAGAAAAGTTTGCTCTTTTCAGAGTACTTGGAATTTTTAAAATCGGATCACAGGTTTTTGAGTTATTTGCGTTGTAAAAAACCGATGACGAAAGTACTCAAGCCACGCCACGCGAGCCACTGCACTACAGCAAAACGACTTTAGTAACCGCCACACATGTGCGGCTGCAGCACTTCTTTATCACAGGACGCCTCTGCACGTGTATTGCGGTGAATGCAGTGATTTTACTGTACTGCATAGGTGCTGAGGCGTGATGCGATAAAGAAGAGCTGCAGCCGCACATGTGTGGCGGTTACAACAGTCATTTTGCTGTAGTGCAGTGGCTCGCGTGGCGTGGCTTGAGTGCTTTCGTCATCGGTTTTTTACAACGCAAATAACTCGAAAACGGGTGATCCGATTTCAAAAATTCCAAGTACTCTGCAAAGGGCAAACTTTCCTGAATCTGCTAAAACAAAAAGCCGACAGCCATATGGCTCGGGAAAAAAATAAGTGAAGCCGGCCCACTTAAGTATATGTCGCGTGAATCCATTCACTTATCATAGTGGCCCACTTAAGTGTCTTTACGAGGGTTTGGGAGCGCGCGACAGCGGAAGTTGCCGTGGATATATACAAATTTGGTGCTATGTACCGGGCCAAATCTCTTTAAACCGCGAGATATTGAGGTACTCAGACATTTCTAGACATTTTTAAAATTTCGAAACTCTGGAGGCTCAAAAAATTAGAGGTAACTCGGTAATAAAATTAGAGGTAACTCAACTCGGCCCCGCGCAGCGGGGCCGAGTTGAAATATTTAGAAATTCTGGAAATGTAAAAGCTTTGGAGCCGACTTTGGAAAAATTAATAGTTATTTTGAGGTATTCGAACATGTTTTAAAAACATCTTAAAGGTTTCAAGAATTTAAAAAAAGTTATTATTTTGATTGAATTGACAATTTAAATAACAAACACAGATCTGTATTTTAGGTAATTAGGTTGCTAAGCTGCGAAACTTGTATTTGCTCATTCGAGACGTTTCCAGAATTTACTGGAAATTTCTATGAACTTTAAACGCTAAGTAAAGAAAGTTTGAAAGGGTCTCTGAAAACGTTCCGGAAACCAGAAATTTTATTCCAAGCTGCAGGTAGGAAGCTTTGGAAGATGCTTTATTTTATAAAATTAACAACTTAGTGGAAAAATCAATGTTGATTTAGGAGATAATTTCCAAAACTAGCAACCGTTAAGTACTAACAAACCTTAAGTACTACAACTTTCAAAAATTTTTTTAAACCTTCTCCAAAACTTAAGACTTTTTTAAAGATAAAGGTAGGAACGTTTGTGCGATGCTTTATTTTATAAAATTATCAACTTATTGAAAAAATCAATCTTGATTTAGGAGATAATTTCAAAAAAATAAGGACGTAAGGATATATGAATCTATTGATAGAACTGCTCTACTTACGACTTTAACGAGTTATATAGATACTAACGATAAGTACCTGTACTGCAAAATCGAACAAGAATTCGTTGTACGGTCACTGCGGCGCACCGGCATAATTCCATACTTATTTTTATGGTGTTACTTTCTAATTAAACAATAAACACCTACTGTAGACTACTGTTATGTACGTAACTATTGTAGAGGTACTGTGCACGTGGTAGAGTAAATAAGATACGAGTACTGTACTTCAATACTTTTATTCAGATTGGCGGTACAAAACAATCACAAGTTTTCTATAAAACAAAATTTTATTGAATACACTGACTGAGAGCCGACAACGGTGACACAGCCACAGCTGACAAGGGAAATATGCAGCCTAATCATGCAGAACATTTCGTCTAAATTAGCCGATGCTGGTGCTGTTCCCATGACAGAGACCGTGTTCTCGCACTGGACTTCGATGCTGATACTTACTGATAACGAAAGTGTTGCTGCAAAAACGCTGTTGCAAAAGTGTTGCTTATTATAGGCCTCGACTTCCCACTTCCCACTTATTGTTTCCTTATTGTTTATTGCCCTTTCGGGTGCTGTTAGTTTCGTAAATTTCATTGAGTGTGAAAAAGAACACATACGTTTTCCTGCATTATCATTCTGAATTCGAAAATAGTCTATTATTGTACAAAATTATGACAAAATTGCTGTAATGTCGCGCGAGTAGCTGAATTTTATGTGTTATTCGCAAATTCGCAATAGTCGCCAGCTGCGGATACCTGCATGCAGTTGTAGGAAACATCCCGTGCTGACATGCTTATCAGCAGTTTGTCATGAATTCTAGAAACATTTCTGATAAGTAATTCTTGAGTAGCTTAATAACAGATAAAACTGTTTATCTGCTTCAAATTAACTCGTTAACACTTTTCCCCAGCATGAACTTTCGATCATGAACTGTGCTGCATGAGCACGTACATTATTTCAAAGTTTTGTTCTTAAAATTTTTTTACTAAAATTATCAATACAATACAGTAACATATCTACGCTTGACAGCAAACCGTATTAACTGTAAGGTAACGTGCAAAAGCCAAAAGCCTTGAATGTCCTTTGCAGTTTGTGGAACGTACCATGTAATGAAAATGCTTCGGCATCGGATGTTGCATTTCCTGTTTCTATCGGTTTTCTTGGGATTTCTATGCGCTAATATTGATGTTGTTGATGGAGAAATACGAAGAAAAACAAGTGAGTATACATTTCGGCAGAGAAGATTCGTCAACATTAATGCATTCTCTCTTATTGTTAACGAACTATGGCACCAAAGAAATATTTCCAAAAATCCTTTCGCACTTCCTTTAGCTCCACATAAAATAAACATTAATAAGAGGATTTATAGCGATCTCACTTCTTTGTTGCGAAATTGAGTTGACTCTTAAAAATCTGACTGCTTACAAGACTTTAACATGCATATTTGTCGTAAAATTTGTTTTGCTAAATTAGCTATAGCCATAGGTCACTAAACCTAACAATAAGTGCGCTTTTTTTGGTATAGTATCGCTGGACGATTACCGAGGCCGAACGATTTTAATTGACTGCAACCAGTACCGTTCCGGTACTATTGTTCTGCGCCGAGATCCTTCCCGGTGTAACCAAGAGGATTTTTTCGTTAATTTCCGCGTACGCTATGGACAAGACTGCCACGGTCACTTTCGGTTCTTCCTCAACGTCAGGTAGTAATTACAGGGCACCATATTTATAATCCCTTTATAGTTTTCTCTCCTAATATTTCCACTCAGCACTGACTGCGAGATGTAATTTATTCCTTTCAACAGTAACTTCTTCCTTTCAAAATTACCGGCGTTTTAATGCTTATGGCCGTCTTAAATGCAGAAAACTGGAACTAAACGAAGAAGAACGATTTGTTGTCTATGGCTCTCTGTTTGAACAACGATTTGGACAAACACTTCGAGATGCGATAACTCAACGCATTTTCGATCTGCATGCCGATCTACCTGAAGTACCCGATAAGCCAGAGGTCACCGATAAGCCTGACAAAGATAAACCCGATATTCCTGACACGCCAGATATGATGCTGAAGCTGGGATATCTCATGAACCTTACCACATTGTCCGTGGCGCAATACTTTTCTGTACGGGACACATTACGCCTGGAATACAAGCATGGGGTGAATTGCGGGAAAGCCACGGAATTCGTCGCTGATTTTACTCTTATACAAGGCGGTAAGTAGCTATAGCGGCATCTGAATCAAACTGCAAGTATATATAGTTATTTGCATAAAGTGGATTTTCTGGTAACCGGCAGTTTTATGTTCAATTTCATGAATTCTTATTCAAATGAACGCATCACGTTTGACCTAGTCAGCAAAGGTCAGAGATTCAAAGGCATATTGTTAAGGCATACGATATTGTAACAGCAGCCGGTTTGACTGCTGTTCTAGTGGGTTGGTTAATCCACCTTACCACGATCTGTCGGCTGTTAGTGTGGGAAAGGCTGGCACGGTCGGCAGCGATGCTGACCGGAAGCTGACTACCGTTTACATGGTGACAATGATGGGAGATGCACGATCATCCCATGGCGATTACGCAACACAACACAAGGTCATCGCATGAGTTTATTAGCAAGTACACAAAGCAAGATTCAGCGAGCAACGCAAGCTGAGGAGCAAGAACCCATAAGCGTGGGCAAGAAGCTCGGAAGGCGCGTTAGCAAGAAGTGCATAAGCACAGGGGCAAGATTCGGAGCAAGCTGCAGCAAGATTAATTTCAAGATGTTTCTGACCGTGAGATGCGGTCGGTAAAAGTAGGAAAACTAGGATTCTGATCTTCATAACACAACAACCAATAAACAGTAGAGAAAGGCAATTAACACTCCTACTGGCGGTACATCTAATTTCTATCGCTACAATATCGATTTGTCAAACTGCACACCATAATTCTTTAATGAAACGCGCAATTGCTCATGCATCTAAAATTTTTATTTAAGTAAGAACTAATTTACTTATATATAACAAGAACCGTATATATTACACATAAATCGTTTTGGTAACCTTCCTTAGCCTGACGAATACAATAAAGCCTCATTTATGTGTTGCAGACAGTAATGCGCAATTTGGAGAACTGTGGTGCCCTTCTCTTCATGGATTTCTTCCGCGCGAGCTATTTTGCGAGGCTTATCGACGATCTCGAGTTGTATGCCCAGATCGCTTCCGTTGGTCAGATTTCGGCAACAATCCCGCTGACATTTTCAGAGGATTTGACTGGTGCTCCGGTAAATATAAATTGTTTTTTCTCGTGCATGCATTTTTCGCAGTACTACTGAATCTGAATCTCAAATCGAAACCTTTGCAAACCAGGACTTTTGCAAGAGTGTAATTGTTGTACTCGTCATTATAAGACGTGACCATGGTTTGCATGTAGATTATCAATATGATCATCAGCACGAATGGTCGGATACTCCGGATACCCCAGACTTGCCAGATCTTCCCGACACTACGGATAAGCCAGACGCAACCGATAAACCCGATTCCCCTGATCGTCCAGACACGCCCGACTTACCAGACAAACCAGACCTTCCGGATCGACCGGATACTCCCGATCTCCCCGATACCCCGGATACTTCTGATCTTCCCGATACCAGAGATACTCCTGACCTTCCCGATACCCGGGATACTCCGGATCGGCCAGAGCATCGCCACCGAGTAAACGAAGAAGACGTACACTGGGAAAACGCCATGTATCCCTTTCCGGTTAAATTCACTCCCGGTCCGTTTAATCCCAAAGACGAACAAGATCCCCGGTACTACATGCACTGGTTTCCGCGTCGTCATGATCACCAGCGTTACTATCATAACTTTGCTATTCCGGTCTGGGCCATCGCTCTGATCATCGTGGCGGCGGTTATTCTAGTGGTGATACTTCCGGTCATTCTGTGTTGTGTGTGCTGTTGCCGCCGGCGTCGTGAACGCATCGTGTATGAGCGCACGGCCATAACGCCCAATGCACCCACAAACGCGTATGGAACTTTTGAAGGAGGTCCGGTAGGAAAAGATAATCAAGCGTACCGCTCGACGGAGCATACTCCTCTTGTTTATCCTCCTTTGGGCACACCTCAGCAAGCCTATCAGAGTTCCAACGCAAAAGTGATGATGGCCTAAAGAACCTTTGATAACCAATTTACAACCTCCTAATGCTAACTGATTACTAGCTTTTTATTATCATACGTACAAGTCCTTCACAACAATTGTGCAACAGTTGGATACTGAAAAAATTAATCACAACATCAGTTCCGGGGTATTGCTGTTAATTTTCACTGCAGTGTAATCCTGTTGTGTACTGCTATCCTTTCCAATTCATTGTAATCTTTAATTATTACAGTATTAAGTTTCTATAATAGTCTTATGCACCGATCAAATATTAAAAATGTGCTTACAGCATGCAACAAATATTTATCGCTAGATTCGCCACTTGTGCATTACATGTCCTTGTGTATTGTACAGAGTCTGTAGTACTCCCAATGACAGGGAGCAAGGTTTTAGGTAGGGAAAGTTTAAAGCATCGTGTTTTATTCACCTGTGGTGCAACGTGCTACAAAATACACATAAACTGAAACATTAAGATTTTCTACAACATTAAAACTTCATTATACTTTTCTGCTCCTTCCGTTGTTCCCAAAATTGGCATAAAGCTGAAATTTTCCTACGTACATGCGGTTTCTTCCTTTATTACGGTTTCCGGCCTTCCGCTGCAGTTGTAGGAAGTCCGAACCGCCAGAGGCTTGGCTACGTTAGCGCCAGTGGTTGCGAAATCAAGTGGAATCTTTTTGCCTGTTTTCAGTTTTCGTTACAGTTTTAATACATGGTTGTTCCCGGAGTTTTGTTAGAAGTAAGCGGCGCCAAGCGCTAATACGCAACAGTCCAAGCCCGAAAACATCGGTTTCAGTTAATGCATTAGAATTTCGAAGTATTTATGTATACGAAGTATGGCGTAGGATTTGTCATCTGTGTTTGGGTTCTAGGTTTCGAGTTTTGACGGGTCTTGAATTGATTCTTGATTCTTTTACTCTTAGTCTTGGACCTTGTAAGTGTGAACTGCGCTGGTCCTACGAATACTGGTCCTTGTTGAAAAATTTTTTTCGTCCCCCGGGTATACTATTTAAGTCTACACTCCAAAGCCACAATCATGGCGCAAGTATTTCCTGCACAGCGCAACTTCAAGTTTTCCTCCAGCTTGATGAATCTAAAGGTAAATTTTGCCGACTTATAACTTGGTAGAGTCTACCAACTAGAAGTCTACCAGGTAGACTTCTAGTTACCCTCCATTCTCCAGATAGGTGGAGAGTTAAAATGAAGAGGAGAATTTGAAAATTATTAATTTAGCTGTTGCTACTGGTAAAAAATCGCAGAAAATTCATACATTCGTTCATCTGCTCTAGAATATCAGTACCTGCTGTGATACAGTATCCCTCGATATGCAATATGCACTAAACTGATTTGTAGTTCATGAAACGTTCCGAAGAAACAGAAACGAAAAACCCACTCAGCGATCGCGAAAGGACAAAATCGAAGGCAGGCCCTGCTTTAACTCAATTGGAAGCGAATCGCAGAGAGATGGAGGCGCGAACTCAACTAGCGAAGTACGGACTAACCATGAGATAAGCGAAGAGTCTAACCGTTATACGTATAACAAATATTTTAATGCGTAATTCGGCAAAGCTGTTAAAACTTGTGATAAGTATAAAGTATTTATTTTTTGTGTACCTCGTGTACAGTCCGTAGACAATTCATATAATTAATTAGCCATTTAGCTGGAATGATATGCCCCGGTCCCAAGTATCCAGAATCAGGTATCTGATTATTATTCGCAATTTTTCCAGTTATGTTGCCGTAGAAGAAGAGTTCAGCTTCTGTCGATTGTATGATTTGGTGAGCGGTCGATTTGATTTTCGGAAAAAGGATGATCCGGAAGATGCGACTTTGTCCAAAGTAAGTAATCGACAAGCGGCTTTTTGTTGATCCGTAATTAGTTCCAGGCGTAACATAATTATTTTGGGTTAGTGCTTTGTTTTCTGTGCGATCGAGGACTGGCATCCTGTACTTCAGTGAAATAAGTGGAAGTACTTTTAAAAAGAAAAAGCTAAACGATCTAGTAATTTTTCAAAGTTTGGGAGCATATGCCTTATACTGTAACTGTTTACTTTGCTAAAGGGTAGCTCAAACTGATTTTGCGATGACAATGACATATATGGAAATACCGTAATACGGGTAGTAATATAAAATATTTGAAGATTCCGGTAATTCACGGTATGGTACCGGTTTCACCGTTGAATGTTTATTTGTGCAGTACATTTTTTTTATTTTAATAGGATGCGGTAGAGGAAGAGAGGCGCAAAAGGTGAGAAAATACTTAATTCATAATTGGCATGTCGTTGTGGTAAAATATATTTCGCTCAATTAGGAATGAAGACGCTGAAGATGGAGAAATGCAGAGCGACGATGACAAAAAGGATCTTACAGAGGATGACGCTAGCGGACAGATCTCGAAATCTCAAGGTGGACGATATTTCACAGCTTATACCAAGAGCGCACGCTTTGCTGAAGCCCGGAAGCGGCGCCAAGGAAAAGATTCCAAACAAAGAAGAAAGCGAAATCGAAACAACGAGAACTGAATTTATTGTTGAAGACAGAGTGGATTATTTGGCGGTATAATTAACAAAGACGTGTGGACAAGTCTTACATACGTTTTGGATCCTGATGCTCTTGGTCTTATTTTACTACTTTACATATTTTCGGCATTCGGTATAATAAGCTGTGATAAAACAACCCAACTTATGATTTAAAAAAGCAAATGTGGCATCATTTAATTCCACAAGTATTATGAAAACACTAATCATAAGCAAACAAAAGAAAGTAAACCAGGCAAACAATTATTTCAGTTCACCTTGTTACTACCTAGGAAAAAAAGGCAACCCGATCTTAACAGCGGAAACGTTGGTAATTACTGCATTGAGACACTGCTAGAAGGAATGGGTTCATTAATTTTTAAATTAGCATCTGAAGTTGCCAGATTAAGGGTTTTGCAGGCCATTGCCAGAGCACCGTCATACGTAGTATTTCCACCAATAAAACCCGAGTGATGTGCGAAGATACATCCCGGAATTCCGGACATTTGGGAAAGGGTTTCATTAATAAGGCCACGCCATGGTTCAGGTAAAGGCAAACTACATGAAAATTACAAACAGTGAATAGAAAATTTACAAAAAAATACTGCAACACATTTTTCACGTGATTGCTCATAGCTAACCGTGTAATGAAAGAACCAATTGCGATAGGAACTGCTTGCACTCTCCAGTGCTGTTGGTCATCCTGGTATAACACGAACTTTATTTGCTGTTCAGTATTAAGCTGCTGCTCCTGTTCCAGTTGGAGCAAATGATCCTGCCAAGGACACCCTCCAACCGGCAATCGCACGATCTGTCCACTGGGATCGATCTGCAAGCGACATTAACTTTTTCTCCGTTTTGATAATTTCTATCAATCTGGCAAAAATGACTAACAGAATGCACCAAAAAACTCTGGCTTTTTAGTTTTAATGGTCTTTCTGGCTCAAACCAAATTACACACTTCGAATCGCTTCAGCAGAGCATCTTCCACAATCTGCCGTGCCGGCAACCATGACGTGCGATAAAAATCAATTTTATCACTGAATTCCGATCCAGTCAGTTGTACGGCTTGCATAAACCGTCTCTGAAATCGTAAAACAACTATAACAACAAACAATCACTACTAAATCCGATTTGCGAAAAACAGCTCACAACTACTTTACGCACCTGCAAGTCTTCCGGTTGCACAGGTTCATTCCATCGCGGGTTAAACTTTTTGACACGACTACTCAATCCTGTATTTATTTGGTATCTACAAAATATGCATATTAATTTTTGAACATTTGCTGATTAAAGTTCCGTTGCATTACGCAAGTGGTTTTTCGGACTGCTGCACGCCATTATCAATGGCATCGATTTCCATGATGAAGGTTTCATACACCTTGTCATAGATCAGTTCGATGTCTTTGGCATGTTTTTCATTGCGATTGTCCAACTGCAATAACTGGGCAATCACTCGCCGGCCAAAATGACAGAAAATCAGTCCTGCACTGCTTAATTTGATGGTCCACGGCTTTTCAGGTTGGATACTGTTCATCGTGTCCTTAAAGCTTCGTTGGTGGTGATCGAAACGAAAGGCATCCTGATCGTACACACCGCCCACGTCCACGAGAATATCACATTTCTTCCACACTTCCGGATCCCTTGAACTGTAATTACGAAAACTGTTTTCGTTACACCTATTTGCCTCGTATATGATAGTGAAGATGTAAAATTTGCTTATGTATTCTCTCCAAAACTAAAAATAAATCTGTTACTATCCCCACACAAACCCATAAAAAATTGCGGAACGCTAACTTTGTCTTTACCGAATGATTTCCGCGTTGGTGTACTCTGGAAGCTGCATTAACATGAAGCAAGCCAGTGCCTCATCGGCATGAAACACACCGGAATGGGTACCGATCTTACGGGGTCTCCCAGAAAAAATGCTGGAATGTCCGTTTGATGAAGTCGAATTTTCCTGCGAAGCCGCCATTTCCCGTAACGATCGAAACTTGCGAGTAGCAAAACCGAAGAGCGACGAAGATCTTTGAGAAGATATTGTTACGGAGAAATTACGTTTCGGATAAATCAAAGACAATTCGACCACGTTGACACCGACCGATGTTGAATTACAATTTACTGGGTAAAAGGAATTTCGGGGATGGACATGGAATGCTCTACAAGGCACATTAAAGCCCCATGGAAGTGACGATCGCAGGGACTTTGGGGAATGGCATAGAAGGAGCTGAGCTTTGCCGAGGATATGCGAAGCCACCTTGCTTGTATTCCGCGCCGCGGTCTGATGATTATGGATAACGCGGTTGTACTCATCCAGACAGAAAATTAAATTTCAAGGGTGAGTGAAATTACGTGAATTACAAGAACTTCGGGAAACAGAACTGCGCGGGTTCCCAATCTGCCGTTTCTTTGGGTTGCTTAAAGTAAAATTATTATATTGTTTAAGCAACTCAAGCCTCAAGGATGGTTGCTGCTTGTGTTCAGTTGTTCGACTAACCGCAACTTGGCGGCTGCTTAGTGAACAAGTTAACCGGCTTGGCATGTCGCTTTCGCATAGCGGAGTCTTTCGAGATCAGATGTGACTTCGAAAAACCGCTTGCGACTTGTCACTTATTCCTTTTTTTGCGTGACGATTTTTAACTCTCCGGTTTGTTTGTTTTTTCAGTTTGAGTTGCACATCAAACGAACAATCGAGTGATTTTTAAGGAATAACTTGTTCTTCGTGAGCTGAAGCATCATGGCGGAGTTTGTGGACAAGCGTCTCGAGCGCGGACTTGGTGAACTAGAGCAGATGGTGCGTGTGGGTCTGTTCAGTGCGGAAGAACGCAAGTAAGTAACGTTTTCACTTTTCAGGAATCCGAATTGGATTGTGAGAAAAGACAGCAGTACAATAGCATTTCTTGTAGAGCCATTATTCAGAAGCGAAAAGGGCTCGAGTATCGCGTACAGCGCTATGAGAAATCTGTGGATGATCATCTCGAGTACATCAAGGTAAGACCTGACTGCGCACTCAGCTTTGCTGGTCTTCCCGCTTTCCGTTCGAGTGATCTTATTATAAATTTTTTATTTTCGTTAACAGCATGAAATGAATTTTTTGGATCTGATCAAACTGCGCCGCGCCGTAAGTGTATCGCGTTGTCGATAAATTTTTGACGAAATGCCAGTGTTTTTATTGAAAAGTGGCAGTCTTTTCTTCATATTTTAAGTTTTACATGTTTAATAGCGGCTCGGATATGCGTTGAAGTTCAGCGATATCGAAGGATCTATCGGCAAACGATGTCAAGCTAGACTTCAGGTAGATGTTTGGAATTTCGTAGTATAGACAAAGTTTGGCTGTTTAGTTAATGCATCACCGCGAAGATTTTAAATAGCGTTTTACAACGTTTTGGTTTTAGCAAGCCGAACGGCGGTTTCCCGGTAGTATGGAAGTCTGGAGTCTTCATATCGAATTATGTAAAAAACTCAACTGGGGTCCTGTAGCCAGCGAAGTGTACACTCGGATGCTGCAATTGCATTCTGACAAGCTCGGTAAATTTACCAGAGCACCCGACAGTTCTGATTGAAACTGCTCGCAGTCTTGCGCAGCTATAATGTTTATTTCAAATTCCGTTTTATGTTTTACTTGAACTAACGACTGATTTTGTAGATATTTGGAAACAAGCTGCGGATTTCGAGTTGGATTTTAATGGCTCGCCCGATAATGCGCGAAAATTGTGCTTGAAAGCGTTGAGGTGGCACGAAAAAAATCCTGACACATGGCGGCATGTGCGTGCCTGGTTAACATTTAACGGAAATTTGCTTCATGTCATTTGTTTCCATTGTTATAATCGTATTTCTTTTGTAGCATTTAGCGATAGAAATGCGCATAGCGAAGAAGGTTTTCCAGCGGGCAGCCGTGTTGGATATTCCTGCCGAGCAGGTTGCCTCAGCGGAAGATGCGATTACCAGTGGGAAAGTAGCACTGCTAGTGGCGACGAATGCAATGGACACTATTAGGACATTAGACTTCGCATCTTCGCTATATGAGCAAGTATTGCGTTTCGGCTGTGAACCTGACGCTCCTGCCGAGTTATGGAAACCCGTTTCGGAAGGCATTATGCAGCATATGGAACAACAGTATTCCATGAATCCAGAATTCGCCTTGGAGCACGCTAAATTAATGTTGATGTCAGCGAAAATTTCCAAAAATCTAACGGAATACAGTCTAATTAAAGCTGAAAGCGAAGCGTACGCTATAATGGATAAATTTATTGCGGAAAATGCTGTTGACAATATTCCTGTGGATGATATAACTGAAAGTGTTGCGGATAGTACTACGGGTAAGATAACTGATTGCATTTTTTGTTTTTTATTTTGATACGGAGGATGAGGAGGTAGTTATTATTTACAGATACACAGATGTAGTACTATTTATAAGTAATTGATTTTTTATCAATGTTATTGGAACAGGATTATACGGTAGTCTTTGTTTCTGAATTATTATATAAGTCCGTTCGTGTGTAAATTGATTGAGATTTTCTTGTTGTGAATACACGATTTTGTGATACCATTTCGTTCGCTGTTGTATAAATTCTGTACTGTGTATCCAGTGGAAGAATATGTTTGTTTTTTCACTGCGTTGGTGACATTTTTTTCCGGGTCGTTGGCACTGAAGTGGTTAGCTTAATCTGAAATGTCTTATTAATTAATGACGAAAGAAGTACGGTGGTGTTACTACTTTCTTTTCTTGCTCATTGTAGAAAAATATTGGAGAGTTTATTTGAGATTTTTGGTTGAACTCCGCATGGACAGTATTCCCGTCGACTGGATTGAGATTCAGCGCTTACGGTTCCAGAAAGCGGATACTATTTACCGCGAGGCTGACAAGCGCGGTTATCTTACGTTTGATAACTATTTATCATGGGTGCGTTTGACCACTTCAAAGAATTTTCTGTATGATTTGTACCATACTAATTTCAAATCTGAAAATGCAGGCCAAAATATGCGTTGAGAGGCGAAAGTTTACGGAAGCGTTGCAAATCATGAAAAAAGCAGAACACCAAGGTCCTTGCTCCGTCAACGATTACCATCGACTTATTTCGCTGTATGAAACATTACCAGATAAAAAAGACAGCATTTTATTACTAATGCAGAAAGCGAGAAAGAAAATAATTGTGAAGGTAAGCCAAAAAATACTCGTGCGGTTGAGTGGAACGTTTAGCACAGAATTAAAAAATTTTTTCGGATTAGCGTTGAACAATTTTTCTGGGTTGCCTTTCACAGTCGATGTTTTGTTTTTTTAGGATATTGATTTCTGGCAGCATATGACCAAATGGGTTGTGGAGTTTTCGACGCAATCAGAATACGTTGAATCATTTTTTCGAGATGGATTGAAACAATCGAGACCAATTATTGCCTTTATTTCGATGGAATTCATACAATGGGCGTACAAAGCAAACGCTAGCAAAGGGCGAGCCATATACGCCGAAATCTGCAGTTTACCCGGTGTCTGCACTGAAGCATTTGTGAAGTGTGTTATTGCTGAAGAAGAACGGCTGAACGCTCCCGTTGCTGTTTTGCGGAAGCTGTATGAACAGAATCTGTTGAAGTTGGGCGTGGATTGTGTTGGTATGATTAACATCGTGCACCGTTTATGGTAATACTGGAAATACATATACTTTTTTGCAGATTTGTGGATTGGGTACCTAAATCTGGAGTCTACTCACAAAGATGGTGATCCCATGAAATGTGTTGACATAGCTTGGAGAGCGAAACGTGCTCTACGGTCCGATTTGGTGACATTGTTTGTTACTATGTCTGATTTAGTAATAAACAATACTAGCCCAAGATGACTTCGAGGAGCAGTCGTGTTGTATTTATACAGTAGTAATATCTGAAGTGTTTGTTCTAGTACTTTTTTTATTGTTAAAAAGCCCGTTTTTTGCAATGGTGAATGTAAATCAAAATTTTATTAAAAAATTTAATGACATGTATAGTAAATGCAAGTATCCTTGTTGTCCGGATAACACTTTCTTTTGCGCTTTAGCGTTGCTGATATAGCGTAACAATATTTGCATACTGCTTAAAAAAAGATTTCATTACCAACACCGAATGAAGAAAAACTTTGTCCAGTAAGAAATTTTGAGCGATCAGATTTCATGCCAACGTCAGTCAAGGGTCGAATCGAAAAGCGGCTTCCGGTTGAGGCAATACTGACCGGTCGACGATCGCTTCGCTAACGAGTCTCGGAAATCACCGAAAAATTTACTCACCGCACCAGTGAGTGCTGGCGATGAAGCCATAATACGAGTATGTTGCACGATACCTCTCCCACAATGATTAGCTAGCTATGTCTACCACAATCATCAATGCTGTGCTGATTACTGGGATTTTATTAACGAGAACTGTACGTCTGCTGCAGTTCAATAACACAAATTTCCAGCTCAATACGACATGCACGTTGAATGTACCTATCGGGACAGTAACAGCCAGCGGCAATCCACAGGATGTTGTGTACCAAATTTTCGGGACACAGGATTTTGTGATCGACCGATATCGCGCGGACATCCGGATGGTAAAAAAACCAAAGGACGAAAGTCCGTTATTTTACATTACGGCACTGGCACCTAATGGAAGCACTGCCACCACTGCGGTGGAAATCGAGCACAGCTGCCCAACGGTCAGTTTTGATGCTGTTTCCTATCACTTTTTCGCTCATCGCCGCGCTCCTGGTAGCGAAATCGGGGCTGTACAGGTAGTATTTTTCGAACCATTCATATTTTTGAACCATTTAAGTATTTTCCTTGTGTGATATATATGTACAGGCAAACGGTGGCCGCAACGTAAAGTATTCGACCGATTCCGAAACGTTCACTGTGCACTTGGAAAGCGGAATTGTTACGACGAAAACTTTACTCCCGGTCGATGCGACCTTTATCTTTTACGTAAAGGCTGTTGATCCAGGCGGCAACACTGATGTCGCCGAAGTGGTGGTGGAAGTCGCCGGATGCTACATGGATGTCAATCTCCGCCATGATCGTTACAACCTTGTGTTTGACAAGCGATGTTACAAGTTTTCAATGACCCGGTGCGATACTGGAACGGTAGTCGGGCAAATCTTGGTAAGGCAGTTCCATTAATTCGATTTCTGTAATTTTTCAAGGCGAAGAATAATTTAGGCAAAAGGATACCCAGAACCATCCTACGAATGTGCGGACACGCCATGCGACATAACCGTGACCTCGGATGGATTTGTCGCACTGGTCCGGTACATTGAGCCGGGCTCGGTGTACAATTACAATATCGTGGCTGTCAATGGAAACCAATCCGACAATAAAGACGTAGCATTTATTACCGTCGACACGAAGCGGTGTCCACCAACAACCACGACGACCACTACAACGACCACTACATCGACAACACCAACAACGACTGCGACAACAACTACCGCAACAACGGTAACGACAACGATGACCTCAACGTCGACCACAACCACCGCACCGGCCACCACGTTAGTCACAGTCGCCCCAACGAATACCGCGCTGTATTTTGATCAGCCAACGATGCTCAGCCCGACAATGCCGGATTTTCTGGATTTTGCCATGAATGCAAGCAGTACGATTAATCAGACCATGACCACCACGGAATATTTAAACACGACGACGTCAGCTACGGATGAATGGCTCCCCGACAATTCCACTTTGGGAGACATATTTTCTTATGGCAATGATACCGGTGACGATGACTTTCCAAATTTTAATGGGACCTTGGAGCCGTTTTTGTTGTTCAACGGAACCGAGGAAGATGTGGGCAACGTGACAACCATAACGACATCGCAGAATCCGTACATCGTCCACATGCATGTAACAACCGGGAATCGAACAAAAACCGTACGTCCGGTACGGTTGCATCCACAAAAAGCATTTCTAAACCGAATTTTTGTTAAAAGTTCTAAGAATCAGGCCCAGTCACAGGCGCACCCAGATTTCCCAGGAATGGAAATTGTGTGAAACGATTACTGGAAAAATGTTTCTTGGTTGTAAAATAAAACTACATAGTAAATAAATAATTATTACATGTATTGTACTAGATACCGCATATCAGATGTATAGCGTTATGGAAATTAAATTTAATTTCTTACAGAAGTACAGAATATTGTGGTGGGCCACTGGTGGCACGTAAAACGAAATAAAAAACACGGTAATACCAATATGTCGCGACTTTAACGGACTTTGATTAGTAATATATATTAAATGGATGTCTTTTCGAAACCACACGTTACTTACAAGTCTTTACAAGTCATCTGTTTATCCAGTTTCAACATCAACAATTCACATACATACATCGATCATAAAAAATATTTATACAGCTTTGCAAACCAGTCTCCACTACATTCTAGCAGCTGAACGTAACAACAACATTCTGAACGGCCGTCCCCGTCGTGCCGAACGCCCTAACCGGAATCGTGTACGTCCCCGAGGTTATCGCAGTCAGTAGTGACAACTGTCCCGTTGTCGAGTTGATGGTGAACAGTGTACTGCCCCCGTCAATACCGTACGCCACCGCATTAGTCGCCGTTACCGTGCCCAGTGTTGATCCTGCCGTGCACGTGGTGACTGTCGTGGGCACGGTGGACGCGAAGGTAAAGGTCGTGGTACTACTGCCACCGCATGTTACCGTAATGATAACCGGGACGGAAGTGGATGCGCCCGTTGTGGCGTTGGTGGCCGTCACGGAGGTGTAGTATGTCCCGGCCGGCGGGGCATTCAGTGTGGAAATCAATCCGCTGGAGGAGATGGTGAATAAATTATTAGGCCCGGCAATGCTGAACGTTGTCGCCCCGGAGGCGGTCACCTGCCCGATGACGGTGTTGGCGGTACACGAAGCCAGGGAGAAATTGTACGATGTCTGCCCGAAGGTCGGCGTGAAGCTGAACGAACCGGCAGTTGTGGTCGCGGTGGATGCCGATGCCGCTGTGGTCGTTGTGGTGGTGCTGGCCGTTGACGAGCATGTCGAATAATTGATCGACACCGGCACACTGGTCGACACGCCGTTGTTGTTGTATGCCGTCACTGTCAGGGTGGCGATCGTGCCGGTCGGTACAGTGCCCACACTAGTGATGACACCCGTGGCGGAGTTTATGATAAAGTAGTTAGACCAGGCGCCGGTTTCTATGAAATATCCGGCGGCGTTGCTGGCCATGACGGTGCCGATAGTCTGACCGCCGGAGCAATTGGACTGGGTGAACGAGTACACTGACTGGCTGAATGACGGTGATGTATAGTTGAAAATGCAGTTGCCGTACAGGCATGTACTGTTGATGTAAAACGAGCCGGAACTGGTAGAGCTGGAGGAACTTGAGCTCGTCGCACAGCTGACCGTAATACCAACCGTGGTAGTGCTCGTCGTCGTGGTACTGCCGCTGGAGTTGTACGCGGCTACGACTATCGAATATGTTCCGGCACTCAAACCGCTAGTCAGTGTGATGGCCCCTAAAAAACATTACACAATTTAAAGAATTCACGAAACAAATGACGCCACACTACCCTTTGTAAAACATCTCACCATAAATAAACTTATATAAATATATATTCATATATAAAAATTTTTATGATAAAACTGATAATGGAGATTTATTGAAGTTGTTGCAAAAAGAATTAGCTTCACGAAGAATGTACCTGCAGAACTGACGGTGAATCCGCCGCTTCCACTTGTGATTCCATACGTGTTAGCCCCCGAACTTGACACCGTACACACCGCCGCACCGGAAGTACACGTACTGGTCGTGCAGGTGTATCCCGTTGAAAAGCTTCCGCTCTGTGAAGAGCTGCTGGAGGACGATGACCCGCCGTAACAAACCCCATCAAAACATATCGCACGGGCAATATTCGTCCCGCTGGCGGTATTAATCGTCCCGCTGCTGTTACTGAAGCAGACATTATTGAAGCACACCGTATTAATGGCATTCAGTGCCTGTTGGGTGGCGTTGCAGGCGATGGTCACCGGCACGACCGTGGCACCGTAGCTGTTAATGGCCCGGTAATTAAAGGTGAAACTCTGGTAGATCGTGGTGGCAAGATTGATCTGCCCGGTCTGATAATTAACCGCCACGTTGGTGGAGGTCAGCGGTAAGTTAGCGTCCGCATCGTATGCGATACCGTTGGTGCCCAGACTGACGCCGAAGACATTGTTGTACCCATTGCTGCCGTAAAAATAACCGTTTCCGCTGAACAGATTCGTGTTGACGGGATTCGTGGCTGTCAGGATGGCCACTAGTGCACCAGCTGTGCAATCGCCCATTGTAAAGCTGTATGTTGACTGGGCAAACTGTTAGGAAAGAGATTACATTAATAATACTGGTCAACTGTGTAATTACATTAATACTGGTCAACTTTACCTGCGGAGCATAGTTGTAATTGCTGTTACTTGTGTAAATGACCACTTGACGCTTGTCCACATGATGACTGTCTGAATTTTTTACCTAAAACGGTCAGCGTTAAGCAACAAAAAATTGTTGGAAAATTTTTAAACGTCGTAGAGTTGGACTTACAGCGGAAACCACGGCCGTGCAAAGAAGAAGCTGAAAAACTGACCACCTCATTTTGATATTAGAGATTCAGGTGTGAATGAGCCCCTCACTGTTCATTAGCCCACATTTTTATATGGCTTTGACACACATCCCGAACAGTCCACAGCAAGGAACATCGAGTCAAGCTTATATCAACAAGTGGATTTTCATAACCAACGACAACATCACTTTCCGTTCACTGTCAATGGGTTCTTTGCCGGATCCATCTTGACTCTCGTCTGTTGCATTTGATTTTAGGTTCTACTTATATCAGAAAAATTCACGAAAAATTCAGTTCGAAACTTTATCAGAATATTTCACCAACTGAGACTAACAAAAACCACCAAAATCTGGATCATGCATGCACAAATGAGGATCGCATTATGACTTTAAAACCAAAAAACATTCAAAAACCCAGTGCACTAACAAACCATTAGCAATACTGCGTCACATCACCAAACAAAATTGAGAGAAGGAACGCTTATAACACATGGCAGAAATTGATTAGGTAAAATCTATCACAGTAAATTCGATATTTCATTGTTCTGCTGAGGTAACAAACATAAGACCAGAAAGATTACCGAACAATAACGCCAGCTTATCATGGACGGGACCATCCAATTCTGTTATCCCGACTAGTGCGCGTTGGTGGATCATTTGGGTCGCCTAAAAAATTAAAATAAATTATACCATTGTCACAGATTTCGACCAGAACCACTAAATTAATTAAACAAGCCGCAAGCCTGTCTGTGTAGAGTTCAGTAAAAATTGTGGTACGTAAAGCGTCTGGTAAAAATTCTACTACGCGTAGACAATGAACGATAAAAATATAAAATCATCTATTGGTTGATATTCTACAGAAACAGATTTAATTTTGATAAAAACTGTTTACAGTACTTTTCAGTTAAGTTTTACGATTTATGGTGATTAATGCGGACTTCAGTGCACTTCAAGATACATGATAGAGATGTTGTAATAACACACAGGAAAACAGATATCGACATCAAATTTCTAATTAAACTAAGTTTTAGTAAGCAAAGGCTTTTGCGGATCACCTTTCTTAATTCTCATGACCACACAGCTCAGCCAACTTCTGGAACAAGGCAGTTCGCTTTTATGAACAGTCCAAGTGTCTGCGGCCTCATCATAAAACTCGATTTCCGACGAATGGTTGTCCAAATACTTCTCTCCGCCCAGAACGTATATTTTATTGTCCAAAACGGACACACCCGGTCGATACCGTTTCGTGTTCATATCACCTAACAAAGATCAACGCAGCGGTGAGCAATGACATTATTGTGTATAATTAAGCAGTCTTTGTATTACATTTCTTTATCCACTGATTCGTACTGGGATCATACGCATCCACGCGATTCAGAGTTTCCTGGCCGCTTACAATTCCACCTACACTCAGCATCACATATCAGGTATAAAATATTTCGTGAATAGCTGTGTAATGTGCTCGCAGCTTACGTAAATTAAAAAGATGCCTTACGTAAATCAAAAAGATTCAAAAACAAACTTAAATATTAAAGACACAGTCCAGTTTTGACACAGCCCGGCGACATGCTTACCGATTACGTAAATTAAGCCGCTTGGACCAACACAAGCCGCGCATCCGCTGCGGTTGGTCGGCATTCTAGCCAAGTCGCTCCACATGTTATTCTTCGGATCATAGCGAAATGCATAATTTGTGCTCTCATAGCTTTCCGACGATATCACTCCTCCAAAGATGTACAAATAACTGCGATACGCTACAACGGCACAATTACTCAGCGGTGTCCGCAGGTTGGCCACATTCTGCCATCTATTGGCGTGAGGGTCATAGCGCTCAACTGTCTCCAGTCGGCGGACTCGATCGTAACCTCCGATGGCATATATATGGTCGTCCACGAGTGCAACTCCCACTTCGGAGCGGGCCTGCTGCAAGGGAGCCATATCGCGCCATTCGTCCAGAATCGGATCGTAACGATACACTTGTCGCACAGCCGACCCATCAGGAAATTCCCCACCACACAGGTACATGAAATTTTCTCCAGTTATGACTAGTCCCGCTTTGCTAACAGCCTGTGGAAGGCTTTTTAGGTGACACCACTGAGAGTTCAGCGGATTGAAGCACTCGACACTGCGCAGCACGACTTTATCATCCTCACCACCCACACAAACAATAACTTCCGCAAAACCTGGAATAGGATCCATAATTAACTTACCATTAGGTAACCATTACGATCCATACTACGCAAAGCAAGCAGTTTCACTACAGGGTAACAACTAACAACATAAACAAAACCGCAAAAATGGTTACCACGAAAATTACTGCTCCTAGTCCATTTGACAGCCTAATGTGAACTGCGAAGGGCACATATTGATCGATCAACACATTATGGTCGAAATAAAATGGCGTCGCATAGTCCGGCTACTGTACACGAAGAAGCGTAAAGACGAACCGCGAATGGCAGGCAATCGCTCATTCTCAACCACTTCCGATTCCACCATTCCAATTCCAATGTAAGTTGCATAGCTTCTCTTATTAACAGTTAGCGATGAAGATCAAAAATATTTTACTAAAAAACACTGTCAGCCAAATTTAATCAACAATTCATTTCTATTAAATAAGTACAGCTGAGTAAATTAATAATTACGAACTAACATTCGCTGATGCAAAACAATTATGATTTCACAGAAAATTAACTCACCAAACGATTTTCGTAATCGGCAGCGCGAGGATGTCCATTCTATTCGGCGATTGGGCAACTCGTGAAAGTATCTTGCTTCTCGAAGGAGATCTTGAGCAGCTGGATTGTCCTGGATGGCACTCAATGGGGCCACAATATCTTCAAGATAATATGGACTCAGAAGCGGCAAGCGAACATATTGCAAAATTTCCGCAAACTGCGGCGTCCGGGGAATGGGATCGTGGAGTAACCAGTGCACCACGGCATCGAAGACGGTCTCCTCCCGTTCGACATTTAAGTCATCCGATCCAATTAAATCAATCACCTGTACACATAATCAGATAATATTTAACACAGAACTAAGTCACGTGCAGGCTGTGCAGCAAAAAAAAACTTGACAGTTAAAAAAGAGCAATTTGCTCATGCATCTACACCCAAACGGGCGCACGTAATCCAATTTAATTATCGAAATGAAATAACCTTGTCTTTGACCATCTCAAGAAACTCCGCGCACTGTGATACAGCGGCAAAACGCTGTAGAGCAAAATTCTTCGCTTTTTCAGCCAGCATTGTACACGAATGCAGTTCGGCGAAGCAATGCATCATCAGACAGTTGGTTTCGTCCATATTCCGTTCCAGAAAGCTGCAACATGCATCCCGAATGGGACCAATATCCAGGAAGGTTGCAGCGGCCAACAGCGACTGCACATTATTCTTATCGATACATATCTCCGACGAGTATGCGTAATTAATCACACTGAAAACAAATGCAACCATATGTGAAGTCACAGAATACGTGCGCAACGCTGAAAAAGTCAATAATTAAAACCCACTCTTTCAAAGTGCATCCCGTGATGTTCTGCAGCTGAATTTCGTCCTTACTGGCTTCGTCCATCTTCGAAGTGAACATTCCACGAAAATAACTGCTGCAAGCACTCAGAACAAGACGATGACAGGAGACTCCCATGGAGCCCGGAACGGCGTCGGATCCGTGCAAGATAACATCGCAGAAAGCCCCACTGGCCTTTAAACCATATAGTCCACGAAGGATACTGGAAGGATGCTGCAGGTTTACAAAACTATAGGGAGCATCCTCTAATGAAGCATTTTGTGATGAATGCTTGCCAGTTTCACCAATAGCATCAGGGAGATCACGGGCATGCGCACGCTTCGGATCGCCCTCAAGAAGAGACATCTCCTGCTCCAACAACGTCTAACAGAAGATTCCTCGATGTCGGAAAATACGGTCAAAGATCAACCATCGTAAACCAGATTCAGCCGTTTATATTCTAAATCAGATACAAAAATAAGGATTCTATACTTCCTCGATCGAAAACAAGCCTACGTCGACAAGAAAAACCGTACCTTTACTTTTGATCTGGCAAAAATTATTGGCAAAGTGCTCCAATGAACTGGCTCATTCAAATTTTCAAAAGCATGCGACTCGAAATATCGAGGTCAAAGCCCGATCGGCAGATCGCAGACGTTTGGTGTCTGGCAAGGAGTACGAAACCAAAACAAACCTACCGCCCGGGAATGCAAGCTATGTCAAAAATCAAAATACGATCTGACAAAATTCAAAATTGTACTTATTTTATTCTTTTTTAGGCCCTTTTGTGATGTGCTTGCCCTTTTTGCCTTTTTTTGCGGCGCCAAAATGTTGCCTTATTGTCAATTACGTAAAAATTCGTTTTGATAATTTTCGAGAAACTGTGAACTATCGACTACCTTGTACTGTACCAACCAATATGACAATAAAGGCTGAAATAAAATGTTATATATATACACTACTAGTAGGTAGTTAATTCGCCAATGTCACAAGCGCAGTAATAATACTCGTAATTGCACTAGAGAAGTACTTCTTCCCTTAAACATTTACTAGGCATTGCAGACTGCTCACAACTTTGCGAAAAAAGAGCACAATTACAAGTTTTAAAGAGAATTAGGTCTTAATTCATGCAGGCAGGGTTACTTATCACGGTATGTCGGCAACTTTTGTTTCCGTAAGCTTAATTCAAAATTTGGAACACTTTCGACTTTCCATTGATTCAATTCCATTTACCTAATCCATTCTAACAATAACATGTCTTAAGATTGCATTGCTTGCTGAATCCGGCGTAATTTGCGGTATTGTAATTTTGCAAATTTATGTACAGTACTTATTTTGCATGGTCTCCTTTCTGTTTTCCGTAGACTGTCAAATATCGTTGGTATGAACAATGCGCCCAAGTATTGTTGTGGACTCGCTTGGGCGCATTGTCTTCACAATATCAAAAACCACGAGGGAATGGAAGGCATTTAATTATTGTCATCGTCACCCAAAATTTGTGGATGTTCCTTCCAAAAATCTTCACCGATAATATCTACGTTTAAACCTTGTACATCGGAAACAGCAAGATTTTCGTTTGAGAGATCACCTCCCCCATCTACCACAGGAGAGCATTCACGGCGAATTAAAACACTGCCTTTACGATACAACTGAGGAAGATTATTGTAATTAATCCCAAATTGTGAAAATAGTATCTCGTTTTTATCCCCCGCCAGCGTTCCCTTGAGTCTCAGTTGAGCTTCTGCCGGCGTCATTCCACCTTGCTGGACCAGAGCCCAAAAGACTGTATTGTACAGGTTATTAATGTGGCAATCCGCTTGTCGCCATGAAAGGTAATCCCGCAGGATCCGACGAGACGGATACAGCACGATACGTGCATCGAAAGATGGAGGATATTGTAAGGGAATGGTGGGAAAAAATTCCGGCCAATGGAACACGAATCGGCTCGTGAATAAGGAAAGGACCGTCGAAAGTATCTTGCTGTAATTTTGTAAACAGAAAATGAACAAAAAATTCAATAATTGTGATGTCAATTTATTGTCAACTTGTCAATTTATTTATTTAATAATTTCGCCACGCAGCAGATAAAAAAAAGAAAAAAAAATTATACAGCCATAATTTATTAGAAAGATTTTTGAAAATTCTTCGGTATTTCGTTTAGTCCTCGTGCTCAAGTTCAGTTTACCGTCTACGACTTTTAAGTTTTTGCAACTTTTATTTACTAACCTTTCGCGGCGATTATATAAATTGCAATCTTTATGAAAGACGAAACTGTATTCATCGCTCTGTCCATACGCCAGCACCACATCTTTGAAACCTCTCATGACATGAGAAGCCGCACACGACATCAAATTCAACGAGCGATCATCGTTTGGCTTGTGAAATTTATGCACGTCTGCAAATCTGAAACCCAATCACCCATAAGAAAGAAAATTTCAATGTTGAATTACAGATTTGAAGGTTCGAATAAATTCTATGCAAAACATAAACTTACCGATTATACCAACCTGTGAAAACTCCTCCCGTCGACGCGAACTACTGGCCAACATCTTGGAAGCATCGCGTCCGCCAGCTCGAACATTTTTACGTACTCAAATTTGCTTTTGGCCATTCTATACTAACTGTAATTACAGGATACAGTTTGCGAAAGGTTAAAGAAACGCGAAACTACTGTACTGCCGAAAAGCAGTTCAAACTTTAAAGTACTTACTGAGGTACTCCGTAGTCCGTACTCGATAAAATTATAATTAATCTGAAAATAAAATACAGTATACAGTAAAACCTCCTCGTACGTACACTCCCAAGATACGTACACCTCTCACTTAAGTACGAAAAATTCTGTACCGAAACTCTCCGTAGACTACAGTACAGGGGGGAACCTCTACGTGACGTACACCTCTACGATGCGTACACGTACACTTTTTCTCTGTACCGCCTAAGCACTAAACTGTACGCAATCACCTCGAACATGCGTACACTGGCGAGTAGAATTTGATTTTTTAAAATATCCGATGGGAAAATCGTGAAAAAACAAAGAAGTTAGCTCAGAATTGTAGGTTGTCTTTTGTTCTGAACTGATTCGGACGACGTTTTCTGTTCGAAGTGTGTAGGAGAAACTTTTCCGCCTGCTTATATGCTGTAAAAAGATAAAAATTTGTGTGAACTAATGCTACATATACATTTCAGAACTGCACGCTGTGTGCAGTACAGTTGCATGCAGTATAGTGAGTATACTGAGCAGTGAGCACTCCGCAGTGGGGCAGTGCCCTCATTATACAGTCGCCCCCCAGGGGGGCTTGGGGGTGGCGATTCTATGTTACGTACACCTCTGAGTTACGTACGAAATTTTTTGAACGGAGGTGTACGTATCTTGGAGGTTTCACTGTAGTACAAAAAAATCAGTAACAAATGCAAACCGAATCCTGGTTTGATTCTTGTCACCGTCTGTACTTTATGGCGTATGCAGTTCGGTCTCGGAGACCGAACTGCATACGCCATAAAGTACAGACGGTGACAAGAATCAAACCAGGACTGCCCGAACCGGACCGAGTTGGGTGCGAACTGCAAAGCCGACCATTTTCGGTATGAAACAGAGAAGTACCACCAGCGCTTTTGTGTAGGGATGGCAAGACTTCACTAGACTTCACTTCACTAAACTAAAACTTGGTCAAAACTTTTAGTCACTAAATTTCACTTCACTAGAAGTCCAAGTGACCAAAATTCACTTGACTAAAAGTTTTAGTCGTTAACCGTCGTTAACCTTGACTAACTTGTTTTCATAAAAATATTGTGTGGTGAAAGTTTCTTGAGGAATCAAGCAATTTTTAAATAGAATAAAGAAATTGCATTGTGAAATCCGTTCGGAAAATTGATAATAACACGCGATTTTGGTACAGCCGGGCTAAAATTAGCGACACTTGGACCGGTTAGGCCAATCTTCCGATGGTAAGCGCATAAAAATTCTACCTTTTTCCCGTTTTAGAGCTCCTGACGAGTCAGTTTTAGGAAATCGGTTAACCATCACTTCACCAAAACTTTTAGTGGCTAAAATCGACCTCACCAAAGTTTTTAGTCACCAAAATTCACTAAACTAAAATCTCTAGTTTCGCAAATTTTAGTGACGGTTAACGACTAATTAGTTGACTAAAAAAATTTTGCCATCCCTACTTTTGTGTAAGCGATCAATCCTTTGTTACTTAGTTTCTAGTTCTTTGTACTTGGTAACTGACTACTGTCTACTGACGGTGTCTGTAACTGTCTACATGAAGCCAAAATTGAACAAGTAACCTTAATTTTAAAATCAATTCAGCAATCATTTGGACTGTTGACTAGGTGCCCAGCCATGAAATTAGTGACGTTGCGCAAACGCGCTTCTGGTGGCAGTTGCTGGTCGCTCGTCGCTTTTATCCAGTCTGTGCTCTGTCTATCAGAGATAGAGCGCAGACTGGATAAAAGCGACGAGCGACAAGCAACTGCCACCAGAAGCGCGCTGCGCAACGTCACTATTATATTAATTTACTGCGTCCAATTACAGTACATAAACTGCGTCCAGGGATTGTATAAACGATGCGCTACGAATCAGATCCTGTATCGATAGAGCGGCAATTTCCTACAATTTTTGATTGGTAGTCTGTACATTTGGATGCTTCTGATTCGATAATTTTGTAGCGGGAACGAGTTACAATTGCCAAAGCCTTTGGGGGCTGCACTTAGGTTTCTGACTAACAGTAGTGAGTGACTGGTCGGCAGACAAATCCGCATAGCTGCGGCGATTCCGTTTGTTTAGTCTTCCGAATTTTCAGTGCCGAGTGCAGGAATAGACGGACGCCGCTGCCATTAGACTGCACCTTGCTAACGGTCAACTGTGGATGTATTTATGTTGACTTCCTCGAACTAATATTTTTACGGGTTTCATTTGTGTTTTGGGACAAAATGTCCACTTATACGTCTGGGACGGGCGTAGGCTCGGGCTACGCCAATGTTCACGACACTGTAGACAAAGTTACGAATTTTTTCTCCTACCCGGGACTCATTCGATCAGCAGTCCTGGTGCTGCCCTTTATTTTGGGTGTTGTCAACCGCAAAATATGGTTTGGTGTCGACCTCATTGCTACGACGGTGGCTGCTGCTGCGTGGCTGCTGTTCCCGCAATCCCTGCTAGGATTCCAGGTATGAGTAGCTCGTTTCGGTTCTAACATCGTGTGCCAACTCAGAAGTAGCTACTTCTTTCCCCTTTCCCTTGGTAATCTTGTATTCCTTCGTAGGATTCAGTTGTGAATTACATCAACCAGTTCTATCAAAACTTATTTAGTTCTGGTTACATTTTCCGATTACCCTAATATTGGCGTATAATGATAATACCCGAAATGTTACTGTAGTAATCTCTTCTCCAAGCCAGTTGCAGGATTGCTGCTAAAGCTAATAAACTCACGAGTGACGAGTACTTAATATTTTTACGCGTATTTGCGGCCTTTGGAATAGGTGTCGCGATCGCTTTTGGATGGAGTGGACCTTCAGCTGGGTCGGATGGTTGGCAGTGTTTTGGCCGGAAACGCTGTTCTTTGGTTTCTCCAAACGAAACGCACGAAGGACCCCGACACTATTCAGCCTGCGCTTTTGCTGACACGCGTTATCGTACGTGAAACACTGAAACAGATCGTATTTAATTTCATACAAATACAGGCTGCCGTGAATTAGATGCCTCCTCGATCATGATAGTGGACAGCTGAGCATTAATAAGCTTATAAGCATTAATAAATGTAAGTATTTGCAGACCAACGCAGTCCTTATGGTCGCTCAAATCGACATCCAACTGTTCTCTAAAGCGTGGAGCCCAGAAGTATGTATTTGTGTTTTTTTTTAAAACAGTGATCGTTTGTGCGTTAGTTAACAAAACAAATTTTTCAGCATATGACATTCGGTTTGCTTGGAGCCGCCTTGTGGACGGCGGGATCACTGGTTCATTTGGTATGGTTTTTCTCGTGTTAAATCTGCATGCAGCACACCCGACAGATTGCCTTGATTGTTGATTTGTAGGTTATTGGTGGGTATCCCGGTGGACATCTGCAACGTTACAGAAACATCAACAACTTCTTGCTGCGCGATTTTGCCCTGTGCGTGGTAATTGGATTCACCCTGTATGGTTTTCCGCGCTGGTTTTTGCGCAATTTTGTAAGTGAATGAAACTTGTTTTGGATCATAGTTTTGAAATGTTTTAGTTCATTGTACTCATGTGAACTTATGATTATTCAATGGCCTAATATTTTTTCGTAATTTGAGATCCCTGTTGGTAGCATCATCATGCTGTGTTTTGTAGACTCTGATCCGAACCCTTGATGGTGTTCATGAGCATCTCACTCGAGCGTTTGGCGCGCTGATTTTTGGGGCTGGGTTCGCCGCGTATCAGGCTGTAGGATTTTTGAATGACCGCGACAAGGAAGCTCATTTCATTGAGCGCTTAGTGGTAAGATATTTTCGCTTTGAATTGTTCGAATTGATTTGAGACTATCACTTTGCAGACAATCGGCTTCCTTATGGCTTCCCTCATCTATGCCCAGTTCTTCTATTTCAAAGAGTGGAACATGGTCTACTGTTGGGGAGTCCAGTTTGTTCTGATCCTGTGGGCTATTCACTCCTACTTGGGCTTGACATCTACTGAACGACACTATGTTCCGGTAACACAGACTAGGAGAATTGTTACTGACGATCGTTTCTCCACACGGGCCGTTGGTGAAGATCGCTTCGCCACAAGGACTCCAACTGGGACTTACCGCGATCGTATTACTGCCCGCGAAAGAATCCCTGCTGGAGATTATGAGTTTGACAAGGAGGGCTAGAATCATGTTCAGCAGTCAGTAGTATTCCTATCCTGGAACCGGATTCTCTTTATTGACTTCGGTCGGGATCTCTTGTTGCTTCCCTCTCGAATAATAATTTGTTGGCACATTCAAGTTGTCTAATCAGTACTGCTTGTTGAAATTGTCTAAATGTGTTTTATTTAGACTTTCTCATTTCGATTATTGCTTACCCTTTTTTTCGTGTACATTGATATTTATGGTGCTAAATAATTGCTTTAGTGGCATTCGTGCATCCAACAGTGTATTACTTATTTACAGCGCCTCAAATTCATGACAAAATCGGATAATTCGCCCCAAAAATTTTCGTGTGTAAAACTACATGGTGGTGTAAATGGTGTAAAAAACTTTGCAAGACAAATTAAAGGCTGGCAGCAGTGCGGTGCTGGGCTGCAATCTCTTCTCTATATATTAAAAGAATAAGACTTTCAAAATTCCATTTCCATACAGTTCGCCAGGACCCTACACAGAACCAAACTTTGATGGCTATATATCATTCGATAGCCCTAAGTTTCTATATTTGCCATCAGAAGTCTGTTTTTGAAACAAAAGTTAGGTTTAAAAGAAAAGTTAAGAAAACCTTAGCATGCAAAGTCTATGGGAAAAGTGGAGACCCCACCACTACAAAACGATCACCCCACCACTGCCAATAGAATATGTCAATTTTTGATAAATCACCTGAAACGTTACAATGGATGAAACTTTAATGGGTTTGAATCACTCGAAAGCCCTGGATTTATAGATTTTACCTCTAAAGCATGGTTATAGAGGAATATCAGGATTTGACAAGAAAGTCTGATTAAAAAGTCTACGGAACAGTCGAGGTTCTCATTTCCAAAACCCAGTTTTTCAGGTAGCTGTCTTACGCAGCGCGGGTGACTGGTTTTAAAGTTGCTGCGCTCCTTTGGGCGGGTACGAATGTTCTTGCTAACGATAAATATTGAAGCACTAAGGCCTCGGCTCCAATATTAACCGGATCTCACTACGGTACACACCGCACGAAGTGGCCTTCATACGGGCTTTTTTCTTCCGAAATTATTCATTACGGCTTGAACGTTTGACACTGAGCAAAAAGGGAAATACTAACTTTGTAAATCGTTAATCGTGTAACAGCCTAATTTGCGCAATTTTCTGCGTTTTAATTTCACGGGAAAAGCAGTTCGAAGTTTAGAATATTATATGGTTGATTACCCAGCATGCCGCATGATTTGCTGTTTTGCTTCCTGTTAATCGAGAACTAATGCTTTAGCAACCAATACGGAAATGTGCACTTTATGCAAAAATTACCAACGTATGACCGTCTTTCGTTAAGCAGAATAAACAGAAAATACTGATTAGCGTGGCCGACGGAGTTGATTGAATGGATGCAGTAAATATACGCCAAATGCTACATTTACGATAAGTTTTGTGAAACTCCAAGTAGTTTATCAGTCTGTAATAAAGGTGAGCCGCAAAAGGCGCCGAGCTGCAACAAGAGTGAAGCCCGCGGAGTAGCAAGTTTAGCAACCGAGACGATTTGACTTATTTGAGTATAAACAGTTTTTGTCGTTGAAGGCAGTTTCGACAAAAATTAGACAGTTTAATTGGCAATTGAAATTTAACACATGAATTGGGAAGTGCTTAACTACTTTAGCCTCCTTATTAGTAATTTCACTGTTGTGTTCTTAATACAAAGCATTATGGAAAAATATTATGTATTCCTATTGATAAGGGTACCGACAAGGGCACCAGCGGTATTTGGCTGACGGTGAGCCATCTTAAATTATAAGGAAGGCAGATATCTAAAAAGCGAACAATGCTTGGAAATAATAAAGTAAAACAAAAAACTGCAAAACTTTTAATAAATTCAAAGCTGCTACTTTATAACTGAATAAATTCTCTTGATGGATGATCTGGAAAAACTGAATTGGTGCTACCGGTAAAGTTCAAACGTGAAGAGAAAGGAGCTGTTTTCGAGGGAAAGAACTTTCGTTTTTTCACATTATCTCAGGCTTCTAAGTTCTAACCCTATCCGTAAGTGCAAATGCAAGTGTAAGTGCACTTCTGTAAGCTGTGCAATCTACGGGACGGGAAAATATTCACACAGGTTGTAATTTAAAATAGCTAGACACTGACTACGAAGTTGACACAAGTTGACACAAGTATTTCTCTGTGAAGGAAAATTTTACGTTTCGTTGATAAAAGTTAAGGAAATACAGATGCGTAGATTTACGGCATATGTAGATATGTAAGTACCTGTCTCTTTGAGTTTTGCTTTAATTTACGATTCATCCATCGCTGCTATATTCCGCGCAATTTGCGCGGGGTCTACTAGTCGAAATATAATTATTTTCATTGCTGCAGCGTTCGAAATTTACGGCTCATGCAGCGACGGTACTAAAAAGCTACTCGTAGTGGAAAAGGTTGGGAACGGTATCGCCACTGCCACAGGCCAGAAACGGGCGACGCCGGCACAACAGCGGTGGCGCCATAAGGAAGCAGTGTGGCTGACACTGGCTGTATAACTATACATAAGTTACGAAACCGGGAGAGCTATACTAAATCCTGTGCCATTGTACATGTCGAGTGTCGACTTGATTGAGCCCAAAGTTAAAGACAGTACCCTAGACTTTGTAACCTACTGGCTCTGCCAAAGGCTACTAAGATATCGTTTAAGTTTCAGTACGAGTTGATATGCCAACCGCCCGTTTTCCGCAAGTAGGCGTCTTCGCCGTCTTGCGTATTGCTATGTGGATTGTGGACACTGGACAGTGCGTTCTGCTCTGTAGCCTGTACAAGTATGAAGTAAGTACAATACATTGAAACATCCTTACACAAACGCAAGCGCTTGCGAACTGCAAAGTACTTGCAAATTGCAATGTAAAAATTCGCACGGTTCGCTCGGACTGTCGATTAGGACGACCAGTATACATGCCTAGGGGTAACAATCTTTTCTGGAAGTTAAGATGCCTTGTCTATGCCACCGGGCACCGGCTACGGAAACTGTAAGCTGTGTTGCTGCTTTGCAGTAAAGTTTGGACTACTATTGAATACCCAGGAATAAGACGTCTCTTATAATCAGATTCTACTTACGCGTCTTGAATCTCTTGATGATGATGCTAACTTTCTACGCTGTTTATAACCCTGCTATCCAAGATACCTTGGCTGTTCCTGCAGAATTTAAATTTTAAACTAGCTTTTGCCTTTTGCAACCACATGGGGCTGGCCGGATTGGAAATTTCCGTGTTCATTACATCGCCTGAGTAAAAAAGACGCACAAGACCGTACTCTGTACTTTCTCATCAAACTTATGTCGTTTGTCGAAAACTGTACAGGGCCACATTCTGCAACAGTTTTGCGTTTAGCGATACAAGCATTCGTATTGCCGTACACATTCGTTCTCGAAATTTCGCGAAATTTCTTTTTCTTTCCGTGTTACGTACAAACGCTTGTACAGGTTTTACATGACAACACGCAATGAAAAACCGCAGTTGTGCAGGCACCCTCGCTTTGGCGTTTCAGCACAACCTCCTCGTACGACAGTCTTCTCATTAAAAGCATGCACTATACAAAAATAAAGCTTTTCTAAAATCGCATCGAAATCGGGACTTTTGCGGCAGTCAGTGATTCGACAAATGAGTTTCGTGTTAAGTATTGCCATGATCCTCTGAGTCTTTGTACGTCTTTAACGTTAATATTTTATTATGATGTTGTGAGCAAACAAACAGAATTTACTAAGGTGTTAGAAATCGCCCCTTTTATTGGCATATTATCATCCCGACGAAATTCCCATATTGTTTTCTGGATTTACTTCACTGATCGCTTGGAGAGTGGTATCTTGGGAGGCGCTAGTACTTGCCTAATTCGAAGTTTTCCATCCATCCGGTTCCTGAGTATTTAGAGAAGTGTGAGTAGTGCTTTCCGGGGCTGCGTTTAGTAATGAGTGCCGATCGTGGTTAATTGTTGATAATTTAATAATTATGCAATCTTTACTGACTGCATGTACATGTGTAGTAGCCAGTTCAGGCTAGCCCAATGTTCAGCATTGCAGCTTTGCTTATAGTCTCATACAGTTACACTTACGGCTTCCCTGTTATGTGTGCCATATGTTATGATAATTATATTTCATCTCTTACAGAACCGTGGAGTAATTGAAAAATGGGGAAGGATTTTTATAAAGTTCTTGGTATTCAGAAGAATGCTTCGGACGATGAAATCAAGAAAGCATACCGAAAGGTAAGAGATTGTAAGTTCGCACAGACAAGTGAGATGCAGAATAGTAGTATGACCAGAATTATAAATTCCATATACGTATTATGTATCATTCGAATATTATTAAGGATAAAGTTATCTTGTATAGTGTATGTTATCACATTTTGGACAGTAGAAGCCGTAATCTGATATGCAGTTTTTGCTCGACGCAGATGGCCTTGAAATATCATCCCGACAAGAACAAAGCCCCGGAAGCCGAAGCCAAGTTTAAAGAGATTGCCGAAGCTTTCGAGGTGTTGAGTGATCCGAAAAAGAAGGAGATCTACGACAAATACGGCGAAGAGGGTCTGAAGGGTGGCATTCCCGGGGGTCCGGATGGAGCAGGGGGCTTCCCGGGCGGTGGCATGCACTACGAATTCCACGGGGATCCGCGAGAGATTTTCTCAAGATTTTTCGGAGGCAGTGATCCATTCGGGGGATTATTTGGCGGAGGAATGGGAGGCGGCCGCCGAGGCTTCACGACCTTCGGCGGTATGGATGACGACGTGGAAATGGATGACGGCGGTGGCATGGGCGCTTTCGGGGGGTTCGGTGGGCCGCAGATGCGCCAGCAGCGCCGACAGGATGCACCCATCCAGCACGAGCTGCAGGTGGCACTGGAGGATATTTTCAAAGGCTGTACAAAGAAGATGAAAATTTCCCGTAAAGTGGCTTCCCCGGATGGACAAGTGCGCAAAGAGGAGAAAGTGCTCACCATTGACATTAAGCCAGGATGGAAAGCCGGAACGAAGATCACGTTCCCCAAGGAAGGCGATCAGATGCCGGGAACTGTTCCCGCTGATGTAGTCTTTGTGGTCAAGGATAAGCCGCATAATGTGTTCAAGCGAGAAGGACATGATATCGTTTGTACGGTCAAACTCCCCCTTCGAGACGTAAGTTCTGCGTCAAGTGATGAAGCATCTGCATCACTTACATATGATTCACGCTTCCTAGAACGCTGTTTCATTTCATTATTTCTGCTCTAGGTCATAGTGGCTTTTTAAATACTGTACAAGGATTACTGTAATTTTGAATATACACTATCCAAGATATGCTTGTTTCATTGTTATTTTCCTTATTTCAGGCACTTTGTGGAACGACGCTTCAGGTTCCCTCCATAGAAGGCCCCAAAATACCGGTTCCTCTTACCGAAGTTACCAAACCCCATACAGTTAAAAAATTCCCCCAGAAAGGCTTGCCAATACCGAAACAGCCAGGAAAACGCGGAGATCTTGTGATAAAATTCGACATCGTGTTTCCCGACAGTCTTCCTAAGAGTACTAAAGATATCCTTCATGACATGCTTCCTGCGAGCTAAGCAGGAGTACGATGATGTTTCTGTTTTCTTGGTCTAGGGCAGTTTGTACGTTCTAGATTAGAAATAACTCCTGCTGACGACAAAACTTCGGATTATAGGGTTAGAATTGCGCTCTATGTAAATTTTTAAAGTGACACAGTTTATTAATTAGTTGTGCTTTATAGACGTAACTTTTAGATGTGCACTGATTTGTGACACCTTAATGACCTTATGATAGCGTCGACATGGAGCTTTTTGGAAGATTCTGTAAATAAACAATTTTAGTAGTGTTTCATAGATTACGATTTGATTGTAACAGTAAAAAGTACTGTGTGAGTAAGTACAACGCGGTTCTCCAGGGGATGTAATCATACAATACAGTTACAATACAGCCCCTACTCTACATCAGAGAAGCCTGTTGGTAAGTGTAATAGTATTACACTTACCAACAGGCTTCTCTGATGTATGTATACAGGCTTCTCTGATGTACTTCACAGTATTTATAGTATTACAGTAATACTATAAATACTGTGAAGTATAAAAGTGCAGTCGAGATAAACAGAATCTTTAACTGTTTCTTGCTTTCTTAATTTTCCGATAAAAATTCGGCGCAAATATATAATAATTATTGTGTGATGTGAGAGCGTCTCGCATCGTATCATACACTTCCACTGGTTAGCGCAAGTCTCCACAATTTCAAGATTATGCAAAATTTAATTAATAGTGCTACTCTATACCCTCTTTTCCTTATTATAACAAAACAGAAAAAGATAATTTGATGTCGAAATTATCATCCAGATATTCACATTCCGACAACACAAAAAATGCGAGTAAAAAGACCAAAGCCGACAGGCCACTGTATATTTTTATGGATTTCCTTGGTGAGCTATCCCGCAGCAAGCATGAGTTGCCTGCTAAGGTCCTTGTAATTATGTAAATTCACAGCGGCTAACAATAAAAAGAAATACAATACCATTGTCAGAATCTTGTGGAAATAAGGTTCAGAGTGACTGTATGGGCCGCATACACCGTTATCCATACTATATACAGTACAAGTACCAGTAGTAAATAAGTTATCCATATATCTATATATATTTCGGACCCGAAAATAAGAGCGATGACTTTCATCCCGGCGGAAGTACATTTGTATATCCAAGGTGCAGTAGGACACACCGTTTGGCATGTGTGGTCTTAACGTAAGCCTACCTTTTGAAATAATTACAATTTGACAATCGCAACATAAATTTTATCAGCTTTATATTTCATAAAAAAATAACCAGCTGCCTGACAAAATTTGACAAGCTGCACATAATCAATTTGATAAATTTGCGTCTAGTAAATTTTTCGAGTACTCGTAATTATAGGTGCAACAGAAAAATAATAATACGAGTACTGTAATATAGATATGTGCTTCTGTGATTCTAAATTTCGCCTAATGGATAGATAATCATGATACCTAATGGATACCGATTTAGGCCAGACGTATATCAAAATACATACATTTTCGCAGTTTTGTCTTGTGTTTTCACAGTTGCATATAATCATAATGCATGTAAGAGTAGTAAAACTAAAACCGACAAAGATCAGTTTGTATATGGTGACGTATTTTTCCGCTGCTTTTGCCCTGGTTTTTTCGGCAGTTTAGTTTTATAACTAATAAGTATTTCTATTAAAGAAGATCGTTTCTTACCTTACGAGCACTGTTTTCAGTAGGCTTTGACGGATGTTATAAAGTTGTACACTGTTATAAAGTTATAAAAGTTATAAAGTTGTACACTGCAGTTGGTCACCTCAATAGGTACAGTAGCACACCAGACACTTTCTACTGTAGATCGGAATCGTATCGAAATCTGTCGATACTTCCTGCAACTGCTCCTTCCTGTATGTATTTCGCTATTTTAGCCAGTATTTACCATTTCACTAGTATTCATTAGTATTTACGTGTTTGGTATTCAGTATTTATTGTATTTGTATTATTGTATTATTTGTACATACAAATAATACAAATACAATAAATACAAATACAATAATACAATAAATACAAATACAGTAAATACTGAATACAATAATATATTATTGTATTCAGTATTTACTGTATTTGTATTTATTGTATTATTGTATTTGTATTTATTGTATTTCGCTGTTCATAAGGCTGTTTGGTGTTTTGCACCTGGATATTGGTTGGAGCTTAATTTATCATATACAGTATTATGATCATACATAAAATAATTATTGCATCGACGGTAGATGCTCGTAGACAATTATTATGTTAGCTTAGAATAATTACAAACGAACGCGTTTCCCATGGTGTCACATGCGGACACTACGTAGCAAAATATTCTTTGGCAGCGTATTAACACCGAGCAAATACAGAGTAGTAAGCATTCAATTCCTGGCATCGATTTCGCCGTGTACTGCCCTGGAGGGCTGATACAGTTGTAAATCGCAATGAATGCGCATTCGGAGAATATTCCAGGAATATCGTTGCAGGCATATGATCGAGCTGCAGTCAGTCAAATGCGGATAGGACCGATGGTGATTCCGCCCAACGTTGCCAGCGATAACCGGAAACGATGAGCACTGGTTGGTTGTTTCGGGAGGAGTGTAGTCAAAGCGGAAGCGGCCAAAAGTAAGTAAACGTGACCGTGAATATGCGGTACGAGTAGTATTAACAGTAACGTTGTAAATTGGTGAGAAAGCTTTGTCGATTTAATATCGTATAAATTGCAGTGTTTACTGCTTCAGTGTGTGCTACTTGCCGAAAAAGTAATAGAAAAAACATTAATGTTTTCGACAGCCTAACTTTGTTTTTTCTACTCAGTACGTAGTAAGTACTTGTTATTGTTTTAGCAACTACTCACCGTAATATTGCTGCTATCGATCAAGTCATGGAAACTTAAACGAATTTGTGGATTATGAAATTCAAGTTCTTATTTGGAATGGAATGAGAAAACGGAAGGACATTATTTAAGTATTTTCGTCAAAATAGGTAAGTCGTCCGTAACTGGGAATCAATGGGATTATAAGACATTTATACCAATCATACAAAAAAAGAGCACTAGTATTGTATATCCGAGACGCTGCTCACATGCACGTGGGAGTGTTTCGCATCTTGCAGATTATCTCTGGTCACTTTTCGGTAATAAGCGTTACCTTTTCCCGCAACTATCTCTTGCAGTAAATTGCAAAATATGAATTAAATTGCAAAATATGAATTGCAATTGGTGCACAGTTTCATTAACGATTGAACTAAATTGACCTAATCGTAATAAATTGCCGATTGAACTAATCGTATTGTACGAGTACTGTTATTATTGTACAACACTTACCGAACAATTCAGTAATGAGATTTACAACTTTGTCCATCTTATGCCGGAAGTTACTTATTGTTTCTCATGTGCGACAGTATATCTATATGTGCAGTACTACAGTAGCTGCGCCGTCCGCTGTCGGCATTAATTGTAAGCTGCTACTCGGTTTGTTTTTTGCAGCGATGGACGAACATTTGAACCAGAAAGTTGGTGGTGATACTAGCAATTACAGAGTAGTTTGTAACTTCGTATAATTTATTGTCTTTTTATCCTTCAAGCGCCTTAGTGTTTAATATATTAATTTGTTTTGTGAATATTATAATTGTGTGATTGTCTATGGGAGCCTCCTATCGGGAGGGGACGAGAGAAAATATACAATATTATTATAGTAATTATTATTAACGATTTAGGAGAAATTATTTTCACAAAATATGAATTTCGCTCTACCATACTTATGGTTTTTTATTTTTTTACGATTTTGAATTCCGATTTACAGTAAGTACAAGTACTTGTGCAGTTGTACAGACACGTCTGACATGTGAGACTGGAGTTTAGTTTTCACTGCTCACCATCAGTGCTCATGACGACATTATCGATGCTTCATCGTGTTTATGCCAACTGCGTATTGCCGCTATTGCGATAATTTGCTGTTTTTGAGCGCAAACTGGCAAACATGCAGTATGCAATCAACCATTATTTGGGGCCGCCGACTTGAAAGTTTTAAACTACCGTAGTTTTGGAAAGTGTCGTTGTTTTAAGTGCAGTAATTCTGTAACTGTATTTTTTCAGACTATTTTAGACTTCTGGAAGCTGGGGCAGTTGTTTATTCTGCTAACAGCCTAACACTTAAATGCTGTAATTAATTGTAGGGAAAGCCGAAAGTGTGATTGTGTTTTATTGGGATCTGGATGTAGCGGTGTGAGGGCACCAGCCTTCTATGATCCATCATGAACTATATCGGAAAATTCGTCTCCAACATCCGCGAATTCTACAACGACCTCAATCCCGCTACGTTATCGGGGGCAATCGATGTGGTTATTGTCGAACAAGAAGACGGAAGCTATGCTTCTTCTCCATTTCATGTGCGTTTTGGGAAGCGCGGAGTATTTAATCGCAGGGAGAAGATTGTGGACATTACCATTAATGGCGAACCGGTGGAACTGCATATGAAGCTGGGGGAAACTGGAGAAGCGTTTTTTGTGCAGCAGACTGAGCCCGAAGAGTTCATTGATAACAAGGTATTAACTCAAGATATTCATTATTATTATTATAATTTGTAATAATTTTGTGCGGCCTGGCTAAACAGGTCCGTTATCAGTGTCAGCCTATCAGTGAGTACGGCTGCCAAAAACTCTCGTGGGGACAGTAATAATAGTTCATGGAATTAGTGGTAATTACCTTGCAGCTTACTAGAATGGCCAGATAGCGACATTTTTGGCACACCAGCTGATGTGAAAATTGCGAACGATAGTAATTTGATACTCATTAACGAGGGTAAACTTGTATTTCCAATACTGCGACAAGTTGACTGCTATTAGTGTTTGTTGCAGCTGTTATCGTTTTATTTTGGCACAAGGTCAACGTACTGATTCTGGGATCCAGCTTTAAGCATAATGTAGGAGTGTCGGTATAAATATAAGCAGGAGTCTAACTGTAGTCTTCATACACTTAATATTAGATAAGGAGAAGTCTGTGATTTGGAATATTGGATTAATAGGTTGTTACCAAAACAATATTACTTACCAGTGTGAATAGAGTTATCATTTTTCACTCAGTCGTGCAGTACTTATTGGCACCTGGTTGATGAATGGTTTCCCATTTCGTTCGCCTTTTATCGAAGATAACATAATGAGGCTTACCTTGACCTTGATATGTATTATTTGTTGTTCACATCAGGAGAGGACTATGTAACTCACGAAAACTATTGCGTTTTGCGTTTGTTAGTTGTATTAATTTCGTTGCCAACAAACATTTTTTTGTTGGGTAGGTTCCAGCGCTTCTGGCCACTTCACCCCTGCCACCCAGCTATCTGAATGAAAACTCCTCGTATTTCCATTCATTACCGAAGGCTTCCCTTTCACAAAGTGGACCGGCTGCAGCCGGCTCACATGAAGAGCCGAAATCTCATTCCAGTTCAGCCGATGGAACGTCCGAGCGGCTTCCGGTTAAGCATGATGGTTCAGTGTCTCCACCGTCGACGGGTCGACGGGAAAGTGCCGATACCGATATCTCTCTGGAGATCGTTGCGCCTGCGACTACCGCAACGCCTGGCCGCGTCAAGTCACGATCGCGGCGCAAACGCCGGCCAAAGGTTAAAAAGACGAGTGATGAGGAAATCTTCAAGATGGACTTGTCCGATGACGACAGGGAAACAACGCCGGTGAATGAGACGGATAGGGATACGACTCCTTTGGTACGGACTTCGAGTCTGCCGGATATATCTGAAGCCGAAAAATCTGAACATACCGTGCCTGTGGATCAGAATAGTTTGCGGAATCGCCGTTTATCGAGTCATAGTATGGCTCATATACCGAAGCATTTACACGTAACCTTTGCGCCGTCATTTGGAAATCGTGGTGGCAATAACAGTGAAGTGTCCACTACAAAGAGCGAGGGTCAGTTGACACCGCCGAATCCTACGTGAGTGTTTTCAAAATTGGTTTAACAAAGAAATTGATATGGATTGGGTATCCTGGTTTTTCGATACAGGATCGATAAGGAGCATCTTTCCGGATTCTTAAGTGATTCCGAAGTTGACTTGAAAAAGACAGAAACCCGTAAAATAACAGAAGACGACGGGGCAAATGTGAACTGGAAATGGGGACAACTCCCAGAGAAAAAGGCTGCAGAGACACCCGATGCATTGACGCCAGTCTCGCAGGGCAGCCTGGAAAGTATACCGGAAGCCTCCCAACAATCTGCTGGAAGTGAGTGTTAATTGCTTGAAAAAGCGCCTATATTGCCTTACTGAACACGACCTTGACTAATGACTGATAAATTGCTTACCTTTGCATTCAGCGAATGTGACTAACGTTTGTGCTTATTTTCCGGCGGTTATTGATACAGCTGGGTCATGAGTGCCGTGTTTACATTTGTGGCGCTATTTTTAGGTACTGCTGACCAAGAAAAACGTTCGTATCTGCGCGGCATGTTCAGTTTTATGCGCCGTTCTAAGCAGACCGCTCCTCTTTCGACGTCAGCGCCTAAAGATATATCGAAGACAAACACGGACAAAGATGAAACGGAAGCGGGAAAATATCTTTCGGATTTGGTAGAATCGGAATTGAGTCAGAGTCAGAAAGAGAAATATTTGGTGCTCCAACAGTTCAACTTTGAAAATAGTTCTAGGTTAGTATTTACCGGCTTCAGATTTTTAGACGTTTGATTTAACCAGCCGTCAATAACTGTATTCTTCAGGTCCGCTGCCATTGAGTCTGGAATTCCGAAAAACGATAGCTTTGCGAGGTAGTACTTCACTCAAAGTGGCTATTTTGAACTTTGCACCGGAAACAGTTTTTTTGTTTTTCTTTAGACAGCAGAGTAGTCAGCCCTCTGCCATTCAGCCAGCTTCTAAAGAAAACGTTGCCGATAAAGGCTTAAATGTTCCTGCCACCGTCGAAGTTGAAGGCAAAAATATAGAACTGTATGTAACATATTTTTCTGCTCGTCAGGTTGTGATAACAAACCTCTTTTTGTTAATTTAGTGTTCCTTTGGCTGCTCAAGAGCGCGGAAAGGGCGTCGATGCGTAAGTAACTTTTCTGCTAGCGGAAAATACCGTGAAGCCTTGCAAAAATAAAATGTTCTGATTCGAAATTGTGCTTTTAGGATTGTAAATGCGTACGGCCAAGAAACAAATGCTGCATCGTCAGCGTATTCTTCAATGGCGGGATCACCTCCATACAGCGACAGCGAGAGTGATAAAAATAGTGATAAAGGTGTCGGCTCTAACCAGGCGTACAAGAAAACGCTGCGTTTGACATCTGAACAGATTGTAAGCACGGTTGTTTGTGACGCATAAATATAATGAATGAATTAGTGAATTTGATTTTAGTTTTTCTGCTCAGTTAGTAAAAAATTTTAAATTTTGTTAGTGTTTCGGATGCTCAGGCTGTTCATATGCAAACTGCGATTGAAATGGCTCCTTTTACTTTCAGATGACGCTACCGTTGCAGTATGGAATGAACGAAGCGGAATTTTGCATCGTTACGAAATATCAGGGATCTGCGCGTTGCAAGTGTAACATCTTTTTGTGGCGATATGACGATAAGATCGTGATTTCGGATATTGATGGAACCATTACGAAGTATGTTGTTGGTAAACGCCATTACGCTTAACGTCAACGATCATTAAGCCCTCAGTTAAGATTTTTTTTCAAGCCTGAGGTATTTTCAGATCAGATGTTCTTGGCCATATCTTGCCAATTATCGGCTCGACCTGGGCGCAAGCCGGTGTCGCCGGATTATACAACCGCATTGCTAATAACGGCTACAAATTTCTGTACTTATCTTCGCGAGCCATCGGTCAGGCGAGTTTTACGCGCGATCATCTGAAAGCGATTATCCAGGAAAATGTGAATATGCCAGAAGGACCGTTGCTCCTGTCGCCGAAATCTTTGTTTTTGGCATTTCACCAGTAAGTTATCGAAATATTTGATCGAATCAAAATGGTAAATTACAGTAGGTAGCAGCATTATTGTGCGTTTTCGTGGTAATATTCTCCTAGCAGAAGGAAGTGTCTAAATTTGTATCTTTTGGGAATGGGAATATGTACGACTCGTATTTTCGTAATGTTAGTCATGAAAGTCATTTCACAATTCATGAAAGTCATTTCACACTACAGCTAATTGAAACAGTCGGAAGAAAACGTTATTTTGTACTTACGTTAACAGTAAAAGTGTAAGATTACAACCACATACAAATTGACACCATAATTTGATAAAAGAACTTCAGTACGAAATCGTTACATTGACTTTACACATTATTCCAGATAATTTTTGGTTTGAACAGTTGTTTGTCGAGCTGTTGATAGCCTCCGATGGCACAGTTGTGTAACTTGTGTTAGATATGCCGTAGCCGGAAGTGGCTAGTTATACAGCGAAACTGCCGTCTCAATACGAAATCTTCTTTCAGGGAAGTAATTGTAAAACGTCCTGAGGAGTTCAAAATTGCGTGCCTTAAAGACATCCGTGCTTTATTTCCTCCGGACAGAAATCCCTTTTTTGCTGCATACGGCAACCGAACCACTGATTTATTATCCTATCGTACGGTTGGCGTGCCGATGACACGAATTTTCACGATCAACTACCAGGGCCAACTTAAACACGAAATCCTCCGCCAAGCAAAGTCTTCCTATTCGCAGCAGTCCAATTTAGTGGACATGCTATTTCCGCCCCTGGTATCCGTACCCGGGACCAACGTTCTTGTCTCGCAGCATGAGCACGCCGAAGAATACAGCTCATTCGTGTACTGGAAGGCTCCGCTGCCGGATCTGGATTCCACGTTTGAAGTGCCACCCCCTCCGGAGCCGGAAGTCCGGAAAAAGAGAACGGATTCAGGAGGAGCTGCTTCTAAATCGACGTCTCCTACGAAAACGGCCAAAACTGCTCCGCTGACCATTATGTAAATTGTAGATCCACTGCTTTGTGTGCATTTGCATTCCCTGTGCATTTTTCATTTTGTTTCATTTGTTTTTAATACCATCGCCTAAACTTTTGAATTTTTCTTTGGTTGTGGGATTCTGGAAACCCGCTTCTTCCATTGTCTTTCCTTCTGCTGGGATTGGGATGACTGTGAGCATGAAGGAGTCATTTTGTTACGTATCTGTATTAGTTAACCATGTACGGTAACTAATGCATTTTGTGGTTTTATCGCGTTGACTGCAGATGTATTATTTACTTGCCTGTGATCACTGTTGTGAACTTCTCCAGTTCTACAAAATTAAAGAGAACCTTCTGTGGAAAATGACTTTTCACAGCGATACCTGAAAATTAGATGGAAAAACATCAAAGCTTGGTGCATGCGAACTGACAATGAATTCGAATACAGTACTTCTATGGCTGCAAGTTCATGGCTTGTGCAAGTAGTTCTTGCTGTTGCTTGTAACATTATAAAGATCTCGAGAACAGTGCTTCGTTCATTTTTTAAAAATTGTGTTATAATTTATTTATGCAAGATGTTACTTATACGTAATTCTTGTCTATGAAGTAAGCACCTATTCAGTACTGGACCACTAGTAGTCATTTTTTGCGTGAGACGGACTACAGTAATGCACATCATTGGACGTAACAAAAGAAGTAAACAGCCTATAATAAAAACGCTTCTGCTATGTTTTCCGTTTCCGGCGCGTTTCCTCTTCAAATCTGGATTTCTCTTCCTCTTTTTTGCGTTGCTCGTACTATATCTACTCTGTATATTCTATACGAAGTGTAGATATACAATAATAGGGCAGTTGAGGGCCACTGCGCGCTGTGCATCCCTGCACACTAAGATGACGAAAATAATTTTTATTTTTAATACGAGTACAATCATACATGAATACCATGTAGTATGTATTTATTAATTACTGAATTTATTGTCATAAATAATATTGTGCTGATGGAAATTAAATTGATATCGGTATTCGGTACGTAATCAGAAAACGTCGCACATTCAGCAGCTGCCAGTTTGCCAATACTCTGATCTCTGGAACCTTTTGAATTCGGATCTTATGAAGGCGATCCATAACTCAATGATTGATGATTACACCAGCTGCATGAAAAGACTCTGTTCAGCTGCTCGAGAATCATTTCTCTTGGCTCTTGCCTATGCTGAAATTTGTTATCTGTACCTGTGTTTGTTTAAAATGTAAACTTCTCGTCAGATTATCTTCAAGTTTCAAATCCTAATCAATGAATGCATGACTTGTAATTCTGGCACCTGGGAGAAGCAAACTAATAAGTGGATGCATGCTACATGAAGGAGTGCAGTGACAATATTGCTGTTTCGTATTGCATTTGAAAATTCGAATCGCAGTTTCGAATTTTACATTGCCACCATGGTGGCTCTCTCCTCGGATCTCATGCGATCGTTTCGGGTTGCGAAGACGTTCAAAGAAAATCTGGATCGGATTAATCATATGGACATCTCATCAAATGGGCATTATGTGGTTACCAGTTCGCAAGATGAGAGCATCCAGCTGTACGAAGCTGACAAGGGAGTGTGAGTGATTTCCAGCTTTGCCTTTCTTGCGATTGTCTGGTGATTATTGGGCCCATCATTAATCTCGCAACTGTCAGTTTTTTATTGCCCGTGTAGCATTCTATTGTGTTTATTTTTTTAGATCGTTTAAGACGCTGCACAGTAAAAAATACGGCGTGGATTTGATTTCCTTCACGAGAAACCATAACACAGTCATACACGGCTCTACGAAAGTCGATGGTATGATTTCGTGATATTAACTGCTAGTGTAAATTTCATGATCTCAGCAGTTGAGGTTGGTCTTGCTTTTTTTCAGATACTCTAAGGCAGCTGAATTTGCATGAAAACAAATATCTGCGATATTTCTTGGGCCATGGTCGAAAGTGAGTATAAAAACTATTTGTAGATATTTATTTTCTTGATAAAATAACGGCGAAACTGCGAATTCCAGAAAATAAAATTTCCCCAAACTTTGCTGTATCTCGCAGGGTTACCAGTTTAAAGATGCACCCCAAGGAGGATATGTTTCTATCCGCATCACAGGATCACACGGTGAGACTGTGGGATCTGCGCTCCTCCAATTCTCAGGGTTTGTTGCATGTCCCCGGCCGACCGGTGGTCAGTTACGACCCCGAAGGATTGGTATTTGCTGTGGGATTTGAATCGTCGGAAATTAAGATCTACGATGTCAGGACGTTCGATAAGGTAGATATCCGCAATACCTTTTCTTTTTGTCAGGTGCAGCGGTACTGCAGATTAATAATACTTAGTTCCGCTAATATTGCCGTTTGTTTTCATTTTTTTACTTTTATTATTGGTGGCATTTGATACTTTTGTTAGTTTTATTTTTGTGTTTTGCTGTTTCTTTTGGTTAGCTGTGGTATGTCGAATACCTATGCAAATTTATGTTGCACTGATCTAGGCCGTCTGCTTTTACATAAGTGTGACTGCGTTAATCTTATTTTTAGATTCGTAATCGTGAGATTTCGCGTGTTTCTTTTCATACCATTGAGTATGGATGTTGTATGGTCTACGCTCGTAAATGAACCCCTTCGTCGTGCTGTTTATGTTTCCAGAGGCCCCTTTTCATGGGAACGTTTTTTTCATTTCGTTGTTTATATCAATCGTGATTACAGGGGCCATTTTTATCTTTTCCCGTGTCCCGCATGACGGAAGGCGAATGGACGGATCTCAAATTTAACCCGGACACGACTCAGATTTTGGTTACCACGAGTGGAAAGAATTCATTTGTTGTTGATGCATTCGTTGGCGGTGTAGTTCACACATTAACGGTACATTGCGTTTCCATATTAAACGCTCATATTTCGGATATCTTTAGGATTGGTTTGTTGTGGTATTTTTTTGCGTGATCTTCTGTCTTTGTTTTTATGGGTGGGATTATGGTTTGTAGGGGTATGCCAATACTCAGATTCAAGGCTTGGAGGGATGCTATTCACCGGATGGGAAATATGTTTTGTTGGGCTCATCCGACGGCAAGGTGCACATATGGAGTAGCACAACGGGTGAAAAAGTAGCCACTTTATCATCTGAAGACTGCTCCCCCATAACCTGTCTGAAATTCAATCCCAAATATTTATGCTTTGTATCTGCCCACATTCGAACATCCTTTTGGATACCGACTCTTCAAGACAGATCTGGGGACGAGGAGAACACTGCTTCGACCAACCACGTCGATGCCAAGAGCGGAACACCCGGAAGTGGGAAAACGCCTGTATCTTGACATTATTAACGAAGAGCCTGTGTTTTTATACTGTATGGTATTTGAAGTAGTTTTATCACTTTTGCATGCTGTTTTGTTATGGGTTTTGAGTTAATAAATTTTTGACAGTGTGGTTTTGCCGGCGTACTTAGTGCTTTGATTATGTCCATATGAGTTTGGTTATCTTTAATGCTTTCCCGGTATATTGTTTCTAAACCGATACTATGTTTGTTGTACCACTGTTGGGTATGCCTCAAAGATTTTTGTTTTTTTTGTTGACTTTATTTATTAGTATTATGACGCTGTACATTGTTGCGGAAACATGTTGTTTTAGCCAAAAAAATAATTCCCTTTCTGAGCATTTGAGTTTTTACACATTTCACAATGTTGACCAATAAAAAACACGCTATGGTGATAGACTGTGATAGACATGACCAAAAACAATTAATACGGTTTTCAAAATGGGGAAGAAGTGTTGAAAACTAATAATTATTACCGCAAAGCTTTTCGGCTGATCCAGATTGTGTGATTTTTAATAATTTTATATATGACTGCAGTTTAAAATGCGTGCTTATTATATTTTGTTCTGTTAGTTTATTGTCGATTTTTTCGCATCACTTGCTGAGTCGTAATAAACTTATAAAAATCAGAACTGATACATGTACGAGTACGAGATACTCGTATTAATATTCGTGCAATTTTACGGATACCGTAAACACAAACTCTGCTCAACAGTAAGTAGTACGTTTTAGGTTTTACACTTTACTGTTGAGTACGTAAACTGTGTAATTATGTTCTACGTTTAGCATGTCAGCAATGCAGCCTACAAGTAGACGGTCGATCCATTTTACATAGTTATCGTTAATACCATTACCAGATGTCATCAGTTTTTTTCCATACAGTAATGAATTTCGTTATAATATTGTTTAATAGCTTACTAGAATACTTTTCCTAGCAGACTGGTGTCGTTTTTCCGTTGTATCCGTAGATTAACAAGCTTATAATTGGACTCGGTTCGCACTGTAATTTCCCATTATAAATCTTTGTACATCGTGTAAGACCTTGGAAGGTGGATATGGACATCACCTTTCTGGCCGACATCAACCCAACAGAAAGGTTTAACAATGGTGATTTCTTCCTCGATTTACCAGGAGAGATACTGCATCTTTTGCTCTGCAGTTATGTTGGCCCACAAGCCTGCACGAATCTCAGCGCCTGTAGTTCATCGCTGAGTATGCTGTGCAGCGATGATAAGTTCTGGAGGGATTTCTGCTGTAAAGAGCTGCATGTCAAACCCAAACAATTGGGCGTTTCTTCGTATTCCGTTGTGCAAGGACAAGCGTCCGATGATGATGTGCTTGTGGGCTCGCATCGACTAGCAGCAGCCTCAGCAATCCCCTTCCGATCGCTGTACTCCCAACTAGTGCATCCCTTTCGCGGACTGTTCGGGAAACTACTGGTGTCTTTCACATCCGTGTACGGTGATATCTTAACCTTGACGCATGCGAATGGCTTAATCACGGGTGAAGTATGGATGCTGCCGAAAACGATTACGGATCGCATGAAACCGGTGGTGGATTTTGTGATTTGTTTGGATGGCGAAGGCCGACCGATGGTCATTCATCAGTTCTGCATGGACGGATCTAGTAAAGTGGTCTTGACTGGAAATCCCCTGCAGAAGTATGTTTATCGGTCCAATTCCACTTTCACGTTTGGTTTCCGGCGGCGTTCCGATACCTCTGGGTAATTTTATGTTGCGGCGGCTGGGCAGTTTTTTCGCATTTAAGAAAGTATTTGAATTTTTCTTCCGTATCGGATGATGAGTTGCGTGGGTCATTTTCACTACATTGAATTTAATTAGAAATTAAATAAACCGACCAATCGAAAGATTTTCGCCAGGCAGCTTCAATTCGGCACGGCCGGCAGCTTGTTTTCGCATTCCCGTCATTGTTGCCCGTACATCGTAACTCTTCCATACTATTTTGTTTTCGCGCACGAAACTTATGCATTTGTAATTGCGCATCGTAACGCATGCATTTGTTTACGTTTGATCAGTAGTGTGCATGTGTGGATTGCCCTTACTTAAGGAGTAGTTATATAGATATACTGTAGATGAATTTACACAGCTCACCGTTCTTTCCTTACAGGACCTGGAATAGACTTATCCACCGGATACGGAAGGATGGAATCTCATATCCAAACGCCAGCAATAACGAGGACGCACCACTGCGGTTGCATCGTTTAGCGCTGGATAAGTTCGCGGATTTCCTGTTAAGCGTTCAGGCAGTTAATGCATGTTGCCGATATGAATATCATATTCAGAATAATCCTCCACGGCAGATCTTTTCTTCGGGGATTGAATTGCCTTTGGGATTTTTTAAAGGAACTTACGGGGCACATGGCATTGAATTAATTAAGGTACACGCCGCATTCAGCATAACCTTAGAAATATTACCCAGGTTTTGGGTTAAACGCTTGTGTCGCTTTGAGAGTGGTTAAGTGACAGCTTACTCTTGCGATTGGGAAGTTTTTTCGACGTAAAGGTAGTTAGTTACATGATTTTTAATGTTATGAACATTTGCAGAAAGCGGGTAGAGCGTAATGTTTTTAAAATATCGATAATTTCCTTTTTTTTGGCTTTAATAATAATAATATTGTTAGATGGAGTACGCTGAAGACACAAGAAATTTGCGCGGAATCAAGATTACCGGCGATCCTAATGTGCCAGCTGGCAAAATAAGTTTTGAATTTCCCATCGATCATGCCGTGATTTTGCCACTGGAGGGCCAACACGATGTGGATTTCTTGGAGTTACTACATCAGACCGGACCATTCCATGCCGTTGACCGCCTTACGGTTGGCAAGCAGGATTTTCGATTTCCGATGGGCGTTAGTTTACGAGAAGCCTCTCATGTTAATTTGGTTGGAGATTCCTGCATCTTCCGATTAGTCGGTCATGGCACGATCGCTGAACATGGTTTCATAAATCCCACAAGTATAATTGCTCATATTGCTGTTTTGAGCCCGGAAAAATTTGTTGTCTTCTGGTTGGGTGGCTATAATTTTGCTTCTCTGTTTGTAAAAGTTTCCCTTGATGATCGCTTCTGCGAATATATCTGAGTTTTTGATAATTATTTCTCCCGTCTACATATTAAACCCTGAAATTTGTCTCGTCTGCGCTAATTTTTTTACGTTGCACGGACAGCAAAGTATGCGACCTTGCAGGAAAAGTATGCGACTTTGTGTCTGCAGCTTTGCATGCTTCCCGAATACGTACAATACGGTCCGGTTTACACTAACGAACTTCTGGTGCCGTCATAGCAGTGCTGTAATGCAAGTTAAAGATTCTTCTGTGCTATAGAGTTTCAGACATCATATAATAGGTAGAAAAAACAAAAATAAAAATTTAGGGGATACGCGCGGTACAATCGCATTTACCGATTTGCTTTTGTCGTAGTGGAACCGCACGCGTACTGCATTTACGACGCATTTATGGACTTGAGTCAGCTGCCGGCCGTGCCGCTATGGCGTCAATTTAATTTTTGAAAAAGCAGCAAGCTTTGAAGTTTGGAGCTTTCTTTGCAGACTTTTTTTGAAGTGTGGTGTAACTTGTAAGCCAAACAAACACTCGTAGAACATATTGACTCGAACTTTTCAAATTTTTTTCTTAATCTGGAACTGATGTTTTGCTCCTGTTAACCATGAACCGTATCAGTGATGATTTTAAGCCTACTGCCAGTAGGAGAAAAAATGCGCCCATGGAAATGTCTTCCAAGAAGCCAAATATGCAGCGTTTTCCCAGCGGATCGACAACCGTAAAAAGGCAGCGCTATCGCGACCCACGCTTCGACGAGCGCTGTGGCCAGTTTTCTGCCAACTCTTTCGAAGACAATTATAAATTTGTATACGATCTTCGGCGGAAAGAGATGGATATGGTAAAAAAACAGCTCAAAATGGAGATGGACCCCGAAGCTCGCGATAAGCTACAGAACTTACTCGGAAGACAGGTACGAAGTTATAAATATGTGGTGTACTACCGTGTACGAAGTTATAAATATGTGGTGTACTACCGTAAATCACTGATTCACTATGTGGATGTTCCGGAGTAATAAAAATTTTTTTAAAGAGTTGGTTACTGGTTAGCGTTCAGTTCGCTGGGTACTGTGGTATCGGAACCTTGTACTTATTCTTGTGCGCTGATTTGTTTCACAGGAAAATCAGGAACGATCTAAAATGCAGAAAAAGAAAGGAAACGTGAAGGAGATGGAAAGGAAGGAGCTGAACAAAAAGCGCTTAAACGAAGGGAAAAAGCCGTTTTTCATGAAAAAATGTGAGTATATTATAGAATATAAATTATAGTGATTGTAACAGTAGCAGCAGTACTGTATGGACTTCGTTGGTTTTTCTTTTCGACACGTTTTTCCGTACGGTATGCTTGTGCGAAATTTTTATGTGGTAGGATGTGATCTGTACAGCATCATTACTGTAGAAATTTTTGATTTCACTGTCAGTTTATTTTGCTGTTATTGCGACTATTTTAATAAATTTTTTTTCTTCGAATTGCAGCGGATAAATCGCTTCTGGATATGGTTGCTCAGTTCGAAGATTTAAAAAAGAAAGGAAAACTGAAATCATACATGGAGAAGAAACGGAAGAAGAACGCCCATTCCGAATCGAAGCTTCTAGTACAAAAACACGTTTCGCCATAAAACACAGAGATGATATAAAGGCTTTTTATCTCTGACAAGTGACAACGAAAGAATAACTGTTTTGAAAGACATGCACAGAATATGCTGCGGATTATTCCGGCTGCCAGTCCTGAATTCGCTTAATTTGTTCCAATAATATCTCATAACTTTCTTGAGCAGCTTGGATCTGGGATTCAGCGTAATCGATCAGTGCCTGTCGGAATCCCTTGACTTCCGTCTCGTCCAGCCTTTCGATCTGTACAAAGAAAACGATGGAAATACATCAGTTATGAAGCTTAACAAATCAAATCTGGTCATGTTGCTGGTAATTTTCCTAAGTGGTATTGCGGAATTGCATGTAGCATAATCGTATTGGAAAACTGCATATTACGAGTGGAGTTGTCTTCCGTCTGCTCGATCAATGGCTAAAACGGGAATGTACATCCACTCCGCTGGTGGATTTAACAGCTGATACAGTGAACTTATTAAGTTGTCAATGGATGCTTAAAAGCCCTCCATGACCTCATGGTGCAATTACGTTACATTTATGTGTCGTATAATATCACTTGGCCACTGTAGGAGTTACCGTACGGTAATTTTATGGAAACAGTAAGGAAAAATTGTATAGCAAGTTTTTTGCTCTTACTAACCTCTTCTTTTCCCGTATTGCTGCACTGATCAACCAGTTTCTCCGCTTCCTGCAGAGCCGCGGCAGCCTGCAACATACACAGATGATAAATTTATGTATTCACGTAACTTTTTATCCTCGATGCTGCAACTACAGGATTAAACGTTATTACAGAATTCTTCTGGACAACTAAACAGTTGCACAACTGGCCAACTGCAGCTTTGTAGCTGGTTAACAACATGCATACTTAACTAAATTTATAAAACTGGATTAATGAAATGGGCAATGCAGTGGTGGAAGTACACCATATTCAAAGAAGCTCCGAAACGGTAACCATCTTGAATCTTGCTACAGAATAGCCTTGTAGAAATTACAAATAGTTCGTGTGGTTGGTAACTTGGAGTATACAGTTACCGTTACCGTCGGTACTTGACCGTCTACTTGTAAAACTATAATATTAATTTGCATAAAATAAAATGCGACTTATCAGGGCGTCAAGAGTATTATTTATGTATAATCACCAAAGGTCGCCAATCTCGCTATATACTTACATGCGTCTTATGTCGTACACTTTGAATACGAGGACATGTCCATTTATCGTATTTGCAATATTTTACTGGCTGATTCATTTATGGCAGACAGAATCCCAGTTACGATACAATATTTACCATAGTTATTGCTCTATCATAACTATACATAGTACCACATATAAACTTTTTTATTACAGCGCCCGTGCACAGCATAAACAATTAAAAGAGTTAAAGCGCAAAAGCTTCTGGTTAGCACAATAGTTAATAAAAATCCGGAATATCTGTATTGGAACAATTCAAGGAGAACCCGATACGACCAAATCTTCAACATGATACTATGTCTGATTTCAGCACGAACCCTAGAGTAGAGTAGTATCTACCTCATCGATGTCAGACAAGTCTTTCGGGCAGCAACACCGTCGTATTGTAACCCACTCTGACCGTGAAATCATCGGGCGTCAACTGGATAAACGGATCTGCCACACTGTGTCCCTCCGGAGACACCGGCAGCATCGGCACAACGGGCCGCATGAGCTGCTCAGCAGGCGGTACGAGTGGCGGAAAGCCGACATGTCCCAGTAGGACATCCGTTGTGCTGCGCGGCATATTGGGGAAGTGTACCAGAAACACCTCACTCCGTGCTAAATACTCCGCCTGCTGCAGCGAGAAACCGGAACTGGACGACGGCGAGAAGCCCATCCGGATCCAGCGGGCCGTGCGGCGCCGCTGGATGATCTTCTTACAGAACATCACCGTGTAGAAAGCGATAACGAAGATCACGGAGCCCAAGCAGCCACTGGCGATTAAAATATACGAGAATTCCTCGACATTGTAGCCGAAATAGACGGGCGGTGGACCGCTGTAGCTGTTGATGACACGGTGCGTGAACTGATTTGACCGGCCACCGTATCCCGGCGACACACTGGTGCTCGACTGCATGATGCGGAAGGCCGTCTTCGGAATGGTGGTTTGAGCAATGTGCTGAACAGTGGTTGTAGTCGCATTGTTCATCAGCCCGTAGAAATGTTTAAGAATCGCTGGGGTTGTGAGATTATTCATGGCAATACGGCTGCGGCAGAATGTTTGCCGGTAAAGGTCACCGCTAATAAGATTAATGAAACCCGTAGTGTGCGCAACGGTCGACAAGTGATAATAGTCGTCAGCAGCCGGAAATATTCTGTCCAGTTCCGCCGGCGCAGATAGTGTTCTTCTGTTGCATGGCGTTGATGGATGAAAACGCTTCCATTTGCGCGCCGTACATGGCTCTTTTCTTTATACACCAGAAAATCTTTAGTAAGTTTGCATTTCCGGTATATACAAGGGGAATAAGACGGGGCAGCGGATAATGAGTTGACTTATGCGCAGATAGCTTTTCATTGATTTTTTCCATGCACTTGTCAGGCTAATGTCAATATGTGTATTTACACGCTCATGTAACGGTCAGAATCAGTGAATATTGGGTTCGGTCTTGGCGGCGCAGTTCTGTCTTCCCGTTAACCACTTCGCGGACGCAGAGGAAAAAAATCATTAAAGACTTGGGGAAATTCTAATTGCCATCTCATCTATAATGCGCAAGGATGCAGTACGGAGTGTTAAGCACAAGGCGTCGACGTCTAACAGATGGCCTTGATGACTGGAAAACAAGCTGTTTCGCCTTCGATCATCATCCTGCCGCCTACACGTATACCGCAGTATTCGCGGCTCTTGAAGATTAAATGCTGGCCCGCAGTGGAACATTAGCACAAAACGTAGGATCGATTAAAGCGATAGAGACATTTTTGCGTGATCAAATCCCCAGTGGTGAACTGACTAATCAAACTGGCCGCCGCTTCGCTGCTGCCAATATACATATGCATATCCGTGCACAGCAGCGCACGCATCGCACTTCCGGTTGGGCATAGTGAGACACGTCTCCCAATCAACCGGAAGGGACCTTTTGACCTGCTGCTGGCCAGTATCTGCGGCTGGTGCACAACGTACGATAAATGTAAACTCTCAAACCACACGGTATCAAAAAATGCCACAAGCTGTGCGTGGTGACCTTTCCCAGGACACTAGTGTCACATTAAATTTGCAATAAGCTAACCGTAATAAACATTTTCTATTTATCGCAACTAGAATTACCGACAACTTTCTAAAGTCTGAAAAACAAAAATATGTCAGCACAAATAACCTCTACGACAAGCAATTTTTCGAAGTACTGTAGACATCTTCGGAGCGCAACACGCCGTCTTTAGAACGCATGTTAATTCAGTATACGAGTACTTATGAAGCATGTTTTTATGTACGTTTTCACTTCTAAAATACATTGTCTACGGAACTATATAATGGCCTTTTGGAATTCAAAAAACACCCTCCTAAGGACAGTTTTGGATAAAGAAAACATGAACGCTTTTTTTCTCGAATAGTACCGGGCAGTATGTGAGTTGGCACCAAGCTAGCATTAATTTATTGCTTTGCATAATGTAAATTTTCATTATGTGAAATGACTGCCGAGGCGTTCCATAACGGTAGTTTTAAATTGCTGCAGGCAAATAATATACCTGCACGTTTGCCTCATCCTTTTTCCCGAAGCACAGGCACGTCATATAAATTGCGGCTTGAAGAATGAATTCATCTCGTCAACCGCATGCAAGTGCGCTTTCTGCATGGAAGAATATAGCGGAAGACTTACGTAGGGTCCCTTCTCCCTTCTTCCCGTTTTAGGAAAGTAAAAAGGGACCCAAAAATAAAACCCATCCCATCCCGCCTGCAGCCGGCAGCGATCGTACGTACACGCTCCGCTGACTGCATCCGTCAAATCGAAGCAGGAATCAATCACTCTTCTATGGGCCATATTTCGCCCCGCTGCAGTAGGATAGGGAATAAATGCATATCATGGGAAGAAAAACCCCGCTGACTTGTCGCTTTGATTACCATATGGGCACGTAAATGCCGTCCCTTACAGCAACCACCCAGTTTCATTTAAAACTTCTCAAGAGTACACTCAACCACTCGATTGCTACCCCTATCATTAGAATGTCTCCAGCATCGATTAATGCCCAGTACGCTGTCCAACAAGAGTTAGAAAGCATGCAACTCAAACAAAAAACTGAGTACACATTAATATAAGCAAATAATTTCATAATAATTTTCATTATTGATCGCCTGTTAACATACTGTATGCTGTTTATAATTCAAAACTATACTGACCTTGAATCCTAAAAATTTATTTAATTAGGAAAAACCATAAAAGTTATAAGAATTTACGTTTAATCGTTACGTGGTGTGGAGTGCCTGCTCAAGTTTATTTGTACATACGGACGCCCAAACGTATTCCCGGTTTGTTTATTGCAACGCACTTAAGTTACGCGTTGCTCTTACCGCTTCTTTCTTTGGGGGCTTGGCTTTTTCCGCTGTCTTTTTCATGCTGTCACATTCCTTTAGGATTAATGTTCTCTGTTGCATCATATCCTGCCAAATTTTAAAAAACGCCATTAAAAACGGTCCATTAAGGTAGCACAAAAGAGGTGCGCAAATCGTCCTTATATTGTCAACTCACAAGTGACAGAGCATACTATTCCTATGCCATTTTTAATCGTGGAAGAAAACTGTTGACTGTGATGTACCGTGTACGCATGGTCGTGATAATAAGTGGTTTTGTAAGTACCTTGAAGGAGTCCATTTGAGCAATATGGTGCTTAAGAAATATTCCCAGAGTCACTTCACCTTTCCAGTAGGCTAAATGCCAGCCATACTACAGCAAAGAAATAAAATGTCCACATATTTCAACTTTAGAGGATTCCATTGCACACATAATTTTACATGCTGAAAATTATATTCGTTATATTCATGTGTTTACGGAATCGAATCGCAAGTAATCGAGTTAGGAAATGGATTAAACAGGCAAAGTAAGTTATGTCAGTAAGACAAGCACAGCCACAAAATCAAATATAGTTAAGTACTGTTTTCGGTAACACAAATACTATCCTCGCTTTTTGTTTCGAAAACACCAAGGTTTGTCTATAAATGATTTGCGGAATTTTTCGCAGCCGCGCGAGAACTTGGGGATTCCGTGTGAGTTATTACGGTGGTCAAGCGGTAGACAGATTTCGCAATCTGCAGTTACGTTTGTACCTCTTCTTGCTTGATTGCATCCGATGATAATCCCAACAATCTGTAAGCGAGTGTACAATACATACGTGAAAGATCGATGTCAGGTGAAGTATCACTGTACAGGTATAAATAATACGAGTATGTATCTTGAAAAAGCAAAACAGATTATACATTAATTGCGATGCGACTTACTTGCTAACGGGATCCTTCGGATGACCATTACTGTTGAGCATTTGAGACAATACTGCCATAACAGCGGACAAATCTGCAAGAAACCCGAGTGTCATAATTGCTTGAAGACCGAGCAGTGATAGATTTTATCTATGTCAGAATTTCTAAGAACAAAATCATCAAATTATAAACTATAACAACGAGAATTACTTACTCTTCTTGCAAATGTTTTGCAGCGTAAAAACCTGCAACATTAAAGTATCTGTAGGAAGACCGGTAGAGGCAATTTAACGACCGCGGTTTTATGTTAACTGCCAAATTTACAGGCTGCTTTCAACATACAATAAATTGCGACAACAAAAACGGCACAATCTTTTAAGTTTATAATTTTTGAAGTTATAGTACTAAAAACATTTTTAAGATTATAACATGTTTTAAAGAAAAATCTAAGCACTAAAGGCTAGAGGATATCTTTATTTCCTCTCTGGTATTAACAAAGTGCGAGATATTATTAATTAATTTATTGTTTACGTTGTAAAAGTCCGCCACAGAGCCGCTGTACTTCATCAACCACACTTTCCGATTCTGAAAAAATGCATGAGGATCGACATAGTTTGAAGTTTTGATTTCGTCCACTGCTCCTGTCAATCGTTTGGCCAAGCTGACTTTGAAATTGGCATATCCTGAGAACTGCAATGCGAACACCGTTAATGGGATCAAACCGGTAAGGTTAATTGCTTATACCACAACAACATATTTTTGACGTACATCCGACAGAGTGACAAAATCTTCGACGATTTTGCTTTGACTTATTAAAGGATGATTTAGTACTGCATCCAGATATCTGCAATGTACAACACCTTTTATTTAAGTATGTTAATTATTTTACGGCCATAATTTTACTATGTTTCGTAGACAAGCGAAAATTCGCGTATATCATCGGTTATTTGTCAAATGAGCTAATGAAACAGTAAATTTATTCGTCCATGGATTACCTTTGAAACATATTTCTTTCGGCGGCATACTCTCCCATAAAGCGAGCATTATTATCAGATACGGTTTCGACCAGGGAAATTTCTTTTGTAGATAGCCGGGGTGCCTGATAAGCAAGCAGTTTTATAAGGAAGAACATTATTTTGCGTTTTTTGATTTTGAAGTTGAAATTGTACGTATAAATGCATAGTATGTTATGTAACATGCGTCTGGCATCACCTAAACCAAAATTTTTGCTATTCTGCTCATACATTTTTTATACTACAAAACAATCACGTCATAGATATTGGTCTAAGAAACCAGCAAATTTAATTATGACTGACTGTAGTAATACAAGTTACAGACTACGTTAATGCAGTTTATCAGTTTATAAACTTCACGAAAAAAGAAAGGTTCACAGAAAAGGATAAACCTGTACTAGTTTATAAACATTGCACCTACAATAACTCCTGGCAAATTTTCGGTGGTGTCATTTCGTAATCGTTTATCCAAGTTGCGGAAATCATCAGGAAAGCGTTTGACGTGCAGTTCTTCCGGTGAACTACCTGGTCTGCCATGCTAAGCACATAAACACCGTTTCCAGCTTGATACTAACCGTAAGCAAACTACATATCTAAAGCAATCTCGCAATTAGCATAAATAAGAACTTACCTTCTGAACGGCTAAAATAAAGCAAATACTGTCGCCAATTTTTTCCGTTTTATCCGCAATAGTCACAGCAAAAGGGGGCGTGCTGTAGCGAATAGGATGACCATTGCTCTGGAAGACAATCTCCGAAGTATCCGCAGTTGATGTTTCCATTTTTACGCGCCAGGCAATCTTGGCATATATTCCGCTGTCGACTGAGGACTTCTAGGCCGCAGTATAAATTATCATCTGATTAAAATTCCGTTTAACCACCCGAAAATTACACAACAAATGCGGTGCCATAATCAAGCGCGAAACGCTGATGATAGGTAATCTCAGCACAAAAATTACAAAGCGTCGGATATTGATAAAGTGATACTCTCTGTTTATGATAAAACCGCTGCTCCAAATATTATGGTCCGATCACTTCCGAGCATCATGTGTATACATCTTATTTGACGAATGTCAAGTGTTTTCTATTTACACCACTCGACAAAAGGTAACTTGATCTTTCTGCGGTATAACAAACACCGTCGATGGTTAGCTCGTGTGATAAATGTGTGTGCGGACCATATTATTATCGTTCTACGCACAGCATGCGTTTTGTTGTAAGGTGCAATACGGTTTTCCAGTAGCTCGTGAAAAATCTCTCTAACGCGAGAAATATGCGGTTTCAATAGGTATAGTGTGGATTCTTGGGCCAGCTTTGTAATGAGGATCTTGATCATTTTGGTACACAGTCGCTATAATGCCGAAATGTAAAGTCATCACCAAACCGGTTTCTGACCCTGAAAACGATCGGATACAAATACTCTGTAGTTGATCTTACTCTCTGCCCGTTAATAATGACGTACAGAGAAGCATATGCAGACTGCATTTACACTTTACCACCACAATAAAAGGTACATAAACCGCACAAATTTTGCAGTCTTAATTTAGATCACCAATAGAATTAAATACCGGTAAATAAATATCGAGATTCATTCAAGAAGAACAGTATCCCCAATGCAATTACAGGAAAATCTATCAATCTTGAGCTTATCGTAGTAAATATGAGCAATAAATTTGTGACAATAAATAGTAAGTGCCATAAATTTAGTAGCAGGTAAATAAACTTCCCTGAACTTTAATACTGCAAAGAAAGAAACAATAAATTAAGGCAGAAATCTAAGCCGGTTCCTCTGATATGGAAGGCCACGAAACCAAAGGCGATGGGGCTTCCATTATCCCTACAGAAATATGCATATCGCTAATTCATAAAACAAATTACAGAAAAAAGTAAGAATTAATTAAACCAATCTCACTTAGCTTTATAGTTTTACAGAGTAAGAATCCTAATGCTCACACCTAATTGCGAAGAATATATCTATACTATATGAGCATCAATGTATTATCATGCATACAGCTTCGTACCCGAAACAATGTCGTTCAATTCCGTAAAGCACATCGTCCATCCCATACTTTCCGTCTCCTTGGCTAAATCTTTCATGTGTACCGCCACCGTATAATCTAAGTCCGTCCAGTGGCTGCCATCCACAATAATCTTTCCTCCTTCCTGCTTTTCACAAATATGATCCAGTATCAGTTGACGAACATAACGCATTGCCGGAAAAGTAACACTTCCATATGGCGTGATGACCAGTTCATTTTCACATCGATAAACGGACACCGTAGGACGCGCCACCGGGAACAATAGCATGCACACCGAAATAAACATGCCAACCAATACACCGTACTCGAATCCCATAAATATGCAGCAAAAGAATGTGACGAAATAAGGAAATAAGTCGATTTTGTGGATGCGCCACATATTATCGATTACAGCGCAGTCGAATGTTGGCACAACAGCACAAATAATAACGGCGCTCACCGAGGCAATCGGGATGAAATGCAGTAACCCAACACCGTAAATTGCCGCTAACACGCCAACGGTTCCTAGTGACCAAACGTTGATGTAAGAAAATTATGAAATCTTCATGAAATTAGTACGCAAACCTGAAATCAACCCTGAAGCCGGTGTTTTTCCTTTGACCTGATTATTTAATTCAGTCTGCGTAGCGCTGGCGGTCAACGGAAGACTGGAAAAGAAGGATCCGATTAAATTGGCCAATCCGACCGCGCGAAACTCGGGAGCGTGCACACCATGGCGAGTTACGTGCGAAAGACTTTTAATGACTGCACAGAGCTGGACAATACTGATCAGCGGGATGGCCAGTAAGCTGGGTCCGAATGAATGGACAATGTCCACTGCGCTATAATTACCGAACGTAAATCGGGGAGGGCGTATTGGAATAGAACCGGGATTGACTCTGGGTGGAACGGTTATGACATGACAGTGCTGGCTGATCAGAGCCGCTTGGATTAAAGCAGCAAAGGAAACAGCAATAAGGAATCTACCTACGGAAACCGAACATCATAATTCCACTGTCCATATAAAAAAACAGGATAAATTTCATTTATGCAATACGCATACCATACGTTTCGGTGGACACATTTCGCAAATTCCAAATTGGACAAAATGACAAATTTTTCATTTCGAAAGAAAATTTCTCACGTAAAACACAATTCTCGTATTTATCTCCCATTTTTTCGCTTTTAGACGCTTGCTACTGCCGTTTATTCCTTCTACATTTATTTGTTACAAACTTTAGGGCAGCTAATTTTTATATAAATGATTAAGTACAACACAATGTGTTATCTTCGTATACCAAAATAAGCAACTTCCAAAACTCGGAATGCGAACTTGTCATACCACTTCCGCCGCACAAACTCCGAGGCCGGTTTTATGAAGAACAATGCCAAAATGATCGTCAAGGTCAGGAGGCCAATTAATAGATCCCAGTGACTAAATTTCAAATGCCAAATAAAATGCATACCATCACAACCCATATGGCGAGTTATAAAGCAACAAAACAACATTTTGAATACTACGTGTCTCACTTGGTCTCCTGGATTTTCACAATGAATTCATAAACCATATTCGGAAAGTCCGTGGCATTAACGGTCAAACCAAATAAACCATGAAGCTGTTGCATGACAATGACAATCACCGTTGCTGAAAGGAACGCTTGAGCTACGGGCACCGAAATGAAATCCACCAAAAATCCTGCATAACAAATAAAGCGACCCATGTTGCAACAAAAATGCATTTTGCGTAAATCAGGGTCAACATAAAGAAATTTGGCAGCTACAACGTCAAAATATAAAATAAAAGGATTGTACATTACAATACCGAGTCGAGCGATTCCGATTGTGAAAAGCACCACTCCGTTGTACAGTGTCAGCAGAACTGCAACATCCGCAGCATACTCCGGCGGAAATACTCGGACTTCTTGAGCAACCAAAATGGCCAACACCGCGCTGAATCCCAGACAAACGCCCTTCGTTGTGCCAAACAGCACTTGCACAAAACATCCCACAAACGTATACAGAGCATACTACAAAATCAGGCATTTAAGAGGGCAGCAGCCATACAACTAAATTTGTTTCCTGCGAATAACCGCTTAGAATTCCAATAGACATATTGCAGCGTGTGCTAAAATACCTGCAAAGGAACCCTGGAGATACTAGCCGCCGCAAGGCTTACGGGCAGGGATACCAGAGCGCACGTGAATCCGGCCACACAATCCCGATGGAGAAAGGATAATTTATATCCACAAATCCAGGATACGCACGGCAGAATTCCTTGCAGAAATGTCGACAATGATCGCGGTGGCGTGGGGCAGCTGATTTTTAATGGGTGAATGCTGTGGTATGCTCCGAATATCTCCACACCATCTTCTCCGTTGTTTGGCACGGAAGGAACGCGCGGTATGCTCATAATCGCGAGTGTTGACTTGAATGTTGCAATTAAAACGGACCCTTTCTAGTATGGATCATCTACAAGTTTTTCTAACTGTAAAATGAAAACAATTACCATAAAACTGCAATAAGTATTACGATATTCTTTGGAATTTGTCAGACATTTGGGTTTTGCCGTTTCTGATCGTGAAGTATCGGGAACTGCAGACTGATGGACCGGACTGCACCAACCGGCTGCTGACCTGCTCTTGCAGACTGCAGCTGACCATGTTCAGGCTTTATGTTTACTGTTTCTGCTTAAATTTTCCTCGTACGCTGCATGCCGATACTTTATTACCATAGAAAGTAAAAGCCTACACTTTTATTTTCTATGATATACTATATCGATATACTATATCGATCTAACACAATGCCTGCCAAAAAATGTATGTTGTTGCAACGTCCGAATTTGTTGGAAAAAAGACAAAAATCGACGCTTTTCGATTAGGAAAAGCAAAAATTGTTGCAAAAGTTCGTTCGATCTACCAATGCAAGCAAAGAGTCGTACGTTCTTCTACTACTCAGTATGGTTATTAAAATGGTACAGTATAGTATAGTGCAGTATTGTTTGCGTTTTTAAAAGCATCGCATCCAAACTGAAAGCAATGTGGCATTATCATACAGATTGGTGACGTTCTAACGCGCCAAAACATGCAAAAATCAACAATAAAAACTAAAAAAGTCCATATACAAAACAGATAAATGTAGAACCACTTTAATTAAACAGAAAAACAGTCAGTATAGACACTTTAGTTTCACGGTGTTGATCTTGAAGAAGCCGTCAATGAACTGTCCGATTCACTCCGCCTGGTTCTTCTGGGTGTCGGCACATCAAAAGTACCTGAGAACAAAATTCATTGGTTAAACTTACTAAAGTAACCAACAAACCGTACAAATTCTTTAAATCTAGACAATGCTGAAAGTAAAATCTTAGCGCGAACAGCTTAAGCTCACACAGCCTATCAGCACGCACCAGAAACCATTTCGCTCATTTCACTGAAATTGATCTGCCAACCAAGAAGCTGTATTTCCTTGATCAAATCTTTCATACGAGCAGCCACACTGTAATCCAAATCCGTCCAATGACTTCCATCTAGTACGATCTGTCCCGACACTTCGTGTTTGTCAATTTCCGCGATAATTAACTTCCTCAGATACCCCATAGCGGGAAAATTAATATTTCCATACGGCGTAACAATCACGTCCTGCCCAGATCGGTAAATGGCAACAGTTGGCCGTGCAATAGGGAAAAGGATCAATGCCACCGAGACAAATATGCCAATTAGCACACCATATTCGATTCCCAGCAATATACAGGCACAAAATGTCACGATGTAGGGAAACAAATCTCCTTTCCGGATTTTCCACATCTTATTCAGCACGGACAGATCAACATTTGGTAACACAGCACAAATGATCACACCAGCCAGAGCCGCTTTTGGTATGTAATGGAGCCAAGGAGTAATAAAAGCTGTCGCTAGTAATGCCAACGCTCCTAAAACAACATGGTATACTGCACCAACCGCTCCAATTTTATTAACAATAAGAAAAACGTCTCATTTTTTAACGTCTAATTTGTATCGTTTTTCATAGTGTGACCGCGAAAGCTCTTTTTGTTATGTTGGTGGCTACTGCCTAATAAACATCAATAAGAAAAACGGGCTCCATAGTTGTATACAAAACTGCTCAACACGCGCATTTCCGTAAGTAAAGTGTAAAACACGCTATTTTCACCGAATTTAAATACGGATGAAGTTCCAAGGCTATCTCGCGTACATAGCTTGCAAAGCGGAAATAGCAAGGTATACTGTAGATAGCGTAATAACTAAGAAAATGATGAAAAAGACAATCGACAGATCTAGTAATCCTCACCTGTTACAATTCCCGCTGCCTGAGTTTTCACACCACACTGTGCATTAAGAGCGCTTCGCGAGAAACTGGCCGTAACAGGATAACTGCCGAAAAACGACGATATTAAATTGGCTAATCCAACCGCTCTGAATTCCTGCGTCGAGTTGACGTTATAGCGGTATTCTTGGGCAAACGCTTTGGCAATTAACGCCAGTTCTAATAAGCTGATTAACGGAAAGACTACCAGACTGGAGCCCAAGGATTTGAAAGACTGCCAGCTGGTTTGATTGCCAATGTGGAATTCAGGTGGTTCAACAGGCGGCAGTCCCGGTTCAATATCAGTCGGAAGGGAAATGGCACTGATGCGTTGACTTAAAAGAGCGCCCTCCACAGCACCAGCAGCACAAATTGCAATAGCATATCTTGCTGAAATTAACAGATAAGTTAAAAAGGTACAGTCACATGTGTCTAACATGTAAGTGCTGCATACCATTGGAGATCAATCGGAGAAAGTGGTAGTTAACTTTATCGTACCACATGGTACGAACAAATCCGGGCTTCGGACTAACCCATTTCAAGAGGGTAATCACTACCATCACGGACAATCCCAAAATCAAATCCCAGTAGCTATAAAACAGCAAAGCACCAAATCTTAAAACGAGACGCTTACAAATCCAAGAAAACAGTACCGCTTTCCGGAAAACGCTTAAAACAATTTTCAGTCGTCATAAAAAATTAGGACTACATGTTCTAACATTACATACGTACTTGGTCTCTTTGATGTTATTAAAAATTTCGTAAACAAAATCAGGAAATCCACCCGAAGAAAATTTCAATCCCAACAATCCTTTGAACTGTTCGACAGCAATTATAAGGGATGCTGCCGCAATAAACGCCTTGGCCACGGAAAGTGAAACGAAGTCAACAAAAAAACCTGCAAATCAAAGCATCCTCTAAGTACGTACTACCATTATGACTGTGAGAACGTAACTGCGTATTACAAAAACTGAGGATACTTACCAAGTCGTAGTATTCCCATGGCCAACTGTACACAGCCCGTATAAAACGTAAGCAATACTGCAATCGTAGGTGCTAGCTCCGTCGGATACTGGGAAATTTTCTCCAGTACAAGGAGCGCCATCACAGTAGTGGGACCAATCGAGACGTCTTTCGACGTTCCCAGAAGTGCATAAATAAATGGTCCCATGAAGGAACTATATAGTCCATACTAAAAAATAAATGCAACCGTTGTTAATTTCGGTTCAGTTTCCAATATTCCTCATAAACACAGAAATAAAGCAAACGTTCCAAGCATTAGACTAACAATTTCGGAGCACAAAATCATCTGCTTCATTACAATTACAAATTCCAACCACAGAAATTATTTGCTAACCTGTAGAGGCAAGCCAGCGATGGCCGCGTAAGCAATACTCTGTGGCACGATTGCCAGACCCACAGTAATGCCAGCAATTAAATCTGCCAGCAGGAAAGACCATTTGTATCGCTGGATCCAGTTTATACAGGGAAGAATCTGTCGAATAATCGACGAAGGCTGAAGGTTTTCGGATTTGCACTTGCAATGGAAGGGCCGAATACTGTGATAAGCACCATAGATTTTCAATGCATCATCTATCGGCTGCAACAAAAAAACGATCAGAAGGAAAGATCACAAAAATAGCACTTACTTTTACAAGCAAGATACCGAAACCAACACCACATAACATTTTAAAAGCTCAAACAATACTGTACTCAAGGGGTTAGCAGCCCCCTTGAGTACAGTATTGGCTCAAAGTCTCAAACTAACTAAACAGTATGAACAAAGCCATTTTTGAACTTGTTATATATAACTAATATAAGTAAAGCAATTGAGAAATTCGATATCATTGTCAATTCTGTTTTACTTTATACCTGATCTCTTGCTGTAATGTAACGAGCATCTTCCATTGCTGCTGACATGCTGACGCTTCTTGCTTCCATGTGGGTGTCCAAAGAAATGACCAATAATTTCGATCAAAATGGGTTGCAAATCCGTGAACTACGTAAATAGCTAGTCTTTCCTATTCCGAGGAGGTTCGTCATGGGCTCAAACTATTACAGTTCTAAGCCTCGCCCAATGCCTTGTCACTTTGGGCAACAGAAAACCACTGGATCCCTTTTGAAAAGTCAAAAATGGAAACAAAAGCTGACCAAGCACAGTGCACATAGGCTTGCTCTAGAATCTAGATGCTAGCGTCACCGCCGTCACGCACCAGTATCTGTGCTCAAGAAACGTCAGTTTCTCAAGAGGACCATGAACTTCAAAACGTTCCAGATATGATAAACGTGCATGGGCGCACATATCACGGATCAGCCCGATATCAATGTACGGCGCATTAAAAGATAATCGGTGTAATGATAAGACAATTCACAATTGTCACTGAAAGTTTTAATAGGGTATCAGAATCACAACCGATTCAGAAGCACCTTCACAGATTTTAACAGCATGGCTGCCAGACAACATCAGTGATAACACCGTAAAAGAATGAATGTGTAAAAGTGAAAATATTAACAGTTAGTTATTAGTATTCAGAGTTATGAGAAAAAACACAATCTGGAAAATGGAGCGACATGAAAATTATGGTTCATCCAGTCAGCAAGAAAAGAACGGAGCATGACTGCATAATATTGTGATTAGTCAGTCGGGTGTCAGCGGTATATTCCTCACGGCTCGCAGTGACGTCATCGCGAATGCGTGACTGAAGTGAGAAACGCGCTACCGCTTATCGAATCGTTTTTGTAACTCTACGCAGGGTGAGTTTTTGGATTCATCGAGATTTTTTTGCAGCGAAGGCTAACCTATAACGCGTGCACACATTAACCATAATTATTATTATTTTCCAAAATATGTAATTGAATGTCTTGGTCTGGTGACTCTGGTTGACCCTTGGCGCGTTGCATGTTAAGGACACAGATGAGCCAGATTTGAGATTTGGTGGTAGATCAAAATGACCAGAATACAAAAACCTAAGAATACCTAAGAATACCTGTCTGTATTCTGTAAGGACACGTTTTCTAATCTAAGACTATTTGTTTAATTTAGCTGATATAAAAATACTTATTAATCGTGTGAATTGATAACTGTTCGGTGGTCGGAAGTGATTTTGGGAGCCTGACCGGCGCGCGATTTGAATTAGCGGTTCACACTTTAGAACTCGTAGGTTACAGCATGAAGCAATGGAAGAAATCCCAGAAAACCGTAACCTTCTTTTCTAGTGACTTGATAAAGATTAACATTTACAAAATAAAAAACAAAAACAGCGTGGTCTGTCTGATTGTTGAGAGAAATTTTTGATACTACAGCACGGCAGTGCCTGTCATGCACTGCCGGTACCGCTTAAATACAATGTGTTGTAGGTGTTGTAACTTGTATCGTAGCATTTGTCGTGCACTACCTTTGGATGTGTGCCCTTACTTACAGTAACTTAATTAGCGTGTTTCAGTATCATTACAATTTACTTCCGTTTTTATTCAGCGTACCACCTCGTGCACTGAGCTTTTTTGGACCACCAATCAGAAAGATCTAGTGGGGTCTGTCTAATAAGGGTCCGATTGTGCAGTAATTCACATAATTTACACATATCAACATCAGCCGGATTAATAAAATTATTTGGCACTTTAGTAACAGCAGAATTGAATCTCCATTCAAAGAGTCTTTGGTACTGTTCAAAATCACCGGTCAGGTTTCGCAGGTATTCCGCCAATTTGGCTGGGCGCTTAAAATCACCACTGTCAATGAGGGAATTTTTTGGGAACATGGCTGAGTAGTTAGCACCTCCCATAACAATCGGTACTGTTCCAAAATTCAACGCTCGCATGGGCTTTTCGGTCACATAATCCAGACAATTACTGCAAATAACACCAGAAATCAAAAATGATTGATTAATCAGCAGTTCTTATTATGTATGTCTGCGAAAACGTTTGTACAATAATATGCTGTTCAGGCTTCCGGCAACCGATATAATCCATGAACGGCAATTATAGTACACAGTAGAATAACAGATGTGCGCAACAATCATACTTACAACAACTTTTCGCTGGATTGTTTTATACGGTGCAGTCTTTACCTTGATTACTGCGCATACGACCTAAGAAAATAATAGCACAACTGCAGTGCTATTTTTTAGTGGAATGCCAACAAATTTGAACTTGTGTTAGAAACTGTTATTTCATTTGTTCGTGACTCGTGAGCACAATGGATGACGAGTTTATGCAATTACGCAATATAAACGTACCAACTAATCACTTTTAAGTAATACGTACATGTAAAGGTAAAACACAATCTTGTAATCTTTACGATTGCATGAGTCCGGAAAAAAATAGTTTTATACGGGTAATACCGGGGGGCTGAACAAAATGGCCGTCTGTTTTGTCATGGTACGCTGGATCCGTCCAACACTGAATTGACTTTATCCTAGTTTCATTCGATAGAGCAATGCTTTTAACATAAAAAAGTTAAGTTAAGTCAAAAATTTCCATAAGGCTGAAATTTTTTATGAATTGTTTTGTAAAACTGGCTGGGTTTGGATGATGTCCTGGAAGCGAAAATTTGAAATTACCCGTTTCTAAATTAAAAATTCTTGCTATTCAACTAACAACATTAATGTAGCTTGTTTACTATTTCTGGTAGAGAGGTTGTTTCTCGTTTTTTTACTGTAAGGAACTGCAGTATTCTAGCAACCGTGCTTGGCCAGTGCGCTGAAGAACAGAGACTTTGCACGAGTAATTCTCGTGAAACCGGCAAATAAAGTTTTGAGAGCAAATTTCTAACGTTCTACATGTAAAAGCTTACCCGATTCAATTTTGTTTCAGAAATGTGTCAGCTACATTTTAAAGTTAAATCTGCATTTTTTTGTGCAACCTGTCACGCAGCCAAAAATTGTAACCGAAAATACTCGAAAATACCAAATAAAAAACCGGCATTTTTCGAAAAAGTCACAATGAGTCTTGACTGCATAACTCGTTCAGCGTATGCAGCATGGCCACAACTTTTTTTCTATTGAAAGAAAACGTATTTTGCTAAATGAAACAGTTAAAAATATTCAAAAAGTCCGTAAGGGGAAGAAATGGCACAAGATTTTATGTTTTGCGAGCTGGGACACGAAAAATTTGCAGACAGTTTCATTTGGCATCATTGCAAACGAAAACGGCTTAATTTTTTCAAAAACTTTGTTTTAGGTTTTGTGGCTAATAAAATTCTCTATCGAATGAGCCTAAACAGTTTACGGTGCGACAAAGGGTCTGCGAAAAACAAACGAAAACAGGAGACGGCCATTTTGTTCAGCCATCCGGTAGAATCACAACTAAATTTGTAACTTTACATTGCATAGGCGAAAAAGCAGCTTCCCTTTGTTGCTTCCTATAAGTGGTGCAACCAAAGTGCTACGTATGCTGAAATGCCATATGCACTGTGCTACTAATTTTGCTAACTTTGGATCAGATAATTCTCATACCTGTTTTCAAAGGCTAGGTAAAATTTGTATTTCGCGATGATCTTCTGTTCACATTGTTTGTCTCCTTTTTGGCACGACGCCTTTCCGCACTTCCCGAAGACATCTACAGGAAAATGCTTCTCCAGTTCGGTAACATAATCCTCTCGGTGGTTTGGCGTATGACAGTTGGAAGAGAAAAACACCGACCGGTTAAGCTTTTTCTGGAGGAACTCATTGGCTTTTGACCGGTCCACCCATGACTGCACCGCCCAGTTATCAAAGTACAATGCCGAAAATATATCCGAATCCAATCGATACGTCCATGTGAGATTGAAAAAGTCACGGAGCGCAGGTTTTTTCAGATCTAGCAGCGTATGCGGAGGAGATTCCATAAGGAAAAAAACGTACAACTGTTCCGGTGTGCGATGCGGCGGTAGATCATCCTCATGGAAATCCCGGATGTGAAAAATCACAGCAGCACTCTGCGACAAGTAGCGCCGGTCATCGGTGGCGAAGCACTTATTCCGACATGCCTCCATCCTGTCATGCAAGTATGGCATATCCTCACCAAAGAATTTTGTCCAAAACAAAATAATGGGCCGTCCGCTTACATTTGGGGGCGAAGCATCAAAAGCAAAGGAGAAAACGTTGCTGATGCGATTGTCGCTAAACGGCAGCGATCCACTTTGTAGATAAAACGCAAATATCAGAAGCGTTATAACAACGATAATCGCTGGTGGACCATAGTAACGACAGTAATAATTATCGTGCCGCTTATGCATTGTGGTTTTTGGTTTCGCGGTTAGCGGCTGATAACCGTTGTTGTTTGGCGGTGGATCGTTTTCCGCATCGTCGGTGTCAGACACTTCGATTATGTTCTCCATATGTATGTCCATAATATATAGTAGGAGAAATCACTTTTCCCAAGAATGAAAGACTTCAGGATTTTATAGGTATCCATAGCGAAAAACTGAAAATTTTCAAATAAATCAGAATTCTGAAATCCATGGTAATTTGTTCACAGTTACAGCCGTTCGCATAATCATTTGGGCATCAGTGGATACTGCTTCGGCACCTCACCACGGTCAGGTGCGGCATCTAATGGCGGTGCTGGCTTCGCACAAGAATTCACCGACTGGGACGTTCCAAAATCCAAAGTCCTTTCGATGGCTATCAGTGTGCAGCCGTCGCCTGACTTTCCTTCATCGTTCGCAATCTTACCCAGACGATAGCGTCAAAGGTCCACCGACTTCCATCCCCATGAATGAGAGCCCAAAATGAACTTTACAATTCAAATCAAAAGGCCGCCACAATTATAAGGAAACTGTGGAACCGCAGTTAATTAACGTAATACTTATTCACTAGCACTGCAAGCATGTTTTTCGTAGTATTTGTATTTCGCCTACACAAGCGAAAAACAGTGGCCGTACACTGGAGCTTGCATGGTGCTCGAGATGCCTGGCACAAGCAAACGATTGGTTTAGTTTGAACTGAAAAATCAGCGATATCGTTAAACATATTTTCAGCTCGATCGATTTACGTACCAATAAAGCACTGGTGGGCATGCTGGAGAGTGCAGCAACTGTAATGGTAAGTACAGTAGGTGGAGACATCAATTTTGCCGGTTTGAGTATTGCACCACTTCCATAATACCGTATCTGTACGTAAGGAATAACGAATGTAGTTTGCAGCGATCTGCTGATCCGCGGTTGCGTGAGATAGCCGATGGGCCAGTGTTTTCAAATTCAACAGTTCTATTAATACATATACTCGTTCGTAAATCGTATATATATACTTCGATAGAAGTATTAATTTTTATTCGCTCTGATCTGCTTGTTAATGTTTTGTAATGAGTGTATTGCTGCTGCTGGTAGTGACAAATGTGGCTGGCAAATTAGTCAAATTAAAAATTTGTATATTTGAAATAGTAATACATATAAAAAAAAATATAAACTGAGATAATGCACCGATTGGTTCAAGGACAGACCAGAGACTTTCGTTTTGAGAACATTATTATACTGAAGAAATACAGTACTGTAAAGTGTAACACGTTGGCACGGTGCCCTGCTACATATTGACATGTACAAATTAACAGAAAGGAATTATTAAAGTGCAGATGCGCTTAATTATATACATATTATAAAGTCGTTGAAATTACACAGTAATTAGCATGTTTATCGCAAAAAAGAAACATAACGTCTGACTGTACAATATGTCGTTCTTATCGGAAGCAAAATATCCCCCTTCCACTGAAAATGGTAGCTTTTAAATATATAGCCATGCTACGGTTTTCGTCCACGTAAGGTCGGTTATGATCAGAAACCGAAAAGCCACAAATAAAAGAAAGTGTCAAGATCTCGGAACAAAAGAGAAAAAACGAGGACAGTCGAAAAATGCTCTTTATAGACTTTAGGAAGCTTTTTGCAGCAACAATAACTTGTTTGCTATATTTCCAGTTTTTAACATTGAAACACGTTAATTTACCTGTACTTTATCGTAAACAGTTGTTTTAACGTTCATGTTTATAGTTCATTGTCACAGTGTTTGAATGATTTTCTGCACCGAGTAACGCCAGAGTGCCCACGATACTTATACACGTCTAATGTCGAAAACGCTACCGGCAATCAAGACACTTTTCCATTCTTCGGCTATACCGCAGTACAGTTCTATCATTTTTCTAGTACTGCTCATGATTACTGTATATATTGTATTGTATGAGCAGTATCTAAAGGTACTGTACAATACCACTTCTACAGAATTACCTCTCTGAAGTCTGAACTATTCTTAACGCGAAAAGAAGATTGCGTTAATGAATCTGCCGACTTCCATTATTATTTTCACATCATGTAAAGCCCCTTCTCCATCAGCACAATACCGGTACCGGTTATCTTGACCGATCAATAAATGCTACATTTGTAAAACCGAAGTTGGCTTCTTTTTACTAACGCCGGCTTATCATTTTGATGATTCCATGGTGTGATCTACCAATGGAACATAGCTGTAAAAGAATAGAAGGTATGTTGTTCCTTTCACGCAGGCCCAAAATTTATTGCATTTTAAATTCTTTCGCTTGTGAAAACCAAAACGGATCGTCCGTCCATCAATTGTAACGTTGTTGAGATCGCTTCCGATGGAAAACCGCAGATGGAAACAGCATCGCAGCTCCGATGGCGGTTTTCCCTACTGTGCGTGACCTTTTTGTTTTGTCTGGCTTTGTACACTCTGGCGGGACCGGTTGGTCCCTATGGTCGCTGTCCGGAAAGTAATCAGTCCCAACAGGTGAACGACCGTTGCCGATTACGTCGGTTTGTGGCACCGCGCGATAATAACGCGCTCTTACAGTGCGCATCGGCGACATCGTTTGACATACGTGATGCATTAGTGCGGTATGCTTATCAGAAGTGTCAATTTGTGCTATTTTTGGACATTGTGTCCTTCATCGGCAATGAAACCCTGGATTTAGCGGAAGACACATTTGACTCCATTCCAACTATTACCACACATTTGCAGTTGTGGGGATTAACATGGATTATACCGAAAAACTGGAATGAATTAACACCGTTTGTAGTAACGAATATGATCAGACAACTACACCTTGTCAACATGAAATTTGTGCCCCCGGATAACACTTTGCCGTTCGATTTATTCAAAGGATTAGATCAGGTACATCATTAACTTCTCGTAGGTATATAAATTTCATATGCGGCTCTGAACTTATACGAGTACGTAACACATGTGCGAGTTCACGGCTGCAGAAGGTAGTTTAGGTATTTAAATATAAAATTACAAATACCAGCACATGCAAATCGATGTTATGCAAATCGTTGTAGGTAGATAGGCTACATTCGAATGGGACTCGTTAATTAATTGCAAAAGAGCCATAAAATCTTTTCTGCTTTATTTGCTTACTGCTGCTTTATCTGCTGCTTTATTTGTTTCTGCATGATTTATTTTTCGGTAGTTAATATTAATACTGTTACATACTTCATCTGTTTGAGCGTTGTTTCATTTAATTTGCCGCTCAGGCAGATAACAAGATCCGATTTAGAGTTTAGATATGTATAATATTCAAAAGATTTATATTGTCGGTTTCGAGCGTGTAAAATGGTAATAGTTCACCATACAAATTCTTTAAAATAGCGTCGACCTGACAGACTTGCAAAAAAGCGTCGGTAATTTTCCCTTGATATACCCTGTACTTCTATGACTGATCTCTGTAAATACGCAAAGCGCATGAACATATTTATATGCAAATTTGAGCGGCGAATTTGGTGAGGTTATAACATCCGCTTTATCGATTTAGGTGGAGCGTGTTGCTATATTTCATACGGAGTTACCCCTTGTCGAAGAAGGGTTTTTTGACGTTCTTCCGAAACTTGGCTGCCTTAAATTGTTCAACATTTCCATTCCATGTTTATGCTCCATGAAGTGGTTCCATGACTGGATTGTAACTAATCAGTTTACCATGATTTTCAATGGTGACCCGGTAAGATTCTAATACTTTGAACCTTTGTTGTTTTTGCATATTTTACTTTTCTGTATCCTAATTCGGTGGGCGACCAAATCTGAATGTTACTGAGCAGTGAACATACCTAAACCGAAACGAAGTACTGTCTCTCGTTCTGGGGTTGGCTCTTGCCGCTTATGATTATAATTTTCTAGATTATTGAATGAAACTGTATGTACCATAGGCGCTATACCGCACCGGATAACGTAATCATCTAAATTTAGCGAGCACATTAAATGGGAAGAGGTGTTAATTTTTTCCTTTCTTATGTAAGGATTGCGGCATTTATAACACCAACTGCTATGGAAATGGTTTGGATGGCGTGTGGATTTTAAGTCCTGATGTGGACACCGAATTAAACAAGTGTACAACAGCGACGAAACTCTCACCAAAAAGTATCTCCTTGAAACTACGTAATTTTGATAATGGCACCGACGAAGAACTGCAACAAATGCTACAGGACGGTAGCGAATTATGGATGGTCAATGGTCAAGCGTCACTACCCAATGGAAGCGCTCCCACTCAGGAAGGTCGCACCATGATTCCACCAGAACGCCGCACTGACATTCAGACACTGGATCCCATCAGTCTGGAGTGCAAACCCGAAGGATTCCGGGTAATGATTCCCTTGCAAACCTCCCCGGTAACGAAAGCGGAATTCTGGAATTTTGGTAATGTCACCAAGTGCACCAGCGAAGGAAACATGGAGAGCAGTGAACGCATGCTGGTGCTGACGACAAATTACACGTCCTGTGGCACGGTATTGACGGATGACGAAGAACGCCTGACCTTTCAGAATGTGATTGTCGTAGAACACCCTGCTGCCGACGACAACAACGATGTGCTAATTGAACGTGTGACCTTTTCCATGATACCGATTGTCTGTGTATTTATGCGCACCGAGCAGTTCTCCTTTCTACAGACATCGGATCTGCAGCCGGCGAATGTCCGCCGCATGAAAGATCCCCTCAGTGGTGTCAATACGGCCAAAGTGAAGTGAGTCACAGTGTTATTAACTATGCAGTCAAGATGTCGGCGTGTGTGATAATTAAAGTGTGATAACTGTCAACTGTTATATCCATGAAGCGTGAAGATAAATTAGAGGTTAATATGCGTTTTATTTTTTTCGTAGGATCGAAATCGTCAATGCAGTGGCTTCCGCCCTGAATAACATCTTCTCTTTCGATATTTTTGCGGAAGCGATTGCCGATCCGCGATTGTCTCTGATGGTAGAAACCCTCTACGCCACCCCCACAAACAACAGTGCTGATGTCAAGCGATATGACATTATTGTTGACGGGTGAGAAATTAATGATTTATTTATACGGTTAAAAACCCCTAACCCCTAGGAATTAGCGCAGAGATAAATAATAGTTTGTATTGACTAGACTATTACCTAGTGCCGAAGAGATTAAAGTTATTTGCTATTGCAAAACAATTTAATTGCTAGACAATCGGTGGTTATTATATGAAACATATGGTTTCTCCTGCCGTTAGTTATTTTGTAGGAAACAACGCACTGATTTTTGTGCAAACACTAGCAGTTTAACCCAACTTATTATCGCATAAAATACAGCAAAACCGTTTTGGAAATTTAAGTCGATGTTGATTTTCATAAATCTTGCGATAACATTTAGTAAACTTGCCTTATTAATGTTAATTGGCAAACTGCAACCATAAACTTAAATACACAAATATCTGTAGTCTTGTTCTTGTAGTTGGTGAGGGTCCTTTTTAACTATGGTTAATCTGAATCATTTTAATTAGTCTCTATTTGCGCAGGTACTCGTATTCTGATATGTAAGCGCAATGGCTTTTGCAAAATAAAAATCATATTAGAGACATCAGGTTACAATTTCCATTCAGAATCGCCGCACTAGCAGGAAGTCACCAAACGAGTATTTGCAGATTTCTTGGAGCTGCAGTAACTCTAAAACTTATTATGCGCAAAACCACAAACAGCCCACATAACAATTTTTCTACGATAACAACAGAGTGAGCCGACAAATAGACTTTTTTATCTATGTTTTTTTAGTTGTCCAAAAGACGGCACACTGCAGTCCACGCCTCTAATTGACGGCAAGGTCGGTTTCCGGTTTACGATGACGCCTTTCAAATTCCGCGGCAACGCTACCAACGATGTCTACCTACACGGTCATGCCATTCTGTGCAACAACTTCAGTGAGAAATGCGAATTTGATTGCACCTCCAAGGCACAGCCAAGTAAGTACTTTAATTACTAATACACTTATGATGTCAACAATCATTACAACTTCGACACGGCGCACCGCCTTTGTTTTGTCTTTTCAGGAATGATGCCGTCTCAACGTTCACTCAATGACATTGATTTCGATGTGGTCAGATACTCGAAGACGTCCGTTCTGCGAGCCGCGGAAATGATCTGAGGAAATTCCCTCAGAAATTCGATGCCAAACTGTTCCTTATGCCAACTGTGATAGATCGTTTTATTCTGTGATAAGTAAACAAAACATTCATCTCCATACCCGATTTTGTAAGTCGCTACGGAAAACTGAAACACACGCTTTGTAAACAAAATACAATCAATAAACACGATCAATAATGGGAACTGAAGTGGCTTAACTGCTTAAGCAAGTTTTGCCGTTCACAAAAAACGAAAGATTTCGATCAAATATCAAAAATCTGTGCCAACTACAAACGAGACCAGTCTGGGCAGTTCAGTTCGTGGAAATCACATCTTGAGCGTTGTCTGTAACAACATCCATTTCTACCTTCACTTCCTTCGATTCATTACTTTCCATCGTTTCATCCGGATTTTCATCCGCCGATTCACTCTCCGCTTTAATGCTGCTGCCTTTCTCGGCGGCTTCCTTGGCACGCCGCTCCGCACGTCTCTTCAGTGCCCGTTGGCGAGCTTGAACATTTTTCTTCTTCGGCAATCCACCCGGTGGTTCAACTATAATCGTCTTCCAAGCGTCCTTTCCATACTTTTCATCATGTTTCGATTTAAACATTGTAATGAAAACACCGCCTGCTGTGCGACGCTTTTCACCATCCTAAAAGTGAAAACTGAATCGTTATTATAAATTACGGGAAACTCACGCAGAAACAACAGAAGCTATGAACTGGAAATAAAAATATTAAAGTTTTTCGGTTTCGGTACCTTCGTCAACATGCCCCCGTTCTCCTCGATAGTCTTTGTCAGCTGAAGTAAGGTGCGGGCCTCCGCGTTCCCCAAGTGACTCACAATCTGAGCTGAAAACAAACAAACATCATTAAGCCAAATATTCTACAACTTCCCTCTACTTTAATGGATCCCTGAAACAGCTTCCAAATTTAATATATGCGGTTCCTATTTGAGTATTAAAGCGGCATAAGTATCCATAAGTCCAGGCCCGTCTTCAGGGGGGACGGGCCCCTTTCCTTCGGGAGCGCAAATTTTTAAGACTGGCGCCGACGTGAGAAAATGCGACTGGCGAAGCCCGCACTAAAATTTTCACAGAAAAGTGTAGAAAATTGGCTCCTAGAATTTTAGGCCATTTTCCAACTCACGCAGCTGGGGCGAGCCGTGCGCTCCCCCTTCAAAAAAGCTAAAGACGGGCCTGCGTAAGTCTATAACTGTAACTTTCTGTACGGTTAAGTGTAATAAGTTAGTCTGTACTTATAAGGCACAATAAGGACGTACTGGCATGAAACTAATGAATGGGTGGGTAACCGTGGGATAAGCTAACGAATACTAAACATAAAATATGAGGTGCAACTCGGCAGAAGCCCACAACCGCTGACTATGATTAGGGAATCTACTTTCTGTGGAAATCTGAGCAACTTGATAAGAATAGACTTACTAATTGTCCAGGGATTAAATTTCTCCTTGAGTTGATGAACAGCTTTGCGGGCGGCCACATCCAGCGTATCTAAATCCTCAATCGGAGAATTCATATCGGGATATGAGGAGAAAAAGTGCGTTTTGGGTGGGCGACGTTTAGCCCTGGGCACCTGCACATTTTTGCGCTTCTCGCCCTTCTCCGTCTCGCCGCCGACGCTAGGCTGATCCCCAGCGCCGACTTCGCCACTGGTCGAGGACACGCCGTCCTCTGCGCATGACTGAACGCTGCTGGTCTGTTGGGATCGAGATCCGCGCTGTCCTGGTCGGCGACCCTTTGGTCCTTTGCGCCCCTTGCGAGCAGGGCCCCCTGTCGTGTCCGCCGAAGTCGACGGAGCATCCAGATCCATGTACGCGAGTTTACTCGTCTTGTCGTCCGTCGTCACCCTCGATAGGGACGATGTTAGATCTTCTTCCAGCACGGCGTTTTTCCACACATTTCCCCGTTTACGCTTCTGCACAGTTTTTGGAACAGACTCGGTCGGATTAGTGGAATCACCCAGAGTAACAGGGGAAGATCCATCGTCGTCGATGTCGCCATCGGAAATCTGGCCATCCTCTGAATCGCTGTCTCCTAATGGCTGGCTTCGTGCCTGGCTGGCCATGTTCAAGCCAGTGTCGATTCGTTGGTTAATTCGTAAATCGTCAGCTGAGTGCCCTACTTACGTAGCTTGCTTCATCCAAGCTCTGGACAAGAAAATTTTTTTGTTGCGAAGAATCTTAACGGATAATTCGGTATAATCTCGTTGTTTACATAAAACGCTCACATGTAAAACGAGTTTTCCATCGAAAGTATGTGAAGCACAAGAAAGATGGTACAGTAGTAAAAATAATTCTTCCGAAAATTTCAAACCTTTTCCATTCTTTCCCAACCAAACCAAAAGCGTTAATACTACGCGCATTTGAGTCTTTTTGAAAGCGAGAAGGCAAACTGCCTCCTAAAGGGGCAGCTCCTTACTATCATTTACAATAAAAAAATAAATAATCTACATTTATTTAAGTATAATTAAAAAAGGTGAACTACTGTACTCGTATAACAGCTATCAGCTACATTGTGTTTTTTTACCCGCCAGAACGATAAATTACATTATCAATCATCAATCTAATTAATTTTTATAGATACGCTGTAAATTGTAGATCTAGATTATAGCTCCCGGTGGAGCCGTTCGCGAACGGAGGTCGCATTCCCGGGCTGGATTTCTGTGCAGATACGCTGGCGTAGATTTCCGATGCTCGTGCCTTGCCGGTTTTTTGTCGCATCTTCTTGCCCATTTTCGCGATCAGGCGTTAGCTCCCGGCCCGAAGGATCCCCTAGTTTCGAATGCCAGGGCGGTGAACTGGTGGCTGTATGGTTCCCTGGTAATACGTACTTAGTGACCTTGTCTCGTTCGGCTTACGCTGCCGCTGCCTTGCAGTTCGCATGGATGTTGCCGCGATGTGCAACAAGCTGCCACTGTATCCACGCACGTAACATCCCAGATGCAGATAGTACTACTTATGGGACACAAATATAAATACGCAAACGAAGATAAGCACTTTTTTTCACGTCACAGCCTAAGTTGAGTCATACGGAGGCTTCCAATAAACATCAGCTTATCTTGTAAGACTAAGCTGTTAACTTTGGGAGCCCCTTTGCGTACCGCCATCATTTAAATTATAAAACGACAACAAATTCATCAAATTGGTTAATCAATACTATTATTTAGAGTAAATTGTTAGGGCATATAGAAATGTTAGGAAAACTTCCAAACAAAAGTAAAAAAGATAAATTATAGAAGAGCACGCGATGCGCTTATGCTGTAGTACGAGAAATAAGCCACTTATTTGGGTTGTCATTTCAAAAAAACTACTCCCGAGTAGTTTCTTTATTTTGCTTATCATGGGCGGGATATGCAAGTTCTGCATATCTGCGTCACGCAGTATGGACCAACTGCCGTAAAGGGGAGGTCGCTGTGACGTGAAGAAAAGTGCTTTTCTTGGCTTGCACATTTATATTTGTGTCCCATAACTTAGTGTCGAATTCACCCTCTTTCCCATGGTCGAATGTGTACGGGCAAATGTTGTACCAGCCATTAGACTTTAGTTTTTTTCTTTTTAGCACTATTTCAGTTATAAAAGCATGTTAAATATTTCGAAATCGGAAACGACGTTTTGGTCATAATCGGAAAGATGTTTTATTCACGCGTGTGGGACCTGAACTCTGAAAGTAAAACACAAAATTGCCTGTTGCAGAAATCTGCCTTGTGCTTATGCTTTATAAGTTCGTGCTAAAATATTTATATTTATATAAGTACTGTAGTTGTGTCGAAATATACTTAAATGTACGTATCTGTATAATAAACAGACAACTTTATCTGTGGTAGTCGGTCGATTTGTGACTTGTGTATTGAGATTGTTAATACAGATATCGACCGCATAAAATAATAGACTAGAAATAACTATGTAAAGTTTGTAGATGGTGTTGTAAAATAAATATTCTGTAATAATATTATACGGTACATATAAATAATTCGCTCGTGATTTACCACAAGCATTCTGGTGGTAGCTGTGACATTCTGAAAATTTGCAAGGGAAATTACGCAAAATCTTCAGAGATAGAAGTATGCAAAGTATTTACTGTAGTAGTACTCAAACTGTCCAGCAATCCAACTCTTACAATTCGCAGCGCATTTTAACAGCGTATAGGGTGGGTAAAATACAGTTATAAGGTTTCTTCTTACGCTATTTCAGCTTGTGGGTATTTCACTTATCATTATAACTTACATTTTCGACAAACTTGCTGGTCATCAATGCCTGCGATTGACCGGGCATTTACCTTTCGTTTTTCTACAAGTAATGGTGGCAGACTTGTGGTTAGTAACTTACTGGTATACGTAAGTGGTAACATGTATATACAGAGTAGTGGCCATAATCAGCTGTGCCGGTATGAATTAAATTCGGCGACATTCGCAGTCGCAGCTAGTCGGAAGATCAATTAGCATCCTAATGTTCATCTACCGACTACGAGTGTCAAAATACATATTGTACCCGTTCATAAACAAAAAGCTGAATAATCGAACTGATGCTAACCCTGCTTGTTCACTACGCGCGCCAAAGTTTAGCGGCACATGCAATAATATCATTATACGCTGTGGTAGATCGCGGTACTTCAGAATTTGTTAGCTTAATATTTTTGCTTTCATAATTCTTATAAACTCTCAAAGACAGCACAAAAAATTTCATCAGTGCCCTACTGTACTGTTGATCATACCACACGGTATTATTTAAATATATTCGAAGTCCGTCAAGTTTAACCATAAGACGACCTCTCCGCTTCTACCCAATATGGAACAACGACTTGTTGTAGCGCTAATGCTGCTCTTTATGGACATTACGTTCTGTCAACCAGTTCCTGAACCAATGCCCAGATCAGCGGTGCCAGTGGATGACCCTTCTTTGGAGTCACAAAACGATATGACGGAAACAGACGATCCTTGTTCCGAAAGGCATAACGTCCAACCCGGAGAAACATGCAACAATATAGCTGCTTTGCATGGTTTGAAAGTCGACCAGTTGGTGCTTTTGAACCCCGGTTAGTGCTAACTTGTAAATGCTAATAACAGTAAACACCCGGGCACGCAGTGGAATCAATAGTGGTTCGAGAAGTATTAATTGTGGCCGAAGCTGGCAAATATAATACTTCGTTACTTCCGCTACTAGAGTATCACTTCTGCCACTAAGTATTACTTCTGTTACAAAGTAGGTATCTACTTTTATTACTTCTGCTACTAAGTAGAGTGCAAGTACGTCGTATGTTGCAGAATCTAGAGTTAAAACTGCCTTGTATAAATATTCTATACTTATGCGTAATGGAAATTTTAAGTATTGTAATTACGTACGTTAGATGGAAGCACATTTACTCATATTATGCTAGCGACTACAATAGCCTTTCAGGGGTTTTCGGTGTCTCAATCCAAAATATTTGCAGGAATGGCATGCAGACCGTTCTTCTCCGGCATGAACCTATGCGTAGACCAAAGTAAGATATTATTACAATACAAAAAATTAGATGGCGCGCAACAGTGCTTGTTTGGATTTAGGGTTAGTCCGAATGATGTTGTGCATGTAAAGTGCATGCTTGTATCTATGCCGGCAGTATACGCCGGTATTAATATATATACTTATTATGTTACAGTATACAAAACGACTTGAAGCTTTTCTTAATGATTATTTAGCGTGATGTTTTTTTTTTATTTTTTTTACTGGTATTCACTTTAATAACAAGTAAGTATCACTTGCAAGTACAAACTGACTGTGAGCACCAAAACAAATTTAAAACAAAAACAATTCCTATATGCTTTCCTGTTCAAGGATTGATGCTTGTGTTTTTGTGTCTGCTGTTGATCGGCGCCATAAATTTTCTTCAGGAGCATTGGACGCAATTATGAGCGATGCAACGAATTCCCAAGGATTTCGGATGTTGAGCAGAGAAGAAATGGATTACAACATAGCCAACGCCGATTCGGCGGCCGTGCAAGGAGATATCAGCGAAACCGCCGGTTATGGCTACACCTAATTTACTTACTCGAAAATCATGGCCGACTTTCGACAACCGAGTTGTACTGCAAGTAATAGATATTTACAATTTTTGTGTCAGTTGTGTTGTGCAGATGAAGCAATCAATGGACTGGAATTAGAATGTACAGAACGAGAACTTATAATTTTATGTGATGTGGGATTTACGGCTCATTTACTGTACTGTATGTACTAATATAAATACTAGCCGGCTTTGGGCCAGCTACGGATCGCTGCTGAAAAAACCACTTCGTTGTAACCGCCTGGTGCTACTCGAATTCCGTAAAAAATAACACTTGTGATAAATGTTTATCTGAATTTCATGAAATAATCAAGCGGTAATACTCATATGCATAGTTAATATTAAAATGTAGTGTAAAATTAACGATTTCATTACGTAATCATACAACATACGGCTACTTGCATTGTCGGCATCTGCCTACTCCCGGGTGCATGTCGCATAGCATATTACATAAATTATTTCATATTTCAAGTTCTAGGGTAGGATAAGAATTTTCAAATTTTCCGATCTGAGGCAGTTCGTCTCATTTCTGCTTCTTGTGATCGAAAGTTCAAGCCCAAAATTGGATCGTGTATGGCGTTAATGTCCATCTAGAAATATAAAAAGGCAACAGACTAGTAATAATTAAAAATGACGGATGAAGAGATGGAGATTCCGGAACAGTCGGGTGATAAGGACGAAGACGCTGCTATGGAAGCAGCTAACAGCGAGCACACTACTTCCGACGAATCTGATGGTGAGGGGGAATCTGGTGACGAGCAGGATTATTCTGATGAAGAAGGCAACGTCGAAGCCGGTGAAGAACAGGAGGAAGGCCCAGCTCGTGTATATCTGCCTGGTGAGGCTGAAGATGCGGAGAAGAGCGGGGACCTGGTGTGCGATATGGCAGCGTACTCCATGTACCACACTTGTGGAACGCGTAAGTTCTCTTCTAAAAGTGCATTTTCTTCGATTCCTATTGTTGTAGAGTAATAAGTGGGTTACTCACACACAGTCCTTCCTTGCTTGAGTTTCGACGTTATTCCGGATAATCTGGGAGAGAACAGAGCAACGTTCCCCGCGACCTGTTATTGTGTAGCCGGCAGCCAAGCGGACCGTGCCAACAAAAATTCCTTACTCGTCATGAAAATGACTAATTTAACCGCAACAAAGCCGGATAAAGGCTCTGATGAGGAGAGCGAAGAGGATGAAAGCGATGACGAGGATCTGCCCGAATTGGAGTGTGCACAAATTCGGCACATTGGTTCTGTCAACAGGTTGAAAGTAAGACTAGAACTGCCATTTTGCAGTATTTTAGTTTTCAGTGTTTTTGGTTTTTCAATTTTTTAAAAATTTTTCTTCGTTATTTTTTCCGATCTGCTCGTCTATGCTTAGAATTCTTTAGTTGGTTTCCGATTTCTCAAAAAAAAACCTTTTTCTAACATTCTGCTTGAAAATTTTTCACTGTTTTGCTGAATTGGTGGGAAGAATGCCAACTGACTGTAGGTTAATGCTGTGTTCGAGCTGAAATAACTTCTGCTTTTTTAAATTAAAATATGAATATGACCATGGGAGTATTCTTAGTTACTGGTAATGAAAAATAAAGTATTATTATTGCAGAGCATTTGGCTACAGTCGAACAAGCTGATCGTCAAATTATTGTTGCAGTTCTGCCGAGTGGGCGAAATTCCTTTAGCTGCGACTTTCTCGGAAACAGCAGCAGTACATCTGTGGAATCTGTCCAGCGCACTGAACGCCGTGGATGATTCCCGTGTAATGAGCACCTTCCAGCAGAACTCACCGAAATATGCGCCCGTGTACACATTTTCCGGCCACAAAACCGAGGGTTATGCGTTGGCCTGGTCACGCGCCGCAGCCGGTTGTCTGGCGAGCGGTGATGCAGACGGTCGCATTTTTGTCTGGAAGCCTTCCCAGGGAGGACAGTGGCATATTGATGCACGGCCATATACTAGCCATTCGTCCTCAGTTGAAGACATTCAGTGGAGTCCCCACGAGCCGAACGTAAGCAGACTGGCTCCGGCTACAGCAATCGTTGCAGAATTGTAACTGTACATTTCAAACAAGCCATGGCTGTGATAACACGCTCAATTTTTGTACCCTAGTAGGTGGTTTTTCATTTTTAATTCTAGGTGTTTGCTTCCTGCTCTTCAGACAAAAGTATTAAAATATGGGACGTTAGAGAGAAGCCTAGCGCTGCATGCAAGCTCACAGCAACAGAAGCACACTCGCAGGATGTTAACGTTATCCATTGGAATCCTACTGATCCATTTCTCGTATCGGGCAGTGACGCTGGGGATATTAAAATATGGGATCTGCGCAGATTTACCGTACGTGTTTCAAAGCTTGCTAGATTTGTAATGAGCTATTCTGCATGGATTGCTCGGGAGTGCTGTAAACTCTGGTAACAATTTTCCAGACAGAAAATGCTGCTGTGGCTGTTTTCCGGCATCATCGCGGTCCCATATGCAGCGTTGAATGGCACCCAACTGATTCAACAGTTTTTGCCGCAGCCGGTGAAGATAATCAGTTAACGCAGTGGGACATCGCTGTGGAGAAAGGAGAAGACGAACCAAAGGAACTCGATGCTGTTCCGCCACAGCTTCTTTTCATACATCAAGGCCAGACTGAAATCAAAGAGCTTCACTGGCATCCACAAATTCCTGGTGTTGTTCTTAGCAGTGCTCTTAACGGAATAGATGTTTTCAAAACGATTAGCGTGTAAATTCTGTTGACGTAGGCTATCTGCGGAATTGGTTCAAAAATAAAATAAATGTTGGTCTTTATTAAAATGCATCAGATTTTTGTATCACATCGGTGTAGTGTGTGTGATAATTTCACGCTTGACATTCAACAACCACAGTTTCTAATGAAAGAAACAAGCAAAATAGCACACGAGATTCCAGCCTTTCGAACAAACATACGGTATTACATTTTTATATACACAGCTATTCACAAAACAGCTATTCACAAAAAGTTGTGCACCTCAGTCACAGAACAAGATTAAATTAAATCGCACTTCGTTTTTCTTGCTGGTTATTGCGCTGAACAGTATCTATCCAATTCATTTGACGTAGACTGATCCTTCCCTCGCGTGTAACCACATTGATTTCAGCAGTTTCCGTTTCACCCGGAGCAATTTCCTCTGCAATAACTCGCGATTAATATTTAACAGCAAATTCATAGTCAGCTGGTACATATATTACGGATCGCTCACGCTTAGAATCCATCGATACGTTCTCCGAGTCCACAGGGTACGGACTTTCTAATTTCAAATCCCCTCGTACAGAACTGTCCAAACCAAGGCGCACGTTGCCCTTAAGGCATTCCACTTTCAGGTTTCCGGTGCGTGCCACATTGGCCGAAAGATTTCCATGCCCCAGACTCGCACTGAGGTCGCCTTCAATAGAGCCTACCGCAAATAAAATGTCGAGCATTAATAACAGAAAACCAAATAAACAGTGCGAATGAAACTGAGCAAAATGTACATAAGTTATTCGTGGCAGCAAGTTTGAGTGTCCAACTACTTTTATTAAGAAGACACACAAACTCTGCCGGCTCTAATTACCAATACTGTTGTCAAGATTTTACAAACCGGTAGAGAATACTCGTACATAATTCCACAAAAACTAGGAAACGTTTCACAAGAGCTTCAAATCAAAGTGCCAAAAAAACCGTTATATACTTCACCTATATCAACATTCCCATGAGTGCTCCAAATGTTGACATCTTGTCCTTGAATATTGTTGGCAGTAATATTGCCGTGCCGGCTGGATAGCTGCACCGTATCACCGTAGATTGCTTTGCAGTTTATCGGTCCTTCAAATGTATCAATTTTCACCACAGACCCCTGTAATCGGTCTGCCCGGACGAATCCGGCCACGCCCGTTTTAATGGAGACATTCCCTGTAAGGTTACCGGTCACCTCCACTGATCCGTTATTGGCAAAAATGCTGGCCTTTTTCGTCTTGACTTTATGCAAATGCACGGAACTGTACTCGGACGATATATGACATTCTGTTGGCTCAACACCCGTGATTTTTACGTCGGCGTCGCCGTTTGCTGATATATCCAGAGCCAGGTGGTTTGGGATTTGAATAGTGCACCCGCAATATTCTGCATGTTCGCCATTTGTGCACGATAAGCTGACTACCCGAGAGTCTGCAGAATTAAATGCACAATATCGAATTAAAAGAGTGCAATCCACAGTCCCGCACCAACTAGTATGTGATGCCGGGTAGTAGTGGAAATTGGCAACTGCCAACTGTGACAACGCAGCAATACACGTAATATAAATATTATGTACACTTGTACAGTAGGTCCTGCTTAAATTTAATAATGTTTAGTGTTGGACAGCTGACGATAACAAATTGTGAGAATTTCACAGCAAGTTAATAAAAGCCGCAACTTATAAATCATGTTATCATGTATCGTGTACGTAACGCCATAATATTAGTAAACCCAATGAGTGGGTGTTTAGTAACATTGTGGTAACAATCATTTATTACCATTTCCTTTGGTCGGAATGAAGTCAACTTGATGCTTTTCAACGAAACATCCACTGCAGTGCGAAACCACCACCCGATCGCTGTCCGGATATTTCGTGTGGTCCAGTGCAACGATTTTTGGAGAACAGTCCGATACTCTCAGCTGCAGCAATCCGAAGGGTTGAACTGGGAATTCGGTTTGCTTTGATAAAACCTTTTCCGCGATTCGCTCCGGCATACGGCGAGTGGCGGTGGCTCGCAGGAACATGGCAACCGATTTATGCATGGTTCAGCTGCCGTAGTATGCTGCTAAATGCTAATGCGCCTGTAGCAACTCGTAAGGGATAAGCCAGAAAGCCGATGGCCGTGCGAGATCAAATGCAACTCAGCATAAGCGGTTGATAGCAGGAATCGCGCCAAACCCAAATAACGAGGTCAGACTATGGCAAGATTCTCGGACACAGACAATCGAAGGCTTCGGGCGATGGAACCCAAGTAGCACAACACTAGCAACAGCTGATCAGGCGGTTATCACGCACAGAGCACGAGGGTGCTATTTGTTGCGCCCCTTCTCAGGCCTTCTGCCCTCCAACTAAGAGTATAATCGTCAGCCGAAGATTTACCGCAGTTTACATCTCTCAAAGGAGGCCGACTCACAAGACAAAAAGATGGGATACTGCAAACGATATACAGCACCGTCGTAGGATTTCTAAATAAACATTATTTTTATTTTAAAAAAATCTTAAAATCGCTCTTCGACCCTGATTCCTGGTCCGGACACATGAAAATTGCTACAGTGATAAGTGATAAGTCAAAAAGCTACGAAATTAACCTGCTGTACCTGCAACTACCAACCGCTGGTCCCCGTTGTTTAGTTGGCTATGAGGATACCGACACCCCCCACGGGAGACAGCGGGCTGTAAATAACGAATGTTTGAATTCTTTCTGGAACTTCGGACCATTAATGATTAAAAGTGACTTAAAACTGCAAAACTGTTTGATACCTTGATAATCTTTTTAATTTTTATGGTTTCTAGTACTTACCATCCAATTGTGACTGTGCCAGTTTTAATCTTTATCTTACGTAATTTTTGTACGAACTTGTATGGAGCACGCGAATACTAAGCAAAGTCAGTATGTGCAAGTAGTCGAACTGGCGAGATACACCGACGAACTGGGACGAAACTTAAAGCTCAGCTCTTCGCCACTTGCGCAAGTGGCGCTGTTTCTATTCGTTTGCGTTTCTAGAGTTGTGCTTAATTCAATACCTGGACAGTTCTTTGTGGTTGTTGCAGATTGCAATAGCGGGGATTTGTGGTTGACTTGATTTGAAGGGGCTTGCTGGACTACTCCGAGAGAAATCTGTGATTCACTGCATTGGCACCTTTGTCAGTGCTTGAATTGACCGCATTCCTTCGTCATGGAAGAATACGGCCCGGATTCCGGTGGTCGGCAAAAAGTGAGTCATTTGTCGTTTATGTTTATTGAGAATATAAGGTGCTTACTAAAATTTGAAAGGGTTTGAGTGTGCGAGGATCAAACCGTTTTATTGATTTGCAGAGCCGATAATTCATAATCGTCATGCATTTCAGAATACTGTGATTGTGAAGCCCATTCTAATTGGTTGCAAATCCAAGAAGCTTCCGGCTCCCATTCCCAATCCATATGCCGGCCAACCGAGTAGCTCGGGTACTTCACCCGCCGGCACCAATGAAAAGGACCACACTCACAACTGGACGCTGTACGTCCGACCGTACCATAACGAGGTTAGATTTAAATACTGATTTTAAATCACAATCTCACTGAGTAAGAATTTGAGTGAAGAATTCCTATCCAATTAAATTATTGCATGTTAATGGTCTGCAGGATATTTCCGAATGGATAAAGAAAGTCCAGTTTAAGCTGCATGAGACATACCCTAATTCTGTACGAAGTGAGTGAACCTCGTTTAAATATTCCTCGTTCCAGCTGCGGGCAAATTTGTGCTTCTTATTCACTTGAAATTTGTTACTTTGCTTTGAATAGTCTGTTTTTAGCATGCACATCCACGCCTTACGAAGTGGAGGAGACTGGCTGGGGAGAATTCGAGGTACAGATCAAATTTTTCTTCATGGATCCCAATGAACGACAGGTGGGTAAAGCGCTTTAGGGTTAACTAAAATGACAAAATCGTATGCCCCTGGGCCCTGAATATAACTTTCGGCATTTCCTAGTAATTTTTTAACGCGTTAAGTTTTGCAGGTTACCGTGTGGACCGTAGTGCGATTGTTTAAGAAGGAAACGGATCATCACTTAGTTGAACTTCCGGACGGCACATTAATGTCCGAAGTCTATGACGAATTGGTAAAAAGGGCAAATTTATATGTCAAGTTGAACTGTTGATGTGCTACGTAGACTGACAGCGATCTTCTAGGTCTTCATGGATCCATCTGTGATGATGATCGATTATCTCAGTAGGACTAAGATTTGGGGATCCGATTACAAACCGGAAATTAACTGTACGATGCAGAATCGTACTTTGAATAGTCCGCGTAGAGGAATTTTTATTTAAAATGAATTTGTTCGCGGCTTTGCAGATGACGTAAAGAAACAAGAAACGCTGAAGAGTATAAGAAAAGCGCGTGAGCGTATTACGCCGGAAATACAGGCATTGTCCGCGCAATACAAAACCTACAAAAATTCTTACGCCAGTATTGTCGCACTGTTGCGGGGAGAACCACTTCCAAATTTCCGTGGCTTAAGTGCACAGCAAGTGGAATCGGAGCACGATGGTTCGGTAGCAGCCAGTTCTCAAGAATCTCATGACGCTTTCAATACAGATTAATGGCAGGGAGAATGGTTAATATAATCTGTTTTCGGCGACGGCCGTTTCCCTAAACTCGAGCAACCGAAAAGCAAAATTGTTTTGTTCAGTTGTATTGTTACTACATTAATAGTGATCTACGTTTTTTTGTATCTGACAGGGGCAAATGCACGCGTAGATTTGGCTTTTGTTAAAGTGTTTGAAATCATCATAAATCATCATAATGTGGATAATGCATGAATAGGTAGAGTACTTGATTACTTACTACCCAGAAAGAATTATGAAAATTTGTTTGTGTTAGAATAATTATAAGCGCAGCAATTTGATTTGGTAAAGAATACACAGAACTGACGATGAGTTGAATCTTGAGAATTAAGCGCTGTCGCAGTATTTTGGTGGCATTTTAGCATACATTTATACGTACTTCTATAGCTAGTAGCTAGTAGCTACAGTAGTATAGCGCGTAGAAATACAAACAGTAAGCAGGTACCGGCATACTGCGCGATATTTTTCTATTTGACTGATGTAGTGCTGCGGCATAACAAGCGAGAGTCAAGCGGGCGGCGGGTTGTTCAACAAACATGCCAAGTTTAACGACCAATGAAGTGGGTTTTCCACGCCTCATAAATATGGCATGCTCAATAATCATTGGTGTAACTCGTAAATAGGGCGAAGTGGAGCTTTTTTATCCTGCAAAAATTCGGTGCAACCTGGCAGAGGCAGCTGTTTTTCAGAGATTGTTGTTGATCTCTGATTAAAAGTCAAATTTGGCATTCGTTTACATTTTCGTTTTTCAATGTTAATTTAATGTTATTTAAGGATCTGTAGTGGGGTTCATTGGTTATGTGACGAAGATTGTGCGAATTCGCTTAAAATCTTTTGATCAGACTTTAGCCAGGTTAGCGCTTATCGCGAGGAAAGCCACTGTGCAATCTTGTAAGTTCCTGTTCATGATAGTTCATCGCTTCTGTTTAATTACTGCTCGTATGAGTACTTAATTAACTTATACAGTATACACGATTGTGCGATCAAGATTTGTTCCTCTGGAAATTGGGAGTTGTTGCGTATTTCTACATAGAGAATCGCTGCTTAAAACTGATGAGGTGATAGGTAAACAGTTTTCCTTGTACTTGCAAGCGATTGCCTTTGCAGATTTACATTGAATAGACAGAATAGTCACACAAAATGGGACGTCGCTCGAAGGGTGTTTCTGCGGATCCGCCAGGAAATCGTACCCTGCCGACCACCACCTTCCAAATCCTACCGCGTCTTGATAACCTGGGCGGTCTGCAGACTGGCGGCCTATCCATGGTAGCGCCCAATCTCGGCCAGTTGATGTTGGGAAAAGTTCCACTGAATCTCAATCTGAACGATATCACCGCCCAGCTGCGCCAACCCGCTGCGCCCTCCCAAAAGATCCTCCTGCCCAAACTCCCCCAGGGGATCCGACCCCCGTCGAAAATCATCCTCCTAAACGGAAAAGACAGCGGCGGCAAGATGAAGGTGCAGATCTTGAACACCTCCCGTACACGCGATGGGTTGACCGAGGAGGAGCGCAAAAAGAAAATGCTGACGGGAGAGATTAATGTCCCTTCTAGTATTCTACCCAAACCCAATCCGGTGTTGTTGCGTCGTCCCAAAACACTGGTAATGGCCGATAAGGACGGCAATCTTAGTGTGACCCAGCAGGGTTTTGGTTCCGTGCCTAAAGTGGCGATTCCGCGTTGTAATCCATCACCCAGTAAATCTCCGGTGTATAGACAACGGCGCATCGTCTCACGCCAGATTGATCACGATACGGACGCCGTGGATGGGTTCGATAGTGAGGATGAAGTGGTAGTGGCCAACCAGTCCATGGACGAAACCGAGTGTTTCCTTCCACCCAACGACATTGACATTTCAGAGCCGCAGATGTCAGAGATGCCGAGTACATCGCGAGTATCTTACAGAGTATCGCCACAGTCCATTGTTATTTCTCCCAATCGACTGTACCCGAGGGCGGAATTCTCCAGTACACTTCTGGGCGGCGTTGGCCAGGTGCTTATTCAAAATTTATTTCCGGTGGCACCTTCGAGACCACCCAATCCGGATGACTTCCGTCCTCCCAAGCGGCGGAAATTGTTGAAAAAGCCGGAAAAGTTTGATGCAATTGAGAAGGATCTGAATTTGGTAAACATACGAGTACATGCACAATCATTTTGTTATAAAATACGACGATATCGCATGGTTGCGCTTTTTGCACAATTTTGATGGGCTTTCAATAAAAGAATTTTTCAGGATGAATTGAGAAAATACAAGAAGAAAGGCCGACCGAGTTTCCTGAAGAAATCTGCACAGAAACTAATTGAGGAAATTAAAAATGACTGTTTAGCGGTTGCCTCGGATGGGATAAATTTGAAATGTCTAGCCTGCAATTGTCTGCTGACCAAAGGCGGCTGGGGATATCCGCGCCAAATTCTCAAACACCTGCAGTGCATTAAATCCCACCAGTCACGGTATGAAATCTGGAAGCACCAGAAGGAGATGGATCCTGGCATGGTCGACAATGTCATTCCCGAAGTTATTCGCACACGTGGCCGGTACCGCAAAACACCGTTAGATTACATGGCAGAATTTAAAAATCCTTGGTTAAACACATCGTCCGATGGACAAACGCTGCGCTGCGAGGCCTGCAATCTGGTGCTGCTGGATATTAATACCAGAGAAGGGAAGATTCAGCGTACGGACGTCTATCGCCATCTTTATTTGGATCAGACACACGCAAATAACATTAAGTCGGTGGAAACTGAGGGACAAAAGGACACCAGCACCATCGAGATGGAAACTGAAGCACTACCCGATGCTGAAAGTACTGCGTTATACACAGTACTGTCGAGCGGCCTTTCGGGTGAATAGAGGTTTTGCAGATCTGAATTATTTAAGTTTCAGTTTCATAAATCGCTTAGCAAATTATTTGGATCTAAATTCTATTGTTGTAATTTCCTCGGACTGCTGTCGCTTTTTCACAAACGGTTTAATTCATTTTCACTATGGTGGAATCGATTAAGCCAGAGATCGGCTTGTGATTCGTAATTGCTAATTAGTGAAACAACGCAGTGGGGTCATGAAGCCAATCTTGTGAGTCTGTGCAGTGACCCTTACAGAATTTTGGGGGTTCATTTTTCGTTGCACAAAATTATAAAATAAATTTTTTCGAATTTCACTCAAATAATTAATAAGCAGTAGTGTGGGGTCTGCACTTATATGCCAAGTTGCCAACTGCTGAGGTACTTCTATGCATCAAATGTAGCTGTTCCAGTAAGGCCAAAACTTTATCACGGACCGCGGGAACTGGGAAACAAAGAACTCTTCTGAAACGCATAAACAATCCTGCGACCGACAAGCTCGGCAATAAAGTTGCAAAACCTGGAATCACATAGGGAAACATGGCATGATATTAGAAAAATAACTACTAAATTTCTCTGGAGATTGCTGACTAAAATTCTGAATGACAAACAAAATTCAGGAAGGCGGGGAAAGCAGCGATATAACGGTTCAGGATAATCGGTGTCCATCCTTATCCTTCCGTTGAGAGCTGCTTGGACAGCGACAGTTCTTCTCCAGGACGATGATCAGCTACCAACTGATTATGGACTACAACAACACAACACATCAATGCCAACGAAAAATGACTTAAAAATACAAGACATCGATGTACCGTGAGAAAGGCCTTTGAAATACTTCACAGTCTTCACACGCAGTTCCATTGTGGCGTCCTCATCGCATAAACACAAGAAGCATGGATGCATTTGGAACGCGGAAACCGTCCACATGTGATTCACACCTTCTTCGATGGCTTTGTAAAGAGCGAAGGCTTTATGCGCACCGGTAATCAAAATCAGCACCTGAAGGAGTACAGCATCTAGACCAGCAACTGTCATATCGCTGTTAGACGACAAATTACCTCTCGAGCATCCATCACAGTGCCTGAAATCACAACCAAGGTAAACACCGAAAACGATTTACCAGCAAAAAAATTATGGCCATAAATACCAAAATGAAATCACTATTTAGAAGATCAAATGTAATTCTTACCGACACCAACAGTCAATGCCATCGTCGGCACTTTTTTCAGATCGTTATCGAAGAAACGTGCATTAGCAATGATGGTCTCCTGCGCTAGTGTCTTCACTCGGGTGCGAGAAACTGCAAAACATCAGACGAAAAGTGCTGATTCGGTAAATATTTCAGAAGACGAAATGCATCATACCCAAGCTTGATCCAGGCTCGTTGAAAGCTGCAAATTCATAGATTATACAATTTTCCACAGAAAATACAGAACTTTTTTTCATTACAGAAAATGTGGGAAAACAAACAGAGAAAAGTAGTTAACGATTACGTATATGATTATACTCATACACTAGCATTTAAAAGGAACACACTGTGACTTATGAATTTTTAAGCTTCTTAAGCTAAAACTAACCAATATGCCCGTCAGGACCGATTCCCCCAATAAACAGCTCAATGCCTCCTGCCTCCTTGATAGCCATTTCGAAGTGCTCACATTCCTCAATCAGGTTAGGAGCATTGCCGTTCAGGATATGAGCATTCTGCGGATTGATATCGATATGCTTGAAGAAGTTGTTAAACATGAACGAGTGATAGCTCTCCGGATGATCGCGAGGTAACCCTAAGAAAATTCCAATAAAAAATACAGCACACAATTTGCTGCTCTGGTAACATAATTATTCTTACACAATCATGCATGTGACACTTGTGGGACATTATGCAATGAAATTAATGTGGAACCTACCTACGTATTCGTCCATATTGAACGTTTTGACGTATTTGAAGGAAATTGTTCCCTGACGGTGAAATTCGATCAGCTTACGGTACATGCCAAGCGGTGTGCTTCCTGCAACAGCATACGGACCGTGTAAAAACGGCCTACAGAAACAAACTCAGATCGACAACCTGTCGGAAGACCCAGAGTGAAATATTTGTCCGGACCAGGAGCGAAATCCAAAATACGACGACGAACATACTTGGCTGCCCATTCAGCCACTGCGTTAACATCATCCAGAATAACTAACCTCATTTCTAAACTTCAATAGGAAAGAAAATAAACTAATAAACTTGCCAGCAGTTAATGAAATTAAGTTTAAATGATTGCAGGCGAAGTAATTTAAATGTTATTTTCAATTTTGATCAAAAGTTTTCGTTTCGCTGCGTGTCAGAAATGCCAGCCAGGGCAGGCTAGCAAGTTACCAAGTATTAACAGATCAAAAACCACTTATCAAGACTAAGACGTATTAACGGATCAAAAACCACGTAAGTGGGCGCCGTTAGGGGCTTGGCTTTGAGATGCCTACAGGAAAAAATTACCAGCGTTTTTTTCGTGTGCCGGCAAATACGGATTACATATTTGGTGGCAATACACAATAAATGCCGTGCTGAAATTCGATAAAACTGGACATTTTATTAGAGAATTCGCTAAAATAATAGAGTGCTGTATACAAAACGATGCATAAGATATAAGATGATAAATATGAAAATTAACGGAGGTAGGCGGTAAAATTATGTTCGCTTATGGTAAAAAAATCCCGCGTCGAGCTCGCCAGCATATAAATATAAGATAGATACGAGTACCGGTAGATGATTCGCAACTTTAATTTAATAATTATTTGAAAAATAGTGCACGATGATACACAGTTTAATGTTGTAAAATTGGCACTGTTCTACATATTACAGTATTGTACCTCCGTGTAATTAAGAAAACGTGGCAGGAACTTGATTAAAAGCGCCTGTAGGTGTAAGCGATTCTCACTGCAGACTGTATATCGTGCATTCCAGCTTACTTGGCATGAAATTTGTTTTAGGTCGCTTTGGGTTGTCTTTGCGATATCATTTCACAAAACACCATTCGTAATAAGGAAGTGATAGTGAGAACGTTTTAACTATGGTTGGAATGATACCACTAATCCACGAATGACAAGACGATTTTTTTAAATTCAAACGCTTGTGATTCAGCTAATTAAAGCGGTTGTGCACGTTGTTAATAGGTCGGTTCAGCGGCTGATTATTGTTAGCAAAAAACCCACAGTTAGTTATTGCCGTCGATGCGGTTGTCCACTAACCTGTTTTCCAGTATTATTTTATACTAGCTGTGGACCTGTGGTGAATCTGCATTTTATTTTTTTGTAATAAATGACACTCATCTATTGGTCAAATTGTTTTCTTCCTGAATTGATGCGACAAAAATTCGGCCGGATGCGGATACATCAACATGCTACCTGTATTTCGTTAATCTTGGGAATTGCGTTTAGCAGTTTTAAAACCGATGCCAAAGTGCCAAATGCACGAGCCGGAAGGTAAGAAAATCTTCTAGCTTGACGCTTGCACGAATTGCTGCTTATTTCAGTATTTATGTATAACAGTATAATAACACTGCAACAAAATTTGTGTTTATGCGACAGGAATAATGAAAACGTGACCAACATCCACAGGACACAGGAGATCTCAAAGCCCTCCAATTCTTCATTAAACTCCTCTTTTATATCCGCTGTCGATTCTGTTACTATCATTTCTACAGTCACGCGCCCTTCCACATCCTCTCCCTTTATAACGGAAAGTAGCACGAAGTCACACAACAGCATTTTGTCTTCCACATCAAGCAACTATACCTATTTACATAAAGGTAATTCATCTGGCGGTTTGGTTGATTACGGTACGTACACGATACTCGCAAGATTTGTTGGTAGCGAATTTTGTATGGAGCCCTCGGGGAAATTATATGCATAATATGTGCAGTATAACAAAATCATATCGGATAATAAAAACAACTGTAATAATATTATTTTAATCGAGACTTTGTTAACACAGTTTGCGGTACAACCCCGATGCTATGGGAGCGCATAATTGGGGGCTTCACAGCTGCGGTCGGAGAGTTTCCATGGATGGCTTCGCTTCGCAAGCGCGATAGCTACAACACTTCCATTCATAAATGCGGCGCGACATTGTTACATCCAGAGTAAAAATCATCTCTACTCTGTAGTTCAGAACATTGTTTTAGATGATTATCAATGTCGGCCTTGTTATTTGCAGATGGATCATCACAGCAGCGCACTGCGCATACAGGTAATAAATAAGTACAGACCAAAGTCCTGCAACTGGACATAGAATTACTGTTGTGAATCTAATAACACGAAGCAAGAACAGCTCTAAAATCATTTGCTACTTTTAAAAGTTTAATGCAAAGAAAGCTGATTTTTTATCTTTATCGGCCACCAGATGCCAACTCCTGTCCGTTAAAAACCTAATAAATAATACTTTCAGTGGAATTATTGAGAATTAAAATGTACCTCTACTTACGATTACAGATTTTAGGATCCGGAAGCGCCGGATGGTGATACGGCTCGGAGCACTGGATGTCGATTATGATGACCAGGCCGATGATTCGCTATCGTATGTCGATGCCAGAGTGGCTTCGGTGAAAATCCATCCAGATTTTGATAGCGTAACGTTTGAGAACGATTTGGCACTGCTGAAACTGAGCGAGCCGGTACGCTTAGCTCCCAATATTGTGCCAATCTGCCTAGCGCCATTCATGGATTATATTGGCACTTTCGGGATGCTAGCCGGCTGGGGATTGACCAACCCAGGTATTCTTTAAAATTCAGATATCGCTTATGTGGTCGATCTTACACATTTCTGGCAGTAAAATAGCTTGTTAGCCATATAGAACCTGTGCTACGATACCGAATCTGGATTAGCGTTAAAAATCGGCGTCGCACTGCCGCATTTTACATATGTTGTGACCTTTCAAGTAATATTGTGTGATTCAATCACTTTCTTCGAACAAAAATTTAGTCTTGTTAATCGTTATTTAGTTCTGTTTGCTGAAGTTTATTAAGAGTATTAGTATATCTTAATGCACTGGACGCTCAAGCTTTAAATATTGAGCGGAAATTTCAATAAACCTAGGGCACATATTGTAACAGTGGCCTATCTGGCTACTGTTCTAGTGGGGTGGCGATCAGCCTTTACCACGATTAAACGGCTGTTGGTGTGAAAGGTGGCACGGCCGGCAACGATGCTGGCCGAGGACGCTCTTACAGATGTAACGCAATTACACAGGTGGCTCCGATTGGGATGACGCTAGTTCATCCCAAGCGGTCAAACGCAACAACGTAACTCAAGGCATGTTTAATGACAAGGGAATCAAGAACACAGCAAGGTTGTAAGCAAGGGTTTCAGCAAGAGGAACAATCAAGTAGATGCAAGCTGTAGCAAGCTGAGCACAAGACTGAATTCTAGAAATTCAGGAGAAAGGAAACTAGCCGGTAACGGGGACACAAATTCATAACGCGATGGAATGAATCATAACTGGGCGGTCTTATCGTTCGTACAAATACTATCGCTACATCCCTCACGGTAGCGATGAGATATACTTGTCTCATCAAGACAACAAAACGAAAGACGTAGGAAAACAGGAAAACAAAGCGTTAGGAATTAGTAAACAATAGAACACAATGGTCCGGGATGATCCTTAACGTACGGCGTGGTGGTCCCTCACGTTGAACTACCACGAGAATCCATCCGGCGATCGGAAGGATCCTACAGTCAGGTTCCGCTGAGAATGTCCGGGATTGGGAAGGGGTCCCTCACGGTATCCGGAAATTTTCCGCGTTCTTCCGGCGGCGTGGGGAGGGTTTGGGTGTATCGGCAAAATTTAATGTAGCTGTAGGTATGTTTAGCCTGTGCGGGTTGCTAAACATCATCTGATAGAATGGAGAATTGCTAATATACTCCAGTGTAGAATTAAGACCATCGACTGTAAGTTCGCGTTTAGCCGGTCTGGGCGATAATGTACTCGGAATCTCTGGATCTGTGTGACGTACAGCCACTGAAGCAAGCGTCTGTGAGGATTGTGCGGTTGCTTCATTGTCCTGTCTGCACTGTGTGGGGGCACATAATGTACTCGTACTGTCCGCATTAATATGCGATAATTTTTCCAATAACTGCATTCTGGCTTTTGTTTGCGGTGTAATATTCGTTTCGGAATCAATCGAGCAATTTGGCACAGTTGAAGTCGTAACATCGTTGACACAGTTGTTAATGTAAGGCGTATGAGGCTGAAACAATTTAGCTGTACCCAGATTTTGGCGTTGTTCCGTTAATATTCGTGAACATCGTGCTACGGAAGCATTCACACGATCAGCGTAAAATGTACTTTCAGTGATAGTGTAAAATACGGGAGGGATATACTCATGTCCATAAGGACCTCCCTTTTTATACTCGTTCAACCTTTTGCCTTGTTGACTGTTCCAGAAGGAATTTCCCTTCCGCCATACCATCTGTTCTACAAACCCATCGTATTGTTTTTGAACGTTGGCCTTAATATCGTCAGGGCAAATACGCGGTATAGTATGCTTGTCATCGCAGCTAAAATTCTTACATTCGCCATACGAATGGAAAAAATCACAACATTTCGGGCAAAATAATTTTCCGTTATTCAATCTGTAACTGTCGAAATCTATGTATTTCGGATGTACCTTTTTACTTACGTCGAAAGTTTTGCGATTGTAATATTTCGTGTGGTCACGCTTACGCAAATTACAGCGATATCGCAAAGAATAAGGTTCAGTGCTGCGCGCACTATCGGGCGTGTAACTGCGGTACGGCTCACGGTAATATGTCCGATCGCTCTCGGACGAGTGATTGCGAATTTCCCGGTAATGTGAACGCTCCTTTTCATTACTGTAAGTACTTTCACGCGAGTAGGGACGGTGTTGTGAACGATACCGTTCTGTACGTGCACGGTCACGGTCTGCACTGGGCGACCGGCGCTCTCTGTAATGTTCACTGCGTAAGTCATTGCGGCGCGGGCTGGATGACCGGCGGTTATCTGAATCGCTGGAATCACAGTAATATTTGTGGCGATGGTTGCGATAATGTTGTGCATTGTCGGAGGTTGAATTGGGACTGAATGCGCGTCCAGTTTGGTGCGTACGCTCAGTGGCCGCACCTCTTCGCTGTGTATTCCCAAGCATCATGTTCTGTTCTGCAGCTCTCTTTAACTGGGCGTTAGTATCTGTAATTTTGCAAGCCGGTTGGGGAAGGAATACAGGCTGGACAGCAGACGTTGTTCTTGGGCTGTATATGATTAATTTCGGCAGGGAAGACGCGCTGGCAAGCTTATCTTTACAGTGTTATAATATAGACGGCTATGTTAATAAATCTGCTGAGATTCCACTGAACTGTTGGACCGAGACCAGTAATGTTTTCTCTGAGCTCAGGCAGTCTCTTGTGTACTGCAGGGTGCAGACCAGGACGTTTTGGCGCGAGCAGACCAAGGCGGCACAGTGGCGCCGGGTGAACAACGTTAATGTAACGGCCAACGAGAGCACAAACAATTAATTTCAACAAATTTTACCAGTTAATGTAAGCGCACGTAATTTTAATATTGTTACAAAATGATGGCATTAGAACACGTGTTAAAATTAATGTAATCTTCGCGAATGTAAATCTAGTGCAAGAAAACAGCAAAATTTGCAAAAACAGTGTTAATATATGCGCACTGGATGTTTTAGATATTAAGACCGAATAAGGCAAAATTCACCGGTTACAAATTGCACAGTCAAAACTCACGAAGGAACCTCCACTGGTTCTTGTGGGAAGTTGCGATGGTATATAAATCGCTGATATAGGCTGCAGGCGTCCAGGCGGTATGGTTCTTTACAGGAGCGCCATGTAACAGTGGCCTATCTGGCTACTGTTCTAGTGGGGTGGCGATCAGCCTTTACCACGATTAAACGGCTGTTGGTGTGAAGGTGGCACGGCCGGCAACGATGCTGGCCGAGGACGCTCTTACAGATGTAACGCAATTACACAGGTGGCTCCGATTGGGATGACGCTAGTTCATCCCAAGCGGTCAAACGCAACAACGTAACTCAAGGCATGTTTAATGACAAGGGAATCAAGAACACAGCAAGGTTGTAAGCAAGGGTTTCAGCAAGAGGAACAATCAAGTAGATGCAAGCTGTAGCAAGCTGAGCACAAGACTGAATTCTAGAAATTCAGGAGAAAGGAAACTAGCCGGTAACGGGGACACAAATTCATAACGCGATGGAATGAATCATAACTGGGCGGTCTTATCGTTCGTACAAATACTATCGCTACAATATCTATACTGACTATATATAATGAATATAAAAAACGTTTTATTTCAAAAAATAATATTTTATTACAGACGATATGGTAGGCAGTTCTGTGCTCAAAAAGGTATTTTTGCCAATCGTGAATACGACACAGTGTGAGCAGTGGTACGATACTGCTGGCCGCCATCAGATCATACAGTCTGAGTTCCTTTGCACAGGATACCAATACGGTGGCCGCGACACTTGTCAGGTACGTAGTGATTTGATAACATTTCAGTCTACCATACCTATCAGGGATGCCTTGACTTGCGAAGAGCTAAAGAAGTTTAACAGGTTCTTTTCCAGGGTGACTCAGGTGGACCTTTAGTAAAAGAGATTCACGGCCGATGGAGCTTGATCGGTGTAATTAGCTGGGGTATGGGATGCGCTAGGGCCTATCTGCCCGGTGTCAGTACGTTCGTTCCCGTATACCACCAATGGATAGCCGACACAACTGGCGGTAGCGTAACTTTACCGGATTTTTTTAAGAAATATCAAACCAACTTTACGCTCACTACTTCGAAATAGAGCATAACTACATGTATTACGAAAAACGAAGTAAGCGATTAGTCGAAAGTGGCCCAACAGCACTGCTGCGATTGTTTTGTAATTTGTAACAGCTAGCGCTAGCTAACATTGCTGCGGTTGTTGCATTCACCTTAAAAAAAGTTCAACTTGAAAGGATTATTTAGAAAACGTTCACCACCTGCATTTTCTGAATAGGAAGTTGGGAACGTATACGAAATTTTGTATGATTTTCAAAATTTGTTGGATTACATAAGTTGACACAAAGTACACTGAGTTATATTAATGGCAACTGAAGCGAACATGAATACCCACGGGCCACAGTTGAATAAAACAAAAATCTTCCACAGCATCAGCCAAAAAAATGGATCGATACGCTATAAACGCTATGAAGAGAATATAACAATTATTACTCGTACATGCAGGAGTATACACAATCTCTGCAAATAAATGCAGTGACAGAAATTACATGAATCCATTAAAATTTGAATTCCTTGTGTTTCTTCTTGGAGCTATCGCTGGTGGTTTCTTTTTCTTGTTGCTTCTTCCTTTTGTTTGTCTAAAATTAATAAAATAATCAGCACAGTTATTCATTCATATTGTTCGGCATATCTTCTACATATCGCGTTTCCACTCTACCTGTCGAGCTGCATGTTCGGCCACCATATCACTGAAATCTTCTTTAGCCAGCTGACTGCGCTCTTCCCGTACACGTTGATCGTATCGCGCTTGGAGCGTTCGTTCGTCCAAACCTCGCTCCAAATCTAGCGGATCCAGCGCTACCTGAATGCCTTCTCCAGATTTTTTGGCTCCCTATTAAAAAAGGGAAAATCACAATTAAAAAAATGCTAACCATAATGCATGCAAAATACTAACGCATTTATCACGATTCTATTCAATTAAATACTTAATCAACCATAAAGAAAAGTAAGCACTGTATAGATCCTAACATTTCGTAACTTACTCCAGGAAGCTCATAAACATGAGTAGATCCCATAACCGCGCCTCCAATCCGATCGACTTTCTTCTCCGGCAGCACAGTGTACAGCTGCTGCACTTCATCGCTAGAAAAAACCGATAAGTTAGCTGAATGCTGGCAAATTCTTTCGCCATACCAAACAATGTGTACTTAGCTGCACACAGCATAGCACAATTAATTTTCATAACACATCTTTCAGATAACTTACCCAGCTTCCATTTCCCGTTCAATTTTTCTTTTACGAAGCTCAATAGAGTCCGGCGTTTCTAATCCTGCTGGAACGGATGAAGCCCCGCCACTAGGCGTGATCAGCCTACAGGAAAAAGCTACGATGACTTTTGTAGTTCAAAACCCATCACCACATAAATACTTTCCCTCCGAATAGCAAAAACGGCGACATTCAATAAACCATGAAAGTACATTTCGCTTACCCCTCAAGAGGCGTGGCTAAACCTGACTGATCGGGTTCAGTGGGGGTTTCTTCCGCGCCGCCCTCTTCCGGCTCGGCCTCTTCGTACTCTCCGACTTCCTCTTCAGCCTCCAGTTCACCCCAAGGGTCTTTTTCTACGTCAGCTTCCGAAACAAGCACCTAATGTAAGCGTAACAGAGTTTGATTGATCTAATCTGCAAAAATGTCGGCAGTAGTTTCTCATACTGACCACTCCGGCGCCCAATGTCCCAAAAACATCACCGTACAGAGGACGACCAGTTTCATCCACAGGTGGTTTGCCCCACCCACCGGCATGATAGCCAAACGTGCATCCTTCGGGAATGGGAGCATTCAAGCCGGGAATTTTCAGATTCGGATACGATGGTGGCGGACCGTAGCGCTGCATGGCAATCAACCAGGGCGGTGGGTATTTCTGTGCATTCTGAAATAGAGACAACCAAATAGCTGATAATTTCATCAACGAATTGTGATACTTATATTTTAACTCCGGAAGCAGTCACTACCGATCAGATATTTCAATAATTCAAAAGTCCCAAAACTGATTTTTGCAGTTGCAAAAAAAAAGAAATATACTCTAAAATTGTTTTGAGAACCCAACAATTTCCCGGATATTTTTACCGGGCCAACAGGCATCCCGAGGGCTATCCGAAGATCATCCGTCAGTTCACCAGGTTTCTTGTCCTTCAGTTTTGTTTCAAACTCTTTGCCCTAAAAAAAACAACGAACAGGAATAGAATTTTTGCAGACTGCGGTCAAGCGTACACTATGACGTACCTCGTAGTACAAATCACCATGATGCGTCATTTTCGGCTTGGTTTGCCAGCGGAAAAATGCATCGTGCAGTTTCTGGTAATCAATTTCAATTTTTCCCATTTTCGGACGGACCTTCTCCCTCATTTTAGCTTTCAAAGTCTTCGTGTCCTCTTTTTCCGCTACGGCCTGTCGCATTTCCATAATTCCCGTGCGTTTGATAAATTCCGGCAGACTGAAGGGAGGCTTTTCGAAACCACGTTTTCCTTGAAGGTATTTGCGCTTAAAGCACCAGTGTCTTGGCACGGAAACAGTGTTCCTTACAGACTAAAACAAGGGATACGTACTGTAGGTGTTATGTGTTACCTTATACGTAACCGATTGTACAAATTTTCTCAAATCATTCATTTCAATTAAAGCTAGGCTGTTCCATTGCTGACTGGACGAATGCAACCTCCGTGTGTGTATTAGTATCAATTTCCACTACATGTAAAAAACACACCTTCAACCAGACCAGTAGTTTAGGATCACTGGAAGTGACATCGTGCATTTCTACAACATCCGGTCTAGAGACAGTCTGCTTCAGCTCGGCCACGCTCATACGATTCATTTTCCGCAACTTTCGACGGGACATTTTGGCTTCGTCCTTCTTCTCTTCTTCCTCCTCGGCTAATTTAGGGACTTTTCGTAACGATACCTTAGCGTCCCCTTCTTCCGATTCCGTAGCGTCTTTATCAACACCGTTCTGAGCAGTCTCCAACTGCATCAAGCGATTAAAAGGTAAATTAAGTCGATCATCTCGCCATTTGACCGAATACATAGATTTCTACACTTACACTGAAAGCTTCAAAGACCTTGCAGAAATACGCATTAGTGGGATCTTTTGTATCCAGCGCTAGTCTCTCTTCCACGTACCTGAAAAAATAATAAAGAAATAAAAACCCGACGCGGAGTGTATTGGTTAAATGGCACCATACTCGATATCCACTCCGTGATCGTCTTCAATTCCCGAATCTCTTGATACGGGTGAATCATCTTTTTTCGTTTTGCGCTGCTGCTGTCGCTTCTTTTTCTTGTTTCGTCGTCTCTGACGCGCGGCCTGTTGTCAAAAAGATACAGATGTTTCGATTAAAGCAAAGCAAAACCTAAGCCTATTGTACCGAACAATATACATTTAACAAATTTCAAAACATTTTAGGAAAAGCGAATTTTCAAGACAACCAACCACTGTAAAGACACTTTCTTTACCTTATCTTTTGCTGATTCTTTTGAACTGCTGGGTTCCTCCTCTTCTTGATCCTCCCAGTTACTTTCACTGTCGTCAGCTGTTCCGGTCGCTGCTGCTCGAGGGGCAGATGAATCAGTAAAGGCTGTAAAAATTCAGATGACAAAATGTATAAATATGATAAACTGGGTATAAGATCATCCCTCACGTACACATATCTTCCTTAACACCCAGCTCCACAGCACGGTCCTTTTTCAGCTGGAACACGCGATCGAGTACCGCAGGAACCATTCCACGAGACGGCATGGCCCGTCGCGGTTGCATTTGCATGGGGAACGATCCGTCCGACGGTTGCATCCCCATTCCCGGCGGCCCACTGTGTGCCCCGGGGGGAGGAGGGAAATTGTGCCCCCCAAAACCCCCAGACTGTCCGAAGGGTGTCAGACCCGGTGGCGGACGCATTCCTGCTGGCATGGGCCCGGGCATCGGAGGTGGTCCCATGCCTGGAGGACGCTGCATGTCCATGGGCATCATCCCCGGCGGACGTGGGGGAAACATATTGGGGGGAGGGCGCATGGGGGTCATATTGGGTGGTGGGCGCGGCGGCGGATTGAACTGAGGGGGCCCGCCGGGCGGAGGCATGCCGAGATTCGGAGGTGGGGCGTTCATTCCTGGCGGGGGCGGCATGGACATGGTGCCCGGGGGGCCGGGTTGCGGGGGCATCCCGGGGGGAGGGGGCCCGGGCATCCGAGGCATGCTGGGAAAGCCAGGAGGGGGAGGCATCATGCCCATCGGGGGGCCAGGTGGCGGAGGGGCCGACATCGTGGCTTCTGCAGGGATTGGGAAAGATGGTCGCACTACCGCATAAATTATAACACAAGACTCGATCAGGGATTCAGAGAAGAGAGTGTGTCTTCCCAGCAGATAAGAATCGTATTCAGAGGAAGAACATACCAAGGTTCCTCAACGCCACGCTCAAAGCGTCACAATGATCTCCCGAAAAGGTAGTTCCAAAACTTACACAGTGAATACTAATCACACTTTAAAATGGTAAAACGAACCAGTGCCACAATCTGCACAATTATCGAGGAAGTTATATCTGGATTCTGGAGTAGATCCGATTCCCAGTGTACGAGAACTTCGCAAACTAGAAAAATAAGATTACTGTATAAGAAAAGTTGAAAACGAAAACTTTTCGCTTTGCCGTTTGCTGCCTTGACGGCAGGCATTTGTGTTTGTTCCGTAGCTCTGCGCTCTGGCACGACTGTTACGTATAAAGCAACTTGCGTTTACAAGTTTACATAGCGTCCTCGCTGCCTGTTTCAACTGAAAACGTTATTGGAAACTTCATAAGAATTTTTGTGTGTTAGCGTTAGTATATTTTTCACTGGCTGCATACGCTTACGCGGCAACGTCCTTAAAATGGTGGTCAAGAAGGCGAAAGGATACCGAAAGTTGGTTATGAAAGTCATCCATGGCCCGATCATGAAGACCAATATACCAGCAGGTGCCGCTGCACCAGGACCTCCACTAGGGCCGATGCTTGGCCAGGTACAGTCCACTTTGAATTTTTCTTGGCTTTTTCGTTTTCTGGTTTCTAGGTATTGTTTATCATATTGCTTGGATGGTTAATTATTCAATTCTCTCTGCAGCGTGGGTTAAACATTGCCGTATTTTGCAAAGATTTTAATGAGAAAACCAAAAATATTAAAGAAGGGCTTCCTTTGCCAACAAGAGTGAAGATAAACGTGAGTGCTGAAAATGGTGTTAGTATTTTTTACGTAGAGGCTGAATCTGTTTACTAAATTTTATGTTACTGAAAATCAGTATTTTGCTGACCATAGTTTGTTTGTTGTTTCCCTTTGCAGCCTGATCGTAGTTACGAATTAACCATACATCGACCGACGCAGTCATATTTTATCCGTGCAGCTGCCGGGATTAATCGCGGCGCAATGATGGGAAGTGAGTAATGATTAATCCAAATTTTTCAGTGACAAGATTCAACAGTGCATCTAGGAATTTTGATGAATCGTTGTAATATAAAAATTGAATAATTAAATTGAAAAGTTGAATAATAAAATTAAATATAAAAATATGCTTATGCTAGAATGACAGGACATTCTGTGCATGGTATTTCTGGTGATACTGTACGTATGCGGTATGCCATTGAAATGGAGCTTGTGCTGTACAATTGTATACCTGTAGTCGCTTGTGCTGCCGATGTAAATCATGTAACAAATTGCACTTACTGACTACATTTGTATTCCGCAGCTAAGGAAACCGCGGGTAAAATAACTCTGAAGCACGTCTATGAGATTGCAAAAATTAAAAGCGAAGATCCTCCACTGGAGAACGTAGATTTAAAAGAGATCTGTGAAGATATTATTGACCAGTGCCGCCGAATGGGTGTGCAAGTTGTTCGGGATCTGGACGCCGAGGAATATGGCAGATTCCTGGAAGAACGAAAGATTGTTGTAGCCGCTCAGCTCAAGGAACTTGAGGAAAAGAAACAAGCTAAAATGCTAAGAACAACGAATGCGGCGTAATGAGGGAATGCAAATTTCTCGTCTGGAAAGCACGAATGTTTGTGTGGATTGTGTTATTGTTTGCATTTTATTGAATCCTTGTAAATAGTAAACGAATTTAACTGTCTCCGTAAAGCATATTTGCGATTACTTGTGGAAAAAAATTTCATTTCTTGTATGTGGCTGCTTCTTCATGACTTGGAAGTTAGCAGTGACGATACTAAAATCAACAATAAAAACAGAAATCTCAATCTGAGTAGCAACATGTCAACAACAGGTATGGTCACTTCAGTAACCTTTCCGAACAGTAAAAGCGCGTTTATAGCTGCTGGAAGACAGAGAACATTTTAATTGTAACCCAACTATGAGACAACAAACAACGGTACAATCCTCTTTATCCCCAATCTACACCCAAGAATCACCACCCATCCCATCTTCCGACATCATATCGGCTGACCCGTCGCCGTTGTCCCGCATTTGGCGCAGACGGATCTTCTCAGCTCGATTGACTTGTGCGTACACCGGTTCCGAGAGCCGACCTCCGCCACTTTGAACCCGCGAGGAACTGGTCCCGTTCATTGGCACACCAGAATCCTAAATCATAGAAAAACCGCTTTTAAAGTCTATGCTGGGAAAACAAAAATCTACAAAAAGGTGAAGTATATATGCGTATAAACTTTCAACAGGCCAAGTACGACGAGAGAAGATAAATTGTGCTACGGCAATTTAAAACAGGCTCAATACTGTTGCATAAAGCCTGTGGTCACTATAAAAATGTTGCTAAATGTTGCTGAATGTTGCTAAAAATGTTGCTAAATATTACTAACAGTAAATCGAACAAAAATGTGGTAAGCTACGGCTACTGTGAAGCATTAAAAACAAGAGTGAAACGGCTATCTATATCGCACCGTTGCCTCCAAAATTGTTTAATCCAATCAATTAAAGGATAAAAATTTAAATTATCAGATAATAACAGTACAGAAACCGATAGGTACCGATACTCCTCACACTTCTTATTCCAAGAAGTACTGTTCTCGTGTGCATTGCATCCATGCTGTACTCGTATAATCGTACTTATTGACAGTGGGAACTGTGAAGTATTGAAAGTGCGATCATTGAACCCTGTTTTAGTATAGTGCAACTAGTTAAGTAATATAATAAAACTAATTTCCTATTAAAAATTGTTAGCTAAACGGAAACAAAAAAATCTCATTTCAAACTTGACAGCGTTTGTATGGTAAACCTGGTTCAGCACTAGACATATAACGAATGGTTACCATATCGTATGGCTACCGTAACTTGTACTACCGGTAGGTCTTATCCCACCGAATTGGCGAAATGGCACCAAAGAAATAATTTACCTGGTCATCAGGCATCATTCCTCTCGGCAACGTTTTGTCTTCGAACTTTGTAGCTCCTTGTGAGCTGAATGTCCGGCCCAGGGTGTCCGTTCCACCCAGTGTTTTGGTTCCCATGTTGGGTGGTTTAGAGAGAAAGTGTGATTCCTTAAAGCCGGCTGACCTATACACTTCGTGTAGGCTCTGATGACTCCATAATGTTTGCAAAACCTGCAAAAGAAACGAGTTTAAGTTAAAATGCAAGCCAAACAATTTACTGTCGCGATCCTTCTTTAGAATAATGCTGTACGTACCAGGAAGGCGAATCGGACGATTTTACTGGAATACTGGCTATAATGGGTTGTGATGTACACGAGTTTCTCCACGCCCTTGTAGTCCAAGAAAGCCCTAACGGAATGGAAGAAATAAAGCGCATAAAATTATGTGCTGGTAAACTTATCGACACATGTTTCCAGTAAAGTTTCCTGTTAAATTTAAAGACAAATATTGTAGCGAACGGCAGTGGTAATTTAAAATCTGGAAGCTGTCAAATATTAACGTACTCGGCAAGATCATAAGACAACACTAGGTATTTAGGAGTAAAAAAGTACTAGTACAAAAACAATACCGCCGGAAACCGCATGAACCGATCACCGCAAATTCGGGGTCTTGTTGTGCCAGTAAATCAAAATCGCAATTACCACTAAAGGGCACAAATTTATTTACATCCCGCCATGATTTTTTCGACAATTTCATCCAATTACAGCGTCCGTTGACCCCTCGCAACGCCATGACCAAGTGACTTCTCATGCGACCCGCATTAACTTACGACACGACAGCTTGAAAACGAGAGTAAAAAAATCGATTGACTACAATCATGTCACTAATATGATCCGAAAAAAGGCTCCCATCTCTCAAATTCTCATTTCTCAACCAGCCCAAAAACAAGTGCTCTACTGACAGCTATCACCCCATATCGAAATGCCGTCGAGTACTGAGTTGTATAAGTACACAACCGAATGTTCAATAACCATAAATCGCTCAGTCCCGCGTGTACGCACCGAGCAAATTCCGGATGCTTTTTGACAACTTCGTTAACGGTAGCCAGAGCGGCAGCCATGGTCTCTTCGGATGTTGGCACAGCCGGCACAATGCTATGACTGTCGGGATGGGCAGGCGGACCGGGGATTTTTTGAACCAAATCACCCATGGCGTACTTGCCTGTGAGTAACAGGGAAACAAGGAATGATGCTTCATAGCAAACGCCGCACAAGCACAATCAAACACAAATATTTCCGCCTTGATCGCTTACGCAACGCGTGTCTGGTAAAGCGAAACGACATACCAATCAATTCACGGTTTCTCTGGTCAACGGCAAGATTCCTAAAGGCACGCAATGTAGTGCACTTCACTTTGTCGTTATCTATCCTCAACGACTCCACCAACACTGGAAGACCTTTCTCCTTCCGTACAGTAGCCCGCACTTCCATTGCCGGCTAAACAATCCAGTAATATGGTCAAATATTACCGAAGTTAACACAATAAAGTGGACAAGCTATTTGTAAAAACTTCCGGTATAATCTCAAAAATTATTTACAACAGCCAATAAAAGTCAACCGTATAGCAGATAACTAAATGTGACAACAGGAAAATACAACGTAATTCAAAATCAATATACCTGCCAAAAACATGCCGAAAGATTTTGTAGAATTCCAACCGCTGCTTCTATCGTGTCAAGGTTGGCTGACTTTTGTATCAAGTTCAAATAGGCTTGAATACTTTCCAGACTCCACAGCGCATCCATGCCTTTCAAGTTGGTATATACGGTATTCTTGGCAGGGGTCCTGCATGGACGAACGGCAATGCAAAAAAAGCAGAGAGCACTGATTAGTTCTCTTTGTCATATAAGTCAGAGTACTCTAAATAGACACAAGTCAACCAAATGACAATCGTACCCATTCAGACTTCCGGGAGCACTCGCTGATCCTACAAACACCATCTCGTAAGTATATTGGTATCCGCTTCACAACCTATTCTCATATCAGTGTCGTCTATGCATCGCAAACACTTACATAACATTTAATCAAATGTTACGATGGAAAGGAGCAGTTAATAAACTTCGAACAACGCAAGCGAACAGCAAAAATCAAATCTGACAAAGACACTTCTAAACCGAATGCGAATAAAAAACTTTAATTTTAACAGATTTTTTCTTAAAATATTTCACATGGTAAATCCATCTTTGTTTCATAAATTATTTTTCGGTAAAACTGCAGCGAAAAACTTACAAATTAAAACGACTAAAATTTTTCATGCACTAACCTTTGTCCTTGTTTCCCTTTTTATTTTTAGGCTGCCGCTTCCTATCATAATCGGGATCTTCGACTTCCTGGCAGCGGAAAGACAGATTGCGTAATATGCAGACGACGTTCTCCACACTCTTATTTTCATTGTCTTGATTGTTCACGGCATCCTTCAATATGAAGAGTAATGCTCCTATGAAGTCTTCACTCTCACGCAGTGTCTTTCGCGCTTGAAAACCAGCCGAGCTCACATTTCTTAACAAAAAAACAACACATTCGATCAGATTACAACCGAAGCCATTGAACGAAATCCAGCGTCGCTACCTTAAAACGCCGCTCGAATTGCGAAAGACAGTGGAACTATACAATACTGGACGCCCGGCATCAGCGGAGTGTGCAGAACGCTGCTTATAGCCGGATCGGGGGATAATAATCTGTTTTATCAGCATCGGACAGGCTTCGTCCAGTATCGGTTTCTTCAGTTCATCACAGCTCGACAAGATCCATAAAATGGCCGTTACCAGCTCGCCAATCTCATTATCATGGGTCTGCTTGAGGAGTTTGATTAATGTAGCCAATCCCCCGCTACTCCGTACTGCTCTCTATAGCGAAATGTCAACAAATAATCGGTCCAGGGAATGAATACAATTTTATCAGATTTCCATATTTATTTAAGACAGTCTGGTAAATACTACCCAACATCTTCAATAACCGGGATTCTCCTTAAACACCCCCTTTACACTGGGGAATTCATTTAAAAACCAATAAAAATATTGCAAATTGTCCATCATTATCGCTCACTTCCACCAAGCCGGATTTTAATAAATTTTTGACTAGCCATAATGCAATATCGATTAAACTCCGTAGCTTAAACTCGTTATGCTTGTACGGAAAGTCTCAACAAAATACAATAAAGCAATCGACAAAGAAACACATGTACAACTACAGAAATTGCACCAAGAGTTAATTAAGCACAGCCCATTTGATGTAGTGTATACACCGAAATAAAAAATATTAATCTGATACACGCTCTTTTAAAGAAATTCTACGTAATTATTACTTTAAATACGAAACTCAGTGCACCACTACAAAGACCATCCATGACGGATCATAGCTGTATCAAATCAACCAAACATCCCCACACAGCGTATGCACACAGCGCAACTGACCTTATTTTCATCATTCTCTCTGCCAAACGCGAGATTCCTCAATGCACTACAGGCATTCCGCTGCAGTTCCGGAATATTGGATCCCAGCATCTCCAGCAACGGCGGGATGCCATGCAGTTGGCGGGTGAGATGTTTGACTTGGTCATTGTTAAAGGCCAGATGGGCCAGATGCGCCGCCGCATTGGCTTTGATCACGTTGGAAGGATTGCGGAGGAATTCAATCACTTCCGGTAATTCGGGATCACGATATTGGGTAATGGGCTGTACATGGGGGTGCGAATTGGCCCGCGATGAGGTCCCGTTGGTATGCTCGGCCGGGGCCATTCTACTGCCACCGTCGATCTCTGCAGTCGGCGATCCCGAATAATCACCAACAACCAACTGGTCACTCAGATATGATCCATATAATCCAACTACAATATTCCACAAACCGAATAAGAAGACCATAAATAATCAACGAGACACGATCTGTACAAACAAATCTGCAAGCGGCATCAACTATGCACTAAAGTATGCAATCCCGAAAGCCGGGAAACACTTTGGGTTGTGTACAACAAATTTGATTGATTTGTGCAAAACTATTCTTTACCCAGTGTTACAGAGCCGAGCGCAATGAAAGCACTTGATTGTATACTTATCGCCGCTAAACTATCGTAGATATGCTGCCACTATGTAATTAAACCACCATCACGCGTACGCGTCTATTATAAAGCACAACACACCACTTTGTCGCACATCGAGACGGTAATATTTTTCGTCAACAAGCCAACACAACCGATCTGACAACAAAAATGGCCGCAGCCCACGCAACAGGAATTCACACTCGCTACCAAGCAGCAGCTCTACGACCATGACCGCTCAACGAGCCAAATCGCCACGCCCGACACAATAGTAAATGCTGTATGGTGCGCGGAGAATCAGCCAAACAACCATATTATTACCGGCTCAGTATTACAATTACGTCTTGTCGAATGTGTGCAAGACATCGTACAAAATCCTTCCGGAATAATTGGTTACGCCGCTCGGCTCACTATGCTCTGTTGGATACCGAAAGAAAAACTCGACCCTCGTTTAGAAACGCGCGCGATGTGTACTGCTTAAAGCTTATAATAGAATGGCTGCGCCAACTGAATATATTCATTTATTGAATAAGAGGTAAGCATATGAACATGAACTGACAACGCTACCACTTGTCCACGCACAAAGCGAAAGGTATCTTTCCAATTATACTGAACCGTTAATCAAATTTTATTATGGTTACGAATTATTTCACAAACGAACATATAGCTTCGTTTAAACTGCTGCAATAAACAAACATTAAATAAGGGCGCCAGATGGCAAAACAAGAATTGCGATCTAATTAATCTGATTAAAATCGATATGTTTTCAGATTCACCCCCAAAATTCGGGTTGCTCAGCGGAAGGCATTTCATTCCAGCCACCTTTTGTATGTGTGCGGTGGTGGCTTGCTTTGCCCTGGCGCAGATCGATTGAGCTAACAATAAGACGGAAGCTGTAACTCGATTACTCCATCCCCAGAAAGTACCATAAATTATGCATTTCCGTTCGATTCCCAGATAACGATAGGTCGTTAAATGAAATCAACATCCTAAGCACTGACCGGCCCGCGCTGTTTGACTCGTTGCAGCGGACTGACCGTGGATCTTCTGGTGAATATTAAACTTTCCTGTAACGCTTATTAGCATGTAAAACACAGTGTTTTCAAATCAATTTATAATCAGCAACTGGTGCGCTTTTATTTCAGTTAACTTGCGCAAAAATAAACTGGTTTCAGTATTCACATTACATCAATAATATTCATTAGTACGGATGCTGAACGAAAGCTCCAAAAATTCAAAAAATCATTTTAGATCGCACAGCATTAATCCACTTAAAAATTGCATTAAATTTTCGAAATCATTAAAATGATTTCTCGAGTTCTACAGCAATGCTGTCGAAAAAGATATCGTAAATAAATAACTATCAACCTTAAGCTGGATCTATAATCTGTCTAAATAGGGAATCAAGTAGAACATTTACCGTCCCTCCAGTTAAAGCATAATTGTCTTCCCCAACCGCCAACCGGAACTGTACAATGCCCCGCTCAGATGATAGTTAATATCCCCTTTGCGAGCGCACGCGCAAGGCCAATCGCTCTCCATAGCAGATAAAAATGGACACTAATGTCCATGGAGATGAATAACCCCTATCAAAGACTGGTGTGATGACCACTCGAAATAATCTTTTCAACATTGGATGACGACAAAATTTTCCATCTGACCTCATCCAAATCACATCTCCAATCTCATCGTTCCATTCTGACTTACGTGTTCACGCCGACCACCATCAATAGCTGATTCAAACTTTCCCCAACCCGAAACGGTATACAGTTTACAACAAGCTGCTTATCCCGGACATCATTCCGGCAAAGCTTAGTTAATACACAAAAAGTCACCTAACGACCACTACTAACTTCCACATTAGGTTAAATGAAATCATTAAAAATTTTAGCACAGAAAACAAAATAAAAATTCCTGTTCTCAATGTCACAACGGGAAAATTTATCAAAGATTTGTACGATTATTACCAGAAAATGGAAAAAGTCCCATAATAAATTTATTCTGCAGCCATGTAGTGATTTGTTTATTTTACGTGTAGACAGACAACCCACCAGGCTATTATTAATATATTATTAATAATCAGTGTTTGCGTTGTTTCAATATACCGCCACATGAACACTGACCATCGTCATGTGGACCGGAAGGACGAGATTTGCGACTGGACCCCTTGGTGGAATGCGTACTGCCATACAAATCACTGCGATCGAAAACATCCCCGTTGGTCGTCGGAACAGCAGCCGCCGTCGCATTCCCATGCGCCGTTCCATTGACATAATCAAATCGCTTGGGTGACCCATATTTCCGGTAGGGCCGTGCATACAACTGGGATTCATAGTCGGCAAGGTACTCTTCGGGATAGTCATAGTCACGACTGTTAATTCCCGACGAAAGGGTTTCATTGGGGACACGCTCATAGGTGCGGTACACCTTGGTCACCGTTGTCACCTGCCGAAAGACACACAGAACCCGACTATTAGTAACTGGATCTACGATTGTGTGCTTTACAACGCGGTCCAAATCTCATAAGATTTATCGATTTTTAACCGGCTCACTGGTCAGAAGAGCATGAAAATGCCGAGAGAGCGATTTCCCTGCCCTGATGGGATCTCGGGTAAGTAGCTCAGGCTGTACATTACATGTTACACGCGAAAAAAAGGCAACGATAAACCGCGGCAATGCGATATAAACAGAACCAGTGAGTGCATATCTAGGTCATCTCTGCACAAGATCAACAATTTCTGCACTGATTCTTGTATATTTTATTCCCTGCAAAATGAATTACATTCTAAAAAGACTAACGAAACATAAAGCGGACAAACAAATAGTGGGCTGAATCAAGGAGAACACGGCATATCAACGTAGCACTCAATTTTCAATATCAACAGGAAACTGGAGCGCATTATAATAAATAATTTCCCGAATACTATGTTAAAAACAGCGAACTGTATATTATTATTTGCAATTACCAATTTCGTGGCAGATTTTGGATGTACACTACTAATACTTATTTAGAGATGTTAATTAAAATTTGGCTGTGCAAAAAAATATTACCATTTCTGTAAGTATACTTCGAGCAAGCGTTCCATAACAACTGTTTACTTGAAGCATGAAAGCTGGGATGTATGAATTATTTATGTGCTAAAATACAACTGACCATGCGCACTGCGCAAATCCTCAGCATCTTAAGTGAGCGAATTTATATGCACGAAAGTTGAAGAAAAGATGAAGTGACGAACCTCTTGGGTGGTGGTGCTGGAAGTGTTGCGGCTAACTAGGTTAGGATCTGAGCCTAACGATCCATTATCCAGAAGATCTGGATTGGGCTGACAGTTGGTATGAGTGGTCGTGTATCGCGATTCGTGAATAGGCACCTCATCCTGCGGGTAGCACGATCCGTCAGCCCTGGAAAAACACAAGTGCAATTAGACCCTCATTACCGTGCAAAGCGTCCGTTATTGGGGGAAAATGTGAACACATATACAAATAACAAAAGCGTAACAGATATAGAGAATAGGCTGTGATAGAACGAAAACAAGCAGTTCAGTTCGATCACCCTCTATTAAGGATAGCGAAATTTGGTGTGACAGTGGACAGCATCCAGCCGACACCCTGGAATGCTGATGCGGCGATACAACATGAGGACTCTTGGGAAATGAGCCATCTGCTCACTCTTTCCATCTGTATTTTGCATTTCGCCCCAAACTTTTAAATTATTTTACACAGGCCGACACTTCCTCCTTAAAGCTATCGCTACCCATTTACTCATAAGTGCGAAGCTTTTCAATGGAAATTTCGCTCAGCCAACAAGACTTTACGCCAACTTACCCGTAGCCAGAATCACCAATCACTCGCCTGCAATTAAAACACGTATTTCAATGACTCTAGTAATTGTCAGCTAATGTAAGCCTAATGAACTATTTCAAAATAACATCGTCAGCATTTTATATAAAATACTAAAACGGTGGTATGCTGGGACTTCAAAAGACAACAACGGAGGCACATACATATAATTTAAGGGATAGAGAATCTCATTTGCCACTTTCATTAAAATACGACTGCTTTGTACAGGAGTTACCGGATAAATTCCTACTGCACAGTTCCCGGTTATGCAAATGAGTTTAGTTTTAATAAATATAAAAGAATTCCTGTGACAAAGCAGTATCATTTTACGGAAAGCATGTTAAATCAAAACCAATAAGTCAAATCAATTATGTAAACAAACGTGAAAACGAAAAACAAAACAGCCTCACTTCGAAAAAAATGCAAAAGATGTCGCAGTTTTATTTTGTTCAATTTTTTTCGAAGCATAATCGATACAACAAGAATGTGTTTGCTGGCTTGCGCCGCGGTACGTGCTAGGGTTATTTCCTGTTGCTCACTAACCTCTGTATCCGCTCCGATCGGTAAACTTTTTTATCGACTTTGGTGTCGACTTTTCGGTTGATCAATCTGAAAACGAAGCCGCAAGGCCTGATTTAAAAGCGGAACTGATGCGGAAGAATGCCAATACCAGCGAGAGCAACTGTTAGAGATTCACAATTCCACGCAATTTCTGTGCTTGTCAATGTGTAGAAACTTCTTAATACTCCAAGTTGGTAAAGATCCACACAATAGGCAACGACATATCTCAGTTTTTCTTAACAAAAATATTTTCATATCAGAAAATTTTCGGCATTAGTTAATATCGGTGTGTTTACGGATACGGAATGCCACAGCCAAACTCCAGTATAAGACTCAAATAAAAAAAAAACTAAAGTTAAAATAATTAGTTTATTTTTTCGTCAAGACACTTACACCGGATCAGTAGGATCGTTTTCGTAATCTTCCGGTATCGCTGGACCGACGTTGTTCCATCCTCGATAACCGGTATTACCGTCGTCCAAATAGCCCGAACCGGACATACCGCTGTCTCGCGATAACCGCACCTGTCAATGCAACATATACTTGACAATATGTTACACCTTAGAGAGATTTAATGAAGAGAAAAACTGCTCATAAGTCAAGCGCCATGTGTAAATTTGTATCATTAATCATATTCCACCGTCATCTATGGTTTCGCTCAGGGCATCTCTCACAAAAGGCAGATAACTGATTTAATAGCCGATAGCCCGTAGCACGGTATTTTTGACAAGATCATTCACATCGTTTTTGCGATGTCTTCAAAAGCTTTCAATAAAAGTATTGTGATTCTGCCCACTTGAATGCTGCATCTCACTCACAATCAGCATGTTCGATATACGAGTATTTCTGAGCCAAAACGGTGTTCCTGTTTTCTTTATTTAATCATTATCGTGTCAGTTAAGGTTTGGACAAAAACAATGAACAACCCTATTTCCCTTCAGTCAACAGCGGCACTTGATCGTTAACTACGCTTTAGCAGTTTACGCAATAAAAAACAAATTAATCGCGTAATCCATCAATGCCAACCAGATATTCTAAGCAGAAGAGAAAACGCAAAAAAAAAAACATTCAAACTGAATAACGTGCCGAACTGCCGATATGAGCAACCCAAACTACAGTCAGTTATGAAGATCAACATACCATAAATGCAACGTTATTTCCGGTTTTGAAATCTGTCGTAAAACGAAACAGTTAATAACTGACGGAGATCAACATCCAGTCAATCGAAGACGATAGTGCCACATTTTAAGAGAAACAGTAAACAATTCGCTTTACTGTTGACGAAATAACAAACCAAAAAAATAGCAATGGAAACGAAGAAGTCTGATTTTCCAGTCTAATCTACAGTTACACTACCAGCTACCATCAAGAAGTAAAAACGGTAATCGGAATGGAATGTGCTTGGGTTACGTGCGAACACCATTAGACTGCACACCAACTTGACCAATGAGCCAAAGATGCCATTAGTGGGACGATTTACGGTCTCGCGTATGCATTTATGCACTTGCCTTTTCGAGCTGGTTAGCGACGCTCCGTCTTTCGGCTGCTAACTGTTCAGTCAACTGAGCAAATTTTTCCTGTTCAGCCAGAACAGTCTCATAAACTGACGCCGGGTCCGCCATGGTCAAATGCAGTGGCAAGAAATATAAAGACTCCTCTGTATACAGCTTGTCCAAACAAATCGCCTCACTGGCAAATTAGGGCAAAAAAATAAACAAATCACGGCACAGGTAACAGACGTGCTATAACTTCCGCGTTGGAATATCCATTTCCCGAGAAATAAATTTAACGGATACCAATACACATTTTAATAGCCCGAGCAGCCGCATTCAAGTCCCAGCCATTTATTCGCATTCCACATCTGCCACCTTAATTGTCGGCCAAATGGGGCAATTAGCCAGTCAGAATAGTAAATCGGTAAATGCTGTGCAGCGCGGCACAGTCAAATACACACACCTCAATCAATACATTTCCGGAGCGGTCCACAACAATGTAACAAGGTTATGATATTCAGCTGCTGCTAATTACCCAGGACGGATACAAGATACTGGAAGCCGAAGCACCACACCATTCAACATCAGGACAAATTTTGTCCTTGTACAGTAAAAAATGCTGTTGTAAAAAATTCCGTTACTGGATGGCAAACCACGTAGCAGTTTAGGGAAACTGGCCGGTTGATTCTCAAGCAGGGCGTAAGCTAAAGGGAATCATTCCATAAGTGATAAGTTTCCGCATCAGATAACGTTAACGATTTAACAATAAAATAATTCCAAAGCACAAACTGAATGCACGATGAATGTGGCTCAAGGATATAAAAATTTTCCAAACAAAATGGAATTTCATAACACCACAACAAATGGTCAAATGCTGTCTAATGTTCGCACTATAGCTATTTTCACTTTCCAAAACATAATCGCAAATGAATGAGACAGAATTTTTGTTGAATTTGTTGTCAAAGCATCATGCGCTGTTAAGAAGATTGCACACGAGTGCACGAGTCGGCCATCAGCGGAACCAAAGCATTTGCGACGGCAAATATGTATGAAGCTGACAGTGCTGTGACGGCGTACTACAATAATATACGACCAAACTAGCGTAGCGCACTGGGCACTCCCCCTTGTTGCAAAAGCACTGTTTTAACCGTCTCGCGTTTCGGCTTATCAAGATCGCCAAACGCAGGATCGATTCCCGCATGCTTTCTCAAACAAGTCTACTTCTAGCGCAGTCTCTTTTAGACGTCGCCGAAGTATGTACCAGAATACGTATAATACATATATATATACAATTCTGGCATGGCCAGAATCTGCCCTTCAGGAATCGGTTGCAGTATCTGTACAGGTACTGCTGCCCTACCAGTATCGTACCAATATTTAGTTGTCAAAAACTGCCAGTCTCCTAGAAAAATGATTACCTTTCCAGCCATTTTTAGTACTGTATCCGTTTATCTATTCCGTCGGACCTTCATTAAATTCATTTCATATCGCGTGGTACTTGTACCAAGGTAAACGTATAAGAGATAAAATCCTATGTACCCTGCTTGTGCTACTGCTGAGTGCTGACCAATGTCCACGAACAAATTAATTTTATATATAGATATAAGGTATCAGCTGCTGAGCTAAATATAAACTTACATAAATGTAATAATTATGTACTTACTACCAAGTATCGATGTGTTATAACGGTTAAAAGGTACTTATTTCAGTTATTTGCAAACCGGTGAATTCGAAAGCACTAAAGCCGAGAAGCATATAACAACACCAACAGCCGGTGTCCACTGTCTAGGCTAGTAATCAAAACAAAATTAATAATAACTGCAAGCCTGATACTCTTTTATCGTTACTGGTTAACCGCAAGTGTCTTTGCAGCTTTAAACCGGATGCTCGTATTATACTTACACCCATGTACAATACAGTATCTGTACTTCAGCGGTACGAAGTACAAAATTTTTCAGAGGACGGTAGCGGCCATATTAATTTAAAAGGTGTAGTATGCATTGTTTACCAAATTACTCGTAACGATTCACCTAACCGCTATTAAAACATGCCGTGATGGATCATCGGTGTAGCTTTAGAAGGCCGTATTCAAATGGAGCTAGTGGCTTACGTTTTCTGGAACTGGTCACTGGACAGTGTGAGAAGTCTACGGTAGACGTTGAGAACATCAGAATAATAATAAGACTTATTCAAATCGGGAAAGCTCTATCGTAAATTTTACCGAAACATGGATATGTGTTGCGTACTCCGTGTATGCAGGAAGTTACATCATTATCTCCATGTAACAAATTACTACCAAGCAAAAACATAAGATAACATTTTGCAGTTTACTTACTTCCAGCAGAAACTTGTCTGGAATGGAACAGGATGCCATTTAGTATCCATACCGTAGTGTGAAGATAATAGCAGCCGCTCAAGGTTTTGACTTTAAAGTTCATTTATTAGTGGTTAACTGCTAAGATAACCAGCAGTAATGGCAACAATATTCGATTCCACAACTTCAGTCTTAAGAGATTAAGGCACACCGAAACGGACAAAACAATAATGACAGTAAGTACTCAACTGAACTGAACTTACACATGTCTGAAAACAGTTTCTGGACTCTGGCATTGTCAGATTCACTCATATCTCCACAACCTCGTTAAAACAGCAGAGGCTCTGAAACCCACATACACCTACATTTCCGAATAAAAAAGTTTTAAAAAACTGGAGCAGATCCATATAAATAAACGGCGTTCCTTTTTAACGACGGAGGAATTACATCAGTCTGAAGCAACAAAGCAGAGCAGAAGCTTGGTCAGAATAGATTGCGAATTTGCGAGTTGCTGTGTACTTATCCTGTAGTTAGATATACCTTCAATTCCATTAGGCCGCTTTCCCTTTGCCATCGGGGAACGAACCATTAGTCCGCCACCTCCCGCATGAGCAGCAGATCCTGCGCTCCCTTTCACCAACTAAATGAAAGGCACAAGGTCAGTATCGTATACTCAAAATGTCTCCCTACGGTTTGCGCGACCTATATACAGTGTACAATAAAACACGTAACAATAAATCGCCGTAGACAAGGGTCGACCACATGCACTACGGTAATGTTTTCATGTGTTCGCTCGATAAAAAAAATTTATTTGATACTTACTAAACACATCCTTAGTGACAGACGGCACATTATTACTATCACTGTGTGTACTGTATCGCACAATCGATGAAATGGCCATACCTTTGATACTTCGAGCTTCCCGGTATTGAACTCGTTCTTTCTTTTACCCAACTGTGCTCCACCTTGTTGCTCTTTCTCTTTTGCACGACGACGTTCTTCTTTTTTATTTTCCTGCTGGGCCTGATAAGCAGAACGTTGCTCATCGACGAACTCTTCGTATATCCTCCCGTAAACCGTGAATGGACGCTTGTGCTCCCCTTCCCACTCGTGGGTTTTCTGAACCAATTCGGCATCCAACTGTCGCCAGAAAAATTCAACATATATAAATCACATAATATAAAAGCAACTTTCGAGTTTTCAAACTGATTATGGTACATTACTCACAATTCCCAACAAATCAACTTTCGCTGTGCAAACATTTTACAAATATGTTAAGATAGTACTTCGGGCCTCTTAGGCTGAGGCTGACCTTTTTAAGTTCATGTTCCACTCTAGCCTTCTCCTGCTGGTCACGCAACAGTTGACCTCCTCGGTTCAGAAGACGTGCGGGGTCGCTTTCCTTCTCCTAAAATCGTCTCTCGCATCAAATAGTGCACCAGTGCGCTGACAAATTAACGAAAACTCGAGCTCACATCCAATTCCATTTTCTTCTTCCAGACCTCTTCCCTTCGAACAATTTTGGAGAAGAACTCGATGTTTTGCTTGTAAAGATCTCGCAAACGATTGCATTCTTTTTCATGTTCTTCCAGCGAAGCTTCATCATAAGTCCCTGAAAAACAGAAATACAAATTTGCCGATATGCCACATTTACTGCCAAATAACAGCAGGCATTTTTACTGCGATTCCTTAATCTAGTCAGCGCAATACCTGTATCGGATTTTAAATCGATCAGCTTTTGCTGCTCTTCCGGGCCGGTAAAGCATTTGTTGTACAGGTCCTTGATTTCCGCCCGTAATTGCTCAACAAAGTTATTCAGGTTTTCCTTTTTCATGATCTCTAAGTGGGCAAGCTCCCCTTGAAGCTAAAAAGAATTCACATCAGGAGCAAGTTGAGCAACCTGATACAAGGATAAAGTTAACAAATTATTTCAAAATACGTAAATGCACAACATTCTTCCACGAAAAACCGAAAACACAACTACTGTCCTTTCCTGCTTATTTAAACAAGATGCTATAAACTCAAAAGTGCAAATGTTTTCATCGAAACTGAATCTTTTAAACCAGGTGTTACAAAGTTTAAAATTTTCGAATTAAAAACCAGAAAATTTCAGAAAACACAACTGTGCACAACCGAGCACCGGGTGCTTTATAGTAAATTTAAAGGATAAAGTCAACCACAATACATACCAAATACGTACCTTTGCTATAACATCAGGATCGCACAAGTGGTCGACAACATCGGAACTTTCAATGGAAATCCTTGTCGGAAGGTCCATACGCTTTGATAAATATTGTATGCGGTCCAGTAGCGACTGACCCTGCTCTTCGGCGGCTCGCTTCTTTTCAACCATCTTCGAGAAGATTGAATTAAATAAACAACCAGTGCGTAGATGACTATTCGTTGACTGGAAGCAAACACGTAGACCAACCTGTTTTTCGAAAGCTTCCGTGTGTGTCATATTGTGATCAGAAAAATCCTCCAGATTTACATGAGATATGTCCACCTTCAAATCTTTTGCGATTGTTCTGATATGATCTCGTCGGGCAGCCATGATATTTCTTCGTCTATTCTGCAAAAATCACGGAAACACACAAAATAACCATCGCTTCTTGTAAATTAAAAACACTGCAACTACCAGAATGATCAAGTGGGCATCGTTAACTTTCGCCAGTCGATCAAGAACATCTGTACGATAAAGCAAACCAGGATCCGATACGTGAAAACGTTCAACCCCGAGCAAGCCCGCATAATTATCGTTCTCGGCCTGAAAGAACAACCATTAATTTAAACAGTGTTTACACGCTTTGGTGTTTGGTCAACGGCATACGGTTTCCATGAATTTAAGGCAAATGAAAATTCCCGAAAACAACCATGTTCATCGAGGAAAGCGAATGGATTCCAATAACGCACCTGCAGTCTGTCCACCATTTTTTTGCGATCTTCTTTTATGATTAACAGTGGTTGAAGAAGCTCTTCGCGATAGTACTTCTCCAAATCCACCATTTTCATGTGGGATGCTTTCTAAAACATAGCAGTTTACTTGTACTAAAGCTTATGATGATGCTAATTCTTTACAAATACAGTATCGACATTCTTGAAAAATTCCTGTGAAATCCCGATTTCAACCAGAAAAGGTAAGTCAAACTGCCAAAACATAAAACGCCTGACGCGTTATACGGTTTTCTCAATTACCTGATCGTCGGGTTTACAGGTGACTCCCAAATAATGCTCCAGATTCACCAGTTCAGCTTTGCAGTCGTCGATGGATTTAAGCAAATCCCTTTGATAGTCCTGCTGAGTCTTGAGCCCTTTATTCAACACCCATGAAGTGGAAGAATAGTACGCTTCTTGGAGGACGTCAACGCGAATGCGGATGTCATCATCCGATAATCCAATACTATCCCAACATTGCTCGATTTGTTTAGTGATGTCCTTTTGCTCGTCGTTCAAGCGAAACAGATCACTGCAAAATAGCTAAAAGCTAAAGAAAATATTGAACAAACTATTGACCATCATAATAATGATCTTGTGATAAGTGATAACTCAACTTATGAGCCTACAGTAGTTCTACACTCCACAGTTCGCTGTTTGGAGTACATTGTGAAGTTTTTTTAATCATATCGGTGGATGATTGCAGTCATTTAACCCAATCCACGATAAACTTTCAGCAATCGATGTTACCACCATCCACTGCGTTGGGGTAATGTGCCTTAAGGAATGCTCATAAAGCGTCGTAGGAAATGTTATTTCGAAACTTTCAGCTTTTATAAGTTTTATTGCTACTTATTACTTAAGCATCAACCATTTTGTCACAAGTCAATCCATGCAAAATTGCAAATCGATTCAATCACTAACCTGAGATTTCCCGTTTTCCTGTTCCAGTCGTCAGGCGACTGAAAAGTCATTTGACTCATCTTGATGGCTCAAGAAAAGGAGACAAACAGGTAAAAGTTCCACACCAGAGTTCCTCTAACGTGTACACGGTTTCATCACAAAACGAACAGTTGCACAAATGTATCAAGATGAGTTAACTTTTGAAGTAGTCCTAAACTTTACTTTTACAGATTAACACTTACACGGACAACCAGAGATATTCAAAAAAAGTAATTACTGTACAGTGTACTATAAATCGCAATAAGGTACTATTACTGCTATTATTACTAATAATAATAAATAACCAGAAAACTCCAGACTGGCGTTGGAAATAAGAACGAAAAATCGTAGCAAGCGATCCACATAACAGTTAGCGCGGGTTACTGGCAAAGTAATCAGCTGCGCCAAATATTGGTGCGCATTACCCATACTGTGGTTTACAGTATAGTGTTTAAACGAGAACGAGGAAGTTTTGGCTGAAGCCGCTATTCCCAAACGCCACCCCAGGCCGGCCAGGCGGACACGCGTCATGCACCAAACGGGATGCCGTATTTCATAATTTTATTTATTTTCAGTATTTTCATCCTGATTCCTGATTAGCCTGATTCTGTTTTACAGTGCGCACTTGCGACACATTTTGACGTAGTCTATTGGGTAAAGCTCTTGTTATTTCGCTTAAAAATATACTTATTCTTTCAACTGGCAAATTCAAACTGCAAAACGAAAATATATAATACGAGGCCCGCATAACAAATTAGTGCGGGCACGGCAGCACATAATATTTGTATTATACGAGACTACGGCAAAGTTAAAAAATCAGTCTTGAACGGAAAAGAAATCAAACATGCTTCGCAAAATCTGGAGCATCTGGAGTCCAGCTTTCCGACTTCCCTTCGTTTACCGTGATCGAGACCGCGATAATCATGAATCATGTGCATATAGATGTTATTTCTTTTATTACGTATTGAAGGTCGTTGCTAACTATCGTATGGATTAGTTAGCTACGACCCGATGTAACATGAGGCCTATATAATGTGCAGCAATAGAAAATGAATTCAATTGCAATTATAGAAGTTCATGATTTGCGTCCCTTGCGCCAACACAGTTTGATTTTCTAGATCGAATTCCGTTCCAGCAAAACTGAAAATTAATTACAAGTTGGATCAAACTTTTCTTGATGAAAACACACCGAACACTGCTAGGAGTATTAACAATGATAATTAATTAGCTAGTAGTATCCACATTTCTGATTGAGCAACCCAATTCAATCTAACAGAATTAAATTTTACATAAATGCCAGAATACATTCTTTCCAGCTGTTATCTAATAAAGCGATTTGGTAAATGTGATACACTTTATGTGCCGACTGCTACGCGGTCACCCGTTTGTATTCGCCTACAAGAAGGCAAGACAGCATACTTTTCGACAGGTCCGTGGCTCACTGGCTATCAACCGGGGACGGAAGGCATTCAAGTGAAGCGAATCGGCGCTGTTGGCCGAATTTTTTGCTGTTGTGTTACTTGCATAAATTGCGGACCTTGCATAGCCAGCGGCCAGAATCAAAGAATGGTGCACAATTTGGACACCTTATTGCCTTGACCAGCGCCGGGGAACCCTCGATTCCCTGTTGATAAAGGATTTATTTTTAATCCTCTTCCCCCGCGGTTTCCTTTGCCAGACGAGGGTGCACTGCCCGCCGTGTTTAGCGCTGATGGCGCAGATTCGGTCATGTCGTTTCCATTGGTTGCATATTCTTCATACTGGATCCCTAAGGCTTGTTTCTGAATGCGATGCAGTACAATCCGGTAAGTCCCGGTAATGCTGGACCGCGATTGTTTACCCATGGATTTTTGTATGACGTCGCGTGTTATTCCCAGTTCTTTTAGGACCTTTCTTGCTTGCCGTTCTTCGCCCGTTAGATTATCTGCAATTATTGTTGTTAATGTGCTGCAACATGTGATCCAGAAGGGTGATGAAATACTTAGCGTAGGTACGTCAGTATACTACTTAAACTTCACAGAAAATACCCGATGTGTCTTGTAATTGGTGGGAACCACTACATGCCAGCAATTGTCATTCAGAGCAAACTTACAGTTTGAACACTTTCTAAATAATATACCGATACGAAATGGGACTCTGTGGTTTTTTCGTATTTTTTATCGACAGCTACGGGTAGCATGCAAACGGTGACTTGTACTCATAGCTAGATTCGTTTACTTAACCTCGCATTGCCTGTAAAGCAGCTATACTTACACAATGCAGTGCAGCTATGTAAGGTATCTATTAAAGGTTAATTTTCCATCGTTACGAAAATGAATGCCTGAATACCAGTAAAAGTACCTATTAGTATATCGGGACACATTCGCTGTCACATAATAACCGGCGCACGCATGACCTTTCGACCATAGAATAAAATTTTTCACTGTATGGTATTTACCTATGTCGTATGTGTTTAGTCTACAATTTTCGTTTGATTATGCGCACGCTCTGGAACATTCGCTCACGGGGTCCGATCAAACGATTAGAAAGGTATCGATCGATATATGAAATAAATGGATAGCGAACAGTAAGCATCACATTTAATAGGCGACCTATTGTGTCTAGCTCCCATGGGGAAGAAATATCTGCATACCGTGCATTATGTCATCAGGATTGAGAGTGAATGGTTTTAACGGATCCGGGTACGTCGCACCATGCATCCACTGGAATCTGCGTGTACCGTGAACGGATGGCCGATCGGCTGCGACGGGTCGTAGTAGTGCCGAAATTAACTGAAATTACAAAAAGTATTACTACATGCGGTTGAGGAAAATGTGTGCGGACATCAGCAGGAGCAAAAAATCCAATAGAATACACTACGCCATGACGTTATATAATCCCCACCTCAATGCACTGGACACTTAAGTACGTCGGGACGGAATATACACCTGCAACGATGAGTAAAGAAAATCAATAAATATCTTTTCCGGAAAACATGAACAGCGGCTTTTGTGATTTAGCTAGCTACGACGCTGGTCGTGGCTGCCTAGTTAATTGACAGCAGATCATCACGTGCATCCGGGACTTTTAGACCATTTTTCCTGCGGACGTTCAGTCAACAATCATAGCGCAAGTTACCTGGTTCGCGTATATGACTTCAAATTTTTTCAACGCTACCGAGAAGGGATAATCAGTTATCGTGCGGTGCAACGAAAGCATAGTAAAGGTTGCGGTGTTCGTGCAAAGCGATTATGTGAGCACGGTGAGATGTACGAGTAGATACCGACATACTTCTACAACAAGTAAGAGAAATACGAAAAGCGGCGACATCAGGCGTAGGACTAATTGTATTGTATCAATTAATTAAGTACTGCACTAATTGTAAACGAAATCATAATTCATTGATTCATAACCTAACAATTAATGGGGATCGCGAAATTGAAACACTTTTTCGTCAAATAGGATTATGGGACTATAATTAATATCAAGTATACCATAGCATGCATACAAGCATGAACTTTTACCTTCAAGTATAGCTTTCTTTAGTTTGCCGACGGTTTCTCCTCGGAACGGAAGCATGCCGGTGACCATAAAGTATAACATAATTCCCATGGCCCAAACATCAACAGGACGCCCTTCATAACTTTCATCCCGAAAGAGTTCCGGTGCGGCATACGGAGGTGAGCCACAGAAGGTAGTCAAGGCCTGGCCCTGAAGGCTAATTGTGCTGAATCCAAAGTCACCGACTTTGATTGTATTTGGTCCAGAAAAGAAGACATTCTCGGCTTTCAGATCCCGATGAATAATATTTAATGAATGCTGGAAAAACATTATAGAATGAAGTGAATTATTCAAGTAACGCCGTATAGGAAGAGTAGTGAATATACCAGATGATCCATTGCGGAGATAACTTGAGCATATAAAGGCACAGCGTCGGGCTCTTTAAGGCGACCTTCGTTGGTAATCTTGGCAAATAACTCCCCTCCACCGGCGTATTCCATTACCAAGTAAAGTTTCGCCAGAGTTTCGACCACTTCGTACAAGCGAACAATGTTGGGATGATGAACACGCTCCATGTTGGCGATCTCTCTGAAACGTAGCAATATATGCAGATGATGTGCGCATGCTTATTTCTTCAACAAATTACGGATATTTTCACGGCTATATGGTATGTTCTGTTAGTGGTTTAGCCTTAGCGAGAGTACCTGGCCACAAGTCGTTGAGTTTTTTGGTCCAAACGCGCTTTATCCAGAATCTTGATGGCCACTTTTTCTGTCAATCGAAATACATTATTATGTATTATTTACTGCATTTCATGGGTGCCATTTGTTAACCCTAAGTAGGCACACCGTTGATTGCATAATCAATAGGAATAAAGAGCAGAAGTAATTTGAGTGCTTGTGTCTACCTCTCGTGAGTGCGTGTACAGCCATCTTCACTTGGGAGAAATTTCCGGAGCCAAGCTCGGTCCGTATCCGATAGAACCCCACTCGCCGACCCAGTGTAATTTCCTTCAATGTGCGTTTATCATTGGCCAGCTCTTGAGACACTTGCTCATAAGCGGTTAACTTCCGTGCCCTGGCTTTGGCCGCTGCACCAGCCGCGGCAGGCACCTCCCCCAGCGATTTGGATTTGCTGGACACACTGTTGCGACGTTTGTCACCCGCTGCGTGAGAATCCACCGGTACGCCGTCAACGGTCTTGACCACACCGTCGTCATCATCATCATCGTCATTGTACTCTTCCTCAATATCACTTTCCAATACTGTTAAAGGCTGTGCTGGCGCTTTAGGATCAATTACCACGACGGAAGGCACCAGTGAATCATGACCGGCAACAGAGGATTTGGCTTTCGATGCTGGCACCGTGCTGGCAGTTGATGAAGGTGCGGAGGAATTATGACGAGATTTCAAAGCTTCGCTAATTGGCTCGGTTGCGTTAGTTTCAGTGGAGATAATTTCCGGTTCCACAGAGGGCATCTCCCCTCTACCCACTTGCAGATTATTTGGCATCTGCTTGGCTAAAAGCACCTTAATATCGCGGCCCAGCTTCGGACCATCTGTGGCGTCAGGTCGCATTATGATCCTTCATCTGTTCAACAATTGACATAATAAGAGTTTTAATAATTCGGAAACTCAGGAGTCAGCACGGGCAAATTATACAGTTTCTAGCAACACGATTCCGATTTCATGAAACGTTTTCCTCAGCGTGACCAATGACGATTTCGTACTTTCGTTTGAAAAGCTTCTGTGCACTAATAACTGTAGCATTTAAATCTCAATAATTACAAAATCTAGGGTGCCGATGCTGTCTCCTGCATCTTTCACATAAAACGAGTACTTTGCATAGGCGACACTGATTAATTACGCAATATTATAGCCTAATTATCAAAACAGTTAAATAAAATTTGGGCACACATAGTCGGAGTTTACCGAAAGTGTATCAGACATTATGGTATAGCTTAGAAGTTTGACGCTCCAAATGTATGGGTTCACCTTTTCGCTGCATGTGTGCGTTTAGAGGTACAAAGTATAGTTGTTATAGACTTTTTTTACAGCCTTTCAGACAGCAGGGATTTTCTTAGTTAGTACGATATGGACAATACAGTTTTTCGATGATTTGCAGCATGAGAATGTTCCAGACGACGGCATTTAGACAACCACACTGCTGTACCAACTGCTATTGTACGTATTATAGTGCTTCCACTTATGCGGTATATGATTCTGCCGATTTATCTTGTACCGAATACGCTTCACTAAAAACAATTCGGCGTAATAATTTGGTCGTAATGAACGAAAAATACATTCACGCACGTTCGGAAAAGAGATATGTACGTAGATCATGCCTGTTGTTACAATTAAACAAAGATTCCTACCGTTTACCATGTGAAATCAAAACGTACAAAGTTATCAGTACACGTTATTTTGCGTAAACTGTAAACTCCCGAGAGCATATATTAGTATCATACTATGCACTACGAGGTCGATCGTTTTTATTCCGAAAGCATGGGCTTGAAAATGTAAGACTGTTAGCAGCTACAGCTAGACAGCACTTACCGTTTGCCGCAAAATTTCTCAAGAAACCGTTGTAAGGCGTGTGAAAATATAACGGAAAGGTCCAACAAGTTTACGGATTTATTATAAGCTGCAGTTAAATGGGTATCGCAAGAGCACCATCCAGTACACGTTCATAGTGAGTTATTCCGCAACAAAACAATAAAGGTAATTGTGAAACTTAGCCATGTTCCCCGGTAAGAGAGGTTACGGCCAGCAGTGTGCAGCTTATCAGGTGCAGCAAGCAACCTCGGGATCGGGTCGATGCGCATGAGAGAGTCTGCTCCTGTTTGGATTCCACTCCGCGAGAGCATGGTGATCCTCAAATTGTCCCCGCGTGTACCGGCAGCAGCCGCAGCCTAAGCTCACCTGCGCCAGGTACATACGCCGTCGGTATGTACGCAGCCGGGACTAGGGAGCCGGTTGTTGTTAGTTGGGGACTCATTATCGATATTTTGTGTTTGATTATTAGTGCATTATATTCAGTCTATGAACAGCCAAGGCTGGTATTCAACTCTCTACACTGGATTGAATTTCAGGGCCGGTTTGCGTATGGATGTCGTCGGGAATCGGGATCGATAGACGTTTTCTGCCAATATTGCGGCATATGTATTAAATAATAGACGGTGGCATGAAAAATGCTGGATGTTGGGATACTGCAAATTTCATAAACGTTTTTACCATTAGATACCTTCACTAGAACGCGCTGTAAGTGTATATCCTCCATGGATTTGTTTATCGGAATTCTGTTCAATATTACGATTTCCGGGCGGTCAAGAGAATTACGCACTGCAACAATTTTGCGAAGTTCTGTAAAGTGCAAGATCGGTATAGACTCTATGCGTACTTGTTGGATATGACGCAAGTTGACAGTACAGCGCATGCAAGTGTATAGATCAACACAAAATTTTGCGTTTCCTACCGCACAAAAGTGGAGCATTTCATGGTCATTCGCGTCCCTTGCGGTAAACATTCAGAAATGTTTACCTAAACTGCCTCAATATTATTGTTGGTTTTTTATTTTTAAATCCATCTTGTTCTATGAAATCAACTATTAGTTGCATAAAGGCATTTTAATATCGATGAATGTTTGGTATCGTACAAATTTTGCGAAATAAAGTTGATCCACATAAAAAAAACATTATGGAGTACAGAATTATGCATTTCAGTTTACCTAAAGATTTTTCTAGAATTCATTGCATTTCATATGAGCGCTTGCCCTAGATATTAATACGTAAAGAATCGGGTCAATTCCCAAATTTTTATAGGCTTTTTTGTATTATTTTTTATTAATTTTTTTAAGAATTCGAAGCTGTGCATTCTAAGTTTTCATTAAAACAGCTTCTAGATAATAATATCTAACGGAAGCACTTTGGATGCGTCTCCAGCACTTTAATTTATCGCATCTGTATGACCTAAGAATTACTTCGCGCAAATACCTCAAAGGTCGCAGAATAATACTTAAGTATGGAAGCGGCACATACGCTTCAGGTTTGTACAGTCCGTACATTCTACTTTTACGTACATATCTGTAGCTACCTTGCTTTCCGTCTCTCCTTTGCTCTTTGCCGTTTGTTGTTGTTGTTTTGTCAACTTTTTAACATACCATAATTATGCATAATTATACAAGGACATGCACACAATTGTTATACCTAATTACGCATGACATCTAATATCTACATAAACATATGCACATGAAATACATTAATTAAACGTATTTCTCCCACATTAAAGATTACAAGCACTACTCCCAGTTTCGTGGGCGAATTCAAGCTTGAAATCGCCGAAAGATTCTTGCAACTATCCTTCGATTTCCATAGCGTACCAACAATTAAATGATCGAGGAAGAAATCAGAATCCGTGTGATGTTCGGTAGCAATTATCTCATCAAAATTTCAAATTAGTCATTATAAAGCTCAGTTTCCATCTCTTTTCTAATTGCAGTTCTAATTAGAGTGTTCTTGTTTCCGAGTACGTTTGATCAGAATAGGCTTCTGCACTGCACTTATGGTTAGAACAATTGTCTCAATTTGTCTGTATAACACCATTAACCCATACAGTACCGAAGTATTTATTGTACGAAAATCTCTGGGCATTTAACATATCACTATGGCACTCGTACTTGTTTCATGTATCTTCGCACCTCAACGTCAGATGTCATCATGTCCTAATATTTTATAAAAGTTGTGCTGGGCGGATACCCTTTCAGAAGTCCATATAATTATAATACCGACCGCCGCGTATATCGCTTTATGAAGCAACAGCCAAAACCAACGAACGAACCAACAGCCATTTTACTGTAGACCCGTGTCCAAATTTCCGTCGGACTGTGTTTTTATTTGGTAAAGGGTACACACATACTTACTGTACGTTGGGCCGGACGGGAATGCTCTGACAGGAATGTCGTATCCTAATGCGGCTGTTGGTCGCAGCGTTGTTGGTCGCACCGTTGGTGTGCGACCTGTTGCACCGGAAAAACCATATTTGTTGAAGGACGTATGCCATAAGGACCCTTCAAAAAAGTAGAGGGTAGGTAAGGGACAAGGGTAGGTCGCTACCAAGGTCAGGGGCTTCGAAAAAGTGCGTATGGAATTAGGAAGCCAAGACCTTGGTCTTGGCTTCCTTATCCACCATTTTAGCCACATGTATCACCGGATTTTAGCATTGTATCTTGTAATTGTAAGAGGGTAGGTACAAAGTGGTCCAAATCGAATTTTAAAGCTAGTAAAGCCAAACGTATAATTTTTAATTACCAAATATACAGTTTTGACAGTGATTTTTCAGAAAGCGGTTTTAAGGTTTTAGCGGTTTTATTAATAATATACTGTAGCGATGGTATTGGTACGAACGATAAGACCACCCAGTTATGATTCGTCATTCCATCGCGTTATGAAATTTGTCCACTTTACCGGCTAGTTCCCTTTCTCATGAATTTCTAGAATTCAGTCTAGTTTTGTACTCAACTTGCTACAGCTTGCATCTACTTGATCAACTTTGTCCTATAATCTCTTGCACCAAACAGCTTGCTCCGTTTCTTGAACGCCGTTGTCATTAAAGAAATCTCTTTTCCGAACTCATACTGAATGTATGATTTAGCTTGGTACTTCCCTCGTTTGTTGCCAGCAGAGATGTTATAAAAAATACGGTGTAAAATATTCTTATCGACCAACAAGGTTACCGATTTGACAGAAGAATGCAGGTGCCACGGCCGAATTTTGCCATGCCATAAGAATGCTTTTCTGGCGTTTGCTTTACAACGGTGAAATATCAAGCCGCAACGGTGAAATATCAAGCTGCACGACCTTAACAGTTCATCCTTGCGTACAAGTGCGCACAGATACATAATGCACGCTTGACAACAACTGCAATTCAGGCGCTGACCAATGGCCATAATTGTATCGTCTTCCATAGTCGAGCGTTAGAGTTCACTCGCGGGAATTAAAGACAGCCAGCTTCCCGGCCAAAATGGAACGAAAAGGCCTGTCCGTTAAAGTTCTCAAAAGGCCGGATGTCATCTCTCTAGTACAATGGGCACGAGGTAAACCTTTGGCCGTGGATGTTACTTGCGTTGACACACTCGCGGCCTCCTATATTAATCGCACTTCCCTGAACGCCGGAGCCGCCGCGGAGCAAGTTGAAAGGGGAAAGCTAACGAAGCACAGTTGGTTGCTACCAAGATACGATTTCGTCCCGGCAGCGTTCCAAATCTACGGACCGTGGGTAGACGGCACCATGAAACTCGTGGACAAGATTGGAAGCTTCCTAGTTCCTGCTACCGGCTAGAAACGCGCCAAAGAGTTTTTTCGGCAGCGCTTGTATATACAGACAGATACAGCGCGGGAATGCGATAGGTGTAATGGGCACGATTTCCGAGCAAGATGATAGAAGTGTTCTTGTTGTGATTCGGGCGTATTTGTTGCGGACTGGTTACAGTACATGTATAATTAAATTTCATCTGCAGTGTTAAGTAAATGGCATTAGAAATGGAAATACATTGAAACTTGAAAGCGTTTTAGAACAGATGATGAGAATATATAGCGCGGAGCACTGTAGAACTGGATGCGATCTGGTAGACCACCCCAAAAGTACGCTTTAATTCTGGACCTAACTACTAACCACGAATAAAATCGCTTCCCCTATATATAATTAAATTAGGTATGCCAAAAAAAGCTTGATGGTTACACAGTTGATATTATTATAAGGTTTAGGTTTAATGGTTTAATAACGTCCGCACACATTCAGGGCAAGAGCCCAGTTCGAGGCAGCAGACACTAACAACAACAACAATTCTCCAGTTACAGATTCACAGCATTTCAGATCAAGCTTTAAACATATTATGTTATTATAATTTATTTTAACTCGGTCTGTCGTTACCCTGTAATCTTACGCAGCCGGACAAGTAATATTAATTAAGACTAAAAGCAGCAGACGCCGTAAAATAAAAAACTAATAGAATAAAAAACTTTTGATAAGATATTACTTAAAAGTTCTAAGAAACAGCATTAAAAATAATAAAGGCTGACCCTGACATGTTGATTAGTGAAGTAGCCTTAGTCAAATGAAGCATGCATTAATTCCTAAAGAACGTACGATATACGCAGAAAAAGGTCACATAAAAAGGAGCAGATGCAATACCAGATTATGAATAGCATCCGAGAAACAAATGCAAAAATTCTAAAACAGGCATATTCTGTAACTTTAATTTTAATTTATAAAATCCGGGAAGAGATACTAGCCGAAAGGTCGCGCGAAATTCAAATCCGAATGAAATCTTTAAAATTTTCGTAATGGGTATGAAATATAAAATATTACGCATTTTACTTGTAATTATATGCGATAATACGTATTGAAAAATTCCATAAAGCTGGACGATAACTTTAACAACCGACTGCAAGCTTTTTTATATAAGCATAAAGCTTTTTTATATAAGCATTTAATATATCAATTAATTATCTATGCTCTACGCATTATGCAGGTACTCGATCTACACAGAGAATTTTGATAGACAAACATGAACGACTAACAGTTCTTCTTGTCTTGTAAGGCATTTTAGTGTGAATCTACAAAAGGTGGAACCCCCACTGAGAGGACGTTTGTAAAAACGCCATTTAATTTATATTATTTAACTAATTAGTCTATAAGGAACTGATTTCCGATTCAAATCACGAAGCTATCAAGTGGTAGTAGCAATTGCCATTATCCGTCTGACCACGATGCAAGCGAGGTAGCAGTGCACTATTCCGCCTACAATGGTAGCATTACGTCTCTCACAGGATTGATCAAGAAATGGCCTAAGCGTATTGGGCTAACAATCACTTGGACTCCCTGGTCTGGTTCATTGAGTTCGTTATTCTAATCTCCTCTCACTTCCGGTTGCAACAGCGGATGTGTCAGTTTGGGGGTAAGATTAGTATACAGATATATGGTACAGCCGGCTGCATAGCAGCAGCTTCACGCCATGCGTTGTGGTTATCCCGTTATCCCATATCCAGTTGGACGTGTCTTATACGTGCACACCCGGCGCAACGACGAGTAAATTCCCAACACTTGTCACTTGACTGACAGAACCAGGCAAATGGATTAGGTATGATAATTCTCCCTTTTTCAACGGGTACACGCTGTTTGCATGATGAACACCTTAACCGGTGTTTAAGGAGTGACACTAATGTTTGGCCAACCTGGAAAGGGTCCTGTTCGTCTTAGGTATGTGGCCTACCAAAGCAAATAAGCGGTGATAATCATTTAAGTCGATTTCGGAGTGTGCTCTTTTTGGGCGATTGCACTGAACTCCCGGAAGTGCAGCACCGAACAAGTGGACAATACTTTGCCGCAGATTGTGCCTCTCTGCTTGATTTTATGTAATCGAGACGCTGCACAGTGCACATCTTTCGGATAAAGGTTTGTTTGAAAGACATTGCGGCCTGATGTACGTAATTGATAAACAAAGTTCGCTCAACGTTTTTCAGATATTGACTCCACACGAAATCTAACCGCATATATAAAAAGGTATGCCGTATGTATGTTTAAAGTAATGGATTTGTGCTGTTGGAGTAAAGGAGACTGATTCATCGCAATACCTCTGCTGCATAATTTTTCTGCTGAGGCAATAATTTTCGGTCTGTTACCAAATCTGCGAAATGTGGTAAGCGGAAGCATTGTTTCATCTTTATAATTGATTCATAATTAGTAGGACGTTCACGGACGATTAAAATTTTCCAGTGCATGTTATTTCGAATTTAGATTGGTAGAGCCCATTTAAATACTGAAATGCATTCAGGCAGGTACCAATATCATACGAATGATACGATCGACCAACGGTATCACTGCATATTACGATAATTACAATTGCATTATCGTCAGTCTTTATAAATTAAACAGACTCTTTCCTACTGCAAATTTATTAATATTGTATTACTTTGTATATCACCCATGTCGGTGTCAATGAGCACAACCTGGTTTTAATATGCACGCGTATGGTGTACGCCTCCGTACATAACGGAATGCAAAAGAGCTTTTACGAGCGTAAAGGATGTGGTGTTTTTCCTAATGCAATTTGACGCAAAAGAAGGATTCTGTTGTTCCGTGAAAATATTTATACTTCAAATGTCTGGTTTAAATTCCCTTGTCATTTGCGAACCCAATCCGCCACGCGTAATTGACAGGTAATCGGATTCAACGGCGGTAGATAATGGGATTTATACGTTCCCGATTAGTCGGTGTTCAGGTTATGATTACATCTGACAGTCCGATGCAGAGCAACGCAGCGTAGTCTGGACTCCAAACCGTACTGTCGATACGAAAAAACCACAAAAATGCCATCCAGGATAATGGACGACGTAGAATCGGATGAAGAACGACTCGCCATAGATCGAGTGCGGCGTTATCCGACCAAATTTGCCTATCTGTCACGTCTGCTAACGGGAGTGGGAGGATTTTTAATTGGTTATGATGCCGGCGTTATATCGGGTGCGATGTTGATTATCAAAGAGGAGTTCACGCTAACATATGTATGGCAAACAATGCTAATCAGCTGCACTGTCCTGCTGGCGGCATGTTCCGCGTTGATGGCCAGTTTTCTCAGCGATCGTTTTGGGCGGAGACCTGTCATCCTGTGCGCCAGTTTCCTTTTCTGTCTGGCATCACTACTGGAGAGCTGGGCCACAAGCATTAGTGTCCTGCTGTCCGGGCGGATATTGATAGGCGTATCATTTGGTGAGTGACGGGCGTCTATCGTTTGTTTGTTTTTATCCGCTGATGGCAATGTGAGATGAGTCTGATTAAAAATTGGCAGCTTCACCAGGCAAAATATAATTTGATCGGGTAAGTTCAATACAGGCGATATGGGCACTGTCAGACAAGTTGCAAAAATTAGTGAGAGCTGGATGTACAGTGCAAGCGGACTCACATGTACATGAACGTTATCCACAGTACCGCCATCCGAAAACGCCGGTCACCCCTTTAACTTACAACGCAACTTTAAAGGTTGATAAAATTATATTAGAATGTAAATATGTAGTGATATTGAAGCCGCTTATAATTACGCATTGAGTTATTTCATCAAAAACTTCCTTACAATTAGGTTCGCACTACGCCGAATATGCGTATGCATAGCATCTACAACTACAGACTAGATCTATTGCTCGGTAAATTTTAGAATTATAGGTGTCTTATATTGAGATGCATTATACAGATATTTATTTTGGATTATATTTGTGTGCTCGTGCCGATAAATCACTGTTTATCCATGACGACGTTACAGCGGTCAAACTGTATTCTTCAGCTATTGGATTGAGTAGTTCAATAGTAGAAAAACTCTTTCCATGAAAGTGCAAATTTAAACTTTAGAACGTCACAATAACTTGATATTACTATCTGTACTAGTATATGGCTGCATCGCGTTGTCATCTTTATTATTTGAGAAACTGTTTATATTATGCAATCGACATAAGTACGCAATAATAAAATCAATAACGGTGGCTAAAATCATCGCAACGTCCACTGATATGGTTGCTTCGCTTTCTCGATATGTAAACTTTAATTGTGTAAAAAATAATTCACAACAGCCACCTTGTATATTTTGACCAATTAAAAGCGATGAAATAAGCTCACATCGTTAGGTTTAACATCTGCAACATCACTAATATACTTTTCGGAGCTGTCACCGGAAATCCCCCGCAAAAATCTGTTGCCGATTAGCCTCGTAATTGTATCGGGAGGCCAGTTGACCGGAAGCGTCATTGATGGGATCTGCGGGCTTTTCGATAGCTACACGTGGAGGTATACTGCAATTTGGCTTCGAATTGGATACAATCACTGTTGCCGATAAAAACGATTGCATTACGAATCTTCTTATGTAAATGTGCATAAGCAATGGATGCAAACTATGTATAAAGTGATAGCGTATGCGTTTCTCTTCAGAATTTCGAATTTCGAATACTGTAATTATGATTTTGAATTTTGCTGTATTATAGTTATGGAGCTTTGATTTTGGTAGGATTATGCTCGGACTTGGCTGCATCCCATCAGTGGCACAGCTCATCGGTTTTATTTTCATGCCCGAAAGTCCATTGTGGTTGACCATTCAAGGACGCTATGAAGACGCTAAATCGGGGCTGTATAAACTTCGGGGAATAAATGCTGATATAGACGAAGAATTCGATTTGCTCAAATTAGCTGCAGAAGAGCGGATTCGTAATAGACCGAAAGGCATGTACCGACTTTCTATGACACCTATCACAATTTTTTTGTGTTAAAAATGCCCTTTAATTGTGTAATGAGGAAATCAATACTCCTCATGCAGTGTGCGTTTTGATTGATCAGGATCAACAAGATGGATGAAAAACGATATGCTCTGGCAACCAGCTTTTAGGCGGACATTACTTGTTGGCTGTGGACTGCACGCCATCGTTCAATTCACTGGTGGCATAAACTTATTGTAAGCAATTACGGAAAATCATTTCAAACCGCGACCTGCATGCCACTCCATTAAGAAACTGGCAAAATTAAGTCGTGATTCGGTATACCGTTTAGAACTTCTGTAGGCAGTATAGTGAGTATACATACTGTAAATTGTAGTTTTTTTATTAGTTTTCTTGCTCATTAGTATTAATACTTACCTGTACTCGATCGTGTTAACATGCCGGCATATGCGCAATGCTGGTATAAGTGCATCTGCATGACTGACAAAAATGTAACAATGAGTATTACATAATAATATTTGCAATGCGCAGTTTTCCTGCACTTACTGTATTGCTTCTACACACATTAAGTATTTCGTTTTATAATTATTTATTTGGGGATGCAAGCGGGCCAATCAGCTGGTTCTCTTACTACATAAAACAATTATGGATCCTGAACAAATTTTCGTATATGTTCTTCTCAGGGTAATCTGGCTGCTGTCAAATGTCAGTTCACTAGCTGGTATACTAGTGTGTTTCTTTTGTTCTTTTTTGAAATTAAGTTTCCCTCACTATTGTAGATACTACGGGGGCACCGTAATCCAGATGACGGGACTGAACGGAAAAGCAACAATAATTTGGCTAACTGCTGTAACAAACGTTATTGGCTTACTGGGCTCCTTTGTGGGTTTGTGTCTAACCGACAGGCTTGGTCGGCGACCCTTGATGTTGTTGAGCTTATTTGGTAAAAGTGCTTAGAAAGAACTTTCAGCTAATTGAGATTTGAATATGCACTACATTTTTTTCCTATAGGCGTACTTATGAGCCTGGTGGTGCTGGCCGTGAGTTTCCAGCTCGGCGCCGTAAACTCGCCTCTTGTGACATACAGGAATGAGCCACTTTCAACCGGCAGCAGTAGCAGCAGCGGAACTGGTGGTCCTAGCGTCAGCGAAATCTGTCGTTCCCAAATGTAATTGCCTTCTTTATAGTGGAAATTAAAAATTATGCCACTTTCTCGGATAACCCATGGGTTTAGCAGCTTTTACAGTTTACACATAACACCAACCGGCATCGATTATTCGCAAAACACACGTCTCTAACGCCATCCAATGCGCACAACAGCTTAAGCCTTAAGCCGTAAGCGTATTCCTTAAGCAGGCTATATATCTGTTTTGGTCTGTTGCAGAAATTGTGAAGCATGTATTGAACAGAGGCAATGTGGATTCTGCTATGTAAGCAATGAGCTGGAAAGTGTTTCCCAAGCGTCCTGCACGGATGCGGCGGAAGAGGATTTCACACATGCAGCGAAGGGGCGCTGCTATAATGTAACCACTGCAGCGCGAAATAATTTGTTCTGGAGTTTCGACGCGTGTCCGACATCCTACACTTGGGTGCCGCTGTACGGCTTAATGCTGTATTTAATGTTTTTTGCAGCAGGTAAAGGCACTTAGCTCAAATGAAATTCAGTAGAGGTCAGCGGTATTAAATTAATAACGTCTCTTCGTCACAGTTCGTACATAATGAGGAAGTCAAAGCTTTCATGCAAGTGTTTGTCGCCGCAATGGGTTTTAAACAAAATTAAAACTTATAAGTACAAAAAACCAAGAATTTTACCGTTGTCCTGTGTTTCTTTACAATACAATTAATTAGTTAAACAAAGTGGGCATGGAAGATACTTTAAACTGCGATACCAAATTAGATCTTGATAGCAATCTGAGGTACAATACATGTATGCTGTCCTTGTTCGATAGTGTACTAAAGGGCGACGTCGATTTGCATTTCGTTTTTGAGTTTTGTTATTCTGCATGCAGGGACGGACTTTGGGAGATGCGAACCTCAAAAATTATTTTGTCGCAAACATCGTCTCGTTTCAGGCACACTCGTAGAGAGCGTGCGACTCGATAGTGAATAATTAAATTCTAAATTTAGGTCAATGTAATAAAATAATTTAATGTGTTCTATCACGTATGCAAGCCCTGTAATTTAGGTCTTGTAATGGATATTAGCCTGGATAAGCAGACTTCACACACAGGAGTATATTTTGCAAATAAGTACTGGTGCAGGTTACTTTAGTGGTAATATCGGAGCATTCATTATTTGTACGATAATTTGGTTTCCGCTGTATATGGGTCGATAAAAATTAGATTTTCTAGGCGTTGCGCCGGGATCGTGGGTGGCCAGTCATGAGATCTACTCCCCAACGTGCCGGGATACCGGCATTATCGCAGCGGTAGCGGCGACCTGGTTCAGCGCTTTTATTACCACTTCCACGTTTCTTTACCTGGTTCAAGCCATTTTCAAGTTTGGTAAGTACTGTAACTGATACTGGACACTTGCCGGCTACTTTAGGCGGTATGCCGGTTGCATGCTAACCGAATAATGTAACTGTGACATAATACCCTACGTTTCTATACATACGTAGGTACTGGTGTCCGAATTTACCGCCGTCGATGTTCATTGTCTTAAATCAACAGTTCATTATTATTACGTATTACGCATTAATTTATTTCGCAATACCTTTCTCGAGAAGTTTAGCTAGGGTTGATCGGACCGAACGACTCCGTGATATCTTTGATCTACCCTTCGATCGCGGGTTTTTCTGAAAAGTGCAATTATACAGTAGTCTGCATGTCATACACACACTTTACCGCTGTATTTTAAAACAGGAAGATTGATCTGATGGTCGCTGCTTTTTGCAGGCATATTTTGGTTGTATGCTAGTGTTGCCGTTCTTGGTTTATTTTTCATCTATTTCGCCGTACCGGAAACGAAGGGAAGAAAGGCCGAAGAAGTGGAAGGGCTCTTTGCTATGCCATTTGCCCAAGCCGCCAACGCCGTCCTCCCGCTGGAAAAACCAGTCCAGTTTGTCAGAATACGCGGACTCAACCGGGATGGTCAGCAAGACTCAGTGGAAAGCGACGACTCCGATTAAAACGGCTGACTTTTGCCTGCTTGGCAAACCTTTCCTATCTTTCCTACTCTTGTTTAGTAGAATTCGTTTATTCTTTTATTCCAAACCAGTTCCACGAAACCGATTTTTTTACTTTGAAAACTGTAGCCAGAATGAGTTTGCATTAAGAATATATATATTTATTACGACTATCACAATACATACTCAGCTTTTCAGTATCAATCTGTTGTAGAACAAAAATAAAAAAGTGCGTTGCATAAAGCTGTCATTACATTATTCGGATTAACGAGTCGATGGTTACTATTGGTCACTGCTTTCTGGGTAGGGTCAACAGCATCGCGACATAGGCCTTTAGTGCAATATCGTACCTTTTAATGTGCGAAAACGTCTACAGAAAATGTTCAACCAACAATCACTGACCATGAAAAGAACACGGGCTACAACATGCAAGAAAAAAGTACCGCGTATCATGAGCTATCTTCTCGTTAACTATCGCATCCCCATAATTATATTATTCAGGACGACATGTTTCTGTTAAGCTGCCAAAATTCGTAAGACCAGATAAGCAGCATCTGAAAGCTATTACAATTTCCACCAGGAACAAATTATGGCAACTAAGACAGGGTCATAAACGGCTACACTCCGTTTGAAAGGAACTTTGATAATGAGGGAAAATATCACAGCCAAGCATTCACTGAGAATCGCAATCCAACCAAACGCATCAAGGCAATCCGTTCAAGCGGTGATCTTTGGATCACTCGTAACAACCTTAACGTTATCTAAGTCCGTGTCCTGATGGCCATTCTTGACAACATCTTGATCTAGCTTTTTAAATATTCCACGGATCTTGGCTCTCAGTGCTCGGCGGTCAAGAAAGTAATCACCAACAACAAACACCTGAAAACAACATACATCAACTGATTTCGATACACTATTGCAGCCTTTCAAGGTTCCCCAATAGACCACTTACCACCACTGTACTAACAACAATCCCCAGTGCACTGCCCGCCATAACATCGGTAGGATGATGCTTATTATCACTGACTCTTGACATCGAACACAAGAGCGCTGCTAAAAAAACGGCAAACTGTAAGAATGCCTTGAAAAAGCGCATGCTCATCCATTTCAGCCGGGTCTCCAAGTAGAAAATAACAAAAAATGCGCAATAAAAAGAAAACGATGAGTGGCCCGATAAAAATGATAATCGCGAGTCGGCGAAACGGGAAATAATGACCGGATCAGTGCTGGACGCGGCACGGCAGTACGGCTCTTCGACATAGGTGCAGTTACCGGGATAACCGATAATTCTGCTAAAGTCCGGATCGCAGACGGATATGAAGTGCGGGCGCAGTCGGCCGACTGCATACTTGGTTATGTCGGTGATGGAGACGCAAATAAGTGCTCCGTAAGCATACAGTGCGTTGATTCGGATGGCACTTGAGAGAAACGGCGGAATTTTCAACCCCAGTAGTTCGTAGCGCGTCTCGTAATCATTGTAAGGGCTCTTGGACAGGGTGAAACGGAAAAACTCGCCACAGAACACCTGTTATTGGAAAACGAACAACGCTTTAAAATTTACAGAAATTCGGTAATAATAATCCACAGCACAACAGAAATCAGCAGTAGCTCAGGAGAAGTACGAAATATCTGACTTATGAGCAAATGTTCTTGAGGAAACCATTTTCTTGGTTAATCATCTCAAATGCATAAAATTTACTAATACACAACTGTACTTAGCATTAGCATCACAGATTCGGAACATTTTTATCCGTCATAATAATAAACCATACCAATCATTATGTACAAAAAGCATCACACATCAACCTCGTATAAAAAGGAAGGTCCAATTTCCTTCACTCCTTCAGTAAACTGATTCAAGGGAAAAACGCGACTTTACAGTTAAAAACTGTATGGAAATCCACTCATTGCAAACAAGTACTGTACCTGCCAATGGGCTGCCATAGATTATCATCCATTAATCATTATCATAAATAATCCAAGAGAAAATATCATTTTTCGTTGTATTTTGTTGACGGGACGTTTATCTATTACGGAAGTATAGGATACTGATATTATTATGAAAGTCGAATCAATCGAAAGTCAGATGCTGATTGTCGAAGTACCAAAATTCCGATAGCCAAACACTGTGCTCGAAAAGTTAGTGCTTTTAATCGTCTATCAATTTTACTGCTCTTTCTGCACCTGAGAAAGTCAACTATTGGACACTGGCATAATATTATCATCAGTATCAACTATTAAATAGTACGACGCTACACAGAACACTACAAGCAGCAGACAGGCAAATGGCACAAAATACTGTGCAACCATTCACTGTCTTAAAGTTAACTTAGTTTCCAACTAAAATTTTCTATGACAGAACGTACAGAACCAGAATACTGCGCTCTTTAGGGGCACAATAAAAAAGGAAGTTAGAAAAGGAAGTCACACCTATAAATCACTCACCACAAGAACCGGAACAAGGACGCCTGTCATCGCCAAAATACTAAATGGAACCGTATCATCTTTATACGGCAACTGAATATCTGGATCATTGCAGAAAAATCCTCGTTTGTATCCACCCATGTAGCGTACGACGATGAACGGCACGCAAGCTAAAACGGTGGAAATGAGGAACTTTTGTTGAGTAGTTAAGACAATGTTCAAATTGGAAGTGAACATCGTAGTTTCACGTTTTTACACACTTTTCGGAGTTTTTTCACTGCGAAAATCCCACAAGAACATACCAGCAATTATAGAACCCAGTTCAATGGCATTCCGCAGTGACACGATCGATCGCCATCTGATAACTTTGCATTTTCCGTAAGTCTCGCTGCGCAATGGTTTCGGGGAAGACGGTGTATCCATCTTCGCTTGGCAGCGGGGCGATCCGGTCGGTGGCAAGTTCTGTCGTCTGTGACTAGAACACCTTAATGGCCCAAAGCCAACTGCGAGCACATCTTGCCGTTGTTCGTGCTATTAGAGTGCGCGTACCTCGCAAAGAAATACCGTATGTAGTATGTACTATGTATTTACAGCGGAAGAGAATCAGTGATTAGTCACAGAATAAACTGTCGGAGAACCAGTCCGTTATCACGTTATCAGCTAAAGGCCCAAAACGTATCATTCAGATATGAGCGCTAATAAGAGTGAGCAGCGTATGGGTGCAGAATAGACACCACAAACAGTGTATTCATTATGGCCTTACGCCGTATGCTTAAATTGGAATCTCTGTTAATAATCTGTGTACAGTACCCACTTACAGAAGTACTACGGTAGGCCGCCTATTTCCGCTATTGGCTCTGCAGTCGAAAAAAACGCGTAAGCGAAAACCTTTTACTCTTTTACAGAAAACTTGTGACTGTTTTGTGCCGCCCGTCTGGATTTTTAAAAAATAACTACCGTAGGTGTTGTACCTACAAATGGTTAAGTACTTCTGCAATACATTACGAACATGGCCACATCTACAGTAGCTTGGCTCGCAAGAATTGGTTGAAGTAACTTGTACTTACAACTTCTTATCAGGTGAGTCGGTGACCATAAAGTACAGTAATTTATTGTTAAAAGTCATAGAGCAGATTACCAGCGATGTAATAAAAAAAAACAACGGCTAATGGTAAGCTACAGTAACTTAACTACAACATTATGATATACAACCATGACAATTAGGTACTTACAATGCACTGAATACAGCACTTCCATGCGTGTACCTATTGTATTGTGCAGCAACAAACTGTCACGATTGTCATTTCTGCACTCCGCAGATCCTTTTAAATTTTGCAAGTTCTGCAGTCATAGTACATATACTTCTATAGGTACTTGGCGTTATGGACATGATCATACAATAAAAACTCGACAGTGGTCATTGAGTAGCTGATATCATTCGCAAAGAGCATAATTGATCCGCGCGACCACTGCCCAGCGGGACATCTTGATATTATCCACCGTAAGCTCCACCTGATCCCATGGTGGAGGTCACCGGTCCAACGCTGGATCCCATTGTTGATCCCATGGTCGATCCCATTGTGGATCCCATTGTTGACCCCATGGTCGATCCCATAGTCGATCCCATCGTTGATCCCATGGTGGATCCCATTGTTGACCCCATGGTCGATCCCATGGTAGATCCCATCGTTGATCCCATTGTTGACCCCATTGTCGAACCCATCGTTGAGCCCATTGTCGTGGCTACAGAGAAATCTAGTTGTACTGTAAACCATGGCTTACCGAAGACCATTATCTTCGCGTTTAATACACAGGGGTAAACTAATGCCAGTGGTATAATTAATTCTTTTTTAGTTAATTTGCACAATATTTGCTACAGATTGTGACATTGTTAGGAACTTATGATGATTATGAAAGAGCGAAAGTCGAACCATCTGTATACAAAATATACAAACGAACCATCTGTATACAAAATATTGTTCCAGATAGAGCGAAAGATGATTATGATTACTTATGATGATTATGAAAGAGCGAAAGTCGAACCATCTGTATACAAAATATACAAGTCGAACCATCTGTATACAAAATATTGTTCCAGATATGCCTTGGCGATCAGAAATATGCTGACAACAGACACTACGGAGTAGGGTATACCCTACAGTCTGTACTCAACAAAACTTGCTGAATATAATTGCCGTTCGATTGAACAGCAATTTTATTTTGCAGGAGTGTCGATATCAATGGTTTTTTAACTATCAATAAGCACTCGTAGATTTTAGTTGCGGGTAATTTGGTACAAAGTTAATACGTTACCCATGCTGGATGAGTAGTTAACGGGTTGTCCGACAGCCACCGAACAAAGAACGGCTAAGGTCACCAGTTTTAAATCCATGTCAGAGAATTGGAGTTTATTTGCAGATAAAATATCTTAGCTGATGGGTTTGCTAAGCAGCCGAAAACGAAATAAATTAAAGCTGCACAACTGACTTGAAGATTAAAACCAACTACCGAGTTACAAAGCATAGAGACGTACACGAAATGCAGGTTATTCAAGCGATTGCTGGAACGTTTAGGACAGCATGGCAGAGAAGCAGGCTGTTTCCGTGACTGAAATATTGATCTTTGTGAAATATGATATGTTCCACGCGTCATCCGAATGACCAGTAACCAGTTTGCTACGAACAGCGAGTGAGTTCGGCCTGGGGCATCGGAGATTTCCTTTGTTCGGCGATAGCCACGACGCACGATTCTATCACGCCGCTGACCATGGGTCAAACCTGGGCGATCAGAAATATGCTGACGATACATATATGCAGCGGCGCATGATAAAACTGAACATGAAATTGGAATAGGCATACTTCGAAGTACAGATATGGCAGATTTGTCTGACAGCGCTGTCCGCTTCGAGTAGCCACAGGCGTGTAGCTCTTTCACTCCGGCGCCGCTCTCCCGTTTCCGGCTTTTTGAGTGTCGAATACATTTAGTTTCAAAAAAATTATTGCAGGCTTCCTTCTATTTATTTCCAGAAGAATGCGAAAGCGAACAAATAATTAAACTGCTCACTCCCTTTGTAATTAAAAACCAAGTCGGTTAAGTTTATTATTGGTGCTTCCGCTTTGTGAGTATTTTAAGTTTCGATTTCGACCGAGTACAGAGTATTTTAATCGTTTTGTGTTCCGAAAATAAAGAAGGATTAAGTGAAAATACGACACGTATCATATATGCTACCTGATTTGGTGTAGAAAAATACGGATTTAATTAGGATCGACAATATTGTTTTATGGCCGGGATGTTAAGAATTGAGAGTGCTCCGGGCACCACCTTTTACCACCATAGGCTCCCGACATTACTGTTTGCACCACTTTTTGTCTCTGGCCACCACTCATTATACAGTAATACAATACCGGTTGTCTCAGGACATCACCTCATGTCGCATTAATTGTTCGTGCACATTCGTCCGTTTACCGTAACATACAAGACAGTTCAAAACCGGAGAAATGGAATTGATTGTGGTCTTTCTGAGATAGCATTTGCATGCGATTTGGTAAAAACGCATATGATCCCGGAAGAGGTCCCTTTTCCGGGAAAACGATAAGGGAATGGGCGATAGCTTCCTTTGAGGCGAAGCGAATTCAGAAGCTCAACCACCGCCCAGGTAAAGGAGCAGAACGAGTTCGGCCAAAGGACGTCGTCACGATTACAGAAATGGAAACACGAGAGTGGCACGTAAAAATGAGCTGAACCTCGACTAGGCAGTGCTGTGTTTTTCCCTTCTGTGATAACATGAAACTAAAGATTTTGCAAATAGTAGTGACCGGAGACACCACTACTAGTGGTCTGTGCATTTCTCGTGGTGGTGTAACGAGATTTTGATGGTGTACCCTTTAAAATAAAAACTAATTATATAGGGGTGTCGGCAGCTTGGTGGTGGTGAAACATGGTATCGGGAGACTTTGGTGGTGCAAGATGGTGTCCGGAGCCTTCCCTTTAAAAATTTGTGAAATTACAAGGTAGAATAAAATGGCCTTTATGAAAACTGTTTGGTATGAAACTGTCATGCCTTGTTTTTTCGGATCCGTCGGAATAGTTATATGCCACACCCACAGGCCCAACTGCGAAACCAAGGTCGGCTGCAGTTATCCTGCAAAATCCTCTTCAGCGTATTCTCCGATAATAAACTTGAAGATGAGCACCTCCAAATTGAATTTTATTCTTTATAAAGAAAGCAATGCCATCGCGGGCGCAGATATCTATCCTGACTATTTTTGTCAATGGGAAAGCAGTTTACGAAGCCACAAGCAGCGCCACTGCAGAAACGACAGAAATTAAAAAAACTGCTTCAAAGCAATTAACTGAAATTACGTGGCCGAAATGCGTACTGTCCAAATATACTGAAGTATATATGCATAAAAAACAAACGATATTATAATGGCATCACAAATTGGTTACGCTTCCTACAATCCACAGATGTTTTGTTCCTAAAATGCTAACGTGCTCGCATTTCTTTAAGACTTCGCACAAATGGTTTTAAAGCTTTCATTTGGTTAATTTTTGCTACAGAATTAGTGCCATTAAACAATGCAAAAGTGTTTGAGAGTGCTGGAAATCGAGAATTACCGTGGATGTGCACGATTTTGGGATGATATGCATCGGGCCATTTTCCATATTAATAAATGTGACACGCACGGCTAACTGATTGTGTTGGTAGTCAGGAAGCACAACTGGTTTACCTCGCGTCCGGGTACCGAGCGGTGAGCGCATAGCCAGTTTATGTCGTGTCCTAAATTTTGCGCTTAGCTTTCATAAAATTTAAGTTTTTACCGTAATAACTTGATTAGTAAGTACGAGCTGTATATGCTTTTATCGGAAAATTGTCTAGATATTAACTAGTACTTTAGGGAATGCCGATGCTAGACTTCTGTGGACATTTTGATGGGAAAAGAACATTTCAAGAAAGGTATCCAGAAAGCGTATGCACTTGCAGGAACCACGACAAGCAAGTACCTTTTCTGCTTGCACCCCCAGTAAGCGGAAAGTGTAAGAAGTAACTAAAACTCGAAGCGAAGCAGTCCGTTCACACGAATTTTTCCTGCAGCGATTGTCGCTGGAGATTCAGCGGGGTAACGCAGCTTCACAATCGGTCATGGGCACCGTGGAAGGAGTGCAAATGGTTTAATGAACTGTTGTTAATGTAATGTTTCCTATTCTAAAGTTAAAACCCGTATGTGTGTTGGTTTGAAATAAGGTGAGAATTTAACTAAAACTGAATTTTCACCGCTGCACTATCAACTAATTGTTAGCTAAATATTTAGTATCTTGACTATTAGTATGTACTTGTAGCTTGAAGTTTCTGCAGCGCATGGATACAATACTTACTTGATGCCTTCCCTAAAGTACTGTACTTCTTGTAATTTTTATCACTTACACCGTTGTAATTCGTTATCAGGAATAGTGCTTGACAGTTGATAATTTCACGGGTTCGATTATACTGTACTTGCGTTATTGTTAATAACGATAATATTTTATTTATACTTGTACGTACCTGATTCTTCTTATAATAAGTAACTCTTTATGTCCGCTCGCTGCTAGCAGTTGTGTGATACAGTAGGATTATACAATAATTAATTGCAATGCAGATAGACTGCATGCTGATAAAGCACCTTAATCATTTACACACACATACTTTACTGTGCCTTTATTTTTCTTGAGCAGTAGTTTGCAGTTTGTAATTTTCTGTTTACGTCTTCGACCACCGTCACGGTAACCATTATGCCTGTAGGAAACCAACCAGAGAAGATCCAGATGACCAGCAGGAAGTGGACAACCACGTACAAAGAGAGCGAAAAGGAGCAGTTCCAGCGCAAAAAGAGAATTGCTTACGCCATCACAGGTATCGTGGTTGTCGTCTGCGCTGGAGTTCTATCCGGTATGATCATTTGGTTTGTCCTCCGCGACCCTCCACCCTCGTTAACCCAGCTGCCTCTCAGTGTCCCTAGCGGCAATGCCTCGCTCCATATCCCGACAAAAGGACCCATAACCTTGACTCTGCCGTTGCCCGGAAAATCGTACCGGCAGAATGTCGTAATGGGCAGCGTTCTCGGAGACAATTCCGAACTCTTACAATGCGAAAACACCCCGGCGTCATGGTCGTGCTATCAGTTTACCAGTGACCAGCGGAGGTACTCGCTGTCGTTCAAAAGTGAAGATTTTGGCAACGACACCTCGCTACAGTGTACCTCCGCGGCGTGGAGTACACCGTCGTTGGATGGAGAGTTAACAGACTGCATTGATCTGGGTTCGTCACACTGGTTCGGAGGCGGATTGCTGTTTGCTCAGCACTGGCCCATGCAACTGCAGAAACCGATGACCCCCTTTGTTTCCGGCGATATTTTACAAGTTCCTACGGACTATGGCGGAGTTTTGGAGCCCTATTGGGTATCCACGGATGGAGTGGGTGTAATTGTGGATTACAATGCGAAGGATCAACCGCTGCATACATCGTGGAATGCCAGTGGCAATGATCGGCTGTGCTTTTCTTCCCGGTTGGCGAATTCACTGTACAAGCACGCCGGTCAACGCGAACTACGGTTGAATTATAAAGTCTGCACGGCAAAAAATGTGGTAGAACTCCATAAAGGTATTTTGAAGTATGTAAAGCCCTGGAGTAAACCCGCTGGTATTCCATCCCGGAATCTCTTTGAGAAGCCAATCTGGAGTACATGGGTATCATACAAAACGAATGTATCCCAGAATAACGTTATGGATTTCATTACGGACATTGTGAGGAGGAATTTCACAGCTAGTAATATCGAAATTGACGATGGATACCAAGAGAAATATGGAGATTTCACATTCAATGCTGCGAAATTTAGTAACGTTAGCCAAGTCGTGGAATTCAGTCATAGAAAGGGATTTAAGGTCACCGTTTGGGTATATCCGTTCGTTAATGCGGACTCGGCATCTTTTTCGGAAGGATACGATAATAAATATTTTGTGATGAGCCCCAATTCGTCAAGAAATATTCCGGCAATGACTTCGTGGTAAGTTTCAGTATTTCTCTGCTTTTGACATAGAATTACTTCCCTGAATATGCCCCGCTCATACAGAATTTGTTGCAATCTGCTTTTGCATTTCTGCAGGTGGCAAGGCAAGCTGGCATCTTTGGTAGATTTCACGAATCAAAAAGCATCGAACTGGTATTTTAATAAGCTAAACGATTTTCGGCATAAATATAATTTTGAATCATTCAAATTTGACGGAGGTGAAGCTAACTGGATGCCATTTTGTCGAACCTTTGACGAAGATGCGGTAAGTCCGGATTATTACGGACGTATATATGCACAGCAAGCGGCTGAACGTATCGGAAATGGTCTGGAGGTTAGAGTCGGGCTTCACAATCAGCAACTACCAATTTTTGTGCGTATGTTGGATAAAGATTCGGTTGTCGGATACGATAATGGCTTGAAGACTCTGATTCCAACCGCGCTTACCTTTGGCTTGTTGGGTTATCCTTTTGTACTGCCCGACATGATTGGAGGAAATGCATACAGAAATCTGTCTCAAGGGAATAACCAAATGCAGGGATTATTAGGTTAGCATTTCTTAACCTTTGCATTTTCTTGTTTCTCATAAATGCAATCCGTTTTAGTATGTGCGCCACTTTGAAGTTGTTAGCTTGAAGTATTTTTCATTTTCTTTAAAAAAAGGGTACGCTTTCTTTACGCGGAACACTTTGATAGGAACACTTGCGCTAGAGTAATCCTGCGGTTACAAACTAAGTCTACGACAGTTTACCGTAAACTTCGAAACAGCTGGAATTGGTTTCACATAGATTGATAAGTGCAGAGAAAACAACGCGCTGTTTTCACTCTGTTAGGGTTTTTACAGATATTTTCTCTTTTCATGTTAAATGGATTATTTAGTTGTTGTTTTTGCAGAAAGTCAATATCCGAATGACCGGCTCTATTTGCGATGGCTAGGCGCAACAGTATTTATGCCTAGTCTGCAGTTCTCAATCACTCCCTGGTACTACGAATCGCGATCGAAATATGATCCAACCGAGATATCCAAAAGGCTACTCCAGCTTCGGGAGCCTTATACGGAGTTGTTCGTCCGACTAGCAAATGAAGCAGTTACGACAGGATATCCCATTATACGGCCTCTCTGGTGGATTAACGGCGATGATGCGACTAGCTGGACTGTGGATGATCAGTTCCTGGTTGGCGATGACCTTATGGTGGCCCCTATTGTTGACGACGAGTTTGACTATCGTACGATATATGTTCCACCCGGTGAATGGCAGGATGTGTTATTACAAAGAAATATCACCGGGCCACTGACGTTGAATCCTTACACAGCTAACCTGGATCAGGTTCCTATTTTTAAGCGCTGGCCTAAGTGAAAAATCAAAATTGTCTGTGATAACTGATAAATTACATGCATGGCCTCTGCTTTTATTAAATGGCTTCTTGAAAAATCGAGATTAGTCGTACTAGCATTAGTCGTACTTCGTACTATATAAAAACCAACAAAAACCGGAATGAAAAGGGATAAATATTAAACTGGTTACGTCAGTTCGACTTTCTCTGCCGTAAATTGCTCTCTGGACCATAAACTGCTTGTCGCCGGTCCACGTCAATATAACAATAAGCTGCTAAGGCGCTGAGCATTATCATTGCCGCCAAGGCAAAAGCAAATCCCGACCACCAGGATACACTGGCCGAGAACACTGATGTGAAGATAAGGGTTCCTAAAAGCGGGAACACTGCCTGAAATGATGCAATGACCGACATCATCTTCCCACGCTCGTTCTCGTCGACCAAGTTAGTTAAGAGAGAACGAAGAGAAACAAATTGTAAGCTACTCAGGGCTCCTATCGCTGCATACGCAACAGCCATAAAAATTTTTGTCGTAGCGGAAAGGGCAATTAATGCGAATATCGCCGATGTAATCCCCACGATTCCCACGGTGGTATCAGCAAAGTGGAAGAATTGTTTCAGTAACGGCACCGTCGCCATCACCACTAAACCTGATAGGAAATAACACACATAATGTAGATTGATGATTAAAGTAAGATAATCAAGCCAGATAAAAACATTACCAGTCACAATTCCTGTCATTGCCGAAAATATGGTATACTGCTTCGTACTCCAGTTTAACGGAGCCGTCTCGAAAAACAGTTGCTGTATAGCACCCGTTCCTAGAACGGAAGATGATGTACACAGATGTCATTCAATTGTATTGTAGCTGAAAACATTATATTTTTGATATGCGTTTGACATACCAACAGCACAAATTAGTCCGATGACCGCGCTGAACAGCAAGAGCCATATATGCCGTTTTGTCCTGCCTATCCGTTCCTTAGTCAACATTTCATAGTTCTCTTTGACGTTTTTTGTGGTAAACAGGCGGGCAAAACTATGCCGGTTGAATTCCCGCACCAACACCCGCCGATCACTGACAGCGATACCCATATACACAATGATCAGAGTTAACAGGCCAGAGTACAAAATCATCGGGTACGGGAATCCGTACTGCCCGTACAGCACCCCGCCGACAATAGATCCAATGTTGGACGCCAAATTCAAGATACCATCGAATACAGCGATATCGATGGCCAACGTGGCGGGACTGCTGTAGTCACCCAGGTAGCTGTAGATGGCGGCCGACGCAATGATCCATCCCCCCAAAGAGGCCGACACAAAAGGGAATACAAGAAGGACAAGCGGATGTGTGGGCACATAGGCAAACACAATTAGCAGAATGCCACTTAGCACCATTCCACAAAATGGGATCTTAAACAAAAACGTGTTAGTGCATCGTATAGATTGTGTACACATGCAAAATTGGATCAACAATATATGGTAAGTGCAGGGACATATTCCGTGCATAAAGAAATCTAAATAAAGACGTGCTAATGCATTATTACACATGGTGTTATGTATTTGCGTGCAAGGGCAATATTATTCTGTACTCCTATTTATTATACCATCATCGGGAGTTTCCGTCCGAAGTGGTCGCTCCATGAGCCTAAGAAGAGAATGAGAGTGAACGTAATGGGTCTGCACCAACGTTGTACCCAACTCAAGATCATTGCATTATGGAGCTTATTCACTTTGCAATTTCAGTTGTTAGACATGTAAGTCCATATTGAGCGCCACTACATGCTGTCTATGTTATTGATCGACTTGGAAATAAGGTTTACATATTCATCCATGAATACTGAGAGGTTATAAGTACAGTATACCCGTGTCGGCAGCATCCAAGTTTTCTACTTGGTTGCAACTCGCACGTGTTTTTTGTTCTGCCGGGATTCCCGGTCTGCATATCTCAAAAATCAAAACGACAGACCCACGCCGAGTGCAACTGACTCTGTGGGCAAATATGTACCATAAATTACAATTTTCAGCTGTAATTTCTAGAAAATGTAAACATTTCTATCGACAGTCATAATACGGCTTCAGATAGTTGTAAGGTCACCTGTAAACACCGCGAACAGGATGCTTGGCAAGCTAGCAGTCAAGCTGAGTAGAAAGGAGTAATGTGCTGCAGTGGACACAACCAAATCATTTTCTTTTCGGTGATGACCGTCATTTAAATTTTGACACGTGTCATTTTGGAAAGCATATTCCTTTTCGCAAACCTAACAACGACAATTCATATAGGTGCCGCTGTAGTTCAATAATAACCAAACCACACAGATTGTATAGTAATCTGCAGGCTACAGCAATGTATACAGCATTTATCAAAGCTACAGCATTTATTTAGGTACACATAAAATGGCGTTGCCGAATCTGTTGCAACAGTGTGCAGTTCACGTCCGACGGGGGCAGCTGTGTTTTGTATTTGTTTTTATCTGTAGGATTATGAATTCGTATGTCTTTACTGCAGTATATTCGGTAAAACATAGTTACCCGCAATTTGACTAATTCCGTTACGATTGGTCCAGCGATTCCCACCGCAAGTCCGAAGAAAAGTGCAACAGGTGCTAATTTCAACGAAGCATAACAAGGCGGAAGTCTGGTCACAGCAACCGCGGATGGCGCAGAGGTAAAAATACTTTCATCATCCACATCCGGATTGAGAGCTGATTGGGGACTGATTTGTGGAATCAGAGAGGAACCTTCCGTTGAGTTATCATCGTCCGCTGCCGCCAGAGGAACGCTAACGGGCTCGACAATTATCTGTTCGGCACCTTCTATGGGGAACGGACGCGAAAACACAGGTGCCACATCAGTCTGATCACCCGGATTGTACGGTGATAGTACTTCTGGATGATGCGTTACCGCGGCTGCGGATTCAGCTAGTCGTAAAGGCGAATCACTTGGACCAGCTATTTCGTCGTTCAGATTAAAACTTGCCAGATCATTTCGCACTCGATCCACATTATCCATAACTGCTTTAGTATTTGGAATATCTTGGAAGATCCTCAGTTCATTTTGTACTTACAGATATCACTCATGTGAGTATTTAAGTGCGTGCATATTTGTCCTTGTTAAGTTAGTATTGTCGTCATTCAAAGATTAAAAGGCTTTATTTACTAGTACCAAACTTAAACTAGCAAAGATGAAATTTGATGCAGATGCAAACAACTTCATGGATGCAAGCGCGAAGCGTAAGAAATTCAGAATGTCTGCGCGTTACGCCGGGGGCTGTATCTGTTGAAACCTGTTTGGTCGGTTTTTCTTTCTGTCAAACACATGCATTTAATAATATCACGTATTATATACAGCCATGTATTAAAAAATTAATCAAGCTTTAGCGTGCGCCGTGCAGTGTTAATTTTAAGTAAATAAGTTAAGCGCATGTGTTGCTGCAAACGTAGCTCCGACCATACGCTAGCACAAAAAACACTATGAATTAGCTCTTATGTTTACTTCACAGGAAGACAGGAAGAAATATAATATGTAATTTCCCTGCAAATTTCCCTGCACAAATTTTCCTGAAATTTCCCATTCTTGATTACTCTCTACAGGCACGAGTATCGATTGCAGTATCGTGCATGCGTCGTAGCAAGTGTGAATAATTTCATTGGCTGTTCACTTCTCACAATCAGCGTCATTATGAACAGTACTGCGTGCACTTCCTGCCGTTTGATTCCTTTCCCTTACCTTTTTGAGGCAATTTAGCTAGCTCGTATAACCATATGAATCCAACTATCAATCTTTCTTAAAAATACCAGCAACACAAATTCACTTAACTGCAGAAATGCCGACAAAAACGGTTTTTTGGCTGATGATTTGATTGTTAATGCGTACATTTGCAATAGAAGTGTACCTGCAGTACATTAGGATTATGACCGATTGTCAAAATAGCGGTCTAAATTCGTGTTCTTGTTTCCATTAAAAAGAGTGCAGCAGGATTGAGGGCTATAATTTTTGGTGATTTTTACCACCAAGTGTATCATTACAAAAATGGGTGACAGATATTATCTCATCTTAGAGAAAATGCCGAACATTTGTATAAAAGAGTTAAGATGAACGATGAAAAAGACTCTTAACAGCGTTTCGCATATCTTCAGAGTAGGCATGATAGAGTAAAGGATTCAAAAAACAATGTATAAAAGTGGAAAATGTTGCCAGTTGGTAGAATACGTGTGTCGCCCATTTAGAATCTAGCGCCGCCACGAAATAGTAAATATCCGCTGGGAGACAGAATACAATCACCGACAGCACGAGGGCCGATAATAACCGGAAAGCTTTTCGGTCTTTGTTCGGCCTTCTCTGTCTCATGGACGTTGACAAGGTATCGACAGCGTAATTGGTCTGTGATTTAGCAATTCCTTCCAACCGTAAAGGCTGCTCCTCATTCTTTCCTTGCCGGAAGTCTGCAAATGTATCCTTTGTATGCATGACTATTGGGCACCAGAACATGAATATTTCTCCAGATGCATTTATTTTAAGAAAATACGAGTACATGCCGTGACGCCCACTGTATCAGTAATGTACTAGTATTGTTCCCTGCCCGCACAAAATGCGTAGATATACGTATGCATTTGGTGGGTTACGATTTCGTTGTTTATTGCTCAGAATTAATAATGTCAGCTTTTCCGAATATGTATTCAGTGAAATGTAGGAAGGAAATGCATAATACTTCGATAAATCCATTTGTCGAATTTTCGCTGTAAATGTACTTCTTGTGTCCAGCCATAAATTCGGTATGCGCAATCTGGTTGACATTTCATTTAGAAAGCCGGGATTTAATATTAATGTTATGAGGAACTTCTAGAATTTTTGTTAACGATTTTTATTTTTGCTTTTGAATCATGCAGAATTAAAGCCAGTACAATATGAGTACCACCTTAGTTACAGTGTAGTAAACTCCGAATTGCTGCACTTTTTTACTCAACAATTAACAGTAACGCAGTTATAATAAGATAACTTCAGTTTAATTAAAACGTACACAATAGCTATTGTTAGCTACAGTTTATGAGCGTCTTATAATTAGCTCACCTGAGTCTAGACTATTTGAACTGGGAGTGTCCACAAATTTCTTCCTTGACCGCATTTTTAATGCAATGCGGATATAAGCGGTGATTGTAACGGTCTCGGGCAACCAAAAAACTAATATAACACACGTGATTAGCCATCCCGGATGCGCATGATAATCAATACTACATCGTTCCGATGCGGCATCATCGGGCAATGTCGCACGATCCAGCAAAATCGACGGAAGTATGAGCAGATGCAGCCAGATCCACACCATTGCTATAATGATCACAGAATACTTGGATGACTGATATTTCCGGTAGAACATGGGCCAACTAATGCACACGAGGCGATCGAGAGCCACCATGGCCATAGTCCATTCGGTCATGGCACTGAACATGAACTCAGAATACAGCCACGCAGTACATGCTCCCGATGAGAAGGGATAATATCCGTAATACGTTAAGGGACAGAAATTACCCAGGGAGGAGACCGAGAAAATAATATCCGATACGGCAATATTCAATAAATAAAAATTGAAATTGGTACGCAATTTGGGAAAACAGAGAATGGATATTGTAATTAGGATGTTGGCTATCAGTGATGACGCCAGCAGTAGTATTGCCAATAGACACAAAACGATCGACGGCTGCAGCCATGGGCCTGCCGTTTGATCCACGGGCATAGTAAGGGATGCATTGGCGCCATGCCAAGAAAAGTCTGGATCTGACATTTGGGTCGTTAAAGGCAAATTTCGTTATCACATCAATGGGACTTGCACATGGGGCTTAGCGGAAAGCATTTGATCCGTGATATGTAATGTAGTTTCATGTAAATGGCAATAATAAAAAGCGGATCGGCCCCGGTTGTCGCTTTCGACAAACGTTCGAATTCAGTGTGTGTACATATGCGTATACATAACACCGAATATGGTTCGAAAAAACATACAACGGAAAATGTTTCTCTAAGAGTATTTCCGCATACCGCAATTAGCAGAGCGGCAACTGTATTATCATCGTAATAAAGACCACATCACACAGAATGATTATTATCTCATTCCAGAGACAGTGGCACCGGCGACTTTCGGAAAATGCACCGACAAATGCCCACAGCATCATAGCAGAACCTCACTAAATAGTAAGGTCATTAACTCATATCCATGCGCTACGCTACGTTGACCGGTAAGACCGACGTTTCCCCGGCATCCACAGATCGAGCGTGAACAGCAGCTGCCGTTGGGTGAATCGAGCGGAACCGGGACTCGCTGGAGAGGGGTTTGTCAGGTAGACAGCGCCATGCTGCAGCTCTCCAGCCGGGAGGCGTGTCCGGTTGTAATGGCTTGTTATAATGGGCAGGATTTTCATGTCATCAGGGCCGAATGAAATTACACTGGTCGGACCGAAGCGCTCATGTACGCTTTTTTAACTGTATGAAACGGATTCCCTATGGTTCGGGATGAAAGTGACGGCAGTAGCAAATTGAGCAAGTTATAAATGTGCATCGAAATGCCTGTAATGCCTTCATGGCGATCGGCTTTACAGCTCTACACACTCTGCTGGCCGTTTTAACCTAATTATAATGTTATGCAGGACAAGATCCCTAAGTTTTCAGCTTTGCGATCAGTTTTATCTTCTTAACCTCTGCAGCTTTCCATTATTATCTTTGTATTTTGAAGATTGCAACTGCGTGAATTTTTTGGTTGGTAGCTTCTACCTTTAAAAACTTGCACGCGATACGGACACTACAGAATACCATCATACACCTGATTGTACTGTTAGGAGTACAACTAGTGACATTAAAAGGAGAATCGTGATTGCGTGACAGATAAGCGGTTAATTTTTCATTCAGCGGCCACACGAAATGGATATTATCTCTTCCAGTTTCCAAATATTATCTCTTTTTTCTGTTCTTCTTCCTTTAAAAAGTAATGAGATGAGATTTCAAGATGAAAACAAAATGTTTGTATCAAAATATTTGTATCACTCCCGTTCCTTTCTTATTACAGCAGATATTATGGCAAGTCGGATTGAGTTCGAGGGTTGACTGCGCGACAAAATTTTGATTACTGATGATACTAATTATTGCGAGGCGAATTCTCAGACATACACCAGCTACAGATAAATTATGAAGGGCGAACCATCAGCGCGCTCTTGCATAAGAAAACGGCCATACGAAGAATATTATGCCGTAGTATCTCTCATGTAACTGAAATGGCTCGACAAGGGTCAGTAATGATTTTGTTATTAGGTCCGAGACGACTTGATTTTCCTTCAAGGAGCATTAACGTATCGTTTACTCGACTAGCACTTCCGCTCCGTTGTCTGATTATTGGAGCTGTCAAGCATACAATCAAGTGTGACGAATGCGCATCGCCGAATCTAACTCTTTGCCATAGTTGTAAGCAAACTTTCTGGAAAACATTGCACAGAAATTAATCGTATATTTTAATATTACGTATATAATACACAAAATCATTCTGCATAGACTTCATTAGTTAGTACGATATACAGTACAAAATCATATACCGCAAATTAGGGATAGTTTTTCCGAAGTCACCTACATACTAGGGTAGTATTTGCAAAAGGCTGTTCGTCACCTTTAATATGAAAAAAAGAGTATACCTGAATTGGGTTATTAATTCTGAACATGCTGTTATTATTTTAGAGCACCACAGATAACTCATTTACTTGGGCAAATAAATTTGCACGCATTAGAAAAGCAGCTTAGAAGGTAATTTTTAGTTTTCTGTTACAACGAGTAAATTTCGTTTTGTCGATCCCAGTCAATGTAACAAAAGATGGCCAATGAGAGTACAAAAGCAAAGCTGCCCAACACGAAACAAAATCCGGGCCACCATGCCACGGTCAAAGCGAAGATGCTTCCGAAAAACAGGGACTGGAAGAGTGGGGCAATAGCTTGGAGTGTAGCATAGGCGGACATCAGCTTTCCCAGTTCATCTCGAGCAACCATGGGCACCAGCATAGCCCTGGCTAGAACAACATGGAAGTTGCGTAGTATCCCGGTGGCTGCAGCCACGAGCAGCGTTGCTGTCGAGTTGGAGAAGGCATAACCATAGCTGCATAGTACAGCGGAAATGCAACTTATTATTGCTATCCAAATGTCGGAAGCGGCCAGCACACGGAATAAGGGCACCAGCAGAGCCAGTGCGAGTCCCACAGCGACATTCTGAACCGATATGAACTTAGTAAATGTTGCAACATCCCAGGAGAATGGAGATTTTTCTGTTATCAGCTGAAGCGCAGTCTGATCACCTGAAGAATTAACAGGAGAAAGATTAGTCTGCTGTTGACACGGATTCCCATGAGCACAACAGTGCTGGATTAACACAGAAATTCTATAGAAGGGGCATATCTCTCTATAGACACAGGATCGAAGTCATTTGATACATATTTAATACATTAATCCATATTTGCAGTTAATGTAATCATACATGATCATGATCCCCGACAGAGACTTATAATATGTGAAATTACTTGTGTATATAATGTACGCCATTAATATTACATACTATTGTTGTGGGTATACTTAATTGACTGGATTCTAAAGTGTAGTCAAATTTTTTAAGCATATTGTACCTATGCATTGATAACAGCTGCCTGTTGTGCTCGAGTGCACCATACGTAGTGTTTGAACAAAAAGACTACTATATTCGTTTTGATTCTGTTAATATAACATTTCTCATTAACAAATACTTGGTGTGCTGTCAGTATTTTTTTATCCAGCGGGCAAATGTTTTATAGTAAGTATTGAACGCTTTTCGTACCTACTAGCGTTACTTACCCAAAAATATTAAGCCAAGTGCAGTGGATAACAACAGCAGATGGATATGCTTTCTCGTATTCCCCACCCTTTTCTTTCCTAGCACGGCCGCATTATCCAGCAAATTCTTTGTGGTGAATACCGCGCAGCTGAATTGCTGGGACGTTCCAAATACACCACGTTCCTTTACAAACACCAGCACATAGCTCACAGCCAGGATAGGCAATGTCCCAAAGATGAACAACGGTATAGTAAATCCGTATTTCGACAGCAACTGACCACCGGCCAGTATGCCGGCCGTTTTCCCCACGAGCAGCGAGCCATCCACTAGAGCGACCGCCGTCGATCGATTCTCCGCAGTAGTATAGTCGGCTACGTAAGAAAACACCGCCATAAGGAGCACGACCCAACCTCCAAAAAGCGACATGGAAAACGGAGATAAGAGAAGGATGTAGGGATGCAGAGGATAATTAGCCGCCAGTGTGGTGACAAATGCTGACAGGATAAACCCCAAAAATGGCAATGCCATCGGAAGTTTCCGGCCAAAGTTGTCACTCCAAGAGCCTGAAGTTAAATGACAAGCAAATTCAGTTGTACGTACTGATCTTCCTCTCCATGTCTTAACTTAAACTTTAAATGTACAGAAATTATATAATATGGACTGTGGCGAATATGAAATTGTATCAACTTCACCACTTGATGTGCAGTATTTTGCGCCTACACTTTGTCCAGTTGGATAACTATTCAGTAACATTCGAGATACATAGTTTTATCGCTTGATACAATTATAGCCACTTGTTGTTAGATATTTTTGAAGCAGTAGGGAAATTACAAATCTTGTCGGTCAATCTCACCCATAAACAGCGTAATGAATAAACATGGAACACTCGACAGGAGGCCACTGATGGCAGTGATTTTTGCGGTGGCTTCGGTGGTCTCCGCACCGATGTCCGAAGCATTGTTTCCGGTAAAGTTTGCCAGATCCAGACAGATAGTTCGTGTAAAATTAAAGTTGTACTCACATATCTGCAAATTATTTTTTTACCCTAAAGTGACACATGAATACGTACTACCCCACATGCCGGTTAATTATTTGTACTTCTATAGAAAAACGAACTCAATTGTTTTGCTTGCAGATAAATTACTTCATTCCTTTACCGATCGGTTAAAAAACTTGCTTTATCTCAACATGCATAATATGTAGAATTGCAGTTCTATGTAGAAAAATAGTTATTTCTATCCCTGACCACGGGTAAGAAAGATCTCCTTTACCCCATTGTACGTTCGAGTATCGTCATTTCGTGATCTTCAGTCTACCAAAAAAATATGAATAAAGTACAACGTAAGACTTTCTGGGGTACTTGCAAAGTAATTTATACGAGTAACTGACTGCGAATTTACGAGCACCATCTAAAAGCAAACCCATTGCAAAAACTGATTTCATTCAGTTCATGGGAGGCGAGACAATGACTGAGTTACTGCGCTATATCAATATCAATAGATTCATATATCCTTACGTCCTTATTTTTTGGAAATGATCTCCTAAATCAAGATTGATTTTTCAATAAGTTGATAATTTTATAAAATTGAGCATCGTGCAAACGTTCCTACCTTCATCTTTAAAAAAATTTTAAGTTTTGGAGAAAGGTCTAAAAAAGTTTTTAGAAGCTGCAGTACTTAAAGGTTGTTAGTACTTAAAGGTTGTTAGTTTTGGAAATTATCTCCTAATTCGAGGTTCCATTTGTGAAGCTTTTGATTGTTTTATAAAATCCAGCATCTTCTAAAGCTTCCTACCTGCAGCTTGGAAAAAATTTTGGTTTCCGGAACGTTTTCAAAAACCCTTTCAAACATTCAGTACTTAGCGTTTAAAGTTCATAGAAATTTCCAGTAAACTCTATAAAAGTCTCGAATGAGCAAATACAAGTTTCGCAACTTAGCAGCCTAAACTATAGTTATTTAAAATTGTCAATCCCATCAAACTTATAATTTTTTTTTTAATTCTTGAAACCTTTAAGATGTTTTTAAATCTGTTTGAATACCTCTAAATAACTATAAATGTTTCGAAAGTCGGCTCCAAAGCTTTTACATTTCCAGAATTTCTAAATATTTCGACTCGGCCCCGCGCAGCGGGGCCGTTACCTCTATGTTTTTGAGCCTCCAAAGTTTCGAAATTTAAAAAAATCTATTATCTAGAAATTTGAGTACCTCAATATCTCACGGTCTAAATTGTCTAATTTATATGTAATTTCTAAATATCTAAAAGCCAGCCCGCGGCCCGTTTACCGTATTCACTCACATAGCGGCTCTGTGGTACTGGTGGTAGCGTGGGTATTCACTAACCCCAAAATCTAATAAATATGTATTTATTTTATTTTTATAAATACTCAAGAGCTTGACTGAATGGCCAAAAATCTTACAGTTAGTAGCTAAAGATGCAGCCTGCCAGGTCACCTTGGGCAACCGTTAATTGTTTCTCACAAGTTTCCATTAATTCTGCGCTAAAACATCGGCTGAATGGTTTTTGCGAGCATCGTGTAAATGATCCCACTTCATTCATTTAATCACCGTTTAAATATTATCGGTCGTACAAAAAAATTCAAGTTTTCAGTTCGTTAGATCGGCAATATAAAGTTACGTTAAAAACGTAAAAAAGAACCGTGAAAAATGCAAACAAAACAAAAAATTGCGGAGACTTTCACAGTTTTTATAACACTAGTCGAATTTAACCGGAAAGCTTGAAAACTGTCCTCATTTCTACATGTTAAAATATTTTCGTAGCTGGCCTCGCTGGGGTTTCATATATAAAATATTTTTATTGCTGTACGAAGTATATTCTGCATTTTTTTCATTACTCCATACCTCGAACACAACTGGTCGCGCGCTAGCGCGACCGATACTTGTACGTTAATAACGTTACTGCAGTACGTGCATTACTGTATTTTTTCAAATAAACAGTAGAGGTACTGCAATGCATATTTTTTAATTCTCCCAAATTTAGCTGTACCTATTTAAGATTGTTTTTTAAAACCTTTACAAGCTCTCTAAAGTTTGTTAAAAGATTTTACAGTTATGTAGTACAATCCTCACTTGAAATTCAGCTGTTCTGGAATTTTGAATTACTGTACGAGTACGCTACTAATGAAATATAAATAATCCGGTAAGAAACTTAAGTTTTGTACGCAGAGCTTTGTGTACTAATAACTATTACAAAAACTTCTGAATTTGAAACAGAAGAATTAACCACTCACTCGGCTTTTGAAAAGTTCAACAATCAGTGGTTCGTAGATGCCGAGAGCCAACCCTAACATGGCTACAATCGGCACCATGAGCAGTGTAGCTGACAATGGACCTGGAGAATCGGCGGCAATTTCTGGTTCCATTTCTGGTATGGTCCCGTAGTGGTTAGAGGAGTCGCGCCGCTTCACTTTCTGTGGCAATAAAAAGTCCTTTTCCGGCTCGATCACCTCTGGGTAGACTGACCCCAGAGCCAGGTTTCGTTGTTTTTTGGACTTCATGGGTTTATCTTTAGGCTTCGACACCGCGATCAAAGTATCGGTTTCCGAATCATCCATTTTATAAAATAAGAGTTTTAAAAAGTCAAACAATTTGATAAGCTGAATCTCTAAATCTGGTGAGTTTCGTTAGTGAATAGTTCGAAGTAAAGGAGAACGTATCCAAACTTTGAACGCGTGCGCTTTGCGCACGGTTATCGCTCCCGGTAAACACTGCCAGATACCAGTTTCCCAACAACTCTGATAAGAAATGCAACTTATCATCTAATGAATCCAATCAGAACTGGTATCCTTATCGGCAGCAGGCTAAAACAAACTGAAGAAGACGATCAAAACAAGTCTGAAGATCACTTAAATTAGTTTTGTTCTGGCGGGTCAAATGATTTTCTCGTACGACAAGTTTGCCGGCCATTTTGGTTGTGCCGGAAACCAACAATGTGTAAGGGCAAACAAATTAAGCGATTTACATCTAGTTATTACAGATTTGGGGCAAAAGTTTTTGTGCAATTCGTTTTAATTAGCGCCAATAAATACGCTTATTATGCATGCGCTGTTTTGCCAACGGTGAGGTTGCTAATGACCCGATAAAGTACAGTACAATTTTAATAGTTGTAACCGTTTAAGTATTCCATTCGTGCAGATATATATCTTGAAACTGTTCATGGAAATTAACTCCGAAGGCTAGATTTTGGTTTTAACAATACGCCCAGTATATTGTGGAGATTGCCCGCCTAGGGTTGAGTATTATCGAAAAAGCGTAATAATAAAGTTAGTGAAGTACAACAAAAATATGAAATTAAGCAACGCATGTGAATGCCTTCGCTGCACAGAATCTTGAGATCCGCTGCACTGGAGGCCCGGCACACAGGATCGCAGGCGATCTCTATTTAAAGGGCGCAGAATTGGTTTAGACACAGTAACGGTTTGGGTTTTGGGACGGCATAATGTGGCATTCCATAGTGATAACATGGGGACACCGTTTCCTTCGCATAGTAATTCATGGCTTTGATCACTGGTGGGATTCTCTCGCTCCAGCCAGCAAATAAACCAATCCATATTATTTCCACAGAATAAAGGATTACCTAACAAAAAACCGAAATCGATAACAGTACTTTGCATTAGGAGTATGTAAAATTCAATTAGGCTGTAATGTTAAACTGAATAAATAAAAGTGGAAAATTTTTAATTTCGGATGAACAACTAGTAAACTAAGTAAATGTGTAACTGTAGGTTGTGATATTTCGACACTATAAGACGCAAAAAGCAGCCACTTCCATATGATTCCGAAGGGATCTTTGCCTGCGCACATGTCTTGGCTTAATTCTGCACTTGTTTTTCGGTCCATCAATTAAAAATACCTGTGAGACTTGCAATTAATGCAACTTTTATTGATGAACCGTGGTAATTACTTATTTGGGCGATTGCAACAGACAATTATTGTAAACAAACCTCTCAAATTCCAAGGTTTAACGAATTTCCTGATGCGGGCTGGAATATCGCGCGGTTTAAGGACGGAAAGATTATTGGCGCTTAAATCAACATCCGTATCATTTCTGATGTTCTTTAGCCCAACAGGGAAGTTGCTAATTAAGTTATCTCTCAGAATAATGCTCTCGATAACTGGCAGTTCAAAGATGGACGCCGGTATGTCGCGGATATGATTGCTAACCAGCCGGAGACTCTTCAGACCCGGCTTCAGCTGCTTCAGGGCGGTAAGAAACTCTTCCGGGATGCGGCTAATCTGATTGTGCTCTAAATGTAAGGCCGACAAGGAATATGGAAATGCCACAGCAGAAGGGATGGAATTGCTTTCCAGGGTTGATAAATAACCGTGATTGATTGTTAACGTCTGAAGATTACGCAAAGTGGTCAGAGCAGCATAAGGTATGTACCGGATGGGATTTCCTGACAAGTCGAGTTGATACAAGTTGGTATTGTAACTGAACGCGTCATCGTCGATGCTCTCTACTAAACTGTCAACAATTGATAGGGACTCTAGATTGCTGTTTGGAAAAGCATTTGCTGGAATGCGTGGAGATCCAAATCCACCATCACGAAACTTCAGCCAATTCAGATTGGAAAGGTCACCGAGGAAAGTTAACGGAAGTCGCAGGTCGGTGAAGTCGGATATCTCCAACCGGCTAACGCGGTGAGTGATATTCGCTAGTTTGTCGTGCCATGACTCCGATGAAAGGGATGCTGATGTTTTGAGGCTGATCTTGATCCAGAAAGTAAACAATTTCTCTATCTGATTTAGGTCAAGAAGATCGTCCAAACCGTTGGAACACGATATGATAACTAGCTGACCGGCGACGGAGCAAGCGCAGGGAAGAACGATGGCCAGCAAATCATCGTTACAAGCTGATGGTAGGGCATATGCAGTTGCGGTAGTGTTTGTGTTTTTACGCTCTGCATTGCCCGTAGAAGCCACGGCGTAAGATGGTACTGACCACACATTCATCAACAGGTATACTTCAATTATGTATACAGCAGCTGAGATCCTACGCCCATCCATTTATGAACTCTCTAATAAATAAAAAAACGATATGCTTTTGAAAAGTTTGATACACCTGATAAGTATTCGTACGTGCGTGAAAATAAGTAATTATTGATAAGGACAAATACAAGCATCATTATACTGACTTCTTTAGACGTGTACAAACAGAATCCCACAGTAGACGCTCGCTAGTCATTTGTAGTGATAAGCAACAACGAATAACATTAATATGGTCAAAAAGTAATATAGAAAAATTTCTTATCATTACTGTCGACAGTATTAACTGCAACTTGATGAGTCGTAATATTAGCATAGGAAGTAAAAACAATTGTCTATCGAATTTGGATAAATATTATACATACATATTAGGCCTTTCCATGGGGCTCACGATACTCTGGGATGCTACGGGCAGTTTCCGCTGATAATTTTGGCCTTGACAGCCAAAAGAGTACACGAATAGACTTTAATCTTCCGTCATGCAAGAAGACCATTGATTGAAAACCAGCAAAATTGTACTGCTTCAGTATATAATTCTGACTAAGTGAATTAGAAAATACCGTTAAGCAAGATGTATCAATCTGTAGCGGTTGGTTGGTTAAAATCTGTTAAAAATAACAGATGCCATTCGTGGATATCAGTCATCCATGTACAGCACGCGGAATGTTCAAGGGAAAATGACCGGCCGGCTATCCACTAGAAAAACAAATTAGCCGGCACAAATGCCACTGTGCACAAGCAATCAGTCGTAAAAATGGGATAGACTGTACGTGTTTGGGATAATTTGACAGTAAAATCCTTGTCGTATACCGCATCTCTCATAAACATTTTACGAGGTTTTCCAAATGAAAAATGATGACAGAATTAAGTGGGTCATTCATACAACATTAAAGTGGAATTCCTCACTAGAGCAACATCCTCATCTTCTCCGTATATACAATACGTACATTCCGCACAATACTTTTCCAACTATAGTATTTCTAGAAGTACTTGTGTACAATACGTAAAGCTGAGGTATTGCGAAAAATATTTACAGTGATCCGGATTTCCAGTTTTGTGAACTGGTTCATGATTTACAATAAATCCGTGCTTTAAAAATTTCTGTTTGTGTATTCCATTTTGTACCAATAGCTGTAAGAACGGAAGATTAAGAGATGCTAGGCAAACAGGCATGTAACCCAACATGATTGTATGGCTGTCGGATCGGTCAGCCAGAAGCAAACGCAATATTCGGTATTCCAAATGCTTTATAGTACTCGTATGCTCGCAAATATTTTAAATAAATAATCCTCTACTGTAAAGTGACTTGAACCTTTCAAATCAATCGATTCGATTCGAGTATAATTATATACAAGAAGTTTTTAAAATTCAGCAGAGAAGTACAGCTAACGGCAACTTTATAATATATCCATGAGATGTACGATGCGTGCGTGTATTGTGCCACCGGATGCTTTCTTGATCTCGTTACTATAAAGTACAGATAGTGCTTTTAAAGTAAGCGCTTTGATGGCGCAGCTTACTCCGTAAAAATGTTGAGTGAGTAATACAGTAAATAAGTACTGCAATTTTCAATATATGAATACTGTAAGCAAATATACCAATTACATAAGTCTCCTGGATACGGGAAATGTCGAAGGCATTATCCTACAAACTTTCAGTGTTTGCTCTTGAACAATGGGTATTCTGATTATCATTGCTTACTTTAATTTTAGCTCAATTAAAACTCAAATAAGTAATTCATCATGTAATTGTTATTACACTTAACAAAATTATAAACAGAATATTACTTACTTAATTACGTGGCACCACGAAGCACGTGGATTTGATACACCTGCTTTAATGAATTATGTCGACAAAGATGACCTAATCCTTTTTCCGACGAGAAATCAATGCGTAGTATATAAACTTTACCATTTTGGTACGGAAAACACGAGTAGCCCCGTGTTAAAAGAGCCGGATCCCTATAAAGGCATTTTGGTACGGTGGAATTTACCACAGTTCAAGTCTTCTGTTACATAAGGATGCCAGTATCGGCAGTAATTAAGCGCCCAGAAAAAGGTTTATCCAGGGCTTTCGAATATTTATATACTTGAAAATATGCCCGTGAAAAATTTCATACCAAGCAAATTTTCAGCATTTGGACAACTGGATACAAAAGTGTTTTGCCGATAACAATGTTCCACTTCCCACGAATGGAATTCACAGATTCGAAGAACTATTGCGGGTGGTACATCAATTAACCCATTGCATGATCTCTTAATATAGAATTTGAAAAGTTTAAATTAATTATATAAGGGATGTGCCCGTCAAGTGCTATAAACTTCAAATCAGCTATTGACTTCTGATAACACGTACTCTGTAGTTCTGTACGTATGCATTGTAGCGAGCCTGGCCGAGCTCGCCCGATATGGCCACGGGGGTCAGCGAAATACTGCGAAAGCTGCAGGATATGGAGATGGAAACGATACCTCCAGTTCTTCCTGAAGCATCTTATGTAAGTTGCTTTCTCGAATCGAAAACAGGATTAAGCAGATTTATGGAACCACTGAAAGAACTACTGCAAAAAGGCAGGGAAGCTGAGCGCCTAATTAAAGGAATGCTGGGAAAATTTTCCCTGTCGACCAAAGGAAGCTTATTCGAAACAGGAATACACAAAGTGGAAATGCAAAACGGCTTAATTATAACATCACTTCTGTCAAAGCAAGTAGCTAAATTTTACTGCAGTCCACTTTAAAACTACGTTATTATAGTATTTTGTCCACTTTAAAACTACGTTATTATAGTATTTTGTGTAACAAGTTTACTGCATTGTCTATACTAAATCCCGAATACTGCTGTGCGATTACTGTTACGTAGTAGGGTAATACACAGTAATCGTACAGCAGTATTTAGGATGAAGTTTATATTCTAAGATAAAGTTTAAGTACTTTATTCTTTTTTTAGAATATCTTTGTGTCTATACTTATTGGCATGCATATGTGCGCCGCTTGTGCAGCTGTGGCGTGAATATTTATCACGAACTGCTGCATACCTGTACGAGAAACTTTACCATGTATGTGTTGCATACAGGCACTCATGTCACGTATGCAGCGTATTATGGTCAGTCATAATAATAATGTTAATGTGATGATCAAAATTAGATATTCCGCTCAAGTAGCGCGTCGTCGCATGGAACGAAGACGGCTTACTGATGAAGTCCTGGCTTACGATAACGATGCCATTATGAATGTCAAGGATCCTTCGACTGCGATGCAAATTCATTCGCACGAAAATTCTGATCTTGTTGAAAATTTACCACATCCTGATCAGTACGATCAACCAACGAAAGCCGAACTTATAAGGAAAATGATCCATCGTACATTTATGGCAAGTAAAAGAAGGCAAAAGATAGTACGATGCATAAAATTAATTTTCCTAGTCATGCATAAAATTATTTTTCCTAGTCATGCATAAAATTATTTTTCCTAGTTATGCCGAAATGTTACGAATACAGTACCCGCAATGTGTGTACATACCGCGATATTTCGGTTGCTGTTGTAATTTGGTACCTCCGTAGGAGTACTGATCAAATCCAGTGTCCATTATTCCTACTTTAAAATGTGCATTGTAATTTGTAAACGGATTACGTGTAGGTACTAACTTATAGACATATATCACAGAAGAATTCCAAGGCCAAGGAGCTGCCAAATTTAATAAAACCTAATTGTTTGCAAATTCGGACTTTGCAAGAGTCAGTCGATAAAATTGTGCAAAATCTTTGGTGCAAATCATGTTTTTATCGTGCTTGATGCTTTTTACAGGGATTGCCCATTGCCTCTGTTGCAGCAAAGGATTTCAAACTGCCATACAATGTTAACGATAAAGCAGTATTGCAAAAGGTCACAAATCTTCAACCCAGTGATGTACGTGTTCGGCTGCCTAACAGTTTTACAATCCGAGGCTTTGGCAGTGAATGTCTCATTCTCAGTTCTTGCATTGTTTTACTTCAGAACGGAATATTCTCCAGTTTTTCATGGCAAGTCGCTTTCCATAGCCGTTGTTCGCGGGAAATCCTTGTGTGCGCTTGGTGGTGGATTTTCCTTTACTATTTTCGCACGGTAGTGTAGAATTTTTATTTGTGTTTACCGTCGCTGTTGCTACTTTACAGGCAAATAACGCCAGACCTTTTTAGGAAGATGAAAATAACAGAGCAAGCAAACTGTGTCTGCTTCTCCGGCGTCTTGGCAAGTCGTACCGAAATTTGTATAAAACTATCACGGCAAACTTCCGGGATCGAGTTCTGGAGGTGCATAGTAGCGACTGCCTAGCTGCACTTACATAATTAGAGGCCACCTTATAACAATATTTCAGTTCGTATTGGAAAGTTTTAGCGTTTTCCGGACTGCATGTCTCAAGCCATTTTCATAATCTTCAATGAAGTCTTTCCATTCCAAAGAGTCAAATTTGTCCAGCCTGAGTTCTTGACCTCTATGGAAACTCACCTCCACCGTTGGTTTATGGGAGGAAATGGCGCCGCCTCCGAACATTATCGGTTTAGGTAAAAACTTTGCATTTGTTGTACTCGTATACTACGAGTGATAAAGATTTTACTCTTATCGCATTACAGTACAACATGATCAGCAATCGCCAATCGGCCAACCGTATTACAGGTGGCTAGAATGGCGTTTCCAGTACATGGACCTAAATAAAATTCATGATCCGCTTTGCTATCCACAATTTTTTGACTTGAAGTTGAAAACTGATCCCATTCCACAAGCCTGCGGTAATTCTTAAATCTTACCCCATCCTTCACTTCACAGACCTTGTTCTGTCATTAAGGGCATGTGCTTTTATAAGTTATAGGACAATTAGAACTAAAATCTTGACTATTAATTATATTCCGGTGTACCAAGTTACAGTACCAACAAGCAACAGTACAGATATGTTAGGCAACGCTATTGACCCAATGCTTTTCCAGTAAGAGTATACTCCTCTGAACAAAAATTAATCCCAAATGGCCCTTTGTAGATGTTTTGGGTACCGAAAAGGTCGTTCTGGAAATACCAAAGTTTAAGGCGGATTTAATGAAAATAATTCGAAAAGACAATCAACAGAAGCGAGACATGGTGAAGTTGAAGCTACCGACTCCGGGAAAAAATGCCAAAGCAGACATGCCGGTCGTTACCAGCGCAAACGATAACAACGAGCGTACTCCCATCATTCCATACGTATTAGTAAGTGCGATTTTTCTTTTAAAAGCGCTTTAGCTTTTGATTCGGCGTTAAACTACAAGGCTTTTGGTTAGTACAATAAAATCATGCTATGCATCACCCGCTCGACTGTTTCTTTGCTTGCTTCAGTTGCTTGTAATTTCGCACAATATTAATCATAAACTGTAGCTCCTGAATCGTTTTCAGCCAAGTTATTTGCTCCAACTTCGGTGTCTCATAAGTTTTATGAACTGTACGATGTCAAGGCACTTTAAATGCTGACCTTACAATTATTCACTGTAAATTAGTTAAAAATCGATTTGAAAAGTATATCTGCTCGTTATCTGTGCATCATTTAATTTCAGGAAAGCGACTGCGTCCCGGGTTACCATGTTCAATTCGAAACTGCGCCTGTGGAAATAAATCATCAAGTTACGCCACTTCTATCAGCTGAATTGCCTTTATACGGCAAACCGATTCGCTTTAGAACGAAGACAAACATTACTAGAATTAAACGGAAACTGATCTCGCCATTCACGTTTGCTGACGTTGTTCGAGATGTGCAGAACCGCATTCGTCATCGGCGCATACAAGTTAAACGACACGCAAACGCACTGGAAACTGAGAACAAGAAGAAGAAACGCAGTTTTTGGACAGTCAGCCATGAAAGTGGATTACTCAAAGAGTATATCACCGTTCAAAAAGTGAAAAGGAAAAATCTGGGAGAGCTGCGATTGGAAATTATGGCAGCACAGGATATTGAACGCCACCTGCCGGGTGTCATGAGACGAAAACTGCGCAAGGGCCATTTGCCCCCTCTGCTGGGTTTCAAAACCACAAAGGAAATAATAACAGGCCATCAAAGAAACAACAGTAATTTCGAGACTTTTCTAGGCTCGTTTTTCGATTCTGAAAAGAAGACGAAGCTCACAGAATGGGATAAAATGAATGTTCCATGATCAGTAATTGTCCACGATGATTATTACGATGTATGTATATACTGCATTGATGCCATAAGATAGTATGATCTTGCATTCTTGCCCATTGATTGTCGAAACTAGGATTAATTTTCAAATTTCCAATTCAGCAATGCACTGCGAGTGCAATCAAACGAAAATTTTAAAAAAACCGGAAAAGGGCAAAAAGTTAAAATGTTGCACGGTCATTCTAGTTTTGGCAAAAGTTTACGTTATAAGTGAACCGGAAGTCTTGTCGGATGGTAGCACCCAAGGAACTACCATCCGTTTGTGGCCAAAGCAAGCCGATCACGATGTACTATCACGATGAAGCAAAAATAAAAATACGCAGCTTTTTAAAGACTTTAATGAGCAGAATTTTTTATTTTTGATTTAGCATGTTCAATGTTGACACTGCACGGACATTTCGTGCAAGTAACGAGTGAATTACTATTACTTTTGTCTCTGTAAGCACCACTGTTTTTAAGTTTTGGTCTTTTGGAATAAAAGTAAGCAGTTGTAGCTTACTTGGGAAGGAGTTAGAGTCACAAGTGAACATAGCGACTTTCAATCCCGAATCTTACGAGGGAGGCATACCAGGCGGGAGGCTCTCTGCAGTGTTGTACAAGCAAGGTACGAGTCAATTAGCCACTGTAAGTGGCAGGAAGTTCCTTTCCGTGAAGATGGATCCCAATCCTGCTGCACCCGATGATCCTCGGAACCGACCTTCTTCCGCTTCGAACCAAAATCTCAGTGATTCCGCAGATGCGGACGGTCTGCGCCGTAGACAGGGTGATAGCGTCCATTCCAGCGAAACCCAGCAGCAGCGTACCGACCTAGGCAACGCGGACCCCTCCGCGCCCAGCATGGCTCCTTATCAGGATTATTACATGCGTCTCCACCAGTGGATCTGGACGTACCAATGGTATAGATTCTGCTGGGAGCAGCAGCAGCGTGAATGGCGGGATCGGTATTTTTGGCAGCAGTGGTCGCATCATACACATGCGCTGCCGTCCACGTCAGCATCGGCCGCGGGCCCATCCTGGCCAGGTGCTGCCCCACAGGCTGCTCCGCGACCTCCTCTTCCTGGACCGGCCATTCAGGTGCAGCGCCCCCAAGGCAATCCCCTACAGATTCCACTGGCAGCGGCGGGGCATCCCCAGATTTTTGTAGGCGCCGTCGGACCAGATAATCAGCTAGGTGACATGCAGAAGCATAATTTGCCCGTATTTATAAGAAAGTTATCATTTTAGGTCTAAAATATTGAACGCAAAGGAAGAAAGTAAAACTATATGTGCAGATTTAAAATTCATTTTTGTGCATTAAAATATAATTTATTGCGCGTTTTCCTTCGATTCTTTACGGTTTTATTCACCACATCAGAAACGTTGTTGGTTCATTCATTCAACATAATACCCACTCCGTTCGAACATAAGTTTCCTGTGTCCGGTTGAATATCATCCATCCATCTTGACAGATCCATCTTGGAAAGGGTTCAAAATGGCACCTATATGGAAGCGCGTGGTGGCGGAGTGTATCGATATCTTTCTGCTGGTGCTGCTAAAGCTGATATTGACCTACACGATCTTTGACGATCTATTCTTCATGTAAGGGTTTTGCAGAATATATCGTCACACTCTTGCATGAAAGTGGTAATAGTATTCTGCTGTTTCGGGACTGCTTAGTGATTTCAAGAAGTACGGCGACCTTCTGGATCCGGACGTGGACGTTACTGCTGATATGGCCCTCGATTTGGCTTCGGAATTGATGTTGATGGAATTCTGCCATCGTTTGATATCGTGTTTGTATGAGGTAAGGACCGTAAGGTGGTACCGAGTGGGAATTGCAGCTCTGTTCAATTAGTTTCTTTATTCATAAATGTGTTTACGTGCAGATGATAATGACTGTGCACGGTTTTCCCCACGGCGGCGCCACTTATGGAAAGCGTTTTATGGGTCTGCGCGTTGTGACTTGTCAGGAATTTATTTTACTGGACGGAATGGTTCTGGTCAAGCCAGCGGATACTCCGAACTGGAAGCAGTATGTCATAACTTCCGTCTTGCCTGTTTTTAATTTTTTCGGAGGCGGAAATTATCCTTTTCATCTGTTTGTTGTAGAGCTGCAGTTCGGGCATTCTTGAAGAATTATTCCTGGGCCGTGGTCGTGCCATTGCCGCTAACGGCGCTTTTAAACCGTGAACGCCGTACAATGTATGATACAGCCTGTAAATGCATGGTAGTGGAAGCCGGAGATCCTATGGTCGCTTTTCTGCGATAATGCTTGTTTCTTTGTTTCACATTTCATCGCTTTCCGAAAATGCTTTTTTTTAATACCGATAGTGTTTTATTCTTTTTATCATTGAATCATTCGAGATTCCGACAGCATTACGAACTGCCGGAAGAATTCTGCCGTGTAAATTAATTACAGTACAACTACTCTGTTGTCGGCTGGGTATTGCTTGCGAGTTTTCATGTGGTTTCCAGTGATATTTAAACAGATTTCTAATTTAAATACTGCACAGTAACACGAGTGAAAGAGATATAAACAATCGCACAGAATGTGAAATAAAAACTAAAAATATGGTGCAGTTCAAACAGAACGCGGACAAATACCGTTATCACAGTTAAATGCATTTTTCTTTTTGATTTCCTTCCTTGCTTAATCGTCTTTGAAAAGCCTGAGCCACTTTGGAGTTATTCGGTCGTTTGAGGAATTTACAGATGAAATCACCAGTAATAATTAGCTTGTTCAGATCTACACCAGTATCAATCCCTAACCCGTCCAACATATATACAACATCTTCCGTTGCCGCGTTCCCACTGGCGCCGGGAGCATACGGACACCCTCCCAGTCCGGCGACGGAAGTATCCACCACGTTAATGCCCATCTGCAGGTGAAAAAACATTATGGTGACATTCATCGGCCAGATTTCACCATTAGGGAGACCAGGATATAATGCTAAAAATATAATTTCTGATAATGAGAAAAATTCATGTTACCTCAATTGCTACTAGAACGTTAGCAAGGGCCTGTCCGTATGTATCATGGAAATGGACAGCCAGTGATTCGATAGGAACACTTTTGCACACTTGAGACAAAATTTTTTGTATCGATCCCGGAGTACCCACACCAATGGTGTCACCGAGGGAAATTTCATAGCAGCCCATCTTGTAAAGCTCGGCAGCAACTCTTGTTGTAGCGGAAGGATCAATTTTGCCTTCGTACGGACATCCGGCTATGCACGACACGTATCTAATGCACCCAAAACACAACACATATTAGCGGATGCGGCCGAAAACGCAAATTCCGAAAACACCCTTAAATTAAAATTATTTTAATCAAAGAGTTCTGACTCACCAGCATAAACACGAAATGCAAATTCTCCGGAATTACTACAGATTATTCAAAAACGCTCATAAACTGCTTAACCGTATGACTCACCCTCTTACTCTGATATTATTCTGCTTGGCGGCGGCAACAATTTCTCTGCATCTCTTCAGACTTTCTTCAACCGTGCTGTTCGTGTTTTTCCTAGAAGATTTTTATAAAACCTACAATTTTTTATAACAAAAATCTGAGTCATTGAAACTGACTTGCTGAAACTTTCCGAAGCGGTGGTGAAAACTGCAACTTCCTGTGGATGCACTTCCAACTGCAATACAGAGATTTTTAGTGGCTAGCAATGACTTCCATGAACGGCAATAGGTGAGTCAACAGCGCTTACGGCTTTTTCGAAACCTTTCAGGTTTGGCACCAGAACTGGATAGACGACACCCGGTTTTCGTTTTAATCTGGACATTATTTCGTGATGATCGGCCATCTACGTATAACAACACGAGCCATATATGTAATCCATTCCAGCGGAAAAAATCGCATACTGTCGTCTATCTTACATTAATATTATAATAACTGTTTGGTATAATTATGGTGTATCATCAGCGAAAAAACAAATAGCGATAACATTACAAGCAAGAATACGACATAATCATGAAATTTTCCACAATGGAAATTAAAGGACGGAATGAAAACACGGAAAAGCTTTCACAGATGCAAAAATACAAATAAAATATAATTAATGCAATGAGATAATAAGTGATGCTCGCCACGGCTCGTGTCCGCAGAAAAAAAGCCAGAAAGTTGGTGAAAATTCAGAAAATTCCATTTAATACCTGTGGAACCCATTTTGGTGAGACGAAGCTTGTAGCCTCGATGGTTGTTAAACCGGCATCCGCCAATTTTTCAATGAGCTCTATTTTAATTTCCGTCGGCACAACTTCCTTCTCATTCTGTAACCCGTCTCGCGCTCCCACTTCCACAATGCGAACATGGCGCGACTTCATTGTCGAATATTCCTAACGAACAACCTAATTAAACCAATGCATTTAAGCAGATCCGGCTTAATCGTAATAAGGAATACAGTTGCATATGAAACTGGAAATGCAGCAATAACTCTACAATCAACAAAGTCTTAAAAGCGTATGAAACGAAGTGACGGTTTTTATGTTGTCCGGAACTAGTATATTACGCCACGATCATTAAAAAGGAAATAATCTCGAAATAATCGGAAAATTAAAAAAAATTAAACATGGCCGAAGAAAAGCCCATCAATGGCACGCACACGAACGATAATTTCGTATGCAACGATATAAAAACTGGAAACACTTACTGCATGATAACCATAAGGTTCTCTACAGCGACTTGACAGTTCGCTGGATGCGTGGATCCTGGAATTCCAAACAGAGCGGCTGTGACGAGCAAACAAACGTACAGCCATGAATCCCAAGTGATGGATGAGTAATGAATAGACGATGCGATGTAAACAAGTATTATATATATAAAACTCCGCGACAATCAAAGCGATAAACAAAGTCAGTCGTGTTTTCTTCGGATTTCTTGTTAATCGCTGATTTTTGCCTTCACGTGCGCCGTGAATGATCTACGCGATGCTACAGACATTCATTCGTATGTTGCATAACATTCCTGTCAGCTGTTCAGATTGCACTGATTACACCAACCGCGAGGTGGTGGTTACGTGTGTCAATATGTTGGACGGCTTCCATCGCCGTTCGTATGCCACCCAGTAGTGAGCATTATTAGGTATTCCAGCTCCCACGCATGCACAGCCGTGAACCGGAAGTTCCGTAGCTCGAATCATTATTCTGCATTTTACCTTTGGTTTGAATGGCAAAACTGACAATAAAATAATAACGCGAACGGACAATAAAATACTGCAACCGTTAATCAATATATTTGCGCTTGTACAGCCACATCACTGTCATATGTATCGCTGAATCTGGAGAGTGGAGACGAGCAGCAAAACAACACAAGACCCACAGAACCCCATATATATATAAACTGAACTATTAAAATTAATACGAGTGCGGTAAAACCGTCTAAAAAAGTATTGCTAGCTTCAGTCGTGGCCTCGGATAAGGCACGTACCGAGTAAGACTCTGCCAATTTTGCCTGGAATATGATGTGACTGCTATGCTGCTAAGTTTTTGCGTTTTGTAGACTTTTGTCCCGTACCTGTTCAGTGGGTAGTAAATTATCCTCAGACAGCAAAACTGACCATGTGCAAGGATTGTGACAATTATGACACTATAGATATACTGTACTCGATCCGAGGACAGGATCTATATGAATTAGAAGTATAGAAATTAAATGAGTGCTTGTAATAAATATGTACGTACTGAAAATACGTGCAGATGCAAATTACGCAATATTAGCAGCGTGACACTCCTGCGCCTCGAGCAACCTCGAAATCGAGATAGCAGGGTACATCAGCAATAATAATATTGGGGTATTGCAGTATTATGGTGTTTGACAGAAAAACATCATTATCCCAGTATCACTTACACTAATGTAACTGCAAGCTGAGATACCTGATTCACATGCATCGGAACCGGTTAATAATCTCGTTAAGGTCACGTTCTTCCCATTCCCATCAACCTTTATATTTTACGTACAACACTTAGTGCTATAGCGGCGTTATGCGAGCTATAGGTGCTGTACTGTCCTACAATATCGTATGTTTGTTTGTGCGCCATAAACAGTAGTTATTAAATACAGTACCTTAACATTTTATTAGAAAAGCATGCCGCGGCATCACATAAATCATGCATCAGATTGATCGCATGCAGCAGAATCTTGCAAAAGTATGGCTTTCCATTCTTCTCGTAAGCAACAAAATCCGTCCCACAAAAATATCGCGCAGTTTTCCACCAAATGCATATAGTAATCCTTTGAAAGCTTTACGAAAATCGGAGTTCATCCAAGCGTAGACGATCTGTAAAAGAGAAACGCGTTTTTAATAAAAACTGCCATGTACGAAGCCATCATGCAGTAGTAAAGTCTGGTCTACAAAGTAGGCATGTTAACCGGCAAAAGTACTGTATTATTATAATTATTATTATACCCTTCACATGGTAGTTTACTCGACTTCGTAAACTAGCTTCGTAATTTACTAGCACGTACCGGATTTATGCAACATCCGGCAAAGTAAAGCCCAAACACCCACAAAAGTAAGGGCGGACAGTCCAGGAGGATACGGGATTTAAAGTGTTTAGCCACGGCGACAACAACTGTTGCCGGATAGTATGTCGCGCAAAACATTGTGAAGCAGATAAACATCATGCGCGCTCCTTTAACCTTTTAATGGAAAACATGAATTTTATTGTCAGCACTAAACGCTTTGCGTCGTCCGTGATATTTGTTCAGGCATTTTACCCATGACTCAGTATGAACACTTTTATTTTTTGTATTGCGTATTTTCAGGAGAAAACCAGAAGATCATGTTGCCCCCTTCGTACAATTATCTTGTGAGCGTATACCAAAATATGGCTCGAGTATTTAAAACGTATATGTACTGTTTCCATATAGTTTTCATTAGATTAATATTAACGCATCGGCTGCTGAAACTGCAGTTTTTATTAAACTGAGCAAAGTTATAATTAATCGCTAAGCCGACCGCCGAGACTGGAAAACCCCGCAAATTAACTTATAGCTTTGTTCTTCAAAACTGCAGAACAAAATAAATATTTTTCTTACTAGACTTCGTAACGTTATAAGTATAATGGTGTAGTTTTCTTGATTAAGCATACACATTTTAGACGCTCAGCATAGTCCCCCATGGCGATAACGAATCCATTTTTGATCTTACCCTGTGCTCGAATCTTTTTAAGCGGACACAAATAACAGTAGGTGCTTGTACGCATCCATTAGTGTTTGTACAGGACAAAGAAGAATCAGTGAGCAGATTGTTTGGACGTAATACTGGAGAGTAGATAGCCCTGCGCAGATTTCTTCGAACTTGTATGACCTTTAGATATATGGCCACATACGAAGCAGCAATAATTAGTGTTGGAAGCATCAGACATGGAACGGCCATGGCGATAATAAATTTCCAGTTGTGGTTCGAAGCAGTTTGTAAGTCGAGATTAAATGTGCACAATCCAATAGGAGTAAGATGAAAGCTATCTCCACCATATCTGTCCAATAATCCTAAGGAACTGACTCCGAGGGGAACAATCCACGGCATTAAAATCATCAGCAGAAATAACGGAAGTTTTTGCATAGTATGGTATTTCCTGGCGTACACGATGGCAATAAAACGATTGACGGCTATGGCGCAACTTGTCATGTTGGAAGAAAAACTCAGAGCAACATTAATAAACCCGTAATAACGGCAGAATATGGTGAACTCAAACTTGGTCTGATCCGTATATGGCAAAAAATTGTACAACAATACCATTATTACTTTGATCGGGTAAATTACGCTGCTCAATAAGCAGTCCACGACCGCCATGTTCTAAAACAATTAAGAAAACAGTGCAGAACGTCAAGTTAATAAACGCTTTAATGCGGTAAGTTTTTCTGCAGAACACCAATATACGATAAATATAATTACGCGCAACATTTCTTTTTAGGATGTGTGTACTGTATATAACTAATTATTTCGGATGATTAACGAAATTGACATAAAAGCATGTATTAAAGTAATAAATAAAATAATATAGTAATAAATGCGCAAAAATGCCATGGCTGTTATCAATTAAGCAGGAAGCTAATGTATGAAATAAACGGTTATTCCTACTCTGTACTCAGTATGTTGATTTACAGTAAAATTATGTAAACAGTAAATTACAGCTTAGACATAGTTACCAGCACTAAAATGTTAGAATGGGTCTGCAACTTCTTCGTTGTCATTATGGCAATAATTGTAAGCAAATTTCCCAGGGTGCCACCAATAAATATTAGCAGCATTAGAATTATCCATAACAGTAGGTGAGTTTCATCAATCGATGGCTTTTTCCACATGTCGGTGAAATTATGGAACTGTTTGGCATCCATACCCGAAAAAGGTGGCAACAAGCAGAGCAGAACGGTTATCGTTTGGCCAGACTATCCAAAAAGAGATAACGTTGTAATATTTAATTATTAACTGGAACAAATAGACAAAAAAAATATAAACACTGTTTATGCGTACTAATGAACAGTTGTCATAATTGTCCGTAGGCAGTACTATAGTATTATGAGTTATCATTTACGCATAAATGCGGTTCATTAAAACAACCCTGAAATCCGGAAGGACACCGGCAGTTTATAGCTGTTCCAACTGCCGGCAAGGCCTGCGTCCCGACGCTCCCGTCATATACCGTTGTCGTAAATTTGACGGATCATACAAATTTAATATGGTTAAACGAATATTTAGTCGATGAAATGACGAAAAGCAGGCAACGAAACGTTTTGTTTCAGAAATGTTTCTGCTTTGAAATTTGGCGATGCGCCGATCAAGTATTGCAGCCTGCAGTCCATGGTGTTCTCTCAATACAGTACTGCACAAAAGCCTTTGTAAATGCAGTGCAGCTAGGAGAGCTCTATCCATCGAAGGTCGAGTATGCAAGCGACAAATGCCAAGGTACACAGTAGGTGGATCACCATTCAACTCCCGTACTGCGGGATATGAGACGTAGGTGTTCAGTGTTCACTGCTCACAATAATTGCATTAATGAACTTCCTGTCACACTGCTGTTTCGTTCCGGATTTGCATATCAAATTATATACACTGTTTGCGAACTGTCAAAGCTGCGGATGCATAAAAGAAATCAAAAATACGTATGCCATTTACCAAGCGGAACTTTGCTTGCAAAAGCCGATAAATTAAGCGTATGTTAATTATAAGGCACTTCTGGCCGATTCTTAGATCAAAAGCCAAAACCGCAAACTGCGGCGCAAAAAAATAGTAGCGTTAAAAATTGGTTAACGCTAACGGTCTTATGGGTTCATAATTTGTCATAAATCTAAAATTTCGTAGTGAACTGTGGGATATGCGCTAGCATGAAAAAATTCTGCCTCCCTATCTTAAACAGCATTTTCTGGCTGAAGGCAGTACTTTAAGTGGTTAGGAGAAGGTGCAGCGATTTAAAAGGAATAAATAAACACTCGGTCGTGGGCGAAAACTAGCAGCATTACTATGAGCAAATGAAAGGCATGTTTGTATTGACATGAATAAAAAAGGCTTGATACGTAGGTCTAAAAAACACAATTAATACTTCTAACGCTTTATTGGTCAAATCGAACACAAGGCGGAAGATATCGGAACATAATAAAGTATTAATACTATATACAAAAATGACAGTATAGTAAATGCATGTACAACATCAATGTGTGCAATCACTTAGGCTTAACAATTAAAAAGAGCGGGAGACGCAGATCTGACCTATCATATTACAGTTAGGTAGTTGAAAAATGGTTATTTATATATGTAGGATTATTGCTTTCTGGAAAACAAAACTTGTGCATTTATAATCGCTAGCCCGTTTTATCATAATAAGAGCTGGTGGCCATATTCCGCACATTCATTATGTACTGTGAAGGGTAAAGCTACTTCGTGCTGTCTTAAATCATATAAAGCTTAAACCACCGGCACCATGGCAAAATAAATACTTGCGTAGTGTATATACAAGCCGAGCACGGATGAATATAGATAAGCCCACGATTAGTGGTAAATTTAATTCGTAATCATTTATTTTATAAAATTAGAGTTATCATTCATAAAATTTGGCCTGTTAACAGGACTTTCGGTGTTACGTTCACGGTTTACTTGTGCAAGGTTTCTGCGCTTGTGTCCATTTTAGAGATACCAATGGGGACTTGGGTTGATGTATTCAACACTGGTAGAAACAGGTCGTTGAAATTCTTAATGCAGCTTGTAACTTTAGGTTAGGGACGTGTTCTCTGAACAATAACCAAAGCTGGCGAAACACAGTGGTCGTAACTACAGTATACTGTTGTCACTGTCATTTTGCAGTGCAACACAATGCGCGTGGTTACAAAGCAGCCCCTGTTAGTTCTATGGCATCCATGGTAACAAGTGTTTGACTGACCACTGGGCGTAACGAAATAAAGTCGACAAAGCGCCAACAGCCCAGGAACACTTCCCGCAGTCTAAAGATTCTGTTGCACTTCAAACTAGCAAAATCGAGTGATTAGTAGCTGAGATCACTGGTCGGGAAGAAGAGGGGCCGCAATCCTGGCACAGATAAATAGTATTCATATAACCAGTTTACGGGATCTACATCCAGTCGTATTGCCGTGGCGAACATTAGTTTCGAAAATTTTTATTTAAAGAAACTTATGAATCTTCTGTATTCAAAAAATTTTATGAGCGTAAGAATTTTAAGAAGCCTTACAAACGTAAGAAATATGAGCAACCTAAGAAAACCTAAGAAATCTAATAAATTTAAGAAACGTACGAAACGTAAGAAAGCTAAGAAAGCCTTAGAAATCTAAGAAATCTAAGAAACGCGGCATGCCGGCACTACGATGTACGTGAACAAATGAGCCAATAATCTGTACGTCAGCAGAATATGCGAGTAATTAATAGCGTTTTTATCACAGTGATACTTTAGTTATAACTGCTCAGTAGATCATAAACTGGAATCACTTGACCAAGATATCTTGCAAAAGTCACTCTAATCGTAGTTTAACTGTCTTAGCCCAAACATGTTAAAATAAAAACAAAAATGTACAATAGGAGACTGCAGTAATGCAGCGCTGCACCATTTGTTTTATCGTTACATAAATGATAATCATTGCAGCAAGAGTAACACATCTCCAAATGCACATTATCTCCAGAGGCAGGAGCTTGAATACATCCCGGAACGCATTCTGTGGCACAGGTTCGGTTGACATAACGAAATGTCATATTTCCAACAAACACGGTGCTCTGAAAAATAAACATTCTCGCAAAACTGCCCGTGAAAAATATAATTATTGCTTATAATCGGTAGTAGAAATTTTGATGACTTGCACCCTTAAGCGTACTGTTAACTTAAAACTCAACGCATGCGGGACAAATTTTTCGTTTAGATTGTTGACACTGAGCGGTACCAGTCCTTGTAAATGCGGAACAAATTTGGGTATTTACATTGCTTAAAAGCGTGTATATAATAAGTGTTGGATTAATAACTTTCTAATTGTACCTTGCAAAACATGTGGTCATCATTGCAAGTTATAATCATCTTTGCAGTTCCGATTGTATTGTTCATCGAATAGCAATGACTGTCTTTGGTTTCAGACTGGCATGAGTAGCATCTAAGTTTTTCATGAGTTTTATTCCAGGCTTCGGCTTCTGCCAGCACGGCAGATCCGGAAATGCTCTGGGCGAAGGCTTTTGATACGGCTAAATTAAGAGACTGCATCTTTTGCACAATAAAAGCACAGAGACTCACGATGAATTGCGTATACACATTCACACTGTAGATTAATACGGAAAGGAAGCTAAACACTTACCGTCAGTGAGCAGCATATGCAATAACTTAACGATTAAACATCCATATAAAACATCCTTTGTGTATTGCCGGAACATCTTATTTCCAATAGGCTACGTTAAAAAATCTGTACCGACTTTGTTCCGCTTTAAGAAAACTAACATTAAATGTGGGAGAAGCAACCCTGGATGCAACACATTGCAGCGTATATATGATTGAGCGATAAAGCTATACATGATTTTCTCCCTTGTACAACGATGCGCTCAACTGCAATGCCATTGTAGGCAGAAAGAGCAATGTAGTCAGATCAGAGCACATGGTAAAACGATTCGAGGAACTTTAATTAGACTCCAGCATGCAAGAAAATCAATCGATAATGCCAAAATGTCGGTGACGATCACAACACTACTATTTACGTTTTGTAGAATCAACATAACTGCTGAGATGTCGATGCTGCAATGCAGTATTACGTGTTCTGCGTTCATACAGAAGTGTTCCCGGCATTTCTGCGCAACGGCGGCGGGATATGGTGATCGAGAAGCCATTCTTACAGCGTGTGAATAAAGCACTTGTTTAGCTATATGTATATTATATCACATTATACATGGGAAAAAATGCTTGTTGGCACAGACGTTAACCCGGTGTATCAATTTTTTTTACTTTCGCATACATATTTTACATACATCTGATGGTAATTTTATTCTTTAACCATTTAACGGATACATTAGCTTAAAAAGTCTAACTTCATGATATTAGCGAATCCCAGAATTGCTGAATGCTCAGCGTACTGATGAAAATTAAAAGAACCAGCACAGTTAGTTCGTCCACTGTTGGTGCTGTAAAGCATCCTTAATTTCAGAACCATTACTTACATACAGCAACTTCATTTTCTGGAAGTATTGCGAATAAAATAATGTATCTGTCTGTAGTGTAGGGGGTTTGTCCTAAAAGTAAGTTTGTGATTACATACTTCCATTTAAAATTACTGACTTGGCGAGCTAATTTAATTAAAAGCACAATCAGGGTAGATTTACTGAATGCGCTTTGGTGTCGTAAATTACGACAAAGATGTAACATAAAGAAAGTACAAAGTAATAGCTGAACGATCGGTCAACCGGGCACGTACTGCGGACCAGTTTGGTCCGTAGAGGCTTTCCTTAAAAACATTTTATTTTTCGACAAAGTGCAAAACATAGAATTGTTCAGTATCAAATTAAAAAATCGCTACAGTGAATATACAGAACGATCGCACTTGTGATTTTGCATAAGACTAACTAGTTTCGCAAATTAGCATTGTTTTCATTAATGAAGTACCTATTGAAATGTGCAGGTAAACAATGGATATTCTGGAGTAACAAGAAAGCGTATGGCGCTCCTATAAACAAAGAAAGAGTCCCATATTATAATACAAACGGTAGTTACGTTCATTGTACCGAGTTACTGATGCTAACATGGTACACAGCTGTATAATATCATGCCCTCAGTTGTGAAACCTTTCCAGACGCTTCAGTTCTAGCTGCCAGGGTTGCAGTTTGTTTCCGGTTCGGTTCTTATTCAGAGATATTTGCAGTGCTTCTTTGTTTTGCATCCCAAATTTCAACGATCCATCATACTCATCTTTCGCGCTATCGATAAACAAGCGCTTCCATTCCGGAGACTGCTGAATTTGATTCATATCCTCTCCGTTCTACGACAATACGGGACACAATGTATTACCGTGCTGTTCCATTGTTAAGAATTAGTCAGGGTCACTTGGAGGATTTATTTCATACTTTGAAACAGCTGTCGTAACTCGCTCACGATTTATTAAACAGGTTCCAGGAAAATACTCTCATCAGTTACGGCATCTTTGATAGGAAATTCATACGTGCCATACAAAATTCGCTGCTTTGCTTATATGTGTCGAGATTAATTATCAACTGGTTACCGAAACTAGAAACCTTGAAAGCACAGACTAGAAACTTACGTCGATTCTTGCTTGAAATTCTCGGCGAGCCTGATTTGCAGCTTGTTTAGCCAGGAAATTTCGTTTGTATTCTGCAATCTGAAATCCTTCTTCGTCGTAATAAGGCACTTGAGGCATGAATTGTTCCGCAGTTAGTCTCTCCAGCATTGCCAAAAATTCCTTCTTCTACAAGCCAGTCTTTTAGTTTTCAAGATACAATTAAGGAAGCCAAACTTCATCGCATTGTACCTCTAATTTATCTGTGAACTCCTTCTCTATCCTGTTGCGTCGGGAAGCCGAGATATTGTTCGTTGTTTCTTTCAGCTCAGCAACCAGCGCCGCGTTTCGACTTTGAGGGTAGATTGCTATATGAATACAAATTTCCATAGAACGAACATAATTTTTTTCTTTTAACAAGTGAAGTCTTGTTAGACACCGTAAATTGTTATACTGACAGGCAGCGACGGCAAGTATGTATTACCTTTCTTTTGCCTTAATCGTTCATTTCGTTCTTCATCCGAAAGGTCGTCCAGTTCAGCCTCGTTACCGGGCCTGTACACGTAATATTACTCGACCAAGCAGGAAATTGCAGAGGATAGTTTGGTATCGTCAGTTCGGAATTTTAACTTATTGTTAGTCTAATTCGGGGCAAAGGTGGTCGTAGAAATCAGCTTTACCTGTCCAAGTAATCACGCTCGTACGTTGGCAAGCCTACACGTGATGCAGGACGCCCGGTCGAGTCTCCCCGTGACAAACTGCGTGTACGAGACGGAGACCTCATATTATCTTGCGGAGCCGGCGGAATTGGGGTGTTGCCGGAACGGGAAACAGGCCGGCTTGAAGGACGAGCAAAACTGTCATCCACGGCGTAAGTCAGACTGGGAGAGTTAACGATGGCACCCCCCACATCCACTTTGCTGATAGATATTTGTTTGGAGTCCCCTGTAAATTAATTATATGGTACATTAATCTAAACGAAACCAGCTAAATATATCAACCAGCTATCAAATCAAGCCTTTGATACCGTTCACATCAAACCTGCAGCCAGACAAATACAAATATAAGCTAGTAGTGGTTACCTAATGAAACATTTTCGCGCTCATCCCTCACATAAGTATCCGTTGATGATGGATAATATTTATCAGAGTTAGATGCGCGCATCGGCGACTTATTTTGAGGAGCAGCATCCCGGACATATGTGCCGGTCGGCTCACCATATCCACTTTTTCGCACATACGTACTCGTCGGCTCAACATGTCCACTGCCATGCGCGCGCTCGCTATCGCTGCTATCGTCAAATCGCACCGAATGTCGACCTGCCGCAAAATGATCTTTTTTGTTATGACTGTCGCTTCTAGAGCTGCGCGATCGGCGGCCATGTTCGCTTCTCCCCGATTCTGGCAAGTTGTTGATGACAATATCCGAATAACCCCCGATCGGTGTATCAGGCAGGGGAGTAGCGACATATCCACCCCGACTTAAGGGAAGCTCAACGCTAGCCCTCCCAGAGTCCGGAGAAAACACCGAAGTGTGCCGACCAGCCGTCGGAATGTTTCCGCTATCGCCCCCGATGGGAATGGATGTCCGGCCTCGACTGCTATCGTAGCGTGCCCCTTCCTGTTGGATCGGGATAGAGTACTCGCTTCCCATCGCCATTTTCTTTGGCATCTGGCTGTGGTTTGATCGATCGGATAACACAGTGGTCGATGGAGAGTTTCTTGGTTCAAAGTTTGAATGCTGCTCTCTTCGGATGGGGATGTTGTATTCTCCTTGCATGGTCTTCGGCGAATACGCATGGTTGCGATTTATCCCAGAATCGCTGCCATTTATTGTTACCTGCGATCCGCTTGATGGCTGATTCGATGTATATGTTTCCTTGGTATTCGAATGATATGAGGAGCGGCTGGCGTTTGCTGAGCGGTTGTCATCGTACGTTCCTGGCCTGGATTGAGCAGGGGAATATGTTGAGGAAATCCTTCCGCTATATGCACTTCCCGCTGCATCGTTCTCGTCGCCGATACGGATTCGCACTGGTTCATAATTAATATTGTACGATTTATGGAATTTATTGTCCACAAAGACATCGACGGTATCCTTCAGCGATACATTTGACCCGGTCGAATCAGCGCGGGACGTTGGACGCGAGGTGGGATGGGCATCCCAGTCGACAAAGGAATTGTCCGCTCTTTTATGCTGCATGGGAATGGTCGAGTAGTTGTCTTTATGTGGCCTGTGGACGACCGATGCTGGTCCAATCTCGATAACCGTGGCACGGTTTTCAGTATGGAAATGTGGGCGAAGTTTTGCGTAATCGTTGAAAGGACTCAATGATGGCATGGTTATTTGCAATCTAGCGACTTATGAAAGGAATAAAAAACAAGCCGTTGGCGCTTAACCGCAGCCGCAGCACAATAGTAACATACTCAGTGTTTTTCGGCCAATCTGCAACATTGGATCTCAATCAATAATCAGTAGTAGGCGGTTTAGTCAGCGAAAGTATGCGCAATGAAGAATTAAATGGTAAGAGTGCACGTCGGTGTTTAGCGTTTATGCATTTTGCAAAAGGTGGGCTATGTGGTTGATACTAATTCCAATGTGGAAAGACAACTCGGAGATGCATGCAACAGGTAGATGGCTGCCAAAGGTGATCCATAAATGGCAACGGTGGCGCAGGAGGAACTTACACAAACCGTGCGCGCTAAACTGATTTGACTCGGCTATAAAGTCAATAGTGAAAGCGTACCAATGCTTCACGCAAACCAAGCTGGAAAAAAGTGCATGGGTGTGCAATTTTTGGTGGGATTAGTAGTATGGATAAGAAGTTGGCAGGTGGTGCTATGGATTTGATTCACATTGAGCGATATTAAAGTGTGTGCCTTGTTGTGAAAATATTGTGTTTAATTTGTGTATTATATTGACATAATGCTATCGTGTCATGGAGGCTTATTAGATCGACTTATGGCTAGAAATGCAAAGCTGCATGCAGTCTTGACCATGTTATGAACATGATTACATCAGTCGTTGTCCATCAGTGTTTACTGTCAAAGAATGACGTTGTTCATGATACGGCGAAATGCAAAATCTACAATGCGATTTTGCTGTAAACTAAAATACGTACTTAAATTCAGGTATGTGCCAAAAAAATACGTTAACTCAAAAACAGTAACTTAACAAATAATTTTTTCGAGATCACAAAGCTCTAAACAACAATGCATGCAGTGACCACAAACAACAACTTTAAAATTATTAGTATTAACTTAAGAAAGCATCAATTTCAAGTGCGTTATAATAATATAGGTAATGTGTTGCCATAAATTAATAATTATGATCTTCACGTATTTGAATTTTATCGTTAATTCAAGATCAGACGGTAAATTGGCGCGATTTATAATTATGCAGAAGCGGTGACTCTACCGTGTATATCATTGTACATGTTTCCACAATTATTTCACCAGATCCATACGAAACCTTGTCGTACAATTAAAAATTAATTAATACAGTACATGGCTCTACGATCAGTACTGCCCGGCACATACTCTGTAGTAATAGGTGCAGAACTCAACTGGGAGGTCCGATGCCGGATGCCCGCTGTATCTGTACAATACATCTACGCATAGTTCCACGTAAATACATGTACGGTACAGCACTTTTAACTAGTCTGTGCAGACTTTTTATATAATATATTTTATTTATGTATATTTTTTTATTTTTCTGGTTTATTTCCGTGACTGAGGATTACTTCTCATAACAACAACTTTCAACCGTAAGACAAGAAATGGTTCCCTTTCAGATACGGTAGTTGAAGCAACATATTCCTGTCCATCTTAAACTGACCATTCAGCATAACACACGATATAAAATGAGCACGCTTAGTCAGTAAATTTTCTTTAATACGTTCCTGTTAATTGCTTACCGAATTCATCCCTACGCGCACTCTTGACGTAAAACTTAGTTATCTCACTAAATTCATAATTAATAATTGTTAATGGTAGATGTATGAGACTGCCAGAAGTAATAAACAGGAGATTCTTTTCCCGGAATAGTCCGCAGCTCCCGTTCAATATCTTCAGCAAAAGCCTTGGCCTCGTGTAATGAATTGCGGCGGAGCATCCACTCAAATATGGCAACGTACTTTGACAACGAATAATCCTTTGCATACAGCCTACACAAAGTTTGCATTTTCCTGAACTAAATTTTCCCTGTCTAAATTTGCATAAGACAATGTCGGACCTTTACCTTCTTGATGGCAAACATTTCAGAAGGTACGGTATACACACATCAGTCGGAGCGCCTATCGATTGCAGCATTTCGGAAAGGACTTTACATGCCACTCCCAATGTAAAATTGGTGTTGTGGAGGACATCTTGAGCAACATGGACTTGCTCTTCTAGTTTGCGGCACCGGCTTAACCGTTGTGCTGTGTTGCAGTTGTTTTCGCAGTCTTTAATGCATTTTTTCAAGTCCAGGACAATTCCAGCGGCCTTTGTTAGTTGTTGTACATTATCTACACCACAATTAGGACACCGAAAGGATGTTAAGTTTAGGTCTCCTGGAATTACTTGCGAACACTCCGGTGAACCACTGCACGCTACCGAATCTCTTTTTGCCAGCTAAAAACAACCGTATTTAAGTTGAACCAAACAATAATGAAGAAGAGTCTTCGATAAATATCGGTCTGTATCCAGACTGATAATTAAAAAATTTCCATGCGACTGATGGACTTATAGTTCAAACTGTATGCAAAATTATGTACCTCGTTATCATTCACACAAGCCGCACAAGCGCAAATAAAGAAATAGTGTTTTTCCAAATACGCCGTCCGGTTTTCGGGAATTTCGAAAGGAGAAGTGTAGGCAATTCGAACCTGTAATTATACGGTTTCAGCCGTGCGACAAATTATTTCGCATGGACTGCATCTTTGTTGTACTACCGAATCGCTCCCGTACTCCCTTACGTTTTCAAAGCAGTCAATATCCGTAACAGCTTTGATAACTAGCTGGATGCCGATTTCAGTTTGCATTGCGTTGGGAATGCAGGAATGGTCCAGCACGGATGGCCCCAAGTATAATCCACGTCCCGTTGCAGCAACTACTCCACTTTGCAAAGTGTAGATAAAAAAGCTATTGATGTTGAATCTTCCCAAAATACTGATAAATGAAATGTAATCGCCGCATAGTTGATTTGAATCAGGGTTAATTAAGTTCAGATAGGGCTTTAAAATACGGTATGCTTCCCGGAGATCTGGTCTTTGCTTCAAATAATTCTGTTCATGCGACATTAGGTCATAAAACGAGCGAGTGCTGGACGGAGTACATTCTTCAGGCAGCTTCTGTTCGACTTCACCGCGCTGAAAACAAGAAAAAGGTCACACTAGAGTTTGTACCTTAAATATTTCTCGGGTAAACTGCAAAACCAAGTTGCAAACATAAGTAGTAGCAACTACGCGTCAATTTCAAGATACATAGTGGAAGAGAATAAATCAGCATGATTTATATATAAGAGCAGCAATCAAGTTAGGAAAATTTTCTATCCGTAATTATTTTGCTGGTTATGAATGTGACATGTGTTTTTCACCTTGCGTCTTTCCTAAAGGTTAATATCGCCAGTTGTATTTATTTTGTTGTAACACGGCGCAAAACAACACATAATAAGAAAATACCTTGTATGAAATCTAGCTAGACGTAAAATACAGGTGTTAGATACAACCATTTTAGATAGTTTTGATATCTAAATCTTGCACCATCCACTGCAACTGACCATACCTGGAGCTTGGGGAGAATTTTTGCAAGAATTAACAATCGATCCAAATGTTGAGCAACTTCAGAATCCGCGTCCAAACCAACCTGATATAGCATTTTGCACTCTGGTCGGTGTCGTTTGGTCCAATCCGTTTTCTGCATACGAGTACTTAAGAGATGCTAATACTTTATCTATCTTAATTCGAAGAACTTCAACAACACAACCAAACTTTCCTATCGAGTAGACATCGAATGCATGATAGTTCTGTGCAGCGCTTAAACCTTCGGCAGAATATAACCATGATAATAACAGTCTGCCTTTTTTAAAAAGCGATTCGGCTGTCCTGCGGCTCATTGTTAAGTATCTGCAGCATATTAAAGTGTATTGTACCTGGCATTTGATGGAACAGTAATGAGCGAAATAACATCCTGAACATTTTTTCAGGATTATGTCCGCTGGTTTGTGGAGGGCCCCTGGGGAGAAGCAGTGATAACAATGGAAATGGCTCTTCGAAGCTAAAATACAATACACCCATGGCTCGCTACGGAAAACCACATCGCCAGCTTGGTATGACTTGGTGTGAACCGCCATGCACCAATGCTACAGATTTGTATTTCATCAACTCGGTAAACCTGGCGAAAGTAAATGAACGCTCACTGTGTGTGTTGCAGTAACAATTAATAATTTTCTATACATGTAAATGTATAAGATAACTTTGCAAGATTCTGTGTATTCCGTGTATAAGTGTTTTGCTTAACGTAGAAGTTGTTTAAGTACGTCTATAAGGATCAGGACGAGGAAAACCAGCCTTTGCGGATCTGAAACTCATCGTCAAATATAGATAGTACAGTATGTAGTATAGTATATTCCGTATATATATAAGTACATCTATGCGACGTGCATTCATATTGTAGGAAATGCCTGTCGATCAGGCGCGGTTTCTAATGACATATCATTCTAAAATTAGAATCTTTCTATGTTATTTACATCGGACTTACCAAATGCAACAAACTGTAATGCCCACCAAACTATTTTTTTCCTGCAGATCATGCTGTTTATAACGTAATGTATTTTAATTAATTAAAAAATTTAATTTTAATTTTTTATAACGTAATATACTTTTTATAACGTAATGTATTTTGATTTTAAAAATGTTAGTTACAAATTCCATCGTTAACGACACCGCCGCTTATAGCTTTTTCAGTGATCAAGACTTACAAAACTTTGGGTAAACTGGAAACATACGTATAAACCCAAACGAGAAATTCTTTGCAAGCGCAATTTCAAGGGTTACTCCACATTGCTTTTGCCGTTTTCGGTAATTCACACAAATTTGTTATGATTCTAGCTTTTCCTAAAGATCTAAACGGTCGACTCCAATGGTAAAATAATTTCAGTTGCAATGTAAGCGAACGGTATTACGACCGTACTAACAGATCAGGTTTTCAGAATTAATTGAAGCTGTATAGTCTTAAACGCATTTTTGCAGTACTCTAAAAAATGGCAGGCCGACGTCATTTTGATAAAATATCACTACTCCTTGTCACTCTAATAGGTCATGTCGCTAAAAACCAGCGAAGCTAGCTCAAACGTGCTGCTACCGCCTGACTGCCTTCGTTGTTCAACAGTGTCAAGGCACTTCAGATTCCAAATTATTATTAATACTTCTGCTCATATGCTTTTGAAAATGTCTCCGTATGATTACAAAACCAAAGGAAAGTCTGCCTCCAACGTCATCGATGCATTCGATTTACGTCGGCCACTCTTGAACGGCTCTGATCGCAGTTTTCCCAGTTAGCTAGCTGCAGGCCACTGCCGCTCTCTCTCTCTCATACAAACATATATGCCACATTTATCCATGACTTAAAAAAACAGACTTCTCATATCGAAATCCAATACGTTATGCGCACAATCTTCCCACAGCCTTCATCATAAATCCCGGCCGACCGCTCTTCTGCAGCATAGCGGGTATGTCCAGGGTCTGTGTGGATTGTAGAGCACAGAAAGCGAGCATCATGTATGTACAATATGCATGGCGTCACAACGAAAGAAAACGCCCAGTTGTTTTAACCAGTTATTCGATATTATAACCGAATGATAAGGGAATTCTTCAGCGGTCCTTTGTGAGTCTTGTTAAACACTGGACGGAAAAATATGTGACATCCGCGCGCCAGCGCGCATCACGTCGTAACACTATCCATTCGATCCAGGCAACCCGGGCTAAGAATAGATTAGCTCGTGCCATTACAATGTTGTGTTTACTCTGGCTACAATAAAATGCGGCTAAAAAAACCAGTCGATTGTTAGCAGGAGCGCGTGTGTCCTTCATGTTTATCATCGCACGGCGCTATAGACAAGACACGTCGCGCGTATTAAACGGTGACACTTTCTCGTACCCTGCATAGATAAGAGTAATCGGAAGACATCGCGGTTAAGTACTTTAATTACCGATCTGAAGATCGAACAGCGAAATTGTCTTCATGCTTATTTATCATTTTAACCTTCTTTCATAAATTCATGACTATATTTTTGATATGACCGTGCACAGGATATAATAAAATTCAGGAAAAAACTGTTGCCAATAATGCTGTATTTTATGTTCCCGCCGTCGCCGGCTTACAATTAAATGCAGATGTCGATATGTTATCGATTGCTGTCTAATTACAACCGTGCTATATCACAAACTCGAGATCCACTATTCCAGTCTAATTGGGATGACAAAGATAAATTCTTCTATTTTTACGAGATGCGTGACTGTGTATGATGAAACTTTATTTTCAATTTTAACAGATTATCGTTGATTATTTCAACCGGCCTGTCTTCGATGGCCGTAGACACTCGAAACCAGTTACACCTTAATTTGCTCCATTATTTGCAACCGCTCAGAGACAGTTTAATCAACCATTTGACATTTATTAATCAGGTTCATCTATCATTTCTACAATTACTGTGATTAAATTGCACCCTACTCGTTAGCGACCTTTCCAGAAGGTAAATTCGCCGGTTTACGCTGTATGCATAGCGCGGTTTATGCTATATGCATCGCTCTCCTCAGTGATTGCTGCGAAGCTATGTTTGCATTTCTACGCATTTAATTTCCTATGCACACGCATCGTGCACACGTTTAATGCATATCATTGCTGCAAATCGCTTTTTAAGATACGTATTTTGGAGAGACATTTTAGTTAGGTAAAACCACATTATACCGTTGGCTTCGGTGGTAAACAGTTGAGTTTGCGTAAATAATTTAAACGTGCGGGAAAGCTAATAAATACATAAAGATACTGGCAATTTTCGTTATGCAACAAAAATCTCATCAGTGCAGTTGGCATATACTGCATGCATCGTTGCGAATAAAACGAACTCCGGTTTAAGGTTGCTCTGCGCGTTTTTGCGTTGCGCCACCTTTATAAACATTTTCTTGGCATATTTGTCAGGAATTAGCAGTTCTTGAACACCTTGCCGAAGTGGGTGTTCGGAATTCACACCATCTCACAAGTGTTTGCGACATTTATCTTACCGCAGTTTATTGTTATCCTTCAGTGAAGTACGTATTTGTCAACACATTTGCGGATATTGTCTCTTAAGCATCGAACTTCATGGCGACAATGCACAATCCCGCGGTTGCGTCAGCGTTGACGAGTATTAAAAAAGTTCACTAACCTGGTGAAAAGTTCACTCGATCCAGCGCGACTTCTATTCGTATTAGCAGTTTGCCAGTATCACAGCTAATGACGCAGCAGTGTGCATGTCCAGCCAACCGCTCGACTTATTATACAATATTACATGTACATATATCGTACGCATCCAGAATCCGACTCCGTACAGTACTTGAGATCTACGCTACACACTGGAACAGTGCCGCCAGCGAAACGCACGGCTAACCCAGGTGGCGATTGCTGTGTTGGAACGCTGCTGTGTGTGTATAAGCATGTATGAATTAGTGTTAGAATGTCTCTCGTTCCTGTCAACAGCACATCCTAACGTTTATCTACGTGATAATTAGTTGTTAAAAGTGCAAAACGGCGCCGCAGACAACACAGGAAGTTCTTTAAAGGAAATTGTGTTATGATCGATTTTAAAGCTAACCGACCCGAGCAGGGCGCTGTTGTATACTCCCAGTTATCCGAAGCCGTTGCTGCGCATGTACAAATTGCTGCCTGCACTTCCTGTCTGCCTATTAATACAATCTTAGGACTCGAATTTGATTTCAGCTGACCGCTGACGAGCTGCATAATGCACAACAATGTCCAAGCAGTGTCCCTGAAATAATTGCATTTATTTAGCGTTTTGCTTGCTTTTTGTTCAAGTATTTTGTCTTTGCTTTATTTTCCATTCACGTCATGGATGTTATTTTAATATGGCCTTGGATAACAGAATAGTTGCACTGGAAAATCGGATTTTTTCGGTGACCTTTACTGATCCCAATGTACTGTCCCCTAGGAGGAGTATCGTTTGTTTATTCAATATATCCAGTAAGTGAATTACAGTGCTCCTTTAGTTTCCCTATATTGCACAAACCAAGATGTGCTATAATTATATACTACTGTAATTTGTCTGGTTATGCCTAACGAGCACCCTTTTTTTAAGAGCATAATACACAACCGTGAACAGATGCACCCGATCCCAAGGCATGATTTCGTGCGCTCGCCTAGCGAGCACAAGCGGATACAGATTTCGAGCACCCAGCGGATCGCTTGGCGAATACGCAAAACTGTTTGATTCAAAATGGCTATAACTTTATTCTGCCATTATGCGCGACAACTTCTTTGGTATAAAAAATCTTCCCAAACGTTTCTTCATCTTTTGACGCTTTGGTTGACAGATCTCATGAATCAGATCCTGTTATAACAAAAGATTTCATCCAAAACCAGATCCTGTTAAAACAGGATCAAGTTCTGGATGAAGTCTGCGAACCAATGCGTTAAAAGATGAGGAAAATTGTGGGAAGATTTTTGATACCAAAGAAGTTGTCGCGCATAATGGCAGTATAAAGTTATATCCAATTTGAATCAAACAGTTTTGCGTATTCGCCAAGCGATCCGCTGGGTGCTCGAAATCTGTATCCGTTTGTGCTCGCTAGGCGAGCGCACGAAATCATGCTTTGGGATCGGGGCACTGTTTTATTACTCAAGATTGCACAGGGAAATGGCCGCTTTACTACTCGCACAAAATTCTGTTAATAAAATCTGTAGTTGCTTGCGACCTAATTGGACAAATTCCTAAGCTCCAATTGTTCACGGGCAGCTGCTTTGCCACTAGAAATCACTTAAGAAAATTCTTTAGCAAACAAGGTATCAGTCCTTGCACATATGCTTCTTGGCCGCACTTAAAAACCACCAGCTAGATATCCGGGCTAAGGATTGCTTAAGGAGTGCTGATTTTGGCGTATTAACGGTATGCACTGTGCCTCAGTGACAGCTGGTGAACAGTGCCGGAAGGTGCCCGAAAAAATCAGCATTCTTTTTTTCAAGTAATCCCTGCTGAGAAGTTCTAACAAATGCCTTGTAAAATTTGAAAACGAATATCTATCTGTGTTGCATAAGGAAAAACTACATCCGTGTATAAATGCGCCGGCATTTGTGTATATACGACACAGGCCGATTCTCTGAAAGCATATTCGTATGATTTTTATAAACGCTAATGAAACTCATTCTTATCCGACATGTTCCAGTATGTTTTAAATGTTTGACTGATCCTTAATCAGTCACAGCTTTATCATTTGGCATCCGTGCGGAAACGTTGCTCCATATACTGGGCCTAAGGAAAAAAAGACTCGCTCGACAGAGAGAAGCGACATGAGAAGCAGCATCCTTTTGTGGTAGATGTGAGAAATTTTCAAGCGCCTGACGCTATGGTTCATTGCATTTTCATTGAAACCACAAAAATGCAATGAAATCCAAATAGTCTCATATCTAGTGTGTGCAACCGCACCATACTGTCAGCTGGAAAGAAATATGGTGGGAAATGGATCCTAAGCAAACTCTTGATTTCTTCCCGCTAATAGCACCCAAAAGTGCCGTTGCACAATTTTTTTGCCGGTTATGCGTAACAGTGTGTATACTTACGTTATATGAGTGTATGCATATAAGGCGCTATACATGTCAGTATGAAAAGATGGCTAATTTTATTTTTATGCCATTAAATACTCCATTGATGGGCTGCATCAAGGGAATATCTTTCGCGTGGAGTTGGATTGGCATGTGGCAGCAGCTTAAACCTGCGTTAACTCAAAATAATTGATGGCATTTTGATGAGATGAAAGGGAAAAATTTGGCTGTGCTTGTGTGTTTAATACAACGCGGGAGTTGTGTATGTTGCAAAACACGTTGGCCTTTTCCCTTCTAATTTCTTAAGCTCAAATCGGCTTCCACTTGATTCAGCTTTAAGCGAGATTAAATTTAAAGACACAGCAGGGGTAAACGACTAAACAGCTACGTTGATTGTTCTGGCTGCGAGAGATTTTTTCGCCCACGATGCTAAAGCAAGTGCCACATCAATCGTACACTTACGGTCACAAACGCTTTTAACAGCAGCAGAGTATTCATCATTCATCCCTTTTATTGAAGTACGAAATTTAGGGACTTCACTAATGAGGATCATAATCATGTTCACAGCTCTCTAATATCCTACCATTTCTGTTATTCTAATCAATATTCGTAAGTTATTTACTTGATCCTTCTTACACAACAATACTTCACAGCTTTACTGTAATGGCGCTAAAATCTAAGAGCGAAAAGGATGTTACTGTGGTTGAAATTGTCATTTCTTTTATTCATTTAAGTAATCGTCCCAATTTCATGGTTCAGGCCATGGCAAGTTTGATAAATATTGCAGCCGTACTTGCTTAATTTTAGTGGATGCAGTGTAATCAACAAAAAGTGCATTACCATACATGTTGAGCAAACAGTAATCACACTAAGTCTTTATTTATTGTTCGCTTGTTTTGTGTCCAAACTGTTTGACCGACTAAAATAGTACTGCACAGCATTCGAATTTTACTGACTCCTTCTTGTCATGATCATAAGGTTCCTGCACTGTCAGGACTTTTATACAATAAAGAATAGCAACTATAACATTTCCGTTAACGTTTGAAGGAATGCCTTCCGGGCCATTAGTGACACTTTTCAATAGCTCTTAAGCACGTTGGTCAGCATAAATCCCGCGGATGTAAAGTGGTCGTTATGAAATAAAAAGGCCGTTTGCTCGTCTTTGTGGGCCTATTTTGCAGCGATTAGTTAATTACTATTCGCCTATCGATCTGCTCTTTCCCCAAATCAGATCAGCTATAACACTCTGATCCCAGACTGCTGTGTATATGCGCGCCGGCTGTGAACAGCGGCGTGCACTGACACTGCATTCTGCATCCTTTCCGGCCTGGACACCCACAAGTACTCAAGTACAATACCGGAGAAGCCTGGAGCAGCCGGCTTGTTACGTACCCCATCCAGATCCTTAGCGAAATATTTTTGCTCGGCAGAGATTTTCCTATTGACCGGAATTGCTCCATCATGCAAAATTGCAAAATGGATCTATAAAAATTCTGGAATGTCGACCGCATAAAACCGCTAACGTTAGGCAAAACACTTTTATGCATGTGTATACTCATAACAATTTGCACCATTCTGCTGTTTTTCAAAAGAACCATTTGAGTGTTTAGTGTAACTGTAAGGTGGCAATAAGATTTGCAAACCATAAAACCATGAAAATTTAAATTTCAGAAAATCAGCACGCTGAGCTTTAATTTTGCTACCTCAAGGCAAGGAAGGCTCAAGGTATATATCGACGTATACGACGTTGTTGGTCTCTGGGCACAGACTTGACGCAAACATTTCGTACCATTTTTTGTTAAGTCATTTCATTATCTGTCAGATTTGTCTTTTGTATTGGTACTTCTACTGCTAATTGTTGAGTAATTTTCTGTCGTGCAACTCGTGTAAACCATTCACACATAGACCCGTACGAAAATCGAATGAAGCAAATACTTACTGGTACAATACACTATATTAAGTTTACTTCAGGCCGAAGCATTGTGTATTAAGTACGGTTACAGTCAAAGGAAAACTGGAATACTATCAATATTAATGCGTTGCAGCTACAGTAGGTGAGCAAAAAACACCTTTCATTTCATATTTTACTGCACGTGCTCGTACATGCAGTAGATACTAGATATATTATTGTATTTGCCTTTTTATGGAAACCAACCGGCTTCCATTTGGTATTTGCTGCCTTTTTCTTGTAAAAAAATTTTGATCCATGCTAAATGGTCTAAGTGGATTTGTTGGCTATTGGGAATAGCGAATTACTGTCTTCTACTCTGTAGCCTACGAATCCTGTCAACATTCCCCAGAGAAAAGCATGATTTGGCGTCCAAAGTAAACCGATTGCCCTATTAAAGGGCATCATGCAGCAAGGAAGTCAATGAGTATTAACTATGCTGTTAAAAAATGTCGACATCCGTTTATTTTTACCTACAGTAACCACATTACTTGCCCAATTTCAGAAAGAGGTTTGGCCAAAAAAATTAAAATTGCAGTCTATTAAGTTGTTCTTTATAGCTTTATCATTGGATAGGAAAAATGCTGCTAATTGGATACGCTGGTCGGTACAGCTTGTGCAGATGGCTAATTTTAAGCGAATAAAGAATGTGCCCCAGGATTGAAGTAGAATGGCATAGATTTCACTGGTGTCATGTATACATGTTGACTGTTTTTTCAGCATCTTCGACTTTACTCCTAACTGAAGCGTTTTTGTTATAACTGAACCGTTTTTAAAATAACAAACCGCATGCGTGGTGAACTAGAGTTTCCGTTTAAGCAAACAGCTTAAAATTCCAGACTAAAATTTTTCTGGTAGGTATATTTTGGTATGTTTTCCGCCGCTCAGCACGCGTTGTCTTTAGACCTAACTTTCGCTTTGGTCAAGACGCATCTTCGTAGTATAGTATGATAGTATCAGTGTGCTGCATCGGAAACTGAGAATATAGCTGATTATATTGATTCTGACACCAATCATTTGACAAGCCGGCAACTTTAGATGAATACCCGTCCAAACCGTAAAGTGACCCAGCTAAATGCCTCCAATGTAATCAGTTTTTCTGTATATATCCACGTACTGTAATCCGGTCTTTTATTTGGTTCGTATGTTCTAAAAATTATTCTTTTGATATGCCAATGTCTGGTGTATGCACACATTATGCGATTTCCCGTTGGATAGCGATATAAGGAAGCGCTTATAAAATTGTGATTTTGTGTTGGCTGTATGTATGCTGACGTTGCTCTTGTCGAAATTGCGCTTCGTGTACGCACTATGCAGCTTGCTTAATTATCTTTCATGTTTTTAGATTAATTAAAATAATAATTCTGATTCATAATAATAATAACAATAATAATAATAATAATTCTCGCCCATTACTTAATGGACCCGCCTGTTTTGCAGCCAGTAAAGCGTGGACACTAAATGCAGCAGGATGCTCAAGTCGCGCAGGCGTTTGTTATCGCACGGCGCCTTCACTGGAGTGATTGATATATTATGTCGGCATTTATTATTTCTACTCTTCTTTCCTGTAATAATTCTCAGCCAGAAAGATCCTCTCGTAGTCCAAACCACTCAAGGATCAGTCCGAGGCTTTACGGCCACATCGCCTCATGGGAAGCAGGTTGATGCCTTTCTTGGAATTCCCTATGCTCAGCCTCCAGTTGGAGATCTCAGATTCCGCCCTTCAGTGCCTAAAGAGCCCTGGCAAGGTATGTAGCGGAAGAGGTTGTCGGTGATAATTTCCGGCACGGATTTGTTTGCTATGTATGCTAGCATCAGGCAATTGCAAAATTGCCACTTAGTCGACATTCGAATGTAAATAATGCTAATGGACGCGATTTTTTTGGTATGGTAGGCAAATGCCTGCCTGTATGTAGTTTTGATACTAAGTTACTAACACAATATATTATTACTGAGGGCATATGCATATTGTACAAATTTCACGAAATAGTTTGAGTAAATTTTGCAGATAGCCCAGCTTATGCAACATGTAGGGTGGAATATGATTCCTTACGATTTTCAGAAATTGATATTCCTTGCATTGCTAAACATCTTAACAGTTTTTTTACTTATTCATATGTTATATGTGAAACGTTTGTACGGTACTACCGTGTATAACAAAGAGAAATGCAAAAATCTCAGCTGCACTATGGCGCACTTGATCGAGTTTATGCAACAACTATTTTTACAAAATGTAAATTTTTCTGTTTTTACAGTAATCTACACATTATTAGTCTTTTTTTGTCATACTTAAAAAAATTATCTTCGCTCCTGGCTTCACTTCATATAACTGTTTGTTTCAAATCTTCTGCTGTTTCCGTTGAAAGGTGCTAAATGCTAATGTCTGCAAGCCTGCAGAGGAACATTAAACTAACGGGATGAATGACTATAGCTGTGTAAGCCTGTGTTCGAGTTCATAAAGTATGGCACTAATTCCTATATCTTTCTGTATGCTTTCTAGCGACCATCCCTGGACGCGTAATGAAACATGACGTTTTTGCTTATTTGTCGTGATATAAGCCATCCTGTCAAGTCAAATTATAGAATTTGTGCTCACACAGGCACAAAGTGGGGCTTATTTACGAATTTTGTAATTAACCTAATGCGCTAAGTTATTAGAGCTGCTTGTTCTCGTGAGACATGTATCGAGACTTTATACGGGCCGCTTGGTTGGCTTTTATATGACTGCAGTTTTTTTGTAGGCATTATTAATACAACAAAGCTTCCGAATTCCTGTTATCAGCAGAATGATACCGCGTTTGGTGATTTCATCGGTGCAGTAATGTGGAATCCTAACACTCCGATTAGCGAAGATTGCTTGTATATAAACTTGTGGATACCACGACCTCGCCCTACCAATGCTGTGGTAATGGTGTGGATTTATGGAGGAGGATTTATGACGTAAGAGAGAAAATCCATCGAGTTTTACCATCTCGACGCTAGCTAGCATCCGTGCAATTAATTATACAATACCCCTCATAGTTCATTTGGAGAAATGGAATAATTACAGTCATGAAGTATATTAAAATAACTTAAGATGGAAATCTTGCGGTTAAGATAGCTGACGCTACCACTGCGATTGTAGTTATACCACTGACCATAAGACTAACTGTCAGTAGTTATGTTTCACGGAAGCGCGTGATAGCATTTTGAAAAGGATGGCAGATGTTGTTACATTGATTAAATTCGCACTGGTTACACTCGTAGTTGCCCGCACCGTCAAATGCGTTACGCAGCTTTACACCATGACGAACAGTCTTTAATTTTTTAATTGATACCAGTGCCTGTACCGACATTCATCTGTCATTGCTGTCATTTATAAACCTTGGCATTTGGTAAGTGACGACGGTTATGCGAGCAGCCGGGCGTGGGTTAACAGCATTTACCAGTTCTTCAGCGCGATGACAGGACAAGACATATCATCTATTCTTGTAACCCGAAGAACTGGAGAAAAAAACCGCTGCAGTTCTCGTTTGCTCCTTGTTGGCCAGATGATCCAGATCCAATATCATTTTCGTGCGTAAACGAGATGGCGTGTTATAATAACGACCAGTACCCTAATCCTGCTGACGACATAACGACGCGATCAAAGCAGTTGCAAAATGCTGTCACTGAAATGAGCAAAAATCGTGTCGGCATCTTCCAAAATGCCAATCAGCCCTTCAGAGTACCTTCACAGCTGAAAACAACAGAAAGTTTTTAGTACGTTAAATATCGATACAGCAAAAACAACACAAATCGCAAAACTTCGCTGTACAACTCAGATGGTCAATAAACAAATTATACGTACGTACGTCAGCGCGGTCAGTTGAAACTTTACCAACAGCCTAATACTTATCAAAAAGTCACAAAGCCTCTATTATGCCAGAAATTTTCGGAAAGATATGAAAATTAACCAAAACATATTACACGTCGCCATCCACACCTTAACGCTATGTGGGCGAGATAAAAGTACGCTAAAACTTAACTGTATAGGTATCTGCGCGAAGGCGCTGTGATCTCTGTAGCATATAGTCATATACTGTAGCGTTTAAGTATTTGCAGGGGTACTGCAACTCTGGACGAATACGATGGCTCAATATTAGCCGCCGAAGAAAATGTCATTGTCGTATCGTTTCAATACCGTGTTGGTTCACTGGGCTTCATGTACTTTGGAACGGATGACATGCCGGGGAATGCCGGCCTCTGGGATCAGGTGCTGGCACTGCGCTGGTTAAAGGAAAATGTCAAGGCATTCGGAGGCAATCCCAACAATGTGACGATATTTGGGGAAAGTGCCGGGGCCTCCAGTGTCTCTCTGCATCTGCTGGCACCGCCGTCTCGCGATCTGTTTAACCAAGCTATTATGGAGAGTGGATCGGCAACATGTCCCTGGGCCACAGTGACACCGGAAGAGGCTCTTAGGCGCTCTCTTAAGCTGACCAAGATTTTAGGCTGCCGGAAAGATCCGGTCACACAGAATCTCGCCCTTATTACTGAATGTTTGAGAAAACTTGCTCCCATTGAGTTTGCCATGTACGAGTTGGATGTCACCGGTGGACTTCTGGAATTCCCCTTTGTAGCTGTCATCGATGGGGATTTTTTACCCCAACGTCCCGAAACCATTCTACGCAATGGGCAATATAAACGCTGTAACGTTCTATTGGGGAGTAATTCAGAGGAAGGTAAGAATATGTCATAAAATGTTCGCTGAGCTGTTGCACGGTTTTTCCTCACCGCTGAATTAACAGGAAGGGCGTATGATTAACATAGAAACAACTCAGACAAGTCAATTACAGTAAACCACTAACCTCTATAAAAAGCATAGTAGTAATAGATGATCACCAGTGACCAAAAAAGATCAACTAATACGGAAAAGTGTTGGATCATATGTTTGCTGCTTTTTTGCAGGATCCTTTTTTATGAACTACCATTTCAAAAATTTCCAAACAACCGGCGAAGACGTATCTCTCAGTCATGAAGAGCTAATCAATGCCTACGAAAATGCCTTTTATAACTTTAGCCGGATTGCCAAAGACGCCATTATTTTTCAGTATACCGACTGGATCCATCCTAATGATCCAACGAACAACGTAAATTTGTTGGATAAAGCCATAGGAGATTACTTTTTTACCTGTAATGTCAACGAAGTGGCAATGGTGTACGCAACCGGAGGGCAAAACGTTTATATGTATTTATTCAATCACCGATCATCAAACATGGCTTGGCCAAAATGGCTGGGCGTACCACATGGATACGAAATCGAATACCTTTTTGGTTTGCCACTGGATCCGGCAAGGTCATACACAAAAGCCGAAGCCGACCTTGCACGGAGAATGATGGCTCACTGGGCAAACTTTGCCAAGACGGGGTAAGTCCAAAAACACTATTCTCAAGCATAATGCTCGATGACCTTTCCGGGAGTACGAGGGCTTTATATTCGAAGCTGCATGAATAGTTGAACACGCCACGCTACATGCAAGATTTCTTATCTGTTTGTGTTTTTCCCAGGAATCCAAGTTTTAGAGAAGGTGGAGGTTTCGCTAAACATTCCTGGCCGGTGTTTACCAGCCACGGAAAGGAATATATGCCTCTAAATGTTAAAGAACCCGTTATTGGACGAGGACATCGTGCAACACAATGTGCCTTTTGGAAACTTTATATGCCGCAGCTGATGTCCATGACAGGTAACTCATAAATGGGAAGTGCGGCCGAACGTGTAACACTTGATCATGAAGAGCTTATTGTAAAATAACGCGGGCAGGACGGTTGCATACTAACACAAAAAATCTGAGATCCAAATTCCAAATATTCAGGACAACGTTCACAATTTTCGCAACCACATGGCACGATTTTTAGATTTTGGCAGTTGCATTTCTTAATAAAAAAAATTTGAAAAGGTCATTATCGGATTTCAGTGCATATACGCGTACTTATCAACACAATGTTGCTTACAATTAGAGCTGCGTACGCAAACCAATAAGACATGCCTCCTCTGTACCTGTAATGGAAGCCTTGCTTTTCACTTTTATTCGATCACTTTTATCTTCATATTGAGTCCAAACAGTGCAGGAATATTTTTAAACCAAAGAGACTCAATGTTTTTCTATCTTTTGTGAAACAGACCTTTCTCCACAGCTAGTTTAATCGTGCGTTCCGTCATTCTCGATTAAACACCCTGCTACTGATTATTCTTTGGTTATACCCTTAAGCTTATCGAAGATTACTGACACCCCTAATGCAATATGTCCGTCTCCCCCTGCGTTACCCGCCTGAGTCATCCTGTTCCTGTTCATTTACGTTTTTAACGTTTTTTCCGTTTCTTAAGTTTGTTTTTGTTTGATGCAGCTAATATTGACGAAGTGGAAGCGCAATGGAAGCTGCAGTTTCATGAATGGAACACGAAATACATTGTGGACTGGAAGGCGCAGTTTGACCGCTATGTTCGTCATGCTCGAAAGCTACAGTCTCACAAACTGTTCGGACATGAGGAGCTGTAGATGCGCCTGTAATCTGATAATTATAATAAACAACGATACAATACTATGTTAAACGTGTCTGATTTTTGGGTATGTGTAATTACAGTAACCAAGATGTCCTGCCCGCTATAACTGCTTATGTTGCTTTTGTAATTTCTTGGTAGAAATGCATATACCGCATATCGGGATTGATGCACATTTGGTTTCTGATTTTATTATTGCGTTAGAAAAAGATATTACATTCATCGTATATGGCACACTGATGTATCGCGATGTTCCCTATGAAAACAACTTTTGTGAATTTTTATTATTTGTTGTGTTGCATTATTGCCTTTTCTGTAGCTTGTGGTTTGTAAAAGCTTAAAGTAATAAACAATAATATACCATTAATATCGACACACGAACTTCACCATATTTCTACGGAAGAATATTTTTGTGTCTAGAACGCGTTTGCCGGCGTCGTAGACCTGGCAGTGGGACGGCCAGTCTGTGGATGCTGTCACAGTCTCTCTCACGGGTACCAGTTCTAGTTTGCATTGCTGCCTTCCTCTGGATGACGATGATTTGAAAACCTGCACTGACCTGGTGATGCTCGCATTTTTTGTGAAAGTGTATTTCCGGGACAGACGGCCAGCAAACACTATCCAAGTTTTGGCCGGATTTGTTAATTAAAAGGACCAATGCGCGGACTTATGTATGTACTCGTACCTCTAATTATTTTCAACCGTTAACCGGTGTCTTCTAAGATGCGCGCAAACTGAATGGTGGTTTTGTTATTGCAGTATATATCAGCCATTACACAACTACTCTGTTTAGTTAATGCTATAATGAGAGATGCGTGAGCGTGATGAATTTATGTTGAGTTTATATTAATTATTTCTTGTCTTTGATAGAACGACGCGTAACTGCATTTATAAGTGAAATTGACAGTGTAACGGTCCCGATGAACGTAGAAACATTCGGAAATAAACAAAAAATCCCGTAAGAATTGTTCATGGATGCAGATCACTTGCTTTATGCAGAAGTTTACGAGACGCTTCCAGAGTATTTGTATACTTTGCAAACTCTGTTTTCCACAAATCATGGTCTCTTTTCCAGTCCTGGAATTCTATCTTCCATTCGTCGTCCACATCTAGTACATCAGGTTCGGCCTCATGTACTTTACTCTCTTCGTAATGATTTGTCTGCCCACTCGAACAGGAAGCTCTGGCGTCAACTACGGTATAATGCAGGAATTGTTACTGGTAAAGGTAACATTTAGCGGCATTTAAGAAATTTGACCAAGACCTTCATGAAACTGTGGAATCAAAAAGCGCAAAGAATAGTGAAGGGCGCAGTACGGTCTGGGACTGTTAGGAGAGTGAAAAGTTAGTGGAGCATCATTGACATACAATGAATGTTAAAATATTCAGATTTCTAGCAACAGGATAACTGAGCGACTTACCGGCTGCCACTTCCATTTCCTGCAACGTTTTTGTTAAATGGGGAAGGTACTGCTTCCAAAACGCACAGTACTGCGCCCGGAGACCATGCCTGACCTTTTGGCTGTCTTCAAAAATTTGCAGATATTCTTTGCCGTTTGCAGTATAGACCGGCCAGAATCGCTTAGAAAACTGCCCGTTTGGAAGCAAACTGGGATTGCTGAAGCAAAGGGGTCTTTACGGAGTCGTCACTAATTCTACATCTTTCTAGCGGTGTTTGAAATTTAAAGTAATTTCCATTAAAGTACGTACAAGTACATACCCGGTTCTGGCAAAGTTTGCCCAGTAGCTCATGACGCTTTTCGCCAGATTCTGCTCAGACGAGCTGAAATTCAGTTTTTCGTTTAGAGGATGACCAAACACATAATCCATCTCGTGAGTGTGTTGTGATCCCATCCAGTGAGGCCATGGCGAATTACTAGACCGATGGGAGAATTCGTACAAGAACACGCCTGCGCCACTAAAAAAGAAGACCGTATGGCGTATATAAGACCGTATGGCGTACAGACTGTATATAACTATTAGCATGCATAATATACCGTAATAAGCAAGTTCATAAGTACTAGTTATTGTAAAAGCAGTAGTTCCAAACCTTTAGACATATTACTGTGCTTACTTTGTGTAGTAACTCCGTATAGAATAAACCATGCAATACGAAAGTATATGCTTTCCGTCTATTGCAAATTACAGCGAGAATGCGCAAAAAGAAACGCGATTTCAGTACTTGCTATTTAGTTGAAGAATTGCAGTTATACTCACCTGGCTGCGTACGCTTGCGCCAGTTGATTGACCTCGCAGGTAATACACTTGTCCCCTATGATTTTCTCCAGGTTCTCAACCAAACTGGAGGTTTCATCCGGAGATATCCAGTTAGTATACTGGAATATCAGCGCCTCCGTCGCAGTGGTGCTCATATTGGGAAACAGTTTAAAGATGACGTCTTTGAAATCCGACCGCTTTATTGTCATTTCGACTTGGTACAGTTGGAAGAGTTCGGGAAACATGTACATCAGGAACGCTGTGCCCTCGTTTGCCGTAACTCCCAGCATTATATTGGTTTTTTTAAACTGCTGGTATCGCAGAGTGGACATTGGATCTCTGGTCAGAAAATCTCCATCCACTACCGGGATGAAATAATAATCAAAAAGATTGCCGGTGGCCGGGATGTCGTCGATTAACGTCTGTGCTTCAATTTGCCGGAGGCAGTGCACAGCATGCTCTACCGATTCGGTTTGGCAGTCCAGGCGATGGGCGAAGTCTGCGGAACGGTTCAGAGCTGTCGCGGTGGAAACATGTGCCCAGTCGGCTGTTGGACTTCCGCTCTGGAGAACGGCCTGCATGAACAAATCCGATGATAAATTGGACATGAGGTGTAGTCCCACGCAGGCGGCACCGGCACTCTCCCCGAACAGCGTGACATATTTTGCATGACCGCCAAAATGTTCAATATTCTGTTGGATCCACTTTAAAGCCAGCAGCTGATCAAATAAGCCTTGATTACCCGGAGCTTCTTCCGTACCAAAATACAAAAACCCAAATGGACCCAGGCGATACTGCATGGAAACAAATATCACGTTCTCTTCGCTGGCTAAAATAGAACCGTTGTAGATATCCAACGTAATGGACCCTCTGTAATCGCAAATTCTCTATCAGCCATTTTCGTGCTAAATTGCACCTGTGTTTCATGTATGGTTTCCGGAAGTTTTGTATAAGATGCAGTATGCGTGTTTCCCGTGTTAACTTCAATAATTAAATTGTTATAAAGGGCATCATTTAACCACTTCATTTTTAATTTGCAGGTTTTAAGCATATTTATGTATTTTGCACTATGCCGAACAAAAGTCTTACTAAATACTTATTAAATACGAACAGTACTGGTGGCCTAATCAGGAAGTCCAGGAAGCGTTCAGTTTTCGTTGAAATAGCGATGGCTTTGAAAAGAACTTAATAAAACCAAATATATAGTAAAAGTCAAATTAAAATAGCGCTGGAATTCAAAACTTTGTATTTACTGCAATTTTAGCTTAACATGCCATTAAAAAACTGCGTTGCTGTCGAAAGAAAGTTTTATTTCAAGAGTACTGGATAGCGAACATATAAACGATACAATTACGCAATATTTATGCAAAAATTAAAAAAGCTTTTTCTCCCAGTGGATATTTTAGGGTTTTGGCCTTTATTAATGTTATCTATGATAATAATGCTCATGACCCGTCTCTGTAAGTGTTTACATCCGAATTTACAATGTTCTTTTTTTGTTTACATGATCAATTCACATTATTATTACGCATATTTCAGTCTAATATATTATGTTATTATTACTATGCATACTCACGCAAAAAATCCACCACCAAAAATCCAAACGAGTACTGGTGCGTTTGTTGGCCGCGGTCTTGGAACCCATATGTTCAGATACAGGCAGTCTTCACTCAGTGGTGTATTAGCATTCCACTTGGTAGCGCCAACAAAATCTCCCAAATATGTGTCTATCAACTGCATGCAGGAATTCGGTTGATTCCACGCGTCGTATATTCCTCGAGAATAATAATTATAATTAAAAACTAACTTGTTCGTAATTATTGAGGTAAACATACATCTGTAGGAAAGACTTTACGGTGATTCGCAACCACGCCGAAACTTTAGTTCGAGCTCGTAACCTCCGAACATTATATCAAGTTACCTTCCCATGGCTTCTTCGGAACCGGCTTCTTAAATCGTAGAGGACCAACAGGTGGCTCGGCAAAGGGCACCCCTAAGTAGACATCCACAGACTTCCCATTGGCTGTCGTTACAGTTCGTCCTCGCACGTATCCTAGTGTTGTGTTGACTAAGGTCAAATCCTCCACAGTATGGACTTCCGGGATGACTTCGTTTTCATCCACCGTTCTTTCTGGCCTTGCGGTACGGTTATCATTAACGCCATCCTCCACAAAAATGTCCGTTTCATTAGCCACATCGCTGCTAATGGTAAGTTTCACCAGGATTACCAGCAACCAGAAAGACAGCCTCGACATGGTAGGTTCATGTTGCACTTCACATAAGTGCCGAAGGTGTCGATTGTGCAAGACAGCCGGCGCTGGTGATAATAAAAGGTTTTTCCACTCCGAACCATTTTCCAAAAGTTCGATAGTTTGTACCATATAATACGTTGAGGGTGCTGGTTATAGCGATCTTTTAAGTATCTGCCTGCCGAATCAGCTTAGCGATGATCCATCGTAAAACTAATGGTGAATGAAAGATGCCATGAACACATGCGCCCTTGCCTTTCTGCTTGAGAGCCGTTGCGCGGAATATTGATCCTAAAATTTGGTAAATTTCTGCAGGCTGTCCGCGACTGTAACCATTTTTGCCATCCATGCTCACATTTTCTAGGTAGTTAGCAAATAGAACCATAAACCAAGAAGTACCATAAACTTTTAGCCAATATTTCGCGTGACTGCGTGAGTTTCCTTCTAGAATTGTATTAAGACGCGTGAAAATCACGTATTTGCTGTACTTATTACGTATGTCCAGTTGTCGATCTTATACAAATTGTTTGCTCGAGGAGAGCAGTAGATACTTTTTCATAAAAATATACATTTTATCCACAAGCTGTAGGACTACAACTTTGTGAATTTGATTTATAGGTAGATTTATAGGTTTCTTAGGGTTAACTGGTGGTCTGGTACTTATTAAATATGCATTTAGCCGCTTCAGTGTATGTTTCAGGTTTCCTGTAGCGGTTAAGGTGGTTGCGCTTACTCTGTATATTCCTTATATAAATTTGGGTATATTAGTGAATGTCATCGTAATTCTGCAAGAAAATAAGCTCAGCTTGGCTGTACAAGTTCATCACGGCATGGCAGTTGATTCGTCAGGACATACCGTTGCAGTTTTACATGTAATGCAGTTTTTGTTAGAGCTGGTTGGCGCAATATCTGATGTGCTGTAATTATTGGCTTGGACATATACCGTATATTATCCAAGTCAGAAAGGTAACCTTTCTGAAGGGTCACCAACGGATTCCTGAATCGCTCCTTCTCACATTATTTGCAAATTGCTTATACGGTATACGTACTCGTGCATGGAAAAATTAGTCTTAATTATAAGCTTACCCTGTGTTTCCCTTGAGCTAACCATAAGTAGTTTTCCGTAATTTTTCGGTAATCTGTAGTCTACAGATACTAGTGTAAGAGTACTCAGTTTCCATTTCAACAGAACTAGTAATAACTGCATGCACTGACAAATGCGCTAAGTAGTTCGAATTACAGTAATTTACATACTTTACTCAATTTATCGTTCTCTTATCCGCATTACTTTCGTACACGTCCGGTAGAATTAAAACCTATTTTTTTCAGGTTATCCGGTATAACCGCTACGTTGTGCTAATGCCAATGTGACAACGTTGCTTTTGTGAACGGGTTGCTGCAATTTACAAGTAATTACGGAACAATTTTAACTTCGAAAAACCTTTTAACTTCGAATTTGGGCGCTGACAGCAAGTGAATAACGCTCGTGGTTGATGAAAGCCAATTACTAATTTTCTCATTTGCTGCAAATTAAAATACCTACTCAGACAAAAAAAAGCTTGGGCAACGTTATAAAATTAGTTTCTTTGTCCATCTGATTAACTGGAGCCAGAATACATTGACATGCATCTATGCGCTTTACTTATGTGAAAGTTATAGCTGTAATACGGCACTGTAGAGTTTGCAGATGTATTGTACATGTATTGTATGTCGCACGAGTACTAGTACTGCATATTGCAAATGCTGTTTTTGCTGGTACTTAGTTTTTAATGCACTAACTTATTTAAGATGACAGTTATTTACTCTTTGGCGCCAGCGAAAATACCCTTTGAGGGCGTACTGCAGATATATACGATCATGTTGGTTGTCCAGTCAATGGCAATCAGCATTTGGCTTCGTACGGCAGAACATTTTCCCATAATAAACAAAACAGCAGACAGGTTCATAAAAATCATTGTGTAATAAGAATCGCAATATTGTAGATTGGTACGGGCATATACTCGCACAATAACAGCAATATGTAGCATTAGCCTGCAGCTAACCTAAATATGACGCTTCGCCACTAGAATGTTCACGCACTGCTCGGAAAGTAAATCGATGAAACCGGCTTTAAATTACATGTACTGTGTTGTGAAAGATAGGCCAAAAATAATTATGCTGATGTAGACTCTCGATTATGACCGGATTTTAGGTTTACCTACCTATATGGGCTTCCTATCAACGCTAAGACTTGAACCTTAAGGTAAGACGGAGAATCAAAGTAGATGTACCAGATGTCTAAGTGAAAACTATATCCTAAATCGTCTACTTGTACATGTCAAGAGCGCTCGTGCACTTATTATGACCACCGATGTCGTCTGTTATCCTTAAGTTTTCTTTTTGGGTACTCACAATCAGCACAATTCAGAAGCTGGTCAAGCACACGCTCTGTTACTACAAAACATTTCCGGGGATACAACGGACTCGCACTGTTTGTGTGCTCTTAATTAATTAATGTTTTCTTCTCCACAAAAACATATTTGGATCTAAACTTCCTAGACAAAGATGCGGACGTTTAAAATATGTCCTCCAGCCGGTTTATGGGTGGGGAAAAACGATGATGGCGGAAATGATACGTTCTTTTCACCAGAGTATGGGAATCACAACTTTAGCAGATGGTGTCTAATGTGGGATTATAATCATCCTGGAACACACTTGTTCTGGCTCGATACCATTGGCTATCCTATTTTGTTGGCTCTCTGTACATTTGGAAATGTGCTTAATTTATTAGTGTTTTCCTGTGCGGAACGTCCAAAATCATCGAAAAATATTTACTTAGCGGGGATTGCGGTATCTAATTTCATCTACATGTAAGTATCTAGATTGCTACGTAATAATATGTAAATTTAAAAGCTTGAGTTAGCAATTCAGATACGTTATGGTGCGAAATTAAGTTATTGTGTCGTGGTTACCTCTGCGAATCGGCGTATATCAGTGCCACTTATGCCATACATTTGTAGCCCAAGTTCTTAATCCAACAAAGATTTCAACAATGGCTTCATTAAGCCTACGTAATATTTTCTCTAGTACATAACATATGTACATAAATTTTGCTGGTGATTTGCTCATGAAGTCAGGTGATTTATTCTTATCCCGATAATATTTAACTCAAGACAGATTGTAGTACCTTTCATAAATTAATCTTGAGAAAGTCCAAAGATCGCCAATCCACAAAATGTTTTTTATTTCTTCTGAGCCTTTTCGACTTGTAATATACCAGTGGAAATCGGAAAGGTGCGTTTAACGGGCATCACTATAATAATACAGATATGAAATGACCATGTTGATCACATAGTAACTTGATACATTGTTTGGTGACGAAATCTGACCCTTGCTTGGTTAGATTACTTATTGTTTTAAAACCTGAAACAGGGTGTTGTACAATACTCACGCCGGTACGTTATTAATTGATTTTTCGGTAGCGCAAACAAAAATCTGAGGATAGAGGCCGAAGGTTATGTAACCTTGTTCACACCGCTTCGTTTTAACAGGGACAAAGATAAAAAAAGAAAGTTAGCGGCTGTTGTACCATTTATTAACAAGCATCACTTATTAGATCGTGCACCCTGTGACTGTTTAGTGCTCTCGGATTGAGAATTATACTAGAACAGTAATTTGAAACTTGTCAAAATGTAGGCGTTGTACTGTAAACCTGTACTTCTATAATGATTAACTGTACATATAATTGCCCCCCATTACAGAAAATAGCTATACAATGGTACAAATATAAACTAAACTGTGCTTCTACAGTTCTACCTAAGTACGAGGTAACTGCATGTAGACAGTTTTGAATGAAATACACGTAATTTCAGCTTATATTGTTATTCGCCGCAAATTCAGAAATGCAAAGTAAGCCAGAGTTAGGTAAGTTTTCAAGGAAATAAACTGATTTTGACCATCGATTTCAAATAATAATAATTAATTCACTAAAGCTTAATGTCAATCATATAAAATAATTCCAAATAGCATCGCACGATGCTTCTCCTGTTGCGCAAATCCCTATTAAGAATATCAAGTTCTACTGGGTAAGTGGTCGGGAAATTTCGATTTTAAATTCAGCTTGGTAAAAAGCAGGAATCTAAAAAGTGCATCATTGGTAATGGGTTTCTTTACCGTAATTCGTGCAAAATGCTACTTTTAACTGTCATAAGAAATACCGAACGTCAATTTTAGCGGCCAAAATTTCTCATGGTAACTAGCGTGAATTTTAGCGGCCAAAATTTCTCAAGCCTTATTTAACATTGCCTTCTGATTATGTTCGCAACAGGTGGTCGCAGATGCCGTTGTATTTGCACAACAACTATGAAAATGTACGGAACACCGAATCCTTCCGTATATTCTTCTGGCGAAGCGAAGGCATTTGGAAATTCCTGATAAATCTCTTTGTGACTATATCTGATTGGTAACTATAATAAATGTTAGAGGTTTCAACACAAAAAACTACGGTATTTGTATTGTGATTCATTCATGTCATTCGTTAAACTGACAATTGAGAATGTCATTGCTATGAACAATGGTTTGTATTGCAACAGGGTCCTCATAGTATTTTCATTTGAAAGAATGATATCGGTTTGTTCTCCGGGATCATATGCCAATCGAAGCGATAACGGCATCAGGAAATCATTTTTTGCTCTGACCGGTGTGTTCCTTGCCGCGTCGTTTTATAGTCTGTTCGACTTAATTGGATACTACTGGTTTTACTACCATTTATCTCCCGATCATGGAGCGGTTGATCGCTTGCCCACAAGCTTACAAATTTGGAGTCATATGCAGCAGTTAGCCATTGTAAGTAAAATTATGTACGCGTATTAATTGCTAATGTGAATTAATTTTTGTGAGCAAAATGCGTCTTGCAGACGTTGCGTGCTGCCGTAATTATCGTTAACATTAACAGGATTGTTTTAACTAAACAAAAGACTCTGTTCTGATTTCAGGTGTGTGTACCAATCGGCACCTACATCCTTGTCGTAATCATAAATCTACTCGTAATTATGTTTTCCCTTGTGCGAAGGAAACGGTATCGCGCTGCGTTAGCCATTAGCCGGGATAGTTTATCCGGTGACCTTACTCGCATCGCCATTGCCAGTTTCTTACTGTACCTGCTGTGCATACTGCCAATGTTTGATCTGGATATTTTGTCTTTGTTACACGCATTTCATCTATACGACATGCCGCTCACTTCCCGCATGTATCAGATATGGTATCCCATTGCACTTTACATCCTAAATGTCAATTATTCTGTGAACTTCCTCATTTATCTGGCGGTAAGTCCGCACTTCCGCCGTGCCTTGAGCAGAATTTTCTTCTGCAAAAGATTTCATGAAGGGAGTTTAACTGGGCGACCCATACTGGCATTTCCAGACCGCAGTAATTCACCTGACTCTGGAGTATTTATTAGAAGTGGGGCGTTCCATTCCAGTATTGAGGATATTTGAACACAGCAACTGTTGTACAATTAAAGCATATAAATATGCCCGAAAAAGTTCTTCAACAAAATTTTGGCCGGGTTATATTATTTGCACAGATCTTTAAGGTGGAAAGATAAAAGCAATAAATTGAAATAGCCATCACTGCTGGAACTTGGTAATTCTTGTGCTCTGGGAAAAAATATTACAGAGTATCGATTGTACTCGTAATTCTGAACCAAAATTCACAAGTTCTCATGAAAATATTTTGGAGTTAACAGTACAAGCAAAACGTCATGAGTATCCATTGATCTTGTTAGTTTCTTGTCTTACAATTTCAACCCATTCCCCAAGTAACAAAACCATTAAAACAAAATACAATAAACGGCCACAGTTACAGAGCAAACAAACGAGAACTAAAAAAGAATTAAAACTATTAAAAATACAAACAAAAACTATTCATAAAAAGATATAACATACAGATCACAACAGCAAGTATCAATAAAAATTAAAATTGTTAAAAAGAACGAACAAACAAACCAGTGTTTTCCAATCAAAAATACCCAACACCATGAAACGATTACAAACAACGGGTATTAGACAAAACAAAATTAAGACCAGAAAAGCAAACCGGAACATGAAATCACCTTAAACCGATCCATTCTGGAACCCAATATTCGGACAAATTCGTCATCGATGCAAGGACCGAGCCGGGTCGGGGCCAGTCCGCAAAGTAAATAACATTTGATGCATTGGAAAGGTATCCGGCAAAAAAAGAAAATGTTCCATAGCTCAGAATCAAATGATTGGACCTACTCAGAATGTTCAGATCAACTTCAGCACTTTCATTCACCACTTCCATTAGTCGAAAAGGAAGGTTTTCCTTCGCCCATTCAGGATCGTTGGTGCAAACAAGATAAAATGGATCAACTATACCTTTCTCGAAAAGATATCGGTTGGCATTTTCATAAAATACTGCAGGAATTTCCACATGCCCAACTTTTAGATGGTATGAAGTCAAAACATCTCCGCGCCGAATATGAACTCCAACAACTGGTCTTGAACGGTTCTCATGCGAAGCCAGTTTCTACAACATCAATCGGACAAAAATAACACATGTCTACAAAATAAATGAATAAGCCAGATTTTAAGCAAATACAACAGATGTCATTGCAAAATTCATCCAACACAGTCACCACAAGAAAACAGATACCGACACTATAAATACTGCTTTTCACTCTTCACTACTGGCATGAAAACTTCTTCTTACCTCTGACATTTCATTTAAAATGCGGGTTCGAACGGCATCAGCTCTATCCAGAACATCTTGTTTAAAACGAAACTGATGCCGAATAGCTTCACGATAATGCGGATGAAAATACTTCCAAGACTGCAGATACCCCCATACCGAAACATTTCTTATTGTTGTTTGCGAAAACAAGTTTTCGGACCGTGAGTCGTAAAAGCAGCATTCCTCCATACCAAACACCAGGTTTTTGCAGTCACTAAGATCAAATTGTCCGACAACACTGGTACTAACATGCATAATATCGTGTAGGGTATTGCGAGAAATTGCCAGACGGAGATCGTTTCTGGCGGCGATTCCCCATAACGACGCGTATATAAACAGTTTGTTTCCCAGTCCGATTCCGGGATGAAAATTATGGGAAATATAAAACCCTTCAGTGGATGAATGCACCAAAGAATAGTCGGCTGCCGCTGGCATGCCTTCTCTAGAAAACAACAACCAAACTACATTATTAATTTACGAGAATTACTGATCTACAGTTATTGTTAGTTAAGTACTATTAAGCACATAATTTTACAGAGAGTTAGGCATATCAGAGATGAACATGTACGATGCACTAAATACCTTTAACCCCGTTATTCTGTATTACAATATTAAACCACTAGAGCCGTAACTGCGAAACAAATTTTACCTCTAACGACTTCACGAGTAAGTTTTGGTCATTTCCATATATAACTTAACTAGGTGCATGGGAATACAGAGTACATGCACGTATTATACTTCAATTTCTACCGATGTACTCACGCAAAATCCAGACATTTCCAGCGGTTGATATTCCATTCCCTCAATCGGATCACACGGTAAACAGCTTCCCAACTAATGAACGTAGCAAAATACAATATCAACAGAATCGCGACCAGCCAACCCATCACTGCAAAGCACTTCGGTCATTTTTCGGAATTTATGCCAGTAAGAGCCACAAGCCGCTGCTGTCCATGGAGAGGAAACGAATAAAGAAATATTCACCGCACTCAAGATTTTCTTACCTTTTCTAAACCCTTTAGCATACAGCACCCTGCCGAGGCCTAAACAAAACATAGAATAATTTCAACTAAAAGTAAAAACTCTTATTACAGTACATGATTACAGTAGCGTAAGTATCAGGTCAGATTCATTTGTGTTAGCACGGAGCAGATTAGAGAAAAGGTACAAAGATTATAATTTAATATAGATACAAATCTTTGCCACTCTGCATTCTACGAAGCTGGAGAGAGCTCCTAATATTTTTTACTGATTTTATCAATTTTAGCTGCAATACGCAGCAATAGCTTAATTTCAAGCCGCATACCTTTGTATTGTACGGTACCTTTTTGCATACTATCTGCCGTTGTTGCGCGCAGAAACGCAGGCATTTCTTTCAGTCGCTTTCATACGCCACAAGCGAAAGGCGCGACCGCAGCAGCAGCAGGAAGAAACGGGAGTTTGTCGGGGCGATCTAACGCAAGCAGCTGCAGATGCCTAAGTTATCTTCTCTCTTTCCTCAAACAACATTTGCAAAGGCATAGTCACAACTTCCGCCTAGGTACACAGCACACTACAGATACTGCTTTGAAGTATGAATGTTTTCCCTAATTGATGAACAACTTTCAAGTTGCGTACGAGTCTGAAGGATTAGAGAATCAGTACTGTCATACAAGGAGTGCAAAATTAAGGTAAACATAAGTTCACCAGTACATAAAACACACTTTAAAAAAATAAAACACGAAACTTACAAAACATTCCACTGATTGTTCCATACGAAATCATTATTCTCGAAAAAAGTTCAAAATTGCTAGTACGTACTGTAATCAAAAAACGAGGTAGCTACTCCTTCTTTCACCGACAAAGCGCCGGCAGTTACTTTAGCGACTCTACTGGCTCATTTAGTCACTGGCGTTCCTGTGGCGTAAAACTGGATTCCGGCGTTTTGCGCTAAAGTACTGTAGTACAAGATTTCAGTTTTTCATTAAATCTTAAGTCATAAGTTGGTTTGTCCCGATTTCTTCGAACAATATTGTTGATCCTGGTTTTATTTGGTTTGATTCACCACTGCAAACTGCTTCTTCACACCATGGTAAGCGTGACTAGAGATTTTCGATATAGAAATGAAAATTGTTTCGGATTGCAGACGGAGACCCAGGAAGAACCCGAAGTTAATCCCAAAGCATACCCTTTGGCTGATCCTTCCCTGACCAACAAAGTGATGAACCTCTGCCAACAGTCGGTCAATTATAAACAGCTGAAAAAAGGAGCAAACGAAGGTATAGTATAATATCAGTTTTGCGTTGATTTCTTGCTGTGGTTGCGCATTTACGATACATACAGAACTGAGAACCTTGTCCGTATTCTGCAGCTACGAAGGCGCTCAATCGCGGCATTGCGGCTTTAATCGTTCTGGCAGCCGATGCGCAGCCCCTGGAGATCTTGCTGCATCTTCCTCTGCTCTGCGAAGACAAGAATGTGCCCTATATTTTCGTCCGGTCGAAAGGTGCTCTGGGCCGAGCGTGCGGCGTTTCGCGGCCGGTTATCGCCTGCTCTATCCTGGCCAACGAGGGTTCCCAGCTGAAGGCGCAGATTGCCGATCTGCAACAGCAGATTGAAAGACTTCTCATCTAAACTAATTCGTATGTGGAATTTACCGTATGAAACAATTCCAGGGATGCCATTAGTTTTATCTCCAGTTATGCATAAACAACTGTTTCGTGTCGTGCGTATTAGCCGGGTTTTATGATTTACTGTAAGTGTATTATATCTTTATTTGTTATTGTTCTTGTTTGTGTACAAACTTAAAGAATAATGAAAAACGTAACTGAAGTATACGTACATTACGTTGTTTTGAGATATCCATCAGCTCAAGTAAAAGTTGCCCTCTAACCAATAACCATGATTATAGCTGACCCGAATTCTTAATCACTACTTTCGCCGCTGTAAGTTTTGAAATGACTTTATAAATTATACTGAAATAAGAAAGCGTTGTAGCCTTCTTTGATTTCCTTCTTTACTGGTTTAGTACGAAAATACACAAACATATGTTCGAGTATGTGTATCTTTGTAATTGCAGTAGCATATTAAACAATGTTCGGGTGAAACATCAAACAAGGCAATCACCAAAAAATTCTTAGCCTCTTGAAGTTGTTTTCGTCATAGACCACAGTCAATAGGCCGTTTCACATAACTTGTAATTCATTTGGTAACAAAAGCACAAATATTCAAACCAGATTAATCATTACTAAACTTGTACGAGCTTTAGCATAACATAATTCTACCTGTCATTAGAAAACAAAAAAAAGCCACCTCAGTACGAAGTTACAAACTCCGCCGAAGTGCCCGACTATGCTGTTGCATTTGACCAGAAACAACAACTCGGTAGCAATCAACATGATATTTACAGTGCATTTTACACTAATCAACGAAAAGCGTTCAACAAATCCAAAGAAGAACGTCGCTCACGAGTGGATCGAGATTTTGAGAAAATATTCCAAAACCGTAATGTTTCATCGCCAGCTCCTGTCACAATTGACTCTCCATCAGGTGACATCGCCTATATCAATTCCAAAGATTATCGAAAAGCACCGCGAAAAAAATTCCTAACCTTTTATCGTTGCTTACCAAATACAGAACGCGATATGTATGACCAATCAATTTGGCGATCTGCGTTAGCGATGGATACTTCCACAGGAGGATTTGATTCTGTGAGTAACCATGTGTGCTAACCAGCTCCGATGCATGCTTGGACCAGGCTAAATTACACACTTGTGATCCGGTATCTACCGCCTGAAGTGCCTGCCCCGTCAGCGTGTTCCAAAATCTTATGTACCGATCCGCAGTACCACCCCCGCTTGCCAGTAAACCATGATGATGCGGAGACCACGCGATGGCTTTGACAGCTGCTTGGTGATCAGTATAAGTCTGCACGGGCTGAGATTCAGTGCCAGCGTTATGGGCCCAGACAAGCAGCTTATTATCATTTCCACCGGATGCCAGGTACATATGGTCCGGAGACCACTTCAGTCCACATACCTATTTAAAAAAAACCATGCATTTCACCTATGCCACACAAATGAGGATAGTTTCATTTTTTTCGAGAGCTTATTTGGTTCGAAGCCTAACATACTCTGATCCTAGCACCTGGGAAATACCCGTGCATCAATTACAACGTCCTAATGATAATAAATAACCAAATCAATATCATGACCTGTTGTGTATTTATCTCTCGCAAAGCGAAAAAAACGATCAACGTGCGTCTTAAGCTAATCGCAACATTATCATGTACAGTATCGCGCAAAACTGATAAACTGCTGATCTACACAGATACGAGTAAGATATCTTACTACAAATTTGTATAACATACTTACTAACCTCTTGTTTATGGCCATTGAATTTACGTCTGGCAAACAAAGGAGGGGTTCGCATATCATTAAGCCATATTATCCGATCACGGCTCCCCGAAGCTAAAACGTCGCTATTCCAAGCCAGAGCACCTGCGAAAACACCAAAATCACGCAAAAGCAAGCACAAAGGTTTCGATAACAATATCACTCCCTAGTCCCTATCGAACACAAGCAGTGTCTCAGCTTGTGAGCTAGTGCACCAGAGTTTATAATTATACTTACTGCAGCTTCTTGTTAAGCCTACTTGAAACAGTGGACAGAACATACCAACTCGAGCCGTATGGGTGCTCAGACTAGAAGTTCGTTCTTGATGAACTGCATCCCAAATCTGAATTTGTCCACGATTCGTACCAACGGCAACCAGGTTTCCTCTTTCTGACCAACTGACAGAAGTTATCGTGTTGTTGTCATTATGAAAATCACAGAGCCGCGTAACCTGAAAAAAATGTTTGTACAAATGAACATGGCAAAAAAGTGTTACTTAACTGCATAAACGGCAAAGGCGTCAGTGATAATTAAAAAGCGAGACATACTGAGCTGTTGCTGGCACTCCATAAATACACAGAAGTCCCCAATCCAACCGCCAGCACATTGGAATGGGACCAGTCGACAAGATTCAAATAGAAATCGTCTTGCAACTCAGGTGCATCCAGCACTTTGTACGGAACTTTAGGAATTTTTCTTCCGACCTGAAAAACAATGCCTTGCGGATCTTAAGCAACAACCAGAGCAGAATTGTGGTCTCAAACCTTGCGAGGCTGTCTCAGCATCTGGCAACTTTTTTCACTCAAAGGAGAAAGAGAGAACGGTGACGTGCTTGCCAGCAGACGGTCCGACGGCTTCTTTGGCGAATACTACAATCAAAGTACGAAAATATTTAGTTATGCTCGTATATACTAGATACCAAAAATAAAGACATCGCACACACGTGTAAATTTATGATTATCAATATCTGTTCAATTTGCAAAAATGGAGCAACTCAAACCAAAACAGCCAAATTTAAAATTACTGCCCAAACAGCAACTTGGCGCAATCTTCAATTCAGTAAACATCAGTATCCATCGAAGTTGCCGTGTTGCGCAATATTTATTATGTAAGCTAATAAGTAAGTAATTCAAAATCAATACCAGTGGAAGCACAAAATTTTGCAAAACCAGAACTGAAACTGCCGTAACCAGCTACCCCGTCGATCGCAACATACCGTAAAAACATTTCTTTTGGAGCTTTTTGTCGGAGTCAACGGAGCGATGCCAATAGTCGAACTGGAGTGCAAAGACGAGCTGGAAGTGCTGACAGCGGAAATGCCATTTCCAGTATGCTGCAAGATTGCCCCTGAGCTCGGACAATTCTCTTGTCCGTAAGTATCATCCATAGCATCTGGCATATCTGCGCCCATAATTTCATTACGCAGAAGACGCTGGTACAGCTGCTGGCTAGCACCAAAGCCATCTTTGGAATCGTCACGACTGGTGGATGCAGCGTTTGTGGAGATTCTGGTCTGTTCATCGTAACGACAAGTATAGGCTATTCGCCACCGCCGAGGTTCTCGCTGGGGTATATAGCGATCCGGAGATTTCACTGGACTTGTGAAAGCCTTCTTTCGACGAAATGTTGGCTGCAAAACAATCAACTCATAAAGTAGAAATTAAAAGTAAAGTTAATACAAAGTAACGCCGATGGCGACCAGTTACAGTCTGTCACCTAGCTTGAGCTGCAAACTCTCCGATTTGGTTAGCGCAGCAATAGTTACTTTCCACAGTCAGTCAACTAATTATTTGCAAAAAGTTACCATATCGGTTCGATAACCTAAAGTGGGAGATTTGTATATCGTTACTAGTATATCTGTGTAACTTTGTTAAAGCACTAATAATCAGCACGAACCGAACTTGGAGGGGTGATCATTTCCATGTCCGCGGGTCGTTCACTTTCCTGGTTATTTGAAATAGCGTCATCCATGACGTTGGTCAAAATACCCACATCGACGAATCTCTTAAATTAGCTTCACAGGATAATTGTAAACACAAACTATAACTTTAAAAAATTAACGAATATTAATCAAACTAACGTGGAGCCAAAAAACGAAAAAACGGAGAACGAGTCAACGACATGTTGTGGACAGAAATGATTTTCCGTTTTTCTCTGGCTTGCTTTCCCTGAAGCAGGCTTTAGTGGTAATTCTAACGTAACTGCCACCTGTGTTGTATTCATAAGTATACAGGTCTATCATCACATCCGCCTCGTTTTTTTACGATGTTTAAAAAACTACCAGGTTAATTGCAGCATTCGGTAGAAAGTCCCAGTATGATACGGAATCAAAACATTTACTGAACTTGCAAAAATTTGTTTGTACTTTGTACTTCACCGCGAACGGTTTATATGTAGGGCAATAAAAAGTAAAAAATTATTGATCATCATGATCATGAGAAATGGTTCTAACTTTCATTCCGAATCGGTTTTGGTTACTGTACCATTTCTTTAACTGTTAATTTTGAATTTAAATGCCGTAATACGTGATTAAAAAAGATTTATTCGGTTTCTCTTGAAAATTAGTGATTTCGAAGTCGCATGCAGAAGGCCAGCGTTCGCGATCAGCTGGCTTCCCTGACAAGCTGGCATTGGAGCAGGTTCTGCACTTGGTGGCGGTGTCGTTTGGAGCTTAATTCGTTGCAGTTTGCTCTAAGTTTTGTTCCATCTAGACCAGTCCTGGATCCACTATGCAATATCACTGTCGAGACTGCCAAAAAGATTTCGGTGCAACGCTTGTGGTTGGTGCTCTTTAAATTAACATGTTGTGACTGTTGTCTCTTTTGGGCTCTCTCGGATCCCTTGTTAGTGGAAGGTTTTTAGTGGATAATTAAATAAACGATTTTGTAGCCAGAAGTTTACGATTTAAATGACTGTTTTCAGGTTTAATGAGAATTTTATGTTGTTCAGGATGGGAGCTGCCCGGACTGCTACAGCTCTGACGCTGTCGAACAACGAACATCGGTTCAAGAGGGTCAGTCCATTTCAGCCTGTTGATACTTTCACAGTGCAAACTCTGCAACACAAAATTTTAGTATTTGTTTTGCGGCAATATTTTATGCTCGCATGGCTTTTCGTAGGGGTTCCAATGCCGAAGGAGCCTGTAAGCGCACCCGCTGCGACCGGTTCGAGATTTCTGGTAAATGTCGGCAATGTGCATGCAGTAGGAGAACTATTGTAGCTGAATGCTTTATCGCTTGATATTTCAGGCTGCTATTTCCAGCCAAACGGGAAATGCATTGCAGCCGGTGATCAACCCATTGGCCTCTCCCATGGTTGCTGCACCGGCTCCGCCCGTGCATAATGGCCTGCACGCTGCAGGAAATCATTCTGCGCCAGATCTTCCAAAAATTGTCAGTGAAACGTTTTTTATGGTATTAGTGCAGTTTTCCAGGTCAGTGTTGTTAGGTTCCGAAGTATGCAATGCCAAAACTTCGCTCGACCCAGAGCACTACGTCGGTGCCTGTCAATACATCATTGCCTGTTCCATCGGGATCGCAGATTCTTCCTCAAACTTTTGTCGGTAATCGTTATACTGCTGATGGAGCTTCTTCTGCCACAGTGAGCCAGAATCCCAAGTTGGTGTTTGCTCGAGCTTTGGCGAAACCGCTTTTGCAGGCGCCAGGTATGGTTTCTGTATGCGTGTATCTGCTCGATAACGACCATTAATTTTTCTGGAGATCGAAATTTGGCCGTCTGAATCGCCTGGGTTCGCAGACTATTTGTTGCATTTTCACTATAGGGAAAGCAAACCCTTTTGCTCAGCTATTTACTGCCGTCGACCATTTGAGCCCGGAAGTTATGATTTGTTTGGATGCTTGCTCCGACCCTGTGCTCCTCAATGCACATGCAAATCTGATGGTAGGAAGTGGAACAGAAGTTTCTGGTACGAAACAGGAAGGGTTATTTTGTTTATTACTTTGTAGCAAAATACGATCGAAATCATGGATTCCATAAAGTTGCGGCTGGAAGAAAGGTAATTTGTAGTGCATCATACGGTCCTTGTATTGTGACATAATATTACTGGTACTACACCCATAGTGTGTTTAGTGTTATTATGATTGTGGTTATAAATTTAACTTTTGCCTTTTTCGTACTCCTGAGCATTTATCTTCGTATTAACAGTATTTTGACGCCTTTTTGCGTATGAATAGGCTTAAAGCAGTGCTCAAAACGGACATGAGTTTGTACGAAGCTGCTCACGGAAGAAAGCGGTCAGATTCTGGTGGCAGTTCGGTTTCGAGCAATCCTGTGACGGTTCACAGCAGTCGCCCTAAACGCATTATCAGGTGCATACATACATATGTTTGAAATCTCCACTCTGCCGCACTCATAAGCGTGTTTTTAAAGTTGACGCAGAAATAAACGTTTTGTTATTTTTCAGCACCATTGTGGCAAAAAAACTTCCTTCGAATATTACGGAAGCCGATTTGTTTGCGTATTTCAAAGATTTTTGTAAAGAGCGTTCTGAAATTCAGAATATTAACATCGCCAGAAATCCTCGAACCAGGGAGTGTAAAGGGTTTGCTTATGTCAAGTTAGCACGCACAGAGATCGTTCAGGAAATTTGCCGGAGGACAAGGCATAAAATCACAGTTGGGCAGTTTAATGGAGTCCAACACGAGATCCTGGTGGAACCATTCGACGAGGTTAGTGCAGCGTTTTCCCATTTTTAAGCCACGCTGTTAGCGCTACTTCGTATGCTGAGCACTCACTTCAGTGGAATATTTTATTCCAGCATTACTGAAATTTGTGCTGTTGTTTTCTGTTTATTTCTGTTTTCTTTTTCAGCTCGACCAGTATAAACGAAGATTGAAATATACAATTTTTATTGGTGGCGTGTCATCGTTCATGAGTGAAGAAGATTTTGTACGCATTATGACAGAAAAGTATGGAAAAGTAAGTAGATCGAACGGTCCCGGTATTATTGTGCAGTGGTTAGCAGTAAATAATGATCATTGTTTCAGATTGAGGACATTTACTATCATTCTAATGACATGAATCCTGGAACCGAAAATGGTTATGTAAAGCTGACATTCGCTGATCCTGAAATAAATAAAAAGCTGTTGGAAAATGGTACAATCGAAATTAACCGCAGAAAGGTACATAATACCGTAACGGTGGGGAATAAACATGCGTACAAGTATTGTCGAAGTTTGGACAACAAAAAATTTACTTGCATGTTAGAGTGCCGATTTTTGCACGTGTCTTACTGTTTGAGATTTTCTGTTCTTGCAGTTGCACTGTAAGCCTTGTGAAGATTCCCGGAAACACGCAGAAAATATGAAGAAAGAGCGTGGAGAAATCAACAAAAATGATAAAAAAATTGATAACGATAAGGAAAACAGCGAAGGCAAAAAGAAGGAGAAGAAACCTGACGAAGATGATAGTAAAGGAAAATGCTGTGTATGTAATGTTTTTGTTTTCATCGGTTATCCATTCTTGTTCTAGGATTTTTTTTTTACTAAAGCTCTTTTTAACTACCATTATCTAATATATATCTGAACCCTCGTGTGATTATATAGGTCTGTTTGGACGAAGACGTTTGCATGCTTTTCGTACCCTGCAATCACCTTTGCGTCTGCGAGGAATGCTCAAAAATGATGGATGATTGTCCATACTGCCGTGGTCGGATTACCAAGAAAAGCAAAGTCTTTATTCCTAACTGAATTTTGTGTTAAAATTTATATCTGCCAACAGTGAAATTATTACTTTTCTGCTGCTGTTTTTCCTTTTATTGTGATGCGCAGTATGCTGTGCGCCGGGTTGTGATGTCCTGATTGATAGTTTGTGATCTTCTAAAGATCGAAGAATGTTGTTTTGTTACGAGAGATTACTTAATTGTTTGGTGCACATAGTGGCATACGGACGGCTCTTCCTTAGGCTTTAAATTTGGTGATGTCATTTGCTCGATTTTTCTGGTGCGTTTTTCTCTGTATTCGTGTATAAAAAATTAAAAACACCTGGATGTTGCGCTGTGGGAAAACCCTCGTTTCGGAGGAGCTTGAATGTGAAAACTTCATAAAGCTTTCATCGAATTATGATTCGATCTGGAACATTTTAGAAACTAAACTACTACTGAAATTACTGATACGAAGTAAGTACAGTACGAGTAGCAGAAAACACCTGTAGTAGCAGGATCGTGCTCTAGGAGCACTTTTAATGTTCTATATAAGGAATTAATGGGCATTCCTTAATTTAATTTACTTTTGTACTACTACTCGATCAGTACGCAGTATACCAGAACCGTTGTCTGGTATACTCGTATACTACGTACTACCAGACAACGGTTCTGGTAGTACGTAAGTAGTATACCTCTACTAGAAGTTCCAATTTCGAAATGTTTCACTGAATTGTTTTAAAATAGAGCGTTCCAGGGATGTAGTAAGGTATTCAAATATCGATCGCGATCGTGATTCCCAGAAATTTTATACTTCTAGTTTGCTTACGCTTACCGGTAAGTGTATTTCGTTTTGAGCTTAACTTCGAATGCACAGCGGTTTGCGATATGAAGTACAAACTACAAAACACTACTTTGTTTTCGTTACAGCGCTACTCGTTCCCTAAATTTTGATAAAGAATTACCATGTAGGAACGCTCCTACATGAGAATTCTTTATCAACATTTAGGGAACGAGTTAACAAAGCGTAATGCAACAAGTGCGGTTGAAATAATTTCGATAGAAGAAACCAAAAACATTTTACCGGTATATACTTATCAGATTCACGTGTAACAAGATCTCGAAAACATGTATGAAGAAGCTGGATGCACATGCTACTAGTGGCGACATGCTTTATACATAATATCCATATATCTTCTTTGGTAGAATTGTGTCGAATCGATATCGCTACAATTATATTATACTTCAGATTTTAATTATGATAAAGTTTCGCTCATTATTTTATTTACATAGTCCAACAGCCAACAAGCTCCATTTTAATAAGAATTAATTATTGTCTCTCAGGCTTTGTATAAAACTATATTCCTGCAGTAGAGCGCTGCTTCGCATGTGTACGTACACGAATCACAAATTGTATATCTGTACTGTTGCAAATTTTCGCAGTAATTGTGACTGTACCTACATTTATTGAACATATTGTAGGTTCCTCTACGTAGGCTCATGTTTACAATAAGGTATACCAGGTCTAAACTTTGGCGAGATGGTACAATAAACACAGCATGAAAAAAGTGCAAATTAATAACTTGATTGGGTTGAGTGTGTCATGGTTGAAGTGAACTTTACTAATACATGCCCTGTGGGTGAATATCACGTCATGCTTTATATCATTGTGGACACATAATTAATGCAGCAAAGAAATGTCGGTAAATGCAGTGTCCGAAGAACAGTCGAAGCAGACACGTTGCCGTGCGGTCTGCATTTTGACAGGATATTCCAAAATGGTTTTATTTGTTTTGCTGGATTAATATGAATTACGTAACGATGTAAGGAATAACTAGGATGTCTGGAGCGGATCTTCTTGTTGCTATAAAGGTATTAGGATTTGCTGTGGATTGAGCGGGACCATATAAGGTAACTGTCGCTAACTGTATACACGTTACATAACACTGTGGCGTTGTTATTACAGACCTGTATGTCGGCAATTATTCTTGACAGGTTTTTTTTGTCATTTGCCCAGTAGAGATTTGTTCTTACAATGCTGCTATAAACTGCTATTTAGAGACTAACACTTATGTGGTGTAAAACAAATTACTAACAAATGCTTACGATAAAAGGTGATAAATATATAGTAAAGAAAGTGACAACGATAACGCGCTTGCCAGAAGGGTTTGCAACTGCCGCGCGGAACCCGTGTTGCGCATATGTCCCAGGTTTGAGAAGATACCTACCTGTTTTGGCTTCTTTCATATTTCGTAAAGACCGGCCTTTTACATTTGCAGCAGCTTTACTGTATATGCGATAACATTAAGCACAAACCTACTCAAATTCACCATTTGAGCGACGAATTCGTATTCGAGTACGTATATAGATATATGTATACTGTATACAAGAAAGTGCATTATTATTATGCACTGAAAGTTATGATTGTAGTTCTGAAGCAAGATAGTATGAATTATGATTTTAATTTCTATGACGAATTACAAATTTATTTTTGCTTCTTCGTTGCAGCGGCGTAGATTGCTTTATTTCGCTGATATTAGTTAAAATACAGCCACGAGTAGAATTTGGGTTTCTTTTTCTTAAAATCGGTTTCCAAATTGTTGAAATCTAGTAAGCGATATTTCAAAAAACCTTTGAAAAAAATCGAGGTTTTTCTAATCAGCTTAATTATTGGCTGCGTGAATTCACCATAATACTTTGTGTGTTTTCTTGGACACAATTTCATCGCAGCACTTTATTTAACACAAGCGTTTAACCACAGAACTGGCAGGTGTCGAGAACTACAAAATATACCACGAAATTCGGTCTGGCCTAATTCAATAGGCCAATAACTGGCTTTGAGTACTCGTATAAATTTTTACTTTTAGAATTAAACTACTAAGAATATATTATGTACATATGTCTAACGATATATGTCTAACGATAAACACGGTTCTGTTGTCATATGCTTACTTCGAAATAAATCTAAACAGTAACTAGACATTTAAATGTAAACCATCTTCCCTTAAAGCACAGAAACATCTCGCACATTTTGCTCGTGTTATAATTAAATCGAGCACTATTATTGTAGCTGCTTCTGTTTTAAACTCATGACAAATGACTAACGCTCATTATCCAAACACAGTGCTATGATTAACTCTCCGGTAGAATGAAAAAAGCATAGCTATAACTGATTCCCAACGAAATTGGTTGACATTTATGTGTACAAAAAAATCAGTTGTTATTTTGCCAAATCTGCAAAGATAAGATTCACATGGGTTTTGACAATGCGTACAGCAAGATCAATATTTATATTTTTCTACATATACGTAAGCAGCAATGGCGATCACGTAAGCTTGCGTTAAGGAGACAGACTTGCCGGTTTCCGTATAGGTAGCGGGTACGGGCCTACGGTACAGTCACCCAAACTAATGGCAAATTGGTGAACGAAATAATATATTGAATCGTATAGTTTGCCATAATATTAATATATGTGTTAATGTTTTCTCTTGTTACGTTCCGGTTACGGCATGACAATGTGCTCAAAAAGGTAGTCGAGCAGTAACAAGTTCGAAACGCATAAAGCGTGAATATGTTATTGCAGATATCTTGCTCGGTCCAGCAACTGTAGCTTATTAAACGCGGCATCGGCTTCCGTAGGCTCCAGCAATATTAATAGAAAGCAAGTAGGAGGATGTATTGTCAAGTTTAGGAATTGTGTCGACGAACCGCATTGCCGTGGAGAATCACATCAGTCGTAATTTTTGCGAGTAATATGATCTACAACTCTTCTGTATCTTGCTAATGCTTAAGTTTATGCTTTCTCAATACCTTTGGAACACTAATTAGTACACGAATCGTGGGTCATCTACAACAACTGCTAATTCATACGCTACGTGCTACGGTATTAATTAACGACTGCTTTATAAAAGGAATATAGATATATTCTGCATAAATCTGTACAACTACTTCGTACAAGCAGTTTTTCGGTAGAAACTTACGTTACTATGATGTTTGAATTTCCATTCACTAAAAACCTCGTAGATTTCGGAAACGACCGGAAATACCAGGCTTCGCGCTTTCTCGCGCTATAATTTTTTTCGGTGTGTGGCCATGCGTGCTGTGCAAGGACACCGTGCTTAAAATGGTCATTACGCATTCTGTCAAACGCTAGGGTAGTGAAAGTTGACCTAACCGTGGCGCGGTAGTCTTTAATTTGGAGCGTACGTGTTAATTTTCTGAGTGGAATTTGTGCTTGGATTCAGCAGAAACTACACAAGCAACAATAATATTCTGTTTTGGAACCAATGGCAGTGCACTTTTGCTGCATGATAACGTTTTCGTAGTTCTTTCTTGCCATTCTGTAAATATCGAATGTCCAGGCCAATGGAGTGTACTGGCTATTATTGATTTATGTACTTTTCATTATGTCCACGTAAGTATCATACCGGTATGTACTATAAGATCATGATGTCAGATTCGAAGGTATAATACAGAGCCTGGTACAGTACAGTCGTGAATTTAGAAACATTTATTAATTGCTTCATACAAATATTAGCAGACAGTACCTACTAGACTGACAAAAAGTGACAAAACTGTCGGTCAAATAACAGGTTTTTATTTTTAAATGATATTTTTGTAACAAAAGATAGCGAGATTTCAGGATTTTGCTTTTGAAAATATTCAAAGGCAAATAATATTATGAAATTTTGTTTTTGTAAAAAGAACATCCTCGTGTCATAAGAAGCTGACTATTTTATTTAGATTTGTCAGCTGCATCAAGAAACTTATAGGCTTCTTTTTTAATTTATACCGTTTGAAAACTTTGATTAAAAATCATGTTTTTTTGTAGGTTCCGATGGCACCCTTAAAGCCGGGAGGAATTTTTGGTTGTGGGTTACTTATTTTTGCCGTAAGAATTATATCATCGTAGTCTGCGTAAAAACGTGCAGTTAGTGGTAAGACAGTTTTGATGACTTACTTATGGCTAATATTAGCATTTATCTTATATCTGTTAAACTTTACGAAATAGGAATGGTACTTAACGATGCAGAAAACAGCGTTTGCTACTGCAGCACCAAAATTTATTATCATGTTCTTAATTAATCTGTTCTAAAAACATCTCCATGGCCAGGAGCTAAATCAAAGTAGATATAATGTAAATGATAAGCACTAATGCCTGTTTGCAATATACTTAGGTGCTACTGCACATAAAAAATGCGAACACCCAAGATCCCGCACCAAACGTCATTGATGCTTTGGCCGGGCTTAAAACGCAATTAAATACAGTCAACTCAACAGGTAAGGCGCTGATACAAATTAAGAAAGAAATGATTTCGTAACAAGTTTTGACTCATTTTCTCTATTGATTGCGCATCTGCTTTGTAGCCGACCTCCTGTGCGAGTCATCTCGAATGGTAGTGAATTTGACCTTTGCTAAGCCTTTTTTTGGGAAGATTTTCGCGGAAAATAATGATACTGACCAGCGCTGCTGGCTGCGTGGAACAGGGGCTAGGACTTACCAATACGCTATTCCTCTGAAAGAATGCGGCACTCGGCAGATTTCTTTACGGGAATTTGAGAATACACTACAGGTGCGATATGGTCCCAAAACCGATGAAATCCAACTGGAAGATGAACGAAAAACCATACTGTGCCGTTATCCACCACCTGTCGTTCCGCCAATCATCCCTCCGCCGCCGTAAGAACGAACGTTGACCGGTTTACACATGTGCCAAGCTTGTAATCGTTGTTACGCAAAAAACAGCCAAGCAAAAAAGAGCAAACACGATAAATTAATGCAACAATACTAAACTGCTGTAAAAAAAACTTCCTGGCAAAACCAGATGTAACAGTGTAGAGGTAATTTTGATATGGCTTACGATATAAGGAACATCATGCTGCTCGCACATATAACAAAGACGGAAACTGCTCCAACGTGGCCGTCTACAATGGCACCCATTTGAAAAGAGGTTTTTTATTGTAATCGGGTTTTTCCTAAATCAAGTGGTTGTGGGTTACTTATTTTTGCCGTAAGAATTATATCATCGTAGTCTGCGTAAAAACGTGCAGTTAGTGGTAAGACAGTTTTGATGACTTACTTATGGCTAATATTAGCATTTATCTTATATCTGTTAAACTTTACGAAATAGGAATCAAGTGGTATGTTTTATGCTCTTGTATAGGCCAGTTGCCGGAGCTCCTCCCATTGTTCCCAAAGCTTCCGTAAGTGAGCTGGAATTGCTCCTCATTATTGCAGCGGTGTTATTTCTCGGCTTACTACTCCTGGGACTATGCTGCGCCTGGTGGTGCTGCAAACGACGAGCAGCCGCAAAAGCGGTGGAAAGCGAAGGTGTCTTAATCGAAGCGCCGGATGTGATGAAGCTAGCTGGCACCACTGTTCCCTTCTTGGACATCCGCATTCCACGGGCCACCGCTTCTACCGCCGGTAGCGATGTTAGCGAATCCGCGCTGATCCAGCGGCTGGAAGAATCCGAGAATTTCCCTGTTGTGCCGCATGGCGAGAACGAAATTATGCGCATTCCTCACGTTACCCAGTTGAGCAAAGGTTACGAACTGCAGGAAGCCACCATGGTCATTCCCGCCGGGGGTGACAGACCATCGGAAGCATCGGAAGGCGGTATGGAAACCGAGATTGTGGAGGAGATTGAGCGAGGTCTGATTCCGCCCATTCCACTCCGACCGCCGTCTCCGCTGCAGAGAACGGAACTGGAGAGGGAAACTCGCACCGATCAGATAGAAACGGAGTTGGAGCATACATTGATCGCCGGGCGCCGGATGCAGAGGTTACCGTCCTCCGAACCGCCTCTTGATATGCGTAGTGTAACCGAGCTCAGCGAGGAAAGCATCACCCGGCGTACGGCTCTTCCCAAACCTCCACCAATTGTACCGAAGCTCCCACCCAAGATGAGTACGACTGAGCTGGAAACCGAAACACACTCGGTAACGGAGTCACTGGAAAATGAGCTGATTTTACGGGCTGTGCCAAAGAAGCAACCGAGAATGTTGCCGCCTATGCAGTGTAAGAAAAAGTAGTACCTAGTGGCTATTTTTCGCTGAATTATTTAAAATATGTCATAATATTACTAATCATATCAGTGTCAGACTTTATGTGCAAGCTTTGAGCACCAATAAATTTACGGAACATCCAATAAGAAGTTTCGCTTTCTGTTTTCCACAAAAATTAAACATATACCCACAAATTTTATATTGTTAAATGCCGTTTTATATCTAAAATTTCAGTGCCATTGGACTCGACCACAGAAACAACAGTAACCGAGGAAGTCCGGGAGAGGATATACCCCGCACGTGGTGATACCACGACGACCACATTGACCGAAAGGTCAAGAATCGCCGGTCCACAAGATGTTACAACGGTTACAACAACCACAGACGAAACAAGAATTTTAGAGAAACTGGAACAACCGCCGGTTCCACCGCCCCCACTATCCACTACAACGAGAAATGTAAAGGAAACCAACGTTCGGCGAATATTCGATATCTACGCCGACCGACCACCGCCCACCATGTCGCCTGCTCGACCACCTGAGACTACTACAACACACACTACTACCACGGATATTCGTAGGAGAGAAATTGGTGTGCCATTCAATGTTCCGCCAGGTAAATATCTTGCGCAACTTTGGATTCTTTATAACAGCCTAAAACAAATCGTAAAATCACGGAAATAGCGCTGTAAACTACGCTTGCACTATTAGTAAAGAATGAGTAAACTGGTCACAACCTGCGCGTGAGTTACCGGTGAGACTAAAGCAACACAATGTGCTGATGGTATGTAATTGGTGAAATTATTTTTAGCGCCAGTAACAACCACCACGACGACAAAGGAAACTGACATACGACGAGAATACGAATACGCTGCCCCACCACCGCCACCAGTGACGACGACTCAGACCACCACTGAAACAAATATACACCGCGATTACATGTTAGCACAAGGGGCACCACCGATACGTTATGCTCCCTCCACCAGAGAAACGTCCACGTCGTTTATCAGCGAAGAGCATCGTATTCCCCCGCGTCCAGTCTATGGTCCGGGTGAGAATCGTCGAACGATAACGACCAAAAGAATTTTTGCTTAATGTAAACATTTTCATTTACCTACATTTAACATTTCCAGATACCACTACCAAAACCACTACCACAACGGAAGAGAATATCCACCGAGAATTCGATGCCTACACATCCCGAACAATGCCTCCGCCAATGGGCCCGTTGTCGTCGACTTTCAGAACAGTCCAACATCAACGATTCGGCCGCCGACCTTTTCCTCTGGAGCAAGGTAGTCTGCAGTTGTGGAATGTTGTCTGAAACGATTGTTCATATTGGCGTATTTTTTAATAGATACCAACGCAGTGCTTCGCGATACCTCAGCGTACGCAACTAGTCATACCGAAGACTTTAGAGAGGAAACTCACACCGGAAGTCGTAAGTGTGCCGCAAAGCGTGACAGCCTTTTGATTTTTGAGCAGCGTTATATTTCATTTTTTTTATAAAAGTTACTGGGTGATGTTTAATATTTTACACTGTGCTAGGTCGCCATCCATATTATCCTGACAGTGGTTCCTTTACTGAGAGAACTACACAACGACTGGAAAGCGAGAGTTATCCCAGCGGAGAATACGCTGTTCCAAGTACTGCTGGCACTCATGACCGTACGTTTTATTACTTACATAAAAAATTACATTGGAGGAAATTCTCGACAAATTTTCACATTCATATTGTTCGTTTAACTTAGCAGAGCGCTTTATATCAACTGCCACAAGAAACATCCAAAAAGAATTAGATATCGGAACACCTCCTAAAAGTTCGACACCAGGTAAATTGTTTATGACAATCAGTGCGTATGGACAATGCGATTGTCACAATTAATATTTCGTTTAGCAGACAAATGTCTAATCTGACTCGTTTTAATACAATGTGAATACGTAGAAGACATAAGAATTAAGGTAATCTAAAGGAAAAATATTTTAAATCGAATCTTTAGCACGCTGGCGCACATGTTAAATCTTTTGATAACAATTTTCTTCAAATTCATCGCAATCGTGAAACCTGCGAAATACATTATAACTAAGTAATTAAATTCTGAGCGATAAGTTCCTGTCCAGTGGGACTTTGCCTCCGCTAATGTGTTTGCAATAATCAATTAAAACTGTATCAAAACTTCAAAAAGTGCATAACAGTGTTAATTAAACACGTAGTCGACAATAGCTAATAAGAACGAATCTGGTCATATTTCATATTTCGGTACCAATAAAACACGAGAAAGGGAAGGCTCTTTACCATAAACTTTCTCTAACTGTTTTGTTCGTATGTAGATGACGCTTCAGTGCGCGAGAGCGTGACCCATGCGAAGACGACCCGCAGCACGGACATCCGCCGTGACCTAGATGTTATGCCACCGACGTTTATACCGCGGCCGACGCTAAGCGGTACGATGGGGCTGGGTTTTTCTTCATTCTGGTCGATCAAGCAGATCATTGCGATACTTGTTGCAGAAAACCGTGGAACTGAAACAATCACAACTACTGAGAGACGCGATTCTCGGCGAGGTAGTTTAGTGATTTTTCTGATTTATAGTCGAACTGATCGCTCAAGCAGCTGCAGCTAAGCCGGCAACCGCAAGTTGCAGAGTACTAAACAAATGCCGGCAACTCATCTAGCAACGCTTCGAAACAAAATTATCTGGTTTACAAAATCGACTCTCCAAGTGCAAAAACATAAAATACAACGCGTATTTACTTATCTTAATTTTTTAATTATAAAAGTACTTTAATCAGAACTAAATTGATTATGCGCAATTTCAGAACAGTTGGCCGCCGAAGGGTTGCTTCGGCTGAATTAAAGTCTAAACAGAATAAAAATTTTTGACTACGAGTACAGAATGTAAGTATGTTCATATAACAAAGCTAGGCCGATGAAATCATGCAAATCAATTATAAACTGACCCATCTGCTGTATTAGGTTACGCAATAGCTTTGCCAACAATCCGTCCGTTTGAACAAACCAGTGAATTCGATGAGCCGCGTCATCCAGTAACTTGGACACAAATCCAACGCGTACTGGACGAAGATACTAATCGAAACCGCACCTCCGTGTACCAGATTAGTCTTCTTCCATCGGCCGACGTGGAAAGACTGCAGGATCTTATGCATTACGACCAGCAGTTCCAGTCCTATGTCACGCGTGTCCGAACCGTTTATGACCTGTACTATATCAGCTTCCAGCAACCCTACGATACGTATTTCAGCCAGTCCTCCTGGACGATAATAATCAGGATATTCATCAATGTTTTGGATCTTCCTCGGCCGCACCCTGGAGAACCTGGTTTTGTCGAGCCGGAGGCCGAATGGTTCATTCCACCCCATCCTGCAGAAAGACATAGTGATATGGAATCTGTAGCTACAACAGCTCAGAGCTACGCAGAACGAGCACTATCAGAATTCACCGAAGAAGTGCCACATATAAACCCTGCACGATTTCCGGGACAGTCCGGTTCTGACGGGTCGGATGCAGGGAGCAGTTATTTTGGATCTGTGGCACGTCGCGGTGGATCGGAGTATGCAGTGTCGGAGCGGTCTGTGTCAGAGTATTTTGAGAACGCTCCAACTATTCCATTCACCAGAACGTCCAGGCAAGTGCGCACGGTACAAAGAGTGGAAGAGGAAACAACATCCGAATTGTGATAGTTATGCTTTTGCTCGATATGCGTTATTTTGATGACCTTTAACCGTTTGATTGTCCGTGCCATTGATACGTTCCCGTGTGCTAACCGTATGGTACTGCCTTTTCTCTACTCAGTTGTCTGTGCTTCTTGAATTTATGGAGAGGTGAATATTAACACTTTGGGATTTCCTGGCTTAAAAGTTTCGTTTTGTCCGATTGGTTTGCATTTCTCGAAAGCTGTTTGATTGAGTAACCAGACTTACATGCTGCAATAATAAATTCTGCACACCACAGTAGTTTTAGCCGTACAAAGCCTATGATTTATTAATACAAAAGACACCTGCTGCACCTTCAGCTCCACAAAATAAAGTTTACTACGTACCAGATTGTTCAAACACTGAAATCTGCGTCAGTTCAATCTTCTATTATTCTTACTGCATACAATACATGTTTTGATGATGGTTAAATAGTTCAAATGTTCATGGTTTTGGTCTAACCGGCGAGCAAGGTAAATTATCAGAATAATTTTTGCCGCTGTAAACCTCGCCTTACAAGTTAAATGTGTCTGTACTTGCCAGTATCAGTTGTGTATGCACACTTGTACTGTCCGCTCTAAACGAAAGCTCGTTTAGAACAAGTGTTTGATTAATAAAAGGGTAAAAAAACTGCTATGACCGTAATTCTTAGTGCGTTTTTTATACAGTTCGCGGACAAGAAATCGAATTAGCTATGCACTTTTCAGTGCAAAATACGTGCGAATCCATTAATTTTCGGCGGACGACACTACTCATAGCTGAGAACTCCGTAGTCTCTGCAGACCTTGTTAGGACGATTGTAGCAGCATAAACTAACAGTCATAATATTCATTCACGTATTTTTTTTACCGGTTCGAAAGCCGATGCACCTTGAAAGAGCATATCAGATACACGTATTAGCAGCGAGTCAGTAAACAGTGTTGCTGATGTGTTGACATGTTTGTTGTATTGTTAATGGGACAAAAGAACTATCACATTGGGCCTTCAGCAATCGGTCTTGACAGTGCAGTGTCCCTTCGCGGCGTGTGTGGTGCTTGTCGCAGTACCAGCTCTGACTAGACAGAAAACCACGCTCAAGACCATCTGATAAAGTTCGTCACTATTGTTTACAAAATTACAGCGATAGTAATTTGAAAGTTGTAGAAATGATTTTTAATTGCGCTGGCGGTGCATGAGAATGGCACATACGGATCTGCGTACGGGGAGAAAATTGAATTGCTGGCTATATGCTTATTCGTCCTCGTTGCTGCCATGTGCGAATGTTTCTGGAGTGCATGGCTATTTGGCAGCTCGATTGTGCTAATTTTTGTGAGTTTTCGCATATTTGTTCGCTCCGCGTTGTGCCCGGCTGCCCATATTCTGAACCTGTCAAATAAAATCCCCCCTGTTTCAGAAAGCTGCCGGTGTTACCGCCCAGGATACTTCCTCGTTGCCCAACGTCACCTTTCCTGATTGGTATTTCCCGGCTACGGATTTCAATAGTTCGCGTTTGATTAGTAAGTGAAACTAACACATATATATATGTATTTGTTTGCATATGGTCCAGATTCCAGATTTGAGTAATGTGGCATTTATGAGGAAGTGCATTTAATTTGATATACGCACTTATATGCACCTATCGGTTATCTGTAATTTTGTTACATGTTTTTTGTTGGCATTGCTGAAGTTGTTGGTCGTTTATTAAAGAGATACATAAGCGTATACCTGCATTTCTGGTTGTCCTTCAATTGGAAGCTTTGCTGTCCAAATTTTGTTGCGTGTGTTTTTGCGTTTGCCGGATCCACGTTTGCTTCGTCGGCAGAACAATTCTTGTATGCGTAAATCTGACGCAGTTATTCATGTTGCTTGTATATTTCGCCATAATGTTAATCTACTAAGAACACCATCTCTGTTAACAAGATAATTAAATTTTTATTTGTTAAATATTTATCACAGTATGTATACAATTTGCAGCCAATATTTCATGCCATAACACGGAAATTGTGGTCGATCTTGTGTTTGCCGATCCTTTCTGGGGACTGCTTACCCTGGAAAAATCCCGAGGCCTGCCTTCCTGTCAAGTGCAAGGGAATGGTAGTGTGCATATGATATTTCGTGTCCCTTTACGCGACTGCGGCACAATACGCACCATAACGGAAGACGCTTATGAGCATACAAATGCAATGACTGTCATGTTTGACCGGAGCCATTTACTGGAAGCCGGAGATCAGAGGAAGGTTCTAAAATGCCGTTATCCTATTCCCCCACCTCCTCCTTTCCTGGAAGTTAAGCAGGAAACGCATAAGTAAGTACTGCTAGAAAATTACAGCTAATGAAAGTATACATATTTATATATTCATGTAATTTATATCGTAATGGTGACTATTCTGACGCGTGCTTTGTTGGCAGAACGGTAAGTAGTACCCTATTCGCCGAAGACGTGCTAATTAAACTATTTTTCTTCGGTAGTACTCGTACGGTACATTTTTTGACATAAGGTTGGCGTTTAAATAACTAGAGAATAGGCAGTTTGCATAGTATGATGTGCAATCATTAAAATTTTTGAAACAAACAAAACTGTATGCATTTATAAAACGCAGGTATTAGTGGCACAGTTACTCATTTTACATTAACTCAGCTTTCCATAAATTTTTCGTGTTTTATTCGTGAAAGACAGCTTAACGTAACGTCATTTGCATTTATCTGGGAACTGAAATTATGTACCCACAATGTCTTTATTTTAAAACTCGTAGCTTGGTTTAAAAATTTTTATAATCAAATGTTTCGGTTAATCTATCTGTAGTACGTACTGCAGTTAAATTCATGAGAAAAATCATAATCAACTTGGTTGCTTCTAGCGATACCGGAAATAGCGCGGAAAGTTCAAGACGACTTTTGGGTGGAGATTTGTTATTGTTGATTGTTTTCATGGTTTGTTTTATATTTACTAATACTTACCATATTTGTCCTGTGGTCACTCTTTGATATTTGTTGTGATATTGCTTGCGTGTTTGGAAGTATTTCCTCTACAAAGATTACTTAATTGTCGGCGGTGTACAGTCATTGTGATTCAGTTCTCAGTTAACAAAAGAATATGGAATCAAAATATAAAGGCATTAATTTTACCTTCTGGAATTCCAAACCGGTGGGTATTCCTTTTGAGAGTGCGTTCATCATTAAGTTCAGTTTCATCTGTTCGATCGGTCGCCGGTGTTATACGGATAAACGAAAATGTTGCCAAATACGAACGCATGGTTTTAAAGCTTAATTAAGAACCCAAAGATCACTGTAGCTGCCATAAACTGTATATTATTGTAAGTATCCTAACCATCACAATTCACAACCCCCAGGAATTTCGCGCACGAGAAAAGGTTAAGGAAAATTCGATGCGGTCAGACAGATTGACAGAATAAGCAAAAAAAACGTCGTTATTTGTCGTAGCAGGCCACGAATGTTCTCCATTATCGATCTTTTTGACTTCATAATAGAAAATTTTATAAAAAATTTGAAAACGGGATTTTAAAACATTTTTCCGAGTGCGTAATCAAGGTCTGCTGTTTTAAACCTTTAAAATAAGTGCAAAGCGAGTCTGCATTATTATTATATTTATGGTCTTTATAACACACTTTTATCTCACCCGTTCTCACACTAATATTCCGCTTCGCTCGATTTTGTTTGTAGTCATTAGTCAACAGTCAGTGCTCACTGCTGACCGTCCTGAGCTCGGTTCCCTCGTCTTACAGCGGGCGCTGCGTATGGTTAGTGCTGCATCACCGCGGAACTGTGTAAGCTATTCAAATCGTCAGTACGATCAGTATCCGATCATTCTTTTGTGTTTTCAGTTTTCTGCTTGAATCTCCGCAAAAACACAAATACGAACATAAACCCCGGCCTGTTTGCTGGCAAACTTAAATTAAAATTGTGACTGCAGAAATTACCCATTAACCACCATTATCATTCTTGTGTATTCCCAATCGGCATGGGCTCTCATCTCTCAACATCTGATTTTATTGAGTTTTGCATCTTTTTACTTGTATGTACAAATAATAGTACAATGTAGATTAAAATATGGAATGCCCGTCGCCGTTAAAGGAGCAATCTTTCAATTCTCCGAGCAGGAGCTCGTTGCCGCGTTTTTGTGATTAGTGGATTAGTAGATGTTGCAAAACCTGATGGTTTGATATCTGGAATTATCATTTCCGCTTTGCGATATTTCTTCTGAGATAACTGAAATGGCTTCGAGGGAAATCAGAAACCAGATCGACAATCTGAGGGATGTGCTGGAGCGTGATGACTCCCGCATGGAATACGATGCGTGCGAGATTGTTGCACAGATTCAGAATGTTGCGTTGCAAGAGACCGGTCTGCAGGAACTGAGTAAGGAACACGCATCTAGTTTGGGGATATTGTTTACTGAACATGTCCTACGATTTTGTTATGATTTATGATTGTTTCAGGCGTGATAATGCCGTTGCTGGTCAAAGGAGAAAATAGTTTGCTGAGCGCTGTGAGCCATCTCGCGGGAGATACGGTGAGGAATTTGATTAGCAATACATATGTAAATGTAAAATTTTATATGGAAAATTTTTGCAGAAATCGAATACAGTTCAAGATGTTTTGGATTTATTATGCAAGCTGCTGGAAGCCGTGGAAAACCAAAACATTGCACGGGAGACGATCCTTATGCAGCTGAAAGATTTATGGGTGGGTTAAGTTTCGATTTTCTATCATAAAGAGAGCATTTGGTTTCTTATTTGTTCGTTGTATTCTTATATTTGTGTGCTGTTAATGGCACCATTTTTGTCGTTTCGTATTTCTTGTTTCTGACTTGGGTTTATTTTGCAGTTTTATGTGTATTCTTTGATTGTGGTCGCTCTGGCATATGATGCATATCAGGCGTTTATTTGTTAAAATAATGTATTTTTCAAACATCTGTGACAGGGGTTTGCGGATCTCATCATCAGGTCCAATTCTTCCGCCAAAATTCGAACATCGGCTGTGATGCTGCTTACACTCGTACGAATTTTCATTTGTAATTTTGAGTTTAGCTGTCATTGACCGTCGTTTTGGGAATGTGTAGGTGTTCAGATTGTCCTTCAACTCGGAGCAGTTCGGCACTTTGGACGTCCCCAGTACAGTCAAGTGGTTGGTGAATGAATGCAAGCGTAACTACAAATATCTCCCTGCTACAGGTAAAAGCCAGATGCGGTATTACTGGCGCAGAGATGCTGAATGTTAAGCGTGGCATTGGTTCTCTGTTGCAGTTAAGCAGATCTTTTATGGCTTTTTGGGACAGATCGCACAGAAAGTCCCAGCGGAAATCGACGATAGTCTTATTGATGCTCTTCTCCATGTATTCTTTAATGATCTCCAAACAGAAGTAAGAAAATATTCGTGAGATTGGTGGAAAAGTAATTGAAATTGTTGTTTGGACTCTGATTTGGTATACGCATTTGCGCAGTTTTAAGCGTATACTGTATAATATTGCAATAAAAATCCCAGATTGTTGAGTGCATTAGGCCTCCTAGAATCATTTGATCAGTTATCACTTCTGCTGCGAGAATAGTTTTGTTTTTCAATGATTAAAAGATGATATTTTCAGTCACTTCAGTTTTTTTAGCAAGCCTCGATTGGTTTTTAATCTAAAGTGATTTTCTTGCGCAGATTAAAAGCTCAAAGCCTGAATGTCCGACCATTGCTGGGTGTCTGGACGGCCTTTCCGGATTGTTGCATCACTTCTCAAATAGTGATAAATGTGGGTCTACTGCTCATTCATATCGGGCTGTGTTTTATACTTTTTATACTTATATTCTCAGTAAAAGTGTTTTCGAAGGTGTGAAAAACATGGATGTAATCGTAACATCTTGCCGAAAAATTATTCATGCTCGCGAAGTGTCTCGATATGCCATGGTCGTCTCAGCGCTCAAGCTGATATCGCAACATCGCGGTTTATTGGTCCCTCACTTTCTGGCTAAACAGGAGATGTATACTGAAATCTACTGCGATTTGTCGTACTGGGCTGCCCATCCAGCAAACCGAGACGTTCAAAAACAGGGATCCAGGACTCTGGATGATTACCTTAGAGAAGTAAGGACGTTAATACTTATTTAGTTTTGATACCTATTTAAAAACGGAAAGTGTTGAGTTTCGTTTGCGTTTGTATGGTTTAGCATTCGTGAGCGGTTGAGTATGTTCTATGCCGTGACTGCGTTTTTAAATTTTGTTGTTTTGTGTCAGTCAGTTTTTGCTGTTAGGTTGGTTTTGTATTTATTTAGTGCGTTGTTGTAGTGTGGACGCTCAGTTGCTGCAGGCAGCAAACTGAAAAATCGCGTGGAAAATGCAAAACTAGCTTACGACTTCTTCATCCAAGAGTTCGATTCAAAGATAAAAGAGGCAAAAGGCTACCGAAACCTTACACTGGCTGTACGTGGATATGGATATTTTGCCGCAGCAACGGTGGAATTAGCCTCCCGTGAAACCATTGACCGCATGTTTACGGAGATGATTTACAAAAGCGAGCAGATGTTTTTTACGTCGAATTCGGAAAGCACTGACGATAAGCTGGCAAATTTACCGGGTTTTATTGAAAGTTTGTCCATTATGATCAAGGACGGTGAAACTGGCCTGCCGGATACTTTCCAACCGGCTGTTCAACGATTGTGCATTCTGTTGATGGACATGTTCCCCAAGCTGGGCTTACCACATCAACATCTTGCTTGTAAAGCAGTTGTGAAGCTTTTTCTAGTGGCTAGTCATTCGTCAACTTACGCGGGGGAATTCATTTCCGAAATAAGTACGTAGTGAGGTTTACCATAATAGAGATTAACAAAGATGCGAAAAATCTTGAAACGCGTATGTTTTTCAGTCTACCAGGGAGTTATACGGTCGTGTTCCTATCCTGTTCCGGTAGATAGCTTGGAATCCGAAATATCCGGTGTACGGAAGCCTCCGAAGCCTACAAATTTCAAGGACTTTTTTCCGTTGTGGGAAAAGTTGGTCAACTGCACTTATATGAAGGTGATTGTCTTTCAGTGTAGAATTTTATGGGCAAAGAAATGTCTGTTTTAGAATTGGAAGTAGAAAGTACATTTATGATACAAAGCAACGTGTGAAAAATACGGTAGAATCTGAAATGCGCGTAAAAGTGCAGTTAGGTATTAACGATAAGTATGTATACGTTTTGTATCAATGTAAAAAGTTAATACTGTAGTGGATGCTGCACATATTCCGCTGATGATTACTGCTTGTTTCCTTCACAGTATCCACTTTTGTTTCTAAAGAATCGAAAACTGAAATCATACATGGTTTGGATAACTTGTAGGACGTGCTGAATGATTTTGGGATCTCAGAAATGGATTTGCTTGGTGTCTCAAGATTGATTTTCACCGATCTTCTTGCTGCGGCAGCTCGTATTATGGATTCCTTGAATCTTCAGCTTCTTTCTACGGTTCCAGAAGATGACTCCATCGCAGTTGATGTGATTGCTGTGGATAAAGCTCCGTTGAAGGAGCAGGATTTTCAGATTTTCTTTTCCCTGGAACAGATAATCAAGAACACAGTGAGCAAAGCCAAAGTGGACGTCCTCTCAACTGGAACCAATGAAATATGCCACAAGATCATCAGTATGTCCGATCGGCATCCGCTGGTACCGGGCCTCTACCGGTTCCTTTCCGTTTTTTGGAACTGTGATCGTAGATTAAAACTTATCCCCAGTTTGATGGATGAGGAAATGGACACCGATGTGATCATGACGGAGGAGCCTTCTCCAACCTCAGAGCCTTCTAACCGTACTGCTGCTTTTGTTGCAAAAGTTACTGGAAGGGTCCAACATTTCTTTGGGGATTTACTGGTGTCTGCTCTGTGCGCTGTTCTTGATGCCCCTGAGAATGCGCTGATTGAAGTACTGAAGGAAAATCGTATGATTTTGGACCAGCCGCTGTTTTTGGCTTTGCAGACCGCCCAGAGTGACCTTTATTTTGCTGAAAATGTTGTGAAAACTCTGTACCGATGGTGTATCGACTGGACCATCCCTTTGCCACTCATGCAACCTTATTTTGCTTCTGTGATTCCTCAGTTAGATAGTTTTCTTCGCGGAAACGCCGCAGCATTTCGGGAGCGCTCAACTGTTGTTACTGATGGAATAGTGTCGAAGAAAGGCAAAAAAGATATGGATTTGGATGGAGCGGTGCTTGATCGCGTTCGACTCATTGTTTTAGATTTTTTGGGCGCCTTGGGTGGAAAATATAATCATTTCGTTTTGGAAGCAACCCGACTCGACGAAACAGAGAATGCGGCTGTTGCTTGGGATATGGAGAAGCATATGAATTTTAAATTCCCATTTTCCGATGTGATACTGAGTAATTTCTTCCTGGATGACTTGCTGCCAAGGGTGATTGACTTAGCCATGCACTGCCCAGATAGGAGGACTAAAGTTGCGGCATGCGAGGCGTTGCACGCTATGACAGTTACGTTGGTTGGAAACCATGCATTCATGCCCGATGATAGACGAAGCAAATCAACATTGTTAAATTTGATTCAGAAACTTATGCCGAAATTACTGGAATTGGCATGCGATGCGGAACCGATTGCAAAACAGATTTTTGAACCGTTATTACTGCAGATCATTCACTGGTACTCGAGGAAATCAGCAATGGCTACCAAAGAGTCGGCAGCGGTGCTGGAATGTGTTATGGAAGGATTGATTAGCGAGAGAAATCCGGTCGTACGAGATTTCTCAGCCCGATGTGCTCAGGAATATTTGGAATGGTCCTTGAAAGATACTCGTCCCGGGGAAATGTCTGTTGCCACTCGGTCACTGCTAGAAAAAATCATCAGCTTTGCCAGTCACTCTTCGGCCGCAAAACGGTTTGGAGCTGGATTAGCGTTTAGTCGATGCTACCGGATTTTTCGAGAAAATCCCATGTCCGTGGACATTTTCACTATTGATCTGGTAGTAACTTTTACCAAAAGTCTGGCTATTGCTCACCGTGACAATGCGGGAATGGGGACGGAAAAGTTAATGGAAAGCTGCCTTGAACATCTGGAAAAAATTGTGGGAAAATATGTAAAGAAACTGCAGAAACCGACTACTCACCGACGCAGGCCGGCTGATTTGGAGGAAGCTACTGTAGAGCATCTGATCAAATGGCTGTTCCTACAGGTAAGAAAAGTCATTGGCAAAGCAAACTCAGATTTGACAGAATTAATTTTCAGAGCTGTCGACCGGAAATGGCTTGCCGCATGAAATCGTGGACATTACTGGAGGCAGTGATACGGACATCCCAAAGTTCGTCTAATGCTGCGAGCTTTTTCGATGACCTCAAGAAAACTCAAGGTTTATCCTGGCTTTTGCGTACGTTTTTGAATGGTGGTTTCACCGCCGAGGAAGATAATCATCTTTTAACAGTCGAAGCTGTTCAAAGTGGATTGGACAGCCCGGGGGAGTGCTTGCACACTCTCGAACGTTTGGCAGCGGCTGTCGATTGCTTTGCGTGGGCATTAAGGGAAGCGTATATCAATCCAGGAGGTGCCGCTAAAACCGTCGAATGGAATAAATTATTTCAGATGATTGGAGAATTTATGGAGAGAATTGGCAGTCGTTCATGTGTTCTGTTCAGTTCGGAAGATTCTGTCGTGCAGCGAATGAAGTGCACTTTATTGATACGCATTACGGATCTGATTATTTACGTTCTTATGAAGTATGGAAAAGAAGGTCGCATTTCTCTACCTGTTAATTTGTGGAATGAAGATTTCCTTTCTGCTACGGCAAGCCTGATACTGAATCCGGCCGCAATGGGATTTGACTTAAGCGATCCGGAAGTGAAAAGTGGATTGAACCAACAAGTCAGAGCGTTTTTATCCGCATTGACGGGATCGCTGGAGCCGAAAACTATTCGTGAGTTAGGAGAAACAATTGGGAAGTTAATGGTTCAGCCGAAGTACGATATACCGTTATGGATGGATAGTGAAATTGATAATTTCCTGTTTGAGAGTTACGCTGTTCTTCGAGATTCACGTTTAGATTTTCGTTATCTGGAGTCGAAAGGTATGAAAGATGACCCGAAAACGTTTGGACTAACGCTGCTGGATATTGTTGATGAACGACTGAAAAGGGGATTCAAAGCGTGTGGATCTCGATTGGAATCCTGGTTGACGACCTCCGTCAGAAAAGAACAGCAGCTGTTTCTACTGGCGCTGAGCTACATGGATGGAATTAATGAGATAGTGGGGAAATATTTCTTGGGATCAACAGATCGGGATATATTTTACCCAAAGGTGAAACGGCCATTTTTCAAATATATTTTTGACTTGAATGGAAAACACGCGGTGGCGCAAGGAAAGTTTTTGGAGTTGATATTTCGTCATAAGCAGTTAAAAGTTGTCAACGAGATCATCAGGGACTGTCTGGAATATGTGGTCAGTTATAGAGCTTTCCGGAAACAGAATGGTCCAAACTTCTGCGCGATGGTGGTGCAGTATTTGGGATCGTTTTTGGACATATACATAAAGACTTTTAGCAGCATTGAAGATTACCGGATTCCATTAGAGAATCTGAAACTTTTGCTTTTTATTGATTCCGGGGTGAGTACTATGCTATTATTAATTAAAAATTTTAAAATGGTATATTTTGTGTTAGCGTCAATAAGCATTTTTGAAATTGTGTACAACACACGAGAAACTGGGGCCTGTTTGCGAATGATTAATATAGCGTAAGTTAGGGAAAACTTTACGAATTCGTTGTTTTCCTATTTTCTAGATTTTGAAACAGTCATCGCCCGAGATTTCGAAGGTTATGGACTTTTATGTGTCGGTCTTGACCCGCGATGTTGCCAGTGATCAGTCTATTGTGTCGGTGAAGAATTATGCATTAAGATTGCTGCCCTTTTTCCTCTCCGCTGCAGACGTCCATAGAGTGGAAGAAGCTATCCAAATGATGTATGTAAACGATTTTCCCGTGACAGCTGCAGAAATTTCCTCAGATGCTACTCGAAGAGCGTATTACCTGCAAGCCGTTGACCTTTTGCTGAATGCTGTCCCGTTAAATGACAATCGAGTACTTCTGGAAGTTTGCGTCAAAATCATTTGCCGAGACCAGAACCATCCGCTAGTGGATCGCTTCGACCAGATGTTTCAGAGTATTTGCTCTATGGATCGTGGCGAGCACACGCAGGATATGATGGATATCCCATGGAAAATTTTTGTTAATGTTCAGTATGCTGTAGAGCACCGAGAAATTGCTGTGGATAAAGTACTTCTGCCGATGATCCGGTCCACATCTCAGTCGGCACTAATGGAATTTTTTGCTCGACACGTGGAAAAAATTTGCGAGTTGCTGGAGATGAAACCCCGAGTTCCTACTCTGGGTTTGACGATTGAGCAGAAGTGCTGCTTGGAATTAATGGAGATTTTCTGTTCTCGCACACCGAAAGCTGATCTCTTTTCGGCGGTCTCTCTTGTTTCGAAATCTTTTGCCAAATATCGGGCAGAAACGGATGGGAAGCCGATTGCCAATCCAACTGGAAAAGAGCTTATTCAGTTTTTGACTCGGACAGCGGATGGTTTAGCTCATGAAAACGTGGCTGTGAATCCGGAACTGAAAGAAGCTCGACGGACATTGCACTGTGCAGCATATAAGGTCTTAGCAGCTGCGGTCACCGCTACTCAAACGGAGTTGAGGTTTTATCACAGATGTTTATTCGAAGAGAAGCCCGAAACAGGAAGAATTCTATGGAGTAATTTGGTGGATGTTGACACGGTTTACGAATTTCCTGTAGAGTTCATTAAGTCACCTGAAAGACGGGAATTACTGGCAGCGGTGCATAAGGAAATGACGGATGAGACTGATTCAAATTCCTCGTTAACTGCCGGCATATTCACGATGACATCATACATGTCGGCACGGGCGTCGGCAGCTTCCTTGATTCAGGCCAGCAGTCTGGGTGAAGAGATTGGTCGGTTTGATTATTCGACCGGGATGGATCGTAGATCGATTCCGCTGAGTGTGTTAGAAGAAAACGCAACCAGGAAATCCAAAGAATCCGTCATTCTGGAAATGAATGATCTCAATTTGAATGAATGCATGGCCACATTGGTTGCCATTGTCCAGATGATGGCCGGAAAGGGTATTTCTCCCAAGAGCGGACCGACACCAGACTGGGTCGTGGCGTTGAAACAAAAAATCCAGAATCCTATTGGTCATCTGAATGTGAAACTTTTTATTGCGAAATTGATTGTGAATGTGGAAAATTCCAAACAGCCCTTTTTTGTGGGATTTGCTGATGATTTGTATGCGCCATTGGTAGATCTGATCTCCAATATCCCAAATCCCGACGGGTTGAATTATTTTACCGTTGATCTGGTTGAAACCATGTTGAAATGGACTTTGACATCACCGCCTCGGATGCTTGCACAAAGCGCCGCTCAGAATTTGTTTATCTTTATTTTGAAAAATGTTCCGCATAAGAATTCTCAGGCAAGTATGAATGTATGAATGTTTCTCTTATTGTCAGGGCATGATTGGTTGCACCTTTCTGTTTCAAATAACGCTTTTTTTGTGATAGGTGCAAAAGAACAATCTAACATTGCTGAAAGTGATGGCTGAAGCTTGGCGCAGCTTGTTGACCAGCCCAGCCAAAAATGTTGTATCCAGTTTGCTGACGAACGATCCTGCCCAAGCGAAATCGAACCTGGTCGTTATCAGCATTATTGCTGTCATCTTGCATGCCAAACTGCCGTTGAATAGCGGTGTCTTTGATGAATTCCAAAGAGTCCTGATTCTCCACATGAAAACCGCTTCCGCCCCCGTCTACCGGGCTAGCGCTTTGGCCTTCGGATTGCTAATTACTCGAGCTGAAGAAGATGAAGTTGAGCGAGCAAGGATCGAATCCGCTGTACTGGAAGCTGATAAGAAACTGGACCAGTTATATGACGAGCAAAAGCCGAAGAATCAGCCTGCAGCGGAAATGCAGTTTATGGTTATGCTCCGAGAATTCCACAAAAGTTGTCCCCGAATGGTCGGCCGACACCTACGCCGCATCTTGAATATATTCCCTCAGCTTTCGGGAGAGAAAACTAAGACAATATGTCTGGAAATCTTGAACAGTTCGACATTTGACAATCCATTTCTTGAATTTAGGGTAGCAAACATTGACAAGTGCTTTACAGACAGGTGACGATCAAACTACCTTGCACTATCAAAATTCATGTTGTTTTTCAATGCCGCTTCGTTTTAGAAATGAAAGCGTTCAGGGATTGGTAGTTCAGTTGTACAGAACAGTATCTGCAAGGCTGACGACAAAAGACTTTATTGAACTTCTCGACTGGATGAAGCCGCTTTGCTCCCATCCCAGTCCTATACTACGACAGCAAGTGTATGATTTCTGCATGCGAATCTATGAACGATTTGAAAGCGCTTCGAATACGGTAAGTCATAGGATGTGAGTAATGATGGAAATTTAGCTGGTTGAGTTATCTTATGCGTCGCCCTTCCTGCCTTCGATCCCATGAATGTACGGTATTACATAATCATCTTATTTTAGGATGAAAAACGGGTACTCCAGGCAGCGCGAGTCCTCCTGACTTCGGGCCTAACGGATAAAGACAAGATTGTGCGCAATAATCTGTTTACTTTTTGGGCGCAAGACCGACGATTCTCTGGGTCGACTTTCGTTCGCCTGATGACCATCTTCAAAACTTTTTTGGAACCTGAAGTGCAGTCGACATTTCTTTCCTCTGCTTGTCATCTGCTGTTGGAGCTGTCGGCTAAAACACCTCAGTTTGGCCTTCCTGTGTTTCCAAGCGCCCTGTCGGACTGTGAATTTTTTAAGCAGGAAATTGAAACCACTTGGCGTGGTCGTTCGTCCATGATGCCAGTGACTGCCAGTACGTACGCTGGAGGAACTTTTTCCGGTACGTTCGGGTCAGCTCGCGTCGGCCAGCGGGCACCGGTGTTTACGCCGACACAGATTGCTACAGTTAGCGCAATGGACAGTCTGGCCAGTTCGGGAATGCACACGTATGGGTCGCAGTTTTCCGAAGCTTTAATGGTGGAAATGCCATCGCGAAACTTATTCGGTGGTTCGGGAGATGCCTATCAAATATCCCAGGTACGTAAAACTTGGATTCTTTAAGCCGTTTAGCGTGATTTGGGAAGTCACGTGCTTTAGCGAATTTGATAAATTCTGCTAAAAGTTTTCGGCAAAGGCAGTGGGATCAGTAAACTGAATCAGATTGGTTTGGTTTTTGTACTATGAGGAGAGTTAGTTAGAGTTTTTCGTCAGGTATTACCAACGTAAAATTTATATCCAGGAGGACCGGGCTCGTTTTGAGCAGGAACAAACGCAGAAGGAGTTGAATAGCATCCGTCGGCGTGTTCAACGGGACAAACAGGATGCCAGTTTGTTTTTTGCCAAACGCGCTCTGACCCTACAGAAACAGCTGGAAGAAAGTTTGAAAAAGGAACGAGAGCGTAGAGACCTGGAAGTGAAACTATCGCGCATGTACAGAGTTGGTGAGGTACCGGATGTGATGATCACCCATTCCGCCATCATCCAGCCATTGCAAACTCTAACTCAATTGGATCCACACACAGCTGGACTGTTATTGATCAGGTTATTTCATGGAATCATTCAAGAAAGCAAGAAAAGACGCGAAATTGTGGATAGTGAGCTGGACAAAGTGGTGGAAAGATTGGAGAAAATTTTTGACGACGAACGTGTGTCGGATGTGACCTTTTTAACCAGCATGCTGAATATTGTTATTTCAGATGAGACCCGATTGTTGGTACGCTTTGAGTGCGCATATCTTGAGCCTTGACTGTAATTAATTTTTTTGGCTGGCAGGGATCGGTTTCTGCTCGAAGTATCGGTTCGGCTGCGGTAAAGTCCCAGCAGCCTCATTTAGGTATTGCCGTGCTGGAGACTGCGTTATTGAAGCAGACTAGTGAACCGTCCGCGAAACGCGGGGTTCAGAAAGCGTCGGATTACTGGCTCAACGTGTTCAAACTACTGCAGAATGTTGGTGATACCGACTCAACTCAGGGCGTGAGATTGGAAGACGTTTTCAGTCGAGCTGATAACGTGCGGTTAGCTCTTGATGCAGAAATTCGCGGCGACTTGAATGCAGCAATGAGCCTTTACGCTGAACTTTACACATCCGAGGACGGGTCTGATCAGAGTGTTCAGTTGCTTCAAGAATCGTATATGAGGTTGGTTAGTAGCGCATAGTCTGTGACTCTGTATTGTACTTGAATCATGTGAAGCCAGTGAAGGTATGAGTAAATTAAACAGGAAAACAAATTTAATCACCAGTAAACATACGCTCGTTGTGCAAGTGCAAGAAGCACTAGCTTGAAAAATTAAAAGTTATCTTGAATTGTTTTAGGTGCTTAAATTCTCTGGCCAATTGGAACGATCTGGAAGCGGTTTCCTTACCTGAGAGCAAGCTGGACGAAGAAACAATGGATCGCATATGGAAGGAGCCGTTTTTCACCGACGTTGCTATGCCCTATGCGGTTCAAAGTCTTTTGAAGTTGACACTGGAAAACCATCCTCCTTCGATTGCTATTTTGAAAACGTTCTTTGACACCGCAACAGCAAATGCCCAGAGAAAAGATATACTGGAAAGACGCTTCGCTTTACCTGCAGGAATATTCTGCATTCAACAGAAGCAGCCGCAACACGCTGAATACTACCTTAAACTGGCCAGTCGGTCATTTCTGGAAAACTGGGCGGGTACACCACAACTGAATCTATACAGTCGCAGAAAATATTTGCCACTGATGCAGCTTATTAACGAAGCTCGACGCAGTGTTGTTGTCCAGAAGAAATGCGAACTCTACCCGGACAATGAACGCAATTTAAAGGAGAGTTTTATGAATTATTTGGTTGATGACCACCGTGAGCCAAGTGATATGGACAGCGTTGGTGTATGGAACGATTTGATTGTCAATCGGTGTTTTTTTGTCAGGAACATGGCCCAGTCGTCTTTGTCGAGTGAGTGTTCTGCTTAGTCAAAATTACCTGGTATCTGTGTAATCGCAGTTTTATTGTTGATTTGTTTAGAGGCAGCCGATGCAGTGGAGAGTTTTGTAGTCCACGAGAATCTAAAAGTGGCCACTAGTGCTGTGCGCCACCATAACTTCCGCGTTTCTGATCAGATCATGAAGACAACGGTCTCCATCATGAAAAACATTCCAGATAGCGAATATTATGCTTCCCCGGATTTGCCGCTGAAACGTCTCCAAGACCGTTGGGGACAAGTTTACGTATGTGACTTTGGTGTTTCTGAATGGTTTAGTTTTATTGTTCGGTCGAATCAACAAAATTGGACGGTGTAAATTTGACGTTACACAGCATTTTCGTGTGATTTTTATTAATATAATGATATAGTTTTTGTAATTTCAGATTTCTGGCGCTCTGGAAAGAGCATCATTTTATTGTACCGCTGATGAAGCCGAGAAGAATTTGGTGAAGTTGTTCGATGCGTTGCGTTTGGCGGAAAAAGCTATCCCAAACGCGGATCCCAGCAGTAAAGCGGCCCTAAAGGTCACGGTGTGCCGCCTTCGAAATACCATTGTGTCTGTGGTAATTGAATGCGATGGCGAAATGGAGCTTGATAACAAACGAAAAGCAGCGCTTGGTCTGCAGAAGGATGATATTTCTGGGTTATATCCTCAAATTTTTGAAGACCTGCGAATAAGCTGTCAAGAATTACCCGAACACCCAGCGTCAGCTGAATATCTGTTGGAAGAATTTCGGTTTTGCGACGGCTTGGTGGGACGAAATGTAATTGCTGATGTGCAGTTGGTGGAATGCGGTACTGCTGCTTTATTGCGTGCCATGAAACTCGGCAGTGTTGCAGCGCGGGGTTTGTTCAGTCGACTGCTAGTGTGGATTACGGAGCATCCACAGATTGTGGACGGCTTCCGAAAGGGATGCAAAGACATTCCAGTTTGGATGTTCCTGTCGTGGACCAATCAGATGCTAGCTTTGGTGGACAAGAAAGAAGGGATTGCGGTGCATGATATATTGGTTCGTTTGGCTGATGCCTATCCGCAGGCGATGGTATATGGATTTCGAATCAGCAAGGAAGGTTACGTATTTGAGGAGAGCAAGAGCGGGGAAGTTAATCGCAAAGCATGTGATAGGCTGTCACAGATACTGAATTTGCCGCTTGTCAACGAATTTATTCGAAACCTGGAGCTTCTGTACCCTCCGCATTCGTTTTTCGCCGATTTCGCCAAAAAAGCGGAACTCATGGTGAAAGATAAAAAGAATGACCTATTGAAGCGGGAGTTTGAAGAGATTTACGGGAAAGTTTTGGCGGAAGATGCGGTCTCTTCGCTCAATCCCACGTGGAAGAATTTTATCAAGGATTCCCGCGAAAAGATTTTAACCCTTTTTGGCACTGCCGGAAAAAAGATTCCGAAGTTAAAGTATTCACAGTTCAAGGCCGATAAGGTGAGATTCGAGGAATGGTTAAAGGATCAAGCAGAAAAGAATAAGAACGAGGACTTCACCAAACTTTCTCAAATTAACCCGTGGTTGACGAGATTTACGTCGTTGAACTATGAGGAGAGTTTGGAAATTCCTGGACAGTACAGTGGTCAGGAAAAGCCCATTTTACAGCACCACGTGAAAATTACGTCGTTTGGGGAAGAGGTAATGGTTAGCTGTATAACACTTTCACTTTCAGCCGTATAACACTTTGCCGGCGTTTTGCCCATGATTGCGACTTTTTTGGTTTTTTGTTAAAACTTTTGGGACTATGCTACACTGACGGTATTGTTTTTGTTCCTTTTTGTAGATTATGACCTTGCCGTCTATTCGCCGTCCTATACGAATAATGATTCGCGGTAATGACGAGAAAGATCATTTGTTTTTGGTCAAAGGTGGCGAAGATTTGCGATTGGATCAGCGTATTGAACAGCTTTTTGAGTTAATGAATCGCGTTTTTGAGCAGGTATGAATATTTTGTTTATGTATCTGAGATTATCTGTCGTTTACATGGTCTCTTGCAAATCTAGGATGCTGACTGTTGGAAGCGCAATTTGAAGATCACTACGTACAAAGTGGTACCGATGACTACTCAAGTGGGCTTGATTGAGTGGGTGCCGAATACTACGTCCCTGAAGGGCTTTTTATCGCAAAATCAACCGAAAGAACTGAAAATCGACGAAAGCTTCTCAGTTGCCAGAGATGATTTTCGACAGAATCTTGTCAAAATGGTTGCCAGCGCGTTAAAGAAAAAGAAAGATGGTAAATCCTTCCTTATCTGGCAGTATATTGCTACCCTCATTGTTAGCTATAGTCCACATTTGTGTAGCACTGAAAACTCGACCACTTTGCATTGAACTGTTAAAAGCATCAATTAAATGAATCACAATCTTGGTTATCATGAAATCTTTGAAAGTGTGCAGTTGATCAAAACTGTAAAAGTCCAAAATAATCCACCGCCATAGTTAAGTTAAAAGATTATTATGTGTCTTGCAGATGTAACTGAGCGCACAGCGTATCAACAGTCTTATGGAGTACTGGATCCAAGCGACATGCCCCGACTCTTTCGGAAATCAGAGCAAAAAATTGAACCATATCTGCTGCGATCTCAACTGGAAAAATTAACTGTTTCTCCGGATGCTTTTGTGATGATACGCAATATTTTCGTGGAGACCTATGCGACTTTCAGTATTGCTCAGTATATTCTGGGGATTGGTGATCGCCATTTAAGCAATGTTCTGATATCAACTGCTAATGGCAGCATCTTCCCGATCGATTTCGGACACGCTTTTGGATCTGCGGTTCAGTTTTTGCCCATTCCCGAATTGGTGCCGATTCGACTGACCCGGCAGCTGGTGAATTTAGTGGCGCCTCTGTCTGTGGCGGGAAAATTTAAGCAGATTATGATTTTGGCACTGCGAGCATTGCGGAAACAACAACAAATTCTGTTGGCCACGATGAATGTCTTTATTCAAGAACCGTCGGTGGACTGGTTGCACAATGCCCGTAAAAGCGCTCCATCTGGTAAGAACCAGACCTGGGCAGTTATGAGAATTTGACTCATAGTTAGAGTTAAGAGTTAATCGCAGCTCGCGAGTTACGCTACGAGTTAAGTTAGCCGCAATAACTAAAGTTAACTGGAGTTAACTTCTAATAAAAAAAATCATGATTTTATTAATTAACTTCAAGTAGTCTTTTATGCATACCGATATCACTTTTACCAGATTTGAGACACAGACCAATTATTAATTTTTTTCCTAAAACTGATTTTTAAAATTCATGCTTTTTCTAATGTTCCTTTTTCATGTTTTTCCTGAGGGAGAGAGCGAGAGACACATTTTTCTTGAGGGAGGAAGATAAAATATAAATGAAACATAAGAAAGAATAAGAATGAAACAAAAGAATGAAACATACAAAGAAAACATGCTTGTGTTTTTGTGTTTTGTTCTTATTGTTTTTCCTGCCTGTTTTCTCTCACCCTCAAGAAAAAATCAAACATAAGAAGTTCTTATCTGACAAAATTCCTCCCTCTTTTTAACCACATAAAAATTCCTGCCTCTCAAAATTCCTCCCTCTTTTTGACCCTGGCTTTTGGGGCCGAGCGCCGGCAACGCTGAACTTTTTTACTAAGATTTCGCTTCACATGGCTACCGAAGTTAGTGTAGCTGTTTGACAGCGTTGACCGCATTATTACGCTTCCCTAATGGGCAGGTAGCGAACAATTACAGGTAGCAGGTAGCGCACAGACGATCAGTTCCCGTGTGATTTTGGTGCGGAACATGATTTGTCCTCTCGTTGACAAAATTTTGCTCCGCAAAAAATTACGTTCTCTGCACGCTGTTAATTGCGCTCAAATTGAACGATCACACTCACTGTCAGCATGGACTCTCCGATGCATATTCATCGACCGAAGCGTAGCGAAGGTAGATTAATACATACTTTCGTTGATTTGTGTCCGTTACGAAAGGTCGTTACGAAAGGTTGTCACGAAAGCCATTTCCAACGAGTAACTGGAAGTCTATGCTTATGTTCCTAAGTCGTTTTGCAAAATAATATATAAAATTTCATTATTCAACATATACAAATAGTATTAAAATACTTAAACAGTTTGTAATATAAAATGTAGTATACTGTACTCAAAGGAAATGCTGCGCTCCGGTCTGTCAAATGCACGCCAACGTGCATTTTTCCTAGTCTAATCAAAGCCTTGGGCGGTCGTAGTGTACGTCTGCTCGAGAAATTTTGTACACGGATACTTTTGTAATTATGGCAATTTATGCGATCCACGGTTAAAATAACATTTTTTCTGATATTTTCTATTTTTTAATTTCATTTTTGCTTTCAACTGAAACCTCCAGAGTTACGTTAAACTCGAGTTGCGCTATATTATTTTTGAGTTGCGCTAGAGTTAAGTTTTCGTCCTGGCGAGCTAAGCTTCAAAGTTAAGTTATAACTCGTTAACTCGAAAAAAACTCGCGTTAAGTTAAATAGTTAAAATTAACTGCCCAGGTCTGGTAAGAACTATGCTAATATGTGAGGTTTGTTTAATTTATAGGTCATTATTATATCTGGAATACAAAATGATTTCTTTTAAAATAAAAAGCGTTGAAGATATCCATAGTTTTGATCATTTTATTAATAAACGCATCTTACTTTAATGTGTCCTATTCTTCTACGATGCCGCCCAAAATATGATTGATATTGATCGAATTATGCATAGTTGAGTGGTGTTAAAATGTATGGCGTTTTTGTCGATTTTAATGCTTTGATCCAACAGAAGTCTTTGTTACAGTATAAAGTAAATTAGCAAGCATATTAAATATGACAAGTTCGCAGCAATTGGCACAGCAGCTGTCACTTGGTGTTTGTCAGTGCGGCTGCAATGCAATTGTGTTGTACCCAGTCCGGTTGGTACTTGATGCAATTAGTCGCTGCAGTAAATTGATTTGTGTGTTGGTACATCGGCACAGGCGACAGTCCAGTGACGGATGATCTACGCTGGTTCCCGCGCGATAAAATCGCCATTGCACAGCGCAAACTGCAAGGCGGAAATCCGGCTTATATCACTCGCGACGAACTACATCGGTCAGTGCTGGTCTCGGGGGAGATTTTAGCTCAAATGGAGAAAGCATGTTTGGGCAGTGCTGATTCTTTGCGCAGCAAACAGCCGGAAATGAATCTGGCCGTGGATGTGCAAGTGGACTGTTTAATCGATCAGGCGCAGGATGCCAATCTGCTAAGCAGGATGTACTGGGGCTGGGAGCCGTGGGTGTGATTTTTTTCTGTGTTTTCCATTACGGATTTGATGTTCCATGAAGTTTTTTTGGTTTAAAAGGTTATTCTGTTTGCGATGAATTGTATTGTGATGGAAAGTGAAAAATTACTTTTCTAAGTGAGTCACTTGCACTGAGCGTATGGAAGATTTGTCCAGTGTTTTTTTCCGTTTTATAGCGATGAAGTGTCCGCAAAGTGTTAAAATTCTTTAAATAAAAGTATTTGTGAGGTGTTTTGTGGGTCACAGGCCTCAAACATTTTGTTTGAATTGTGATTTAGACCACGCAAAAACAACCATTCACTAAGTAAATCCAGTAGTAATATTGTTTTACAGACAGCCCTAAACAGACACGCGCCTTCATGGGCATAATAAGATCTTTCGAAGAACAATAGGCAAACGTATTAATGAGACAATTAATCAATTAAAACGGTTGATTACCGTATGCACTTCGTAACATGTGTGACTTTATTACGATTTTGTCAGTCCAGAACAATTGATCGTCTGGCACTAAGATCCGATTTGACAGGGGACTCATTTAAAGTTGATTCGCTACTCCTTCTACGAAAGAACATTACTAACAAAACAACATTGCATATTAGCGTGATACTGTAAAAGCTTATCAGAGATATGGCGATTATCGACAATTTACAAGGATATTGCTGATATATTAAGGGAATCAGAGTTGAACAAATAATCACCAAAACAAATGCAATTATGCTGGATATAAAATGCAGTATGCTTGACAAAATCGAAAGAACGGTACGGAATGTGGTTGATCGTCGTTGTGGTCGAAATTTGGACGTTCCGTGAATTACGGTGGTGACGACACCAGTGAGAAGGAACACAATGACGGAACCCAGATCCAGCCATATTAGCCCGCTTTTTCCCAGTTGATACTCAACATAAACTGTAATTAACCCAAAGTCAACATGAACGATACAGATAAGCAGTACAATTATCACATCCTTCATGAATATGCAAATAAGAGTAATTTCTACTGCGCTATCGACTGCCGGCAACTGCGCATTCGATATCAGTAGAAAATCATCATACGTACCCGTAGTCCGATGCCGCGGATTTAAAATAAACTAAATATTTCCAGTATGCATCGTGCACTAAGAATTCACTTAAACGAGGTAGCAACGAAAACGTCTTGCTAAGTGATCAGTTTCTGCTAGCAAAAAAAGACAGTCTACGCTATGCAGCGAACGTACCGTACATGAACATCGCCTGCATATTGCATTATTGTAGGTGAATACAATATTTGGATTACGCCATATCTAATTTTCAATTACTGATCTTTATAATCTCAGGAATGATAGTAGGCAGTACGCACATTATTCTCCTAAATTCAATACAGGCACAACTTCAATTCTGCACGTGCCAACACCTGAAAGTTCTTCGGTTTTAAAAAAATAATAACGCATGCAAAACCAATTTTTACCCCTCTTTACAGAGTATATCATCAACTGGGATAATTGACTGCGAATTTACAAGATGGTCATGTTCAAGCCTCGAAACTACATACGTATGCAATTTACGTTTAGTAACTGCAGCGGCACCATTTACATTTCTCTCTCAGTGCTTGTGTAATACATCTTTGGTATACAACTTTGAGATATTTTACTTGTACAGTTATAACTTAAACTCACCTACAATATCCAAGGAAAGCGTCGCAATGGATGACAGGATTTGCAAAATGCCCAATGCAATGCCAGTGTTGCATACTGTTTCTACGCTACATCGGATATGTTGGAGATTTACCGGCATTTCACATTTCCATCATCAGCTGCTCTTTGCGAGTTAAAACGCGGGTGAACGAAAATATAAACCTCCTTAACAACGTACACGTAATTGGAGAACAATTGGAAAACCGATAGACTAGCACTGGATGAAAAAAATCCTTGGAGAGAATATGACGCCACTTCAGCCAGAAATTGTTGCTAAATATGCGCAGAGAAATACATTTAGCTGATCAATATTCCATTAATGGTGTACAGTTCAAATACAGCATCAATTTTTAATCAAACGCCGGCATATAATAGTAGTGTTGAGAGTACGTTATTACTATGGAAAATTGACACAAATCACTAATCGAAAAAAACAGCGGGATACTAAGCTATTTTTGTTTGATTGTAATGGACAGTAGTGCAAATTGTGAACATCGGGAGCAGCGGTATTACGTAATGGTTGGCAATACCCGCTGTCAAGTCCAACTGTTCGCTATTCTACTGCAATTTACAGTGGAAAACAGAGGATGCACAGTTCACCGTACGCCAAGAACGGCCAACTAAGTAACGTAATTGCTAACTGCGGCTTCCTTTGCTTCCAGTCGCTTCAAAGCGAGTGTAAGCCCATTTTACCGTCTAATCCAAGCTAGTTACTCACAATAAGGGTCACAGTAGCGGTTTTTACAAAATTTTAATTGTAATATTGTGATTTGACAGTTTATGCACTTAACCGTACAACTACATTACAGTTGTACTACAAATACAGTACAATTTAAGAGTTTTTAATAGCAATATTAGCGAGCGGGTGGTGCTTTACGGTAGCCTAAAACATCAGATTTCCTATGCACCGCGTTTAGGTGGTACGGCTAAATCTGCAATGAGACTAGTCCCATTGACTCAGGAAAATTCACTGATCTCCTGGTAAATTTTCCTGATCTCCTGAGTAATAATTACTCGTGTTTGATTTAGGCTGGAAATTTTAGCAGACGTAAACGTAATTGTTAACTGCCAATTTTCCGAAAGAAATACAAAAAATAAACTTAGACGCACGAAAAGGACATACACACGTTTAAACATAAATGAAAACGCACGTTTTTCCAGTGTGATTTCATGTATACACAGACTACAGAATACATAAAAACATGAACTGTAACAAAAAATTAGGAAAAACTACAGGGCAGTCTGTCTATTTCGGTAACAGCACCAGTTTCCCGAATACGACTGACAGTCTCTGGATGCGCTTATTTCCAACTCATTGCAGTACGTCTTAAGCATATCTGTAGGCGCACAAAATCCCGCATCATTCTCTACCGGAAGGTCAGGTGTACAGGGCTGTATCAACAGCGCCCGGGGTTGCGCTGGATCTGCAAAGGCAAATTTATACTGTTCTCTCAGAAAAACAGGAGCTTAGTGTGAAGTCAATGAGGTGAAAAAATATTTTTTAACAGTATTGATTTATAATGATCGAGTGGTAAGTAGTGTTAACAAAAGATGAAAATTTACGCTCCATACCGTAACAGCACCAGTTGTCGTTTCCGGGGCAGTGTCTAATTGACGCACTGGCTTCAAGAGTTTCGCAGTAGGTGTCCAATTGGTCAGTCGGTACACAAAAGCCCTTCTTGCCAATCCATGGGTGCGTATCCGGTGTGCAGGCGAGTGTCGGTAGGGAGCGAATATTGGAACTGAATCTACTACGTTGTAGTACAGATGGCGCTGGTTCTACAACAATATCTGTACAGTTATAGTACCACGATACACCAAACAACTGAAAAATACGCGAATACCTGCATAGTGCATACAAATGTGGTATATCTATATGAATTAATTGTGGGTGTCTACCATGAAAATGAGCATAAAGTTGCCGGAACTGGAAGACTTCTGGGCGCAGGCCCGTCAGCCCCCCTTTAATAAAACAACCATCAACATCAGCAATACAATTGAAGTGAATGTAACAAACACCACCAAACAACAACAATGCAATGGGAATGGGCGGGAGGGAGAAAAATTCCCTTGCCAAAACTGCAGAAACTGATTTCAGCATAGCACACGACTCTCCAGCAACAAGGAAACATCTCAGAATCTCCAACTCTGAGGAAACAAAGCCACTAACAAACCGATGAAAGCCAACAAATGGCCATAAACACGAAAATGGGAGGGATGTGCACCCACAATTAACTATGAATAAATACATTAATCATTCATTAATTTGTACAATTTACAAAGTACAATTCAGTATTCAACTCTGCTATTCGTAAACACATTTTAATATTGGAACAATTAAAGAGTAAAGTAGTTTAACACTAATATTATAACATTACACATATGTAACCTTTGAATTTTCAACATAAATTTTACTTGTACAAATTTTCCATCAAATGTTCCGTCTTGTATAATGTTCCGTCCGTTAGAAGATAAATCAGCGAGATTTTAACGGCTTATGTAAAAGCAAGCGTATCTGTACGCTTCTTTAAAAACTGAATTAAAGGTGACTTAACTGTAACAACACCACTTTCCGTCCACATGTTGGCAATCTCGCTCCGCTATACTGACTTCCATCTGACCACAAAATCTTAGCAATCCTTGAGTGGGAACACAAAATCCCGTACCGGCGGCCGATGTCCATCCGTCTGGACTGCATGGTTGCACCCGAATGGATGTGGAAGTACCACGTGGTTCCGTTACCGTATTCAAACTCCGCGATATACGCGATGGATGAAAGCCCGGCAGGCTGAGATCACCTAACTTGCTTTGAGATATCTCCTTTGCGTCTACATTTATTAACAGCAACAATGTCAGTATTATGTAGTTTGGTAGTGAGAATATTTGACGGAACATTTGAGTGCCGGTAGTTCGCACGACATATGCACTTGATTATGCTAATCACGAAGGCCGCCGTCTGATAACGGACATAATGATAGTTTATAGAAGTATACGTTGACAAATAATATTCATGTCCGACAAAATTCTCAATTGGGGGTCGGTAAATCAAAAAAAAAGCAAGATATAAAAGCATAAGTTCGTTGTATAGTGTTAAAGTGGAGCATCAGACCAGAATCGGTGTTTTTATGTACAACACGCTCTGTTTGTGTTGTTCTTGCTATATAGCTATACCGGTTAAATCATCTTTGTAAATTTACAGATTGCTCATCTGGATTGGCCAATCTTATAGTCTAACGCAATAAATAGCACATGCTGTGATATGCATAAACTAACACGAATGCTGTGATTTTTAAAATGCATTGTTATTATTACAGTGCAGTTAGTATTATCATACTGTATTCCTTCTGTGCAGTTTAAACGCGTTCAAATAAAATTTCCCGAAATTTATTAACGTAGGAGCATAATTCACAGAGTTACTATAAAATTCAAATTCTCTACGAGCTGTAGGGCGCTTACACTAAAGCAAATTTGGCTATAAAGTACAAACTGAAAAGGTAAAACAAAAATTTTTACACTGATAACGCTGTATACCACTATCACGGATCACAAAACAGGCTTCCGCGAAAACTTTTTCTTTCGGTATTTTCTTTTGGTTTTGGTGCCATTCAGTGGAATTGCCGTACTATTGTCCAAGCTTCTTCCAACATTATAGTAGATGCTAACAAGAGACATCCCGTTCGGTCCTCCTCCGTAGCTCATTCCCGTCGACGGCATTCCCGATGGCTGATTGGTATAAATGGTACCACCCAGCATCATCTGATTTCCCGTCGCTCCCATCGGCTGTCCTCCCATCGGTTGACCTCCCATCGGCTGACCTCCCATCGGCTGTCCGCCCATCGGTTGACCTCCCATCGGCTGACCTCCCATTGGTTGTCCTCCCATCGGCTGTCCTCCCATCGGTTGACCTCCCATTGGTTGTCCTCCCATCGGCTGACCTCCCATCGGCTGTCCTCCCATCGGCTGTCCTCCCATTGGTTGACCTCCCATCGGCTGACTTCCCATTGGTTGTCCTCCCATCGGCTGTCCTCCCATCGGCTGTCCTCCCATCGGTTGCCCTCCCATCGGTTGCCCTCCCATCGGCTGACCTCCCATCGGCTGACCTCCCATTGGTTGACCTCCCATCGGCTGACCTCCCATTGGTTGACCGCTCATCGTCTGTCCTGCCATCGGTTGATATCCCATCGGCTGTCCTCCCATCGGTTGACCTCCCATCGGCTGACCTCCCATTGGTTGTCCTCCCATCGGCTGTCCTCCCATCGGCTGTCCTCCCATCGGCTGACCTCCCATTGGTTGTCCTCCCATCGGCTGACCTCCCATCGGCTGTCCGCCCATCGGTTGACCTCCCATCGGCTGACCTCCCATTGGTTGTCCTCCCATCGGCTGTCCTCCCATCGGTTGACCTCCCATTGGTTGTCCTCCCATCGGCTGACCTCCCATCGGCTGTCCTCCCATCGGCTGTCCTCCCATTGGTTGACCTCCCATCGGCTGACTTCCCATTGGTTGTCCTCCCATCGGCTGTCCTCCCATCGGCTGTCCTCCCATCGGTTGCCCTCCCATCGGTTGCCCTCCCATCGGCTGACCTCCCATCGGCTGACCTCCCATTGGTTGACCTCCCATCGGCTGACCTCCCATTGGTTGACCGCTCATCGTCTGTCCTGCCATCGGTTGATATCCCATCGGCTGTCCTCCCATCGGTTGACCTCCCATCGGCTGACCTCCCATTGGTTGTCCTCCCATCGGCTGTCCTCCCATCGGCTGTCCTCCCATCGGCTGTCCTCCCGTCGGTTGCCCTCCCATCGGCTGACCTCCCATCGGCTGACCTCCCATTGGTTGTCCTCCCATTGGTTGTCCTCCCATCGGCTGTCCTCCCATCGGCTGTCCTCCCGTCGGCTGACCTCCCATTGGTTGTCCTCCCATCGGCTGTCCACCCGAAGCTGGCGCGGCCACATAGTAATAAGACTGTGCTGCTGGGGAGGGGGTCGGCTGCCCACCAGGTGCAGGGCTTCCCGATGGGGGCATGGGTTGGTTTCCGGTTGGCGGCATAGGTTGCCCGGAAGGCGGAGGCTGGCCTCCTGGTGCCGGCGTCGGCTGCCCAGAGGGTGGCGGCATGGGCTGCCCAGAGGGTGGCGGCATGGGCTGCCCAGAGGGTGGCGGCATAGGTTGTCCGGAAGGTGGAGGCATAGGTTGTCCGGAAGGCGGAGGCATAGGTTGTCCGGAAGGCGGAGGCATAGGTTGACCTCCTGGTGGCGGTATCGGCTGTCCAGAGGGCGGGGGCATCGGTTGTCCGGAAGGCGGAGGCATAGGTTGACCTCCTGGTGGCGGTATCGGCTGTCCAGAGGGCGGGGGCATCGGTTGGCCTGAAGGAGGTGGTTGAGGTTGACCGGTAGGAGGCGGCATGAGGCTCCCACTTGGAACGGATCCGGCGGGGCAGGTTTGTGGTCCAGGTGTCACTGGTCTCGGCGTTGTTGTTGTAGGCGGAGGTGGCATTGTCACACAATTAGGGCTGGTTGAACCCGGTGGACATACCGTCGGCGGGGTAGGCTGGCCATAGGCAGTGGTGCAAGCGGGATTCATTGACCCTGGTGCGCATGGAGTGGGTCCGGTGGTGGTGGTGACCGGTGGGGCTGGTGTGACATAACCTGTGGTTGCGGTGGTCCTAGTAGTCGTCGTCGCCATTGTTGTCGTGGTCGAGGTGGTGGTTGTAGGTGTTGTAGTGGTGGTCACCGTGGTAGTCGTGGCTGGCGGTGTCGCATATGCCGTGGTCATTGGGGTAGTCATGACTGGTGGCGTAGCGTACGCCGTAGTGGCCGGCGTCATGGTCGGTGGTCTAGCAGTCGTTGTCGTGGTCATCGGAGTAGTGGTCATCACAGGTGGAGCGGGCGTTGCGTAAGCCGTGGTAGCTGGCGTAACGGGGACGGTGGACGGCGGTCTGGTGGTAGTTGTGGTGGCTGTAGTAGTAGTCGGTGCGGGGGTCGTCGTCGTTGCCCTGGTAGTTGTGGTCGTAGGTTGATTCCCGGAACACATGTTGCTGCTGGACGGACTTCCCCCAATTGGTGCTAAAGTCAACATTAAATGGAAGACATATCGTACTTACAGCACTTATTGGAATTATCTCCTTATTCAGCTGCCTTACTGTAGCAACACCAACTTCCGTCAAACGCCGAACAATCCCGCGAAAGTGCCACTTCAAGAGGACCACACTTGGCGTCGAGATCGGCGGTGGCAGCGCACATTCCGTTTTTACCAATGGCGGGCCAGTTATCGGGAGTGCAGCATGTCAACGGCCGAGCAGTTGTTACAGTTACGGGACCAACAGAGGGTGCCGGGGTAGTCACCGGCATAGGACTGGGGCTAGGGCTCGGGCTGTTGGAATTATAGGATTGCCGTGCTTCGATATCATCCGCTTCATCTGCTAAACACCATATGGTTGGGTGAGAGCCAGTAAGAGTGATATTATTGCGTCATACTGACCATGAAAAGGAACTCAGTATTTAAACTGGTGCGAGGATACTACGGTATATACACCCTTTTTTTACGGTAGACTTGCGTTTTTGCAAAATATTACATTTAGCCAAAACTCCACCATAATTTCCTAATGCGACAGTACGATTTGCGCCTGAATCACATACAGACGGGAAAGTTTTTCGAATTTAAAGCCTCCTCTATCGTATAAGCCTTAGTTTGCAAATTTATTAGCCTCCTCCGTGTTAGAGGCCTCCCTGATGAACGGTGTATAGCAATAGCGTAAGTAATAGCGCAAGTTTCAATAGCAATAGCGCAAGTTTCAAGGCTTCAAAAATTTTAGAAACTTCAAAAATTTTAGAAACCCAGGGCTTCTAATTAGAAAAATACGGTAAGCCTAAATAATCGTAGAAATCGCGGCGCTGGTGTCATAACCGTGACTTCAGAATATTTACAGACAATAAACGAATACGTCGCTTGCTTACACAAAGAACATCTTTATATTTCTCTTGTCTAAAAATGATTAACGATAAAAGGAAGTCGCAGTCCGGTATCGTCGCTGTAATAACTGTTGGCTTCAGTCTACCGTGATGTATGAGTAATCCCCAAGTCAGGAAATTAAAACCACAAACCTTCCTCGCCATTGTCCGCAGAATTTACATATCCACATCCTAGCAGGACGAGCACAGCGACAACCGGAAGTGAAAGGCGCATGGTTATTAATTCGATAAGGGACACACCCTCTCTCTGGACGCTGGCTACTTTAGCGCACTTCCAAAGCAATCATCCGCAAATCCGTCAAAACTTTTATGGAATTTACTAGTACAGATACAAGCTGTGCAATGATCAGTAACCGAACTCCAAACATACTTTACGGCACTATTAAGCCTTAAATAATTTTTGCGTTCCGCATAGCTTCAAGGTTTCTCTCTTGAATTGCTGAAATTTAAACATTCAGAACCAATCGTGTTAAGTTGGGAATTGGACCGACATGCGCACAAGTCAAGTGTGCACAAATGGATTACAATAAGGTGTGATTTTTCAGTCTTTAAACTATAATTGTGGCAAACAATTTCATAAAACACAATGAAGTATTTTCATTGACTAACAATATAATACCATGTCTGTGTCTACGGCTCAAGTTGGTTCTGTGGCCTAGTTATTATAACAGAAATATAAGAGAAATTGTACGGTTCACTGGGTGGCTTATTGAGTCTTTATAGCGAAATGCTGCTGTAAAAGGCATGCAAATTATACGTTCAATTAGCTGTACCTAACACCACTCTTTTATTCTGGACAGACGACGGACGTAATTGGCATTAGTAATGTTACACTAACCATGGAAAGTGAGTGGGCTTTTGTCGCCCTTTTGACAAGTTATTTTATGTTCCTTGACAGCGGCCAGCGAAAGATTCACACACTTTTTAGAATCTGATCTACACGTACCGACTGCGGAAGAATAGAAAGCCCCCATTTACATTTTGTGACGCTTTAATGACCGAAAAATAACCTCACTGATACTGCGGTGATGGCAACACGGAGTTCGCAGCATTGGGAATCCTCAAATTTGCAGTTGGTTGTGCATAGCAGCGTAGGTACCTTCATAGTAACACTTACTGCAACATATAGACTTTTTGCAATGTAATTTTCGGCGTAAGAGTGGTGGTCACTCATATTCCAAAAGTGTTGAGTGACCACTGCTACCGGAGATTCTCAAAGCAGGTCTCACTGGCGAATGCAAAATTTCATTGGCTTTCTTCCGTTTTATATTAAAAGAAGACAACAAACATGTTGTGTGATTTAAATTACTGCCTGGCGGCATAGTGCCTCTACTCGGAGCGCTGATATAAGAAATAATATCCAGATACAGAAAGGTCATCAGTGCGCCACACTTGATTTTGGAGCTTGTTAAAGAAACGGTAAATGATGAAATTAATAATATTCGGCTTTTTTGAATGAATTAGTATTTCCGTTTGCTTTACGTTGGCATTTATAGAAGCAAACCCACTTGAAATACTGTACGGTTCAATCGGGAATACCCTTTGAATGAACGGTCGACTGTTGTTGTCTCACCATTATGATCTGCAGTCTGCAATTTTGCACAAAATCACGTTTTATTATTTTCCAAATTATGGCCTTCGCCTACCGAGTAATGCCTACACGGTTAGCCGTAGGTAGTCTGTCTATACGGTTTAAAGCAATTGCAAATTCCTGACAACAAATTTTACTAATAAAACGAAACAAATAGGTTACACCGGGCTACAGACCAGCATGCGCAATACTAAATAAATTAGTAGCTCGACTTCCACTGAGATTCCCAGATGTGTTAGCACTGATTTCAAGGTGTACTGCACGCACAAGATTTTTATAACAAAAATCGTGTAGCAAAAATTTCACCATACACCAGCGCGCTTTGAGGGGTTCATAGGTGATCCCGAAGGACAATTAAAAGCCTCCGCAAAATCTGGCAGATTCGACAGCGGTCCCATTACGCGAAACGGATACGGACTGTGAACCGACAGTAAAATGTTGTTCGCCATATATTCCGGTCGGTAATATCCGCACCATGTCTACAAATTAAACTTTTTATATAATGCGAACTTCCGCTGCTCGTTAAATTCAAAGGACAAATGTAATACTTGTGCGCTGGCCAAGAAGTAAACCCTCTCCACGGAGAAACTTTCCAAACCAGGTAACAACGAGATTGAGGATTCGTTCACTCGGGATAAATACTGCTTAAATGCCTGTAAAATTGTTGTAGTTCTTTACCTTACAGTACCATCGACAGAAAACAAAGACATCATTATTCGAGGAAGATTAATAAAAAAATACGTAATTATTGTACGGTTTGTACCTGGATTACTGGATACACGTACAGATACTGGATTACTGGATACACGTACTGGATACACGTGGATCTGTACACTGACACAGTCGCTCCATACGCAAATAGTATGCGCAGCATTTACACTGAAGAAATCACAGTTACAAACTCACCATATAGGCTTCTTTAACACCGCCATTATCAGCAATATTTTCTCCGGAAGTTAATACTCCGTTGAGGTTTCCAGCGGAAGTATTATAGCTATTGTATTGCTCAATGACGGTTTTGGCGCGATTCAAGTAGTTAATACGAGAAGTGTTTGTCCACCACGCGGATAGTCGACCTTCTTCATCGAATAATGAGCCTAAAAAATCGAGTGTCTGAAAATTTCTTGATTCATGCAGCAGTTCTAAACAGTCTGACGTTTCTAAACAATCTGACTACTAACTGATATTCAACCTAACAAAAGCACCGTGTCCCCAAATTACCTTTGTCGTCAAATCCGTGAGTCAGTTCATGTCCGAACACTTGGCCCAGTGCCGCGTAGTTTAAATAATCAGGATAATCCTTGTGGAATACCGGTGGTTGCATAATACCCGCCAGAAATGCTAGAACATAATTGTACTCGTAATTTGTATAGTTTTGTTTTACTTGTATTATCATAATAGAATTGAGTTTAAATATTTATTTAATTTTTCGGGGTGCATTTCTACCGCTTTACCGATGATATTTTTCTGTGGATAATAGTAGGCATTTACGGTAGCCGGCGCGACATTCTCGTCAATGTTACGCAAACTTGGTTTGAGCAAATCTTCATGGTGCTTGGCAGTGATTTGGACATCAATATTCTTGTCGTTGACGAAGTGAGAATTCGAAATATTGAACTAAAAACAAAAGTGGAAGATACAAGACAAATTGACTGATGATTTTGCACTTCTGAGCTACTTTTTCATAAAATAGGTCCAGCCGTGGCAGATCTTGTAAAATGAAGTCCGGGTATCCAATATATTCCATTACAGCGCGAAGCTTTTTAAGGGCTCTGTCTTTGGTTTCACTATCCATCCAACGGATTTCGTTAAGTATGCGCTCGAAGGAATTTTGTATATCGCTGACCAGCCCGAGAAGCTACGAAAAGTAAGATATGAAATTTTTCGCTACTACCGCGCTCACAGCTATCGTAGTGCATATATCTGTTTGTATTATTCCTACGACGCATGAGTGCACGACAGATTTAGCCGTGCGAATTAATTATACTAAATTTTAAAGCGAAACTTTCATTCCTGCTTCCAAACGGAAAGATGAAGGCCGATCTGCTTAAAATTTATGGAGAGGTGTGGCGCTTTTTTCCCGTTTATTAATTCTGCTAAAAGATTACTGTTAGCTAAAATTTTGATAAAGCGTGTTAAATAAACTTCACGAATCTTTGCGGTAATATATAACGTGCAACAGAAGTACACTTTAATATAGCATTTTACTTTGCTCTTCGCTTCCATGCCAAAATAGATATCCACATATATGCTGCCGACAGCTAACTTCATGGCTGAATTGGTATAATCCACACAAGTCCGCCAGCGAGGGGATTCTTCCTTTACCCCGGAGTAGACTTTATCAAATTCGAATGCCGCATCGCGATAGCGTTTGGATAACTGAGCTGCCGCATTCTGCAGTAAACGCCATCCCCAATAAGAGGCAATAAAACGTTTTCCCGTACCGGCTTTGTCCGACAGCTTTTTCGATAACAAGTCGTCCAGTTTTTCATCTACGGTCATTTAAACATTGCATTTTAGAAATCATTGCATCAGCATGTGACGATCAGCACTTACAATATGATGGATTGACAACGTTGACAGTTAAATTTAACTGAATGGCCTCTGCCACTGAGCCGTTGAGGGGTATATTCCGTAAGGCTTGTAATATGTCAGATTTGTTGAAGGTTTTGTTGAAATGATGATCGAGAAAATCATTTAGCGTCATTTTATGGAAGGTTTTATATGGATCACGACGCTCTTCTTCCGTGAAACTGAACTAAACCACGCAAAAAATTGTTACTAGATTATTATTGCATTTGTACTCGTATCGGATAAAGTACAATATTGAAATTACAAATACTGACATGTATACGTGAAATACAGAATCTTCTTACGTTAGCAATTGCGGCTTCGAAGTCAAAAAAATCCTTTAGCTGCTTATCGAGATCATTTGGGGGTTTCACTTTCAAGTCTTCGGCCAATAACTTCGTAAGGTTTTTCATTAAGGCCATATATCCTCGTCGGGTGCGCTCCGATGATGAACGATAATACATTTTTTTTGACGGTAATCCCAGGGAAGTTTCATCAAAGAACAATATATGCTCACGGGGATTTTCCTGGTTAGCAGATACGTACATTGAAATCAGGTACGATTGACCTTCGCGAGCCATTTTGCTGTAAGTGTCCAACACGCTAAACTGGCTACTGTCCCATGATTTATTTAGCATTGGCCATGAGCCCATAACGTTATTCAAGGCATCAATAAATGGAAGCGATCCGGATTCTTCAATGGCATCTATGGAGACAATAGTTGACTTTAATAACCGTTTTGTATGATGTTTGCGGCGTTGCGCAGTTTGAATTAGGACTGGTCATTACTGATATCACTGCATGCGGCATAAACTTGTCGGGCCTTTTTTCTCGCCGTTGAAACATCAGTCCCGTTGAAATCCATCAGATCTGTCGAAAAAATTTCCCTGTCAATTAAAACTTCAATAAGATCTAAAAAACCCTAAAACGGACTTCGCAATTTGGCAAATAGTTGCTGCTGCATTTGCTGCAGGACACCCCATTTGGCGTAATCAGGGGGAATGGGATTCAGGACATTCCAGTTGCCGCAAGCGTATTCGAAAAAGTCTTGACAAGGTTCCACGGAAGTGTTCATGGATTGTAACATAAGTGCCGCTAAAAAACAAAATGACTGTTTGAATGACTTGGTGGAATACTGGGTGCCATTATTGTAATTCCTAGGGTAATTGTAGTTCAATGGCTCTGATTCCCTAGTTTTGTCTACGCCGTACTCAATTGTCAGCAGTAATTTTGCATTTTCGGCGCCGATTTACACAGCTTGGCGTTTTGGCAGAACAGGGAAATAATACTAAACGGCGAAATAAAAAGTAGAGAAGCGTTCTTATATCAGTACGCGGGCATTACATTATACATTTTTTTAAAATAAAATCTCCATAGTACTTCCATAGTAATAGTACATGCATTTTGAAGTATTCAGGTTTCTGTTTCACCGGCTTTAATTATTTGCATACAATTTCCTGCTGTCATCCTGGTTTTCTCTTCCACGGTAATTTCTGGCTTCTGTTGGTTTATAGTATATCATTTTATCAGTGAATACTGTACTTACATTGCTGTTATCAATATACGTAAGTCCATAATATTACATCACTAAACTAACATATCCTTGTTATTAGTTTAGTAATATTACGTTGTCATAACTGATAGGTAATTTAGCACAATAATATTTACAACTTTCTGGAAAGGCCTAAGCTAAAATGCACGAATTGCAAATCATTTTGAATGGTTGAATTCAGGAAACTACCGGTCTTTAAGATTACAACAAATGAACACAAACATGTTTGAGAAGAAAATGCCGCATAAAAATGCAGTGTCGGTAGAAGATGACGCAACTTCCTGTGACATACCCATAACATCGTGTGATGGTGGGGTACAACACAACATAGTATACAGATATTTAACTGTACTTAATACTACGAACATTATGTAAACAATTAGCATACCTCTTGTCACACATGCTTCTGTCCGGCAGATATTGTCTTCGGCTTCATGAAGTGGAGTGGGCAGCCTTGATCCGCCGTCTGCATCCGTTGGAGGGTGGATAGTAATTGGAAGATCTCCTATAGCCAGGCATGCAGTTTGTAATAAAGCGAGCATCCATGCTAAATTGCTAATTAATCTCGTCATCGTCATATACTAACCAATTGATGCCGCTAACAGGAAAGGGAAGAACAAAGAAAAGCTGCCGTAACTGCTCCACATCATGAACTAGGAGTTCCGCACCGCGGTATATAAATTGCTGGTTGTCGAACTTTCGCACAGTAGTTCCCAAGATAACGCCGTTAATTACACCAAAATGAGCATGCGCCGATGAGATCCGTATTCCGGCATGAACAGCTCTATACTAAATCCTCGTTAGCCGCTTTTGGGCAAAATAATGTCGTAGGGAAGGCAGTTACATTCGTTCAACCGGAAATGGGAAAATGTTGCGTGCGCAAAATCAGCTACAGTGCTTCTACTGACCAAGGCGAAAACTGTGACCACGGATTTCGGACAAATTATTCGAAAACCGTGGATCATAACGCTACTTCAGATTATGCCACCGTTATAATGCAAGGAAATTTATAATGCATTATCAAATGACAACTCTGTGTGCATCCTTCAAACCGGGCCATGGCCAAATGGCTGTACACGTCGAGAGAGAGATGAATGCGAGAACTTGAACTAAATCTGGTGCCGGCATATCAACCGAGGTGTCGACAGGATATCACCATTAAACCATAAATCATCATGATTTCCTTGCTAAAAGTTTTCGCTTATGCATAATTTCATCTGACAATGACGTAGTTATGCTAAAAGGAAAGACTGTCAAAAGCAATTTATTCGACACATGACTGACAACCGAGCTGGTCGCTAATTAATAATATTGATACTCTTTACGCAATCCTTTTCCTACTGCGTAACTGAACAGCTTGAAGATTCATATGGAAGTGAAGAAACTGTGCAACGGTAATGGATACTTTGAATCTGTCTCAACAGTCAACATACAAACTGCTAAGACCAAGATATTTAGGAGGTTTAATAAATTGGCTTGAAAAATTATGGTCTACCTTCGACTCCTACTTTCTGCCCAGAACGAAGATGACAGATCCATAATCACCGCGATCAATCGCCGAATCTGTTACGGGAATATAGCATGAGTCAAGCTGCAAACTCAGGCAGACGTTACGTTGATCATTCATAAAGTGACAAGGTACATCATAAGCAAGATACGACCTTTCTATCTAATCACACAAATCGATAGTGAAAACAAGATTTTCCGCAGATTTGGCACTTCGATAGTACCCTGACCTTAATAGACCACACGCGTGCATGTCACTAGTAGCAGCTATCGAGTATCGACCACGGTAACTCACGTGTACTCGTACGATTATTGCCGGTTGCGGTGTACCGGTGTCTACTAACGATAAATAATATATCATAAGCGGACACCTTTTTCTTAGGTTTGAATGGCTATGTTGAATCTACTTGGCACAAACTATTTTAACTATTTCAGAATCAGCAATTTAGAGGGTTTTCTGCTGTAAGTGCAAAGAAACTGTAACCCTCTTCTTAACCTATTAGAGAAGTAATTACCATGCGTTTTTGAACTACATACGCAAGTCTACCTGTACAGAGCATGAAAACTTTCGCGTGCAGGGTACTTTACCACCAGACCGTAAGTAATAATACCGTATAAATATAACTGTTGTTAAAAAAATGTTAACTGTTTAAACTGCTTTACATCAGTGCGAAGTTGCGAACCAGGCATAATAATTATACGAGAATAGAAAGTGTTAGGTAATGCACAAATATTTTATCGTTTTTAGATGCTGTAATATATTTTTGTAGTTCTTCTTTATTAAAGCGCGTAATTATTTTACAATAAAACTAATATTTGAAAACATTCAGCGAAAAACCCGGTTCATCCAAATTTTGTATAATTCACAATCGAAAAGTGACGTTCAGAGGAATAACTATGCCCCATTCAGCAGCCGCACTCAGCAGCAACACTTTCAGTTCTCCCAGTACCGCATAAGGTTACAAAATTTACAGAGGATTATAAAACAATGAACAATCGTACTCAAGATCAGGAAGCCACGAAGAATTTCCAAATAAAACGCCTCTGTAGGGAGAAGGGCAGTGCAGTGATATTCACATACAAAAAGAAAGGTTTTTCCAAACACTGTCAGTCAGGAAACATATTACGACAGCCCAGTACTCCTAATTTAATCCAAGAAGTGCTTTGGCTTCTTCGCTTTGTTGCATAAGGGCTTGGCTGGCGTATTTTTCGAGAAGTTCCAGCTTTTTCCTCCTGACCAAAGCATCTTCCACCTACGCGAAAACAAAACAAAAGTTCATCCACAGGATTATTATCCTTTTATGTATAATAAAAGAATAAAAATGTGCTAATAAATTTGGTCTGCGCGATTACGGAAACGACAGGCTAAACCAAGCGTGGATGCAAAGCCTGTATGAGCGTCTCCATAACAGGTAGTAACGTAACATCCGCATCGCGTACTCTGCACGGGGTCTGCTAGTTAGATTAGATTTCACTCGAGTTTACATACATCTTGTTGAGAAGGCACATCCACGGTTACAAGGTGTCGACCCGACCCATCTTCAATTTCCATGACTTCGACCTCTTCCGGAGGAATATCTTCGACAGCCTCCGCTGCAGCCTTGTGATAAATATCTTCCTCCTCTTCGGTTTTATCGAGTTCACCGCCCGCTTTCTTTTCCTGTGATAAGAAAAATGAACTCTGTGGCTCATCCAGAGTATAAAAGGAATCAACCACCAAATAAAAGCATCGCATTTTGTAAGTAGTCACCATCAAACAAACCTACCCGCCATTCGGTGATCATCCTTAGTGCAGCATTCTTTTCCTCTTCTTGTTCAAGTGGAACAATTACTCCATCTTCTTCGTCACGGTAACCGAAATATTCGGCGTCGATGTGCTGCATCAGGTCACCGCGGGTCCTTCTAGGAGGTGGTTCAGGTTGCTTTTCAAACAATTCTCGAACTCCTGGGAGATCACGCGCTGCTCCAAAGTACTTGTAACCGTACTGTCCCGGTACTTCTTTACCATCTTCTGTCATCACCAGTGGAGCTCTCTAAGAAATCCCGAATATAGCTAACAAGCAACTTCATAAATAATAAAAAACGGAAAAAATAATCACAAGCCAGTAACATATTTCAGATTGGGCTCTGTCACTACAAACAGCTACTAACAAATTAATGAATTATGTTTAAAATTTTTACATGAGCACAACACCAACAAGAAGCGGTGTAGGAATGCTAGAGTAGAGCAGTAAATTATGCAAATACATAATGAAGTATAGGAGTATTTATAATTTGGTACACCAACATTTATCAGCAGTTCGAGGAAAACGGTAGGTAAAAAAAACTACCGCGATAAACTACTGTACCGCGAAATAAAAATCCACCGCGGATAAATTATTTTTCCAGCCACTCTTACCCGATAATCGCGACCTCCCAGCTCCAGAATTCTAACTTCCCAGTGTCGCTTTTCGCGTAGCAGTTTATTAATTTCATCGTTCAAATCCCTCAGCCGAAACTCCCCTAATCCGGCTGCAATACGCAGAAGCATTAAAAAAGCATTTAAACGCATTGTTAAAGCATTAAAAACCACCAATTTCAGGGACTTGTCGCCGCAGATGACGGTCGGCTACTCGTTATCAAAGTCGTCAATTTCATGTAATCCATACCGTTTTGAATTTGCTCCATTTTCTTGCTAATTTCCCGAATGATATCCACCCGAAAACGCTCTGCCTTCCGGACATCGCTGCACATGGACGCGAGGTAAGGCCGTCGTTCCTGTAAAGCAGCAGCAGCTTGCCGTAATTTCTCGAAACGCAAACATTTTTAGAAAAACCAACCCCAACTCCGCGAGCCTCATCCGTTTTCATTTTGTGCCATCTGGCCAACGCGGTCCTATTACCCAAAAACAAGTTAAGCTTCTTCTCCGAATCATACCAGTTAAAAACACTCGTTAACTGAACAGTAACTCACATGGCTTTCTCCGCATTGCGAGCCTACAAAACACGAATTTGGAACATACGAAACGGACAATAACAGGACCAATCAATGACTTGAAATACATATAAGGATACAGCGAGCCTACCATTCTTCGAGCTCCGCTCCGAAGAACTCCGAAACCCAGAACCGTGAAAAAATCACAAATTCAACACTAGTGATGCTGTCATGCACAAAAGGTGGTCATGCGATTCCGGATTCGAGCTTCTTGAATCTTGTGGCGAAAACGCGACAGGATCTCAAATCATTAAGGCTTCCCGCAGTTTATGGATAAAGATGGAATTTCTATCTGACATCCCCTAACTGTCACGGTGAGATTAATCACTTTAAAGTTAATGAAGTACAGTAATCGTAAGAACAGATTGTACATACCGTACTTAAACGCTTAAATTAATCCAAGAAAAAGAACTGAAAAAAGCAAATTCGTATTAAACTGCGTAACCGAAAACGGCGGAAAACTGAAAAAAAATTGTAAAAAGATCTTAAAAAATGCTCTAAAACTTCACTGCTAAATATCCTGTCCTACTCTAGGCGGGCGACATAATCGCAACGAGCTCTGAACTTCAAGCCGGAAGTAAGAACAACCACCCAGGCGGGTGCTCTTAGCTGTCGGCCGGCATCTCTTCATTATTATTAGTCCTCACCAATAACTCACCATACACCAGTGTTACAGTGCGCAGAATTTGCTTGCCGGCTACGTACAAGTACCTACTTGTTCCACCTCTTTTTGGTCGAGAAAACAAGCTAATCTACGTAGTAATCTTTTGTTCGTGAATATTCGTACAAATCCTTCTGAAGTTTTCTTTTTTCATAATATCTGTAGAGCACAAAGTGACAAGTATTTGTATCTGTCGACTACCGCACAAATCTAGTTTTTTTTGTTTAGTTTCACCAGTGCAGCAATACATCGTACGAGATCAAATACTACACCTTAACAAAACAACAAGTAGTACATCGCTAACAGAAACATTTAGTTAATGCAAAGCAACAACAAATAAAAAGATCGATTACACAGAAGAAAATACCCCAGATTATGTTCTTGATCACGTTCCATCAAAACTTTGCTGCGCCGCGAATGATATCGGGTTTCCAGCTGATCGGATGCGTTTCTTCGGTCTGCAACAATCAGAATATATAGTAAGGGGCAACAAAGGGTAAACCCATTCCCACAAATACGAGTGATAATTTATTTGTGGAACAAGATTCTGCTGTTAACTTACAGCACTCTCATCTTCTTTGTACACTTTTATTGTTTTGTCTGCTTCTCCAGTGAGCAATCGACTTCCACTGTGATCAAATCCACATACGAAAATGCCGGCTTCGCTTTCAATGGATCCGGGTTGGGGAAGGGTCTTATGCTTCTGGAAATTGTAACCCGTTCTCCAATCCCAGAAGTTCATTGTTCCGTTATCGGCTACAATGTAAACAACATTTTCCCCAATACTTCACCAATCATACTTCTATGCAACTCGACTCAAATCACCATTTCTAATCGCTTTCAAGAAAGAATTCGCCAGTATTCTATCCTTACCTGTGGACACAAGAACACCTTCTTCGTTGCAAGCCAGACTGTTGATGATGGCATTGTGACCACTCAAATTCTGAACAAACTTCCCATCAGGACAAAGCCATTCTTTAATATTATCGGCTGAAGCTGAGGCGAACATGTATCTGTAATCAAGTAGTAATGTTGATGTACACCAAGCGCACGCTAAGAAACAATTCTAATAATTACACACAATTTTGGATGCAACGTTAGAGCCCGCACACTCTTCTTATGGTGTGTCAAAGTGGCTTGCGTGCGTCCCATACGTAGATCCCAGAGTCGAACTGTACTATCATGACTGGATGTGATGACCTGAAAATATTGAAAAAATTTGCATAAATGCACACCATGCAAAATCAAGTGGATAAGAAACTTAAATTAACACTGTAGCACTAGCACCAACCTGGGGCTCCGCGGCTTGACAGCGGACATCGGATACCGTATTCGTGTGACCTGACAGTACATGAACTCCCGCCTTAGTTCTGATGTCCCAAACCTATAATTTAACGTGCTTGCATGAAAAGTTCTTCCACGCTAATCACGAACTGCATGCTAGATATCGTACTGATATTATACGGTACACACTATCTGCGGAGTGCCATACACCGATTTTGGTAACAATAATTAGAAAAACATGCAAAATGGTAATTTGCAAAACAAAATAAAAACAATCAAAATAACTAAATTCACGCAACGGGACTAGCGAAATGGCCAACTGCAACCGTTTTCTGAACGATTCCCAAATTCCTAATGAACAACAGTATCAGCGCGCAAAAACTTACCCTTGCTACTGAATCACGTCCGCAGGTAACGAATATATCAACAGTGGGATGTAAGGAAATAGCATATACAGCGCTCAGGTGGCCGTGGTAATGTCGTGTGACCTAGGTGTAACAGCAATCATACAAAGTGTTAACGATAAGCAAATATTTCGCCTACGTAATTATGACCAAACAAACGTCTCCCAACACCTTTAAAATACGCCTTTAGCTGATACCCACCTTGTTATACTCTAAATCCCAACATTTTACAGTTTTGTCTTCTCCACACGAAAACAAGTAAGGCATTCTGTTGCTAACTTCCAGTCCACGCACCGCACTAATATGACCCGTTAATGTCAACTTCAATTCCGCAGTAGCCAGGTCCCAAATCTATGGAATACGAAAAACTTAATTAAACTCAATACTCCTTATTTCAAAGCGCCAGCAACGAACTTTTATTAAACGATCCGCAGCACCAGTAGCGAACCACTGATTTTCTGGTTCAACTGTCAAGCAGCGTACCCATCCATAGTGGCCGGCAATTACCTATAATTCCAAAATTCGTTATCAAAACCTCGCAAAAGTAAGTTCGAACAATCTCTGCCATTTACTCAAACAATTAAAACAGAACCATAAACGCACCGAAAACAACTTTACTCGTAAGAGGCTCGGCTATGGCATTATCATAACTACATCGGCTATGGTATTATCATAACTAAAGCAGTATTAAATCGTTTACTCGAGTCAGTTTCCAAGGGGGATGCCACTTGGGCTTGGGCATCATAGGTCCACGATGGGATATGGCTACCTGTTGACCTTCCGAAGTAATGAGCGCCTAGAGGACAAAACTTTGCTTGCACTATACCATTATTAAAACTTAGCAAATAGGTAGTGAAATTTTACGGCTGTAACATGAGAGGAAGAATCGGCTACTCCTGACTTGACGGGCACCAGAGCCATAGCATCTCCGTCTCTTCCTTGCCTACAAAATAATCACGCTAGAGTATTTAGAATTTGGCGATAACAATGCTTTTAAATTCTACTAATTTCTTACCAATTATTTCTGATTAGTTTCTGGTTTGTGATTATTTCTGAATTCTGATTACTTTTCCGTAATAGACCACAAATAAAGGAATAATAATATACGCTAGTAACCCTTCAGAATTCCAGATTTAACGTATACTTCAGAAGATGTTCTTTATTACTTTTACGTCGCGACATAACAGTCATGAGTCGAATCACTACGGCCAGCATTACCCACTCAAGAATTAAAAAAATAACCAAAATCAGTATTATCAACAAGTTTATTCTTGTTGATACTTCATATACTAACAATACTTCATATACTAAATCAAAGTCTAAATGTATACTTCATACACTAACAAGCAAAGCTTATTTACATTTTTCGAAAGACGATCTGGGAAACAATTTCTGTAATGCTTGGCACAAATTTTTAACAAACAACGATGAATTACTCATAACACGGAAAACAGTTTTTCACTATAAAGAGAGCCCAATGGTAGGATGAATTTGCGACTATTCTGGAAAGGGACTTCCACTTGGTTCCAGAAAATCGTTTTACCTCTTTCGGTTTGTCAATAAGTTTTGTTCACTGATAATCAGAGACTAATCAAAATTTTTCCCGTATGTAAAAATTAAAATAAAGCAAAATACGAGGTAAGTGCGTCATAGTTAACGATTGGAGTCCAAAGCTGATTTCCACACAAACGACTTTTAAGGTTTCATTCCTTGCCTCAGATTACTTACGGAATAACAGAAATGAATTTACAAGGAACGGTCACCGAAAAGCGCCTACAGCCTAAGTACTAACAGCTATAGTACCAGAAGCAAACTACTTATACGCCAGTAATAAATATCGCGTCCCTGAAACATCAGCATCGACAAAATTTAAATTCAAACCGTTTTTCCCGTAATCCTAACCTGCTTTTCTCGAATGCAGACTGAGGAGGCGGCATGGCTCCGAACTCTACAAGAAAATAAATCTAATAATATGAACAGGCAAAACATTAAGGTTTCACCGGATTTACAAAAGCATGCCTCGAAAAGTTGTGCAGACCGGTACACACGAACAAAATTACCCTTAAAACTTTAAAATCATGCCAATTTTACCAAATTCTGATCCATCGTCCTTATCAGCAGCGATTCCTTTTTTCCTCTTTTCTTCATCAACAATGTCCTTGATATACCCAAGTTGATCCCGAGCTTTGATATTCATCAGTACTTGATCACTGCAACCAAAAGCGAAGCTTTTATTACTTATCTTTATTATCTCATTTATCTGGTTAATTTTTATGGCTTCGAGGCAACGAAACCGTGAATAATTTAAAAGCACGGTTGGTAAACTAAACAACAACAAAGCACTTGGTGATTAACGCGCTTGCACTGTGAATTTAGATAGGTTTTAAACTTAACTCACCCGGCGGAAACGGTTAAGGCTTAACCGTTAAGCATAACAGTTTTATTTTTTATTAACCAAAATATACATACGTCTTAAAGACGCGTGTAATGAAATACTCGTAGAAGACAAAGAATGCGTTCGACAGATTATTTAGCAAAAAAGACATACCAGCTCCGCAACGTTGAAGGGGGGCCAAAGTTTTCCGTGGCAAAACACTCGTGTGTACGTTTGAGACTCCGGAAAATCATGGAACTGAGAAGTCCTAGATTTGGATTCGGCTGATCACTTCCATTCTCACTACCCGATGTACCATCCACTGTTACAGGTTTCTCACTTTCATCCATGATCCAACTGTGCTGTTGATTACAAATTTATTACAAGCAAAAAATACCGTAGTAGAATACTATAGCAAAAGAATGCACGTGGCTTCAATAATCACAATTTACAAATTAGTTTTTCAGAAAAAACTCACTCGTGCAAAAACAGCAAAAAGAAAATAATAGCCTCAGTCTCCAGGAACCGCTTAACCAATCACTTTACGGTTTTACCAGTAAGTATGTTTTTAGGTTTTACCATCAGTGATCGTGCTCTGAGAAAGCGTACTATGCACACCCTCACGGTGCAGAAGAAGTGCAGCTAAGTCCCCACAACAGAAAGATTTTAAAAAGTAAGTTTTTTCAAAAGAATTTTAAAAAGAAACAAAACATTTTTTGATCAGTACTTCCAAGTTGCGGTTGTATGATATTCATATGTTTCTACGGTTTTACTGGTGAAACTTGTATTCAGGTCAAGATTTCGGGAAAAGTGTGATCGCTGGCCACAATAATTATGCGAGAGTTAAAAGTTATTAAAACATATTAATGCTCCTTGTACTTGTACGGTACAAGGGACATTTGTTGAGCGACTTTGCTTTAATATGCTAACAGCTTACAGCAGCTCCTTATCGTTGTTACACCATAATCGATCGAATACTAGATTTGTGTGAATTTCTGCAGTATGCAATCAGGTATGGACTTTTGAGTCTAGTTCATTGCATCCTTCTCCTACGCTGGGAATCTGGGGTTTTGCGACATTGATGAGACATTTTTGCCCCAAAAAATTGATTCTGGGGTTGCTTGTTGCATGATTGTTGTCGAGGTTTTGCGATCGTACTGTAATGATATTTACGAGTTGGCAGTGCGGCATTAATATCCTTAGCGTCGACCAAATCTTAACGACATGGAATTTTCGGATTTAATAAAGAGCCCTTACGTGGAGAGTGTTACTCTCCGGATTTTTCCTGACCGTCAAAGCATACGGGGACGATTATGTATTACGGGGCACCATATGATCATTTCCGCTCATGCGCCCGAGGTTGGGAAAACTCACGTTGCGGAAGTTTGGGTTAGTGGACTAGTTTTTGATGTAACACTGTTTCTCAACTGCAGTTGCGCATCGTTGAAAAGAATTTTTTGTAGATCCTGCACATGGGTGTAGATGTGAGCGAACGGCGTCCATATCCCGCAGGAAATGGCGGAAGTTTACTGGTGAAATGCAAGGATCTGAAGGTGTATCAGCTGGATATCCCGGGCCAGCTGGATTTTATGAATGTGGCCTCTTCGGTGGAAAAATTGTCCCACATCGCAGACATTTATAACTTCTATCCTTTCTTCTTTCGACCGATGTTTGAGATCCTTGAAGATGGATGGACGGCGTTTCCCCTGGAAAGCGAGTTTGCTAAATGGACCCTTGGCAGTGATGAATGGAGGATTTCTTTTATTAATAGAGATTTTGAGGTTCGTTCCCTAAAAGAAAATAATCTACTTGATAATAACCGCGCCATTTTGTGGAGATATTTTTGCGCGGCGACAGAAGAGAAAGTCCGTCGCTAAAAATTGTTTTGAGACTTAAGAAATTGGAAAGAATTATTCACAACATTTTGGCGTTTAATTCCAGTTGAAATTAAGTCTGCGTTCCATTTATGAACTTTGTTGGATCTTTCCTGTGTTATATTTCATTCATATGCGTCTACAGACTGTACACTTAACAGTTTTGCCAGAGCTATCCAACTTTGGTGGTGGTGCCGAAGTCCGTGAAAGACGAAGTCATAGCTGGATCCGCAATGTTTCGCGAAGGCGGCCGATTCCCCGTTTTGTCGTATCTCCACGAGAACAAAGCAGCAATGTTACGGTCCGGGCAGCCTCTCGTAGGTCCTGGAAATCGTCGAAGCAAAGAAGACGAGCAACTGTTATTAGCCACAATACGCAGTGGTAAACGAGCGTTTGTCTTCGATACGCGATCGGTAGTGACGGCTGGCGCAGCCAAAAATAAAGGTAGTTTCATGATTTTCATCGCTTTCTACCAGAGATGTCTTTTGTTTGCGTAAAGTTTGATTGCACAATTAGTTTGTCACGGGTATTTTCCTGTTTAAAGGTGATCTGATTAAGTGAATGTTCGCTTAGTTCAGTTAGTTGTACTATTGCAGGTGGAGGCTACGAACTGGAAGTGTATTATTCACAATGGCGGCGAATACATCATTCCCTAGAAAACTGGTCTTCGCTGCATACATCCTTATCCAAATTAGTGGATGCTTGCGCCGATCGCAATCTGAGTGTGGATAAATGGTTGTCCCGGTTAGAAAGTAGCGGCTGGCTGAACACAGTGGGAGAAGTCCTGCATGGAGCCTGCGTAGTTGCACAGTGTCTGCATAACGAGTGTGCTACAGTTTTGGTTCATGGAGCGGAAGGCATGGATTTGACGCTCTGTATTACATCGCTGGTCCAGATAATTCTTGATTCAGATACGCGGACTATACGAGGGTGTGAAAATTGCTTATCAAAGAAATAGTGATGTAAACGGTATAATGGGAGAATGGATTTGGAGACATAATTTCCATCTTTATTTCAGATTTGAGGCACTGGTTGAACGAGAGTGGCTGCAAGCGGGCCATCCGTTTGGATCTCGGTGGGAACGCTCAGCGTTTGGTCAAAGGCGAAGTAAACATGAAGCACCTACCTTTTTGCTGTTTCTGGATTGTGTACGGCAGGTGTGCACGGGATAGTTCGTAATCTAATTTGCATTTTGATTTACAGCCGCATTTGTTTTTTCAGCTGCACAATCAGTACACTAGCTCATTCCAGTTCACTCCAAACTTTCTGAAATTTCTGTTCGAGAACGCTTGTGCATCAGAGTACGGAACGTTTTTATGTAACAATTCTCACAAGCGACACGTTATGGATCTTCGGAAAAAGACGATATCTTTATGGTAAGTACTAAGTATAGCTTCATGTTGGTGTTGTCTGGTTTTTGTCTATGAGCTTTGTGCTCCACTTCGGTCTGAATTTTACTGTTCATGTTATTCATTTATTTTTGTTGTCTTTTGAGTAGTTCTTCTCGTTTCAGGTCTTACGTGAATCATCCTAAAGTTTTGGCCAGTTTTCTTAATCCGGTGTATGAGCCCAACCATGGATGTCTATGGCCTTCCATCGCTCCCATGAGTCTGGTATGTCGAAGGCCTTTAGATTGCCCACAGACCTAGTGCGTCGAGGACGGTGTTTTTGACCTTCTGGGTTGATGGGAAGTTGGGACGGAAACTTTCCTAAGTTCAGCTTTTATGCTTTTATAGATATTGTGGAGGGAGTTGTACCTGCATTCGTTCCAAGACATTTCTGCAGAGATCGATGACTGGAATGTGGCTGCTGCGGCCAAAGCTCGCGATGATGAACTTCGTGACAAAGTTATCCGTCTACGAAAGTAAGTGTAACATAATGTCCGTTATTTTGATTCTGTAAGGTAGTGGTTTGGGCACAGGTTTGGAATTTTTCGAGTTTGACACCAAGCATTTTATTCCCTACAGTATTTGAGTTATAATTACGTCTTTATTGATAATTACGTATTCTGTTGAGGATAGCATTCCTAATATTTGAATAATAATTTCGTCATTCCGAGGTTTTGGCTTGGATAAATTTTACGACATATTATTGTAACAATCGCTGATTTAGTTGTTAAAATGAATGGTTAGTTCACATTTGCTCGAGATTTCCTGCACTTGTGATTGTTGGTTACTTTGTTAACTATTCGAAAAGTTACCGCACTAATTAACATGTTCTTGAACAGAGAAATGTTGGCTTTGGAGCGGGAGCTGGTTATGAATGGTCTCTGCAGTCCAAATTTGGTGGATGATTTTGCCAAGATCTCTATCGAAAATGCCGAGAAATAACTCTTTTGTGAAGCATCATTATCGTTTGACTCGTTAGTAACGTAACATAACATTATGCACCGTACTGCGTACTCTGTGCATTCCACAATCAACGGTGATTGTCTACAGTATGTACCGTACATCCGTGCATGAGTGGAGTAAAAAAATATTTTTACGCTAGTATGTGTGTATGTTTTCTTCTTTTTCTATAATATACTGTTTTTTTAAAACTTTTTTGATTTTGTTTCCTTCATCGTACTAGTCATTCCAATTTCCGGTGGTTGCGTACACAATTTAGTAGCTCATTTATTTAACGCCCGAGCTGTGCTTAGTGGTGATTTCTTTTGATCTTTTGAACTTTTGAGGTCGGCAGATCAACAATGCCAGAACTACCACTGCCTGGCTAAGTCATGTTGATGTTTTACACATTAAAGCCGAATACTACCGGAGAAGAATTGCGCAGTAATTGCGCAGTACAGTTGTGATAAAATTATTCCGATTCCTTACGAAAACGCTACGTACTATTCCTTACGATTCGACCAAATTACAAACTCGTAACGACATCAAATTTTGCTGTGTTTTTATTTCCTCTTAAAAAACTTGTTTCGAGTTGTGCGGTTCTACGAAAAACTACGTAGCATTACCTGATACCTCGCTTTTCTGTTCGAACTTCCCTCGGTATTCCGGGAATACGACGTTTTGGTTGAGCTTCCTGATTATGTCTGGGACGGCTGGCCTGGAAGCGAAACAATGCGTTGGTCGAGTTCACGCTGCAACCGCCCGGAGAATGCCTCGCCTTGGTAGTTCGTGTGCTGCGGTGTGCAGGAAATTCCCATAATGGTTTTCCGCTTTTTAGAAATTGTGATTTTAATATAAACTTTATTTTTTGTTTCTTCTAATAGCCACAGTAATTTTATTGTACACTTACAGTAGGGGTACGGATTTGTTTTCCGCGTTTCCACTTAACTGATTGCAACGATCAGTTTTATTAGACTTGCTGCACTTGCAATAACTCTTTTAGTTTATAGTGTTGTGTGTCTTGTATCTGTATTCTGTACTTCAAGTTTTACGGTGTAGATTTAGAAAGTGGAAGAGCTTGATTCCTTGATTGCTATTATCTGTGAGTTTTGTACTTTTGTGTAATTGATGCATTAAGAATCGATTAAGATTCCTTCTATCGCAATGGGTTCCAAAATTGACGACTCCCAGTTGATGGGTATGGTTGCCGAATTATTCCCAGCTTTGGATCGTCAAAAGCATAAAGGAGAGGCCGGACGAGTTGGAGTTATCGGTGGTTCCGAAGTGTATGCTAGTACATGTAATTTATCAGTGATTTTAATTTTTAGTACGTATGTTATCCAATTTAGTAGCTTGGTATTTCTTGCGTATGCTTGAAGCTTGTATCTGTACCATGGGGTTTCTTTGATCGAAAGATTGAAATATTTTGACAGGTATACTGGAGCGCCCTTCTTCTCTGCGATCACAACTATGAGAGTGGTACGCTATTTGGGCACTTAGTGTATACGGTTTTGAGCTTTGTGGAAGACGGACTATTGTGGACTGTTTTTCTTCAGGGCTGTGATCAGACGCATGTTTTCTGCGCGAAGGACGCCGCTATTCCCATAAAGAGCTACAGTCCCGATTTAATAGTGCATCCAACGCTGTACGTAAGTGTCCCTTTATTTTAACTGCTGTTGTTTATATTTTTTCCACTGCATTTTTAAACAGAGTATATGTTTAACTCTTATGTCATTATTAAGATTTTGGAAAAAATTGTTTTTGCGAATTGCCTGGTTTGTAGTGGTTTTAATCGCTTGCAAATTGATATAGACAGCCTGCATGATATGCCATTGGCCCATTGCTATTTATTTTAGGGATGGAAAAAACGCTGAAAAGGATGTTTCTGAATTATATGAACGATTAAATGTCTTAATTGTTGGACCGGGATTGGGACGGACCGATTCAACTATGCAGATAACCGAAGTACAGATTTCCCTTTTTTTCAAACGGGAGATACATTTTTCTTTATCTTCCTTGCAAAACAGGTGTTTTGTTGTAGCGCTTAATTGGAAAAGCCAAAGAAAAGGAGCTTCCCATTGTTGTCGACGCTGTTAGTAAACGTTGCATGCCTGTACGTATTAAAGTTGAATGGATCTTTCCATTTTGGAATTTCCCTTAGGATGGATTGTGGTTAATCAATCAGAAGCCAGATGTTATAAAAGGTTATTCGAAAGCGATTCTGACTCCTAACGTTATGGAAGCGAAGCGACTATGGAAAGCAATGGTATTTTTACATTTAATTTTGAAAATTGATTTGGTACTCTGCACACCTTTACTCAAATGATGTTATATAGGATCTTGAACATAACGCGCATGAAATATTATTGGCGTGTCGATAAAAAATATTAGCGGCAGGCGGTTGGCGAGTTGGCCTGTCGGTTGTGAGTTTTTTAAAGTCTGTTTGACCTGGTTCTTTTTTTACAAAGGAATTTCCGGAAGATTCTTGGACGCCCAACGGCGAAAATGTGAAAAAATTGTCACAGGCCATGGGAAATGTGGCCATCGTTGTCAAAGGATCTACGGACACAATTAGCGATGGCATTAATAGTGCGTGTTGCTGCACGTAACTTTTGATTTATTTATCTGTATCATGGTTTTTGCATGAGGCATAGTTTAATAAAATCTTGTTTACTATAATAAACGGCATCGGTTGTTTTGGAAACAGGTCTGGAATCTGGCGCTGAGTTCGGTTTAAAACGTTGTGGTGGACAAGGCGACATAATGACGGGAGCACTTGGCACCTTTTTGATTTGGGCGAACCAGGCCAAAAAGGATGGGAAGAAGTGAGGAAGCTGTGAATTCTGCTTAAACAGCTTTGTCTGGAATATCCTCGTTGTCTTTTAGTCAGTTAATCCAGGCTTTGGGACCACTGTGTTGCGCGGCTTATGCCGCGAGTATTCTGACGCGACGCTGCTCCAAGCTGGCTTTCGAAGATTTGGGAAGATCAATGATAGCTTCAGACATGCTGGCAAAAATTCCTGCAGTTGTCAAAGAACTTCAGAACTGCAAGAAATAGTTGACGAGTGGAACAATGTTCATGTGATCCTGCGTTTTGTGTAGAGTTCACACTTTTTTGTCGGCTCATTTGTGTTTGTGTTAAACCGATTTTGCACATACAGATTTGCTAACTTTGTTTTGATTTGTTAGTGTTGTGAATTCATGGCTGTGGCGGTTTTCAGCTTGTCCTTAAGGTGATCGCTTAACATTAACAGTGAAGGTGGGTTGCCGTTCACTGTTTGTTCGTCTTCACTAGCCTTGCGCTTTTATTGAATTTGCAGTCATGTAGTTGATTATAATGAGATGCAACAGCAATGCAGCCGAATTCGCGATTAACCAAGCTCTAGGTAACCAAACTGTTTCATTGTCGACAGAAGCCTCCACGAAATGAAACACATTTAGGAAATCATTTTTCCGGACTCTTGTCCGACTTAGGCACTTGAATTAAAGGCATTATCGAAGCGGAAACTTCGGATAACTCATCCAAAACCTCTTTATCCAACGAATCATGCAAGATCGGGATATGTGCCATAAGGCCAAGACAAGAAGCCACGCAAACGTAACTAACATCTAAAACTGCATCCAGACATCCACTAGGAAGATGGTTGTCTTCATCGGCTGTCCATTCGGTGAGACAGTCTGCAAGATTACCCAGCTGTTCCCCAGCCAAACGGTAATTGGTAACGAGATCAAAAGCCGAACTGCCGACGGGATCTTTCAGCCGCGTCTCCACTTCCCTGATGACTTTATCACGCGGTTTCCGGGCTGTTCCATTTCGCGGCAGATCGGTAGAGTCCGCGCGCTCCGCAGCCAGAATGGTACTAATTTTCGTAGCGATCTTTCTCCATCGTGTTTTTTCATCCACATCCAAGTTCATCCACCGTGTACCCAGCATTCTGGAAAAATTGGCGAATGTTCCTCCCGGCATCTCGCGTATCACACTGGGACGCTCAGCGCGACAGAAAGCCAAATATGCCGTAATCTGCTTCTTCTTCCGCATGACATCCAACAAACCAGGGGGCAATTCCACATCCAAGTCGGCGTTTTTGGACTTACGTTTATTGATTCTCGGTACTACAAGAGCAAAAAAACCAATCGTACCATCAAGTTAACAGCTAAATCAGCATTTTGACGGGCGTTTTCGAATAAGGAAAAGCAAAAGAAAGTTTCTGCTGAATGAGGAATCTCACATGGCGCATGCAAAATAAATTGTGACAACATTCAAACTCAAAAGCCCTGAGCTTATTAAGAAATGAGCTATCGCAACGTGTTAAAGAAAAACTCAACAAAATTATACAAGACTATTTAGGAAACCGAAGCAAAAACAAAAGCAAAATGATTTTTACTGTTTACACACCTTTGAGTTTCTTGTTTCCATTTTCCAATTTTATCCGCTTTCTCCCCCGGCTCTTCTTCTCCGCCACAGGTGTTTCATAACTGTTCGGTACGATATCTACTGGCCCATCACCATTGGTGACAGGCGACTGCGTCGTTGCAACTTCTGCACCTGATTCTTTCTGTTTCTGCTCAATTATCCGATGGATCAACGACTTCTCTTTCTCGGTATCAGACTCTGCAGTGGGCTGCGAGACATGAGAAACATCGACGACAGAATCAGTCGTCGGAGTTGAGACATCCATCTCCGTCTCCGTCACCGAAGGAACTAAAATACTGTCCATGATGGAGGACTGCTGCAGTACGGGATCATCAGCCAAATCATCCTCCAGATCAGAACGGGCCTGACGCTCCAGTTGAGCCATCATCTGCTCCGATTCTTCAGGGGTGAGTTGGTCGGGGGACACAATCATATCGGCTGCGGATTCCTCAAATTTAGGCGTAACTGGGGTGCTCGGTGTCCCTTTCACCGCAGGTCGCCCCCGCCGTTTTCCCGTATTACCGTGAGGTTTATTCTGTAAATACCTATGGCTTTACAAAGCAGATGACTATCTATGGCTTAACAGTACACTATACCCGCGTGGGCTTCGCTGATGCGCTGGGGGAAGCAGGAATTGTTCGTCGTTTTCCTTCATTGTCGATGATTTCCATGCCCGCGAACTTGGATGGAATTTTCACCTGTCTCCCAGATCTTGACGTTTTTTCAGAAGAATCCATCCTTGATAACTTATTGATAAAACTGGAAACTACTAAATACTGAAAGCTAGCCGAAAAGCTATTCAGTTTTGGAAAACAGAATGGTAAAAAAAACAAACTGTCGTAAAAACTAACCTGGTTCAACAAAGTGAATGCTAATCAGATTTGGTGGAGTCGTAAAACACAAGCGGGCCAAGCCGTTTGCTGGGCCTGAAGTAAGTAATCTCCACATGCAGGCGGGATCTTACGGAGTCTCGAGTATCTATGGCGAACGCCGCAAACCCGCTTGGAATAGCATCGAGCAGAGCGAGCCAAATTTACTGCTTTAGCGGACAACGGTACTTCTTGTGACCTTTAGCCTCTCAGATGAAGCATATGAATGATCCCATAAATAGCTGTTAGTCCAAAATACGCAAGTTATAGATCGAAAACATCGAACGCTGTTTTAATCGAACTGTTTAATGGTTTCGGTAGGACACAGCGATCGCTATCGTTTTGTTGGTGGCGTTAACACGTACGTATCAAGATACAATACTAGAAGGTCTAGAACTGAGTAGTATAAACTTGATATAATATGCGGAATTGTGGAAGTAGCAGCATTTCTTGGACAACAGCACAGCAGTTAGCACTTTTAGAAAGAAAAAAGTGTAAAGATATTTAATTAGACGGTGGTTCATTACCGGACATTGCCTAAATTGCTTTCGATACTGATTTCCGGGTCACGATCGATCTGACATAATATTTGTTAAAACTAATGTAAACTGGACAGTATAACTTATTTTATTATTACGACATGCATTTTTTTATTGTTAAGTTAACATTCTTCTATACTTTTGCAGTACTTTTCACTGCTATTGGCGCGTACGATGGAGACAACTTTTTCTTTCGTAAGTGAAGTACTAGTAATCGACCTTATTGTTAGTTAACGAATACAGCCAGCTTTTGATTATTTTTTTAGCATTGCTTTAATCATAATATTACTGAATTAATTGGTTAGTAATATTGTGTTTTAATTTATAGTTTCTAGTCTAGCTATTACTGAACGGAATGTGCTACAATTTTTTGTTTCTGCATTATCTTTGTGCCACTTCTACGGGCATCTTTACAGCAACTCCGGGTCATGTAACAAAAATCAAGAGAACCGCACAAAAAATCATGGCAGTTATCAGATTAAAACAAGAAAGCTGCAACTCGCGAGAGCCGGTAAATGGACACTCTGGAATTCCGAGCGCTGAGGTCAGTTTCATAATTTATGTAATTATTATTGTTTGCTTACAGTACAACAACAGATACAGATACATACCTCACACAGTTTTGTTTCACAAGAAACGCGCGCTAATAATAGATAGATAATATAAGGTACGCTAATGCATAGTTAGCAACTTTTTACTGAAATTTGCACTTGTACTGTAATTGTGTGTAACGTGGATGTGACAAGCATTCTATCTATCCAAATATTTTGTATATTACTATAGTAGCAACACAATGACGATCCCGAAGTCACACACTGGACTGCAAATGACATAATAAATTCAACAAACAGCTCTGCAGAGACTGTCTTTTTGGAAGACTTTTCAATTGGTACTACTAACAGCTCGATCCGTTTGCAAGAAGACTGGATTATCAGAAGTAGCGAAGCCGTTCTTCCAAACGAAACTGAGAGATGTTATGAAGTTTTGAATTCCTCTATAACATTTTCAGGTAATAATACATGGAAAATTGCATCATATGTACTGTACTAGTACTGCAACTGTCCTGTTGGGTCGATTCTCGTTTACTTTTATAATAAATTTGGTAATAACAAGACGGTAAAGTTACCTACCCCGGTAAACTATTAAAGTCCATTTTAAGTGACCTGTAGTCCTGTAGGGTAGAGTACGATTTACACGAATGCAGGTACGTACTATGTGCCTGAGCACAATATAATTGTAAATTACAATTGCTGAGTACACACAGTGACACAGTAATTAATTTATGCATTTCTAAAAAAATGTGACAACTTCAAATTCAATATTATATTACCTACAACGACTACAAGTATAGCTGTGGACGGCCATCCAGTTCAGACATACAGCATCTGCCACAAGCATCCCGGGCGTGAAAATGTAAGTAACGAGATTAACGTAAGTATAATTCAGGATATGCAAAAATTTTCCTTTATTGTGAGAAATTTCGTTTAAAAATTTTAGACAGAAAACTGAAAACAGGTACATATAGTTGCAATTCTACACTATCGAAAAAATTGCTATACAGAGTGTATCCAATTTGTGGTAATTCATGCAAATTCACAAATTTTAAACAGTGTACTTTGTACTTTGTATGTATACGTAATTCTTTTAGGACACTTCCTTTGCTAATGGAACTTCAAGTAATTGGACAAAAATGGAGAATAATGAAGAATTTTCTGGAATTGTGGTTCTCAATTCAAACAAATGCAGCCAGCACGATATTGTCGCAGAAATTCGAGATATTTTACTACGCGCCATTGGCCATCCAGCTGCACTGAACAGTTCGGTCAGTAACTGCAAATGTACCAAATATAGTATTACGTGTACTCGCAGATGTGTAGCTGAAATGCACAGCACTGGTATTTGGTTTATTATTCAAAAAGCTAAAAACTTTCAATGTGGGGTTAAATGGTAATTATTGCTTTCCGATAAATATGCCGGGACATAATTATTACCGACATCGATGCAACATTACCGTATAATAAAACCAATGTACGAAACTATATCGGCAGTTGAACGTTAGCATGTCAGATATTTGGGAGAAGTTGTTGGAGAGATTGCTTCCCAAGCACAACAGCACTACCTAGTTGGTCAATTCGATACAGAAAAGAATCATTCTGTGTTCTTTCTCGAGGAAAATGCCAAAGAGGTAACTGACGTGAATATGTTTCTCTATTAACTATGTGAAAGGGGAACTGTACTACAAATTTACGTTAGCTTGCGATATTGTGACTCGTTCGAATTGTTTTGCGCTCATAATTATAAAAACTGAATAACAATTGACTTTGTACAGATAATGCAGGCCTCAGAGTCGGCTACAGATATATCCTTACTGCAAATGTTTTTTAGCTAAAAACCCGCCTTGTGACAGCATTGGGGATGGCGTTAGGAAATCTTTCGATTTCATTAACAAGTGTCAGCGATAATTTTCAGAATGATAAAGAGGTGAGCATAATTCTGCAATTGTTTATTCACTTCGGAAAAATCGCTACAACAATCTTAACTAGACGCAGCGCACAATACAGCATCGTAACTGTGCAAAATTTCACAGGTTTGGAATGATTTCGAAAAGGGCATTCAAGATGCATTCGTTTTGAATAAGTCCCTCAACGAATCGTTATACACGGTACAGAATATATTGTAAAGAACGGTACGTCATATACAGCATCGTTTTTTCTCTAAGGCTCATATTGTCGCCACACAAATTCGCCTACAAAAAATGGCTACAGAAAATTCATGCCGCTTAAATAACGTGCTGCAAGAACAAGAGGTACCTTATTTTTCTTAGGTGCACAGACGTTGCAGGAGTTTATCCCAGCCAATAACGCGTGTTAACATTATATTTTTTAGTTTCTCGAAGCTATGGGTAAAGCCATAATTACGGTCTTGCAAGCCGGCGAGGAAAGCCATAGTGAAGAACAGGTAATTACCTACACATACGTACTAAGTCTCATATAAAGGCGCGAATAAGTAATTAGTATACTAAGTGGCTTAAAAACGGAGAATTATATGACTTTCGCTCGACTCTTAATATAGGCATTTGCTACTTAAAAGTAATTGTTGTTGTTTGTTTTTTTCAGTCTTAAAATTGCTGTGTGTACGGTAGCATTGTTGACTTACAGTGGATCTATGCAACTACGTAATTATTGAATAAAATTATATTTTGAATTGTTGTAATATTATTGTACGTGTACATACTGCATATAAAGAGTGATGACCTTTAGTTTTCTGCCCTATCAACAAGCTAGAAAAGCGCACACCAACAACATGCAGGTTATTGCGAAAATTTTTATAATCCTCTTTACACTTTTATTTGCATGTTGCAGATCTTTCGATTATTGTCACACTGGATAACATCGTACGTAAAAATTGCTTTAATCGTGGGTGACGTCTACGATCCATTAGTGAGTATTATTAATACATCTACATTTTTGGATAACTGTTAGTTTGAAAAAAATAATGAAATTTGTTTGTCTTTGCATTAATACAGCTCGACGAGGATATCGTGAAAGTGGCTAATGATACTGCCAGAATTGTGCAACACTCGGTCTTCCGCATCACTTCTCGCAAAATTCTTAATGAACCAAAAACGCTTGAGTTGGAAAATGCCAGCCGACTTTACGCAAAAAACCTACTGACCGGCAGAGTTATCAATTTGTCGATTCTGACGTTGCTTCACATTTCGCCGTCAGTAATTGGCTACTGGAACAAGGAGAGCTTTTCAGAGTCTCTTCCTTCGGATTGGTTAGCACTTACTGACCCAAACTTGAACAAATTGGCAGAACTACAAACCCCAACGTAATTCGCAGTAAGATTCGTGCATGAACTGCCTTGGAACACTCTATCAGGCTATACATCGCTTTTTTGCAAACTTTTGACACGCTTTGAATTTAGTGTTTCTATATTGCTGGCAATACGTAAATTTTTACTGATAAAATGCAAAGTCACAAACAAAGTTTACAGGCAGTTTGTTAAATTACACAGACGGCAACGCTTGTGACCTTTATTAGTGCATCCCACTGGAAAGCAGTTGGAGGCTAGCACAATCTAATTTTATTTGGCAAGTTTGCCTTAACTAAAATGCAATTAGCTGGGTTGAATTATTCCAGTTACTTTTTGGTCGCTATTACCCGGTTGGCGGTAATCATTCTAATCGGTGGACTTTTTCGGGAAGTACACACTGTTGGCTGGTCTGACAGATACAACGGTAAGTTTATTTTAGCTGTGAGTTTCACAGAGTGCCTTATATCATGAACTTGACTTTAAACAGTCCTATCTGTAATAAAAACGAGTCCCACAGGTAAAAACAAAATAAATATCACCTCACAATTTGGACGAATGAGTGCGGTAGGTCTACGAGTCCTACCACCTCCTACCTAAACATACTGTATTACTGTATTAAATTTTCTGTTTTATATAAATAACTACATACTCTAATGTTCTTATGAATAGCTGTGTAAGTGCTAATTTTTTTGACATCGAGGAACAGCACTGATTTTGATCAAGCAGCTCTTACAAAAGCAAATTGTTAAATCAACTTGTTAATATAGTACTTCGTTTTTGGATTGCAAAGACAAAAGCGTACAGCGAAGTGTTGCTATAGAGTACAGCTATGTACAGTGATTTTGAAGCTATAAACAGGCAGATAAAAAGTTCATACATTTAAAAAAATGTAATTTATACTGTAATATTATTGCTTCCTTCTTTGCAGTTGATCCCAGAAGGTCAGCACTGGTATGGACTACTGGTCACAATATTTCTGTAGTCGTCTGCCCAGCTGATGTACGCATACTTTATTGCAGAGGCATACTTCCTAAGTAGCTGGTCATTAAAGTGGTTAAATGATAATTTGCATTTTGCACAGCTATAATTATACTGTACAATACTTACATGTTCTTGCATGTTAAAACTATTGTACCAGTAAAACTAAAACTAGGAATAAATTATAAATCATATTATCATGCCGGCCATAGGTTCATATAATCTTTATTTTATTCGGCATCCGCCAGCACATGTGTCAATACGCGAGCGCACATCTACACTAACTGAAATAATTAAACATAATTTATTTCATATAATTGAGTAAATCAAGACGTGCTATATTTCTCGAATACAGGATACTTCTGCTTACATCTTTATTGAACACTGATGTTGTCTTACGTAGTGATGTTTTCGGTTACAGGCCAGTACTTCCACTGCCGCAACAAGCGATCAAGATGATGGCGCACGAACTGCGAGGGACTACAACATCGCCTTTGACCTTTCTCCCGAGGTTGTTTCAGATATCGATAAAGAACGCGAGCACAGACGGCGTGAAGAAAGAGTGAAAGCGGTTCTAGATGGAGTAATTGGAGACATCCGAATAATTAATCAAGATGTAAGAACATTCGTTTCTTGCAAAACCATAGCTTTGCGGGTAAAATGTATCAGCCGCAATGACAATTGTAAATTCTGTTGAATTAGAGAGCTCGACTACTGGGTGAGCTAATTGGAGAAGTTGTAAGCAAATGTTTGAAAGAAATGGGTGCTTCGGAGAGTGCTCCTGATATCACACTGGAATCATCTGTAAGTGACGTTCATAAATCTTTAGTTTTGTTCTAAGCACTTAGCTTTGTGGACTAGCTTATATAAGAATGGTGGTTTTCGTAGTTTATCGATGGAATGGTACTTCCATTAGGAGGGGCAGTTGCTCGGCTATTTCTGGAACGACCCCCTCCAGTCGAAAATGTAGCCGAGGTATGCTGCTGCATCACTTGACGATTAATAACAAGAAGTATTTGTGATTTACGTAATGTTAAATATCTGTTATTTGCTGAAATATTAAAAGCCTTTTATAAATGGCTTGCTCATTTTGCGTTGCAGCGCCACCTTGACTTCGACTTGGGAGCGAATACATTTATGAAGATCAATTCCTTGCAAAACGTATCGCTTGTACGTTGCCGGCACATATTAAATTATTTACATTTACTTATTAAAGTACCAAAACAGGCAAAAATGCTGAAGGCAACTGCTAGTCAAATGAGTAGCAATGTAAGCTATATCTACTGTACCTGTAGGTACGTTCCATTATTGCTGAAGTACACTGGGAAGCTTTGGCTCGATACGGGATGAAGCTGTTGGGCAACTCTTTAACCAGGGAAGAGGTTTGTCTAAGCGGTTGGGTTGTACTTGTACAGTTGTACATAATCAAAAGTTCAAAACGTCCGCCATTGGGTTTTGGCACTACGATTCCTTTTGTAGTACCTGGATGCCGTTGGATTTGGTTTAGGGTTGACGATGTCCCTTACTCACCATCTTAATGGAACCGTACTACTTCAAGATGTAAGAATGGGATTCTTTTTCATTTTCGTTTCCTAATTTAAGATTGTTATATCGGTTTTAAATATTGAGATCTTCTGTCATCCGACGCTGTAAATCCATTGTTTTTAACTTTAGGTGTCTACAACAGCAAAAAAGTATGTGGCCAATTTCTTGAAGGCATATTTGCTGATGAGTAACCAATATTACAGCTTCGTGAGTAATTTACTTTTCGGCATCCGCTTGTACCGTACGTTGTAAGTCAACTTAAAAAATTTCCTCGACAGATGGATCACTCAATAGCTTGGCTGGCAGACGATATTGCAGCTTATGCCTCCGAAGATGTGCTACGGATTCGGGATACTTCCGCAGCTTCCGAAGTACGCCAAGAGTGGAACAAGTACGCAGCGGAAGCGAACAAAGGCTTGCGAAGTCTGCGGCTTATTAGCTTATCGCTCCTTTTATCTTACCGAAATGTTCCCACCGAAGTAAAATTTCAACCGGCGGATACGTTGATTCAAATAGTGCCCCCTTCCTGGATGGCCATAAAATATTTACTGCCGGCAGTCTAAGCGTCTATACAAAATAAACTGTTTCGGGTGCAAAAATATATACATTTTATAAGTTAAAGGTGACATCTTCTGCTGTAGACTGCTACAGTAAATCAAACAAGAATTGTGGTCGTTGTACTTTTGTTTTCATTTTTTTAAAAGGTAAATTTTCTGCCTGCCGCAAGTTTCATTTTGGTTTGTAATTAAAGGTCACAATTGTCGTGTCATATTGCTCATGATCAACATCCTTTATCAGCTGGTTGAGACGTTATTTCTTCTCGCACTAACGTGGACGTATGCCATTGCCGTTAAGGAAACACCCATAAAAATTGCCATAACAATAAAAACAAACCCAGGCCACCATGCTGCAGTCTGGCTGAAAATATTCATAAATATCAGTGCAGTAACTATTGCGCTAACTGCCTGAGTAGAACCGACAATGGCCATTAGTTTTCCAATTTCCCCTTTGGCGATTAATCCTAAAATTATGGAACGGATCGAAACCAGAATCAAAGGCCGAAATAATCCCAGAATAAGAGATATGTATAACATCCAAGACTTCGTGGACAGTGCGTAAGAAATAAAAGCTCCAACACAGGATGTGGCGCTCACAATTCCAAGTGTCGTGTCTCGCAGTTTAAGCTTTTCCTTGAATATCGGTACCTGTAAAATCGGCAAAGAAGCGTGCTCCAGGTTACACAGAAGTAGAAGATAAATTATTGCCCACAGTCCATCGTATGGCTATGTACTGTATCAAAGTGTATTCAACGTAAAGTATTAAAATGTGAGCACGGTACTAGTCTACCCGGCAAAACGTTAACAGCCCATATGTTTAGACTTTAGGTGGGCTGACGTTAAACAACAAAAATTTACCGTTACTACTAAAAACGCCGCAGTGGACAATCCTTGAGTCGTTGCGAACGCGCCGTATTTCTGGATAGTCCACCCCAGTGGCTGAAATTCCACAAAAAGCTGCAGTATGGCAGCTTCGCCTACGACATTCAGAAGAATTGTCGATGTGTTACAAAACGTATGTGCCGAAAGTTTTTTCTTACTGTCTAAACAAATAGTTGCTGTTGCATACGCGATGACCATCATTAGAATGTACCGGCGACCGTTTCCAAATCTCTCCTGCCGCAAAACCGCCCAGTTGGCTTGAACACTTTTGATATCGAACAAATTGCTTAGCTTCAGTTTTTCGGACGTTTCAGCCGCAAATATCGGTAAATCTTGAACAGTTACGACGATATAAATAACCGAAACAATTTGAATAACAGTAAACAGATAAAACGGTGCGGCGAAGCCAAAATCCTGAGATACCATCGATGTCCCGATTAACCGTCCCAAACTATCGCCCACCGTAGTGGAGCCGCCGACCAGAAGGATGACCAACGCCCGCGTTTCTTCGGTTGTATGGTCGCCAACATAGCTGTAGATGGTTATGTAATATATCACCCATCCGCCGAAAGCTGACTGAAAGGCAGCACAAAATAACAAATAACCCGGGTGTGTATCGATGTACGAGAGAATAATGGCGGTTATTCCACACAAAAACAATCCGAAAAATAACGTCAGTAAAGGTGTTTTTCGTCCAAAACGATCGCTCCATGATCCAACAAACAAAGAGAAAATAAAACAAGGAACGTTAGCAATTAAACTGGCGTAAAACACGTAGTTCGAAGTTGTGCTTTGAACGTCATTCGCTGGTCCGGAGTGGTTAAATATGCTCAAATCTTCCTGTCCCACAGTATCGCAAAAATTGGCAGGATAAGCTTGTAATACTCGACATACCTAGTAGAACCACATAGTGCGTACTGTGGTTGCCGACGTTTGTGGCTGATTTGAATTTAAAATGTGTTTGTTACGTTATGAAATCCCCAACTTACTCTGTCTTTGAGCAACTCCACGAAAATTGGTTGATATACTAAAGAAATTTGAAGACATTTTTACTCAAAATCGATTGAACAGGATCGGATGCAAACGTATTACCTACTCATATACAACCCATAAATACAATAATTAAGCATTAGAACCTTGTGGTCTACGAGTACAAGTATTACCCTATAAAAGAATTTTACATTTTCAGAATTATATGTCTTATCTAATGTAAGTCATAAACTGCTGTGACAATGTATTGTTAGTGCGCCTTTCTCGATGTGCCGCATATGTACCTCCATATGAAATTCCAAAAAGTAGACCTATAGGAGTAGTATGCACTCCTTTGTGCTTCACAATGGATAATAGCGTTGACAATGGCTTGCTCCATGCCGACGATCCACGTCTGCCATTACCATTCACACTTTCATTCGCTGATTCCAAAGTAAAGTAGCCCATGCCATTTTCAGCTTTGCCATCATCAAAATCGCTGCTTTTATCCATAGAAAAATTAGTTGCAAAAATAATTTTTTACCAGAAATTTCGTTAATTTATAAAATAGCCACATAAAAACTACCAAAGTATAAACGATGTGTAATACTTACCGTCAAAGTGACCGGAACCTCATTGGTTTTGGCTAAGAAAATGAATAATTATCTTTCGTAAATCAGAATTAGATTAAAGTGTCACAGATAACTTTTAGGTGTATAGTTTTATGAAATTTATCACTTGCCGAAGTGCTTGATAGCGCACGAAATGCTTATCGAAATCTTTCGCTCGCAGTTTTGATAAAATACCTGTACGGTACGTAAACGGTAAACCATGCCTACTGCCACTGGGGATGGTTCAAAGATTTACTGCTTTAATATATAATTACTGTTTGCATTCACGATCTATTGTGATTACTTCTGCCCATTCAAAATTTTAAAATATTAATTCGTCCTTACAATTGTTAGTTCAGCTTAACTGTCATACAATTTTTCTGTTGTTCCATTTCCGAGAAATTTTGCCAGATGCCCAGTTTTTACTGGAAGTTTGATCTCTGTATTCACCGTTTATCGTCTTGATGGATAATAATGATTGAGTGTTATTATTATTTTATGTATCTTTAAATTTGATAGAATTCTTTAAATCATACAGTACTGGTGATCGCACTGCAGATCTGGAAAACCATTGCCGTAGTTGGCCGGCTGTGGCTGTGGTGTGTGAATGACCACGATATACCGCAATAAAAAAATGAGTTCATGACTTCATACAATCTTGGCGATATTTATCGCAAGCTATGTTGGCATAAAATTTTTATATGCCAACATAACATACATACTTGCATTCAAATCAGCATGCTTTCAGGACGAACATACCCCGATGGAAAATTTAACAGAACACAAAAACAGATTATAACTTTAAAGTAATATCACAGAAAAATCATAATTCGAACAAAATCAGTTCTGAAAATTATAGCAGTTAATCACATTGTATAAGTTCTCTGGCTTTGGTACACCGATACAGCTTCTGCTTCAGGAACAATATTTCGCAACCCAATGTCAACAAAACAGAAGCTGGCCAACGGAATGACCATGACGAACGCTTCTACAGCGAAAACAAAGCCGGGCCACCATGCTGCTGTTGTACTAAAAACTTCGACGAAGGCCATGGCACTGAAGATCATACTAACCGACTGAATAATGCTGACGACCGAACTGATCTTGCCGACCTCGTCCTTCGCTACTAGACCAATTAGTGTTGATTGTAGACAGATATAGAGCAACGGCCGTAAAACGCCTAACACAAGGCCAACATACACCATCCATGCTTTCGTTGACAGGGCGTAAGTAAAAACACATGCGATTCCCGACATAGCCGCGATGATTCCCACGGTACTATCGCTGAGATGGAAAACCTTTTTGAACACCGGAATCGCTATGCTCAGAAAAATGCAGTTGATGATGCCTTGCGCCATGGCAAAGCGACCGTACTGTGTAATGCTCCAACTCAGTGGTGGGAAACGTAGAAATAGCTGCAGAACAGTTCCTTCCGCTGAAATACAGCAATTATAGCATTATTTCGATTCATAAAGGTCATCGCTAACATAGTGATTGAAAGGGGTTGTCTGCTAGAAATCAATTTCAAACGCTTTACGAATAGCATCACTACAAAGAAATGGTTTTCTAGGTAAAGATGCTTATTTTAAACTGCTAAGCCTAAGACTTAGTTACGTTCAACATGATTATTATGGAGTATAGCATAATGATTTTACGTGCTTACTTTCTATGCACATCATTGAGGCGGTATATCCAATCAAGCTGACAATAATCAGCAGCCGCCCACTATTCGCTCTTCTCTGGCGCAACATAGCCCAGTTATCTTTCAGGCTTTGCACTTCAAAGATTTGCAAAAACTTTGATTTCCTTGTCGCTTCTTCTTCTTTGGTAGTAAAGTTTGTATGATCCCGTACAACGACTATCGTATACAGCAGTCCGGCCGCATGACACGCCAGATAGGCGTAAAATGGTGCCGCGTATCCGTACGCCTGCAGTAGATCGGTCCCGACCAATTGTCCCATACTCAGACCAATACCCAGAAATCCAGAAAAAAGCGAAATAATCATGGCACGCGTGCGTTCGGTTGTGTAATCGCCGATGTAGCTGAGCGTGGACATCAAGAAAATCGTCCATCCACCAAATAATGAAGACACTACGGATGCAACGAGCAGATATCCCGCCCGTAGATGTTCAAGGTACGCGTAGGCCAACAGAAAGCCGGATGATATTACGCAGCCGAAAAAGGAACTCATCATGGGCATTTTGCGGCCAAAACGATCCGACCATGAACCAACAAACAACGAAAAGACGATACTGGGAATGCTGGATAGCAAACTGTTATACAACATGAAGTTGGCGGTTACACTCCGTACGCGATTACTCGCAGTCGCATCCACAGTAAGATTTTTGCACAGGTCCCGATTGTAATGTAATTCGTTCTCGCAGACCTTAAAAAATTAATAATAACTATTATTTCCAAATGAAACACGAGTAGGTCTTTATGAAGGTTTTCGCCGGTTAAGGACGGATTATTATGCCTTATATAATTACCCTGTCTCTCATCAGCTCTGTGAAAACAGGGATAAATATTCCGGCTGCAAATCCAAAGAACACTGCTAGGGGACATATCTGAACCCCACGGTTGCTGATAATTCTGCGAAATTTGGACTTTGGCTCAAAAGCGCTAAAGGGGTCGGCGGGTAACGGCTCCTTGCTGGTGACCGCCGCGACTAAAGCGTCTCCAAGAATATCCGGGATGAGTTGTTCATTGGATGTGCTCCCCACAGCTACGGTGGCATTTTTATCGTTCAGAAGTGCATCCATTTTTGAATGTTTGGGGAACGCTTAATTAAAAAGATATGTCGAAACTTTTTGATTTAGTTGAATTGAAGATTCTGGGACAATCAGCTGCACACGCGCGTGCAGTTACACAACAATTCGGGTAATTAAATGTGGCAGTACATAGCTAGGTATTTTAAACCAGATAAGAGCATTAGAAACTCGTATGCTAATAACTGATAAAATATCACACTTATCTACTGTGTTGTCTTTTACTGATATTATAATCGGTTTGCTAGAAGATTCAAGGCCGAACGTACAGATAATATTACATGTTCTGACATACATAAAACAGATAGAGGAACAGAGGTCAGATATTTTGGATATGAGGAGATTACATCCGAACATATCGAAACTTAAGTAAATTCACATAAATGTGTGGAACATTCTTTTAGCCATGAAAGGGCGTTTAAATCGGCATAAAAAAACTGATTAATTAAGAAGAAGCTCGATCCTATAAGAAATTGCTATCTTACGAACTGCGCTCATTACTCCTACACCAAAAATACAGTAATACAAAAAGTAGCAAAGTACGTATAAGACAGATGGAGGTCTATATAAACAAGGTTTGAATTTGAAATGTTTAAACCTAAAACCTATTGTGCAGTGCTACCGACCACTTATATTAATTGTGGTCCATGTTGCATATATCTAACCATGGTAAGAAAGATTTTGTAAGCAGCATCCATCGACCATCGGAGCATAACACTACCAGTATCATATTAAAAAACCAGTTTGACAACCCGATTCCGACAGTCTCTGCGCTGACCGCAACTTTTTACGAGACCATCTTCGCAAACCTTAGCAAGGCTTCTGCGTTAGATTGTATTTTTGATAGACGCATGCGCTACAGCAGAAGAAAGGTAAAGAAGCAGCTGATCACAATATTCTTCTACGGAATTTGCTGACTACTATTACTTCTTTCTTTCTCCCACACTTGCCACCGCGCCCATTTTTTGTATGCGACAGTGCACTTTTATTTTGCATTCGTTTATGTACATTTTCAGGTGTGCAGTTTACCGGTTAGGTAGATTTAAGTAGTATGGACAAGATTCTATTAACAATAAGTACTTGTACTTTGAATGTGACTGACCGATCACTTCAAAATTTTAACACGGAATTCAGGGCTTTCTTTGTAGACTGGCAAGTGAAAGCGCAACGTGCTGCAGTAAAGTAATCCGATACACGCCTGACATTTTCAGAAAAGCATGTTTAAATAATTAAACCTTTCTAGACACGGCGCGCAATGCGTTAAACAATTAAAGCTAAAATTAATAACCAATACACGCCGTTTTTACCGTTATTATACCTTGTAAGGGTAGATATCCTCAAGGATCATTGTCAAACTAAAAGAACTTATCTAGAAATTGTCTTGCACACTTTCATTTCATTATACCAAAAACAGAGTTACGCTATGCATTTATTTTCGAAAGCTGCTGACTAACTCAGTATTGACAATCAATCAATTAAACTTGAATGTTCATAATTCAGTGTGCAAGGCGACGTCAAGTGCATAGGACGATAGCAGAGCGTTCGATTTGTTTTCAACTGACATTGTTGTTCTCGAAGCGCGGACGCATCCACTATAAAAAGAGTGCAATCCTCAAAAAGTTACGTAATATCAAGCACTTAATGCGCATCTACCAATTTTTATTGGGGAGTTCATTCAACGTGTGATGCAACTGGTTACGTCCAGTTTAATTTTCAGTTGCTAGTCCAATTACTTGTTAGTATCGTTATCACTAGTGACACAGAGACAGCTGAAAACCGGTAGGAAAAGTGTTTTAAATTATTCCCAAACAGGAATCTTTTGCTTACCATTTCCGGCGAAATTTATCAGAAAATGATAAAAAATTTTTTTGCTTTGCTGTTGGCCATATCCTTCCTCCTGTGCCTCGCAGGTAAAAATGATACCTTTGTCAATTTTCTTGCATTAATAGCGTTTGTTAACCGTTAGGTTGTTCGGAAAATCCTACCATAGTTATTCGATTCTGTCTGTCTTCGGTTCTTACCCTTGTTAGGGTGGCAAGATATATTATTTAATTTTTAGCTAATTTTTCTAAAAGTGTAATTATATAAAATATGAATCTATGATAGTGCATTATTGCATACGAAGTGCCTTCATGCGATTCCGCTTTGTCTCTTTGCGATATTAAATTGAAAATGTTCCATGACTGTTGTGCAGAATACTGAATTGTACATACAGCCGAACAAACATTACAGTAGTAATGCAATACCTTTACAGCCGAACTGAATACTGAATTGTACATACAGCCGAACAAACATTACAGTAGTAATGCCTTTGTTTTCAGGCGCTCAAAATCCCCCTGCTCCGGCTCCAGCACCAGCACCAGCGCCACCGCCACCAGTAGTGGCACAAATAAAAAATGTTAACGATCAGATTTTGTTTACAACAACCAAGATGCCGGGCGATAGCGGAAACAATATGCCTGCTTGGTTCAAACTATTATCGAACAAAGATTCGAGCCAACAGAGGCGGTAGTGCATAGTTGCGCACAATTTTTACTGGTTCTCATTGTCAGCAATGATTTTCTCATTGTCAGCAGTAATGCGTTATTGCTCAAATTCAGGGTATCGTTGTTGACAGTTGCTGTACTAGTCAAGTGTAAGTCGATGATGCGCAGAACGAAGATAATAAAATAGCTCTGGCAAAAATACCTATATCATTGGAAAATACAATTATAAAAAAACAACAAACTGTGAGAAGCCGGGAAAAAAATGCCGGCAAATGTGCTGGTGTATGTAGCTGGCTCACATTATTGTTCGACCAGTTATCTTACAGAGCTGTATGAGTGATCACAACCTTTCCACGTTTTCAAAATGTTTCGGACTGGGTTTTTCATCAATACAGTGTAACTGATGGTTATACCATCCTTCGGGAAAGGATCCCTGCGCAGTTGGCTCCTTGTCCACATTGAACCCAACTAAATTTCGATTTGCCTGCACGGGTTCTGTTTTGCTTATTTCACCTGCAAGTAATACTTTTGCAGTATGTCCAAAATTGCGTTTTGTCGAATATACATATATGAATATTCATTCTGTCTCTAAAATTAGTAATTGGTACCGATTTGGTTTTCCAAATCTCTGCGAAATTTCTGCTCTGTATCAGTATCATCTTTCCAAGGAGGAACAGAAATTATACGCAGTTTAAACCGTGCACTGTTTGTTTCCGGTCGCCCACGACCAAAATCAGTATCGCATACCATCAAGTATTCGTTTCCATAAGGAGTTCTTAAAGGAACACAGGTTTTATCTGAACCTAAACGTATGTATGGCAAATGAAAGTAGATTAGCTTAGGCAACTCACTTGAAACGCTTCTTAAAATGCACTGTCAAGCATCTTCCGGTCAGAACATGTATCAAAACGATAGGCTGGCGGGACTGCATAGGATATAAAACATGAAATAAATGCCTTGGACTGTGTATAAACCTTATACAGCATATACATGGCAACGAAGGCATGATAACACATCAATTTAAACTCAGCAAATTTTGTGTCTGTGGTAGCTGTCTTTACATCGACAAATTCATTTTCCATAATCGGATGCAGCTCTCGGTTGATACACTGTAGCTTCCATAAGGAGTTCCTGGTAGGGAAAGGATGTAGCCACACAGTCGGCTTCCGGTGCTCGAGATTAACATCGTACGTGCATTCCGGACCGCTTGTCAGTTTCCACTAAGTTAGTAAATGGCAATATAACAATTGTCGCATAGATTTTAAGCTCTTGACTAATCCATTCCCCTATCTGTGGATACTGTATATACCTCCATTCCGTGCCAGTTCATCAAACTTGTCAAAAATATGGCTTGTCCATAACGTACACGTTGGGTTTGTGGCGGATAATTCCGGTTATCTGCGCTTTTTAGAAAAATATTACATGGTGCCCTCTGTCAGTGGGCTTTTCAGTTTTGAAAAACAGATACGAACTTGCAATATGAATGACCATAATCGCATACTATTACTGGATGCATATAGAATATTGAAATTATATAACATGAACTCATTAATAATACTAACACTAATGTATTCTGCATATAACAGGGTTTAATTTTATAGTGATGCGAGCACTATGGTCAGTTTAGTGAAAATCTATTCGGCCGCAAACGCAAATATGACAATAAATTAGATAAAAGTCCTGACATTTTGGCTTGAAATTAATTATACGAGTGTGTAGCTTTAACTTACAGTACGTATAATATACTTATAATATGCTATTACGTCGGGCTTATCTACACCCGCATGTGTATGAGAATAATCAACACACGTACCTTTTAATAACAAAAACGCTCCTAGCCATTGGTCTATCATCCTCACCGGCGTATGCGTATGCCATTCCCGACATCTGAGATTGCTCAGACATGTCAATGACAAGAGCAGGCTTTTCTTCCGTTCCTGTTCTGCTGGATGGCGGCACCATCCCGGAGCATGTAAAATGAATAGCATCCTCTATATATAAGAATCCATCATCACGATGTCCGGTCTCTGCAAACTAACACGCACTCGGTCTCCGTTAATTCTTTGATTTTTTAGACAAGCAACCGGGATGCTTTTTTCTTGTAGCACTGCAATGTTTTAAAAATGCCATGTACTACAGCACTGTTTTACTTCACGAGTGCAATCTCCCCTCAGCTTACGACACGCTTGGAATCGGAGAAGGCTTTCGCTCGACGGGCAGCAGCTCTCTTCGCCGGAGTGATCTCTCTTTCAAACATCTCCAAATCCTCCGACAGAGCTCTCCGCTCCAACCAGTTACCGTTTAGGGTTAAAGGACCGTACATCTGGGATGGTCGGGGAATGTCTACATATGGGAAGACACCATAGGTCATGAGCTCTGAATTCCGTCTCCTAAGACTATGTGTCACTATGCCTGTTCAGGCTATAGAAAATCCATCTTGCCACAGCAGTTAAACCTTCTTACCCCACAGTTGGCTTGGTGGAGAGTAGGGATCCATTTCCGTCAGACTGTTACGAGTATTAATTAAAAGTAGAATGCTGAAGTGTTTGAACTGCCTCTAGGCTAAGCTAATCAGAGTCGGTAGAGAGAGATAGTGTGGAACATTATTTTTAACAAAGCTAAACATGCAGGGGTAAATGTAGCCATGTAGGTCTGTACTTGATATTTCAGAACAGTTTACAAATGTACTCGTTCGGTTACGGCTAAATATCGTGATCGGACTACAGCTGTAGGTTTTGCGATTCCCATAGGAACAACATTAAGTATGATTACGCTTCCTGTAATGACAATCGTGTTTATCGTCGGCAGACGGCAGACTTATGGACAGTACAGCAGATTAGCTTACGACAGACATATAAATAATGGAACATTTGTATATTTTGAAGTACTGTACTTGATGCGGATAATTTTTATCCGGCTGCAGATCTTTTACCACTACTTACTTCATAGTGTATAAATGTTTAATTTGCGTTTATAGACTCAGGGCGGTTTGCTCTTCGTCCGTTAGTGTACTGCAAAAAGGAATTCGAAAGACTACACACCTTAAAATTTCCCGCGATCTATGTGTATTTTTTGTACTATAGCTCGCCCATAAGCTTATTTAATACTTTAAAGTACAGACTGTACAGTACTTACCGCTACTGTGGTGTGTTAATTTTAATTCTAAGTGAAAAAGTGTGCAAAGTATATATTGAAAGCACAAACTCACAAGCTACCACAAATCGACAGTCCACTGTTTTTGTTTATACGTATTCTGTTGTTACATCTGTTTTTTGTTGGCATTGCTGAAGTTGTTGGTCGTTTATTAAAGGGGGCAGGCGAACTTGCGCCCAAATCTTCCAGTTCTGGCAACATTACGATCATGTTTTTCATGCCGAAAAAATAATTTATTTATCATGGCATGTTTCTTGCAAGTTGAATTAGGTCCAATAAATTCCGTCTAAAACACAGGCTAGCTAGCCTAGGTTTATTTTTTTCCGGAGAAAAAATAGCAGACAGACATAAAAGTTGTGACGATCCCATCAAAAACGTCCACTAGATCTTACGGTCAATCATATCAGCGTCAGAGTGATCGTGTTTGCCGGGTTTATGCCCATGATGAGGTTTATGATCGGGTTCATCGTGGTGAGGCTTGCCTGGTTTATCTCCGTGGGGCTTGCCTCCGTGGGGAGCGTGATGCGGACGGCCGTGTGACAAATGTTCCGGCTTGGGGTGACCTTTACCCGGCTTCTTGTCGTCGCAGTCCGAAGATTCCGAGGACGATGATTCGCTGCTGGATTCTTCCGACCGCGAGTCGTCATGCTTACCGGGCTTGCCGGGCTTATGGGGCCGATTGGGACGGGGACGGCGGCTGGGTCGGGATGGGCGGAATGTCGACGAATCGGTATTGTTGCTGCTAGGTGTACTGACCGCCTCCCCGGTGGAGTTGCCAGTGGGCGACAGCGTCGAGGCTTCCACGGGCTCGTTGCTACTGCCACTGTCCACTTCCTCCGTGGTCAACACTTCATCGGTAGAGTCGTCAGTGGTGGACAGTTCCTCGGCCGTGACCGACGTGGCGTTCTCGACGGTGTCATCGGTTGTGCTCAGATCAACGGTGGTATCGGTGACACTGGTGCTGCTGTCGGTGGTGCTCGAGTTCTGAGCAAACACGGACACTGCCAACAGTGCCAATCCCAGGGCGAGAAAAGCCTTCATTGTAATGCTGTGGCAGAGTAAAACAATAGCGTGCAACAACCAAATGTACAATGGGAAATCTTGAAAACTTTATCTCTTTTATATAGTGCTGCGCTCGCTCAGTGTGGAAAAAATCACGGATCATGGGTGAAACGTCGCATGGAAAATATGTGCAATTGTCACAGGTAAGGTGTCAAATGTCATGTTTTGCATGGAAAATGTGCATGTTCCTGTTGCTTCACGGGCAATACTCCCCAAAAACTGATGTGCTCACGTTTTTTCGAAATACGGCCGTAGTCGTAATTTGCATTCGAGTGCACTTTTCCTAAAGTATTTGCGCAGTACCGCCAACGCAAAGACAGTCGACCAGCCCAGTAATTCTAAAAATTGTTACGTATTAGAGCAGAGCATCGTATTGTACAAAACTGAAACATCATTATTATGTGTAAATTGTATGTGTGTATAGCTCTTGATTTCTACAAGGCAAGAATTTTTTCAACGACCGGGAAAGCTGAAGATTACTAAGTCTTTTTTGTCATTTTCTGTGATATTTGGTTATCAACGTACGAGTGCAAATCAATCAACGATTCTTGATTGTGTATTACTGTTTTCGTGGTATCAGAGTTTTTCTTCCTTTATGCTTATGTTCATCAGTGCCTACGTACGGACAAGCAGAACTCAATATAAGTGTGTATATACAATAAGTTTTATTGTGTTGAAACGGAAATAATTTGGGTTCTGGAATATATATGTAGCTTGCGACGCTGCTTATTAGTCTCTTTCCGGCAAACCGTAGAAACTACCGTAGAAATTGCTTAATATTTTATAGCACGTTGCTGGTGGGATTCGTATTTGCTTCACGTACAATACACAGCACAATGATAATACGTGTAACAATGTTACGTATAAAGTACAAATCTAAATTAATAGAGCCGTTACAGCGGTCTGCGGATTACAGCATTAATGCAAAAACCGGATTTATGTACTGCAGCTGTCAGTACTTCACAGCATCATAGATGATGTTCTCATATTTGAGATCCACGTAAGCATTATGGGTGGTCATGCCAAATATGTGGTTAAACGTTTCGTATTCTTGATTTAGCTCCAAGTATTCTGTTTGACGAGAAAGTGGTACGTAGTTCTCCAGAATTTGCCGCAGTTGCTGAAATGTGGGTCTGTCATTAGGATTGATTTCCCACGATCTATTGGCAACTTTGTTAAATCTGTGAAAAGTTAGAGTATGGAAGCGCTAATTAAAATCAAATTGCATATGGACCGCTCGTCGCTTACATATCTGCTGGGTAATAAACCGGTCGCGTAATGCGAAACCCGTCCCGTATCTTCATAACAAATTCCATAACTTGGCCTTTTACAACACTGTCCGGATATGGGTCTCTGCCAAGGGAGAAAATCTCGCACGTTAGTACTCCAAATGACCACACATCGCTTTTCTCGGAAAATCTCCTCTGGAGCACCGCTTCGGGTGCCATCCATTTGACAGGCATTGGGCCATCCTAAAAACAATAACAAACAAAATCATGATCTGCAATATCAAAACCAGTTAAGGTTTAGTACCGCATTAGTAAAACGAACAGGTATTACGAGTATTTATTAATAAGTAACTATTGCCACGAAAACAGACAGTATATATGCCGGTTGTGAACAGAAGTGTAAATTTTATGATTAACTTGTGTAATCTGTTTCTGTACAAGTACTGAAACTGCTAGAAGTAAATAAAGTGTATATATAGATAAAGTAAAAAGTAAATAAAGCAAAGCTTTCTCTTGCTTACGAGATCGGTTTCCAGAACATAAATATCGCTTTGGCACTGCTTAGCCATTCCAAAATCCGAGATTTTTACCACATTTCTGTCGGTAACCAAAACATTTCTGGCCGCAATATCACGGTGTAATATCCATTGTGATGCAAGGAATTCAAGTCCGCGACAAATTTGGTAGCAGAAGCTAAGCAGATCTTGAGTGGACAAGACAATGATATTTGTCGAAGAATTGTATGTGTACACGGATGAATCGTCCGTGCTCGCTGTATTTGTAGCCCGGTTTTGTCGATCGTATAATTCTTTTTCTTCATGCGCAAGAAGCTCACCGTCCGAAGCGACGTGGTTATAGAAAAGGTCATCTTTTTGTTTTCGTAAATAACTTTTCAAGGATCCCTGGGCGCAGTATTCGAGAAGAAGTTTTGGATTTTCGGCTATAAAAAATAATCAGGTAATAAGCCGCCATTAATATATGTGCATTAGGATCAATAGTGCAGGCTTACCTTCTGCTACAATTCCTAGTAAATTCACAATGTTTAGGTGACGTCCGATCTATGAAGGGAATGGTCACAAATAAGCATATGCGTCTAACAATGACATCGAAACAAATGACATCGAAAGCTTCCGCTGAGCTTAAATTAATCGTCCATACGCATGCGCACGAAATTTAAATAAACCATTACCTGACAACTAATTGCGTTCTTATTGCGCATTACCTGCTACCATCTTTATCTGATAAATTTCGCACTAATATAATATGAACATAATCAACATACCCCGAGCATCATTTCAATCTCATTGAGAAACGATTTGCGCCTTCGGTTGTCATCAGAATACAGCAGGGCTTTGACAGCCACCATTGTTCGTGGTGGATATCCCAGTAAACCCGTTGCAAAACCTTTGCTGACAATGCCATATTCGCCTCTTCCCAAAATCGTTTCGCCTACGCTCAATAAAAATTTTACTAACAAAGCTTTAACTATAACGGGAGCGGTAACGTAACGCGTTATAATGGGTTCTTATATAGTGTTACATTTGAAACCTATTACGTAATACACGATCTAAATTGCCGATACGGTTTTATCACCTTTTATGCCGTGCCGTATTTGAAAGTTGCACTACACGGTCAGTCAACGTTTGCTTATTTTAAAAATTAATTTCGCAGTTTTCTAATCTAAATGGCTAGGAAAGCATTGTACGTATATTTGTTTGTTCTTACTTAATTGCAGTCCACTTGGGTCAATTGCCAGCTTCGTGAAATGGTCGCGAAGATGAGGATTCGTATATGCGGATCCAAAAATTTTAAGGTCAAGCGAAACTTTCAGATGGTTCTCTACCGCTTTCTTGGATGTCCTTCTCAAAAACTTAGGAAGCGTTTTTAGCTGCAGGGATGGCGAAAAAGAAAAATAATTTCAAATTCGAAATGCAGCCGGATTACTCATTACTAACCTTTTTTGGCCAAATTTTATAGAGGAAAAATACAATCACAAAACAACCTAGTGGAATTCCAACTCCTAATCCAACTGCCGTTGTGATAGATACTCCTCCGACTGGTTTTCGCAAAGGATCAGGATCTACCAAATAACAATGCTTCATACCACATTGATAAACATAAGTGATAAGACATACTTGTGTTATAAAACAATCACAGAGATAAATCTGAAATATTATTACTGATAACCACAAACAAAACCTTATTCATTTTCTTGTAACAATGATAAAAAGTAACCCAAGTACCCAAATAACAGCCGCTCAGTGTAAAGAAGGGATGAAAAAGAATCAGTTTTGGCATACGTTTTCCACATCGGACAACATACCAAAGATTTTTAGAGAAAACATTAAGTATAAGAATTGCTTGTTAGGTGATAGTACTGTTAATATCTATATAACTAATTTTGAGTTCGTGAATTAGGATCGCTTTTTAAGGAATCTCTTCAATTTCAGAATTGGCTGCATTGTACCGGTAACCTGGTATTAATTATAGCTACCATGAAATATGAATATCGTCCGCATAACAAAAGATAAATAAATATTTGTGCAATAACATCACAGAACCTTCAAAAGCTGTCACAAACCTTCTCCATTTCGATCAAAATCGTTTTGATGATCATGCGGACCATTATCCCACATCCAAGGGGGTAGCGCCGGGCCACGATCTCGGCCACCACCACCACCACCGCCACCGCCACCACGACGTGATCTATCCAGATCGGGCTGGGGCGGAGGCCAGTCATTGTTCCACGGCAGCTGGGTCGGTGGACTGATCTGCCCTTGGACGTTAATGTCGAAATCAGATTCTGCACCTTGAGATTGGGAATTTGGAGGCTGTTGAGATGTGGATCCCAATCGCACACTGCTGGGACTGCGGCGTCGACGAATCCTACCCATTTTATTTCAACCCACAAAAGCAATCGCTAATATTTTTACTAGAGTTGAAGGAACTCGAAAAGAATCTGCTCATTCCGGATGCATTGCTTATAAGCAGCTGGAGTTGACTTCATGCCAATCGCGACACGTACGGCCGAAATACTAACCAAAAATAACTATGTTTCCCGGTGACCTTTCTTTCAGCTGGTACGAAAATGCACAGTCATGTATACTTAGCTTAAGCAATAAGGCTTCAATATATTTATGTTAAAACTTTATATGCATAAAGAGCTACAGTACATAATTAATACACAGCAATTAATCAAATTAGAATGAACTCCATTAAACATCACATATAGCTCAACTGCGTGCATAAAATGATATGCGTGAGTACCGTATAAGTGGTGGATTAATCGATAGAAAAAGCCGCTTATGCCTGAACCCTTAATTATTTATATGGCACGTTCAAACTTTATACGGCAAAGTCAGAAATGCAGCCACCACACAAAACTCCATGCTGTGTTGCTAAATACATAACAGGAATCAAATGTTGCAGATGTGCTTTCCTGTGGTATTTAAAATTTGTTGTTAAAGCGGCATAAAGTGCTCATAACTGTTGCTGAAGCGCTGCGGAAGGGCGCGATGACAACACCTTTTACTGTTTACTTAATTATAATGTGATCCCAATCCAATATGATATCAGCAGAAATCTCAAACGTGTAATTGCTTGCGCATGCTTTATTTCCAGATGACGTGTTTTGTATTGCTCTCTAACTACTCCATAGCAAATGTTTTTGTGGCATATCTGGATATACAGCCTACATGATTACCGTTCGCCGTTCGGACTCTTGTATGCATGGTAAAACGTGTGCAATATTTTCAACCTTTTTAGAGCAGGTTTGCAGAATTATGTACATATCTGTCTTCATGCTTATAAACAGAGTGGACACCACAAGTTATAAACGATTAAAATCATTATCATGCAAAACCAATGTTGATAGCGATTGATGAGACAGTAGAATAAGTACTCAGTATACTCCTCTTTCTACCAATGAAACGCAAAGCAAGCAACTCATCTACAGTTTTCTTAAACAAACAGTACTGGGTGGGCAATTCTGCTAGTACATGGTGAAATTTAGGTATACAAGTTTTTAAGTTTTTAAGACTATAGCCGTGCCACTCCACAATAGCGCAGTCTATGCCGTGCCCCTCTACAATAGCGCTATTGTAGCTCTACAATAGCGCTATTGTAGAGCGGCACTGACTGTAGATATTACGAAGAGGCAAGTAAGTACTGCATATTAAAGCTGTTGACCACTGTCCAGAAACCGGCACGCATTACCGATCGCTAGAGGGGTGTCATTACGGCAAGCTTTAATTTCGTCGTGGAAAGTTGTGTTTACTTATCACACAATATGCGGCGCGTTTTCCGATAGTTGATTTTGAATCGAACCGTCACAGATCAAAATTAACAAATAATTATGAATCTACTAATCATTCACCATACACGCGAAACTGTTTCCCACACATGTACAAGTACGCCTATTTACTGTTCCAATTCGTATAAATTGTCACGACCCTATAGGTCGCGTTCTGGCATACACATGACTGACTGTTATATCTATTCGTGTGTTTCCTTCCTTAATACAGAAAATGAGGCGCTTTTCTAAGTATCTATAACGTTCCATAAAAAAAATTTTGCCCAAACTAAAGTACGCAGATGTAGAGGTACAATACGATGATATGTGCGTTAAATACAAGAAAACTATGTACAAGTACACTTGATAAAATAGAAAAGTAGAAATCCAAAATGCTGTTTCCTGATGTGTTTCCTGCGGCAAGAAAAATGTATCCTTGTAAGTGTGTTGAACACCGCTTCTCATCCATGTCGTTCACATATGTAACGCAGGTGTGCTATTGAATAGATATTTATTTTTAATAATACCTCATAATGATGAAAGCCTTCCCTTGAGCTTATTCGGCTATACTGGGCGCTTTGTACTGTCACCACATGAATGGATCGATTTTGATGGGGTCGCATTTATGACTACGCCAGCAATACCGAACATTTTCCTCGCCAGCAGTGCAGACCTTTCAACTTATCTATTCAATCATGCCAATGTTGAGCTGCAAACAATAATCGAGCTTTGCATCAAAGAAACCAGTCAACCTATTTTTACCCAACTGCATTCTTCTCTACACAATAGGCAAACGCAGTCTGGTATAAACGCAATCTACGAACGGTATCGACGGGTTCACACATTCGACTTCGACCGGATGGCACCCGGGCTGGAGCTGACCCGTCCAACAGCCCACGATTTACAACCCGGTGATGCGCATCCCAGCTTGAACAAGGGATACAATTAATACGGTATAACTCTACAACAGTGCAATACACGGTACAAGTTATAACGAACCGCACCATCAGCTGTTCGATAATAATATATAGAACTTTAATTAATACGGACCTTTCGGGGCCTTGACGCTATGACAGAAACACAGTAGTATCAGATAATCAAGTATGACAGTAAAGTACCTATTTCCGACCGAGTTCAGGATTGTCAAGCGCACGCAGGTTGCGTCGGCATTCTGCAACTCTAACGCAGTCCTCCTCGCTGCGTATTAAAATTTTAATTTTTGCTGGATAAAAAGCAACCTGCAAATTCATGTTCAGGTTTTCAGCTCTTCTCAATGAAAAATTGTTAACACATTGATAAATGATAACAAATTTACGGGTTTTGTTGCGGCAAAGGCGCGCGCGCGAAGGAAATTTGCAGCCGACGAGCTCGTTCTCTAATTTAATCACATCTGTTTCCAAGATAGACTTGTCGGAAAAAATTTATGTGAATGTAAAAAGTTCTCTATCAAAAATTCGTTATTTTTTGCTAATTTTACGAACCGTGTCCTTTCGCTAGAGCTGAGACGCGCCGGCTCGGTCTGCATTCGTGCACTATTCAAACCGAGCCGCACGCGGTTCAGTAATATGAATTGAATAGCGTTTGCCTGATTCATCTGATTGTGACACGGCCTCATTGCTTTTGAATGCGGCCCACGATGAGAATGTGAAAGCATAATGCACCACTATATTGTGCTTTAGCACTATAGCTTTGGATCTGCAACTATGAATACAATTGCGCTGTGTAGCTGAAGGCTAAATGCATCAAATTTACTCGGTATTCATGATTTCGAGAGGAATTCTATCAGTTTTGCGTGGACAACACTAGCATTGCTGTTAGAGGCAGAACGTTTACACTACCGCGGCGTGCGACTATGAACAGTTCCATTTTCTGCATGGCTGATGGGAAATTAAAGGGGGAAGAAATTGTCTTTCCCACTATGGCGCCATCCGATGAACATCTTCTGGCCAACATGCAACACATCGGCGAGACTGACCATCACGTAAAACGACCGATGAACGCCTTCATGGTGTGGTCGGCAACGCGGCGCAAGGAAATTGCCGAAGAGAACCCTCGGATGCACAATTCGGAGATTAGCAAGATCCTCGGTAGTGAATGGAAGGAAATGTCCGAAACGCAAAAGCGGCCCTACCGGGAGGAAGCCAAAAATATTCAGCTTATCCATAAACAGGTGCGATCTAGGTACTAGATTCCGCGGTCGTGCAAAGTTTTGCGGCTGCTCTTAACAGCCTTAGTAATTATTGACTAACAGTTTAAGTAGGCTCAACTTACCATTAGTGTTTAACGTTTTGGACTTTGTTGATTATCATTAGAATTGTTTTGTGTTATGACCGACGACCGTTGTCATCGTTCTAAAATCTAAACTCAATAATTATGGCGTTAAAATCTGGATCAGCGAATGCAAATTATATGAATGTAATTAGTTGTGTTTTAGTATTCGCACACTCATAGCGGATATCAGAAACACGGGAGTTTGCGGTTAAAATACTTTTTGAGAGATCTTATATGAAATGCGTGTATTGGTTTTGATATTTTGCTTACGATTATTAATTAGGAAAACAACGTGATTATCAGCTACCTCTTGAAAACCTTATTCTACCGTATATTACATTTTTAATACTCGTATACAGATTGAGTAACTCTGTTTCTAGCTTTGAATATTATATACTTTACAGTACTTGCATTAAAAAAAGACATTGCAGTGCATTAAAGGTATTGTTTACCCCCAACAAAAGCAGTTGATAGTAGATACTGTGCTCCTTTAGGCGTGTTTTTGCGTTTATGCGCCGTTCCTTCTGGACACCGGCATTGCATACGAGATTTCTTTTCGGGTTAGGATTTAATTCTCATACTGTTTCTGCTTATCCATCTTGTTGAAAATCGGTGCATTCTCAAATTGTAAAGAATATACTATTAATAATAAAATAATCTCTTTGTGCTTTCAGGAACATCCAGATTATAAATACCGGCCCCGGCGCCAGCCCAAAACCGGCACTTTCGCTCCTACTTTCGCAGGATCTCCTTATGCCAAGGAAATGTTCCGCAAGCCCCTCGTGATCAATGTCTCCCCGGGGGATGCGCGGTACGCTACCAATCCCGCGCATGTGGAAGATTACTCCCGTCGGCACTCCGACAGTGACTCCGATGGGGATGCCATGTACCCGGCGCACAACGGTACCCCCAAATCCGATGTCGGGCGTCGCGCCGGCTCGGAATCCAGCGGCGCCACTGAACCCCGCCCCGCCCACATGAAGGATGATGACCTTAATCATCTTCCCGGGAATTATGAACCGCGGACGAACGGAGAGGTGGCCGGCCGGAGGACGCAGACGCTGGCCACGGGTTGCACGGCGGTGGTGGGTAACCCTGGCGAAGTATTCCGGGCGCAGCAGAAACTTGTGCAGGATGCGTGTTTTATCTACGAAACGGGAAACAAACCGGTTGTGGTTACGTTCGCCAAGTACAATCTGACGCTGCGCCTGGAGCCGGAAAAGCTGGCTGCGTCGTTGCTGCCGATTCTACACTCGTAAATTCTCGTCGATGGTATCGTTTTGATTACAAGAGATTTTAACGATGTTGGATTTTTATACATAAGTTGGTGTTTTAATTAATTCACACGTGCTCATTCATTTTGTGGTGCGAATAGTGGTATTTTTGTTTATGGATCTGTCTGATTTTGTTAAATGATTTTTCGGTACAATAAAATAAGCCAAAATAAATTCCCGCAAATTTGGTCTTGGATGCTTCATGCATGAACAAAAGTGATACATACATTGCAGTATGGGCTGTACAATACATACTGTCATAGGATTTGCTTGCAACCACTTATCGGAGGTAACATAAGGCAGCGTAATGTTCTTTATGCGTAAATAACCTCCCAAGCCACATTTGCAATCATTTTCAGAACACATCCGTGACACACCTGGGAATAGCTGGTATTTCCGGTGAACGTCATTTTTGCCAACCCACAGCAAGACAACATAGTGCACAAGGAAACACAGTTCGTAATTTCTGGTGCAGATACTTAAGCACAAGCACAAATGGTATTACTATTAATTCTATATATAATATAGACTTACACAGCAAGGTACAATTGTATTGCAGAATAGAGTAGTATGAACTATAAAAGGATAAATCCCATATATACTTTCTGAAAGCACTAGTTGTTAGTAATTTGTGCAGCTTGCTGGTAGATTGTGACATAAATAATATTCTAGTCGATTAGGACCAGGTACAGCACCACACCGTTCGAACTGTACACTGGCACCATTGCGGGTGCAGTACGCCATTCTTTTCGGAGCCGGCTCCAGAATTTCGGAAAGCTGGCTCTTTGTTCCGGTTATCTTGACTGCCAGCAGGTCCAGTTCTGACGTTGTCTGCAAATATAAAATGCAAGGAATCCGAACCTTCCGTATATTTACACTGTATATATAGCGTGCTTTTTACTGGTAATTATTCAGTATTATGGAATAAAAAATAAATACTGGGCAAGTCGAAAACGATATACAGAGCTACGTAGATATCCTTTTTTTGCGTTTTGTAGATCTGTATGTGTGTGTTACAAGACATGCAATAATTGTGCATACATAAGGCGTGCTAAAGTTCGTTTTACATATACACATTCCCTCTGTTATACGTACCAGACGCTTCGAAGTTCTGCATACCTGCAAACAATTTGTAATTTTTCAATACCACGTGCAAATGGCAAAAGAAAAACCATTAACAGGCCTGCCACGTGTAATAATTTTGTAAACTACTTGAATACCTGAATTGTCGAATACAGACATATGCTGCGCCGGCGCAGGATTCGGTGTAGACGTATTTTGTTGCCGAAGTCTGGCTGCAACCGGAAATAAGGATTCCCCGCTTGTGTTCGATTTTCGGTCGCGAACAGAAGAAATTTTAGTTTCCATACTCGAGACATATAACAGAGCAATAAACCAATATAACAGCTGGACGGGCCACATCTCTGGCAATGGGCTTACTGTGCTGATTTATAGATATATGAAGGAAACTAAATTTATAATTAAGGATTACTCGTGAACTAGCGCGGAAAACTACAAAAACATTAGTGACTTCACTGCTCATTGATTCGGTCTGATAACATTATTGAATTTTAACCCTGATTATGCTGATCGATCGCGGGAATTCACACAGTGGATTGGCATACAAGCACAAAAATATACGCTCCCAAAAACATTGTAATTATGCGAACAAAATACGGCTAACGTTAACGAAGCGGTAAGTTCAGCAGACCTCAAGTTGTTGTACGTGGTAGATATATTGTACAATATTTACATGTCGGGAATACAATGTTTGTAAGAACATACGTGTATTGTTTACTCTGGAGAGTTTAACATTGGTAAGCACATTGTTTACGCACTTTAAGCGCTTGACTAGCTCAGTTTTTCCGTCATAGCAGAACACCTTCCCGGCACAAAATGATTATGGTACTACCAAGAAATAGTCAGTGTTTTACAATAATCTGTTTGTATTTTGGAAACGCAGACAGTGCAAAAACGCAAGCACACGTTTTTACATCTACCTTGTAAGCTTGGTCTTCATGTAAATTTTTATCAATCAAGTATTTAAAATCTGTTTTCATAATACAACTTAAATCTAGTAGCATCGAGTGTTGCAACAGTAAATCATGATTATAGCGTGCAAAGGTCTCGTTTCACATGTTAGTAAACTACTCCAGTTTCTGTAGTGAATTGCAAGTTCGAACCCGAAGTAAATGTATTTCCAGCACTAAGAAATGATGTATCCGTTTTATTTTATAATTGTGGTCTGCCGGATTTTGTGTAACATGAAAGTAACCCCTTTAACAATGGTTTGAAAAAAATCACTTCTATACCCCAAACCTACACCTCTTGCTTAATTAATCTTTATAGAATACGATTTCAAATCAACTAATTCAGCTGGTTAGATTTTCTATGCAGTTGAATTAGTAACTTCCAGGGTAAATTCAATGAGTATAAAGGCAGACACGTTAGACACAAGAACAAAGCGCAACAATATTTGTAAATCTGTATTCTATATTCTTCTATGTTAATCTAGCAAGCAAACTAACAAAACTTGCTATTTACGAAGTCTGCACACAGTATTACTGAACAGAACTACGTATAAAGTATCTGAAAAACACCAAGTCAACAATAACATATTATCCGATCATGTTACAAAAAGACCTAACACAGATCAAAGAGATTTTTGGTATTCATTAACATTGACATTGATGCCAGGGATATAATTGTCATTAGAGAATTCTTTGCTACCACGTTTTGGAATTTGACGCTGTCTTTGCGGAGGGGTGTTGAAGATGGATTCCATGTTCTATACAATAAAAAAAAGATTCTCTATATAATTAGGTAGTACAGCATTACATTCTTAAATTTACTTATAGACATTAATTAATAGGTTACTTGCAATGTTTAATGTTCGACAATTTGGTTTTTGAAAAAAACAGAACCTGAATAATACGTACTTGTTGGCCATTACAAATATTAGCACACAGAGTAGCACATAACAACAAGTTAATTCTGACGTGCCTGCGCAATTTGTGCAAGACTGTTCAATGAGGAGTCAGAAGGTGTTGGTGGAGTTTGGGAATCATTTCCGCCAATTAACTCATCCAGAAATTCGTTGAGTCGTCTTATTACTTCTCTATTCGAGACAATTTCTTTTGCGTCTTGAAGGAGGACCTGCATACAGATACAGTACGTTATAAAAATATACTACAAAAGTGACATAAATTATCTACTGTATATGTTCGGCAGTAATCCAGCCTGCCGGCCCCGCACATACAGTGTTTCAGTGCCCATCACTATAAGTACAGTAGTTTGCTAGCTAAAGATGAGTCTGCTAGTACAGTTTTAAAAAACTATAAGTACGGTATTTTATCTAGTATACAGATCAAGATGCAGCATGTACCAGAAAATTAATATCCGGTTTTAAGTTTTCGCTTACCATAAGGTCTCCATAATTTTCATTGCCTTTGAAATTTTGTACAACTGGTTTCGCCACAGAAAAGATCACCGGCAGCATATTCAACAGCCGCCCTGACGCATCTCCACTGTCAGACAACGACGCCGATCTGTCTGCAGTATCGGTTGCCGGACCATCGTCTTCATCAGCGTTTCCAAAGGTTATCGCCAGCTGACCCAAGAGATCGCTAGCTGGCCCAGGAGCTTCCGGCAGGGCTTTCGATCCTTTTGTTGCTGCGCCCAAGTCGGATTTGGAAAAAGCTGATTCGGCTCCCGCTAAAGCTACAATTACCGGCGTGGTCTGCGGTGGAATGGTTGTGGGTAGGGTCCGGCGTGTAAAGGTTATCGGTGCGCGTGGCACTTGTCTCTGCCGTCCACCGCCGTGGGGTGCAAGCATCCGGCGGGCTGATTTGAATAAGCTCTGCAGTTGTTTGACGCCGGGTATCCCTCCTGTTGTCGAATGCACCATTATCATCAGAAAATAGATCCATATTACCCATACTAATTTCATGATGTAATACGGCGACTTAATAAACTATCCGTAGGATGGTTGTTTCAAAACAAAACTTTGCGATATTTACTAGCAAAAAGTACATACATACGCGTACAAGAAACAGAGAAGGCTGTGTAATGATAGTGAGACTTTTTTGCATCGTTCCACATCTTATATGCAGATCATTTGAAGCGTTACCTACCGCGACTTTCACATCTGTAGGTTCCTCATGGACAGTTCTAGAGCTCACTAATAGCATGTCGATGGCCGCGCAAATCGCATGTACAGTGAAACTTACGATTAGCGAAAGTACAAAAATGAATAGCGGATTCTGGTTATTTTCTTGTAGCAGATCTCATTATCGGTGTGTTATGCATGCTCTTCGCCACACTGCGGCACATGCTGTAATTAAAGCCAGACCGGTGCGCTGTAGTGCGATAATTAGAGTTAATATAATTATCCGCAAATTAATAACAAAGTTCATGACTTTGGGGCTGCACATGTATAAGTAGTGACAACAACGCAGCATTTTTGTGAACGACTTTCGTGACCTTTTATAATTTCTGTTGATAATTGACTAGGGCACTTTCCCAAAGGTAAACTAAAGTAAGAGGACGATACCTACATACGTTTATGAGCTGCAGCAGCAAATGTAATTATAATAAAAAATTTTTACAGTAATTACTAGAAGTGATAAAAGATTCGACGCAACACGCGAAAATATATTTTAAAAATAAAACTTATCCAGATGATGGTGATGACGTACATTAATTAAAAACATATGTTGTTGAAATATACTATTTTTGATGATGCATTATTACTGAATATTCTGATACGTTTGCATTTTAGGATGTCTGAACGTTTACGAACAAACACAAACTGGTCAAGTAGATCGAGTTTGTTTAGCTTTTTCTGGCTAGTATTACAAGATCTAGATTAACGTAACGTAGACGATTTGAAAATGTTTTCAGGTTCCGTTAGTCAGTGTTATTGGACTGCGTTAATCAATTTTTAGGCACCTCGAGACTGGCATAGCTTGAGTAGGAGCAATGCAAACCTGGATCGATTTCCTGTAACCGTAAAAACTGCTCCACCCACTGGATTAAGCCGCCCGCTCAACCCATTTTCGCATATTGCGCACCTGTTTCATTTAATAATACCCAGGAAGGTATCCCGGTATTGAATTTATGTCACTCACAAAATCCCCTGTGTGGATCAATAAGTGCAGTTGCAGCAATACACTTTTCTATCTAATATAAGGATTACAAGGTGGAGAAAATCGACAGCGGTACTTTAAAAGAACACATTGAGCGGGCTATATGTGCTACACGTTGCGCTACTTTGTACAGTACAGCCTGTACAGGATACCTTCTACCTGGAAACTTTCTTCAGCATGGCTGCTGAATGCTGATGCAGCATCTGCATTAATTTCCTCGTGGCACTCTAACGACGTCGTCGAAGTGTGACTTCAGCCACAGGTTCAGATGTCCATTTTGTGGTGCTGTGTATACAACCGGAAACGATTTGCGGAAGTATAGGGACTTCGTTGTGCATTTTGTTGGTTGTCTTATTCGCTATGACTGTGGGCTGTATGATTTCTGAATTGCTAATCTATATTTCGTTATGCATAATCCCATAACGGTACGACTACAAATCGGTGTGTTTATACTTACGACTCTTTCCGTTGAACCTGTTACGTATCCAAAGATGCAGATTACCGTCGTCTCTGTAAATTTATGGTAGTGTGCTGAAACGGTACGACCTTCACAGCGGCGGCAAACGATGCGCACTGATGGTGAGCTTTCTTTATTGTGCAGTTGGTTATTTACCATTAGCGATAACGAATTATCTGACAGCCTCGACGGTTTATGTAGAGCTCTGCGGCTTAAATCCCTCCGGTTTCCATGCACTACGATCGCATGATCAATCATCACAATTTTTAATGTGCAACATATATGTTTATGCTTATCAGCCGCAGCTCACGATTCACCTAATATTCCGTATCAACTGGCGATACGTTGTTTCCTCGATAGACGGCGTTTTTCTTTAACCGCAACATATCCCGAGCGCATTGCAACGCCTTCGCAGTTTTTATTCCGTTTAAACTGCGCCGTGTATGTGCGTGTGTTTTAAGAACGTCATGTTAAATGTCTGTTTATAAATTTGGATCTCTTGTGAGCCTAATCAGATATACCGCCTTTCTTTGCCTTGTCCATCATTACACTTAGAGGCATTATTCTCGACAGTCCGCGTGGTTAATCGCCGATGCGGCGACTTTTTCTTCATCATCATCGACATCACTAGCCGAGAAAATGAACGAACAAACCTCAGGTAAAGTAATACCATGCGGTGTCCATTTCGTCGAAAACCTGTTTTTCTCCTCAACGTCATCACTCACATACAGTTGAGATGCTCTTGTGTGCAACTTTTGTTTTGGGTTCCTGCTCGCTTTAAATAAGCATCGTAATGCACGCATACGATTGTACGCATGATGCGGTCGTCAGTCATAGACTGCGTATGCATGTATGATGTGCGCCATTACGTTGAACAGTGCTCGGTTGAGGCCACTGTATTTAACATCTGCATTCTGTCAAACCACGTCGGGTATTAGTAGGCATACTCGCATAATCATTGTACATTGTGTACAGCAGGCGTAGCGCGGAATTCCGACGTCGGACCTACATTTTTGTTTGATCAAGTAAAAATCTCTTGTCTAGATCCTCATGTGGATCTTCATCGCAAGATGAGTCTTATCAGCATGATGGCTCCGCATCCGGACCTCCTCTATAAGGAAGCTGTAACAGCTCCTGGTAAGTCGACTCTGTTTCCTCAAATGCCACTGAGTGGTCAGTATCGCAGCTTTTGGCGAATTCCTGTCTTTATTCTGCCCTAAAGAGTTTCAGTTTTGTATAACGAAGATCATGCGTTTCTAGAATTCTGTTCAACTGGTTTAAACTTTTATTTTAGTACACTAACAGTCAGATAAAATTAATAAGGTAACAACGCTAACTAGTCCAGCATGCTGACATAACAAATTAATTATTTTACGACGTTTCGCAAAGCTGAACAGCACAACTTTATCCCGTATTTGATAATGCTGTGTCATTTGCATGAGTATATTTTAGTGTTGCAAGACGTTTTTCTTGCTTTAACTACAAAATCTACCTAAAATTCTGTTGTAGGTGGATTGTCCAAAGAGCAGCATCCGATCATTGTGATTCCGGATAACTATCGGCTTGGCTCGTTGACTGACGATGAAATTGCCTGTTTGTTCACATATTTTGCGAAGATTCACACGTAAGTTGCGCTTTACGATTCTATTTTTTTTCAATAAAAAATTTCTGTTCCTCTCAGTCTTAAAAGTAGCATTTCTTCTCGTTGTAAAAATTACAGCGCGATAATGGTTTTACGGGCATTTACATAGTGTAAGTCAATCGGTCTGGAATCTCGTGGACATGCGGTATATTTGTTTACATGTACGAGCTGAAAGATACTGTAAACATTTATGAAAGCTGATTTCATAAAATTTGGTCGCTACCGATACGACAGTAGGAAGAATATGAATATGTTCGCCGTTTTGATGCAGTGATGTCAGATACTGGGAACGGTTTCAGATTATCCCCGCATACACCGCATGGTGCACATTTAACTTTCGCCCCCTCATTGTGCACTAATTGTGATTTAGATAATTCAGTTTATATTCACTCATTTGTTATCACCGCACAGAAGCCACAGATACCATAAACATGCGGACGAATCACGCAGACATACTTATATTTTATTTATTTAGCGGCAAACCGTACTATACGAAGCAGTTTATACTAATGTCATAATGGTAATGCTAACATGTTAATTGTTAACAACATCATGCACGTTTTTTTTACTTTGTGACAGTTCAGCTGACTGATAATTAACTTTTTGCGCGATATGCTTTTGAAAAGCGTTGGCATAAATCATAGTTTCCTTTATTTACAGAAGTTGATTATGTGGGGAGAATTATCGTCGCTAGTGATGAACTGATTTGCAAGCGCCCTATTTTCACATTTTATAGTGCAGACGTATTGTACTGTACGTAGGTTTCTTGGGTCGGGTACACTGCGAGGTACTCGGAGGCAGTAACACTTTTAATAACAGCCATTGGTAATATATAGTAATGCATCAGCACAAATTATGGGTTATGCTTATAACCGAAATATTGTGCACGCCTTACAAATGTCTTTTGTTTGGTGTACGTAACAGCTTGTAAAGCGGAGTGAAGATGTCGGCAAATCTTCCACTGCAGAAGTGAGCAGTTTCTCAATGAGTTTACATCATGGTGTAATAGATAGTGTTTTCGAATTTGCAATTGTTGCCCAATACAAAATATTGTTACCATACGTAGGCCGTAGCCGCGTAGAGTTTAAAAGATGCACTTACATTGTTGATTATAGTTGTCTTATTGTCATGATGCTTTTCTTGCTTAATGGTTTGGGAGCAATTGTTAACAGTAGGTGAAACTGTTATTTATATTAACTGACGTGTATGTGCTTTCTTGCAGCCCCGCCGAACAGAAGAGGGGCTTCGTTGTCATTGCGGATCGTCGAAATGATACGTGGCCGGCAACCCGTAGCGCTTTATTAAAAATCAGAGTACGTGGAACGTACAAATCAATGTTGCAAATTTATCGGGGGAAACACCATAATAAGATCTGAACCACTAAAAATCTTCCCGTGGCACAGGAACATTTTCCGGCACCGGTCGAGCATCTCTATTGTTTGGAGCCTAATAGCCTTATTCAAAAAACTATCGGCGCTGGTTATAAGCAGATCAATGGATATACCACGAATGGTTATCCGATTATCCGGTTCCTTCAGAAACCCGAAGACATTCCCGATTTGGGTCTAGTATCCCTCGATCAGCTACCGCCGTCATTAGGCGGACCGCTGATGTATGATCACAAAGTGTGGTGTGAACATCGTTTGGTAAGCATTTTTGATTTTTGGGTTGTTGTGTATTTTTTGCTTTGAAGGCTTTCAGACATTTACACATGCTGCTCTTTTTTAGGCTGTGGAAAAATATGAGGTTAGTTAATCGGAATTTCTTCTTCCAGTTGTGTGCAACAGCTGGTCTCCACTACACGGTTGTCGGTTATTATTGTTTGCAAATTCACTCTAGTTACTCTCTTTTCTTGTTTAAATATCCGATTTTTTCATTGTACTGTGCACGGATACCTGTTGCATCCTGCGATAGATTGTTTGATGCACGTGTAGCCAATATAAATTGTGCACTTCATGTTATCAATATTGAATCAAAATTTCTTTCTAATTTAAATATCTGCTGACTTTGTTCGTTTTTGCAATTTCAGCACATCTGAATTCGTCTCATGGCAGTACAGATGCAAAAGCAATGCATGCTAATAATGAAAATCAAGTAAATCAAATTATTTTAGGCGAATACATGTGAACTGGATGCGGAATCTACCGATCTAATGGACACTATGCGCAATAGTGAACTCCCCAATGAGCCGAATGCCATTGACGAAATGATAAAGGATCAGTTGATATTGCGCAACCATCTAAAAACTGACATCAACGACGGCATCAAACGCGGCAATGCACTGCAGGAGTGTGTGCTGCAGTACGACAATCGTACCGTTGTCAATCTTGAGCAGATACCTGACAGGATGCGCAACATTCTCATCATCCGTGAATGCATGGAGCGCTTAGCATTTGTGGAAAAGCAGTTTGACCAGTTCTGGTCCGATCACTATCCGATGCTGTTGCAGTGCCAGCAGCTGCGCCGATTTGAGGTCAAGTTCAGACAGCTCTTCCCCACTTTGAGCGATCGACTTAGAGCGCTCAAGAAATTTCATGACAAAATTGAGCAGGCCATTGATGCGGTTAAGGCGGATGATCTTGATGACATAATTAGTGATATTGAGGTAGGAATACCGTTTTCGAACTTGTCGTCTGGCGATGTGGAACGCATCCAAAAATATTCACTGTACGCAGGATTTGATACCGCAAGCCAAAGATCTTTTGGATATGGGCCGACGTCTCATTTCCAAACGGCACTATGCCGATGACTCTATTAGGCCTAAATGCCGAGAACTGGAAGATACCATTAACGAGCTGGAAACCAAGTCGAAGTTCTGTAATGAGAAACTGCACCGTTGCACAGAATTAGAGGATCGGATGACAAAGGTGACAACACATTTTCGTCAGCGACCTTTTTAACCGGCTGTATGATAGCCAGTTATACAGTTTATAGCTGTAACGGTATTTCAGATTTAGTTGTGATATACATGTTGGTCAGTATGATGAAAGTGAAATGCGCCTTTGTTTTCCAGGCGGAAAAGTGGTGTCATGAGGGAATGGACCGGCTGAGCAGTCGTTGGCTACGACACCCCGATGCGGCACCTGCTGACTTAGCCCGGGACATTGATCAGTTCCTAGCACAATCCTCAGATTTTAAATTAGATAACCCAAGGGAATTCCATAATTATTTCAAAACACACGCTACTCAAGAGATGAATAATCGACTACCTGAGGTATTGTTTTGTAGAACCAAAGTTAACAGCTATGGCCGGCTCAAGTTTTGTCTTTATAACAGCCCAAAGCCTGTTACCACTATTATAAACTCTTCCACTTCCAGCACATAAAATCCGGTACCGAACTGTTAATGTATTTTTTTAGCTTCTTCGAGAATTTGAAGAAGTCAAAGAACTGTGCCACAATCGTCGAAACTCCCTCGTTCCTCAGGAGGTGGACGCCAGCGGAAGAGGATCCCTTCATTCGCATTCGTCCTCCCGAGCATCCACCGTTCGTGCCGGGTCAAGATGATCGTTGTGTTCCTCCCCCGACTCTGACTTTACACCCGATCTTTCTGTGTTTTTTTCCCTTGTCGAAAAAGCTTTCTGTGAAAGTTCACCTACATTGAAGGTTTACATATTTATATAATACGAGATGTTAAAAAAATTTATGAAAACGCAATAATTTTTGCTAAATGCTTTCTTTTTCCCGGTCCAGTTCCGAGCCTTCATGTTGTACGTAATATCATGGATGTATTCTTGGATATTTAATGTTTATCAACTTTTATTTATTTGTCTTAGAAGGGATTTTTATTTTGATCTATGTTCCAACGTTTTGTCGCGAACTGTGGTGATTTTTGTACAGCCGAAGCCATTAAACTGTTTCACTGGCACTCTTGTCTACAACGACATCGACATTCATAACAACATTAGAGTTAGCAAAGATTACAATATTTAATCAACAAGATCGTATATAAGAGTCACGAATATTAGATTAGATAGTAAAAACAGAACCGTAACGTTACAGATGATTAAAGACAGTAATTAAACCGATAATGTTTAAAAATAACTGTAATCAGACAAGTTACAATATCGAGAAACTTTTCACGCAAATACCCACATAAGCCAAACTTAATCAATTAAAAACGGGAATTTACAAAGCAGCCGCAAGAAAACGCTTATCCCGGTTCTGAATCATTCCGTCCAGTGTTCATCCCGTTGGTGCATGAGATGCAGGGGTAGACGCAACAGTTGTCACAGGAAGCGGTGAGGTCACAGATGGGGCAACTGTTGTTGCCGGATTACTAGTTCCAAAATATATTGCAATGATGGCGATAATGACAATGACAATCACACCAATAATAATCCACATCTTCAGATTCTTCCACCAATATTTGCGTTTGACCTTTTTCGCAGTGGCCTGGAATTGGTGAGCGCCGAACTGCAGTGCATCGGCGCGTTCATCCAGGTCAGCTAAACGATCGCCTCGTTCCAGTACTCGATTAACATTGTCCTTCATAACATCGATAACTTCATTAACCTGCCGTTGTGTCTGTTCGATTTTTGTGTTGGATGATCGGCCACCGGCGCTTCCTCCTGGTGCTCCGGCACCGCCTCGGCGATTCTCATCGTTGTTCCACATTCTCTGCAAAAGAGATGGTATACCTTTTTGTCTACAGCGTAAGCACCAACCACCGCACTTTAGTTAAGTAACTATATGCTTGCTAATTCATAAGCATATTTTATTAAAGCAAGGATGTAGACAAAAACCTGCCACAGATGAGCGGAAAGGCATTTTAATTACTGATTGTGACGTCGACATTGCTTCCTTAAAATCTGCACAAATTAATCTATTCTGCTACTTCTGCAAGACACACTCTCCTCTACTTAAGAAAATAAGAATGCAATAGTTTCTGTCAACGGGCGTAAATTTTAATAAACTTGGAACACATAAAAACCAAAAAAGGTAACAAGACAAAAGAGATCAACGTAGTACCGTTGAATTATCCGAGTAAACAGGAACGCTTTTGTAGGAAGACGAGCTCATCTGAAATAGCGGACTTGAAGCTGTTGCCATATTAGTAGTTTACTCGATTTCCTCTTGAGAGTTATAGTATCCACAAAGCACATTCCGCGGTGCATTCAATTTATATAACGCCATTTCCATTTGTTAACAACACAAGGAGGGTGTCATACGTGCAATACGTGAGCATGCCCTATGCAGTTTGGTTCAAAAATTAAGTCGCCTTGCATCTGTCGGACATAATACACAGATACAATTTAAACAGCTAACCATGAAATCTCTACAGTTGTACTGCAGTCAGTGCAGACGAAATAGCAAAGATATTAAATAGGACTTTCACACGTCTACAGACTACACACACGATCCCAAAATATCCCTTTAAATTTTAATTTAGCCGGAACTGCATAGGTGGTAGTCGCAGCTAGAATCGACAGTTTGATATTTCTGCTCATTAATCGTTAATACCGAAACACAATGAGAGCCACGGATTCCTTAGCTAATCAGGCAGAAAAGGGAGCCGTCGTGACTTAAAATCCATACCTCCACCTAGCAACAGCTTGCCTATTCTCAACAATTCTTTCGTAAATAATTCAGGATGATACATTTTTATGATTTCAGGATGATACAATCATAATAAATTTAAATAACATCTAAAACAGCTTTCGAAGTAATTCAGATACTCTAATTTGTCAGTACGCGGTAGGGTGATCTGGGTGATGTACCTTTATGCCGCCATTCTTCTCCAAAGTGTTTACGAAGATCACACGACGAGGCCTCTGGAGAACAGTACCGTGCTACTCAGTAGATATTACATATCCTTTTCCGTTCATAATATAGTTGTGCAGTGAGTCTACATCCAAGTCAACCAGTTTTCCATATTACGAAAGTTCTTGGAAGTTGTAAATAACTATCACAGAACCATTTAAAAATGCAACACAGTACTGTAATACATTCAACAAAAACAACAACAGTTCAATTCAAAAATAACACACGCACTGTAACACGCAGTAATAGGAAAATTATTCCAACAATTTTATATTTCACAAGCTACCTGAAATCGAGAGCAATGGAATCATCACGCAAAAACCAATGACAGCCAAGCAGATTAGAAAATTATTCAGGTGTAAATAGTAAAACGTAAGAATAACCGGAAATGTCAAATGGGTAAGCGTACTAACTGACCTTCGATCTTTACACCATTTGATCTGAAATTCTCCAGAGCCCGCTTACTTACTCTAGTCAGCCACTCGTACGAAAAATCTTCCAAAGAAATTTTTGAAACAATGGTATTCAAAGTGCTCTGTCCATCACAAACAGTCAAGACATTGCGAGCTTAACTGCTTAACACGGGTAAAACATAAACCAATTACACCACTTTTCTCGTTTGTCATCTGTTGACCAAGGTGCAAAATGAAGCCATCGTAAATTCATAGAACATACAGATTAACCAGTTTCAAATTTGATCGCTTATCAAAGAAAGCTGGAATAAGTTAGCCTCCTCAAAAATCGATCGTAAGCCAAGGCAGATAAACGCAACAGGTCCAGTTCACAATTTTTCAAGTTCCTATGTTTACTGACAGTTTACGGACTAATAGTAACCTGAAACTGTTGATTAAGAGTTAAGTACCACTATGTCAGATGCTAAATTCAAATTCGAAACTACCGTCAGGTTTCTTTACGCCAGAAAGTTACTCTTTTATGAAATGCTGCACATTTATGGATCAGAACTAGAACTACGCTTTCTATACAAGTATTGTTAACGGGTGATCCACACTGCCAAACAGTACAACATGTATAGCATCCAGACTCTACAGATAAGTATGTCAAGCTAAAGCAGGAAAAGCCTGTTGCTTCGTCCAGTTTGTGCCGTACCTTTTAAAGGGTCGCAATATTCGATCCTTCCAGACGGTCCCACGATCAATTTACGGTTGGAACAGAACAGGGACGCTGAAAGTCAGAAAGCGGAAAGACGTTAAAAGAAAATATCAGACTGCTCTAACGCATGTCCTTGAGCACACACATTCCTGGTAGTGGTGATCACCACATTCCACCTAATATTCTAACGCTTGACTTACTAGTCCTTCTGGCCTATACGAGGCCAGGAACAGGCGTAGGAGAATACTCAACGGTACGGGGAAAGAATAGCAGTTAAATTGTTGAACAACCAAATTTATGGGAATTCAGTCTTCAGGAAACGAAACACGTAACTGCAGAAGGCAAGATTGGGGGCAAAATCACAGATTTTCACACACAGTACGCGATTCAACACACCACCGTATACAACTTTACACACGCGTTCCAAAAAGCCAAAAAGCCTTTGATTTGCATGAGTCATGGTAGATGCGTTCATGGCAAGCTGTCCGCCTCAATCTGCTGTCTACAAGATAATTGAGAACGCTTATAATTCTTGTATTATAGCTTCTTTAATTTATCGTTAATTTAATTTAAATTAACAGTTAAAGTTTTGGATGGATACAGTTTAATAATTAGTGTTAAAGCACGTCGCTGGTGGCCCGGTACCGCACGTCTGCACCGTAGGCTTAACCGCTAACCATTGATTTATTAATATTAGTAAATTTCCGAACCATTAAATTTGTTATCCTGGTTTAGTCCTATTATATAAATCTGTAGACATATCAAAAACGTATTCATCAGAATTTTTGATATCTATGTTAAAACTTCTAAGCGTTTAAATGTTATTACAGCATTAAGTAAACCTACAGAAATTATCCTTATTAGTTATCACACTGTGACCGCAAGGTTTGCTCTTCATGCTACTATCGTATTCATGTTTATTTTCTTATTCTATACTGTATGAATTTGTTGGTTAATGTTAATCAATCTCTCAAGAGTCAAGATGAAGGAAAGAACTGGATATCCGTAAAGAGAAAGGTTAAAATACACCTGATGGGAATTTTCGTCACGTTGTCGTAATCAGTCATGTGGTACTACAGTAACTACACCCATATTCTCTTTGATAATGAGTATCAGACAGCAGCCTCATTCGCCAGACATTCAACTGTGTTCCAATCATGGGAAATCTTGTCCTCCAGCCGCTAGTTTGTTTTCTAAATTGATTCAGCACGATGATGCTCATCACTTATTAAATGCCCAATTTAATCGAAAACCTTCTGGTCCAGTCGTTGCTTCGATCTCATCTCCCGTTTTACTGCATCATCCCGCAGACAGAAATGTCGAAGCATATATTAAGGAGAACGGTGCCCACAAGCCGTCGCCGCTACCCGGCCCTACATCCATGTGGAAGAACTGCTTCCATAAGCAGTCCGATCTTTCTTCGTCAGTTATTGTACCGAAATCCAAATCTGATGTGGGACCACGCTACCGCGCTACAAATACTGACAATAATGCGCCCACACACCTCGGTCCGCAGCTGCAAAAATCTCGAAGCTCATTTCTCAAGAATCTCCGCTTTCCCCGAATATTGCCGTTCCGTTCCGTATCTAAATGTTAGTAAACCAGAAATTTGTTCGCTTTATTTCGTAACATCGCAGTTTTATGACAATAATAAAAAAACACTGTATTTTAGCTACTTCTGTGATCCAGTCTACCGTGGTAGATGCCCCTATTCCTGAAAACCGGGCTCTTTCGTCAAAGAAGGAGTCAGTACCGTCTATGGAAGACGAAAGCACGGCTGGCCCGGAGTCTGATGTATTCCGGCGCAGCGCCACCAAACTGCCTAGCGCCAGTCGGTTGCCGGCGAAGTCCATTTCCGCTAGGCCGACTACACAAAATCCATCACTTTTACTCGATGATGATTTGGGATTGCCATCGCTGGCCACGCCACAGCATGCAGACATGGCTTGCGCTCGTTCCAGAACGGTCGCAACGAACGCTCGTACCCAAGGCCCAGTGTCCCATGCTGTACGGGATCCCAAAATACAGGAACGTTTTACTGAAATACGCAATCGATGGGCGAAAACAGCTAGAATGCTGGAAGCGTCGAAATGGACACTGGGAAATAAACAAGAGCACGGTCGGTCGAACATTACTTAATGCGACTCGCTCCGTGTTCATGTGCGTTCTTTTGTGGTTTATGATTTTCCAGCATGACAAAGGAAGCTCTCTTTGTTTAATAACTAATTTGGGTTTTGTTCAACAGAAAAGCGCATTGAAAAGCTCTTTATCGAAGCTCAAGGGGAACAGTCGTACTGTGATGTGGTGATTGCTACCAGTGACCATCATACAATATATGCCCATTCTCTGGTTTTGGCTGCCCATAGCAAAGCGTTCGAAAGACGCATTCTGGATATGAACCCCGGAACAGGCCTCCCGGCTGTATACAGTTTGAATTTAAGTGATAAGGTCACGGGGCCAGATGTGGCGAAAGCAGTCGAGTGGATGTATCGTGGACACTGCCGAATTGCTTCCGATCGGCTTATGGTAAATTATGAATGCCGTTAAGATTGACTAAAAATTAAAAAAAAAGTTTGTCCAGAGACTGTTTGATTGTATAAGCCCGATTTTACCTTGGCACATTTAGCTTTTCCAGTTTTTTCGTTTTTGGATTTTCATTTAAGGCAGATGGTGACAAAAAACCGCCAGGTATCTGTAAATACTTACACTTATAACTAGAGTATTGTGCTACTGTAGTTATACTAAAACTTGACTTCACGCACTGCTGATGCATCATCTGTATGATTCGCAGGATCTGACTAAAACAGCCCGATTCTTCAATATGGTGCCGTTGGTGGTGGAATGTCTGCGGCGCAAGGCAGCTATCGACCTGGGTGACCATCGGCGGGCGCGCCGGCACATGGAAAAACAACTGCATTACGAGCCGCTGCATCTGTCCGATCCCGGAGATGTGGAGCCAGAATCCCATCATTCGCACACCGTGAGAACCTTGTCCAAACACGATAGCACGGCGGTATATGAAAATTACCGCGAAAGAAACGAGGAGCTGGATCAACACGAAACCGTATCGGACGAACCAATAAGTCGCAGGACGAATATTGCTGCCAAAATAGATACCGCCGGTAAACTTGACGATGCTCCGCGCGAAGGTATTTCTCGTGCAACCGTCTCCAGAATAGAAGAGGATGATGTTTCCTTGAGGAATAAATCGGCGGAAAGCATCCAGACGGTCGTTTCACTTACGGCACAACAGATGTGTGAAATCCTCAGTGATGATAATTTGCAAATTCAGGTGAGAAACGAGATTATTATCAATTTTAATTTTTATATCAATATGAATGTTCTGACTGTGTGCAGGAAAGTTAACTAACAAATAATTTTAAATGCATTAATAGTGTAATAAGTCCTCGTTTTCGGCAAAAATAAGATTGGTTTGCCATTAAACTTAGTTGGGCATCTGGCTTAAATTAAATGAGCATACAGTACCAATTAGCGTGATCATACAGTAAGACGAACGTGGTGCAAACGTTTCGTTTTGCAGTCCGAGTTGGAAGTACTGGATGCAGCGATGTCCTGGATCGACTGCGCTCCGACGCAGAGGCAAATTTTTATTCACCAACTGCTGAATTGTGTCCGGTTTTATTATGTTTCTAACGATGAATTGAAGCAATGTTTTAAGCAACATCCGTGGTATTTTAAATTGCCCGCTCTGCGCAATATGATTGGGGAAGCATTTCGCGCGCGGGCATTGTTGGAAGCCGGTCAGCCACTGCCCGCTTACTTTATCATTCAGTCAAATCGGTGTCAGAATAAAAAACAAAGTATATAAACCAGCCCATATTATGAGCAACTAATCTCATTCAAAAATCTTTCGAAAAAGCAGCAGAACAATCCCTGCAAAAGCAGTTAATGACGTGGAGTATCTAAAAATATTTCCTGTATTTTGCTGATTGCATAATTCCGATTGACACACACAGCTTTCCGTAGCCGGTATAGACTGTAGACCAAGGATGTGGTGCAAGGGGGATTTGTAAATCCGACTAGCATCCGAATTAGGGAACAGTCGCTTAAGAATGCCCCGGGCAGCAGTACGTGCTTCCACCGTGCCGGCCAGTTTCCATTCTGTCGGTTCTGGATCTGGATCTGCTAGCGTAATCGACACAAACCAGATATCGTTCGTTGCAGAATGATTTGATGGGGTGTTAAATAACTCGCACGTGTTTGCTGTTTGATTGCCCTTGTTGACGCAGCCTCGGAACCATATATTTCCCACTAAAATTAGCAAAGTTATTCTAATGTTGATTTAAGCCGATAGTCGTTTCCAGTATTAAAGACGCAAGAGCAAAACTTGCTTATAATTATACAAAATGAATTTGTCGATAGCGTTTGTTTGTCTATAATCATACCTTCAATCTCTGTATAATATGCTGATCGTCGCAGAAGTACAGGAAATAACTGAATTCATACCGTGACGTTACAGGTCATAAAATAAATAATCATTATTTATTAGAATAATAAACTGACCATGTGCAAATTAACACAGCTGCGGAGCTGCATAATGGCGTTGTGATAAGCGACTTACGGTCATTTCCAACAGGAACTCTGATAGTGGCGCAGGCTGGATTTGGTAGTTTTTCGGTCGCTTTACATGGAACATTACGATGGTTTGGCAGATTTTCACAACGCAAAGGGTCTAGATCATTTGGAAGGCACTGGTGGCACTGCAAGTCCTCAGCGCGCACCACAGTCCCTAACACCTGTACTAGAAATACCGCTACAAAAAGCTTGCGTAAATGCATAATTTTACAACGCAAAAAGAAAATTATCAAGACCACGTGCTGTAATAACAGTACAAAATATCACTAGGACCAGGTATATTAACCTGTTTGAGACGATTTCAAGAGGAAGACTCCTTAATTTGCTTGGGTAAGCAAATTCGGACAACCCATACCTAATGCCTATCAGCTATTTTATCTTATCGGTAACAATAGCTTTCTACCTGTACTTAAGCTTGTTTATTGTTAATTAACAAAGGTGATCACACCTACTCGCACGCACATGAGTTATGCATTTATACTGTTAATATACAGTACATATATTATGTTCCATATTTAGAAATGGATACGAGTATACACAATACATATATAGGCGCGGCTTTCTTATTACGTATATATATATGTAGATATACCTTATAGTAAATTAAAATTTTGTATTATAAAAACTGAATCCAGCAGTTTCGGATTGACTATACACAGCAATGGTCAACGAGGACAGCGAACTGTTTTTAGAATAACTTTATACATATATGATTAGACAATGATTATTATACAGCGCAAGCAAAAAAAGATGCATAAGCAATACGAGAAGGCAATTCCATATTCACAACTATGCACACAGTCGGAAATACAGTATGTCCATTTGACCATCTGCACCAATGCAGAATTCTAGAGCTCGTTTCCGTTGGAGTACACAAGCAAATGTCTCAACGTATTTCCGGAGCATATACTGTTCAATTTCAACTGATTACAAACAAACACATTATTTCTTATTTTTTCTTCGTCTGCATTTCTCTTAATCTCTTAAACATTTCTTTGGATGTCTTTGGCCGAGGTCGTGGGCGTCCATAATGCATATTGGCCGCTTCGGCGCAGTCGTACAGGAAGGCAGCCGGGAAGTTGAAACCTTCCGCAATCTGCAAAGAACAAGTTTTCAAAAGATATTCAATGTGCATGCCGACAGACAAACATTATAGTTACCTCAAATTTGGAATTCGAAAGGCCATAAAGCTGAGTACCGCTGATCAAGATGGCCCGATTGAACGACAACCATAAGAAGGAAGCATGCACGTCAGTGTGGACGCCATCGAAAAGCAGGTCCTGGGCACCGCGTGTCGGAGGGAAGCGCTTTGGATCATATGTGTAAAACTGTTTGTCTGCAAAATTGAAAGCCTTAACTACAAGAGAAATCACATTTCCTGTAAGTAGTGTATACTGATTTTATATTTTCAATACTTTGCACATAAATATTAAATATATAAGGAAGTCTGAAAATACTAGTATAACCATGCTCAGACGAACGGTGCCGACAATGTCATTTTATATTCGCCGCACTGCATTGCAGTTTCACGAACCCAAATTAGATATTTTACAACCTAGAAAAAATAATGCTTTCAAACATAGTATTACATACTTTTCACGAAGTAAGTGAGGTTATCGCCAGGCCAGACAAAAGCAGCATCAATATTGTCCGGAATGCCGGGGAAGCCATTGGCAATGAGACGCGGATAACCACCCTCTTTGACCATGTTGTCAAACTTCCAGTATTCTTTACCCTTAAACAGGTATGTCTTGCCTTTGAGACCGGTGAATGCTGAGTCGATAGGGCCCTGTATGCCGCCCCAGTCTGAGATGGGTTTCGGATATCCGGGCGGTATTTCAATGCCTTTAGCTTCGCTATAACGAATGAGCCAGTAATTGTTATTCTTGAATAGGTACATGTTTTCATCTCGTGTCTGGACAATGGCATCAGGCACAAAGCCCACTTGACAGGGGTCTGTAGCCGCTGGATTGGGCGCCGCACCGGTCGCTGAAGGGCCGGGAATGAAAGGAATTCGAGAGGGGACTGCCGGAAACGGCCGCTCGGTGGTGGTTGTCGTGGTAGTTGTGACGGCCATGGCGGTTACGGCTTCTTTCTTCCCGGTCACCGCATCATTATCAGCCGCGCTGGCTCCACCTCCCGCCACAGTGCCGCCTCGTGACTGGTCAGAACCACCATAAAGCGCGCGGATGGCGTTGATGTCGTCTTGGCCCAACTGGAAATTTTCCTCGAATCCTACGTAAAACGGCCACATCACCGCGTTGGGGTCGTCGGAATGGGCCAAACCCAGAGCATGACCAATCTCCTGTGTGGCCACTTGCAGCAGGTTGATACCATCGTCCTTCAGGGCCCATTTTTCGGATGCATCAAAGTAAATGTCACCAGGGAAGTCGGGGTTGGTTGGATAGAATGAATACGATGCCAATCCATCGGGGCCATCGAAGATTAAACCGTTGGGCAAGACTCCTTTAGTGAAGCGAATGTCAATGTCGGCTTGACGAGCGCTATCCTTTTGGATTTCGCTGAACGTCAGCAGATTGCTCGATCCCTCGGCCCAGAGCTGAAGGAGGAGTTAATAAATTTAATTATTATCAAAGCACTGAAAAATATACTACAGTGTATAACTCTACGATACTGCTAGTGCTGGCTGATGAATAATATTACCGAGCCTGACCTTTCAGTCGGTTACAACTTACGAGTTAGACGTGTTAATACTACGGTTTCGTATGTCAAAAAATGTTCTATGGTTTCGCTACAAAACTAAGTTTAAGTTTTATTTATATATTATGAATTATGCTACTTATTACTCCGATGATAAACTTGTAACAGCCATCAACGAGAAATTTGTAAAGTCGTACAAATATATGCATAAATTATGGTAATGACAGCCATTGACAGGTAATCATAGAAGTTGAACCAATTTTATGTGCAGACGAGAAGTACTGGACGTATCTGTGTATTGTTAAAAGTCATTACGTTATATATCCTAATCTCTAAAAAGGGATCTCACGCTCGAAAACAAATGTCAAGTTTGAACATATAATAATCTAAGTTCAATTACGCATAATCTACCCGGGCTTAATTGGATCTACCGGTAATAAAGCAGTTTGTCCGACGGCATTATGAACAACCCAGCGTCATCCGTCACAGAAAAAACCGGCACTGATATGCATGTAGTAGCCAGTGCGCCAGTGTAAACGAAGTATACCGGATCCCAATCAACAGGTCGTTCACAGTTAGCACCGGTAGACAACAACGCCGTTGGCTTTAGCGTAGTGATATATCTGTGGTTCGCCGCAAACTTACCCTGAACGCCTCCCGAATCACTTGCAGAATCTGTGCGTCAGTGAGGGTTGTGGCTGAATCGCGCGGTGGGAACTCACGCACTGACCATGTCAAACTGCGCTTGTCCCAGGCGCCGGCCGTGGCAAAGCGTTTAGCACGGAATAGACCAAGGGCCGTATTAAGCTGTTCCACATCACGATTAGCACACCGACGTGTATTCATCATCCTGATGGTCTCACTGTCCAAGTAACCTAGAACCAGACTTACTGTAGCACACAGCTGCGGCTGGGGTTTTTTGACGTGTCGTACTTCGTCTAATATTTGGTTAAAAATTTAAAGAATTATTAACCTTGGCGCACCATCAAGTCAGGGTAAACACGCATTTATCACCGTGCTGCTGATGTATTATGATATCCGTCACACATAACTGACAGCCGACATGCCAGAGCCTATCCCCTTAATTACATTGTGCATATGGTCGGCTCTGTTTATATTGTTGTTTGTTATAAGGTACCGTTCTCGTATTCACCTGTTGTACGTAAATTGGCAAAACTCTGAAACCGGCGAATGGCTTTGGAAAATTCCTGGCGCGTTATTTGGTAACCCAGTCCTCTTTGTTGTCCGCTAGGAAGATAGCCGAACTGGCCAAGATAATGCTAAAAATCATGCAAATAGTTAAAGAAACTATGGTTTGTGTATATCTAATTTGTTTATAAAATTTATATAGATATTTTCATGGCCCTGTAGCACAGACCAGTGCTTACTGCACATCGCAGCAAGTGTGCACACACTAAGCTATCCAAAATACTCAACGTGATGGTAGCATACTCGCATATTCTATTTAATACTGTACACGATGCCGACGTGAATGTGTTTACTTTCTGAAATCATCGATTTAAGACTATTTATGTTTTTACATTTATGCGATTGGCGGTTTCGATAATTTATTCGTATATTTTACAGCACATAATATTTCAGTTTTATCTGGTAGGCCGCACGTTAGCATATAAGTTATGCAATTTGTGCAATATGCATATGGATTGACCTTGATGTTGTTTAAGATGCCAGAAATATCAATAAGTCGGTCTTCGTTAGTTGTTTGCACTAAAGTCAAATACGAGTAAAGCGCTGAGACCTTAATATTTCAGAGCAAAATGTTAAGGCCGTTGTTGAAAATTATTACGCAAAGTACACATGCATGGCACTTGACATACTGTATTGTTAAATTTTCGTATTTACTCGACTACCGACTGAAAAGACAAATATTAATTTTTATTGGACAGAGGATACACGCTGTCTGCGACGCCTAATGCGTCTTAGTTTTTATATAGGCCTAATAATTATAAATGTAAATACGAGCAAGCGCACATAATTATAAACACGCACGAAGCAGGAGCGCGTTACCAACGGTAAAAACTACCGAAAATATCATAATTCAGAATTTTTCTGGTTTTGTAGTTAAAATCTCATTTTTTTATTTATTAACTGTGTAAAAGTTGAAAAAATATCGTAAACCTCAAAGTGGTTAAAGCTTTTAAACATCAAACTGGTTAAAGCTTCACAGCTGTAAAAAATTTTTGGCATATGAACCGTTGTTGCAGTTGAATTAAAATCATTTCAGCATATCAATTTCCTGCAATATACGGCAACGGCAATCTCGGATATTTAGACGGGAATGACATTAGGTTAAGCGCGGACATCAACATCTTTGAAGTGATGTGGTCATAAACACGCAGCATCTGCATTTACGGTTCCTTCATGGTGAAATTTGATACTGATGTAAATGAGAAAAACAATGATTAAGATGCCTTTTAGGACGTCGATGGCCGCGCGTTGATGTGTGTACGACCGGTACGACGCCCTCGACACTAGTAAACTAAACAAATTTCTCGACTGGGGCATCTTCCTAGCTATAATCGTTAATGGGCGAAAATCCTTCACTTTCTTGAACAACTAAATTATAACAAGTACATATAGCGTATTCACGAAAGGTCAACCCCGCTTACCACTGCATCGTAAACAGATGCGACTTTCTTGGCGGTAATTCCATCCGGTATCAAACAACAACAGAGCGATATGAGGAAGACCAGTATGAGGAAGGGATCAGAACGTATCCTCATGGTGTCGGCCGTAAGGGAACCACCGCAGACGGCGCCGTATCGGCAAAAGCGCTAACGCGAAAAATGTGTGGACTGTGGAGCAATGTGCGCGCCTTCCCGCTGCAACGCGCGGACGCAGGAAACACGGTTATTCGGTGTATTCTGCTACTCCCTCCAAGCAGGAACAATAAAGTGCCGGTTAAACTGCACTATTCAGCCCAGGATGGCCAACACTGTGACTCAAGTTCGTACACATAAAAGTTTAACAATAAAACTAACCTAGAAAAGGCGAGATAAGTCTCACAGTCTAAGACGTGCTTCATCCGGTCCGAGTGACATTTGATCAGGGTAATTCTTGAAGTCTAACTGCAGCTCTTGAGGTAAATGGACAATTGGCTAAATAACCTGTACCTGAGGGAATGTCGGTACTAGTCGATATATGCCGCTGGCTTTAAACCCCGTGGTCGACCGAGAGGAACCTGAACTAGAGAGCTTTATATATGCCTATATCGGTTAGAGCCGGAGTAACGGCAGTTGGATCGTCTTATTAGAGGGTGGGGTGCGATTTAAAGGCAGCAAATAATAATTATTGCTACGGTGCCGGTCCGCCGTTTTAACAATTGTACTGCACAACAGACACAACAGTTCGGTATTGTTGATTGTATGAATGGACGAGTATTCTCCTAATTAAAGCGAAAAACCTGTTTGAGAGGATAGTGTTTCCATGCAAATCAGAAAATCGAATCAGGAATTAATACAAAATTGATTTCAGCGTAGTTTACCACCAAACGTTAGTCTCATTAAAACAACAATAACTCTACGGGAACCATTTTTTAAAACTTAATTTTGCTGCACATGTTACACATGATAAGCGGCCGGTGTCATTTTGATAGCAAATAGGTATGTCTTTTTGCAAGGTTTTGCATAGTTATAAGTAATACACCGGTTTTATTTTTCATAGCTAGCAATTCATGTTCAGGCTTTTTATTTATTCAAAATTTAAATGATTATTCGACGCATGCATATTTAATTATGTGTACCGTTGCACGGCTCATCACAGCAAATTACGGGCGTTTATGACTGTGTTTTCCGATACGATCCATCAGTTTTTTGAATAAGTACTGTAATAATTTAGGCGACTCTAGTGAACAGCAGGCTGACGTAAGACTAGTCGGATGATCATCTCGCAACGCTTCAACTTCTATGAACAAATATTAACAATCGCCTTTGGATCCGCAACTCGACAATCATTTACGTATGTATTGTGCAGGCTATGAGGCTAAAATACGTTTTCTGATATACAGTAGCTGGACGTGCAAGGCGGCATTTTGATTTACATTAATTTAATAAATTCGTACCTGTCGCCTCTTCCGCCCAGCAACAATCACAAGTTAATATCCTATATAAATGTGCCTATATAAAGACTGAACAAAATGACTACTCGTATTGACTGTAACAAAGCGGTGAAACTGTGAAAGAACCACATATCAGATAATTTTTTTTTAGAAATGAAGATATACATTAAACTGTTATGAATTTATACAAAGATTTTATACAAATTAATAATGATATTACGAGTGCGCAAACAATCACAAGTCACAATCAGAACTGCCGACTGGCTATGGTAGGATTACTTAATCGTCGGCTTTAGGATAATAAAAACGTTGCGACACAAGTTTCAACCGCTTCATTAAAAACAAACACAAAATTAAACACAATAAAAATTAGCAGTTTCTAATGCTAATGTTAACTTCAGGACAGTTTGTCCACTTTCGAAATATCTGTACGTAAGTAACGTCTTCCCGGGTGCTGGCACCCTATCACAAATCAGCCAGTTCTTCACACAGATCTTTCTTGAACCTGTCAGTCGTCCCTCGTTCGTACTAATTATAAATTATTTTTCAGAGCTTTTTTGGAGGTCTGGAAGGTGTTCCATATCTTTGTCAAAATAACTTAAGCTACTCCGCCTTATGATCAACGATTAACCATGTCTTTGGGATTAAAGACCATTTTCAAGTTGTCTCAGTCTATAAGGAGGTAGGTAGCAGTAGGTACCATGAGAGTCGAGAATTTACGGTGCAGACTGTACAGTCGCTGAAAACGGCATAGAACTCTACGCACATTTATGATTTTTAATCTCAATAATCACATTTGATATTTCTTAAGTTCTTCTGTATAATTACGTTGTTCGTTCCCCGCAGGTCTTCCACATTGGTTTACGTCCGAAACTGTGGTTGTACTAAGAACTGTGTTCGAGGGATTAGTTCTGTACGGAGAAGACAACGTAGCGAGTCTGTAGGTTCGGAAAGACTTGAGCCTGATTTCGATAACAGCACGGAAATTAAGGCTTCCACTACGCCCCTATCCCCTGTGGACATTCGCGATCCTGCTCACCGGGAGCGCCTTAACGAGCTGTCGGCCCTTTTTCCCAACAAAGAAATAAAGACGCTGGCAGCCAGATGTCCTCAGGTGTTTTATCAGGATTTCTCCGAAATCGAGCACATTGCCCAGTACATCTCAGCAAAAATGGGTCTCGAGCAGGATGACATGGTGCGAGCTGGCGTCTTCGATTACCCGCTGGAACATATCGTCAAACGGCATATATTTATCACGCGTTGTGGTGGCTTCAAGAAGGTAAAAGATCGCACGCGGAAGAGTCTGAGCATGGTGAATCCCAGTCTGCGGGATATCGTGCGCACCTCCGATGCGGAGTTTGCCCGGCTGGCCCAGGTGACCGTGGAGGAGTACGCTGTGTTCTGCGACATGTTCGCGGCACAGCGCCGTAACTTGGTCGATTATATTACGGAAGGCAGGATATCAGCATTGGTGGCCGACCAAGCAGAAGACGAGCTGGACGACGAGGATAACGACGAGGAGGACGATGAACAACACCAACCCGGACGTGAAACATTGAAGAAAAAGAGAAGATGATTGCAGCCGTATCATTGGGAATTGGTTCTCGTGAATCTGTGATGATCAAATAATGGGAAATGATAAAAATTCACAAGTGGCTATGTTGGTTGGAGTGCGTACCAAGTGGTGTGTCCGGGAGTTATTGTTCGAGTCAGTAATTTCTGACAGTTAGACCAAAATTTTGTCAAAAGTTTCAAAGTCAAAAATTTGAAATGCGTCTTGACAATAACATCATTACTAATAACAACCATTTTTATAAAATTTTATTACGTGATACGTACTATTTATACTTCTACGAATGTAGATAGTGGTGTTCAAGAGAAAGCACTTTATGAACGCTTGAAATCATGCACAAGCACTTAGCATTTATTGTTAAATGTATTACGAAGTACGCAATGAGTACAATACATAAGTCAGCAAGAAAAAAAATTTTTTTTGCCGTGCGTATTTGTTTTAATATCAACATAATAGTAAACTTAAAAAACTTTTTAGCGCAACCGAAAAAAACATTTTATTCGGTTCGGTTTCCATACGAGTTGAACGCTATCATACCGCCTGAGCCGTGAAATAAGTACCTTTAAATCATTAAATGGGCATTTTGAGACAACCTACACACCATAACGTCAGCCAGTGCTTCAGTCTTCTGCTGCAGATTTAAAAAATGAAACTCATCCATTGGAAATTGGATTAAAATTTTTTGAAGCAGATCTGATTTCGCTGCTTTGCAAGTTTGCAGCTTTTCATGGATTTAAACTCTAGATTATCGTAAGATTCTTATGAGTTATCAGGAAGGTGCAGAAGAAGCAGCCCCTTCACTCCTTCAGAAATATTTCTTCAAAGTAGTGGCGGCCCAGCTGGTAATACCGCAGTGCTATAACGTGTTGGTCCTTTGAATTGTTTTGATTTTTGGATGTTCTTTTTAACTTTGCAGTGCCACTGCGCCAGTATCGTGTGACTTTGTGCATTGATGCAGGGACGAGATATTAAACGTTAATTAAGTTGTAAGGTATTTTACACGGGAATAGAACTGCTGTATTACTATTGCAGTAGTTCCTCGTGTCATAACACGGTAATCATAATTCTAGGTTGCGACGCAGTGTTCTTTCTTACTTCGTGAACACATCTGTGTTGCCGCCTGCACCTGCGCGGAATGGCATCGTTGGGTGCAAACATTACGATTCCGGACCAAGTGGTACTCGTTGGAGGAACTGGTCGACACCTTAGCGAGCGGTAAGTCACTTTACAATATGCGTTCGCAAGGAAGCGGGGAACCATGGTCTGGAAATCAGGATATGGCTGTTGTTTCGTACACCTTGTGGCTTGTGGAGTACTTTCCACTTGGGAGTATCTCCGTGCTTATAAGTACCTCGTAAGAGCTGAAATTTCCGACGATACCTCTCTGAAACTATGGAATGGGATATTTTCGGGAACTGCTTTGGGAAATGGATACCATTTCACTGATTTCAGCTTCGAATGGGCATAACTGAAATTCCCAGATAGCAGTTGCTTCGAATTTGGCTGAGATTCCCTTGATTACTACAGATGCTTTGGCGATAGACTGCGACTAACGGAATACCATTTCAGATCTTTTCACGAAACAAAGACTAAATAATGCAGCCAAAATTAGCAGTTTTTGCTAGGCTGCTAGCGACATTTTCTTGGTCTTCAGTTCAATACATGCAAGAAACCATTATTAGCTGCTCTGCCATTTTTTCGATTTCATGTATTAAAGATGTTAGGGATTACTGGTGGGCTAAATCAAAACACGAGAAGTGGAAGATTTTGTAATAATTTTTGGCTGATTGTAAAATATGGTGTTGGGGTATGTTAAATATTTGCATTTATTTCTTTCAGATTCGCCATCATTTCCGAGAATTTGGATCGGTTTGGACCTGGACACGTGAGCAATGGCTACAACAACAGTCCCCCGAAAAACATCCAGGAGCGACTGGGACCGCGGCGGTTCACGGGCAACGATTACAATCTCCAGAACGATTCTCTGTATTCGATGCAACCCAGCCGTCCGCATGTCCTGAAGAGACTGGGCCAGCCAGCTAACAACTACAATAATTGGGGCGGACAGAATTATACTTCGGCCAGTCAGAACGATATGGTCAACGGATCGGCGTACAATAACGAGCGCTCCAGCTACAACACGTATAATCCTGGTCAGGTTGGACGGGGCCGTGGCAGGCGTCGGTGGTTTGGCTATGGTGGTTATCGTAAGTGAACAATGGAAGGGTCCTTTAAGACGGTCCTCTATCCCTAAATTTTATGACAAATGCCGTAGTTTTTGATGTCGCAAAAAAAAGTTTGGATTAAGATTTTGTTTTGTGGAGAATAATATACGATTTATTGCTCATTTTGCAGGAGGTGGTTACAATCGCTATTATGCGCCCTACAGCTATTACAATAGCTATTCTTCTCCATATTCGTATTACGGATCATACTCCAAGCCGCGCTTTGGAAATTACACCAAGTATTACGGCTCGTCCTACACATCATTCCGCAAGGGGTACGGTTATGGTTACAGGGGCAACTAGTACGTTCCATCTGTCCTGTGTCTGGCGCAATCCCAGAGCTAATCGCATTTTCGGTGTTGACGTCATGTATTGTCCTTTACAGCAACAATGGTTATGGTGGATCGCGTTACAACCGCGGCCGACGGGGTAGAAATGCCGCGCGAAATGCTGGTCGACCCCAGATGACCCAAGAGGATCTCGATCGTGAGGTGAGGAATCGGATACTGTTCAGAAATCAAATCAGTGCTTCGTGGCAACACATGCTAATAGAACCGTGAAGTAATTGCGTCGCATTATATTAAGTTCACTCTCCTCTTGTGCTGATTTTTTGTCAAAACTAAGTACTGGGGTGCTTGAAAAATGAATTGGGGGCTTTTTTGGCGCCTAGTTTGTGCTTTTACCAATGAATGGTTTTTATAGCTGGATGAATATCGGTCGGGCAACGTGGCAAAAGAAGAGCGCAGCAGCGACGTGAACATGTCATGATCTGGATTTTGTGTATCAAGAAATTCTAGTACAGCACGCCTTTTTTTATTATTTCGTATTGTTCAAATTGGTACGCCAAGTACATTTTGCGATGGATTTGTGGATTTAAAACCTTTGTAACCATGTAATATTATTGTTGATCGACGATCATGATCGTCTTCTTTTTTTCGTTTTGTCGCACACAATTATTCTGAAAAATCAGTAATTACACTGGTCCGAAGTGGACAAATGCGGAAAAGCAAATTTGTTATGCCACCATCGAAATTATGTGTGCAATAATTGTGGGCTAAAAATGAAGTCGCATTAAAATGGGAACTCTTCCATATCACAAAATGTTTCATTACATTAGAATCAGTAGATATTAAATGAACAGATACTCGTGAACCGGCCATAAAAGCCATAAACATGTGTCCAGCTTCAGCCATAAAAACGTTTCGAATAAGGCAGCAATTACGATTCCCAGAAGGGCTCCAGCAAATACGTCGCTCACATAATGTCGTCCCAGGACTGCCCGCGAAACACAAACGCTCAACGCCCAAAACGTTATTAAACACTGCAAAACAGTAAGCAAAACCGCATGATTGACTTCTCCAAGACATTTTACAAAGAACATTTGAGCGAATGGAAGGCGCAGACATTTTTTATCATACTTTGTCTACGGGGTCATAAATCCACCGACTGCAGAAAAGAACAGCAACCATTACGGATCGGCTGGCATGACCAGAAGGAAAGGAAAACTGGTCAGGGCTGATTTTTGCATGGGATAGTTGCGTGGCATAATTAGGACGTCCACGCCGAAAAACAGCTTTTGTGGTTGCAACCACGAGAATATCAACGATAAGAGCTGCAAAAGAAAAAGGTACAATAGTACGAGTACAAACGCACTCACAACATAAAAACAGGAAATCAGTATGATTTGGGCATTTACAAAACAAGTACACGGTTTTACGAATAAAATAAACCATTTTCGTATGTATTCCTTTCTGACAAAATTTTGCAGCATTGTTAGCGAAAAACATTTTTGGAACGGTAAACAATCAAACGCTACTTTCGTAAAAATAACACTGGAAATCAAAACGTATACGTACTTGAAACTCTTTCAAAAAAATATATGAAAAAAATCTACTAGACAACCATAGAATTACTTATTTTGAATACGAGTACCGAACAAAATTATGTCAAAGCAAAGATCCTCAAATCATTAAAAACAACCGATGAAACCTGCAATTAATAACTAAAACTGGGAAATGTTACACAAAAATTGTGACCTCACAGCGCCAAAACAAACAGGAACGATTCACATTACGGCAAATTTAATATTTCAAGACAAAATTATTCGTACGAAAAAATACGATAGCAACTCACGGTCAGTAACGGTATGCATAGTGCATACAACTTACTTTGATACAACAACAAATGGATACCAACACATGGATATTATATTGTTTATTTATTGCTGGAGTATTACAAAAGAAAAAATTATGTTTTAGATGGGCAAGTACTTTCAACTGACCATAAAACAAATTCGTCCAAAATTGCACGGATTCTGCAGGAATGGCCGTCGTGACTTTGATGGCTGCGATAAGAAACCAAGGCACACCGTGTCCTGACAGTGACAAAAACACAACACACTGTACTTCTATACTATAAGAATTCATTTATGGCGAGTTATCGAACGTTAACCGTACGATACGGCAGCAACCCATGAGTAATCACGAATGATGCATAGAAAAAACATCCGAAGCAACCGTTGCAGCTGCGATATTTGAGCGCCCTGACTTACGGTAAATTAAACTTATCATGCGGTACGCGGAGCACTGTATAAGGAACGCGAAACAAAAATTAGAAAATTTTACTAATTAATTAATTTGAATGCCAGGTGAACAACGTGTTGCACTTTACTATGCAATATCACAATAGCCAGAATATCCACATGACATATTCATGCAAATTAGCACTGAAATTAATCAATTTGTCTAATTAGATTGATTTCAGACTTAATTGTTGGCCAAAAAAAGAAGTCGCTCTGCTGAGGCTCCAATTAATTAATGAAGATTCATAATAATGGCAGAGGTTATTTTTAATAATAATTCTGATATTCCATAGATGAACTGCGTACGCGGCCTAAAACAACTGCAGACTGCATGGATAAGTCAACGATGCCGAATCGTAAATCTAGTCGAGACTAGATTTACGATACGGCAGACTTATGCAACGTTGCCTTAAAGTGGGCATGTATTGACGGTTCCGTGCATCCAATCCATGAGCGCAGCCTTATCTCGCAGTGACACATGCAGATAACTCACACACGTCGAACCGTTCGACATGACGATGAATTTGTCATATTATTTGTGTTTTGAATTCTTATACTGTACATATACCTACATAACGGTAATTATTTCGATGTGCGTAGAGGTTAAGAGCAGATTTACCTGAATATTCAAGAATGCGGCAAAGCACCCGCAAAAGCAGGAAAGGTTTGGATAATCCTACCGGTTGACCGCAATATGCCAGTCGTTTTGACAGAGCAAAATCATGCTCAACAAATCGTTCTCGGTGAGATCTTCTCAGCACAGCGGAGGATGACTGGGCTGCTGTCGCAACATCCGAAGGAAAGGTGGCGGAATGCTGCATCTCACGATATTCCGTATTATCGACTTCTGCAACTTATGATATCTGCAATGCGTTGTCTTGCTACTCTTGCACTTTCCAGAACCTAAATGCATAACTATCACCATATAGTCTATCATAGTAACTTCTCCTATGTATTGTAGTGCACCCATTATTCCCATGTAAAAGCAGAAGCGTAGTGCATATGAAGCCACTGTAGTGTTGGTAATTTGGTATTACTTCTGTTGTACTCACCTGGAAAGCCTTCCTTCCACGAGCGTCGAAGCAAAGATATTTTTATAAGTAATACCGGTTACAATTTATAAAACAAATTACTTATCGGAAGTTTATGTGAACATAAATAACCTGCCCGAAATGAGAAATTTTCTGCCCCTCACAGGGAGTCGCAGCTGTTTCCAACTCACATCACAGCTACGAGTATGGTAGATCAAAATTCTGCGCTCGCTGCCAGATGGGAGGGGTGGCTTTATAGTCTCGACTGACTTTCGAGTGTCAGTTTGTACCGGCATGGTTAGCAGCCGTCCAAACAATGCGCGCCGTAGATGTCCTACACAACTCTTCCCGTTATGAATAGGAAACCCTTTCAGCTTCCACACAAGAATTTCAAGGGATATGGAATTTCGGTTTGTTTATCTTCCATGACATACTTTTCAAAATATTTCCTCTTCAGTAAGTAACGTCACACGTGTATGTTTCACAACTAGTCCAGCATTTGCCTGTGCAACTCTATCTTGGTACAGTGAAACCTGGTTACTAAATACACCTTCGGTTAAAGCAAAACCGTATGTGTTATCCAGGTGTAAGTATTACACAGAGCTATATTACAGTCTATGGGACACGCCGGTTAAACTTTCCGCGTATCAATATGTAATTTCCAGGTGTATGTATTTACCGGTGTATGTAATAGACAGGTTTCACTGTATGTACTTACAACTACTGTACACTGTGCCGGTAATGGAAACTGTTTCTTTTGGACGAAATACATACTTTGTAGAAGTGTAGAAAGCGGACAATAAAAATGCATAAACATAAAGTCTACTAAATGTAACTAGTAAGTAAATTGAACAGTTTATGCTTACTGTATTTCTGGTTTTTCACGCACGTGTAGACATTTAATTACCACATTCAGTTTTTAAGCATCTGATTCCTCTGTTACAAAATTCGATTTTTGTTGCTTTTAATTGAGTACGCGTGCGCAAGTCAATCGTACGAAGAAGAGGGCTTGAAATATTATCATAACATGAGCTACAGTAGTCACAGTTACCATTTACCAATACCTCGTGAGCTTTATACAACATTTATGACAATTTTATAATGACCGTTACAGTTACATCAGGAAGTCATAGTGAGTAATGTAAACATTTTCTACTTGATCAGTGTAAAACAAGTGAAAAAATAAAAACATCTAACAAATAAAATTGACAGAATTACGTATGTACTTAAAACACAACTGTAGTACAGGAATCATTATGACAATGGAATCAAATACAATAAGAAAACTTCCTCAAACTGAACACTTTGATCATTGCGGCAATGCGAAACAGCAATCCATTCCCCACGGTGTCCAATTAATGGCCCACCTTCCTCGCACCTGGCTGTTGTTCCATAGCATGTCTCAATTCATCAAAAATAACCAACACCAGCGCGCCACCAATGCCACGGAGCATGTTGGACACGGCGCCCATAAAGAATGCCGGGAAACCTTCATTTTTGGCAATTTTCATCATGGCGTCCAGTGAATTCTTGTATAGAATTTCCTTGCGTCCCGACTGCATCATCATGCGTCGTCGCACGGTATCCCACGGATACCTAAAGCACAAACAAAATCTGAAAATTGTACTAATAATGTAGCTGGGTCAGAATTACGCCATGAATTCGGCAATCGTCGTGACGGTGAGGGCGATCATGAAATTAAGCATGATCGGAACTTTGCCTTCCTTGAAGTAAATCTTGGATGTGTCAAACAGACCGAAATATGCCGCTCGATAAATAAATATTCCCTGGACGGAAACGTTGAAACCGCGATACAAGCCGCGAATGCCATCGGTCTGGTAGATTTTCCTCATGCAGTCCCATAAACCAGTGAACTCACGAGTTCCCGCGTTTTTACCAACATCCACGCCTAAAGAACAGCTAATTTCATACGTAGTCAGTCAGTCAGTTGTAATTCCATGCAAATCCGATCCACTGTATACCGCTGAAAACTTTTTGCAACAAAATATTTGTATGTTTCATGTTAAAGTTTCCAAAAACCTGAGGTTAATTTATGTGAATCACATAACGCTACACAACAAATGGCGACAATTCCCGAATTCCGAAAAACACTGTTGAAAGCAGAAAGAGGGGTCGGAAAATACGTCTATAATGTATTTAACTCAGAAGTCCCAGTTCTACGCTATAAGTCGGTATAATTGTATAGTCACATTAAATAATAATTCAATTATTCGCAATAACGAATAATTAGCAGTTAATCCGGTTATTATGCAATGACAAACTGAACTTTCTCGCAAAGAACCATTCAGTACGAGTATATTATTCTGTATATACTATATAGTACATACCAAGCCGAGTTCGGGCAAAATCCAAGGGATAAACGAAAACCAGCGACGTCATACCAGCTGCACCCCCGGCCAGAACATTGCCCAGGAAGAAGCGGAAAAACTGTTTATCCTTGTCAACGCCCGACAAGAAGATGCGCTTATATTGGTCTTTAAATGCAAAATTCAAGGCTTGCGTGGGGAAATACCGAATGACGTTGGCCCAGTTACCACGCCAGAAACTGATATATCCCTGCTCCTTTGGAATACGAATGAAAGCGTCCACCATGCCTTTATAGCGCTGCTGCGGCGTGATCTGCGCTGAGTCCTTCTGCACCTGTAAAATGAGTTTGACACGCTCTAACGGGGCCACAGCCGTTTTGGAAATGGCTGCGGCAATTCCTCCCGCCATAAAATCCTTCAATACTGCTGTCGCATCCATGGTGAAGGTGTCAGCTAAGCCAAATTATCCGAGGGAGGAACCAGCGATATGCAGCCCTACGAAAATGCAAATGTACGGATGAGCACCTGCGGCGGCCGCTGTCTGTATGCACAAACAAGTTTACAGAGTCAAGGGGGACACAGGCTGCACACCATCATCCAAATCAACTTAATTATGACGAAAAAACATCGCTACTTACTGCAAAAGATGTTGTTCAAAGTAGCACTGTAGCAGGAAACTTAACAAATTAGATACCTCGCAATCCTTATCATAAGCATTGCAAGATTTACGATAAATCGTTTATCGTAGGCTGATACTTCGTATAAACGCATGAGCATTGAGCACTGGTGGTACTTAAAGTTCTGGTTACAGGTTACAGTAATAAAATGACACGTAGCGAAAGCATTTCGGATCAAGCGACAACCAGTGGCGGAAGGTCTGTAGTCGCGCCTGCCGGTGAGACGCGTGAATTGACTGACTTCGGATGTACAGTGTACTCACTCGCTCCATGAGTGTCCCGCACCAGATTTGGGTGATTGCTGATTGGTTTAGTTAAAATTTTACGTATTACTTTTTCTTCGTTGTATTATAGCCCGAACTCGGAAGCAAGAAACCGAAAAGCCTTTATAAACGATGAAAATCTAAACGAAGCGCTTCATGTCAAAAGCGCTTCACAAGATCAATACGTCTGGGAAATGACCTTTTGAAATATCCTGAGCGGCTGGCTGAACTTAAATGGGACACTCTGAGTCATCGCCGCTTAAAAAAGGCTTTAGAATTCGTTTACAAGTTAAAGTTTGGTAAAATTGCCCTAAGCGAAGTAATAATAGCTCCATTGGAAATTTCGTCTGCTGCGCTTGAATCTGTTTCAGATCACACCCGTGCAACCACCCGCCTCCTCCGCCATCCATGCCCTATTAAACTGACTACAACAACGCTCTGTGGAGCAGTTGTAGCGTCACGTCGTGGATCACATTTGGATAATCTGGTCGACCTTTGGAATGAACTGCTTCTTCCTACGGAAGCCTACCTGTCACTGACATCCTTTCGGAACGCGCTGGAGAATGTCGAATGGAACACACTAACAGCCGCTAAACGACTCCTGGATGTTCGTTAGTCTCTTTTTTTTAAGTTTAATGTGTTTTCATGCCACACACTGCATAAAACTTTATCCCTGTTTTCATTTTGTCTTATCTCATGTCTGCTAATCACAATAATGTTTTGCTTTTATCTGTCTACTGCTGACTTTTGTCTGTTGCCTGGAGGGGGGTTTCCGCCCCGTTGCAAAGGACATTAAATCAATCAATCGAAGCTGTCTGTGTTTGTACAATACTACAGTTTACACTACTTACGCCATACCATTGTAACGGGTACTAATAAACCCTGGGAATGGGATTTGGGAAATGGTATTGGGATTTGGTAATGGTATTGGTAATGGGAATCAAAGTAATTGTTGGGAATGGTATTTCGTAATGGGAATGGGAATGGGAAAACGACCGATAAAACAGCATAACGGTATTACAGTATGCTTGTTGTCATTATGTTTACCTGTTATATTCGAAGTAAGGGTATCACTTAGAAGCAATACATATTAGGAAATGACTACGGCCATCCTTATTCATCGCGTTTTTATATTGTTACCTTTTTACCAACCCGTTAATTGTTAGCACCATTTTGTTCTCTTTATCAAATAAACACACCCTGATGTCGGTTTTTATGGGCAGTGTTGGGTACCCATTTTAATTTGTATTTTCATATAAATAATTTCTTTTTCCAATACGGAAACATTTCTCTGCACTAGAAAATTTCCACGCAACCAAGTTCTTCCCAGTGTGTATAACACTTTTTAATGACGGTATAAAACGCATCCATATTTTCGGCCCTTTCAGATGGCTCTTCGCGAACTACAACGTAGTCGACCGTTCGAACCACAGCTGCAGACTGGCAGTTGTTTCCGACATTTACTTTTAAATTTTAAATGTTCGGCTTTCTCCCAGAAGAATTTATGAGCGGCTGCGGATGAAATTTTATTGTATTTTGGCAAAATTAGAAATATTCTCGTGATTGATTTCTCCAGCAAACGTAATATGTATATATATCGATAAATACGTTCGGATCTTTAGCACGAATATCATTCAGGGCCCAGGCAGTAGTCAAACAAATAATTCTTACACTATAGCTGCATGCACGGGTAGAACTGGCGTTGGCTAAATGCACGGTTGACCTTTTGCTGCCTGCACGGGTGTTGACTACGGGCACGGAATTTCTGCACGGGTGTTGGCTGCGTGCACGGCTAATTTATTTATTTCAAATCTTCTATTACACGGATTTGTGAATAAAAAAGCGTTTCCAATTTATTTTAAAATCTCGTTTTTTGGTGCTCAGATATTTTTGAAACCTTAAGCTATATGTATTTTAAAAAAAGTATTCTCGAATGCATGTTCAGTGCTATCAATGCTCCACTCTGTAGTCTGTACATGCCATGAAAACAAGACCACTCCATCCTACCGCAGACAGGGTTAACAAAAGTCAAACCGGGAAACATTTTCTTGAAATCTGAGTTTTGATGCCTTATCAAGAAACTGGGTGCTATCAAATGGTAACATGTGTTACGAAGGCGGCTGCAAAATTTTGGTTGAGTTTAATCAGTCATGTGCGCAACAAAAGAGTATGAAATTATGGAAGGTAAAATTCTAAGTTATTCAATAGATATAATATTCAAATGTATAATTAAAACCCCGTGCACGCAGCATCGATTAATTTCTATATATCGCACAAATCGAGCTACTTAATAGAAAATCTAGGCTTCAACTAAATCATATTTTGGAAATTGTGGGAGGTTGAGGACTATAAATTAAGCAATAGGGCAGTATACTAAAGTATTTTTCGTAGCTTCCGTTTGCACAAAAACGTTTCGCTCAAAATGATCTGAGTTCTAGGAAACCACATTCTTCGGCAGGACCTTTTTAACATACAACTCTATGGGAGATTCAACTTTATGTAAGATTACCTAAAGGTCATAACGCAGTGTAACTTTACTAAACCGTAACGGGCACCTTTTGGGTAAGTACCTCAATAGTTTTCAAATAGTTCTGCAAAAAAGAGGTTCCAGTTTCAGTTTTCCTGAGCCGTAATAAAAGGTTAGAACAGAAAATGGGAAAAATAAAACGATGAGCATAAATACTCGTATTTTGAAATTTATTTTATGCAAGAAACGAATAACATTTCAGCTTCGCCTGCTCAATTTTATCAGTCGTTTTCCCATTCCCATTCCCATTACGAAATACCATTCCCAACAATTATTTTGATTCCCATTACCAATACCATTACCAATACCAAATCCCAATACCATTTCCCAAATCCCATTCCCAGGGTTTATTAGTACCCCATTGTAACATACAAAATACAACAGATATCTGAGTTCTGCACCTGTAACATGAGTTTGACACGCTCTAACGGGACCACGAGATCAAGAACGGAAAATGGCATCGCCATTCAAAAAACATACTCGTTCAATACGAGTACTTTATTTAACATTACCAAATTACCAAATTTTAACCAAAAAGTCCCGAACTGACGGTTGAAGCTTACGTCACGCGTAATAAACCGTATACGTATTGTACTAGAATAAAAGCACACGATTAAAATCAAAAGATACGGCATTACAAGTTAGAGCAAGGCGCAAGCCATCTTAAATTCCAGCTGCTAACATCAAAATTCTTTTTACAAAAATACTGAAGATAAATACACATCTCATAAGGAAGCAGGAAAAGATCAAGTAGGGTAAAGATTTCTGTGCAAAAAGATCTCAGAACCTGATTCAAAAAGAGGAATAAACTAACGATTATTAAATTTTACCACATGCTGCCATGCATCATGCAACTAAAGATCATATCGTGCTGTGGGTTTGCGCTCCCTTCGATCGCGCCCGGGTGCTGTATCACCGGCTTCCAGCTGCAGTTGAATACCATTAGCCGAAAACTTTTCGACCGTCAACATGGCACGCATACTTCGCATCTTGCGACTTTTCAGAAGGATTTCACTATACAGCTTCGTCTCCAGACCAGATGAATGACGTTTCCTTTGAAAAGCTGCCAATTTCTTCTGCAGCACGGCTACAATCTGATTTTCCACAGTACCCAACTGAGGAACCATAATCTCCTCGGCCATTTTCTTTAAATCCAGACAGTAAACAGCAGTGTCACCGAAGCCCATGTCCTGGAACGGTAATACGTGACCGTGACACTTTAAGTAGAGCGGATTAACCGCCCTGATAGGTTCCATTCTCCGAAGGTCATCTTCCGATATCATCGGCGGAGTCGGCCACTGTTTGAATTGCTCCAACATCATTTCATACCTTTCCCGGTTCTCCTCAGTGTGTTCAGGAAGTCTAATCAGCTCCTTCTTTGAGTCGATATATCGTGTATTAAATGCCCGAAACGGTGGCCATTTATGGTACATCCGCAAGGCGAAACTGCAGAACTCTTCGTCTACCTGCAATCCCTCCGGAAGCGGCATTTCCTCACCATCCATCGCACGCTCAACCTCACCATGGTAGTTTCGTAAACTGGCCAGCATTCGGTCCATATACTGTGGCAGAACTGGAGATTCCTCTGCCGACTGGGATCGCGGATAAGAAAAACGACTACCATGAATAACCACTCTCTGCAACGATCCGGAGACGAGTTTGCTTAGACACCCACTAACCAGTGCTCGGCTCCAGAGGGAGTGCAAAATCGGTACTTTACTCTTTTCTTCCCACAAACACAGTTCATCCATAAAGGCCAAGATTAATGACGCAATACAAGGATGTTTCAAGTAGGCTGTCTTATCCACTACCTTGCCCAAATTAAAAGCAATCGTATGGAGCTCTATAAACAGACAGCAATGCAACATGCAGGTGAGCGCAAAAAAACAAAAAAAACTTACCTTTTTCCAGCATCCCGTCCAGACTACCGTGATATGCGTACTGAGCGGCGGCTTTGGCTGATAAGTGTGCTGGCACAAGGGCGCAGAGAAAATTACCCATAGCGAGATAATATTCCATTAGAAAACAATACGGAAACACAAAGGCGTTATCGTACATCAGCTGATTGGCGTGCACGGCTTGTAGTAGAATGCTTTCTGCATTATTTGGGCCCTTAGTCAACCTTTCTAACGTGCCATAAATCGTTAAGGCCATCGGATAACTGTGTACACAACACACATCAAAGAACCGTTTTGTAGATAAAATCGCAACCGACGAAGCCACACACTCACTTGTCAATTTTCCCGCTCATACATAGATCGCTGAGTATCAGACGTTGGAAGCTGGCCAGTTGCTGATCAAAGCCACCGTCCGTGTAACTCGACTGTAGGGCACAACAGAAGTAAGCACATTCCATAAATCGATCACAGTGAACGAATCTTCCCTTGGAATAGATCCATAGATCCTTAATGGTTAGGATGCCGTTGTGAAAGTTACCCGATTTTATGGCGCTTCCACGAGGAAGAACTGCAAATAATGCATTTAAAGCCAATAAGAAATATATGTAGGAAATCTGGAAAACAAACATACAGTCTTCTTCCATTTCCGGTATCCCGATTAAACCGCTCCCCTTCTCGTTCGGCAAACCAACACCCAGGAACACCATTATTTCCGAAAGATTCAAATGGACATCTTTCATGCCGAGCAACTGGGCAATTATCACAGCAACCTGCTTGATTTCTGAGAGATCCAAGTCGCTTCTCACACCTGGAACAAGTTAATAAAAACGCTTCACTTCACCGCAATAAATTTCAATCAAAACCGGCGGCGGACGCCATATACCGCGCGCGCATGATTTTAACTTAATTTTAACTTAACTGTTTAAGAGAATGAAGGGTGCAATTACTGTAGAATTGTAAGTAGAAAGTAGAAACGTTCTCACATCTCCTAATCATCTTAGGCTGTGTCCTCATATCATAGGCTGTTCATAGTAGAGTACATAATGAGTATTTAAATTTCTTGTAACGTAGTTCGCTGCAAAATGCAGTAGTTATATTTCTAAATATAAATTATTGCACATATACGATTATGACGTATACTGCATTGAAGTATTACAAAGCCGACAATTTCCGCATAATGCGAAAAAGCAGCAACCAATGGTATCATGCAATCTCTGTTTGGCTACCCGTAGTGTTTTACGCAAACAGAAGACTGACACAAAGAGTGTTTATCGAAAAGTGCGGGAGCTAAAGGGAGTAAAAAAACGGCCACAGCATGTAAACAGTAAACATCAACCGGATTCAACAAAAAATACCATAATCTTTGAAAGGTAAGCATTGCTACTCACAATCAGCTTTACTAACAAAAAGTTGCAAAGTAAAAAAACCACAACTTGCCATCAATAAAGTCTACCCACAAAAGTTACAGAAATGTGAAAGCTGAAGCACGATTAACACGAGCATTTTGTGTAAGTAAATGTCCATTTCAGAAGAACAAAACTGTATAATGTATAGCATTCACAATCCAGCACCAGTAATATGTGTTAAATAAAGGACAATTTCAAAATGATGCCATTATTCTATTCGATAGAGGCCGCGTAATTCTAAAAACGCAAGACGGATACTACGTTACCTTTGGTTCCGCGTGTTCGGTCGTCTCTCACCGCTTCGATGAATTTGATGAGGCTTCCGCTGGCATGAGAACCAGAACTCTGGTTTATGGTGACTAGTCTCGTGATAAATCTGTAAATCCCGATCACATCCGCTTCTCCAGTGCTGGCACTGCTCTGCGTTGAACTGTCCGATCCCGTGCGCTTCGTGCGCCATCGTTTGAAATTCTCAGAATCTGATGTGAGAATGGTCCTAAATGCCAGCCAGAGATTCCAGATGGTGTCCCACTCCACAGGAACAAACTGTTCAGAGCGCGCAATGCGCTTACTACTGCCTTTTCGCGCTTCCGCTCGTGGCCCGGCAAGCGCTTTTTTTGTTAAAGAAAGCAACAAAGATAAAATCGTAAGATTCGGTTCATCTTCGGTGTGGAGGAGAAATAGCACAAGCTCTGCAGCTTCTTGCACATCGGAAATAGGGAACCGCTGTTTCAGATTATTCAATAATTGCTCGCAAGCGGCAAGGTTGTCCTCCATTTTCGTCAAAGATATCTCCCATCATTAATACGCGCATCAGGAAGTAAAATGTCTTAACTCTTAAGGAAATAGGTATTACACAGTCTCACTCGAGAAAAATAACAGAAGGGAATCAGACTGGATGTACGCTGCGCATCCAAGAACTCAACACTAGCTACCAACAGGCATATGTAAACAAACCGCAGTGAATATGGAAAAGTGAATTATGTAACATTGTAACGCAGAACGTGGGACCGCGGAGTGGAACGTTTTGTGTGCTCGCACCATCCATTCAGTCTGCTCTGCGCTCTGCGTATAGTGTACACCGACTCTGCTACGTTATGCACCGGAAGCCGTCGGAAGGCCGAAGCGACCTGGAAGTCTAGGCTAAAATATTTTGAAAATATTTTATGAGCATTTTTTTATCTTTTTGTGATTCTGCTTCTGTGCCTAGTATGGTGGCTGGTATTCTTTACTTTAGTATTTTCATGGTAGGTCCAAAGAATCCAAAGCACTCAGTAAGACTGTAAGATATTTATCAATTTTGTGCATGTTTTTCAATCTTCGCAAATTTCTTTTTAATTGCCTTGAAACTGTTAATAGATCCTTCTCCAGTTTAGACACGCGGCAGGATGAGCTATTCGGGTAAGTAACAAATTGTGCATCTCGCTGCTTACTGGTACTCCTTTTCCGACTTTCCCTTAGCTTTGTTGTTATCTTTTTGTGTTTTGCGTTTTGCTGAATTTAAATGTCTGCTTTTTTAAAGCTTATTGTTTTTCAAAGATTGAACTACTGCAGTTTGCAAGCACCTGTGTCCTACATATAGGAGCAGAGTGGAGTTTAGAGGATTAGCGAGTGATGTATACTAACTTTCAGTTTTACTGTTTACAGCTGAATTGTGAGGTCTAGTAATACTTTACAATTTACTGTTCAGTTTTCCTTATTTATATTACCTATGACGAGTACCTAAAAACAGAAAACCGAAAAGTTAGCTGCCCCGTGTTGCCTTGTAATTAATTATTGTTAGCTGTCACCTTTCTGTTATCAGTGTTATGGTACAGGTAGTGACTATTATTTTCCGTTTCCGGACGTTTTCGGTTTTGGTTTACACTGTACTTGCTTATCCAGCTCACAGATTATCAAGCTGTAAATATAGCAAATTAGCAATATGCATAGCTTTTGTTATAATGCTGAACGAGTTTCTGTTTTCAGTGAAATTCTTTCGATATCAGCTGAAACGGCTTTATACGGAATACCCAGAACACTTCTTCGCTGGAACTCTGGGTATCGTGAGTGAGTGATGTCTGCAGCATTTTTTAAATTAAGAAGATCGGCTTATGTTTTTCACGTTACGATGTCGCTGTATACGTGTATCATAGTCGATAGCTGTTTTGTTATGGAATATTGCTAACGCAGGTTTTCTTACCAATAGACAACCACAAGTCCACAATAGTAAAAAACTTAATTTTTTTAATTTTTATGATCTGTTGTATGATTTTTACCTTAAAATTTTTGAAGTTTTAGTTTTAGTTGTTTAAAGTTTAGACATCGAAAAAAAGCAACCAGAATCTCTATCCTCCCATGGGTTAAAAGGTAGCTTAATTATAACCAAAGTGAATGATAGATGTTTTGAGCAACTGCTCCGCAAATATTGACGTAAACAGTTTTACTGTAACCAAACAACGTTATGTTTCTCCTTTTAAAAATACTGTTTGACTTTGGTTTAGGAGCAGAAATGTTTTTACCTTTCGGTAAACTGCTCTGTGTGCGCATGAGCTCGTTTTTTCGTATTTTTTTATTTTGAACGTTCGGTAGGTAGTTTAACAGCAGTTTTACTAATTTACTAATTTTAATCGGGCCATTTTTGTTGTAATTTTAAACTTCTACCATATAAAGATTTTAAAGACAGGGGTATAGTAGATAGTTGTACTTTTGTCTTTGTATCCAACTTTTATTTGAACTCGTAATACTTAGTGTTATTATTATTACAACAATATATCAGGTTAACTATTTTGCATTTTAGCCGCTTTCGCTGTTGGAATCCCAAGAGTGATGTACCATCTCAAACACCCAAACGTTGACGTGAAGGCATACAAAGAACACTATACAAGTGAGTGCCCAAAAGGGACAAGAACGTTTTTGCCCGAACCTTTTTCTGCGTGTCTGGAATAGGCGTCAACAATTTTGTTTCTTTACGTGAAAAATGAAAAACCCAGCGCAAGACACATTGCAGTCCGTGCACATTTTATTTATAAAAAGTCAGTGCTTGTGCATAATAATTATTGCTAAATAGGAAAGTATTATACTATTTTTTACATCAGTAAAACTTCACTTCACTCTTCTGGTGTTTCCATTTTTCCCAGGATAGATATCGCTTTCCTCCGCTAAATATCTTTTTCCGGTCGAATATTATTCTTGTATTCGTATGCTGCTTGACTATGATAATAACTACAGTGATACACACTTTATTTTCATGCCTTTCTGCTTTTATTGAAGTCATTTTTTTTCGTTTAGTTTACCGATCAGATGATCCCAGATCGTACCGCATCCGTTGTACTCCAGACCTACCACGCGATGATCCGCATATCCTCAAAATTTGAGCTTGTTGTTTACGATGTTGTGTATTTTTCCTTGAGAATTTACGAGTACCTCTAGTGTGTCGATGTATGTGCTAAGTGTGTGCGACGATGTCGAGCATCGAGGATTATGCCATTTGAATAGGTGTGGAGTCTGTGGACGACAATACGGAATTCATTACAGGCTTTATAGCAGTTCGCACCTTGTAGATTATGCGCCTGGAAAATTGGTCAATGTAAATAACAAAAACTATGAATAAAATTTATGTTATCCTTCGGTAGAATTAATGTTGTCAAATTGCTTGCACGATAGTCTGCGGACACAGTGAGTTCGGTTTTGGTGCATGCTCTTTCAGTATATCTGGACAGAAACTCTGATTTGTTTAAAATTAGTGCGAAATCTTTAGCCCAAATGTGCTCATTGGAGCTGTAACTGAGTTTATTAGGGTGTGCATAAACTACCGATTGATTTTTGCATAAACTACAATACATAGCTGTCTCTGGCCTATCTGTACTTGTACTCGGGCATTATACTCTAAATGCCTCTCCATAACGCCGCGCTGTCCGTAGAACTTATACAGAATCTTAACAACACGAAGTAGCAGTTTAATTGCGATAATAAAATTTCAGCCATTGCGTCATGTCGCAACAATATGTAAAAAGAAAATACTTTTCAACAAAACAGCTTCGGTACTTTTGGAACATACAGTACGCTATCATCCACACAATAACGAAATTAATACTTATAACAAATTACTGATTCGACACCACATTATTGTATGGAGTATACTATGAACATTCATATTCATAATAATGATTTCTTGAGAAAAAACATAATAACAAGTTGAACAGCGCTGAAGAAATAAGTATTATGTATCAACAAATAAACAAGGTCCCAGCTTATAACGCAAAACTACCATCTGTCAGAGGTGTAGAGGATTAAACGTGAACAAAGTTAAAACGAGAGAGCGCGGCCGGCAGATTGGCAATAACGGGGCCATATCCCTGTGCATTGTCGTACAATTCAAACAATGGAGCGGCCACCAGCTTGTAGTTTTTGGGAACGTTGAACATGGCTTTATCGGGCAGAGTTATGAGAAACATCTGACGATGTTCCTTAGGTTTGGTGCAGTGTGCCGGAACGTACGGATATCTAAAAGAAGGTTAAAACACTTTCAACCACACGAGCAACGAGAAGAAGCAACCCACACTATTATTAAATAACAAATTAATCATATATATGATGAATAAAATAATAATATAACAAATAAAGGAGAGCCTATACGTTTTTCTTCCATATATAAAATCTATTAAAAGGAGCAAGGATGCAGTATGGCAGTAGTCTAGCTTACAGCGGCGGCTCGAAATTGGGCCGGAACCAGTTGGAGACAACCTCATCGATGGCCCATTCATCCGGACTGCCCGATTGTCTGCCCAGACATTCGTGCAGCAGCCGCTTCAGTCCCTCCACTTCATCTTCCCCTTCATTCAGCTCTCCGCCCGGAAGTTTAAAAAACGTATTCCCCAACTGAAGTAGCAGTACATGCACCATTTTGTGCTCATGCACCAACAGGACGGCATCCACGTAACGACGCATTCCGAACTTCTCGTATTCCCTCCGCAAGCGAATGAAGCGCTCCTGTACGGAATGGTCCTTCTCATACACGGGATCCTTCGTGCCAAAAGTATAGTTTGTCAGTGAATACCTGCGATACATTAATGTGTCACTTCCCACGAATCCGTATTCAAAATAGAGACAAAGTCAGTAAGTCACAAAATAATAAAAAAAACCCCAATTACATACAACAAACCTGGCAAATTAAACCATTAAAATTTAAATGATTAAAATAGGTAAACTGTTCGGAAGTTAATCGGAACCATGTTTATTGGCGTTTTAACTTACACTTTAATACTGCGGGATTTCCCTTGCATCGGAGCTGGAGGCTGGTGAGTAGTCTCCATATACTGCTGAGGACCGGGACCTTTGGGCCAACCAGGTCGATTATAAGCGTTATGAGCCATAGCGAGCGCCGCTGTCGATGTAGTCGCAACTGTCGCGTCAAGATGGCTTGTAGATTCGCAGTCTACAGAATCTCCGGCCTGTTAATGTTTTCCGACAGCAAGAACTTATTGCAGATTATTTCTCTTGAAACGGGTTCTCTCCAGGCAATAGTCGCAATACGACCGCAAACACAACCGCACAGTCACTACAGGGAGATAAGTCTGTGTTAAACTTCGACTTCGAAAATTCAGCTGCGATAACTGTTAGGAGCAACCCCACAATAATGCCTCAGTCGTACGATATTAATAATAACAAGATTATAAGAACACGAACTTCAAAAGGTATCTCGATATCTGATTATTTACAAAAACTATTAGCGAGACGATAAAATGAAATTAATTTGCATTTACGGTATGACAAATCACAAATGGCATCGAAAAACTGAAAAATCGTGACGTGCGAAAATCCACTTGCAACCCCCTTGGGCACCTGTTTAGTTAGTGAACGTCAAAACGCCAGACTCCAGAGGAACGATTAAAAACGTTGCCAAAAAGCAAAAATCACTGAAAATGGAAAGTCGAAATTACTCGTAAAATTTGAGAACAATAGTACAGTTAATTAGTGATGTTAAGCCAAAAACTAGTATTGTTTCTCATCATTTGTATCGCAACGTAAATTTTTCTCTTAGTTTTCACCCTTGCGCTCTTTTTTAATTTATATTATTATCGTGAATTCTCTTTACGATAGGTCGATATCTGCATGCTTTACGCACTCCTGATAAACTTTATGAACGAGATACGGTGTTTATTTGTATAATTTAACTATATATCATATAATTTACAGTTAATTACTAAAGTTAGTATCTGTCTGTATCTGGTATCCTTAATTGAGATGTTGTTGTGACTCCTTATGGTTGTAGCAGTTACTGTGCGTTCTGCGAAGCATAAGAACAACTTGGATCTGCAATGTGGATGGCGCTAGGTAGACGCAATGTCGTACGACGCCATTCAATTGAAACCTCTGACGATCTACCCACGCCACAAAGATTTCCGCGAACCGATGCGCTTTCTGCAGAGTCTATACGAACGGCCGGATTACCAGCTGGAAAACCGCGGCGCCATCGTAGTGCAGGTGCCGCGTCGTTTCATCCATCCGGAGCCTCCAGAAGTGGACCAGACGGCGTCCCTGTCCTGGGTAGTGGAACAGCATCTCCGTCCGGATCGCGAAGCGGGCATGTGGCTGTACTCAGACATTGACAAGCAAGTCAACAAGTACACCGTGGCGTCGTACTTGTCGAAAATTGGTGATCTGGATCGTCGCTGTGACGTGGAAAATTTCTTCGCAGATCGCGAGAGCAGCCGCGATGTCGTGCTGGATGCGTGTTATATGGAGGGACACATCTTTACGGATGATGAGCCCACTTTGAAAGACGTGCCGGAATGGAATTTCTCCAATGTGAACGATCTGATGGAGGAGGCGGGATGGGGACAGCGGACGCGCGGCTTTTTCATCTCCAATGCCGGCTCGGTGACGGCGCTGTCCTGTTCGGATACAAATTTGGGACTGCTGTATTATATGCACTGGGGAGCGCCGAAAATCTGGACTGTGGTGCCACCGAAATATTTCCGGACACTGCGGAACTGTTTTTATCAGTTGTCGCCAAAGTGTTTCAATGAGTGCCCCGCTATGCACTTTTTTAGTGGATATATGGAAGCATCGTTCCTGGAACGCCATCGGATTCCTTTTGTCCAGTAAGATTTAATTTTATTCTTGCCAGATTGAGAATTTTTAGCTGCCGCGAAGTTGCATAGAGCCTTCTAAACCAACTTGTGCATGTTCCGGTTTGTTAAATATTGGCGATTACGATTGCATCAGTTTTGCTAAAATTGTTGGGGTTTGTTTGTTCGTTAGGTTCGAGCAGCATCCTGGACAGATGGTGGTAGTTTCGTACCAGTCGCATTTTGAATCGCTCAACACCGGTGTTCATATCGGAGAAAGCTGTAATTATGCCGAAGTGAACTGGTTGCGCTATGCTATGCATCAAGTCCGCTGTAAGAAGAATTGTCAGCCCATAGATAACGGTGAAGAAATGCGAGAATACGGTTTTACGAAGTATCTTCCCGGTGTAAACGCGGCCACACTACCTGATCCAACCGAGAATGGCAAATGGTATTGTGCACGGGACTATCTTCCCAGGGATCTGAGGGGAATGAGGTACGAACAAAATGAGCACGCGTTCTTGGGACTGCCGGAAGATGATGAGGATTTATCTCAAGGCTCACAGAATTAGAGGACACTGGCTGTTTTGTTAATTGTAACGTATTGTTGTTATTGTTTTTATACCGTGTCCCCGTACAGTTGACGCTGTCGGCGTCGGCGTGAGATGGAGACTTAAGCTGTTACGTTAATCCGCTAAATTTGCTCAGTTTCTGGTGATTTCTGCTATGCCTGTACCCAGTATGGGCAACTGCATTGTGTTCTGGCAAGGCGTATTTCTGCTTCCTGCGACCTTGTTAATTTAGTTTTTTTGTGAATGATGCTTGTTAGCACTGCACCAACAATTTTTATATATTTTTTTTTATTTTTTTTTATATGTTTCGATTATTTAGAATTTGCTTTTTCTAAATATATGCAGGCTCCATGCAGTTAAATAAAGGATTTCAATGACCTGAATTTTTGATGGTGCGTGTAGCTGGTAAAATATCCTCGTATAAATCTCCAGTTTTATACGAGTACTACGAGTGCAAAACTATGTTATTGTGCAGCAGTGGCGTTTTAAGCAATTTTATTGCTGATTTCACTGGCATTGCACCATTTGTGGACCCTCCGGTTGTCGAGCGACAACGTAACAGAAGCACGCGTGCGGTGGCCCATGCCACAGGCTGTTTTAACGTAAATCTTTGAAAATTCATAACTTTGTTCACTCCTGCATTAAATTTTTATGCATAGTCTTGAAAAATGCAGAATAAATACACAGTATCAGGCAAAAGAAATGCTTTTTAATTTTTCTTTCAGGATTGTGCGCTGTTAGCCTGCGCGGCTAGCATAGCCGCCTATGGAGGATTTCCCATAGGCGGCTATGTTAACCGCAGAGGCTCATACTGAATTACCCTAAAGAAGAAACAGAAAACATTTATTTTGCCTAATACTGTGTATTATTCTGCATTTTCTAAGACTATCCATAAAAATTTAATGCAGGAGTGAACAAAGTTATGAATTTTCAAAGATTTACGTTAAAACAGCCTGTGGCATGGGCCACCGCACGCGTGCTTCTGTTACGTTGTCGCTCGACAACCGGAGGGTCCACAAATGGTGCAATGCCAGTAAAATCAGCAATAAAATTGCTTAAAACGCCACTGCTGCACAATAACATAGTATTGCACTCGTACTACTTACGTACTTAATTTGGTTAGGATTTGCGTTTTTGATAGCAGCACTTGTGTAAAATATGGTCATAACGGTACCTTTCCCGGATATCATGACAGTATCTTTCCCATTACACATCACTTTATAATGCAATATTCACTGCGGTAATAACCACTCGTGCAAAGATCAATCCAGAACAATAAATCAATAGTGCATCCATAAAATCAGAGAGAAAACCACAAGGGCATAATTTCCATTTTACAAACTGAAAAAACCAAACAAACTGCTAAGGCAGCAAAATGACCAACCCATTAATAGAATGAAATATGAATAGACATCTAAGCACAAACTGAATGCAGTACCAGATCCTCATGGCATTTCACAATAATTAAAAACTGCCATGCCTTCACAGTTTCCACAACGATGTCGCAGTTGACCGAATAGCGAAGAAAATAACTAACCACCCCACAAAAACGCATGGTTAGTTATAAATTTTCACCGCCTTCTCCATATAATTCGGTCGTGGCCTCTTTGGTGTGCGATTGACATGATCTATCCCTAACCATATCGAAAAAGCTCCTAAAGAGGATGAAAAAGAGACGGTTAATTAATGTCTTTTAATGGCTATAAGCGAAACTTAATGCGTACCGCCATAAGGAATCAGCTCCCTTGTGTTCACCTTTGTTGAATCCTCCAAATGATGGGCTTTTCCCATGTGTATAACACAGAATTTATACTGAAATAGATCACCAATTATTACCATTATAACCATTTTGATCAGAGCGACTGTTACAAACCTTTTCGAATTCCTTTTCTGGAACATCTAACAGCTTTCTAATTCGCTCTTTTACTTCGGAGAATTCTTCACCCTATCACCAATCAACAAATCAGAATGATTTCGATATTTAAACGCACGTAAATGCACGTAGGAAACTCAAAGACTATAAAAAAAAATTTGGCAATCAATTAATCTCAACACAACAGCAAATTACTGTTATCCTGTGACTCCACAAGATACTTTCACAATTCAGAGTGATCCACCTTGCGAAGGCATACAGAATAAAAACGATGCCAAGCAGCTTAAGTGTGAACCATTAATCCATACCTGTTTGACTTTGATGAAAAAGGGAATCCCAAAATTCTGATGTGATTCCTATGAAATACGTGCCATTGCAGAGATGAAAGCAAAATCATCAGCGGTAAATATTATAGTACCTTCTGGAAATGGGCAACCGGGATAAGATTTTCGCCTTCTTCGTTTTTCACTTGAACCTGCTCGACAGGGACTTCTTCAACACGAAAAATCTTGTTACCCGATATGGATGATATATTTTCCAAAGGCTGAGTTTTTTGGAAAACGTTCGTGATACGCGAATTCATCACTTCGATCAACCTAAAAATTACTCTCTCGAACTACTGCTGCTCCGAACAACAAAATATAACAATGTCTTACAAAGAGTATGGCAGTAAATGCAGTCGCTACTGACCTCAGCTGGCCGCTACCATCGGGACTAAGTTCAACAACCTTCTTCATCTGTTCCAGAATATCCGCAACCGTACCTCGTTTGTTAACCAAAACGGTATACTCCCGACCCTATTAACAAATAATCTACCTTACCAGGGCACATTTTCCGGGTCCAAATTCAGAAAAATCTGATCTTTGGCAGGAACATAGTATACCATCGTAGTATATTTAAAAAAATAATTTCAGCTGCTGACACTCAAAGGGCGTGGCCATACAAAATTAATAAGTAGTAAGTAATAGTACATACTATTGCACTGCACTAGTGTAGTACTCTAACAGCTGTTTGTATCAGTGTAATAATAATAAACAGAAAATTTTCATCTTTTGCCGAATGACAGTGTACGACTATGGCACGGTTAAAAAATAAGGAACTTTAATATTTATGACAAGTTTCGGAAGCACACTGCAGACAATGAGGAAAAGCAAAATCTAGAATTCAAATACAGCGGCAGTATGTGGTACGTACTGTTGCACTACCGCAAAGAATCGCAGCTACAAAATGATTTTTCTACTGTGTCGTCTTAACGTTTGCACATGAAATTTTTCATTAAGCATAATGTGGCAAAATACTACGTTCCTGCAAGAGGTGAAACTTTCCTGATCTGCTGTTATTTTATAAAAAGCCTGTGCGGGTATTGCGCTAGTGCATTGTAATAACATGCAGTATTACGCACTTATTAATTTTGTTTGGCCACGCCCTTTGAGTGTCAGCAGCTGAAATTATTTTTTTAAATATACTACGATGGTGTACTATGTTCCTGCCACAGATCAGATTTTTTTTGAATTTGGACCCGGAAAATGTGCCCTGGTTAGAACTCTCTTAGAAACCGCGCCACTTTGAAAAATTAAATCACGGCAAATAACACTTTCAATCGGCAAATTCTGCTATGCAAACAATGCTCAGTTCATACCTCATCACGATAATTTGGCTGCCATAGTATTTTGACTTCCTTCCTCGATTCCAGTTCATCGATATCCATATCCAATTGCTGATAGAAAAGCTTTTTGGACTTGCTCATACTTAGGCGCGACTGCACCAGATGATGGAGAGTCTGCTCGCAGCTTCCAGCAATGGCCGAACCAGCGGTGTCCCGTACCGAGCTATTACTTAAACACTCAGTTAAGTTACCGCCATCCACAAAGGATTAAAACAACCGTACTTTTGGCAACGAAACAGTTGTATCCGCTTGGGATCGGTTTGGAGACGCGCGGCAACTGCGCTGACCACTTGCTGATAGGACATCCTCAGATTCAATGTAAGCATGAACGTCCGAATCTCATCATTCGGTCGTTCTTTATCGACGAACTCAATTTCCGTGCGAAAAGTGAGATCCCTTTAAAAACCAAAGCAGAGCATTGAATTAAGGTTCGGGATAATAAATTATTATGCAGATCACACACAAAAACCCCCGAACTGCTGCCACTAACAGGCGCGTATCGCTTGCAGTACTTTGCTGGGTTCAATAAAGAAAAACAGTAATATGGTGGTTATGTGTAGAATTCCAGTATCAAAAACGAAATCAACTAACTGGAAACATTGTTCTCTTACTTGAAATATTCTTTGACGGTGGGCAAGCTAAGATGTTCTTCCTGCTCTGATGTCACAAGCTTCTGGAAAATAATGAGATCTCCATCATTTAGCTCCGGAGTCTGATATCGGGCAAATGACTGCTCGGGAGCGATATTAATTTTCTCCACTGCATTTTGTTTAAAATCGTTAAATAATAAAAGCGGTGTTCCTGGTGGAAAATCCCCTTTCTGAATACAGATTTCCATCAGTTCTTCTGCAAAATCGTTTAAATAAATGTTAAAAAATAAAGGGACAGGACCAAACTTTTAAACAATGCAGAAAACAAAAGAAACGTTTTCCTCGGCTAATACAAACTTACTTGGGGTTATTTTTTGCGAAACCAGATCAAATCCTTTATATTCCAATACTCGGCGCACCGGGTCATAAAGACGGAAAAAAAGCACCATCTCCTCGTCCTGCTGCCTCCGACTGTGAAGGCGGTTCGCGTTAAGGAAAGTATGAGGATTTCTGTATTTTATTATCTCCAACAATACGATCAACTGTTCATCTTCTTCCCCTAAAGAGAAAAATGAATTCCATTGTACAGCTCCTGCTAATTTCACTAAACTAAAATGTATATATTAAATGGACAACAAAGTACAGGCGCGTGCGATCTCTTGACACAACAATTAAAATTTATTTTAGATTTTCTTTAATCGCAACTCACAAGAGCTCGATTTCTCAACTTTTAAACATTTAACTACACCGCCATAACAGCAAAATCAGTTACTTACCGAAGATTTCCACGAAACTCTGGTCGTGGTTTTTCAGCAAATCGTCCGCCGCTAAGGTCGGCCGAAAGGTTCCATTTTGACGATGTTGCCACAACCAGTATTTTATTTCATCCGTCTTATACCTATCAAAGTATCTGGTTTTCTTTAGCTGCCATCACTGATTATGAATCACAGCGGTACGAACCCGAATAACTCGGCCAACGTTTCATGTATTTCTTTCACTGTAATTTCCTTTCTGATACGGACCGGCTTTTTATGCTGAATCTTCTCTAAATCGATTAATTCGTGGCCCTGATGAACAGCCAGATCATCTTCCGTAACCACTCGCAAATTAACGTAACCATTTTGGTTCATCTTCTCCTGGCGTCGCCTGGCTTCAGTTTCACTTTAAAAAATAAACCGATAGAGAAATACGACATGTGAAGGATACAACACGGACGCCACATGTGAGCATTACCGTTCTTCGGCAAAGCGCTCTTTCAAGTAACCAGGCACATCGTTTTCGGTAACGGGCTGTAGAATTTCCCCTACAAAATGCTTTTTTTGTACGAAAAACTGACAGCTTTATTGCAAAACAATTCCAAAATTACCTTTTAAGCTTTCGTTAATATAAACCAACATGTACGCATTAGTACAATTTCTAAACTGAAGAAATTCATCAGAAGATCCACCATAGTTGCGTTCGATTGCCTCCTTCTTCTGGCACTTTACCACAACGTCATCGTCAAATTTGCACCACTACAATTTCAAGAGGAAATTTCAGAAAGAAATCAATAGAACCTTGGCGTACAATTAACTGAATTAAGTGAATGGTATATTCTTCCGTAATACCATAATTTATTAATCTTAATCCATAATACATCAAATCTTCAGATAATGTGTACTAACTTTTCCGTCGCCTTTCGGATTTATATAAACTACGTAATGACCGCCATGGTTATCACCACTGTGGACCAGCACAGCATGAAGAAAGTATATCGGTGGAACGTCCGCCTGCTCTTGAAGGTACTTCGTCAGATCGAGTCTTTCCGGAAATTCAAATCTAAATACAAACCATCACTACTAACGCTCCTCACAATGTCAGCCAAACTAATTCCAGTTAATTCAAATTAAAGGGACATGTAGCAACTAATTTCTTTAAATCTATATACAGACAGCATAGATATTTTTATCCTAATCACCTATCGTTGATCTTAATGTTGCTTTCACTAATAGGGTCAAACTGGAAGCGCTTAAGCTGCAAGTGAAGAACAGGAGGAAAGGACACAAAGGCAATTCCTTTTTCGGCTTCCTGCAAGCCATGGTCACCGGCATCGTATTTGTTGTCTCCATCCAACACCTCTAGCTCCACGTAATCATCAAAAGAGGCGTACACTACAGGAGATTAGATGTCATTTCTCGATATTTAGTTATTCCCTAGCAGACCCAGAATGTTCCAGTCCTTACCATCCTTCCGATCTTTAACATTCAACTGAACATCCATGAACGATTCCTCACGGGATGACTCGTAGCTGATGTTTTTACAGCGGATAAATGAGATCATCTTCCCTTCGAACAACCTGGGTATCGTTCCTTCCACTCGGGTTAGTTTCATTTTCATATCCATGTTATCCAATAACTAGAAGAAAACACTCCTGATTTCATCCGAAAAGGGATCAACTCCAATATACTGACCACGCGACAAAGCTCCTGCGCATCGTGTTGCATGAAAGAGTCCAGTGTCTCCCATCCAAAAGATTTTGTGAGCTTTTTCGTTCCCACTGGCTTGTCACTAGTCTGAAGCTCATAAAATACTCGCTGAACGGCTAAAGGAACACTTCTCACAGGATCCTCAGCTTCGGTTGGGATCAGATAAACCGCCTTAAATTAACATCATGCCATTCATCAAATACTGAACCGATTCTAATAAAATGTGTGACAACCCACACCTTCTTCAGCTTGTTAGTGAAATAAAGCGCCTGGAGAAGAGAGTTCATATAGCACGTGGCTCCTTGATTTTTCAATCCGATATAGCCGGTATATTTCTTTGAGTCCCAACTGCAGTGAAAGAAGCAAAGTAAGAAAAGTGTACGGATTTTTTAAAAACACCCGATACCTATAAAAAGCAGTTTTTTAAATACGAATGTAATTTACCAAACTCCATGCGGCGGATCAGCATTCAGAGTAACTTGTAGCTTCAGAGAATAATCGGTAGGGTTTATATAACCTTTCACGGGATCCATCAAATCCTTCAACATGGACAAAGTTATTCCAGCACAGCTGTCAGTATCCTCAGTCAAGTAAACTATATACCTCCATTTGGATAAAATTTGTAAAACCCCAGTCATTTTCTTTGTTGTAGAACATATGGGATATCGCTAGAATCATACAGCAAAGCTTAAATATCGTTTAATAAATCGACAAGACCAAAAAGCCTACGGCGCTTGATTGCCGGAGTGTCCGATTTCCACGGTAATAGCCGGAGCTCTGCGCTAGCATGACAAGTCCAGGAAGTGGATTCCGCATCAGCGTTACATTGTAAAAAATATCCCAACGTCCAGCTTTCATCGTGCATGTGACTAGCAGATCCGCGTCCTCTGCGCTTCATAACCATGATTTTCCTGCAAAAATATATGGTCGAGTTATTAACAATTATAAAAGTCTTCCGCCTCAATCCAAGCGAGCATGCAAAGTAATTCCTACCAAGGCAAATTCCTAACTTGTATAGAATTGCTTAACGTTCCCGCTTCCTGCAGTTTTCTAATATCAGGAACCGTAAAATTTATAACACCATCGGCTCGTGAATCGTCTAAAATATCACAAACAACATTACAAACAATTCACGCGCGCGATACAAGTAATATCCCCAGGAGCTCACCATCGTCGTCAAGCTTTTCTCCGTCGAACGATTCATTGCTGGAACCGGGTCGCGCCATATCCGTACTAGTATCTGGCTGCAATGGGGAAACAGGGTGCATTGTTTCCTCTGCCGTTAGATTATCCACCATTGGGACATTTTCATCACGAGCCATATCGTTGTTATCCAAGGTGTCCATTAGCTCTTGGTCTTGCAAAGGCTCATTATTACCTACAACAAATCATTGTTTCGCAAACAGTTGGAAGTACACATGCTAGCACATTCAAAACCTCATAAATCCAATTCTGAATCCTTTTTACACGATAAATAAAACCTTCCAAAGTTTTAAGTCTGTCTCGAGAATTTATTGCGTCGCAAAACACACTTGCACAATACTATGCAGCTTGATTGCTAAAGAGCTAAATCTTCACGAAAGAATCCTGAATCCCTGATCAGCGAGCATCAAGCGCAACGTGTGAAGTTATCAGGTGTCAATACTGAGTGCTGCAATCACAAGTTAGCAGATGCTGCGAAACATCTCCAGCATAGCAACAACAACCACCAAAAAATTTTCAAGTGCAAATGCGTACATAATCGACTCGATTCACGTTAAAATTAACAAGCTCTGACGCATTCATGATTTTAAAATTTTAATACTTAACAGATTTCGTTGAAATAAATCTACTTCGCGGCGACTGTTTTGACATGCTGTAATGCTGGTGAATATATATATCAGCATGATGGGAACTTCTCCTTACCGTTATTGCTGGGCTCGGTATCGTCGTCCTCTTTGATGGAATCTTCATTGTGCGCCGTCGATCTGTCGTGCACAATGTCCATGGGCGTATCGAGCAGTGGCCGATTGTCCATGGTATCGGCGTTAGTGTTCCGCTTGTCTTTTTTCCGCCGACCAAAGCCCATAAATTTGGCTCTGTGATGATTAGCAGCTGGAGTACCCGGTTGTTGGTCAACGGGCTGTCCGAGAGCCGTAGCTGCAGGGATGGGTTTGCTTGATATTCGCCCTACACCCATCAGAAGGCGCGTTCCAATTAAAATTACCAACACAAAGAATGTATTCCCGTGCTCCTGCCAAAGCGGGCTCATCCGGTGTCTTCTCCACGGATCACCTGAACAAATAACAATACTGCCTTCCGCCACTTACCAATTTCAGCAATATTGCTACCACTCCGATCACAAAGATGAATTAATAACAAAGGCTTGGGAGGCGCAGACTGGCACTAGTTCAACGGATCAACATCCCGAAAATTTGGATAACACTCTTTAAAATGTGGCTTAGTTTTATCCAGACATGTTCTCATTAATTGAAATTAGCCACTCACATCAAGACATCGTGACTTTGAAGTCTTTGGATTTTCTAACATTTTGAATTATCGTTTTTGGAGAAATGCAAACATCTAACGGTGGATTACTCATATGCATTTAGTGGAATGCAGGTTGGGTCAAAATCTGGTTGGTGTATCCGCTTTATGCACACACGCTGGCAAAACGCTACGTCTTATCTTTTGGGCACTTTCCAATTCCATATCGCATCGGTTGTTGTGAGATTTTTTTAATAATTATACAGTACTGTACCATAATCCGACACTCGTGTTAGTGTTCAAATTGGGCTATTGTTCGTTGTATCAAATATGGCGGTTTTTCGAAGTCAAGCTTGTAATTTCTGTACATCAAGCGATACCTAGTTCTTTGAAGTTCTTTCAACTCTCTGTGGCCGGAAAGGGAGTAACCGGGTTAACCAGAGATCAGAATTGCAGAGTACGTATTACAGCGATTTTTTGAAAAATAAAATTAATGAATTAAAAGGATATCCACATTTTTTTTAGAGGGTTAATGGTTTTATTTTTAAAAAGTTGTGACGTACAAGAAAGTCGATGAAGAATTCAAACGGAAGATGTTGGTAATTATTATACCTTTACGCCCTGATCGAATAATCTAAACATTTTGCCGGCAAACTGAACTCCAAATATTTGCTGATACGTTTTGAGACGTTTTAACTGGAGACATACGCGCATAATCACAAAATAACATTTTCTACGACAAAACTTCGTGTCAAACTGAACAAAAGGTCGCAGATTCAGTACTGGCCGAAGCTATGGTAATGTTCTCATAGTTAACCGCTTCCCAATCTGACAATAATGAAGAAGCGATTTTCGTCTATCACAGAATTCACATTCCAGACAACAAGCTGCTAAAAGCATCAACCTGTTTGAAAACTGTGCTAGGCTCCAGAAGCATTACTATTCGGATAGACACCAACTCTTTGTCCTTCTTGTTTTTCCACTCGGCGGTCGCGCTTGTAGTATCCTTTTCGTTTCCGGTAGTATAGCAGAAACTGGCCAAAGATTTCTGGAAAGTAATCACGGTGTAAGTAGCAGGTGGCACAGTACCGCGATAACAGTCCTATTATAGGTAATAACAACCATAACACGCAAGGCATAATAATGCCGACCCGGGACAGACGGGAGTAAATGCGCAAAACGATTATTCAACTGTAACTAATACGATATACGTTCAGTTTTTCAAGAAAAAAGTAATTTTTTTAAACCAGACAATGTGGCATAAAATTAGTTCTGAGCGCGAGAGAAAAAGCATTTGCATGGCGAGCCGGTAAATTCTAACAGAAATATACTAGTACTAATTCAAAAGTATTCTTAATTGCTGCACGGTGTACTTTTCGATGTCTAAAACCAGAATGAACAGAATCCAATGTAGGGTGTACAAATAGGACAGTGTACTGACACAGCCCTGCAAATTATTGTATCTTGAACGAGTAGTTACTAGTATAGTGATTAGAGTGCATATATATACCTCAAAAAGGAGCTCTTCTTCGTCATTGGAGAACACAGGATTTTTACTGGAACCTCCTTTCGGTATGTGCGCTTTAGCTATTAAAAGAGTTTTATCCATTTTGTATGGCATAGATTTTGAAGCAGCATCTTCGACATCTTTCCTGAGAATAAACAGGACGAATCACTGATTAACTGATACCCGATTGTTTATTTCAGTCGTAATGGCAGTGCAAATGCATAAAGTGTAATTATCGTCAAACATTCAAATCTTCACACGCACTTTACTCACTTTAAGCTCTGGAACATGCTGGGAGCAATTTGCGATGGCAGATTTATGAAGCGCTCATTGATGATCCATCCAACGTTGCCCAGTTTTTCCTCAAACAGATCCGAAAACCTGGCCCGGCTTTCATTACAATCTTTTTGAAGATCGTACTTTTCTTTCAAAAACCGAGTAAAATCTTTTATACATTGCTTATCTTTGCGAGCAGTCAGATTAACCACGGTTGTCAATCCAAAAATATCCTCTTCGTCGTCCGTGGATTGCGCAGACTCCTCTGAAGGACCTTCATCAGTAGGCTGAAATATTACGGCTCCAATGTAGTTCTGAGAAATAACTAACTCCGACAATTCTCGCAAATTGATTGTTGTCTGAGGCAACAACTGAAATAACAATTTCCGAATTCCCTCACAATCAGATTCCTCTGGTGAGCGAGCTTCGAAGTCCACATTAATAATTTCATTACTAGTCTCAGCCTCTTCTTCTTCTTCGCTGCTACCGGTCTCTTCGGATTCCGATGCACCGCTCTCGGTTTCGTTATCTTCCTCCGGTTGAGCCATATCTGAGGATAATAACAATATACAAAACTGGGAACAAAAACGAATAATTAAATTTAAGACTACAGTAAACAAAAAACTTAGTTGTAAATTTGGTTCTGTTCTTTCCGAAAATTTCGCAGTTTGATTGACTTCAAGAAACGAAAACTCTGGACTGATAGTGCACAAGTTCCGCTTAGCTCTCACCCGCGGTGAGTGCAACGGCACTGCCAACAATTCGTAAAAATATTGGTATTGCTCAATTGCTGCTAATACTGTTAACACGATTTTATTACTTAGTTTTCATTTGTCTATAAATCGTGAATAAAACTATGTTTTTAAGTACTTACTACTTACGATTGTAAAAGCATTCGTATGCAGTGAATGCAGCAAACAACACACTGCATTTTTTTAAATGTTACTGTTTTAGATGTTCCTGTTTCAACAGTGAGACTGCATTTACATATTAAGATGTTACTGTTTTAGACACTCAACAAGCGTCAACCAATGCCCAAATGTTTTATTACACTAAAGTACACTAAATGAATACCACAGTATTATAAAATACAATCAACAATCAGGGCTTCGAGGTCAACATCCCAACAATCAGGACTCTGAATCCAACATCCTTCCCAGAAAATGGAAGCAGAAACTACTCGTACAATGCCTAAAAACTGCTCTACTGGGTTTTCTTCTGATATCCCCGCTTAGTCTTGACTGGAGCATTCCAGAAATACACAATCTGTCCACACAAAACGGCATTCGCCAAGCTGGATACGATGTACGACAAAATAACCAGCACATCTCCGGTCTCTTGTATCGATGTGAACACCCTCGCTACACTGCCGGCAAAGAGCAAAAACACAGTTACAGCGGACAATTGCCCGGTGCTTTTGTTTTTCTGATTTTCCACGATTTGCAACAACTGAAAAAACAAAACCATGCCGATCAGATTACGTCATACACTATAACAAATGAAGCTATTAAAGCTACAAAGTAAAACTATAAAGCTAATAAGTGTAACAAACTCACTTTGCTCATCAAAACCAGAACAATTTGGAATGACTGCATCACTTTCAGTAGCTTTTCCGGCACCAACCCAGAGAGCAGCAAAGCTGTGATCGATATTTGAATTACAGTATAGATCAACGCGGCAGCGGATTTTCCCCGATACAAAAGCACCAAAATTGCGATCAGAGCTGTTTCGAGCATCAGAAACAAGCTCTCTCCCCATGCACTACAAGAAGACACCATTCAGCACAACTGCAAACCGAAGTAAAACAGGAGTGCAGTATGCATTTCGTAGGATTACGTTCCACGCGCAAACGAACCAAAACAATGAAATTTCATATACAGTTAATTAAACTTTAAGTCTATATAATATAAAGTTTATAATAAAATATTTTCCCTATACAATATAATCAATATAATCGCTGATAGCGGTACGTACAGAGGGTGATTTCGCAATATGCTTCCAGCACGGACACAAAGTTACAGTAATTCTCTCCCTTGTTCTTTCCTTCACTTTTTGTCGCTTAAAAATACTTCAATATGTGCTTTATAATTCATCATTAGTTGAATTCGAAAAAAGAAGTAAGTGGCACTCAAAAGTGAATTTAAAGCGGAACGCCCAGTTTTTCAAACTAAAACAAATTTTTGACGAGGAAATCTTTTTGCCAGTTTCCTTATTTTCTGAAATTTGACACAGACCATCGCAATCGGTGAGGCGCAAATGTAGCTTCTTTATTCGGACGGGAGATACGAAATTCCGTGCTGCCACTTTTAAATATTGCAACAGTGGCCTATCTGGCTACTGTTCTAGTGGAGCGGTGATCAACCTTTACCACGATTAAGCGGCTGTTATGTAATGTAAGGTTGGTACGGCCGTCTGCGGTGCGGCCGGATGTGGACTCAGCAATTACTTAGCAGGCACCGGTTGGGATGAGACGATTCATCCCAAGCGGTCAAACGGAACAACGCAAACGCAACACATAGCAAGGTTTCTTATTGCAAGAGAATCAGCAAGAATTCAGGCAAGAGAAGCGGCAAGAGAACCAAGCGTTCCAAGACTAAAGTGAGAATTCTAGACATCGAGAGAAGGCCGGTAAAAATCCATAGAAATGTGGAGAATCGTTATCAGACGTTATGAATCATAATGCAGTAAAACAACAACCAATCATTGATGTTAAATGACCATTACTATTCGAAACTGGTGGTCTTACACGTTGTACAAATTCTATCGCTACATCCCTCACGGTAGCGATGAGATATACTTGTCTCATCAAGATGCTGATTAAACAAACAAAATAAAACAACATCAGAAATGAAAAGAAAATTAGAAAAAATACTTGATTAAATGCAGTCCATTAAACGAACATGGTGGATCCACTTGTGGTGTCCATCCAACGGTTAGGATTCATCAGGCGGTGTCCGCTGTTGTTCCGTCATTTCCGGTAGGTGCGCTGGTCGGCATCACGCATACGATCCATCTGGTTACGGAGCTGGTCAATCTGCTGGCGTAGGTCTTGGATCTGGCTGTCCTTGTCCCTCACGGTAGTCGAAGACTGCGGTTTAATGTCATGTGTAGCATAACCACGAATGCCCAATGCGGTCATGATGGAAGCTACGTCCCGGTTAATGTTCAAACCAACAGGCATATCCGGCATTTCGACAACCGGTAATTTCTGGTTATACGCTGGCACTGCAGCCGTGGCGGCCAGCTGCGCATCGTACTCGCGGAGCGATTTAATTTTGTCAGCACGAATTTCATCAGTGAATGCACCATCCCAGTTAATTTCTCCAGGCATGAATGGCGCATCTACGGTAAAGTATCGGTACGGGTTAAAGTACTTCGGGTACTGTTCGACTTGTTCAAATCCTTGACGCTGTCCATTGTTAATGTAACGGTAAACGAAGCCAGTACGGTGTTCGTACAACCACTTTCCATCATCTCCCTGATAGCAGATCCAGGGAGAGCGCGAGAAAACGATCAAAACGCCAGCTTTGGAAGTAGTGTGGACTAAGGACGGTGTCCATCGGAACCGGAAACGAACAGAATTTGTCGGTGTCCGCGTTTTCGTGATTCGTGCGTAGGCGATCGAGAAAGGTGAACGTGTTGCACAAAACCTGCTTCTGGGCGAGCTTAATTTCACGTTCTGTAGGATCGGTAGTAGTGTTAATGTCTCCAGCAGCACGCGCAACGGCAATGTCAATGTTATCCATGTGCCGACGATAATGTTCACGTGGTGTTTTGTTATGGAACCCGATGTATGGGTTGAATTCCTGGTACGTGGCGAGTTCAGCGGTTTGGCGAATGCCGCGGTTAATGTAACGAATGTTTTCAGTTGGTGGGTCAACAGCCGGGTAGTTGCGCTGACGACGATCACCACGATTAATGTTTCCATAATTGTTACGACCATTGCGATGACTACCACGACGAGCACTGTTGTACTGTAAGCTCTGACCATTGTACGGTAGTTCATCCTTCTCTTCTGTGGGAGCGTTCAGCAGTGGTTCACGAGTGGTGGACGGGTTAATATTCGAAGTGTCTTCCTGAAATAGCGGATCGTTGTAGTCCGCATGCGTTACGAGTTCGGGTTCGGTAGCCGGAACAGAGCTGGACGGTGCTGATAGCTGTTGCGGCTGCTGGTCACTGGTGTCCATGCCGGTGCCGGTGCTCTCGTCAACGTCCATGTCTACATAATGTATACTGTATTAATTTAATGCGCATCAGTTAAAGTACTGCCGGTTAGAATGCGCACGTCTTCGTAATTTACATCTACGAATAAGGGAAACTGCAACATTGTAATGTATAGGCTAAATCAACGCAGAAACACAGTTAATCTAATATCAAGGTTTATACGAGTATGTACTGTACTCGTAGTAGTTTAATTAATTTAATGTACGATTACGCATCGCCAGTTGTCTTTACATCTCGAGGTCGTAGTTTCTGTAAAAATGCATTCCGGCTAGCTAGAACGTCGGCATCGTAATGTTTGTATGACTTTAATTTGGAAACGTGAACAACATCAATAAGTTTACGTTTTGATTTTGCCTGGTCTAGCTTGACCTCAACGTTACCATTGTCGAAAACGTTCGTAATAATGTATGGACCTTTAAACTTATTAGTTAATTTTTCTGTGCGACCAACAACTCGTAGTTCATCTTTTACGTAAACTGAATCTCCAACACTGAACGGAATACCGACTTTATTTTGGTCGTAGTTTTCACTATTCCTCTCGTGCGTAATGTCAGTGAGTGTTTTAGCGAATTCCACTGCATGATGCCATTTCTGTCGCAGCTGTTCGATGTACGTTTTTATCGTAACTTCATTAGAGTTAGCCGAATTAATATTCCCGTAGATAGTATCAAGAGGCAATCGTGTTTCAACACCGAACAACAAATAATATGGCGTATGCAGAGTAGTTGAGTGTTTCGTATTATTGTAAGCATACGTAATATACGGTATGTACTGTGCCCAGTTATTCTGTTCGGAATTAACGTACATAGTTAATTTTTCTCCAAGAAACCGCATGAAACGCTCTGCTAACGTGTTCGACTGCGGGTGAAATGCAGTTGTATACTGATGGTCAATTTGTAAAACTTCATTAATTTTGCGAATAATTTTGCTGGTATATGCAACACCACGATCAGAAGTGATGTGCAGCGGCGGACCGAAGGGCAATATAATATTGTTGATAAAGAACTGAGCTGTCTCTTCCATGCCGGTAGACTTAACGACTTTGGTGACGACGTAACGAGAAACATTCTCAACTGCTACAATAATGTATTTTGCGTTGTCCGGCAACGCATGAAAGGGACCAACGTGGTCGAACGACCACGACTCCAAAATACCATACTGTTTAATTTGCTGCAAGTATCCGGTCGGTGTAATGTTTACGCTGTGACGTTTCTGACAGGCTTCACACGCATCAACATAATTTTTAATGTAATGCAACATTCTCGGCCAATAGTAACGGGATGACACAGCATGCCAAGTGCGGGTGAACCCAACATGAGCGGAAAGAGGGGAATCATGGCAAGCGTACAAAATCTCGGCTCGCATACTGGCCGGTATGCAAACAAGTAATATTCTTTTACCTTTACGAAGCCTGAACTTGTATAATATACCATCCATTAGACGAAATGTATCTGATAATCGTTGAAGATTTCTTGTCGCTTCCAGATACTGTGTGTCATCTGATACAAGTAGCTTAATTTTTGAAATAAATTCATCTGCGGACTGTTCGGCGATCAAAGTGTCACGACTTTGGTCCGGTAATATTGCGTACACGGGTATTTCACAGTCGTCTGCATTAATATCAGCTTGCTCATGGGGGTACCGGCTCAAAAGGTCTGCGTCTTGATGCAGACGGCCTTTCCGGTACTGCACTTTAAAATCGTATTCTTGCAGCAGGAGACTCCATCGGTTTAGACGACCTTGTGGTTCTTTGAGATATAGTAAAATTGTAATGCAGAGTGGTCGGAAATAACTACGAAGTGCTTTCCTGCCAAGTAGTGTTTAAACTTCTTTATTGCGAAGACAATTGCGTACAGTTCCTTTTCGGACGTCATATAATTACGCTGATGTTTGTCCAACATTTTTGAAGAGTATGCAACGACATGCCAACCGTCGGCATGTTGTTGTTCCAGTATGGCGCCGACGCCTAGTCCAGAAGCGTCCGTTTTAATTTGAGTTGGTAATGTATGATCAAAAGGTTTTAATATCGGTGCGGTTGTTAGGCACGTTTTCAGGCTTTCGAAAGCGTTTTGTTCCTCATCCGACCAACGGAAAGGTACATCTTTTCGAGTTAATTTGAGCAGTGGAGCAGCTAATGTTGAAAACCCATTGATAAACTGTCTGTAGTAGCTAAGCGCACCAACAAAAGATTTAATATCTCTGGGCGTTTTCGGTGTAGGAAACGTAGCGATGGCACTTATTTTCGAAGGGTCGGGTTGAATTCCATCTCGGCTAATAATATGACCCAAAAATTTAATTTTACTAAACCCTAGCTCACACTTTTTCGGGGAGATCGTAAACCCTGCGGAACTAACTGCTTTGAGCACCTGTTCCAGTAGCTTAATGTGTTCCTCAAAGGTCTCACCACCTATGAGGACGTCATCTACATAGCAGATGACACCCCGCCACTTCAGGTGGCTTAATATCGAATCCATCGCACGCTGGAAAGTAGCCGGGCCTCCGCATAGCCCGAAAGGCATGCGAAGATACTCGTATTG